TGAATTAGTGATGTCGAAGTGAATTGACAAGACCCATACCATTCGAAACGTCACAGAATGAGATTTTAAAAACCGCAAGTTTCACCTTTTTTGGAGTTAAATTACGCCCGCAGCGGGCCAAACAGTCTGATATTATACTTGGCACCAATTTAAAAAAAAGTGAATTAGTGATGTCGAAGTGAATTGACAAGACCCATACCATTCGAAACGTCACAGAATGAGATTTTAAAAACCGCAAGTTTCACCTTTTTTGGAGTTAAATTACGCCCGCAGCGGGCCAAACAGTCTGATATTATACTTGGCACCAATTTAAAAAAAAGTGAATTAGTGATGTCGAAGTGAATTGACAAGACCCATACCGTTCGAAACGTCACAGAATGAGATTTTAAAAACCGCAAGTTTCACCTTTTTTGGAGTTAAATTGCGCCCGCAGCGGGCCAAACAGTCTGATATTATACTTAGCACCAATAAAAAAAAAAGTGAATTAGTGATGTCGAAGTGAATTGACAAGACCCATACCATTCGAAACGTCACAGAATGAGATTTTAAAAACCGCAAGTTTCACCTTTTTTGGCGTTAAATTACGCCCGCAGCGGGCCAAACAGTCTGATATTATACTTGGCACCAATTTAAAAAAAGTGAATTAGTGATGTCGAAGTGAATTGACAAGACCCATACCGTTCGAAACGTCACAGAATGAGATTTTAAAAACCGCAAGTTTCACCTTTTTTGGCGTTAAATTACGCCCGCAGCGGGCCAAACAGTCTGATATTATACTTGGCACCAATTTAAAAAAAAGTGAATTAGTGATGTCGAAGTGAATTGACAAGACCCATACCGTTCGAAACGTCACAGAATGAGATTTTAAAAACCGCAAGTTTCACCTTTTTTGGCGTTAAATTACGCCCGCAGCGGGCCAAACAGTCTGATATTATACTTGGCACCAATTTAAAAAAAAGTGAATTAGTGATGTCGAAGTGAATTGACAAGACCCATACCATTCGAAACGTCACAGAATGAGATTTTAAAAACCGCAAGTTTCACCTTTTTTGGAGTTAAATTGCGCCCGCAGCGGGCCAAACAGTCTGATATTATACTTGGCACCAATTTAAAAAAAAAGTGAATTAGTGATGTCGAAGTGAATTGACAAGACCCATACCATTCGAAACGTCACAGAATGAGATTTTAAAAACCGCAAGTTTCACCTTTTTTGGAGTTAAATTACGCCCGCAGCGGGCCAAACAGTCTGATATTATACTTGGCACCAATTTAAAAAAAAGTGAATTAGTGATGTCGAAGTGAATTGACAAGACCCATACCGTTCGAAACGTCACAGAATGAGATTTTAAAAACCGCAAGTTTCACCTTTTTTGGAGTTAAATTACGCCCGCAGCGGGCCAAACAGTCTGATATTCTGCTTGGCACCAATTTAAAAAAAAAGTGAATTAGTGATGTCGAAGTGAATTGACAAGACCCATACCATTCGAAACGTCACAGAATGAGATTTTAAAAACCGCAAGTTTCACCTTTTTTGGCGTTAAATTACGCCCGCAGCGGGCCAAACAGTCTGATATTATACTTGGCACCAATTTAAAAAAAAGTGAATTAGTGATGTCGAAGTGAATTGACAAGACCCATACCGTTCGAAACGTCACAGAATGAGATTTTAAAAACCGCATGTTTCACCTTTTTTGGAGTTAAATTACGCCCGCAGCGGGCCAAACAGTCTGATATTCTGCTTGGCACCAATTTAAAAAAAAAGTGAATTAGTGATGTCGAAGTGAATTGACAAGACCCATACCATTCGAAACGTCACAGAATGAGATTTTAAAAACCGCAAGTTTCACCTTTTTTGGAGTTAAATTACGCCCGCAGCGGGCCAAACAGTCTGATATTATACTTGGCACCAATTTAAAAAAAAAGTGAATTAGTGATGTCGAAGTGAATTGACAAGACCCATACCATTCGAAACGTCACAGAATGAGATTTTAAAAACCGCAAGTTTCACCTTTTTTGGCGTTAAATTACGCCCGCAGCGGGCCAAACAGTCTGATATTATACTTGGCACCAATTTAAAAAAAAAGTGAATTAGTGATGTCGAAGTGAATTGACAAGACCCATACCGTTCGAAACGTTACAGAATGAGATTTTAAAAACCGCAAGTTTCACCTTTTTTGGCGTTAAATTACGCCCGCAGCGGGCCAAACAGTCTGATATTATACTTGGCACCAATTTAAAAAAAAAGTGAATTAGTGATGTCGAAGTGAATTGACAAGACCCATACCATTCGAAACGTCACAGAATGAGATTTTAAAAACCGCAAGTTTCACCTTTTTTGGCGTTAAATTACGCCCGCAGCGGGCCAAACAGTCTGATATTATACTTGGCACCAATTTAAAAAAAAAGTGAATTAGTGATGTCGAAGTGAATTGACAAGACCCATACCGTTCGAAACGTCACAGAATGAGATTTTAAAAACCGCATGTTTCACCTTTTTTGGAGTTAAATTACGCCCGCAGCGGGCCAAACAGTCTGATATTCTGCTTGGCACCAATTTAAAAAAAAAAGTGAATTAGTGATGTCGAAGTGAATTGACAAGACCCATACCATTCGAAACGTCACAGAATGAGATTTTAAAAACCGCAAGTTTCACCTTTTTTGGCGTTAAATTACGCCCGCAGCGGGCCAAACAGTCTGATATTATACTTGGCACCAATTTAAAAAAAAAGTGAATTAGTGATGTCGAAGTGAATTGACAAGACCCATACCATTCGAAACGTCACAGAATGAGATTTTAAAAACCGCAAGTTTCACCTTTTTTGGCGTTAAATTACGCCCGCAGCGGGCCAAACAGTCTGATATTATACTTGGCACCAATTTAAAAAAAAGTGAATTAGTGATGTCGAAGTGAATTGACAAGACCCATACCGTTCGAAACGTTACAGAATGAGATTTTAAAAACCGCAAGTTTCACCTTTTTTGGCGTTAAATTACGCCCGCAGCGGGCCAAACAGTCTGATATTATACTTGGCACCAATTTAAAAAAAAAGTGAATTAGTGATGTCGAAGTGAATTGACAAGACCCATACCATTCGAAACGTCACAGAATGAGATTTTAAAAACCGCAAGTTTCACCTTTTTTGGAGTTAAATTACGCCCGCAGCGGGCCAAACAGTCTGATATTATACTTGGCACCAATTTAAAAAAAAGTGAATTAGTGATGTCGAAGTGAATTGACAAGACCCATACCATTCGAAACGTCACAGAATGAGATTTTAAAAACCGCAAGTTTCACCTTTTTTGGCGTTAAATTACGCCCGCAGCGGGCCAAACAGTCTGATCTTATACTTGGCACCAATTAAAAAAAAAAAGTGAATTAGTGATGTCGGAGTGAATTGACAAGACCCGTACCGTTCGAAACGTCACAGAATGAGATTTTAAAAACCGCAACTTTCACCTTTTTTGGAGTTAAATTACGCCCGCAGCGGGCCAAGCAGTCGGATATTATACTCGGCACCAATTTAAAAAAAAAGTGAATTAGTGATGTCGGAGTGAATTGATAAGACCCACACCATTCGAAACGTCACAGAATGAGATTTTAAAAACCGCAAGTTTAACCTTTTTTGGAGTTAAATTACGCCCGCAGCGGGCCAAACAGTCTGATATTATACTTGGCACCAATTAAAAAAAAAGTGAATTAGTGATGTCGGAGTGAATTGACAAGACCCATACCATTCGAAACGTCACAGAATGAGATTTTAAAAACCGCAAGTTTCACCTTTTTTGGAGTTAAATTATGCCCGCAGCGGGCCAAACAGTCCGATATTATACTTGGCACCAATAAAAAAAAAAGTGAATTAGTGATGTCGGAGTGAATTGACAAGACCCATACCATTCGAAACGTCACAGAATGAGATTTTAAAAACCGCAAGTTTCACCTTTTTTGGAGTTAAATTATGCCCGCAGCGGGCCAAACAGTCCGATATTATACTTGGCACCAATTAAAAAAAAGTGAATTAGTGATGTCGGAGTGAATTGACAAGACCCATACCATTCGAAACGTCACAGAATGAGATTTTAAAAACCGCAAGTTTCACCTTTTTTGAAGTTAAATTACGCCCGCAGCGGGCCAAACAGTCTGATATTATACTTGGCACCAATTTAAAAAAAAGTGAATTAGTGATGTCGGAGTGAATTGACAAGACCCACACCATTCGAAACGTCACAGAATGAGATTTTAAAAACCGCAAGTTTCACCTTTTTTGGAGTTAAATTACGCCCGCAGCGGGCCAAACAGTCTTATATTATACTTGGAACCAATTTAAAAAAAAGTGAATTAGTGATGTCGGAGTGAATTGATAAGACCCACACCATTCGAAACGTCACAGAATGAGATTTTAAAAACCGCAAGTTTCACCTTTTTTGGAGTTAAATTACCCCCGCAGCAGGCCAAACCAAAATTCGCAAAATTTTGCGACACCGTAAAGTACCAAAATTTTGGTTTTTGCAGTTTTTCTCTAAAATACGGAAACTTTTTAAATTGTCGTAAAAATTTTACGTCTAAAGTTGCCCCACCACGAAGACAATAAATGCCACTTTGCATGGCATTCCGTTATTTTTTACGGGAAAAAATTAGGCTTTATGAAGTTTGGGCGAAAAACTTTCTGCGAATTACAAACTTTAGGCGGGTAGAAAGGTGTGCGTGTATGAAGTAAGCATGGCTGCAATGCGGGCCGGGCCGCGAGTACAGGCCGAAATTTCCAAGTCCGGACCTGGAAGATTTTCAACGCCCGGCCCGGGTAAAATTTTCATGTCTAATTTTATGATTTTATTGTTAGAAACTTTCGTTCTGTGAAAAACGCCTTAGCCGGATATTTTTGGATGCCAAGCCCAAAGCTTTTCGCCTATGCTTTGTGATTCGCCGAAAGTATTTTATCCAAAGATTTTCACCCAAACTCCATAAAGCCACAAAAGTTATTATTAGCACGTTATATTTGACCATGGAATCAGGAGATATTGAAGACGGATTTGTGGCACCCGGCTTTAAACCTCCAATTAATGGGATTGTCCTCACCAGACTTAAGTCCAAGGATAACAAAGGGGAAAATGAAATCCCACATATTGAAAGTGATCTCGCATGGAGTCGTAAGGTATATGTCAGGACCTGGGGTTGTGCCCACAACAGTAGTGACTCAGAGTACATGAGCGGCCTTCTAGTCAACTCGGGGTTTAAGCTGACACCCAATCCAGATGCCGCAGATTTATGGGTGTTGAACAGTTGCACTGTAAAGACTCCGTCTGAAAATCAACTCGAAAACGAAATTTTAAAGGCTAAGAAGAAGAGGAAGTACGTTGTTGTGGCTGGTTGTGTATCGCAGGTAAGTAAATTTCTTTCATATTATTATTTAGGCGGCACCAACTGTTGAATATTTGAAAAATGTATCTATTGTGGGCGTCCAGCAAGTGGATCAAATAGTAAACGTGGTGGAGGAAACGTTGAAGGGTAATGTGGTAAGACATTTAAGCCTTCGGAGGAAAGAAGCTTTGTCTTTGGATTTACCGAAGGTTCGAAGGAACAAATTTGTAGAAATCTTGGCAATCAACACTGGATGTCTAAATCACTGTACATATTGCAAGACGAAGCAAGCTCGAGGCGATTTGAAAAGCTTTCCGGTCGATGAAATTGTTAAAAGGGCAAAGTCTGCTTTTTCTGAAGGCTGTAAGGAAGTTTGGCTGACATCGGAGGACCTTGGTGCTTATGGAAGGGATATCGGGCATGTATGTTTTATTCGTTTGGTCTGACAAATTATAATTTACATTCCTAGGTGTTGCCTGATCTTTTGAGCCAGCTGGTTAAGATTATACCGCACGATTGCATGATGAGATTAGGAATGACCAATCCACCTTATATCTTAGACCATCTACAGGAAATTGCTGACACATTGAATCACCCACGTGTTTACAGCTTTCTTCACATCCCTGTGCAGGCCGGGAGCGATGCTGTTTTGGCCGAAATGAAACGGGAGTATACATCTGAGCAGTTTTGTAAAGTAGTTGATTTTATGAGAGAGAAGTAAGTTGAGTAATGTAAAATAGTTTATATTTAGCGTTCCGGGTGTTTATATTGCAACTGACTTCATTTGTGCATTCCCTTCGGAGACAACTGATGATTTCCTAGATAGTATGAAACTGGTTGAAAAATACAAGTTCCCTTCATTGTTCATCAATCAGTTCTACCCTCGTCCCGGAACGCCAGCGGCGCGTCTAAAGAAGATAGATACTGTAGAAGCACGTCGGAGAACTGCAGCTATGACAGAACTTTTCAAGAGTTATACCACATACAAGAACGACAGAATTGGTAAGAATTACCGAGTTTTGATCTGCGAGAAAGCGACCGACAAGAAGAGTTATGTAGGACACAATAAGGCATACGAACACATCCTAGTGTCCTCGGATAAAGACCTGCTGGGTCAATGGGTCACAGTTCAAATTAAAGAGGTATCCAAATTTTACATGAAAGCCGATCTCGTCGAGGACAACCAAACATCTTTGAGAAAGTACTACAAACTTGCAGTAATCCCAATAATCTTGTTAATGTTTTTCTTTATTGTTAAATTACTATAAAGATTACTTGTTAAAAGTCGGAAACTCGTCCTTTCCTCTCCCAATCTCCGTATCGAGTAGGCTCGGGTCCTCTAGGCCCGCCAATCTCTCCAGTCTGCTGGTTTTGAACTTGTCCTCGCTGCGGTTCACTTTCATCTTCTAGCACACCAACCGGCGTGCGATTTACCTTCTTTGCTGGGGACTTCCCCAGATCCCTCGGCTTTCCCGTGGCAAATCCGCGGACAAAAAGTCGTATCATCTAAACATCAATAAACCAGTTTTGCTCAGAATTAATAAGCGAGATAGACGTTTCTTTAAATCAGCGAATCTCTCAAATAATTTCTTTAATCTCACTAAAGATTCACTTGGGGAAATCTAAAAATGTTCCACGTCTAGACAGATTCTGGGTCGGCGTCAATAGCCTTGTACCAAGCTCCGCATTCGCATCTCTTGGGTTCCCCTTTACGGATAACCATGAAGTTGACATGTCCGGAGTCATGTTCACCTAAACACAGATAACGTTTCTCAGGACGCACTTACAGAGACATCCAATAATACGCTCGAGAAAGTGAACGGGGACCAGATTTGGCTTTTCTTTGGATGAGTTCTCGGCTCTGTAATAGACCTTAGGTTCGTAGCGCTGAAAAAAATAATGAGGTGAGACGCATAACAGAGATGAAAATACAATTTTTTAGAATACCTACATCGTCGCCAGCTAAACGAGCAATCAACATTTTCTTTTCACGACCAGTAGCATGTTCAAGGGGATCCGGATCTACAAAAAACAGTTTACGACAAATGTATACTTACAATATCCATAATCTTCTGGACTGGCCTCGGTGGCATATGGCCTGGAGGCTGCCAAGGGTCTTGCGTTAGCCCTGCTAGCCGCGAAAAGGGCGCTAGAAAGACGACGAGCGGAAGCAAGCATCTCTAAAGTTGCTTTACTATTTTTAAAAAATCCTTAAAGCATAGAAAGAAAAACGACATTATCGCGCGAAACCTTTACAACAAAAAGAGAGGCAAAAATGGAGAGGACAAAACACAAGACGTGCAAATTCAACAACAAATTGGCGATTGGCATTCCGTATAAAAGAATTGCGTGATATGTTTTCGTCTCAGAACAGAGAGAAGTAATTTAAGATATGAATTTTCTATTCACTGGCACTTGCTTTGATAACTCATGACAAGTTTAGAGGAGGTTTATAAAGCAAAAATGTAGCAAGAGAACTGTAAAACACTTCAAAGGGATCGGCAAATACTTGCCACCATATTTCTTACCTATATCATTTGAAAGAGCATTACAAATAGTGTGCAGGGCAAAAGAAATAGCTGCCCAATTTGCCTTAGGACAAAGTTATGATCAAAATATAGGTTTTCGACTACTTTCCGGCGTTACTTTATAAGCTCTTGGAATTTCGACAAACTTGTGTCCCGTTGGCCGAGTGGTAGTGATCCCAATACAGACAAAATCGATATTTTACGGGGTTTTTTGAGTTTTTGTTCTTTTTTGAAACGACCATAAATTTGATGGTGATGAGAGGTGAAGATGCCATTAACGTACAATTACCTTGGGTGTCATGCCAGTGTCCTGACCAATTATGAGTACTCGACGATAGTTTAGTTCATCAGGGCCTATAGTACACATTTTTTGAAAAAATACGAAGAGAAAACTGTAAAAGAAGCCAGAAACGCAATTTCTGACCCAGTGAACCAACCGTCAGACCAACCAACATAAGAAATTTTTGATTTTGAGATTCTCGTTTGTGGATGGCCACAGCCATCTTATAAATTTCCAAAACCTTTTGCTCCAATTGTCCCATTAACCTAGTTTTATTTATAATTTTACTTACTAACAAGTGTAACTAACAGTAACGTCGAATAACTCATACCCGAGGACTGGCAAAGTCATAAAACGACCGTGGTAAGCGTTTTTTTTTTTGATACTAAGAAATCAATGGAAAAATCCAGCTGTATACCTAAACTTTTCCGTTCGTTTATATCTCAGCACTGTGATCTTCTTTCATGGCTTTAATAATTAGGAAATATACGGATGATCGAAGAAGTAGTCAGCGTTTCTGTTCTGTATGTTTTGGGCACCTACTCTTCTTCTGATGATTTCATGACTTCTATTTATGAATCTATGACTTCAAAGCAACCCTTTTTTGGTAATTCAAGCACAAACGAAGTACATTCCCACTTATTAAAGCGCCGGAAGTACGGTTTTGAATGTTTTTGGGCGTGTCGAATTTCTCGGGCGTTGGGGAAAACGGGCGAGGGTGGGTCAAGCAGGGACACTAAGGCGACGCAACTTCCGGTACTCCACCTCGTCTACGTTGTGTAAGACAAAGACCTTTTACGCACATTTTGTGGATATTTCGGACCAAAAAAATCTGAAAATCCAAGCACTTTAAGCACCACTTAAGGGCCTGGCCACTTAAATAAGATGCTCGCATTCCGGTGTATCGTCGCCTTCTGCGCTTCGGACCGAGTCAGAAATTCTTTTGATCCATGTTTAATCTTATGCTAACGGCGTTGTTAGAAACGCCGAATTCCCTAAGGGCACAACTCTGACACTTCGACTAACGGCCACTCACTTATGGCATTTTCAGCGAAAAATGTTCTCATGTTGATTTTGGGGTTCCGCAAATGGCCAAATAAGTAATGCCCCGCCCAATGCATTTCTAATTCAGCTTGATGTTAGACAGTGGTGGATGACGTTCTGACTATCTTTGTAAAGTGGGGGATGTTGTTGTAATCTTTTAATGTCAAAAAATATCATAATATCATAACTTCACATCGTCTGGCTTTAACAAACCCATCAATCTCACCCTTTTAGACAAAAAAGAATTTGAATAACGCCAATGGCTATTTAATTTTATGTTAAGCTGTAAAACCTCAAACTGGTTCTCGTTTAGAGGAAAGGCTTGGGTGGGTTAGTTTATGGGTTCTTCCAAGTTTACGTATTTTTTTCCGCGCACTTGGCTTGTTATACAGGTCGAAATACTCATTTTTGATTCCAATGATTTTTTTATTGTTCGGAAAGATTCTAACACTAAAAGTATGATGACTCAAACAATGTTTCTATTATTGAATACAGATTTGTTCGTTGCCTAATCACATCCACTTACTAAATATAATAGATAATTGATTGGTGCTTTTGTTACGCAAGGCTCAAAAAAATCCGGTTAGATCCATTTCCTGGCTGTGACTGGGCCATATTTGCAAATATTTACGGACCCTTTTGTCCTAAGCCCTTAGGCTGTTTGTGTACCGAATGCATAATGAGACAGACCTCTTTTACTAGTAGTTTCCACAAATCTCACCTGACCTTTGAGCGTGAATTTTAAAGGAAGCCGTCTAACGAAGCTGGCATTTTAGATACGGGATGTTTGAACATGTCTAACCTCGTGGAGCTAACCCGCGTGGCGATTGTGCTTTGGTTTTTACCGCGGTCTCTCTCCCGAAACGTCCACCACGGGGATCATCTGGCTGTTCGGACATCGCTGGGGGTGCTTCGAGGCGTCGAGCAGACCTACAACGGACGACGAATCCGGGCGTTCCTTGGCGTTCCTTATGCCAAAAAGCCGACCGGCTCTCGCCGTTTTTCATTGCCTGAGATGGTCGGCCCCTGGGAGGGGGAAATGCTGGTTCAAGAGCCCTCGAACACCTGCTACTACACCATCGACACAATGTTCCCACAATTCCCTGGGGCCGAAATGTGGAATCCCCCGAACGAGCTGAGTGAGGACTGCCTCTCCCTCAATATCTGGGTTCCCGAAGATCACGATGGCAACGTGATGGTTTGGATTTTTGGAGGGGGATTTGTGTCTGGCAGCCCATCCCTGGACCTGTATGACGGACGAGTACTGGCGGTTGAGCAAAGAAGCATCATCGTCAACATAAATTATCGGTGAGGATGCTAGACAGCTTCGACAAACTTTATTTTCAGATTAGGATCTTTTGGATTTCTGTACTTTGGTGGGCAATCCCTCGCTCCAGGTAATATGGGACTAATGGACCAACAGTTGGCTTTTAAATGGGTCCATCATCACATCGGTTCTTTTGGAGGGGATCGGAGAAAGGTTACCTTATTTGGCGAAAGCGCCGGAGGGGCTTCGGTGACATCGCATCTGTTTGCGCCTGGAAGTGCTGATTATTTCCAGCGTATAATAATAAATGTAAGCGGGAAGGACTGATGACATATTTCTTCTCAGAGTGGCGCAATTATCAACAACTGGGCCACAAAGTCTAAAGATGTGATGTTGGACATGTCTTTGATATTGGCCAAGAGGCTTAACTGCACCAATCAAAGCATACACAGGCCTCTGGATGATGTGCAGTACATACTGGATTGTATGAGAGGATTAACTGCACATGCCATCCTTCGGGAGGCTGACATGGTCGCTGATGCCTTATCATTACCACTAACATTTCCCTTTGTTCCCGTTGATGATGACGAGAATTTCTTTAAAGCAAGTCGGCATGTGAAAGACAAAATTTAATTGTCTTTTAAGGGCTCCCTCATAGATAAAATAAAAAATCGGGATTTCAAAAAAGATCTCTCCGTTTTGCTTGGCACAATGAAAGACGAAGGAACTTACTGGTTGCCTTACTACCTCAGTCGATTTGGCTTCAACTTTAATCATACTCTGTCTTCTGAAGATCGTCACAACCAAGCTCTGATATCTGAGTAAGAGTGTTTTGTTTCTCTGTTACTTTCAGATCTCAATATCGGGATTCATTTGAAGCATTTTTACCGTACTTTGGGGGATCCCAGTTAGTACGGCACGCTTTAATGCATGCTTATGAACGGTTGTCTGAGTCGGAAAAAAAGCCGGAACGTCTTCGAGATGGGGTTGCGAGATTTGTGGGCGACTATTTCTTTACCTGTTCAATTATTGAATTCGCGGACTTTATTTCGGACAATGTTTTTGACGCCGTATTCATGTACTACTTCACTCGAAGGTAAACTTACAAAATTTAAAAGGCAATTTTTTTAGAGCCACGTCTAACCCTTGGCCTAAATGGATGGGAGCCATGCATGGGTACGAGATTGAATACTTCTTCGGTCTCCCTAAACGATTACCTCATCTTTACAACCAAGAACAGCTGCGGATCGAGCAGTCGTTTAGTAAGAAAATAATGGACTATTGGGGAGAATTTAGCCGAGGAAAGTAAGTTCAGACCATGCTCATCTCAATTAAAATTCAGCCCTCCGGCTTCCTATTGGCCCAAGTACAACAGAATAACTCGGAAAGCTCTTGTGTTGTCAGAAGAACTGGTCACCGAGAACAGCCATCATATCAATGTTGATGTTCATGGAAAACAATGTCGTTTGATCAAGGAAGCCGAACAAGCGGTCAGAAAAGGTATGATCTATTAACATCAAAATCACAATCTAAACTACAGACTTCTACACAGATGACCTCTACAAAGCGCAGTTCCAAGAAGAAACGTCAAAATCCGGGTCTAACTATAACTTGCCAGCTATCCCCCTCGTGGTTCTTTTAATGATTTTACAATCAACTTTATAAGCAAAAAATCTTTTACATCAGTGCCTCGCATCTACTTCACTTGTGATGTTAAATATTTATTTAAAGTAAACAAAAAACACTACATTTACTGACACTTAAATATAATCATTTACGACCTCGTTCGTTTGTCTTGGAAGAATGATTTCAACAAAATAACCTAAAAAATTCTAATAAAACCACTAACAAACTTCCCTACCTGAACAATACTACTGATAATGACCACGGCGGTTTGACCCAATGACCAATATAACACCCGTTCGTTCAGATCTTCTGCCCGTCGCCGACCGGTAGCTTCCCTAAGGCGGTGATGGGTCTGATAGTCGTCGACGGACCTCAAGTGATCCCCGATTGTCTGCGCACTCCTCTCCAAATTTCCAACGGCAGTATGTTTAACAGGACTTTCCTTGGCTCCAGGTCTTTGTCCTCCAGTTATTTCATCACCCACTTGCCAATCCATGTAGACAATTTTGTGCGAAAAAGTTGAAAATTCGTTGGAGAAGCACACCTTGTAAGTGCCGGGAACCTCGGTCTTGAACTGATGGGAATCATATTGTTTCCTCGGTTGCTTGTAGAGGACCTTTCCCTGAGGATCTTCCAACACCATGTCCACGTCATATTGACCACCAGTAACAACCTAAAAACGTAGTGGAAACGACGAACTTCACGCACCTGGAATTCGATCACACTGTCCAGGCCGGCTTTCAGGTCTTCATAAAAACACTGATTGGCATTGTCAGGCAGTTCAAATGTCAATTCTATGGCTATGACCACCGGAAGGCAAAGTAAGTATACACCTTTCCACATTTTTGCGTGGGGAAACGGCTTCGACGTTGTTTAAAATTTATTTTTGCCAACTGGATTTTAGAAAAGATGACACAAAAGAGGAAGAGTTGGCGCAAAATATAATTACTGCTTTATGCAATCCCCGGCCGCGGCCGCGGAAGATCCGTTTCCAGTTTCATTTACACCTTGGAGAATTAGCGTATACGTATACAATCTTGATAGCGTTTTTTATTTCAATCAGAATATTCATGTGAAACCAGATTTAATTATTTAAAACGGACAATAATGCAGTAAACTTATCCTATTGTTCATTGGCAATAACGACACCGTTATTTTCACATTGAATAACAATTGAGGGATGAGAAAATTGTGTTTCAGTTTTAAAAAATCCAAAGTCATTCCTTACATTACTGTTTTACTCCTTGCTTTCTATTGCTTACAGCTTTTTCGCTTATTTGGTTATGGGAAAGAACTCCGAAGTAACTGTTATTCATCCATCAATTCTTTAAGAAGTTTACGTGACGTTTCTTTTTAATATGAGCATGTTATTTATTTAGCTTTTTTCTGCTCTTATCAGTCCTTAAAACCAGAAAACTTGTGTACCCATTTGAGAGTAATTTTTTCTTGGATGACCTAGAAGGAGATCTGCGACAGTTCGTAACAATCAGAACCCAGCCGCGGTGTTTCTTCCCACCCGTTAAGTCGTTTGATCTTACTTTTGTAGAATGGACATCATTGGGGCGACCTGGGGATTAACAGATCGGGGCCGGGCCTTCATCGAAAATTCTGTGGAGGTGACATTCAGGGTACCCGGTGTTATCTTGCTCGAGTTATGGTGGATAAAAAGGGATTTGGATATCTCAGAGGTTACACAGCAGATCATCGATCAGAATCCATTGCCTGGATATCTGGATCTGATGCAAATTACGGAGTTTATCCATCGTCGAAACCTCGATCATACGGCGGCAACAGTTCTGAGTTATTCGGTATTACTGTTATGTGCGATGTTGCTGCTCCTTCCTATGGCCAAGCTTATGCGAATCTATCTGCATGGACTTTGTTTGTCGTTATTTGCCCTTGCCCATTACATGTCTACTCAATATATTCAGCACGAGAAGACTGCTGAACCCGTTTTAGTGCTCGATGACTTTGTGAAAATGGAGCGTCATGGATTTCATTTTGTCGCACAGGTACGATAATTTCACACAAACAGTATCTTCTAGATGATGCTGAGTGTGGTCCAATGCTTTCTGTTGGGGATGGAATCAGCCGTCGGTCGTGTTCTTCTGGCCGTCTTCACGATCCCAATCATTGCCCGGATGTGTGGCTGTCCTCCGGATAAATTAATAGTGGCGCATAACATTGCCTGTTCTCTGGCGATGCTTCTGATATGTGTTTACGTTTTATATAACGTTCCTGATCTGATCCAATCAGTGAAACAAGGCTGTAAGAGACTTCGTTCTCTCTTGGCGGTTCGAGGAGTTGGTTTCGGTATGTCACAAGGCGGATTTAACAAAATGTATAGGATTCGTTGTTTTATGGCGTCGGCTAAGACTGGCTCAACTTCTGTGCACGTTCTTTGTACTCATGTTCTCTCTTAAGTGCTATGCCATGTTTGTTAAGGACTATGACTCTGTTGGAGAGGCTTTCATTAGTGCTGTTGCAGCCACTACTTGGTAAGATAATGGATTTAAATAATAAATAAAGATGATTTCAGTTCCCCATTTTCATTATTAGCCCTAGCGTTGACTGTCAGTTACATTTCGCAACTCATCGCTCATCTGACACAAATTCTAATCGGGGCAGATTCTTCTCAGCATACGACTAATGGGAATGAGGGGATGGCAGAGGCATTTACGCTTGTCTTCCTATGTGTCCAGGCTGGAGTTCTCGGAATGGGATCTGATCAGAAGATATTCATGCTCAAGTTGGTTCTGTTTGTGGGTAAGTTGATGAAAGAAACTGCCCTATATTTAGTTTTGTCCGCACTTTTACAATCACTATACGAAGTTCTGGAACCCCATCTAATCACCGTGGGAGTGATGACTACGACCAGATTAAGTCAGCATATCCGCTGTTTGTCCCTGGCTGCTGTTCTCCTGGTGTTCCCCGTCGCCATCTCTTATGCCTTGCTGAATCTTCTACCAGCAAATCTTTGGTTTGTTAGATTTGTGTCTGACCATTGTATGTTACAGGCTGCTGATGATCCTTTCGAGTTGTATAATGACCTCGGTCCGAACCGTCCAAACTGTGGCCATATATGTGTTGTCTGTCATCGAGACACGATACGAAGAACCTTACGAATGCTTCGATGACCTCACATTTATGTGCCGACTTCTTACGCTGGGTGCTGAACTGTTACTTTCACTCTCAGTGGTTGTGTATGGGGGATATGTGTCTCTATTCCATGATCAATGGTCCATCTTCAGTATTTTGGTACTGTTATTTAACAGTTATTTCAACGTCTATCGTCGCATTATTGCTGGTATTCAATCCATCAGAGCTCGAAGAGATGCCTCAATCAAGATTAAAGGACTGCGATCTGCAGCGATGGAGGAACTCAAGGACGGGAGGGATGTGTGTGCCATCTGTTTCGGAGAGTTTACATTCAGTGCCCTCATAACTCCCTGCCGACATGTATTCCATGGATTTTGTCTTAAAAAATGGCTTTTTGTTCGCCCGGTCTGCCCCCTTTGTTATACAGATCTAAATCAAAGTGACGGACCAGAAAGCAAGGAAGAGAGTGCGGAGCTTGAACAACAAGGATAGTTTGTTCTGTGTTTGCGCATTGTTTTACATTTCTCGCTCAGATTCCCTCGAGTATTTCCTAAACTAGAGTTTCATTGATGTCAGCGATCTCGAAGTACATTACTTATTCCACCGCGGTATTCAAACGGGTGTTACTACGGATAAAAATGTAATGCAAATAAGATTTAAATAAAGCCAAAGTTTCTTTTCATTTTTTACATGCCGAAACAACGCTACCTTGTGAAATAAAAAAGGAGACTAAATGGACTTTATAAACGGTAGCGATGACTTTATGAATCTCCATGGAAAACACTTCTCATCCCACGGAGAACGACAAAAATATCATAAATATTACAGAAATGGCAAAGGCTCGGAAGCTACGAAGTGGGATTGAAGAAGCTAAGGGACTGTATGAAGAATGGATGGAACCAGATTGGAGAGGGAGTACCACGGCTGGGTCCAATTCTACTACTGAAGCAGTCCAGCCAAAGAACAGATCCAAGTTTAAATTCGCGAGTGAATATCAACGAGATCTAAGTACTGCGTAAGCCATGTTACACATAAGAGAGGTTCCCGCTAAATTCAAAGCAAGAAATCCAGACACCACCTTTTAGATCAATTTTGGCCTATTGCCGCCCTCGCAGTCGGGTTCGGACAAGGTATTTACCCATATTCCAGTGAAGGTAAAAATTTCGAGTATTTATCTTTCAAGGGTCGAAAACAATGGTAAGGGATTTTTACCAAGGTAAAATTCATTATGGGCTTATGGGTTTTCCTGATTTTCGAGAATACCCGAAATTTTTGTTATATTTCCGCACGCCAATTTATCTTCTTCTTTTTTTCTTCTATATTCCCGGGCATATCCCCGCGAGGTGAAAAATACTGGTTTTCCCTAACCCTACTGCACAGTGCAAAACAAAAAGTTAGAAATAGCCAAAAACGGAAGCTGCGCATCACGGCCAAAAATAATTTAGCGGAGACCCGTCTTATATTTACATACACATGACCATTTTAAGATCAAAGAGCGTACTGAACCCTCAGACCTTACCTACCGAACGCAGAATTCAGAATCAAAAATCTCGTGAATTGAATTGGAAACCAGTTGACTTCGAAAAGTTCTACAGATGGGTTACCAATGGGACATTAAAGGACTTATACAAAGCCAAATCATTGCTCTTTGAGGACTGATTTTATTAAAACAATATAACGTTACCCTTGTTAATTAACTTGTTTCTCCAGGACGTATGCGGAAGCAGGTTCAATTCTTTTGTAGTAATTCTCAGCTACACTGGCTTTGTTGAATCCAAATTTTTCGTAAAAATTTAAGGCACTGTCATTATTCACCTACCAAATTAAGAGTTACTAACAGAGCCCAGCTTACCTGGACGTGCAAATTAACGGTTTTAATGGATTTATCCTTCTCACAGATTGAAAAAACGTGTTTCAGCAGCATCCCTCCAATTCCGAGTCTTCTATATGGCGCCAAAGTGCCCAGAGTCATGATGTATAACTTCTTGACTCCATCTTCCACATCCAATCTACAACACACAGCACCCACAACACAATCGTTGAAGAACACTAGCTTGGCTAGGTCTCCGGAAGTCACAACATCTTTGTAAAATCTCTCGTTGTAGGTAACAGGAAAGACGGCTTCATTCAGCTTTTTTAATTGCTATAAACAATATATAGAGATAGAATTCGAAACGGTTACCATAACATTATGTTGAGTGATTGCTCCCAGTTCAACACTCCATCGCCCCATTCTTTCGATCTTCTTGAAATTGTTCGGTAGATTGGGCTGGTTGGAAACTTCGGTCATCTATATAAAACATGTCAAGCGTACTGGCTTAAAGTCAATATTAAACGGGTTTCAAAGACCAAGTAGGTTATGTCAAAGCGCAAATAGGATAAGGTTTATTATTTATAATCCTTCTAATTCGGCCTCCTCCAATTCCCGTAGTTTATCTGCACTGATGTGGTAGATGGACTCATTCTCCGGCAAGTTTGCTTGCGGAACTGTTGAGGTTTTTGTGGCAGCGGCCTTCCGGTGTTCCTGTTCTACGATTTTTGCCAAATATGCGGCTCCTTCCTTCTTTAACCTTTCCAATTCCTTGTCAAAATTAAACGAAGCCTTTGACGCCTGATTTTTCCTTTTCCGACTTTCAAACACTTCTTCTCTGGCCTTCAGTTTATCTTCAAATCCCTGTCTCCTGGCTGAACTCGTAGCTCTTCTTTCTTCTTCGTATTCTTTTCTTCTTTTCTTATTAGCAACTTCTTCATCATATGTTTCCCGCAAAGATTCATCCTTCAAAAACTGATATGCTTGATAAATCTGGCCAAACCGTTTCTCACTGTCCTCTTTCGAGATTCCATTTCTAATGGCTTTGTCTGGATGCCATTTTAGAGCCGCCTTCTTGTATGCTTTATCGATGTCTGAGTCTGAACAGGGGATGGTCAACCCCAATATAAAGTAGGGGTCAAAGTCGATATTTTTGGAAGTGGCCATTTCTAAAAAATAATATAAATCAGAAATAATATAAATCAAAATTTCAAGAAAATTAGCTAACAAGGGAAGTACCCGAAGTGCGACGCTCAGATTTTTATAAAAATTGGCATAGATGGAGATTAGAATTTTCTTATTCGATTGCGAACATCCTAGCTCGCGCTTTGCAGAATCCGCCGAGAAAGAAGGTCCCACGTTCGGTCCAAGCCGCAGTTGAGATGGGATCCCGAGCTGCGCCCGCGATTTGTAATTCGTAGGGGACATCTTATACGAAGAAAGACCAAATTTTGCAATGATTGCCTCAGGGCTCTAAAAATTCATACACAAAATATTATTTTAACGTAGATCCGATATACCAAGTATCATCTTTCTGTCGCTGTCTATCTTCGACTTTGGATAAATATCAGATTTTGCCTAGTTTTGAGCCTGCTTTTGTACCCATTTTTTGACCACTTTTTGGCTTGTAATCACAAAAGTAAGATAGTTATTCGAAATATCGCTCTTTGATGTTCTAGAGAGCCTTTTTGTGTAACCCTTTTAGGTAATGCCAGACCTCAGTGGTGTCCCCCTTTTCAAAACGTTTGCTCCAATGACGTCAATTTTAGGCTAAATTTTGCTGATTTTTCGAAATTTCTGCCTATATTTTTTTCAGAAGTCCTTTATCGAAAAAATCGCGATTTGAGTGTTTAGAGAAGATCCTTGTCGATGTATAGAAACTTGCATTTTCGTCCAACGACCAATAGTTTTTTCAAAACGTTTGCTCCAATGAGGTACACTTTGGGGAAATTTTGCTGATTTTTCGAAATTTCTGCCTATATTTTTTTTCAGAAGTCCTTTATCGAAAAAATCGCGATTTGAGTGTTTAGAGAAGATCCTTGTCGATGTATAGAAACTTGCATTTTCGTCCAACGACCAATAGTTTTTTCAAAACGTTTGCTTCAATGAGGTACACTTTGTGGAAAATTTGATGATTTTTGCATATTTCTGTCTGCATCTTTTTTACTGCCGTTTGTCGAGGAAATAATTATCTTTAATTGTAGACAAGCAGCATGATTTGATTTAGTAACCGGTGCAAAAATCAGCAAAATTTCCCCAAAGTGTACCTCATTGAAGCAAACGTTTTGAAAAAACTATTGGTCGTTGGATGAAAATGCAAGTTTCTATACATCGACAAGGATCTTCGCTCAAATCGCGATTTTTTCGATAAAGGACTTCTGAAAAAAAATATAGGCAGAAATTTCGAAAAATCAGCAAAATTTAGCCTAAAATTGACGTCATTGGAGCAAACGTTTTGAAAAGGGGGGACACCACTGAGGTCTGGCATTACCTAAAAGGGTTACACAAAAAGGCTCTCTAGAACATCAAAGAGCGATATTTCGAATAACTATCTTACTTTGTGATTACAAGCCAAAAAGTGGTCAAAAAATGGGTACAAAAGCAGGCTCAAAACTAGGCAAAATCTGATATTTATCCAAAGTCGAAGATAGACAGCGACAGAAAGATGATACTTGGTATATCGGATCTACGTTAAAATAATATTTTGTGTATGAATTTTTAGAGCCCTGAGGCAATCATTGCAAAATTTGGTCTTTCTTCGTATAAGATGTCCCCTACGAATTACAAATCGCGGGCGCAGCTCGGGATCCCATCTCAACTGCGGCTTTTGTTCTATTTGGACCGAACGTGGTCCGGAACATCGAAAAAAATCTTCAAATGCCGGCGAATTTCCCTGCAAATTCTCTTGATCTTGGCATTCCGTTCTAGGAGAAAAATATTTTTTCTCGCAAGAAATTTTTTCTTGATAATGTTCAAGACTATTTTGTTGCTTTTATGTGGAATATGGTGTTATTTTCACTTTTTTACACTTGATTATAGCGCTATTAATTGGATTGTCGCCATCCGAGGGGTAAAATGTTTCGTCCTTTGACGAATTTATACAGTTTTTCCTCTGCAGATGGGCAAACCACTCTAATAGTTGCTTTAAATTTGTTTAGGAGACATGCAAACGTTCTAGGAACGTAGTCATAAGGTAAGTGTTACAAACATTTTATTTTTTCACTATTTTTCAGTTTATGCCATTTCAGAAACAAAGTAAAGGTCCCAAGGTGTTTCGTCAGTGTTCCGATGGTATACATTCGCTGTTGTTGTTGTTCAGAATTTGCTCACTGAAAAATAATAAAGTTTTTGTAACACTTACTTTAAGATTATGTTCTTACGCGACCGTAGAACGTTTGCATGTCTCCTAAACAGCTTTAAAGCAACTATTAGAGTGGTTTGCCCATCTGCAGAGGAAAAACTGTATAAATTCGTCAAAGGACGAAACATTTTACCCCTCGGATGGCGACAATCCAATTAATAGCGCTATAATCAAGTGTAAAAAAGTGAAAATAACACCATATTCCACATAAAAGCAACAAAATAGTCTTGAACATTATCAAGAAAAATTTCTTGCGAAAAAAAATATTTTTCTCTTGGAACGGAATGCCAAGATCAAGAGAATTTGCAGGGAAAATCGCCGGCATTTGAAGATTTTTTTCGATGTTCCGGCCCTTCTTTCTCGGCGGATTCTGCAAAGCGCGAGCTAGGATGTTCGCAATCGAATAAGAAAATTCTAATCTCCATCTATGCCAATTTTTATAAAAATCTGAGCGTCGCACTTCGGGTACTTCCCTTGTAAAAAAATTTAAATACTGCGAAATGCCAAACATCAGGGATTTTTTTTAAGATACCTTTTATTCGAAAATGTTTATAAACCCACGACGACCCAGGTCACTTTCGTGATGGGAAAAAAACAAAAAATACGCATCTTACAGAGGAAGTTATACGATAGAACATGTCTAGGAAGAAATCGTACCGTATCATCAGAACGTTTTAACAGCAGTAATTATCTCAGAATGCACATTAAAAGTTCTAAAAACATCAAATGAGGTAATAGTTCATTTTCTAATTACTACGATAAATATTATAACGGCCATTAGGCCTTCACTTGTTAAATGGCTTTGTTGAATCCAGGACCGGTCGGCCGGATCTCACAAGGAAAGTACTTCTATGGGGTGTGGAGTTACAGGTCGAGATATATATCAAAAAATTCGCAAAAATTTTCTGATTCAGAATATATAAAAATCAGCTGCCTAATTTTGGTCTGATGACATGTTTTTGTCCTCAGAAGTTTTCTCGCGACACCATGCAAGTGTCTTTTTGACCGTGTTTTTAACAATAAAAAATTTTTGATTTGTGCTAAACTAAATTCTGAGGCCTTGACATGCCTTAAAATATCAAATTGGATTACAACTACACCTTAAGCAGTAGTGTCAATGTTTGTTGTAAAGACGATAAAAGCGCCAGAAGTTTTCTCACAAGATCATATAAGTTTGACCAAGTTTTTACCAATTAAAACATTTATTTTGAAGAATTGAAGAAGATTAAGGCAAACATTCAGAAGAAATTGATACGATTTTCAAAATCAGCGCCATCTAAAAACCTAGTCTGACGGGCTTTTGGCAAAACGGACCAATCCTTGGCATTCCGCAACTAGAAAGAGTTTAGTTTTCAAACTCATCAAATATAGTGTTTTCGAAGGATAAAGCAGACCTGCTGTAACAATAAAAACTCACTGATCAGGTCTCAGTTTTTTGGTATAAAGATTTTGCTCAATATTAGGCTAAATTACAATTTTTCTGATTAAAAAAAGGACTTCTCCAAAATTCTATTTGTGACGAAACGCCACATCGTTCCAGGTCAGGGAACAGCTTCAAAGCGCTGGATTGACGTGTAGTGACTTTACAGTTGCAACTTGCAACTGAAGTTATATATTTTTTCATTCTTATTTATAAAAAATTCAGTTAGTTATGCAGGTACAGTTGGTATAATTGATTCGTGATAAGGCTTCTCTCGTCATACCTTCTTATGTTTTCCGGCTTTCTAGAAACAAAAAATTGGTGAGGGTTCAAAGTGCAACATTAATGGTGTACTTTGACCTTGTGTTTAAGCTGTGGTCACTATCAGTCTTAAGTCGAGTTAACGTATTGTTTCCGGGGTCGTGTAAAGTAATTTTTCGAATAATACGATTTTTCAGAACGAAATGCTCTCGAAACTTGCCTCTGGTCAAATTTCAGGTTTGTTTTAACCTTTTTTGGTTTAATTAAACCTACCTTTCATTTGGGGCAGATCGAAATTCAGTGGTTGATATGAGTAGTATCCGTTTTTAAAAGCTAGACAATGCTTATTATTGTAGAAAAGCGGCGTACGTCGTTATCCAAAAGGTTGAAGTTGGTGCCGGACGCCTTAAATCGCTAACGAAGTCGTTGCAAGTGATGGCTGTCAGACGGTCTAAAGTTGATGTAGAATGTCGGAGCGGTCACCACACCTTGTTATATACCCAATGGGTGGGAATGGCAGCAAATCGGCACGTAATTCTAGCCGGGAGGTTGAAATGAGAGGCACACAACCGAGTTACGTTTTTGGTTACTGTCCCAAATGTTTGGCTAGCGATGTAATGTACTTGGCTACTGATCGTATCGAGCGGTCTAAAGTGGTTGAGAGATAGTCAAAAAAAAATTTCTAGCGACTTAAAGCTGTCTAAAACTGTTCAGAAATTCGATCTATCCCAATATAAGGGATGCGTTAATTAAAGTTGTTTCTTATAGGAAGCTTGTGCAGTTTTGCACGCGTTGGTGCTCTAAATCGATTTCAATCAACGGTTGCTGCAAGTAAGCGTGGAAAATATAATCTAAGTGTTTATTCCAGACAAAACGGCCAGCTATAGTGTTGATCGTGGAATTGCTGTAGTAAAAATTGATGTTCCAAATGCGAAGGTAAGCAAGTAGTTTTTGCATTCAGTTTTTAGGAAAATGTTTTGAATGAAGAAATCCGCCAGGATTTGCCGGCCCTTATTCAAAAAATCGAAAATGACTCCAACATCAAGGGATTGGTTATTATGTCAGGAAAGCCAAACAGCTTTATTGCTGGGGCGGATGTTGGCATGGTCAAGAAGTTCAAGACAGCAGAAGAGGCACAAAAGTTGGCTCGCGATGGCCAGATCCATTTCGAGAAACTCGAAAAATCCTCGAAGCCGGTGGTCGCCGCGGTTATGGGAACATGTATGGGAGGAGGACTGGAGTTGGCATTGGCTTGCCATTATCGCATTGCAGTAAACGACAAGAAGACCAACTTTGCCTTGCCGGAGGTCATGCTTGGTCTGTTGCCCGGGGCTGGAGGAACCCAGCGTTTGCCAAAACTGGTTAGTCTTCCAAATGCATTGGATATGGTTTTGACCGGTAGGACTGACATGTGGATTGTTAATTTTGCAGGAAAAACTATTAATCCAAGAAAAGCAAAGAGCATTGGTCTTGTCGATCGTTTGGTTGAACCATTGGGACCCGGAGTTGAAGATCAAGCTGTCAGTACGCATAAGTATGTGATGCAAGTAGCTATCCAAACGGCCTTGGATTTGTGTGATAAGAAGTTGAAGATTGAACGGAAGAGACCACTGGTCGAGAGAGTATCTAATTACTTTTTAACTCGAAGACCACTTCTCGATTCGGTCGTCATCCGGTCTGCCAAGGACAAGGTCCTGAAGCAGACCAAAGGCAATTATCCAGCTCCTCTGAAGATCTTGGATGTGGTTCGGACCGGCTTGGTGGGCCCAAGGGAGACTGGATATGAGGAGGAAGCTAAGGTACGTTAAGTTACATCTGGTTTTATTTCTTCTTTGTTCCAGGCGTTTGGTGAACTAACTCAAACTCATCAAGCTGGTGCTTTAATTGGACTTTTCCAAGGATCTACTGAATGCAAAAAGGACAAATATGGAGAATGCCGAAAAGCTGAGTAAGTCAACAACTTTGCTATCGTGATTAATTTCTAGGCATATCGGCGTCATTGGTGCTGGGCTTATGGGAGCCGGAATTGCCAATGTTTCCATTAATAGCCATATCAGGTAACTTATTTCTTGCTGTTTTCGCATTTGAGAAATTCTTTAGCACTTCCTTGGTTGACGTATCTCAGGACGGGTTGGATCGAGGTGTTAAGCAGATTGCTTCCCAAGTGCAAGGTCAACTCAAGAGGCGGAAGATTACTGTCCCAGAGAAGGGTGTCATCTTGTCGCATCTTCATTCAGCTTTGAATTACAATGATCTCAACAAGGCCGACGTTGTAATTGAAGCCGTTTTTGAAGACTTGGGACTGAAACACAAGGTCATCAAACAAGTATGTCTGATTTTCTTGTTTATGTAACCTCGGGATGCGTTTTATCATATTGTTTAGTTGGAAGAAGTAATTCCCGATCATTGTGTGATTGCGACGAATACTTCGGCTTTACCAATCAAGGACATTGCGTCTGTTAGTAAGCGTCCGGAACAAGTCATTGGAATGCATTACTTCTCCCCTGTTGATAAGATGCAGTTGCTGGAGATAATCACTTCAGATAAAACTTCCAAGGAAACTCTCGCCTCAGCTGCCAAATTAGGACTTCGTCAGAAAAAGCTGGTGGTGGTCGTTAAGGTTTGTTTCAAATTATGATCGGGTTTTAAAAAATACACTCAAATTAATATTTTTTTGTAGGATTGCCCCGGCTTCTTTGTTGTCCGCTGTCTTGGGCCTATGCTCAATGAAGTTGTTAGATTGATGCAGGAAGGAGATGATCCTAAGCTTGTGGATAAATTGACAACAGAGTATGGATTCCCGGTAGGTGCGGCAACCTTGGCTGACGAAGTTGGACTCGACGTGGCGGAGCATGTGGGAACTTTCTTGGGAAAGAGCTTGGGACCAAGACATCAGGGAGGCTCTGCAGATTTGCTGGCAGATGTTGTTGGTGCTGGCTTCAAGGGAAAGAAGACAAATGCTGGAATCTATAAATACGTACAGGAAGGGAAAAAAACCAAAAAGGTTGCGAACGAAGATGCGAAGAAAATCGTTGAAAAATACAGGATTTCTCCACCTTCTGGAGTGTCATCTTCTGAAGATAAACAGCTCCGTGTCGTTTCCCGATACGTAAACGAAGCTCTAATCTGCTTGGAAGAAGAAGTGATCCGCAGCCCAGTAAGTTATATAAACACATTGGCTAACCCCTTTCCAGTCTGATGGTGACATTGCCAGCGTGTTCGGAGTTGGCTTCCCACCATTCTGGGGTGGTCCTTTCCGCTTCGTAGATCTTTATGGTGCCGAAAAACTTGTGAAGAAGATGGAACAGTTTGGAAATGCTTATTCCGAGGTTCAATTCGCTCCTTGCCAGCTATTGTTGGACTACGCCAAGTCCGGAAAGAAGTTCTATTCTTAATAGGGGTCTTAAATCAGTGAATTTAGAAGTTTATTGTATAAAATATTATAAGTGAATCTACATGAGGTTAAGATGCGGGTTCCGAGAATTTGGCTACAATAGCAAAGTGATCACTTGGGAATAATCTCAAGGTCTTGATTCTTTCTTGGCCATCGATGTTAAACTTGATTCTTTTGTATGGGCTGGACACGTAAAATCGATCGAAACGGCATCTCAGTTTATATCTCACACTGTCTGGGAACTCTAGGTTGTCATTCTTAGACATGTCCCATGTGTAGCGAGAACTTTCACTTGATCCTGCAGCCACCCAGCAATCCTTAACGTCCCGTGGGAGTCCGGTGACCTTAATATTTGGGTAAAGAAATAAAAGGTCATACCTCTCTGTCCCTGATGTTCAAATCACCGCCAAAGAGGACTAGTTTGTTTTTCGCCTGTGCCATCTCCACCTCGTCCATACATTGTTTGAACTGTTCCTTCCGGATCTCAGAAGACTGTTTCTCGCTCTCCAGGTGGGTGTTGATGAGAAAAAGGTCAAGTGCTTTCCATTTTCCCTGAAAATTCTCAGACGTCAGTACGCAATAAATGAAGGCAAACCTCGACAATCAGCATGTTTCTTCCCATACCGCTCGACTTGAAATGCTTCACTTTATTTGAGAAAATGGTTATATTCTTGCTGACCAAGGTGACCGTGTAATAGTGGAAAGTCTTACTGCCCTCGTAAACATTGTACATTTTTCCCAAGATCTCTCTCATTTTAGAATCCAACTCGGCAACAAATTCTTGGAAAAAGATAACTTCGGGATTGTGTCTGAAATTAAACATTTCCAGGAACAGGCGAAGCTACAACCTTGCAAGAATCGTAATTACGGCCAGGAAACGTTGATTTAGAGCATCCTTGTTGAGTCCATCAATATTCCAAGAAACAACGCTGAATTCAGGAGGGATTTCTTCGGCGTTTTCAGGTCCACCATCAGCTTGTTGACTGGCCGACTGCGGAAGATGATCCAGAACCTCTTTGATGATCTGATCAGGCAGTGGAGCATCGGTATTAATTTCCGTGAAATATTTGTACACTCCGGCCTAAAAATACATCCAATTTAGGGTTCGCACCCCATTGAAAAATAAATAAAAAGAAGTAGATAAAAAACTGGTACCTCTGATTTAACAGACTTCTACAAATTTTTACGGTATTTGCGGAAAATGGAAACTTTCCAATAAATGAAATACATGTGGAAACTTGGAGCGGCTCCCCATCTAAATCAGTTGCGCTTACCTCAAGATCATAGTCGACATCTTGCAAAATAAAATGAGCGAAGGCTTCATCAGTATTCGTCAATTCGGTAAACTCCTTGATGGCGGCCTCGCACTCCGCATTCGACTTGGTAGTCATTTCTGTGTTCAAAAGTGTCTCACAAATAGTATCAATAACAATTGGCTCTATAATTTTTACGATATAATGTCCATGTTTAGGAAGGAAGTACGGTAGGTCAAGAAAACGACTCGCGAATAGAAAAGAAGGCTATCGAGCAAGGCACCAGGGGTCGTTTCCAGGTCCTGCCCGGCCTGTGGACTTCATGGAAACTCGACAGATTTTTTTCATTGCAATCGTACGAAATGTCACCATTGAATTTTTTCTTATCCACGACCAGAGGTGGGCCGGGCCGGCCGGACTCAGAACGGAAATTTGACAATCGGGCCCGTCCCGGGCCGCTGACCACTCCTGACCCTGGTGGCCACTCCTGCTATCGAGTTTGAACGCTAAAAGTTTTGACGAAATTTCCAAGTTCATATAAATTTTGCCCAGACCGGTTTTTTCCATACTTTTCCGTCGAAACTCGATAATGCCGAAAATAGAGAGTAACAATTTTGACAAAAATTAGCGCGCTAGTTTAGCGCCTTGTCTTCCATCCCGCCAAAGAAGGTTTGATCGTATGACATGTCACAACAATTAATCCCAATAGAAAAGCGAGAATTTAGCTAATCCTCGCCATTATTGATTGAATTTTTGCGACATTTCGTTACAAATTAGATGGTCATAAAGATGCGATGGTTTCATGCAATTAACAGCAAGCTAGGAATTCGGTGAAGAGTGGTTAAGAAAGAATGGACACTTGTCTGTCTTCCAAGAGTATAGTCGTGCTTCTAGCCGGATTCTGTTTTGAGATACAGGTCTTCAAAGAAGGCAAATATTACAATCCTTTGCAGTGGCCTAACAGAAAAGTTTTAGTTCAGGAAAATACAGAACTAGGCCCATAAGAAGTATCATGCCACTATCAATAAACATGCAAAAAAACAAAGACCGGTCCCTACTTGTTTTAGAGTTATACATCAATCTTTCTGTAGAACAAAACTAGTTTCCCGGGTTTTTTGCACAACGAAAAAACCCTTGGCATTCTGCAAATAACGAAAAATAATTATAAAAAAGATCGTCAAATTCATCATATTCTTTCAAAAACAGTGAGTACTTGTGGTAATATGAACCCATATGGGATCATATTTGCCATTTGGCTGTATTTCAACGCTCGTACGCACTGGAGACCAAATACTGTGCTTCAATTGGAGAGAAAACAGATTGCTTAAGATACCGGGGTATAGAAAGGCAGAAATCAGTAAAGTTGTGTGATAGATTAATAGCAGTCGAGTATGTTGTAAGAAAATAAGGACAATTGGATTATGTGTTGGTTTGAATGCAGTTAGGATCAATTCATCTAGGTATTTTTGTTTTAAATGTTTGCGTTCTTAACTGATGCATTTTCGTAGTTATATCCTTCATCTCCTTTTCCACCCTAAATAAAGAAGAAGATTGAAAGACTCACCATTATATCAACCGCATAAGCCTGCACCTAATGAAATCTGTTCCAAATGAAGACTAGCCAAATCCCCAGCTACCATTCAATAAAAATTGATGGATGCTTCATAGGAATCAACCACTAAAAGCCATGGGTTTATATAACTAGGTCCTTTTACGCCGTAATTCTACGTAAAGAACATTTTTACGTCGAGGGAAAATAAATTCTTCGAGATTTTGCCGAAATATTTACGTTTTACACAATGCCAAACGCTGTTTGTTTTCGTGCCGAAGTTCAACACGATTCACCAAATTAATTGTGGTGTGTCCTCTTGTAATTTTTGGGCATCATAACGAAAAATTTATCAATCAACAACGTTTTTTCTCTACAAGTAAAGCGGAATTCGAGCTAAAATCGCGCCATTATCGATCGATTTTTTGTGACGCTTGCACCAAAAAGGTGGTCTTAAAGATACCATTTTTTCACCAGGTCATCCGAAGTTGAGCGATTTGATAAATAGTGAATTAGAAAGAGTAGACGTTTATCTCTCTGTTAGGGGTTCAGAAATTTGTATATGTTATTCAATCTTTGAGATATTCCACTTCAAAGTTCCAAAAATCGAGAGCTTTGCAGTCATCTAGCGTGCGACGTTTAGTCACGAATCCAACAAAACTGGTCAATCTGCACTACAACACCATTTTCAATCACCATGCAAAGTTTCACAACCTTTTCCAACTCGTAACTCGACTTATTGAGTCTTCTTTCGTGCTATTAGAATGATCGAAATCGTTGCCCGGGCTTTTGGCAAAACGGCAAAATCCTTGGCGTTCCGCAAATAGAAATTGTTTTTGGAAGACAAAACAGACCTGCTATAACAAGAAAAATTCACTGATCGGGTGTATAGCTTTTTTCTGTCAAGATTTTGTTCAATACTGGGCTAAATTCAATTTTTATAATTTCTCGAAGAAGCCAAAAAATTGTTTAACAGTACGCCAAACATTTGTTTTCGTGGCGTGACGCGACCAGAGTTCCGTGAAAAAACGTTGAAAAGGCGAAATTTATTTTGCAAGATAGATTTCTGAACAATGTTGTAAAACAGGCGTGCTTAATCGAGTTTTCTCAAAATTTTGTTTTTATGACCGGTTACAACGACGTCTGATGCCGTTTGAATTTCTCGATCATACCTCCGATGTCCAGATCCATTCATGGGGCGTGTCATTTACTGAGGCGTTGGAACAGCAGATTCTTGGCATGTACTCGTACATGGCCGACGGGCTAACTAGTGTTGATGGCACGTATAGCATGGATTTTGAAGCTACGGGGGAAGACAGGGCCTCATTGGTTCTTCGTATTATGTCTGAATGTCTTTATTATTTCACATCCGAACCATTCTTTGTGGCCAAGTCTGTTCGTGTTATATATCAATCTGATGAAAAAATCCAAGTTAGAGCAGAAGGGGAGTCTTTCACGCTAGATAAGCATCAGCCCGGTACTGAAGTCAAAGCCATCACTTACTCCAACTTGCAAATACTTGAATCGGAATCGCGTGTTGATATTTTTGTTGTTGTTGATATCTAATTTAATTTCGATAAATTTTAAGGAAATGAATATCAATGTGGAGAAGAAAGTGATGAATCGGAAGCTGAGGCGACAGCGTCGAGGGAACCCTGCAGCTGCCGAAGCCGATAGTTCTAATATTACACAAGAGGAAATCATGGCTCAGGAAGTTCCAGCCAAAAAGATTCGAACTGACCACCCGAATGAAGATAACAGCGAGCACGTTGTCAATGAATCTTCTGGAGTCAAATCCTCGATCCTAACAAATGTTGAATTCAAGTCTTTATGCGGAGAAGTGTGTGAACGTACTCTCTCTAAGCTGGATGATATGGGATACAAATACATGACGGAAATTCAGAACTTGACGATCAAGCCGTTGCTCGAAGTTAGTGTTATTCTTTTTTATTCAACTTGCATTTAGGGTCGCGACGTCTTAGGGGCTGCAAAGACTGGAAGTGGCAAGACCCTGGCGTTCCTCATACCTGCCGTTGAATTGCTCCTAAAGCTAAATTGGAAACAGCATAATGGAACAGGAGTCGTTATCATCTCACCAACCAGAGAACTGAGTATGCAGACATATGGGGTGGTCAGTGAGCTTTTGGAGCAACACACGCAACTTACGCATGGATTAGTAATGGGAGGGGCGAACCGAAATGCGGAGGCACAGCGATTACAGAGAGGTGTTGCGGTGCTCGTTGCTACACCAGGAAGATTATTGGATCACTTGCAGGTAAGGTGCAGTCAGACTTAATTTTTTTTCATCTAGAATACCGAGGGATTTGTTTACAAACATATGAAATGTTTGGTCATTGATGAGGCAGACAGGATATTGGACATAGGGTTCGAGGTTGAGATGAAGCAGATCTTGAAGTTGTTGCCAAAGAAACGCCAGTCAATGTTATTTTCAGCAACTCAGACCTCTAAAGTTGATGAGCTAATTAAAGCGGCATTAAACTCGAATCCCCTCAGAATTGGAGTGGAAGATAAAACCGCTGCTGAGGCTACAGTAGATGGACTTGAACAAGTATGATCTTTTTTTCACTTATGAAATATTTTAGGGGTACGTGGTCTGTCCATCAGAGAAAAGGTTTATGTTACTTTTCACATTTTTGAAGAAGAACAAAAGCAAAAAGATAATGGTATTCTTTTCTTCGTGTGCTTCAGTTAAGTACCACGCAGAGTTGCTTAATTATATCGATCTTCCTGTGATGGCAATCCATGTAAGTGTTTTAAGGGCAACAGTAATTTGGTAGGGTAAAAATTAGGACTCGATGACGTAACTCACTACATGTTAATATCGAATTTGTTATTGTTGAAGGCGTCACCCAAAAACAGGTAGCATTCATTTTTTGAGGTGATGTTTGCACCATAACTTCCCCCTCAATGCATAGAATCACCCTTGAAAATTTCGAATAATACTAACCGGTGGGACTGGCATGTATGCAAGTTTCGTTGCACTGTTAAAAAAAAACCGTTAGAAAGTTGCTCTAGTATTGCGCAAACAGGATGTCCAGAGAAATGTGCCGGAAATTTTTTGTCGATTTCTTGGCGCTCAATCAAGATATCAGAAAAATTCTTTTTGCAGGATAAAGAAGAATATGGGCGGTTTTTTGTGCAAAAGAATCATTTTCTCCGCCAGCGCGGAAGGCAGTGTATTCGGCGGAGACTTTTGATCGCTTTTTTGATCATCGCACCAACTTTAAACGCTTTATTATGAACTTTGATGGTTGAAACAAATATATGTGCATATTTTCATGTTTACCAAGTGTTCGGCGAAGGTATGGCGGACGCTCGCCGAATCGGCGGAGGCCATAACTCAGCTGCGGACAAGACATGGTCCAACACAATTCTTATGGCCTGGCAAGAACACCCTGCTGGCTTCGTATGCCTTCGAAAATTTTGTCACCAAGCTTTGGCAGAAGCTAAGCCATCGGAAAACCACTTGGTGCACCAGAAAACAACAAAATATTTTTTGTTCAAGTTTCCTTTTGCCTTGCTGTTTCAAACCTCCGCACGGTGCACTCGGACTTTATCGGTGTTGCAGCGACAGGCTGCACCGTGCAGTCGCTATATGGGATTGCATTGCGATGTCACTGTCTGTGTAATTTATTCCGTCAAAAATTTGAAGACTTTCCGGAAGTTTCAGCATCATAATATAGCGTTTAAAATTGGTGTGATGGCCAAAAAAGCGATCAAAAGTCTCCGCCGAATACACTACTTTCCGCGCTGGCGGAAAACATGATTCTTTCGGGCAAAAAACCGCCCAAATTCTTCTTTATCCTGCAAAAAGAATTTTTCGGATATCTTTATTGAGCGCCAAGAAATCGACAAAAACTTTCCGGCACATTTCTCTGGACACCCTGTATAACAAGGGAAGTACTTCTTTAATTTTTTAAGGGTGCCTGTAGGCCCAAGTAGAGGAGAGTGGTGGCCCAAACTTCCTCCAAACCGTGATTTTGGATGCACACACGTCGGGCATAGACTAAACATCAAATTTTGAAAGTTTTGGCTCGCGCTTTGCAGGCGCCGCCGAGATATTGAATGATCTTTGCCGCCGAGAGAGTACGCTAAACGCGGAGATCGGTCATAAAGAAAAACACTTTCCCGTCATAACTTTGCTAGTTTCGTGCGGAAAAGAATTAATTTCTTGTGCAAACTTACGGGGTAAACAGGTATGAAACTTTTCGTGCCGAAATTCGGCAAAAATTCTTAAATTTTCGCCGAATCTCGGTTTTTTCTGCAAAGCGCGAGCTGGGGTTTAGAAAAAAATATTTTAACTTTGTGGTAAGTTACATCAAAATCTGAGCGTCGCACTGGGGAGACTTCCCCTGTTAGTTAGAATAACATTGGATTTGCAACTAAGTGTTAAAACATGTAGCAAAGGTGGATAACTCCACCAAATTGTTGCGGTCGCCGGGCGACAACGGATTGTAGTCCAGCACAGCATTTCAAATAGTTTATCATATTTTTTAGGGGAAACAGAAGCAACAAAAACGGACATGTACCTTCTTCCAGTTTTGTCAAGCCAAGTCCGGAACTTTGTTATGTACTGATGTTGCGGCCAGAGGATTAGATATTCCTCAAGTTGATTGGATTGTCCAATATGATCCTCCAGATGAGCCCCGTGAATATATTCATAGGGTTGGAAGAACAGCCAGAGGAGAAACAGGCACAGGTCATGCTCTGCTCATTCTACGACCCGAGGAATTGGGGTTCCTCAGATATTTAAAACAAGCGCGAGTTACTCTGAATGAGTTTGACTTTTCATGGAACAAGGTCGCTGATGTTCAGGCACAGCTTGAGAACATAATTAAACAAAATTACTACCTCAACAAGTCGGCTAAAGAAGCCTACAAGTAAGTTTTTATTAAACATTGTTTTTTGATTTTTTCGTTTCATAATTTTTGCGGATTTAGAGGTTATGTGAGATCATACGATTCGCATTCTTTGAAAGATATCTTTGACGTTCAAACCTTGGACCTCGTCAAAGTGGCCAAGTCCTTCGGATTCGACGCCCCGCCCTTCGTTGAGCTACCTGTCAGCCAAAAAGTCCAGGTCCGGGAGAAATATGCAGGGGCTGGATTCACCAAGAAAGGAAAGAAATTTTACAAAAAGAACTAACTCTTTCCAATGTTGTTGATTTTACTGTTGACCAAATAAACTGTTTTTGGGTTATTACGAGGATGCTATTTTATATTCGTCTTGTGAGACCTGTTTCCCATGTTTCGCCAGATCCGGATATCATTATTTTATTGCGGTTGCAATCCAAGAATTCGATTGCCGCGCGGTCAATGCCCCGAGGCACGTTCTCTTGCGCGATCATCTTTTCACCGCCATGTTGACGCGAGTGATGCCCTCAAGCCAGTTCTTATCACTCAACTCCTAGACTCTCTGTGTTTCCTCATTGACACCACTTCTGGGTCATGATCCTGTGGCTTGTCGTTGTCCTAGGCTTTGTCCATGCCATCCCCATCCCAAATGGCCAACTCGGTGAGTCCCGGCATACTGTAGAGAACCTCCGATTAAGGTCGAGCTGAAATTGAATGTGGCGAAGACAACATTGAAATTGTGTTTCTGACCGAGGATGTTTTCCAAGGACGAGTTTTTGTGGTTGGCCATTCCAATGAAACAGAATGCAGTTCCAGAGACATTGGCAGGAAAACGACTTCAATTGTCATCCCAAAAAATAAATGCGGAGTGACCATAACTAGATCTGTGAGGTAAATCTGGCTCTCTAAAAGTCGTTTAGGCGAATCCCCCAGGGCTACTAATCTCTACCAAGGTCATGATATCCTTCCACGACGAGTTTATTACGAAAGTAGACAGGGGGTACGAAATCTCCTGCTTCTACATGGAAGCCGAGAAGACCGTCACTTACCCTGTCTCGGTGTCAATGGCAAGCCTCCAACCGGTCACTCAAAACGCCGAGATGCCGAGGTGTCGCTACGAAGTGTTAGATCCGTTTACAAAGAAACCCGTGTCCATAGTATCAGTGGGGAACAAATTATTGCATCGTTGGGTTTGCGATTCCGGTTCTCCCGGTAGGTTTCTATTTGTTCATAATCTCGCGGTCCCATGCACTTCTCATTAAGGGGAGGGTACCGTCCACCTTCCATGGTCCAATCGGTAACTAAGCGATATGAAATGCATTACATTCCAGATCTATGGTGTATGACAGTTCATTCCTGCTTTGTGGAAGACGGTTCTGGTACAGAAATTGTCATTCTCAATGATAAAGGGTATGGAAAATGTCGTCTACAACTGCAATATTAAAAGTAAAATCTTATTTTCTGATGTTATTACAGCTGTGCAATCGACCGATACCTCTTGGATAATCTCGAGTATGGGCCGGGCTTGCTTCAGGCACAGAAAGAAGCCCATGCTTTCAAATTTGCGGATAGGATAGTGGTCAACTTCCAATGCAGCATCAAATTGGACATCAAAGACGGGGAATGTGGGGTAAGGACCGCCGCCTTGTTCTTTGGGTTATTACATCTTGAGTGCGTCTAACTGATTTCAGGTCCCCAAATGCCCTGATCTCACCCATCAGAAGCCGCGTTTAATCAACAAACGATCTCACAGCGAGTCCAGCCATGATCACAGTGATGTGGAAGTGAGAGCGCCATCTATCGAAGTCCTTGAACATGATCTTTCCGAGATTTCTTCGGCAATCGCTATGAACGAGGACTGTGTTCCTTACAATAGGTTCTTTTTCATCATCTCAATCACCAGTTTATTCTCGAGTGCCGTCACAGCCACAATATTCAGGCTGGCCCGGAATCGATGGCTGTAGACGATCCGAGTCTTAATCATCATAAACGTATTTTAATAAAGTATTTATTTTGTTTCGGTTTAATATTTCCGGAATAAAACTCTTCTAAGCGGTCCTACCGCAAAACTTTGTTGTGATCTGTATATAGTAGTATTGTAAGATTTGTTTTTTACTTCTCTAAAACGTCCTAAAGCAAAAATTAGGGTTCCGCCACGTTAATCTGCATAAACATTTCAGGTTTCTTTCATTTTAAAGGATTACAGGCCGCCAGTTTCGAAACATATTATTGTGTACGTGCTTCAAAGACTGTTAACGGCACAAGACGACTTCTAACGGTGTAAACCCGATTATCCAGGAGCCCGTTTCTAAAGGAATTAACAAAGAGTGAGACTTGACTCAGAACACTTGACCCACCACGACGAATAGCGCGGAATTAGTCAGGAAAGAGAAAGAAAGAGATTCGGTGCGACCTTGCAGATGGAAGGAATCACTTGAGTATAGTACACACTTCTTTCTGATTTTTTTCGTTTTTATCAAATTTTTGCGAAAAATGAGGTTCAAATGTTTTAAATTATTTTTGATATTCGAAATTGTTTTAACATTAACTTTCCCACCCCTTTTGTTTGTTTACAGTTTTATATACGAGTTCAGAGTGAGATTACTTGTTTTAGAAGATGTCGTATCTGGATGGAAAAGATGTCAAACCACAGGCGGCTCAACCTTTGATATTAAAGGAGGATGACAAGATTCCTCTTTTTTTGGTCAAGTTATGGAACATAGTGGAAGATCCCTCTTATTACGAAGTTATTCGGTGGGACGAGGTAAGAATTCCTGTGTCCAATAAGTTTTTACGTAATTCGGTTTTTGGTTTACCTAGGAACTTTTTGTACATTTTTTTTACGTCATTACTTTATTACAATCGTAAATGTTTCAGAGTGGTTATAGTTTCCATATACTGGACCCGTACTCATTTTGCAGGAACGTTCTGCCGCAATACTTCAAGCATAATAACTTGAACAGTTTGATACGACAATTAAACATGTGTAAGTTCTTCAGAATTTGTGTACATCTTCTTTTAGACGGCTTCCGAAAGATGACCCCGATCGAAAGGACCAGCCTTGCTCGAGCAGAATCTGATCAGGATCATCTGGAGTTTTCTCATCCTTGTTTTGTTCGAGATCATCCAGAATTATTAGTTAATATCAAAAGGAAAGCACCAACAGCGAAGCAAAGCACAAACGATGGAACTGTCAGCGTTCCTGCTAAGGATTTGACTGCCGTCTTCGAAGAATTGAGATCCCTTAGAGAAAGACAGAAACAGATGGAATCGAGAATGGGGGATCTTACTAAGTATGCGACTCCTGTAATTATATAAGAGAGGTTCCTCTATATTTTTCTGCCGTGAGGCTCAGCGACGATTTTCGCCCATTTCAACTTTTTTGTTCCGCACTGTGCAGGGCCCACAATAGGCAAAAAGGTGGTGTAAACGTTACAGCGCCGAGGATTTTTTGAAACGTGCAAAATTTTTGCTGATTGTTGACATTGGACAGTGCAGGAAAAATTGAAATTCATGGCTGAGCGGCATGGCCGAAAAAATTTAGCGGGGATTTCTCTTATGTGTGTTGTTTAGGGAAAATGAATTAATTTGGCAGGAGATGAGCAACATGCGAGGAGCACATGTTAAACAACAACAAATTGTGACCAAACTGGTGCAGTTTATGGTTACTATGCTTCAGCCGTCCAAAAGATTGGGGAAACGGCCGGTTTTAGCCATTGATGACGAAACGGCGGCCAAGCGTATGCGAATGGTGTCCGACATTTCACTTCAAGCCATTCAACAAAACAATGTTTCTGACGTTTTAGATCGTTTAATGAGAGATTTCGCTTCTAACTCCGCTCAAAACAATTATCGTCAGATGCCCGTGGAAGTAAACCGCCCAAATACTTGCATAAACCAATCAAATGGTCCTATAATTTCTGATGTGACTGAAGAGATGGACCATCTGGGTCCGCCATCCACAGGAAAGATGAAGGGAACTACTCCTTCGTCCTCCTTTATGAATCAATATCAATCTCCGCAGAATATGTATTACCCTTCAACGGTGGGTTCCGTAAAGCAGTAATTCATTTTTTAAGAGTGGGGTACGGAATAATATGAATTGTCTCCCCAATCAAAGACTAATGGAAAATATTCCATCGAATGCTCAGGGACAACCCCCGTTGGGGCTTCAAGGACAGAGGTACGTTGAGGCTAGTTATTTATTTGTTTTAGCGCCGTTCCACCAACTTCTCAAGTTGTGTATCAGGCACCTGAAGTCCGGCTTGATCCTCAGAATTGTGTTCGTCCTTCGAATGCGACGGTGATCTCCCAGCCGTCCCCGGATCCGTTGATTACTTCCCCGTCTTCTGCTCCCAATCTAAATATCTCTCCATCCGAGTTTGCGGAGTATCTGAACAGTGTTGATGATTCGATCGAGAATTGCCGCGGATTAATAGGAGGACATTGGGACGACCTCGACCTCGACGGGCTCTTAGATTTCAACCCAAAATCAGCGGAGGGACAATCCAAGCCTTCCCCCAGCCAGAGTCCGTCTGCCCCTCCCAATCGTCATCCCACATATGAAACTCAACCTTACTAGAATGCCGTTTGTGGGAGGCTCTTAAATGAATTAACTATACAAATAAACGGATAGTTTGGGTGGTTGGGTTTTAATTATACGACCTGATGTCAAATATAATTACTTTTATGTAAAGTGCGGGCGTTATAAAAAATAAATACAGATAAAAAATGAGAGATTTTTGTTTCCGGAGGTAAAGTGTAACTTTGGATAGAGATAATTACTGTGGCGGTACAAACTGCAGCCGTCTTCTCTCACGTGGTTGCGGTGGCGGCCTTTGGACGTGAGTTTTCGGGTCGAAGTAGACGGCGTCCGTTGGTTGTCTCGGTCTTGCATTAAAACTGTTTTGTACTGCCGGAGCATGTCCCAGAGATGGACCTGCTAGTGTTACAGAAACTGGAACCAACCCAACAGGAAGCGCTGGAGCGGGGGCGTGGCGAAGAGAACGTTTACGAATATCAGGCTGAAAATAGCAAAAATTACAAACGTTAAAATCATCGAAAGACAACATGTTTCCTAAATAGTAACTATACGATCACTAAACTATATGTTCCCCCAAAAATCTCTCACCTGGTGATAGTTTCGATTCAAACCATTTGTTTCTCCATCATCTATGTCTTTGGTTACAGAATTTGTAACAGTAAGGCGACTAAATTGTTTGCCAATGGTGTCATGTCCACAATCAGGATTACCCTCTCCATGACTTTTTCTGTTCTGCAGGGCTGATCTTTTAAATGTTCGTGGACCTCGAGGCCTTGTCTGTCGTTCTGGTCCCTTTTCTTCTCGTCTTGCTATAGATTGACGTTTAAATTGTCCAGGTTTACTCCTGGGCACTCCGTCGGCTTCTTTTTTGCTTGGTGGATCCTTCCTTACGCTTTGACTTGCCCCTGGAGTCTGGCTCTTCTCGTCTGATCTTATATCAAAACCATAAACATTCTCCAATTCACGACTTGACTTTGGTGTCTGACGCTTTTCGTTATATAAATCATGAGTCCATTTCCCATCAGCTCGAGTTTTCTTGGTATTATCGCCAGTAGTCTGCTCATTTTCTCCAGAAGACCTCGTGTCGTGCATGTAAAAAAGACCGCCTTTGGGAATATACGCCGGGTTCGTCTTCACCTCATCGTCATCAAGTTCATCCCCTTCCTAAAACACAATATTTATTTAACCCAAAAAGAGGTACCTTCGTTTCTTCTGGTTTCACAGGATCCTCCGACAATTTGTTCTCATTATTGACCGCAGGTTCTTCTGGAGCGGCATCTTTGATTGCATCGTCCAGCTCTTTCGATTCCGCGTCGTCCAATTTTTTCGTATCAGCTATTAGTTCAATTTTTTCATTTATCTCAATTTCTTCTTCATTTTTTGCATTTTCTGTGGTGTCAACGACGCTTGGGGTTACACTTTCATTCTTGCTTTCAGCACCTTCATCAGTGGCTATTGGTGGGGTTTTGTTGCCGTTTTTGATGTCCCCTTCTACAATTGAATTATCTGTTTCGGTCTCTGCTGGAGCTACGATATTCACTTCAGTGGCTACAGAAGACACATTAGATGCGTCAGCAACGTCTTTTGTACTTTCCATCGGATGTTCTAAATAACAAAAATTGTTTGTTTAAAGAAATTCAAGTAAACCCACATTAATATTTACAAACAGGTAAGAATGAGTAATGTACAATAATAATGGAAGAATGTGAGTATGAAAATCTTCTATTATCCAGATATATCCGTTTTTTAGGTGCGCACGGCTGTTCACACAGAAGAAAAGCGTGTCTGTCCTTCGTTATTTTTTGAAGCGGGGCGCAGCTCGCGTAAGGAAAAAAACAACTGTTTTACATATACTGTAACTTCTAATCTAACAGTCGAAATAAAAATTGCCTACTCCACGGCAAACTGCAATTTGTCTTTGATATAATGACGTATTAATAGGGTTGTTAATTTGACAGATTTTTTCAAAATGACGTCAAATTGCTTCAAATTGCCGTGATTTTCGTCATTTTGGCTGACAGGGGAAGTACCCCAAGTGCGACGCTCAGATTTTGATGAAACTTGGCACAGATTTAGAGTAATTTTGTCTAAAATATATGCGAGAGTCCTAGCTCGCACTTTGCAGAAACAGCCGAGATTTTTAGATCGAAAGTGGGCGAAAATTTAGGACTTTTTGCCGAACTTCGGCACGAAAAGTTGCTTACCTATTTCTACAGTAACGGGTAATCTTTCCACAAAAAGTCAATTTTCTTCGTACGAAACTGCCAAAGTTATGGCCAAAAAGCGTTCTTCTCTCTGACCGCTCTCCGCGTTAGGCGTACTCTCTCCGCGGCAAAAATGGTTCAATATCTCGGTGGCGCTTGCAAAGCGCGAGCTAAAACTTTCAGGAATTGATATCTAGTTGAAAATTTAAAGAAAATCTGAGCGTCGTACTTGGGGTACTTCCCGTGTGAATTGAAAATTCTGATTTAAAAAGCTTTCAAACGCGAATTTTTAACATAAACTATGATGATACCGATAATATTACTCGGTTTTGCTACTTATTGACAAGCTGCAGAAATGCAAATATTAAAATTTCTTACGATTTTTTAGCAAAAATCTACAAAAATTTCCAAAAAAAAGTTCAATTTGACAAGGAAAGTACTTTTATGGGGGCTCCTACTTTTTGACGGGACATATCTCAAAAAATCAGAAAAAATGTGCTGATCAAGGATATGTAAATCTTAGCTGCCCATTTTAGGTTTTTAGGGGTGAAAACTCAATCGGAAGTTGACTTAAAGTCCTATATGAACCCCTTTTCGCTTAATTTTTTCACAGGTTTACAATTTTTATTTTGGCTTAAAATGATGTTTATTGAGTTTTTAAGACGTAATAAATCAGTCTTGGCACAAAAATTTATTTTTCCCACCTTCAACTTCAAAAAAGTTGATTCAGCCCAAAAGGGAAATCGAACCCGTGCGGCATCCCCCCCTTGATTCCCAGACTGCGGCACTAACCACTCGGCCACACCGCTCTCTTCCGAATGAGGAGACCGACTGCGCTTTTTATCGTTTCGAATGCCTGTGCCTTTTGTAGGGAAAATAAGCCAATTTTTGGGCATTTTCAACCATAAAAACCTAAAATGGGCAGCTAAGATTTATATATCCTTGATCAGCACATTTTTTCTGATTTTTTGAGATATGTCCCGTCAAAAAGTAGGAGCCCCCATAAAAGTACTTTCCTTGTGAAAACAAAATGACAAAGCAATTTTACATGACGAAAATGACGGCAATTTGACAACGTAACTGACGCGCCAAGTTGACTTAACAACTCTACGTATTAAACAAATTGCAGAAATGAAATGGGAGACCACTTGCATGTGGCGCTAAATTTACCTATGTTGAGGATACCGCACCAGAATACGACAGCGTAAAAGCAGTGATGGTCTTATGTTGTGGTAGGTCAATGTTGATCGTGTATCAAATCGAAAGTTAATGTTGAGCTCTTAGAGAACTAATACAACTCAGTAAGCAATAGTTATTGAGAATCAGCGTCAGTTTTCCATTTGCAAGGGCTTGCGGTACAGCATCCACCTTCACCTTATCCACTTCATCTATCAATGCTTTTAATTAAAAGACCATGTATTGCATTTAGGATGTAAGGAAGAGAGTCAGATTTCCTTTCGAAATAAAAGCAGAGAAAAGATGGGGAGGAATCGTTTCGCGGATCGTTACGACTTCGACGAAATCCCCCATTTATTCTGACGCAGGGTACGGTACTGAACAATATTGTTGTAAGTGTATTATTTTTGTTGTTCCCATAGGTTCGAACGCTTCATTTACATCTTCGCACGGGTTTTCATTGCGGGCGACCAAGTGACTGTTATTATTTTGTAAGCAAATGAAATGCCACCCCATTCGATGCTTCTAGAAAGTATTACGTGCATTCTGAGATAATTCCTGCTCTGAAAATGATAAGAGATTTGCTTTTTATTCTCTTCGTATCGATTACATCACACTTCTGATGATACGATACGATTTCTTCCTAATCATGTTCCATCGTATAACTTGGTCCCGCAATTTGTGCGCGTCATCATTTCTTCGAAAAATTTCGCGAAGGAGGCTTTTGAAACCACCGCGGTGCAACAATTTATTTTTACAAGGCACTTAGGCCGGTGTCCTGGAACGACTGTATCGTAACTTTGGCGTTCTGATAATTCCATTTTCCAAATCTTGTCGTTAGAATTCTAACGACAAGATAGAAGTTTAGACGGCCGGCCTGTAACTGGAAACGGCTACCCTTCATTTGTGGCAGATTTCGTTTAGGGCAGATCGGCTATTGGCCCAATATGTGTTGAAATTGTCGAATAATTATGTCATTGTAGTAGTTATCATATTTCTAGATAATCCTCAGTTTTTAAAGATAATTAATGTCAAAGAAGACGAAGAAGAAACAAAAGCTGCAGGAGGTAGATGAGGATGTATTGTTACGTACGGCAATACAAGAGGCACATAGTCAGCGAATTGCTTCAGGATCGTCGTTTCTTGGGTCCAACGATGACCTCTTTAAGCCCAATCTGAGACAAATGGACGCAGAAGCTGAGATTAGAGAGAAGTTGAGTCAGTCAATGATGAAGGCGAAGACGACTAAGGGACACAATGCTAGTATCAAACCAATTTTCAAGATAAAGAGGAATTGGCCTCCGTTTAAGACATTGGGTTGGTTGCTGACTCTGTTCTGACTATTTTTTAGGTATATCTTTCAAAATGGTAAAAGAAGACGGTGCGGTCAAGACATTTCAGGCCGTCCATTCTCCTGCTTACGCCAACTTAAATTTGCTGTTTACATCTTTCAGGCAAGTTCACGACTTGGATTCAATCACGGTAAGCGATCTGATTAAGTTAAACAACATTTTCAGCATGTGATATTGTCCGAGAACCCTTATCATTTGGAGAGTTTATTCCTGTTGGCCCATAGTTATCTAATGAGAGAAGAGTATACAAATGCCAGTGATACGTTAGGTAATCAGTTCCTTTCTTTTGATTTGACCTCCTCAGCCAACTCTCTGTCGAATAGATGGACTCCAAGGCCTTCGCCGATTCTCTTAAGTTGATGGTATTTTGCGGTCATCTGCTTGATCTCAATTATCTGCTCCCTCAAGTAGAATTCCTCCAAGAAATTGGTCAGCTAAACTTTGGGTATTATTTATATTAAATTACTTACATCTGAGTCATTTTTTTGCGAGGCCAGATCATGAAGGCGTAGCAGGGCAGTATTGTTTCCCTTCTCCAGCTTCACGGAATCTTTGAACGCATCTGAAAGGCTTCTCCATTCTTGAACAGACGGGGCAGGAATTACATGGAGTTGAACAACCCCTCCTCTATCAGTTTGGTAGTCGATCAGCTTCTGAGCGTGGGACAATTCTTCCAGATGCTGATTATGGAAGAAGGCGGAAGCTCCATAGTGCGCCACATTGGTGCGCTTGAAGTAGTTGGCCTGAAGAGTTGTTTTGTCTATCAAAAGATTCGAGGTTTTTTTGGCTTCTGCTTTTTCTTACCATGGCCAGATAGGTATAGCTAGCAGTGAGTTCGTTGTTTATCTGCGTGTTCACGGCATTCTCACACTCGATGGCGTAATTTTGTCTGGAGTCCATCTGTAGGCAACCGGAATCCGGAAACACAACAAAAGAATGAATTTTTTTTTCAGAAAGAGCGCTTTTTGCCATTTCTTCGTCGAGGTTCCAGTTCAGCCTAGTGTCTCAAGAACATCAACTTAATTACAAATCAAGCGAAACCAGAATAATATTCCAAATTCTTTTTGCTTTTATCCAACAGTTGATTAACCGTCATTGTTATAATACGGCGCTTCAGTTTGCTAAAGTGTTATACATGAAGGACCCTGTCAATGATCCTCTGGCCGTCACTTTATTCATTGATTTTTTGGCCATACGAGCTGGAAATTATGAGTACTTGAGTGATTTGTTCGAGAACTATGGAGTGAGTGAAAACAGACAAGATTAATCCCAATTTTTTAGAAATTAAAAAATTGGGATATGTTGCCGAATTTCTTATACAATGTTTCGTTTGCATATCACAAATTGTTTGAAAAAACGGGTGACGAGAAATGGAAGAGGAAGGAGAAGGAACTTGTGAAAACAGCGTTAATTAGATTCCCCAGCTTTGTTGGTGCTCTGGTAGATCGACTGGGCCTAGAGCCGAGCGACGAGGTCAAGAAGTCTGGCCACTTTGATACAAAACTAAGGTAATTCGTCACTGCTTTTATAATATTTAGATTTCTCTTCAGGTGCCCTAAAGGGATAAGAATCCTGGTGAATATAGTTTTGAAACATTCCTTCGACTTTTGGAGCCAAGGCTATCAACTTAAATGGCTGCAAGAAAACGCGACCGAGTTTTCGAAACACTTGAAAGAGTACAGAAAAGAGGTCACGGAATGGGATGCGCAGTAAGTTTGCTTTCGGAAACTTCACTTCACGTTTAATGTGGACGAAAGCACACTATCGATTGTCAAAGATATTTTACAAGGAAAATACTTTTGTGGGATCTCCTACTTTTGAACGGCACATATCTTAAAAAATACGAATATGTAAAAATTAGCTGCCCAATTTTGGGTTTTAGGGGAACCACTGTTAAGGTGTACTCTTACTCAAATGTTTTGAGGTTAATTAGTAATTTAAAAAAAAATTCTTTGAGTAATGGATATAGGGGTTTTCGGTGGCGTTGATCTTGAAAATTGTATCCGTTTCTTCTGAATTTTTGCCTATCTTCCTCAATTCTTTAAGATAAATGTTTTAATTGGTAAAAACTTGGTCAAACTTGTATGATATTGTATGAAAACTTATGACGCTTTTTCCGTCTTTACAGCGAAAATGACACTACTGCTTAAGCAAAATTGTAAAATTCAGAAAAAAGTGATGATTTTCGAAATCAGCGCCATCGAAAACCTTACCCCACCCTTCCCCCGCCCTCCTCTTTCTTTTTTTTAGCGGACCTTTCCGTACTCAATCGTGCCTTGACCTATAGCTCCATACCGCCAGAGAAGTACTTTTCTTGTAAAAAAGATCAAGGGTTCGTTCCGGCTAGCCAAGAGTAGGGTTCGGAAAATTAGGGTATATTTACCACGCGGGTATTTATAAAATTACCCTAAATTTGCCCAATGTACTATCAATATGAAGTCGTTTGCAACTTATTCATTAACTTAATCACGTTTGGAGCGCGGGTATTTGGGTATATACCCCGTCTGAACCCTAGCCAAGAGTAAAACAGCCAAAGGTTTTTTCAAAAATTCTATTTGTGACGAAACGCCACATCGATTAAGTCATGGGCAGGAAATAGCTTCATCTGAGCAGGATTGATGTGCACTTGTTTATCGGATATTTAAAAAAGTGAAAATTAGAGGGATTTTGATCGCACCCTATCAATATGTTGCAGATGTGTACGCGTGTTTGTTGGATTACCCGTCAACGTGAAGCGACATGCCTTGCTGATTGGTGTTGACCCTGAGACAGAAGAAGAGAAAGATTTCTTCGACCCATTCCCCCCGAACCCAGTAGTGCCAACTCATGATCAGGCACAGTCTCAGGGGTCTTTGACGGGAGTGATTCGAAGCCAGTTCGACGGATTGATGGCGTCGCTTCACAATGCCTTAGATCAGGTAAGTGAGAATGTGGGTTTGATGTATTCGAAACAAAGGACGAGTAGGGCGACCGCACTCATGTAGAGAAAGGCACATAGTACAACAGCCGTGCTGAAAGAATAAAAATTGGATTTTGGTTAAGGACATGAAGTTACCTAACAAGGGAAGTCACTTTGTAAAACGACTGTTATAGTGATGGAGAGGGTGAAACGGGGATATCGAATTTCTTCGGAAGGAAAAATCATTCCGAGTAACTTTTTGGTCAAACTTGCCGATTATCTCGGCCCGGAGGCCGCTAGAGGTAGCGGTTTTCAGATTCGACATCCCCGTTCCACCTCCATCTCACTGAAGTGCACTTTACTAGGCGAGCCAAAAAGTCTTGAAATGTCTTCGCATTGTGCGGGCGCATGAATTCGGCGCACTGTGCAGACATGTCAAGACTTCTTGGCCCGCCTCACAGCAGGATGGCGTGAAGTCTGACCCCGGTAGGTCAAGTTTTTCTGTCTCGAAAAAAATATTTTAATTTTTTCTCGGTCAATTTTCAACGCTGAAACGGATTTGCTTTTTTGATAACCTACTGTATCATGGATTACTGTAACATGAAACTAGCTCGGGCTTTCAGAAGCAAACTTTTTATGGCCGAATTTTTTTGCGGCCGAACCGGCGGGTTGGTATGTTACAGTAATCCGAATGAGTCGGAACCATTTTTTTAAATCTACGAGTGCGAAAACATAAGTATTCACAATTTTATGGATGTCGTATGTTCGTTACTGATTTATGGGGGATTACTGTATAACCAATAAGTTGTAAAAATAACTGGGTTAACGGCCGAAGTAGGCAAAACTGTTTAGCGATGGGTTTTTAGGACGAGTACGGTCACATTAAAGAAAAAAACCCGAGATCGAATTTTTCTATGTCAAGGGCTGCTACACTCACAAATCGTGTTTCAAAGCTTGATCAAGGAGTTCATCAAAATAAAGACTTACGTTTTCATTTTAACACCTTCAACATGTCGCACACGCTCTCGAGGAGCAGGGTCGTCACTAGTACTCACTAAAATCGACCGGTTCATATCATCACTTCATACTTAAAGTGAACGGTTTTGTTTAGGAACCCACCTTAGCCCCTCCCCCAACCTCTAATCCTCCTAGATTAATATGAGACGGACTCACGGATGGCCCTTCTTGAGTTAAACATCGTTTCTATTGCAGATCCAGCAGACCTCAGCTAATACGGGCGATGACGATGTTCCCTTGCCAAACGGCCAAGAAGAGGGACACTGAACACCTCGGGCCTGCCCCGGCCTCGTCTTCACCACGTTTGCTACCTAAGCCGCTCAGGTCGGATTTCCTTCACACTTCTATTGCACTACCTACCTGTCTCGGCAGACTTATTTTTGCGGAGAGCAAACGGAATGAAATGAAACCAGCATGATGCATATTTTTTCTTATTTCTCTCAAAATGTCCAACAAAAAACAAGGCAGAGGGAAATATTTAAATGTCGAATGTCTTTTGAATGTATTCACAATTCTCGGGGGAAATACGATGCCCTGGTCGGCATTCCAGCACCATGGGGCATTGAAAACAAGGTGTAGTCACCAACGAACTTAAAAATGGCTTTAATCGCCTGGCTCGGTACTGATTTCCCACCCTTTTCTCCAGTTTTCCATCCAGCACTGCAATATCCAAAATGCTTTCCACATCGCTGACCGAGAGTTCTACCTTGCTTATAGCCTTGTCATGTATATATTTTCCCACAACATCAGACGACACAAAAGAGTCTTCAATTTTCTTTCGTTTGTCGGTCGGGTTATTATCCTCGGCAGTGGTCCGGACCTTCTGCAAATAGAAATTTTAAATCTAAGGACTTCACTTGGCTATGCGGATAAATCACGAGATCACTTAAAGAGCAAATATGATTGACAAAATTGATCGAGATATTAGAAAAACAAACAAACTGGAAAAAGCTGCTTCCGAGAGTTATTTACCTCGACGCACTAAAATTACTTTTTTTACCTGGAGCATGGTTACACAAACTTGAATTAAAGTTTGTACAAATTGGGAGTCTAATTGTTGATCCGAATAAAAGGTTCCGCCCGTAAGGCTGTCGTCTGCATCAATATTGAACAGAATATAGCATTTCTTCGTGGTTCCAACTGCTTTCACGGACTTCACCAATCGTTTTTGCTCGAGAGACTTTAATACCCTTCTGAGCTGAGTATCGGACAGACCAGAGGTGTCTCTAATATCTCTTATCCAAACTCCGTTCTTATCGGCCCTTTCAACGATCGAATATACCTAAAACATTCAAACATGCGGAAGAAACAATCTTACTAAGTGCTCTTCGGCTGGAGCATCAATCGGCAGCACCGACTTCCGATATTGTAGGATGAAGTCGTTGGTTCCCGCGATCTGTAGCAGCTCGACATCGCCGGTTGACATTATTTTATTGATCAACTCCAATCTACCTTGGGCATCCAGATGAGGAGACATGGTAGCCAATTCTGTATTAGATATTCCTTCCTTTCTACTTTGCAGCTGTTTTAACAACTCCACCTCCATCTTACAATCCGAGCTATTCCCCTCCATGAGATCTGAGCCTAAAAAAAAATTTGAAAAAAGGTACAAAAAAAATAAAAACATTTTTGAACCCGCCTGGCCCGCTGACCACCCCTGCGTAATGCAATAGGGTTGTAAATTTGACAAAATGTTTCAAAATGCCCTCAAATTAACGTGAAATTGGCGCCATATCGTCATTTTGGCTACATTTAAAATTCAGGTATACGAAGCTTTCACACGCCAGTTTAACATAGACTAGATTATGATGAATACCGTTAATATTAGTCGTAACTAGTTTTACTGTTTTACGTCATCGATCGTTTCGACAAGAGGGAGCAATTTAGATCCGAAATTTTTTTTATTTTTACGATTTTTTACAAAATCTGCAAAAATTTTCCGAAAAAGTTCAATTTGACAATCAAAATGACAGAACAATTTGACATGACGAAAATGACGGGAATTTGACAACGTGTCCGACGCGTCAAGTTGACGACTAGAAACCCTAGCGCGCTAGTGTTTTTAGTCTAGCTAGCGCGCAACCACACGGCGGTTTCACACAACAGAAAAGCGGGAACTTCGTTTTGTCCTTTTTTGAAGCGGGGGCGCAGCTCGCGGAGGCAAAAAATGACGTTTTTTTACTGTAACTTTTAAACTAACAGTCGAATCGAAAATCGACCAGGGATTTAGAAAATAGAAGTTGTCTTTTATCTAATGACGTATTAAACACATTGCAGAAGTGGAAACGGAGACCAATTGTCTGTGGCGCTAAATTTGCCTATGTTGAGGATACCGTATCAAAACCAAAAATCAAAATGGGAACTTGATATGAAGAAGTGGATATGTAAATACATGATTCCGAGTCGATAGACACCGAAAACGTCGAAAAAGGTTGACTGAGCGAGAAGTTATGACACCCAAAAAACATGCTGATTTTTGACAATTTCGAAAAACTACAGTGTCCTTCGAACAAACAGTCGGATCAAAAATCGACCAGGGATTTAGAAACTACTTTGTCTTAGCTATATTTTGGTATACAGCATGGCTAAGTAGGTGATCAAATGAAGAGACTTGTCTGTGGCCGAAAGTACATTGGTCATGTTGTAGTAGGTCAAAGTTGATCGTGAGACAAATGCAAAGGTGGTTATGAGGAGTTAGGGTGCTACTACAACTCAGTAAGCAATAATCGTTTAGAATTAGCGTCGATTTTGCATTAGCGAGGACTTGTGGTACAGTACCCACCATCACCGTATCCACTTTAACTATCAAGGCTTAAGCCAATAAAAGACCATATATTACGCTTAGACTGTGCTCCTCCATCTCTATGTTTATAAATTAAACATTTAACAATTATTTTAGCCTCATACAACCACAGCTGGTGTTCATCGGGTATGGCACTATATGTACAATATTGCTGTAAGCAGCGTTTAAAAAAAGTTTCGGTTTTTGTTGGTCCCATAGGTTCTAATGCTTCCTTTACATCTTTGAACGGGTTTGCTTCCTATATTTAATTAAAATACGGCCTGATTGCTGTTTTAATATTCATTTAAGTAAGCATGTTAACCGTCATGACGCGTCACTTCATTTGATGATTTTAGAAATCTTAATGTGAATTCTGAATTAATTATTGGTCTGAAAAGATCAAGAAAATTTTTTTATTCTTTTAGTATCAATTACATCACACTTCTGATGAAACTGTACGATTTCTTACTAAACATGTTTCATCGTATACCTTCCTCTGCAAGCTGCGCGTTTTTTATTTTTTTCCCACCACGAAAGAGACCTTTGAAACCGCCGTGAACCAGAGAATTTTGGAAATTGCAAAGTTTATTATTTTAGTCTTGCCACGAATATCCTTCTATGGCATAGCGCAATAACTTGAATATTGCTGCGTGGATAAGGTTTTAGAATACATGAAGTCTTTATAAGATTTTCGTTATTGACGGGTCATGGGTGGCGTTCTGAGTTACTTCCGTGGTTTGTTCGGCCAAAAGGAAATGCGCATTTTAATCTTGGGTCTGGACGGAGCTGGGAAGACTACAATTCTCTACCGTTTACATGTTGGCGAGATTGTTACCACTGTTCCAACTATTGGCTTCAATGTGGAACAAGTAACATACAAGAATCTTAAGTTCCAAGTATGGGATCTCGGAGGTCAAACGTCGATCCGGCCTTACTGGCGATGTTATTATCTGAACACAGATGCTGTGATCTACGTTGTAGATTCTGCTGATAAAGATAGGATAGGAATATCAAAACAGGTATATCGTTTTCCTTCTTCTTCATTTCTCTTTAGGAGTTGGTTTCAATGCTGGAAGAAGAAGAGTTAAAGGACGCAATCCTGATGGTTATTGCCAACAAACAAGATATTCAGGGATGCTTAACTGTTGCTGAAATACATAAAGCTCTTGGGCTAGATGCGCTTAGAAACCGATCGTTCCAGATATTCAAAGCTTCGGCAACCAAGGGAGAAGGTCTCGATGAGGCCATGGAATGGTTAGCCAATGCGTTGCAACAAAAATCTTAATGATCGCGAATCTGGGCATGAGGTAGCCTCTATCAATGGACAGTTTTCTTTATCAAACGTTTAATATACTTGTATTATTAAAGGAAAATGTGGACTTTTACTATCAGATAATTTATTCGTTCCCAATGTAAAATAAACTTTTTAAATAGATATTTAGTAATTTCCGTAAGGGCGGTTGAAAGCGCCAGTCTGTGGTTGTTGAGCTCCTCGAGCAAATGGGTTGAACGCTTGTCCTCCAGGTACGACCCCTGAAAATTTATTTGAATTACAAATTAAATAATTAAGATGCTTATCATTTAGTTAACTAACTGAACTTACCGGCGGGAGGAATAGATGGTGGTGGTCCATTTAAAGTCGGGGGTGGTTGGAATCCACCTGCCGGTGCCTGTTGTTGAGGAGCGTTTTGTTGCTGCTGAGGTGGTACATTACTGAAGGGACCAGCTTGGGTCGTAGGGGCAGAAGATGGCTGATATCCTCCGTAAGGTTGATAAGGGACGGAAGACACGGGGGGTTGATGGGGAAGACTAGGAGTGCTATGAGGAGGATATTGGGGTTGTGGAGCCTGTCCGATAGGGGTCGAGGAAGGAGGAGGAGCGAAGCCACCATAGATCGGTTGTGGTGCGGGGGGCTGGAGGGGGTGTTGCTGTTGTTGTTGCTGCTGATGTTGTTGTTGCTGAATAGGTGGTTGATACTCAAGCTTCTGTTGCACAGGCTGATTAAACTGCTGTTGGTAATATCCGTTCCCAACAGGCTTGTCATCAATCGGGACATTTTCCAATTGTTGTTCTTGTTGTTGAACTTCCTGTTTTGGCGGATCAGAGAATTCCGAAGCAATATTAGCAACCTCCTGAGCATGAAGAATTAGGCCGTTGGATTCAACTTGTTCATGCCGGGAAGGGTCAATGGTTGCAACATTACTAGCCGACTTCACTGGATTCTCCAAAGGACACTCGACGCTTTCCGATTGATCTAAAAAATATACATCTAATGGCATCAACATACCGACTGTGACCTCAATATATAAAACCTTTTGGTCATGAATAGCGATGGATACATCGTCATCGTCAATAAGGGTAATGAAATCCCCATCTTCATCCTTGTACTTCAGCTGGATATTGCTGTTCGAATCCAAATTGTACAAGTTTTGGATCTTGAACACCAAGTCGTTGAAGCTTACATCGTTCTGGTGGTGAATAAGCCTCTTACGAAAATCTGTTCCATACTTCGTCTTCAGAACAGTGGATTCCACCATTTTGAAGTCTGAAAACAAAAGTAAGATTACAGTGGATAGCAAAGGAAGCACGACAATTCAAATATTTCCAGAAATCTCGAAGTGAAGCGCAAGAATTCTACATGAACTTGGATGACGATGTATAACTTCCAACTCGACATTACTCGTTTCATCGCCAATATTGATTTTCTGTTTTATGTGAACGGAATGTAAAATAATTTAGACCCACGCCGAAGATATTTATTGCTCAAAATCGCTTTAAAAGTTATTGTTAGTTACAAATATCTAAAATGGGGCGCGACTTCGAAAATTTTCAAAATTTATGTGAATCAGTGTTGCAGGACCTCAAGGTTTGATTTCATAATTTTCTTATTCCATTACTTAGAGCACGAATTGCACATGGGAAGTGATGTCCAGTCGAGCAGCAAAACTGGCCTGTCAATTAAACAACACCGTGGTGTGCCTTAGTAACTTTGTCGACTGTCTACAGATCCTCAGTGATTCTTCTAATTCTATCAATGGGGCTAGTCGAGACATTGGAGCCGCCTTAACTCGGTTTTGTCTACGCCAAAGGACGCTTCAGTCTGACATGAAACGTTTATCGAATATTATTTCTAACTTCTGCCCAACGCTAGATCGGAAAGCTGCAGAGTGGAAGCAGCTGGTTGCTGATTTGCAGAGAAGGAACCATCGTATTGTCAAAAAGAAGCGAAATAAGAAAGACCACACGAGTAGCATCACCGAAGAGCAAAAACAATATTGCACAGAACTCCTGTTCAGTCAGAGGCAGTTGTTCCTGGAATTTTTGAACTTGATAGTACCTATAATGGTGAGGGAGACGTTTTCTTCGTTATTATAGTTTTTAGAAAGGCGAGATTGCTGTTCTGGACGAAGGTGTTCACATCAAGGAAATACAAGAGTCTGTAGAAATGGATATTATGAATACGGACTCGGCCTTGATTGTTAAAGCTGCCATAGAAGACGGTTTGGCGGACGATAAGACGTACCGTGGACGCATGACGTCCCCGTCTAGGAGCACATCTTCCAGTAAAGCCAGTTTTAGGCTGACTAAACCTCATCCCAACTCTTCTCCTTCGAGCTCTGGCTCAACTTTTAATTGGGGAGATGTTGATCAACGAGGTCTTTATTCTTCAAAAGGTTCGTTGGGGAACAAAACAACGGATGGAGCCCAGAATCCGTTGTTTGGCAAACCTCCATTTCCATTGAAAAGTGGTCATGATGGTGAGAAAGTCAGGAAATTTTTATAAACTTCTTGCAGACGGTGGTCCCGAACTTCTTGTACCTGGGTTGGGGGTATCTTCTGCGCTCTCGGTGTCTGCTAGTGATATATCAATTGGAGAAGACTACGCCTTTCATCCTCCTGCGTCTAATTGGTCATCACTACACAGTGAGAACACCCCCGTTAGAAAGTATAGTACCAATTTAGATTATGAGGAATCACTTAACAAGTTTAATGCCGATCTTTCGTCATTATGTAGTTTGAGTGGGAATAGAACGATGCGTTCAAAATCTTCCCTGAACTCAAATACCTCCTTTCGGCAACGTCCTCCATCTATTAGAAATCCTCCACCCCCTCCAGAAAGACGGAACTCGGCCATTACAGCAGCCACGCCTGACGCACCGTCGATTGTCGACCTCCGCAATGGAATCTCTTCAGCTGCTCCTCCCCGAACAAATAGTGAACTTTGTGGGTCTCAAAACATTGCCAACACACCTTGGTCTCAATTACAAAGTGAAAATGATATTTACTCAAACACATAATAAATTACCCTATTGTACAGATTTGCCCGTATGTTGTTTTCCTACAATAAATTAGTTTCATCATTCAACTAAAGCCTTCAGAATGGGAAGGAGCGTCGAAAAGACCTGGTTCTGATGTTGATTTAGCCGACCAGACAGAGTCGGCGCAAGTATGTAGATCTCTGTCAGTGCTCTTTTACATGCAATATAATGCCGGATCCGTTCGTCGTCCGCGGAGGGTGTCAGGCTCAAGGTCAAGGTATCTTTGATAACATCTCCGTAATCAGTGAGCACGCCATTGATTAAATCCATCCCAAGGTTCACATAATCCCAGTTATTATGACTTAGTAGTTGTTTGACATAGATTAAGACTTTGGCGTAAAAGCCGAGTTGTAAGGTCGGGGATTGAGATCGATAAGCGTTAATCACAGCCACCAGCATATGTGCCCCTGGCATCTTTGCTGCTTCTTGAAGGGTATCTTCTAAACGAAAAGAATTCGTAAAAAATCGCCTCATTTGCATACCGATGCTCGAAATCCGACTCAGACATTGAATTCTTCTGCAGTCTTGCATCCTGGCCTTTAACTTGTCCATCGTCACAGAATGCAGTTCTATCCTTTTGACGATTTCTGCTGACTTGTTCGTCTTGCCTGTGACAGATCCCTTTTTAATCCGCGCATTGTGTTCTTTTATGGTTTCAGAACAATCGGGCATCGAACTCAAGTCAATTGAACTTTTACGATCGATCACTGAAAGTAGAAACGAAAATTTTGCTCAATCACATCAAATATGTGTAATCCCAAAAATCAGAAAACGGAAGGCTTACAGCTGCTGTGACTGTTCTCCCGGCTTCTATTTAGCGGGAGATTCCTGGCCGAGGACATCGAGGAACTCCGTGACAGAATATTTCTGAAACCTGTAATGGCGTTAGTTTCCTTGATTATGTCTGCGCCTTCATCAGTAATATGCCCGTTCAACCCAGAATCTTTTGGAATCGGGGAGAGAGCAGGCAAAGCCTCGTCCTTGTTGAATTCCTGCAAAACATAGTAAGAAACGATTAAGGAACTCTCAGCGTATCCCTAGGCAACACACGATAATGATGATAAACGAAGACTTACGGTCTCTTGAAAAGATTCCACGGCCACTTCCCTTCTCTTGGAGTCGTAGGACAGGTAGTACATCTTGTCATCACATATTTTAAAATCCAATAACACCCTATGGGCAGGCGAATTAAGATTAAGTTGCTCAATCACATCAAAAGGTTCAAAAGAAAAAGAATTGATTTGATTTTGGGAAACTGAGACCAAATACTTTCCACATGATGAAAACTCAATTGTCTGAGGCTCGATATCTAACGGTAGAGTCTGGGCAATACACTCCTTGGCGTCAATATCCCAAAACCGAACGACTTTGTCGGTGTTGATGCTCGCCAGGATGTATTCTACTGGGTTGAACTTCACTTCCGAAACCTATGAACGAAAATAAATCAAATAAGAATCATACCGCCGACGGAGAATTAATCGTAGTCAGATTCCGTGGATTTTGAAGATCCATAAGATTTATGTTGTTATCCCCACCAAAGCATAAAAATCGGCCATCTGGAGAAAACTGTATACAAGAATATCTCTTTAACCGAATCGCCATCGTCTGGGCTGGGTGTTGTCTAACATCCCACGTACGGACAGTGCTGTCCGTTCCAGCAGTAGCAAAGACGTTCGAGCTTGTGGGACTCCAACATGCAGCCTTTATAATCCCGTCATGCTCGTATATATCCCGAAGTTTTTTGCCTAAAACAAGATTCAGGAAATATAAACAAAACATACCAGAATCAATGTCAACAACTCTGTGAGATGGACCTGATAGGAGTAACAATTGATCATCTCTATTTAAAGTTAAAACAGGATCTGCTAACTCGTTCTGGAACAAGTATATTAATTACAAACTTTTTTTTACCTTCTCGGCAATTTCGAGAACTGAATCACTGGAATAATTTAATATTGCGAGGGGATAATTTAATATTATACACTGTTTAGATGGGCATAGCAAACCAGATTTGATATTCTTTGGGTACTTTTTAATATCTAAAATATGTAACACATTTGCCCAAAATATAAAAATAATAATACGATTACTTACACAAATTCATTTACGGTACAAAATATGGTTAACTTAGATTAAAAATAGTTACAACTAATTTAGTAATCCATGAAAATATATTTTTTTTTACTGCAACAGATTGCCAACCGCAGAAAGTCGCTACTAAACCAGCAAGGAAAACTCTTGACCCGTCCCAAGTCTTTCTTTACATAGGATAAGCAAAAAAAGCATAAATTTTTCTTATATTGTATAACCCAAATGGCGCCTATATTTAATAAGGCTAAGACTAGGCGTGGAAAGAAGTTTTTGGAGGACAGAGCCCCCAAAATCACGGAGAATGATAAGAATACTCTGCTTCTGAAGGGAGGAAAGACGAACGAAACTCTGCAGTCTTTTCTTACTGATATCCATGCCCTAAAAAAACCATTGGTGGAAAAATTAAAATAGTAAGGAGTTTACTTGTTTAACAATTTCTTTTAGCCGCAATCCCATCCACCTTTTCGACGAAGAATCGTTTATTTGTAAAATGTCACACAAATACGACTCTTCAATCTTCTGCATGATTGCCAACAGTAAGAAACATCCCAATATGGTATGCATAGGAAGAATGTTTGATTATGAATTGCTGGACTTGGTGGAGCTCCGTCTGTCCAACTATGTGCCACAGTCCAGTTTCAAAGTAAGGATGACCACGACAAAGCTGATATCTTGCTTATTTCAAACATGATTCTTTTTTCAGAATGGCAGTGTAGGCGCGGAGACAAAGCCTTGTATTGTTCTGAACGGTTCGCTGTTTGAGGTGGATGACTCCTTCAAGAGAGTTGGCAATATGCTTGTGGATTTCTTCAGAGGAGCTGTTGTCGACTCGATCAGATTGCAAGGTCTGGAGTTGGTTATCTCGCTTACAGCCACAGCTGACGGAAAAGTGTTGATGAGAACATACAGATCCATTCTCAAGAAAAGTTCAGGATCGTCTCCCAGGGTTGAACTTGTAGACCTAGGTCCCCATGCCGACTTTGAAATCGTTCGATCCAAATTTGCAAGTGACAGTCTCATGAAAAAGGCGACAAAGAAACCGAAGGTTGTGGTGGTAAGAATAATTTATTAGGTTAGGTTCTGTTTTTAGAATAAGATGCGAAAGAACACTAGCCTCGATCCATTTGAGACCAAGCTTGCCAGGATTCATGTTGGAAAACAGGACCTGAACTCCATTCAGACCAGGAAAGTGAAGGCACTCAAAAGGAAGAAGGAATAAACGAGAATCGTCCAATTGTTATTTGTTACTGTTAATAAATTACGCGTTTTTGTATGCTTGTGAGAAATTCCTAAGTTTGGTTTGAAGGAGTTCGCAATGTTGTTTTAAGGACTAAGATGAAAATTTTACAAGCATTTGCATCTTCACCTACATTGTTAGTGCTCATTGCTGTTCGGCGATTGTTTCCTTCCCCATATACAACTGTCTTCGGGGGTAGTACCTCTTTCGACATCACAATGCATTTGGGTCCAATAACACACCCATCAGTAACCTGAACTTTATCTCCAACCTTACTCTTAATGCAAAAAACGTTGTTGTTTCCAACGGCCACAGCGTGACATTCGGTCCCAACCTCGAATAGGTTGTCATTCCCAATGATCATGACCTTAGAAGGATCTCTAAACGATAAAATGTATGTTGATTTAGATATTACCTACTTATTTTCTATATGACACAGTTCTTCTATGATATTATTGTTGCCGAAGATTATTTTCCCTTCGCCTGCATTTATGACGGCGTAAGGATGCACCACAGTCCCTGCCCCGAAAACGATCTCGCCGGATAAAGAAGACCCCGTGTGGATGAAAGTGTCGTCGTGGATCTCCAAACGCGGCTTTGCCATACTGAATACGCCTTTTAGCTTTTATTCACATTGTTACAATAAATGGAATATTACCACAAAAAAAACACAAGACATGTTTGAAGCATTAGTTTATATAACATACAGAGCTCAAACAATCATTTCCAATTGTTTAGCGTAATAAATATTCTGAAGGGCAATGCGCTTAGTGTCAAGCGAAGCCTTCTGAGAATCTTTCTTCTCCTGATCGTTCTCGAATTGAAGCATATCCTTGTCCAAAGTCCATCCACGAGCTTGCGCGAACTGTCTCAGTTCTTCATCACTCTCAAAAAGTAACATCCTTGCAGCATCTTTCACTTGAAGTCCTTTGAAAGACTTCTCAATGCAAACAGCAATGTCACTTCTGACAGTGTTCATCAAAACACGTACAAACACCTGATAGTAAGGGGTGGGAAGAGTCTTTTCGTTGAGTATGACCTTATTGTAGGCACCTTCCATCAGAGACTGCTCCAATTTAACTGGCAAGTAAATGTAAGGATCCTTTTGTTGAACAGATTGGTCAATTTGCTCCAACAACTAAAAAGAGCAATGTAAGAAAACTATTCGTCTCTCTTACCATGTGGAAGTCGGACAATTTATTTTTGGCCAACAGATACATCAAATGGAGACCATACATCAAATATTTTGAAGAGGAGTCTTCCGCCACGCATTGATAGAAGCTGTGGACGTCAGCAATTGCCTTCTCAAAGCCATCCATGTCGGAGATCACAACGTTATAAAGTGCGCTAATCTCGAAAAAATCCTCTGGAATGACATGTAATGCATTCCATGAAATAAAAACTTACTATGAATACCAGATGATGCTTCGGCACTTAAATTGTTCAGCGTTTCGACATTCTGAAGCTCCTTCTAAAAACGGCCGATTTTCATGGATCATGGAGTTTACCTTAATTGTACCCAATATCTGGGACACCTTCTGAACATCTCCATGACTAGGCTTTTTCCATTCCGCCAGCAACGACGCGTGAAGGGATTGCAGATTCGACATCTTACACCAAGTGCAATTTTATGACAAAAAAAAAATCACAAAAAAATGGTGAAAAACGAAACGCCAATATTGATTTTATTCCACTAGTAACAGGTCACAACAACCACATAAAATTTTCGGAAAGTTATCTGGGGGGGCTTCAGACGGGGTATATAATGGTGCTTTATATTATTCCAAAAAGTTTCAAACTTGCTTCATTTTTGGCCTACATGAAAATTTTCGTTTTTTTCAACCTAGGCAAAACAAAATTTATTTTTTTTGGCATAGGTGGTTTTTTTTCATGTATCAGTCTGTCGGGAAAATAACGGTGGATCGTCGCGCCTCGGAATCGCCCATAATCGCTTTGCGACGGCGGCAACAGCTGGAGATTTGGTGCGCGATTGCGGTGAGGCGAGTCATTTTGATGCGACGACCCGCCGTTATTTTCCCGACAGACTGATATGCTAAAAAAAAATAAAAATTTTTTGGCCCACATGAAATTTTTTCACGTAGGCAGACGGCATTTTGATGTAGGCCACAAAATTTCATGTAGGCCAAAAATGAAGTAAGTTTGAAACTTTTTGGAATAATATAAAGCATCACTCTTATATCCCCCGGGCACGGGTGTATACCCAAATTCCCGCGACGTGGGAATTTTTCTTTTATTTATGGGAATTTTCAAAATGAGGAATTGGCCGAAGAAGTATAAAATTTTCACGGCTTAATCCAAAATTTTTGGATTTTTGCCATAGTAAGTAAACCTGTGGGGATCGGTCCGGTTTCGCACGCCCCTTGGCCTATAAAAGGGGGCGTACGCTACAAGGCCTATAAAAACTCATTACCCGGAGCCACTACAAAACATGAAAGAAACTGGAATATTTTTTCTGTTTATTTGCAACTGAAAATAAACCTGTTAGCTGAAAAAATTAAAAATCAAGTTACAAAAGTGGTTAATAATAAATGAGGTACAAACGACTTTATACTATATATTGCTACTATATTAGGCCAATTTTATAAATAAGATAACCGATTCTTCGGTTATTTACCGGGGCATATGTATACCCATCAGGTGAAAATACCCGAATTTTCCGAATCCTAACTACTCGACACAAAAAGTTCTGATTGTGAGGATTTCCACTATTCGTTTTTTGCGCGTCGGTGTGAAAAAAATTCTTTGCACGGTGCATTTTGACCCAATTTTTTTTGGTGCAAAGACATGTCAACACTTTTTGTCTATTTATTAATTTATTAATAAACATTTCTAGCAGGTTAAATCCATGCCATCCACCCTTCAAACATTTGGCTGAGATTGGCCCGACTAGTAGCTTCTGTTGCAAGATATTCCACTTGTTGCAGAGTTGTCATCATAGAAGGCTGGCCAGCTTCATACCCATTCAATTTTTCTGACAACCTTCTCATAATATTTTCAGGAATACGAAGGGAAGGGCATATTACCCGTTCTTGTTCCTGGTATGAATCCATTGTGATGTTACTTAGTCCAATTAGATTTGCATAGATCCTGGAAACCTCCATAATTAAAAAAGAACAAGAATTACCTCGGACTACCCTGAAGAACAACTTTTAGAAGTTCGCGTGGGATGTTTCCAGGATCATGCATCAGCCCCCGTAGGATCTTAGCCATGGGAGAAGAGAAACATAATTTGTAATTGGTGACAAAACCCTTGAAATCGAGGAAACAAGTTGATAGAATCTTCAAGAAAGGCTTCAACAACTGGATACTTTCTTGGTGGCTCTTCACTAATTCATGGAAACTGCTGACCGTATCTTGTTTAACGCCCTCTTTAAGCATGCCCTCCAACAAATTTTCAATTTTTTTCCTAAACTTTCAGAATTAGTTGTGTGGAATTTTAAGTATACCTGTATTTAAAAGCACAGACTTACCTTGAAACATCCAAAGGGCCTTTAAGCGCTGTCAACAATAGACTAAACAGATGCAGGATCATACCAATAACAACTTTGTTGTTATTACAGAAGTAGAACTTGAAGAGCCCGAACCTTGCATTAGAAATAGGATCGTTTGGGACCAGCCATTCAGTCAGTGGATCAGTTTGGAAGACGCTCAGCCAGTTGATGATCATTGTTTTGTTCTTCTTCAGAGACTCCAAGACCTGTGCACTTAATACCTTGTACTTCCCCTAAATCGAAAATAAAATAATTATTTTTTTAACTTACATTAACACCGCCCACTCCGAGAACATCTACGAAGTTCTGTGTTAACCTGAAAGGAACTTTCTCAGGTACTCGAAGGGTTTTTCGTTTGTGGAAACAGACATTAAAGTCCACATGAATCAAATCTCCAGTTGTTTGGTCGATCAGAATGTTGTCTAGATGTCTGTCCCCAAGGTCTACCACGTTCCCAACCATATTGGCGCTAGCAATGGACCTGGTATAGTTACCCACTTTGGTCACCCAGTCTATCGAATTGATACTTGATTTGAGTATGTAACTGAAATAGGAACACTACTTATTTCCTTTGTCACTCTTACTCCGATATTATCGTCTTTGGTGACATCTCTTTCAATCTTTCGAATGCTTCCACCAAAACTTCAGGAGTAAAAAAAGTACGGTCCTTGTAAGCGAAACACTTCTAAAAAAAATCAGTTTTTGTGTTTGTCAAGACATAATACCTCATTATCCGGCAAGATTTCTTTGAGCACTGCATAGAATTTCTTGACTGGTCGAAAATCTCGTTGCTCCTTAAATTCATTGTCTTCCACTGTAACATATTCAGAATGGTGTTCGTCTTCACTCGATGACTGATGAGTACCGTCATCATCTGAAGATGCACTCAGGTGATGAATCTCTTTATTCTGCGCAGCCAGACATGCTTCCAGCTGCGTCAGGTGCCAATTTTTATACACCTGATATATCGACGAAGCCCCAGAAACCCATTGAATGAGCCCGGTTCGGTCACTCAACGGGATTACAGAGTAATTCCGACATTTGAATTGGACTTCTCCTTTTCGGAAGACAGCGTTGCACAACGACAGCAGACCAGAGATCCTTTCGTCCAACCGGAGATCTTCCTGCCCCTTGCAAAGATATACATGTCTAAAAGTCTCGTTACTTCAGAATGTCCTTACCTCTCCCCTGCATTATCAACAATGGAGAGTTTCTTTGGCCTCGTTTTTGTGGGCAATACATGGACCGTATCGCCGAGCGAATGGATTCTTCGAATTTCTTTGTATATCGTTTTACCCAACCCCGGCAATGGCAACATGGACGCGTTCAGCGATGAGAGTCCGACCGAAAGGGATGACAACTTGAGATTGTGGTTATCCTGGCGTTGAATATCAATAGAAAGTAAGTGAATTAATTTCGAGAAAGGATTAAAGAACTTGTCCAGGGATGGGATTAAAGAGCATTCCTCGACGGCCCTGTTAAGTCTGTCTCCGAATACAGTTCGGAATCTGATGACGTCATCGTTCTCCTCTTCGATTTCATCCGTCGTTTCCACCAAGCCATTTATCAATTTTATAACCTATAAGTGCATCATAAAAACGAACCTTACGTAATCTTACGGTATTCCTGAAGATGTCTTCAATATCCGCTAACAATTTCATAGCTTTTGTCTTTTCTACAATCCTCTCCAACTGACAATAATAAGATTTCAGGGATTTCCTAAACGTAATGACTTCAGTATTCAGATGGGATAAGAAATGGTGCCAGCGCTCGGGGAGAGTAAGTGAGAACTCATCAAAATTGCGTAAGAAATGGACGGTTTGAAGAGACAACTCTGGATGAGCAGCTTTGAAGTAATTAACAACATCATTGAAAGTCCCAGACAACGAGTCCTAAACTTGATCTGAGAAGTCTACAAAAAATACCTCTTTCAGATCAAACACTCCAATGCCAAGACTAATGCCATCGTCATCTATATTTGGATCTGGGGAAGGGTGATATTCACCATGAACTTGATGATTGTGAACACTCAAAAGAGGATAAACAAAGTGATCCGGGTTCTCATCTATTAGTGGAAGCACAAGTTTTTTCGCTAAGGACGAGCATACTTCATTCTTATGCTTCAAAACTCCCAGAAGTTGAGGAATAGTTTCTAAAAACGGGATTAGAAGGAAGAAACAACTCACCCAACCAAGATCGGTTCTCATGAGTCGACAAAAGATCTGTTACGTGCGCATCAAACCACTCAGGATGGATCAGTAACAATTTTAGAATCTCCAAACACCAACAGACCCCATCTAGATTAATCTAAACAAGATTCAAAGACCTCAAGCGTGACTCACAGTATTCCTTTGAGTCAAAATTTTGATTAAGGTTTTGACAGATGACTGAAAAAGAGCCCTCTCCCTTTTCTTTATGTTTGAGTACAGCGACCGTAGTCTTCCATCTTCAGTAAATCTGCAAAGCAACATTACTAAGCCATTCAGACGTACTCAATTAGATCCGATTTCTGCTGTTTACATTCCAGTTCAACAAAATGTTGATAGGAATCAGAACTCTCGATCAATTTTACTGTATCCCCATTGACTGTGATGCCATCAACTGCTAATATGGTTCTCACTTCGTCGAGCTCTGCGTCTTTCAGTCGGAAAGATCCTTCTGAAGTATAATACTGTTGCGAGATCCAATCATAAAAGTCTTTGTGATATGTTGTACATTCGTCGTCAAAAGAGGTAGCCAAATTAAGGAGAGCCCCGCGCAAAACGGTATCCTGACTTGTACTCATCGAATTCACATTGGTCAGAGAATCTTGGAGCTTTCAATAATTGTAAACCCCCATTAATACAACTTACGGTTCCTGGAGTTATCTGAGTCTTTAACACAACCGACAGCCCCGGTATTCGATTAGCCAGTAACCCCAACTGATTAGAGATGTGAGCCATCAACTTGACATCAAAAGTACCACCTCCCAGAGTCTGGCAGAAAAGAGAATAAAGTTTGGCCCCATCTGATATGATGTTCTGCGGAACAGCCGTGCTGAACTTGGCCTAAAAAGCATACTGTAAACCGAGTTCTCTTACAATATCCAAACGCTCAGTCAGATAAGTCATCTGTGTTTCCGCGTACAACCTTTGCGGATTAATTTTGAAACTTTTGTCACTGTAATGATACAATAACATCTGATTTCCAGTTTTTTGAGCGAGGGAAGAAAGCCAAGTGTAAAACTTTGGAGATGGGCGAAGATTAGCGACTCCAGACCTCTCAAAGTAAGCACTCAAGGTCTGCCCGTAATCAAAAGCTTTCAGGGAGTCAGTAAGAGGCAGGTCCACGTGATCTATTGCATTATCAAACAACGACTGCTACAAACAAGCATCTTAATAAACACAATGTTTCACGTTACCCAAGGAACATCATATTCCATGACCTTAAACAACGTTTGCAAAGCATTCAAATTTGCTTTCCAAGATGGCTTCGAATCACCTCCAAGGACCAGCCCAACCAGCCCAGACAGCCTTTGTTCCATTTCATAAATACTTTTCCTTAGTCGACGATTACATTTTACAGTAACAACTTACATTGGGTTCGAATAGAATTGATCACTGGTCAGCCATGACTGAAGAAGTTGCCTAACATCTGAATGATGAATATCGATGGTCTTCTGGATGCCGCGATCGTAAGAATTCTCGATTGGAAGATTCCAATCGACCAAACCCATCAGGACATTCGAATCGAGGTTTTCGTTACATTCGGCCAAGGCATGGAATGCATTTGGAGCCAGTTGTCTCCGTATTTGCGGAATCGGAATAAATCGGAGACATTCCCGACGCTTAAATACCCTCTAAATTATGCAATCAAACGACTTACAACCCAATTAATCATTTTATAAAGCACTGGATTGGAGCCCAAGTCATTTATATCAATAATGTCAACCATATTCAAACAGATCTCGACTCTGAAGAGATGCTACAAACACTAAAACACCTACCGTCCACAAGAAAACTCCTTAAATGCCTCTAAATAATTCGGTTTTGTGTTCAATTTTGAGAAAAACACATTCTGCACATCAGAAATGGCCTCGGTATCTCCAAGCAAGACGTACCCCCAAGTCAGATAGGCCAGCATTTCTTCTAAAAGCCCATCTCCCGCAACCTCTTGTCTACAGTAATCCAACACGGTCGTGATTATAAACTCAGGACGTCCAACATCAATTGCGCAATCCAAGAGGCGGGTTACAATTTCATAAGAAAAATCGAACACTTTAAAGAATCCCTGCAAAAAAGACGACATGGCCCCGGGGAGTAAAGTCGTTACCTTCCCCTCTACGCCACTGAACCGTTTTTCCACTTGTTCAATTAATTCCATCAATGCATGGCAGACACAAAAATAACTGCCAAGATCCATTGTGTTCCGTGATGAGAGAATGGATAATATATTTACTAAAAATATGTACATTCAGCAGACAATCCTACTATTCACAAGCTTTATTATCTCATTCAAACAGCCGTGTTTGTAATCGCCATTCAGACTTGATTGATTTAACAGATCTGACACCATCTTCTGTATTAGCCTATTTAAATACCTACAAAAATTACTTTTCCTTTCTCTTTTAGACTCACAACTTCTTGCCAGAGTGAAGAGTAAACAGCTTTCTTAACTCGTCTACATCGTCAGCGGCATAATCACCAAAATCAAAACAAATGCTTCGAGCTCGCAAAGAATTACTAAACCTTTTTAATTATATAAAATAAAACACTCACAGTAGTATCACATCCAAGGGAATCTGTTTATACAACGTTGGTATCTCCGTCATTTTATTTATCAGCTTGGACATAACTCTATCCATTTCTATTGGAGAAAACCCCGAGATCATAGCAAAGACTTGCAGATCATCCACCAGTCGATTGATTCTGCTTTGTAAGGGATCAAGTCCTTAAAACACGTTTTTTCTAAGAGCCGAGAGCCGTGGCCATATGGAAATTCTGCCTCAAATGCTACAAAATTTTTAGATCCGCACATCCTGAAAAGTTTTTAGTCGGGAATGCTAAGCAGGTAGATATTCTTAAAATCCATTGATCAAAATTTTCTCAGGTCACGTTTGAGTAATTTTCTGTGATATTTTTTTTATATTTCATATGACCCTGACTGGCAGACTTTGAGGCCTCTGTTCTCCAACAGTTTCCTCTCAATTTTCAATATCTTGGGATCATTAGAATCGCAAGGCATTGCAGACAAATAATTAGAAAATTCCATGTCAATTTTAAATTTTTTCGAGATAACTGCGGATTACTGTAATTTCGCAATAATAAATTCATTTTTAAATACATATTTTCCCACCCCGTTTTTGTCTCCAGGATAGTTTTGTAGGTTGGAGTATGTATCAAAGTGTAGGAATGACGGCGGATTTTTTTAAATGGCTAGATAAAACCTGGATCGGCCATACAGTATCAGAGTAGCCGTGAAGCCTCGAAAAGAGATAGCCAAAAGGTTGGAATAGCCTATCCAAGTTTTTGGCTAGCCATTTAAAAAATTTGGCCATCATTTCGAGTCCTTGTCGAGCTGCGCAAACAATTTTCAAACAAAATATTGGGGACAAAACCGGTCTGGCGACAAAAACGGGCCCAATCAGGAAGCACAGATCAGCAAGCTTGCAGCGTTTTGGCCCACTTTCATTTTTCGTGTGGCCAGTCCTGGGCAGGACTCTCGAGCCTTAGAAAAAACGTATTTTATTTATTAACGTACCATCCAAAAAGATGTCCAGTATACTTTTCCTGAGCTCGAACATCTCTTTAGTGTCCAGCAACTCGTTTCCCACCTGATTTGAAATCAGAAAACACCATTCCAAACAAACATCCAAAACGGCCATGGGCAATATTTTGTGCATTGAAAGTACTTTCCCAAGCTTTTGTAGTTGTAATTGAAGATATCCAGAAGAAGGAGACTCAATCTTAGATTTCTGTGCAAGGTATGAGCTTGTCGCTATAAAGAAGCCGTGTCTAAATAGAGTTATTTATTTCTCCGTCTTTCCTTACGTTTTGCAAAAGTTTAACGCAAGGCAAAGGCATTGAAAATGAAAGGAACCAGCTCTGAGGACCAAGTTTTCATCATCAATTCGGATCTCACAAAGTAAAAGGTTTAACAAAGACGGGCTCAAGGTCATAATCTAAAAGGATGAATATAAATTGATCCGTAATTACTCACTAGGAATAAGTTGGTAGACATGCACAATTGATAAAGCGACGAAGTGATTAAATGGAGCTCCCGCAAATTCAAAATGGAGTCAGGATCTTGCTCAAAACGGTCAAGTAGATGTAAAATTCGATGCGACAGCAGTGTGTAAAGTTTCTGGATATTGAGGCGATCTTGGCCTTCGAATAATCCTACAATCAACTTTGAGACGAGACCCAATTTGGTGAGGTCTGCACTCTCTAACACAACTCTGATCAGATCTGACTCGAGAAGGATGCTGCCCACTTGGTATTTGGTGGAGTCGTTACACCTCCACAAGTACTCGAGTAGAGCTAATAATGACTTGCCGTCCCTTCCAGCCGCGATTAACCTTATAATCTTTTCAAAAGATTCGTGATCATCACAACAGACTTCCAGGCATTCTGGCAGTATTTCACAAAGTCTAGAAGTCATTTGGTTCGATGATTCTAACAAAGCTGTTACAGCCGTGGCCACATTAAGATCGCCTCCTTGCGGCAAAACATGATCTACATCAAATGTAAAAATCTTTTCCAAGAGTAAATTGTGCCTCTCTTCACATAAATTGACATCAGCCAGCCTATTACCAACATCAGAAGTTTCTCCCATAATGACCTGGTTAACGTATTATAAACAAGTGGTACCACAGAAAAATATAAACCGTGTAAAAACGGATGAAATACTCGCAAAAATAGAACGTCTAATTCTCAAATTTAATATTTTTTAAATTCCATCCCGTCTGGAGGTTTTACATCGACTTTATTTTTGCTGACTTCTTTCCAATTTGTGCTCAGAACGGTTCCGCCGCTTTCCTGCATAGATTTCATCATTGCTTTCTTCCCATCTTCGTCCAAGTTCTCGTAAATTTGCTAAAATCAGATATCGAAAGGAAAGAGTAGGAACTACCTTGAAAAATTTATTTACACCTTCTTCTCCTGAGCATTCAGGGTCTTCATCTACCTCTTTGGCTAACTTATCCCATTGTTTTGTGCAAAATTTCTTCAGTTCCGGTGTTCGCTCCATTTTATCGCCACAAATATCCGCCCATTTCCCAGGAATCTTCTTTTTTAAAGTTATCTCGGCCTAAATATCGTTTTCATTACGGTTCCTACTGTCTACCTTATTTGGGGATAGTTTTACATCTAAATTCTCTTGCACATCAGAATGCAAATTGATTTGGAAGATCTCTTTTTCTCCTTCTCTCATAGTTAACCTCCGTTCGGAAACCGAAAGCTGACATTGTTCTGGATTTACACTCAACCGCAGGAGAGTTATAAACACCTCATAATCATTTTGGTACCAATTCCATTTACACTGAGCCATTCTGGAGTGATGGAGTGAATTCGAAGCCACGAAATTTTAATTTTCGATTTTATGAAAAAGCGACACTTGACTCATTTGCTTTTGGGTCAAGTGCTTCAGATTCGGGCGCAAGCAGGGGTGGTCAGTGGGCCGGGCCGGCCCGTCACGGGCCGGCCCGGCCCAAACGGGCCGGCCGGGCTCAAAAATGGAAAATTACAAACGGGCCGGGCCCGTCACGGGCCGGGCCGGGCCGCGGGCCTGGGGTTTTTCCGGCCCGGCCCGGCCCGTCTAAATTACAATGCCAAACCGTTGGCATTCATTGTTTTCGCGCCGGGAAAATTAATTGATGTTGTTATAGTTGCTGTTTCTCAAGTTCTAAAACGTTTACAAGTCTATAGTTCCATTATAAAACCACAAAACTATCACATTGATCCTTTACTAGCTATATCAACGCCTTTTTTGCCTAACAAGGGAAGTACCCGAAGTGCGACGCTCAGATTTTTATAAAAATTGGCATAGATGGAGATTAGAATTTTCTTATTCGATTGCGAACATCCTAGCTCGCGCTTTGCAGAATCCGCCGAGAAAGAAGGTCCGGAACATCGAAAAAAATCTTCAAATGCCGGCGATTTTCCCTGCAAATTCTCTTGATCTTGGCATTCCGTTCTAGGAGAAAAATATTTTTTCTCGCAAGAAATTTTTTCTTGATAATGTTCAAGACTATTTTGTTGCTTTTATGTGGAATATGGTGTTATTTTCACTTTTTTACACTTGATTATAGCGCTATTAATTGGATTGTCGCCATCCGAGGGGTAAAATGTTTCGTCCTTTGACGAATTTATACAGTTTTTCCTCTGCAGATGGGCAAACCACTCTAATAGTTGCTTTAAATTTGTTTAGGAGACATGCAAACGTTCTAGGAACGTAGTCATAAGGTAAGTGTTACAAACATTTTATTTTTTCACTATTTTTCAGTTTATGCCATTTCAGAAACAAAGTAAAGGTCCCAAGGTGTTTCGTCAGTGTTCCGATGGTATACATTCGCTGTTGTTGTTGTTCAGAATTTGCTCACTGAAAAATAATAAAGTTTTTGTAACACTTACTTTAAGATTATGTTCTTACGCGACCGTAGAACGTTTGCATGTCTCCTAAACAGCTTTAAAGCAACTATTAGAGTGGTTTGCCCATCTGCAGAGGAAAAACTGTATAAATTCGTCAAAGGACGAAACATTTTACCCCTCGGATGGCGACAATCCAATTAATAGCGCTATAATCAAGTGTAAAAAAGTGAAAATAACACCATATTCCACATAAAAGCAACAAAATAGTCTTGAACATTATCAAGAAAAATTTCTTGCGAAAAAAAATATTTTTCTCTTGGAACGGAATGCCAAGATCAAGAGAATTTGCAGGGAAAATCGCCGGCATTTGAAGATTTTTTTCGATGTTCCGGCCCTTCTTTCTCGGCGGATTCTGCAAAGCGCGAGCTAGGATGTTCGCAATCGAATAAGAAAATTCTAATCTCCATCTATGCCAATTTTTATAAAAATCTGAGCGTCGCACTTCGGGTACTTCCCTTGTAAGTTTAGATCCCAAGCTTGGGCGCAGTTCGCAGAACCCTCTATAAACGGGCCTGCACGGGCCGGGCCGGGCCAGGCCCGTCACGGGCCGGGCCGGGCCTGGAAAAAGACTAGACGGGCCGGGCCGGGCCGGTAATTAGACGGGCCGGGCCGCGGGCCGAAAATCGGAAAAATAGGGTCCGCTGACCACCCCTGGGCGCAAGATGCATTTTCTTGAAAAAGTTCCTTGATAAAGGCCTTTATAAAGGTACTCCCAGGGTAAAAGGACCGAAGATGAACTGACTATATGCTTTTTGACGTTAATCGTGTTGTTTTGGTTCCTAGTACTGCTTAAAAAGGCATTTTTAACACTTGGTGCTATATACCTGGCACTATTTAGTAGGAGGTGATAAATTGGCCGCACGGCGGTAATGGTGTTGGTTTGGTGCTTAGTACAGCCAAAAAACAAATTTTTAGCACTTGGTACTATATAGTACTTGAAATATACCAAATTTGCCAAATTTCATGTTCAGTCAGCACCACAGTTCATGTTCCGTCAGGCACCCCTCAGAAGAAGTATCGTGAAATCCAACTGGGAATTTTTAAAAAATGCTCGCTAGCTAGGGCGTAGAGCAGCTAATAAAGGGTGATCCTCAACCAGTTTTTTACGCTCTTTCAAATGGTATGTTTCAAGAAAAAACCAGGGGACGAGGTTTTGCTGAATCCTTGTAAGTCTTCCCTGACCAATCGATGTGGCGTTTCGTCACAAATAGAATTTTTGAGAGGCTCTTTGGCTGCATGGCTGTTTTTTCTCTTGTCTAGCTGGGGCAAAATCTTGTCAGTCTGTCGGGAAAATATCGGCGGGTCGTCGCGGCAAAATGTTTCGTCTCGTCGAAAAAGGGGTGCAGTCGCGCACCACATCCCCAACCGCGGCTTGCCGTCGCAAAGCGATGATGGGTGATTCCAAGGCGCCCGCCGTTATTTTCCCGACAGGCTGATGTCCTCTGGTCGGAAACTAATGTTTTAAAATTTTCTTTATTTTTTGAGACAGATTTCGTCCACCGAAAATTCTTCTAAAATAATTTTGATATCTAAAGTCTTGTCGTGAGTCGATAGTGTGTGGACGAAACTTCTATACGGGTCAGGAAATGCGCTGGGTTGACAGAATTTCCGTCTAACATGTTTTACGCGTAAACTTTACCTTGAACTTTCTGTTCGTTATGCTGTCCTAACCTTTTTCTTTCAGGATGGTGCGGGTTGTTATAAAGGGAGGTGTTTGGAAAAACACCGAGGATGAAATTCTTAAAGCTGCTATTATGAAATATGGAAAGAATCAGTGGAGTCGTATAGCATCTCTGTTACACAGAAAATCAGCTAAACAATGCAAAGCTAGATGGTACGAATGGTTGGATCCTAAAATTAAGAAGACAGAATGGAGTCGGGAAGAGGACGAGAAATTGTTGAACTTGGCGAAGATTATGCCAACTCAATGGAGAACAATTGCTCCAATCGTGGGGCGAACAGCAGCACAATGTCTCGAACGGTATTTATTCACGGTGCTTCTTAAAATGTTTTTTCAGGTATGAACAGTTATTAGATGAAGCCCAGAGAAGGGCCGAGGGATTGGATGTAGATGAATCCTTGAGTGAAGCAAAAAAACTTAAGCCGGGTGATGTTGATCCAACTCCCGAAACTAAACCAGCAAGGCCAGATCCCATTGATATGGATGAGGATGGTAAGAATTTGTTGGTGTTTTGATCGTGTTTTTAGAGTTGGAAATGTTATCAGAAGCTCGGGCAAGGCTGGCGAACACTCAAGGAAAGAAAGCGAAAAGGAAGGCCAGGGAAAAGCAACTGGCTGAGGCTAGAAGGCTGGCAACATTACAGAAAAAAAGGGAATTGAAGGCGGCCGGAATTGTCTTGGTTAACAACTTTAAAAACAAAAAGAAGCCTGAAGTTGATTACAATGCGGAGGTACGGTTTCTTGATTTTTTTATTTCCTAATTTTTAGATTCCGTTCGAAAAACATGTGCCAGCTGGATTCCATGATCCAAGTGAAGATAGATTCGACAAGAAACCAGTTAATTCGATAGAGGAAAAGAGGAGAGATGCTGTCGAGTTCGAAGAACGCAAAAAAGATCGAGAAAAGCTCAAGAGGAAGAAGTGGGTACCTATTCCATGTTTTAAATTATTGTTTTAGGGAAGAAGATGCCCCTACATCCATCTTCGATTCTAAGAAGCCAAAACTTCGGTCGAAACTCACGTTGCCACAACCCCAAGTATCAGAGAATGATCTTGAGAGTATTGTGAAGATGGGACAAATGACGGAATCTGTTCGGTCTATTGTTGATGAAAATCCCAGCAGGTAATTATGTGTGCCTGGTCGAACTCAGAATGGTTAAATCCTTGAACTCATAAATGAGTAAAAATACTAAGCAAAGACCGTCGGATTTCTTAATGAAAGGCCTCTGCTTCGTTCCGTTATGCAACCTCCAAATTTTTAATGGTTTAATCATTTGGGTGTTCTGTCGTATTTATAGCTTAAAAGAAGATCTAAACTTGAGTTGTTAGATTTTATATTAATGTTTTCAGTGCTCTGCTACATGATATTTCGAAAACCGAGGATGCCTTTGCTCCTAAGTCCACAAGAACAATGACTACAAATGTGGACACCGTTGCGCGTGTAAGGATTTTGTTTGAAATTGTTTATTTTTTGGTTCTTAATTATTACGCAACTCACGATTTCTTTAGGCGGCGGACGACTTATTGGCAATTATGACTGCGGACACTCCATTAAAAGGCGGATTTAACACTCCATTGCACTCAGCGAATACGACCGAGGGACTTACTGGTAAATCTTAATAATATGGTACCATGTTTACTTATAATTTAGATAAAAGATATATTGAGACTCCGAGGACAGAACGGCGTGTTGGTGGAACGTTGGAAGAAGGTCATGGAATGTCCACAAAACTTCGGAATCTGCCCAATCCAACGAATGACTTCGAATTAGTTTTGCCTGAAGAAGAGGAGGAAGAAGAAGGGAAACTGGAAGACGTAAGGACAGGCTTCGTTATAAGCTATTCTTCAGGAGTGGATCGAAGATGCTGAGAATCGGGATGCGCGAGCTCAAGCATTGGAAGGAAAGCGGAAAGAGAGAGAACGGCAGCGGAGAAGTGAGCCTTTCAAAAGAGAATTACCATTGCCCGAGAAGATTAATGCACATTACAGAAAGAAGAATGTGGCCAATACTGATCTGGCAAGAGTAAGTTACGCACCTTTTTGGTTGTTGCAATTTAACATTAAGGCTGATAATTTGATAAAAGATGAAATCCACAGAATGATGGAGTGGGATGTCTTGGGAAAGGCTCCTTCTGATGTGTATGATCCCGAAATGATGGCTCAGGCAAGTGCTCTGATTAAAATGGAGATGGAAGAGGGACCTAAACTTGATCTCGGCATGTGGAACATAATCAAAGAATGCGCGGACGAACTAATTTGTTATGACGGAAGGTACACTCGGCTCAGTAGTTTGGGGCGGCGAGAACAAGTCGAGGCCTTGACAGCCAAATTTAATGTAAGTTGAAATGATAAATTATGCAAATCATGTCCCCAAGGCAATTGAATTTGGCCAAGTTCTTGTGGTTTTCTTTCCGGAGGGGACGGGACTCATTTAATCCCGGCTGAGCCAGCCTCTTTTATTGGCCATCTCACTTCTCCTCTTACACATTTGAACCGGAACCCATTCAAAAGAAGTCCGCAGGCTAATTTCCTGTTATGTTCATACGATACCTTTTTTGTTTTCAGGTTCATCGAGAATGGATGGGCCTTCTTTCGAAGAAGACGGCCAAGATTGAGAAGAAGGTTAGTGTTTTGGTCGGAGGATATTTGGTAAGTTGGGAGAACGAGGATGGTTACCTGTCATTCCAGGGCATTCAAAAGAATTTGTTGGACAAGATTCATCGAAGTCAAAAGCAGAAGGAAAAGTTATTGTTGGAATTAAAAACTTTCCAAAGACTGGAGGAGAATGAAGACCGGGCGATGGTTAAGCGCGTTCACACTCTCAACGAGGAGGTACACCTTTTTATTGCATAATACCCGATTTTCTCAGATTACTTATGTCCCTTAATTAATCGCATGTTTTAGTTGAGTTCCGTGGAATCATATCAAAGAGAACTTCAAGAGACCTACTCCAAACTCCAGCAGAAGAAATGGGCATTGGAGCAGTTCGAGATCAAACAAAAGGCTAGCGAATCGATGCCCCCTGTCAGTTACAATCGCCCCTGATCATCTTATTTATTATTATTTACGGGACCATGTTATTTTACGAGTTCCATAAACCTTTTTTTAAGAACAAAAGAGGGCATGGATTGAAGAGCTAGCAGCGACCTGATCTAATCCGATCTTATTTAGCGCTTCCATTTCTTTGTCCCTTACAACAAGTGCCCACTCTCGAATGCGAAAGGTCGAGACCGAGGAATCCAAGGTTACGGTCGAGAGGGGATTTAATTTATGTGATTGACAGTCCGGATGGTTTGTCCAGGAATGGGCGAGCGAGTCATGCCGCAGGTGGCTGTATCGGCACTTGGCGCCCCCCACTGTTAGCTGTCCATGGCAGGACACAAAATGTCATTCAGCCGGCGATTGGGCCCAGTCTTTATTCTCTGTCCATTTTTGAGTCGTAATTCATCCTGACCCGTGCCGTTTCTCTCCTCCGATCAACGCCCATTATAATGGAACAAAACATTTATTTTAATTTCAACAAAATCTAATGATGTCGTTTTGTGGCAATAAAGACTTAAATGAATATAATAGAAAGTATCACAGGGAGCGAGGATCAACGTACAAAAAAAATCTGGTTTGAATCGCGACTGTTCGGCTGTCAAAGACCCGTTTACTGCTGCGTCACACTGTACAGAATCTTGGCCAGGTTTGTTGTCGGCGGAAAACTACCAAAATACAGTAACCGACTCAAACAGAACCACAAAAATAACGAAAAGACTTATCATTCTTGTGACTTGGCCAATATAATGGAGAAAATGCGAAGGAGGATAAAACTTTACACATTAGTACTGGTAACCGTCACTGTGTTCTAGATGAGTGGGAAGATGTGTTGTTCCCGAAGAGGGACACTGATTGGAAAGACTCGAATTACTCACATTCTGGCCATATCCGGACATAGCCACCACCGCAGATTGAAGAACAAGATCAGATCCTGGATAGGGCTGGGGCGTCGTCATTCTCTTTTCCTTTTGTCGGCGGTTACAAAACCATACTCGGACCACCTCCTTCTCCAGTTGAAGATCATTGGCCACACTTGTTATCTCCTGAGCATTCGGCTTCGGATTCTTTTGGAAGTGGAATTCTAGGCGGCTCTTGATCTGAACTTCGATCGACGTCCTCTTTTTCCGTCGACGTCCAGCAGCACCACCAAGGCCCACCTTGTCCATGCCCGATCCCATTGAAAGAGATGAAGACTGGTTACTGGCTGCATCGGCTTCTTCCAACCATTTGAACAGGAGTGGTTTTAGCTTGCACATGTTCTTGAAGGAAAGCTGTAGAGCCTCGAATCGACAGATAGTGGTCTGCGAAAAAACGTTTCCATAGAGGTTTCCCAGCGCCAGTCCAACATCAGCCTGGGTAAATCCCATTTTGATTCTTTTCTGTTTGAATGTCTTGGCAAAAGCTTCTAGATCTTCCGAACTAGCTTCTTCTTCCGGGCATCCCGGAATGTTGAGTCCAGCCGAGTCAGGGCGGGCCAATGAGTTGAGTTCTTCATTGGTCATGCATCCATAGAATTGAGGCCATTGTTGTTCGATCGCAACGGCCGAAGGCAACTTCTGTATTACGCCTTGATTTTGTTCCGTTTTCACCTCCTGAAGAAAGAAACATGTTACGTAATAGCGCACAAGGGAAAAATTAAAAATCTTTTTATTTATTTTCTAGCTTCAACGAACGAGGATGATTACCATATTCGATTCGAGAAGCTAACAAACAAGGAAGATGATTCAAAAATGACTCATATCCGGACTTACCTGAAGATTTGGCAAAACATTGGAAGAGGAAGCCTGATTGTGAATATTGTAGAAGGGAGTCATGCATTGAGCATTACTGGTCACCAAAGAACTTGTATCTTGAAATGCCAGATCTTGTTGAACGAGCAGTGGCTGAGATTGAAATTGAGGAGGATAAGAAGCCATCCAGTCTTGTTGGAATATAAAGGGATGATAGGCCTGGGTGATGTGGGCAGCACTCGATTGGGATGACATCCAATATCGAGGATCTGTCATCGTCGCCGTCATGTCGAGCGGCAGTTGTTGTTGGAGGGAGAGATGATGGAGAGCGGAGTTGTTGTCGTCCTGATGGGGCAACGAGGTTTGAACATCCACTCCACTGTCAATGGTGCCGGTCTCTTCAGGTCGGGAGGCACAAGGACTGCTCTTGATCAAGGGCTGCAGAGTGTCGTTGTAGCATTCCTCAAACTGATTGGTGGCGGAAGAAACTCTCTGCATGGGGCATATCATCTAAAAACACGAGAGGAAGGCGGCCAAAATTTTTTCGACGGTTAATGTGAAGGCCTTTTCGTGGAGCACAGTGTTGGCAGGAGTTGGAGTATTAGTGGTAGAGAGTCTTCCCGTTACCAGACCAGCGACCAGGTCCCGCCCCTTTGGACCCTCCTTTTTGTGGCTGAGGGAGAGGAAAGGGGGGGGGCGACAACCACTCCTCGCCCTCAACTCTTTCAAACAGCGCTCTCTGATTGGCGGAGGATTCTCGGTCGAGACTGTCAAGTTCCCTTCCTGTGGCGACGCCTGACAATACCTGTGGCGATCAGCCGATCAATCTCTGCCTTGAGGCCCTTTTTGGAGATTGTTTTTGGGAAGAGCCAGGGAAGAGAACAGGAAGGCCCTGGCGATTATGCAAATGAGGTGGGGAGAGGGAGAGTTGTTGGCGGCAGTCGGCCTGGTGAGGAGAAGCGTCGTCCGACCTGGCCGAACCTCTTCCGATGTCGAAGAATGCATGACTTCAAAAAAGGGAAATTCCTTCGGAGACATTTTATGAAATTACTTACAAATACCGTATCACGCTGATATATACGGAAGCAGAGTTCCTTAAAAATTATAAGGCGATGACTCAAACACTCCCTTTGTTACAGAAATATTTTTGGCTTCGAAGAGGCCGTGCGACATGGATGGGACTTTATGTTGCCTTTAAGCCTAAAACTTTTTTGGTTCTGTGGAAACCCGGCTTTATTTGTCTTGGAAACAGTGAATGTATTAAAATCAGGGTTTTATTCATGGAAGCGAAGGATAATGCCATAGGATTTGCAAATGTGGTTTGGGAAGGCTTGAACCCGGTAATTGAATAAACGAACAACTTCTTGCCGCAATCTGGCCACCTGTTCGCGCTTCCCGCAAGCGGCGCTAAGCCGAGGACCCGCCTATTAAGCACATCTCTATAATCGCTATTAAGTTGTTTATGGCCGGAGAAAGTAATTTCATTTAGTCTACCGTACAGTCGGCCAAACGATTCCCACATTAGTTGGGTCGTTGTCACGGCCTCGCCTTCCCCGTGGACCACCTAGGCCGCACAAAGGGAGAGCGACATGGGACAACTCATCACACCCGGGACTCTCGATTCGATGCCATCTCCTGAATTATTCATGAGATGGCTATGGCTGGAGATGGCGCGCAAAGGTGGTCCTCCTTCTATTAGTCAGGTGCGAACAACTGATATGTCCGGATTCGAAAAATAAAGTTATTTACTTCTTTTTGTGGACATAGATACGGTAGGCAGACCGAATAAGTAATGGTTGCAGCAAATATCAGATTTAAAGAAAAATCCGCACAAAATAAACTCGGAGCATAAATAGCAACATATGCCTAGACTTAATTGTAAGGTCATTCAGAACCTACAGAATCGACTGGAGAGACAACCCTTCTTATATCATCCCGAGTGCATCGACTGAAAAATTCTGGAGAGAAGGCAGGTCCAGCCAATAAATATTTAAAACTCGGGAAGAATATTTTAATTGATTATACATGGAGCCGCAATGTAAACGTATGCAAATTCGATCAGCGGAGGGACGAGAATATAGAGAACGGAATTTATTTCAAAGTCAAACAAAAACAGTGGAAACGGATGAATGGGACGCAACGAGTAATCTTTTAGAATACCTCCTTCTTCTTCCTCTTCTTGTCTCGCTTTGACTCTTCCTGTTCTTCCACGAGTTCTTCTTCTTCATGCTCTTCTTTTATTTTTCTTTTATTCTTTTTCTTCTTCTTTCTTTTCTCCTCATTATCAGATTCTGTAATCACTTCTTCGACCACTTCCTCATCAGACCGTTTCTTAAAGAGATTTCCCCATTTCTTCATCTTTTCAGCATAATAATCAGAAGCGGAAATGCTTTTCTCGGTGAAATGTTCTTTGTTTACAGTAATCTCCTCATCATTTTCGACGTCTTTCTTTTGTTTCCTGGACATTTCTTCGGTAGACTTGTCCTTTCTGTTTCCAAAGATTGCATTCTTATCACGTTCGGACGCCAGAGAGAGATCTTTTCCACGAGTGAACTTGTAACTGCAACGAGACTGTATGGTCTTTCTCTGTGACTTACTGTATTCTTTTCTTGGAAGACTTGGAAACTGATTGGATGGAGATGGTTTCCCCCTTCTCTGGCTGCTCTTCTTCATTCCCGGAACCACTCTTCCCTTGATTCAATTGTTTTAACAAAGCAGCAAAGTCATCATGACAAGCAATCCATTGATCATGTTGTCGTGTTTTGTGATCGGCGCCAAGTCCTAACGAGCAAGTTAAGAAGAAAGAGGCGCACTCACCGGCACTTCTGTAATTTGGCTTCAGCTTGATGTTTTCGGAAGCTCCTTGTTCGTTGCGACCAATGCCTTTACCATCAGTCCATCCCATTTTGGACAATAACTTTTTCCCAATCGTATCTCCATTCCTCCAGCGCACATTCTGGGGATCTACGCTTATTTTTTGCTTCCTTCGAGGCTCGGCCAACATATTTAACCCTTCAAACGAATTACAGAATGAAAAATACCAATCGTAAAATCAAAGGTATCCGATGAAACAAATCACACAGGAAACCAACCCTTCATTGGAAAATAATTTTAATACCCGAAATAAATAAAACTACCAAGATCTAGCTATTTAAGAGTCAAGACCCATATCTGGGACATGCCCAACATTTTCATGGGGGCTGTTTGATAAAGGGTACCAGCGGAAACAAGGAGCTTGCTCGGTCCCACATCATATACTCCATACCAAAAAGGAAGGGCCCAATACACATACGGAACGAGAACATAAAATTGGCCGGCATGGGTGTGGCCTGGAATGACGTCGTAAACACGCATATGTGTTGTTCTTACCGGAGACAATCAAATCGACCGTCCTGTTGTACTCTCTCGAAGCATTTACAATCTTGGGAGCCGCTGCTGGATTGTGTTCAAGAACCACAATATTGTGGTCTGACTTACACTCGGATATCGCTTTCAAATCCATAAAATGGTTCGAAATCCTAAAAGGTATACTTCTAAAGGACCCCGCTTACCCGCTCTTGTTGCTAGAAATGTCATTCAAACCAACAAAACACGTGCTTCCAACAACCACAATTCTAAAAAAATAAATTAGTCAATACAAGGACGACCTTACCCGTTCTGCAACACATTTATACCCATCTCTCCAAAATGAACAACCCAATCACCCCAATTTCCATAGTAATATTCGTGGTTTCCAGTGACAAGAAACGTTCCCAGTCGACTTCGCAGATGTCTCAAAGGTTCAACTCGGTCTTTTATCTGCTCCACAGGAGCATCTACTGTGTCCCCGACCAAGAAGATGAGGTCGGGATCAAGTTCATTTACCCGATCGACTACACTTGCGATCTGATCCGTATAAACTGATGCCCCTGAATGAAGGTCGCTCAACACAAGTACTCTGATCGAATCGTTCAAAGGATGATTGAGTTGAAAAGAAGTTTTGTGAACGGTGAGCTTATCACTTGATACCCATTGAACAAAGCAAAGCACAACAGTGAAAGTAATGGTGACCACAACTTGGAATTGATGGTCGTTGATAAATAAATGCAGGAGATCACAACGCCACAGCCGACCGGAGTAAACCTTTCCCCAATTAAACAACTGTAAATAGCCATTAAGACAACTGAACTACCTACCTTCAAAATGTTGAAAACATAATTAGAATAATAAAACATAACCGAACAGAAAAAGAGGTGCATCCACAGGCCGCAAAAGATATTAAACAGCTCAAACAATGGCCATGGAATGTAAGGAAACAAGTAAAACACGTAGGCCATATGGGAACCGGTCATCACGAACAAAAATAAATACAAACACTTCCGTTTAGCGCGTTTCAATTCCTAAAATGAGAAATCAAAAACATTTTGTATAACACTTACAGTTCTCGATTTGAATGAAACTAAAGTGAATGGTGGATTGAAGAACGAAAACATGTGCAAGTAGATAACCCAACTAAGGTTGGCCATCAACGAAACTAGTTGGAAGATGGAAAACATCCGCTTGGCGTTTCCATATTCATAGCCAGTGATACCGGACAACTAAAAATAATCAATAGAAGAATAGTGTAATCTTACGTAATAAAAACTGATCCGGTTAAGTATAAAACGAAAGGTGAAAATCAGAGCAACGATGATAAGCGTAAATTTGATTGTCTTGCAGATCTCAACGCCTGTACTCATACCCTAAAATAATGAGCGACATCAAAAAGACTAAGGTAATTATAATCTGCGAATCCACACATAAAATAACTCCGCCATTATGATGGTAACTGTTTTATCAGAGGTAAAAACAAACAATCTTATAAAGATATATTTTACTTTCACAGTCCAAGAAGTAGGTAAAGTCAGACCAATTTAACAAACGTGCGAATACTTACACGCAATCATAACTTGCATCAGGGCGCCCGTAATCTGATCAAAGGAATTTCGCACAACTGCCACATTTTAACTGGGGGACCCCAGTAATTGACACCGGCGGACACGAATACTTGAGTCTTCGTGAGTACGTCTTGATAAAGGCCATGAAGGAAACTGTTCCCGAGATAGGCAACTGGCCAAAGGACATAGAGTTGGCCAGCATGCGTATGACCTAAACTACGATGACTTTTTGGTGTGAGACAACGCACCTGAGAGGATCAGATCTGCCTTATTCGGCAAGAGTTTCATAATCTGAATAGCAGCATTGGGTTGATGTGCAAGGACCACTAAAGTGTGATTGTCGGGACACTCTTTAAATGCCTTTCCCGGGTCCATCGAATGACCTAAAACCATTCAAACTCAAACGATTTCTCCAACATTACCTTCAATAAACAGTTTTCGTGTATGGTAGTCATCGACCCCAGCAATGCAGAGTCCTTCCTTCACTACTCTGTTCTCATTATGCAAAACATTAAAACTCAAATTCTTTCTGAAGAAGTTTAACCAATTGTCAACATCGTCGTGATAATATTCGTGATTCCCTGTTGCGTAATACACTCCGTATTTCGTCTTTAAATTTGCCAATTCCACGGCAACATCATCTAAATTATATACAAATCCATCCACAAGGTCCCCGGAAATAGCCACTGCATCCACAGCAAGGCTGTTGACAATGTCCACTATTTGTTTCACACGGTGTTTATGAACTGTGGGGCCGATGTGGACATCCGTTATTAATGCAATTGTAAAACCATCCGCACTTTTGGGTAATGTTTTGAGTTGGACCTCTACTTCGTAAACCTATAAAAATTATAAATACTTGAGAAGGGTTTACATTAATGTCGCTTCGAGTCGACAACACTCCATAAAAAGTCAGCAGGACAGACAAGCAGACAGCAATCCCTGTATGAAGACTTTTTGAAGTTAAAATTGGATGCTGAAGTCGATGAGGTAGAATCCAGTAAACGATGTGCTCCCCCAAAGTAAACCCAATCGAAAATATCATGAGATGGATGAAGAAGGCGACAGAAAGGAAGCTGAACCAGCTTGGATTAACACAAACGTTATTCTCACCATAATAAAGCAATCCCTGGGATCTCTTCTGTCCTCACGTAGTGCCCAATATAAGCCAAGTGAGCGCACCCAATTATAAAAAAATAGATAAACTTCAGAATAGTATCATTGGTTTGACAAAACTTTTGCAAGAATCTGAAAGGAGTGACTTTAATGCCATGGAACCTACAACTTATATCTGTAATGAAAGAAAAGATACGAAGCCAATGCCATGAAGAACTGAATATTCAGCAATTCGTAGATGCGGAACACTTGAGCATGTTTACTTCCTGTGGCTATACACCTCAAGACCAGAAAAAGGGCTTGGAAAAGCAAAAAGAATATAAACCAACGCCCAAGGAAACCCATCGCTTCTAAACGACGTCAATACATATAGTAGGATCACACAGTTCAAGTAGATCCGGAAAACAAATCCGTTTCCGAAATATCGCAATCAGACAACCATTAGTTTATTGTAAATATGTAACATTAGACATCTGAAATGTTATCATTTCCCGAGATACTGCCAATTGCCAGAAACATGGCATTCTTGAAGTTGCTCAGACTTTCCTCAAACAGTCTAAAAGTATGAGTGTTCATTCAAACAAGCAAACACTCACTCTTTATCCAATACAATTTTATGAGGTGCTCTGACATCGTTTAAGTCCTTTCTAAAAACTTAATTAACCATCCGCACCTACCGCCATACCTTAAATCGTCATCAATATAAGAATCAAACGCCTCTTCAATTGCTGTGGCATCTATAACGATTTGGGTGGCATGCTCATCACTGCGAGTGATCACAGTCTTCAGGACTTTTACCAATTGTTTTGTCACAATCCTAACAGCCGATTGAATAACCTAAGGCAACTCAAGAAATAGACATACAACATACTTTTGCAGACATAACGGGAATAACAAGATTCAACTCGGCCTTAACAAAGATCATGCCCATAACAAGTTCCTTGATATAGGAGGAGACATCTGCAAGAAAAATTAAATTTTACTCAACAACCAACCGTCTTCTTCTGGGAGATGATCGTATGAAATACAGTCAACTAGTGAAAGCAAGGGTCCAGTTTTCAGTTCCAAATATTTGGAGACCAACTCAGCACGGAGTACTGTCAGTTCCCCTTTGGTCTTCTGTAAAAACCATTAACCGCACACGTATGGTCACCCACCTCCAGAATAAGATCGCTATACTTCATCCCGTTGTCCGCTAACTTTCTACAAATATGCGGCAAAGAGGTCTGCAAAATGTAATCAAGATTTGAGATAGCCGTTAGAAGACGGCGACCATTAACTTCACTCGCAGGCTTACTCCGATCTACAAGTGTAATAATTTTAGAACAATTTTATCAGAAAAACCCTACCTTCCACTGCACTGTTGATTGACCCACTATCAGATTCATTCACCAAATACAATCGATGAGGTCGTTTTCTCAACTTTATAGCCAATAATTGCTCTAGGCAGTCTTTAATGGAGCCAACCACCAGCATGTATCTATCCACAATCATCTGCCGAATTGCATCATTTACAAATAAATCATCTTCAAAAACCCCTCCAGGAGTCAAAAGGGAATTCGTGGAATCCAACATCTCGTTAATCTAAAGCCAATAAAAACAACAAGCCAAGGTTACCTTGGCCTCATAGAGATCGGGAAGTAATGTTTTAAAGTTTTGCGCTGCATAGTCAATCTTCCAGTTTTCTTTTGATGATAAACCCATAATACCTAAAAAACAAGGTGTAAGAGTCGACGAATCTCAATGTTAGATACCCACCGTTTATTACAGTTGTTGTTAATATTTCGATTCCCTTGATTTTTAAGGTTTTTGAGAGCTCTACCAAAGGATGAACTTGGGTCCTGTCAAACTGGGAGTCCAATAAAGTTTTGAGCGCATTCCTATAATAAAAAAAACAACAACAAAAATATGACATACCTCAGGGCTTTTATCGCTTGTATCAAGAGTTCGACCTGTCCGTACCCGTCAACCAGTGTCTCCGAGAAAGTTGCGAACTTATTTCCGTAATCGTCTTTGACTCGTTGAGGGATCGCTTCGGGCGCAATGGCATTCAGAACCAGCCAAGACCCGAGATTAATAGTGTTAGACGCCATTTGCTAGAATTTAAATATGGAATTATTTTTTGTTGTCCGCAACGACTTCTCACTGTCCGTAAATGATAACCTTTTCGTGTATACCTCAATGTTTAGCAGCAAATTTGATGAGAAAGTTTGGGATATTACTCTTAAACGTCTTTTTCTCTTACTCCCGAGTAATTCACGCGATAGACAAGCACTCTGGATAGAAAATATGATAATATTGCACATTATATCGGTGATTATTAAAGCAAAAACAAGTACATCTTCTATACATCTATTTTTCTAGTATACAGGGTGTTTCAAGAAATTTGACAGAAACTAATTGCGAATATCTTTGAGCTCTTGCTAGTTATCGCAGAAATTCTTTTTGTTTCTAAAACTTGATATCGGGCGGTTTTGTACTGAACAAAAAAAAATTTTTTTCGTCGGCGGAGAGGCCAGTTCTCGGCGGAGGCGTTTGGGGACTTTTTTAAAAATCACACCATATTACATGGTGGAAACTCTGTTACAATGGCCAAAATCATGTTTACGTTAAACCTCCGTGGATTTTACGGTATGCTTTTTTTCGTTTTCGATTTTCGCTCATCCGCGGAGGCACGGCGGAGACCTCAGGTTTCGGCGGACGTCGTTTTGAGCCTTTGGATCATTCAATTCAGGTTGGAAAAAAGTGTGGGGTGATTTTTTGTTGTCACCCGATGCACAGATGCAAAAATTTCGCACTTTTTTTCCCCGGCGGAGGATTCGGCGGAGGCTTTACCAAAGGGTCAGAACAGTCTTAGGAGTCCGGGAAAAAACTCAGCTACAAGAATCCATCACAGCAACACCATTTTTCTTATTTTTTGATCCTGCGGACACATCGGCGGAGGATTCGGCGGAGGCTTTATCAAAAGAGTCAAAATTTTGTTTTGACCCTTTGATAAAGCCTCCGCCGAATCCTCCGCCGGGATAAAAAAGTACAAAATTTTTGCCCTGTGTGCATCGGATGACAACAAAAAATCGCCTCAACCTTTTTTCCAACATGGATTTGCAAAAACCGAGGGCCCAAAACAAAGTCCGCCGAAATCTGAGGTCTCCGCCGCGCCTCCGCGGATGTTGCGTAAAATCGAAAACGCAAAAAAAGCATACCGCAAAATCCACGGAGGTTTAACGTAAACATGAATTTGGCCACTGTAACAGAGTTTCCACCATGCAATAAGGTGTGATTTTTAAAAAAGGCCCCAAATGTCTCCGCCGAGAACTGGCCCCTCCGCCGACAAAAAAAATTTTTTTTTGCTCAGTACAAAACCGCCCGATATCAAGTTTTAGAAACAAAAAGAATTTCTGCGATAACTCCCAAGAGCTCAAAGATATTCGCAATTAGTTTCTGTCATACTTCTTGAAACACCCTGTATTAGAGGAATGCTTGTTACTTTAAACACCAATTGGATTTCTCCTTGGGCACCTTTCTGAAACTTTTTTCATAACTTTTCATCCCAAACTTCGCTAAAAAGAGTCCCATTTTTTCAAAATTTCGATCAAAAAATCTCAGTGGTTTCTGCAAAGCGCGAGCTTAGAAGTCTCGCATGCCTTTTAAACAATTTTTCTCAATTTGTGATAAACTTCATCAAAATCTGAGCGTCGGAATCGGAGTACTTCCCTTGTTAATATACATATATTGTCATACACGACGTACCTTTACACCATCAATGTTGTTGATTTCTTTATTCGAATTCGAGTAAATGGAAGCCAATTTCATGAAAGACATCAATTTGTCGCATAGAAGATTCAATAGTTCGGCCACGAACGAGTTCGTGTAGCTTCGTTTATCATTACCTAAAACATTGATTTTACTTATTATAAAAGAGAGCGTACCCGTGTTTTCGTACAATTTCGCATCAGCCATAATCGTATATTTAGTCTGTAAATCCCACAACTGATCTTCCAGCCAACAATGATAGGTGGTCACACAATTCCAGCCAGGGTTTGAGTCCGGATCCAGAATCATTAAGTATTTAATCAACTTGCTCTGCTCCTCCAAGGATGTTGGGATTCCTATTAGACGCTGTTGCAAGGTTTCTTTAAACTTGATAATCTGCTGGTTTAATCGTTCCATAACTAAATTATAGACCAATATTTAAAAACTATTTACACTTGTACCACCATTACAAACAGACATACCTTCCTTAAAGAGCGTTATCTCAGTGCCCTTGAACAGCGACTTTGCTCTCGAATAGTCGCTCAAAATGGCCGCATAATCACCCTGTAAGCTCAATTCAACTTATTACAAGCTGAAATACACCTACAGCATTCATATTCTCCTCGATACTCTCCACCAAGAAAAAGATGAATCTGAATCTTGTCAGAACGGAGAGGGCATTTCTTGTGGCATCAGCCTTATCTTTCCGACTAAGGACATCCGAAAACAACTTATCAGACGTTTCTCGCGCTGCGCCAATCTAAAAATTAATAGACACTTCGCGAGAAGTTGAACCAGCCGGCAGCGACGGTGCGCGGTAGAATTTTACTACGGCATCTTTTGAGTAGAAATAATACAGTGAGTCATCATGAGAAAAACGGTTTACAATGTCCATACTTTTGTAAATTTGTCATAAATTCGTCACCATGACATTTTTTCAAAATTGTTTTACGGATTAGGGTTGTTAATTTGACATTTCAAAATGACGTCAAGTTGTGTCAAATTACCGTCATTTTGGCAGAATTGGGAATTTTGTTATACAAAGCTTTCACACGCGAGTTTAACATAGACTATGATGAATACCGTTAATATTAGTGGTAACTAGTTATATTGCTCATTTCATCGTTTTGACCAGAAGGAGCAATCTAGTTCCGAAATTTTTAAAATTCTTACAACTTCTTAGCCAAAATTAAAAAAATTTTCCAAAAAAAGTTCAATCTGACAATCAAAATGACACAGCAATTTGACATGAAGAAAATCACGGCAATCTACAACGTCACTGACGCGTCAAGTTGACGACTTAACAACCCTACTCGCAATATTATTTCAACTCAAAAAATGGCTTAGAAAAATTCTACTGCCACCGCCGATTCAAATTCTGGCGTATCTTTTTTAAGCAATTAACGTGACAAAAGCCGCAATTCATGAACATTGCAATAAATTTACCCTCTCGGCTACAGCTGTCGTTAAAGGCCACCCGTGAGCTTCGCAATCACTCTCGATCGTCTTATGAAGAGAATCCAGAGCATCCACACAGTGAATAAGGGAATATAGGTTGCTTTTATGAACATCTTTAGAAGATTCCTTCTCCTTCGTAATCTCTTTCTTCAAATTTGAGATACCCACAACTATCTCCGGCAATCTATAAAAATCTAGGCTATTTAAAGTCTACAAAGCCGTACCTGGAAGATTTATAATTTTCTAACATATACCATGCGGGATTAAAATTGTTCATACGAAGATTTCCGGACGAATCGGGAAACGCTTTTTGCAGAATCGTTGCATCTGTAACTTCTCGCCTAAAAGCAAGAAATAGTAACCAAAAGTGATACTTACGTAGATATTCCAAGGATATCTTTGCTGGGATGGCTTTCATTCACATTCCTGACCGTGTTTCTAACTGGAAGTGTCCTTGTCTCATCCACCCAAACTGAGCTCTCAACCAAAGGACCAATTTGCTCGAAAAACACCCGAAACTGAACGTTGGAAACCCCTCTTCCACCACTTCTGGTAACCAGAATAATATCGCCTAGTCCTCTTTTGGCTTGCCCTACTCGAGCTACGATTTTAGACGGACTTTTCCATTTGGCTGTCAACAGACAATCAGTTCCACATATAATGAGTGCGACAAGATCGGAAGGGCCATTTCCCAAATTCTCGCCTCGGATGGTGACCTGAGTGCCTGGGATCCCGTCTTTTGGCGACACCCCAGTAACCACAGGGGAGTTTAGTCGAACCTCCATGAGATCTTCTAAAGCGGAAAAAAACATTAATTCTACATCACGGAAACCTCGTCATTATGACACCTACTATTTTTATGAAACCTACACCTATGAAAAATTTTTAAAATTTTCCTCCGAAAAGTTTACCGTCACATGATCAGCAATCTTCAAGATCTTACAGAATTTAAATATTTATTGTGCCAACATAAATTGGTTTTGTCGGAATGACTGGTTTTATAGACGTGTGGGATATTTTATACGATGAAACGTACAAAAAAAGCAAATATTTTATTATGCGAGGTTAGCTGCGGGATTAATAACATTTTAGTGTGTTAGCTGTATAACTTCCGTTATTTTCGAGACATCAAGGATCTGAAAACAGTATTTTTAATTAAGTGAACACAGTGTTTATACTGATAATATGGAATACATTTACAATTTAAGTGAAAAAACCATCTGTAGGAATTCTTCGTAATGTACAGTGATAAATCCATCCCGGTCCGCGTCTTTATCACGGAATGAAGCGGTCAGGGTCTGTAGAACAACACATAATTGAATAAAGTCATCAAAGATGATTCGATTACTATGGGTACGGTCGAATTTCTTTAGCAGTAGATCATAGAATTGATCAGATAAACGGTATCCTGAATAAAGTAAAAACAAAGCTGTGAATACATACCAAATTGTGTCAATGCTGCGATGAGTTCTCCTTTATCGATGTTTCCCGAATTGTCTCGGTCGAAACTTCGAAAGCACCGGGTCCAGTCGTTGATATAATTCCATAGTGCAGTGAACTCGTTAAAGTTTATAGCTCCATCCCCGTCCTTGTCGAACATGCCTGGAAGGAAGTTATCTTCGTCCATAAGGCTTACCGATCATTAATCTGCACGTTTCAGCGTTGAATGGAAGGTAGGTCCCATTAGACAGCGCTTTTTGGAGTTCTTCTCCACTGATTTGGCCAGAACGGTCCTTATCAACGGACTGGAAAATTTGCCAGAGATCTGGTTGAGCATTCATGTTGAGATATGTTAGGAAACGTAGTCCTTACTCCCCGTTGCTGAAATAATGAATCACATCAAGAGCGTTGGCATTCCGTTTTAAAGAAGAATGTCAGGGAATGCAAGAGCGAGTGATGCAAAAATCAACAACACATTGTTTGAATCACAACGGTGATTCCAAGGGAAGTCACATTGTTCGCAGATCGATCCATACAGCTGAGCGCAGAGTTATGGCTCGTCAAAGTTTACGCAAAAATACCCACCGAAAAGGCCTTCCAAAAACGGATTTCACAAAGTGAGCTTTGATAGTAGAGTGGATATCACGTTTTGGGAAGGATCCGGGTTCAATTACTTCTCCTGTCAATAACTCAAAAATCGTTTTGTATGAATAGCATAAAGTTAAAAAAAAAATTTTGTTTGAAAAATTAAACACTTTTTTGTTGTTTCTGATAGTTGAAACGATCATCAAATTGCGCACACGCGCGCATATTTGCTAATTTTTTTATGGTTTTGTCTAGCATTTTCTGCTGGTATTGTCGCATCAGGACATTTCCGGAATTTGGACACTTCCGCAATGGCGGAATAGTGACACTTCCGGAACCGGGGAAAAATCGAAGATGAGGCTTAGACCTGCCATCTGAACCATCTGACTGGATTTATTGTTATTAATCTCAAAAATTTTGTTATTTTTTTCTGATTTTTACTTTTTTCTTAAGTAGTATACTACTATAGTAGTGTTAAAAAGTAATTTTTTGAAATTTTTCTAAAAATACTGGATTTAGGGGTTTTCAAGGTTGCTTATTTCGAAAATCATGTTAATTTTTTTAGTTTTTTGACGGTTTTTATATGTTTGTTCGATATTATCCATGACGACTTTATCTTAACTAGGACGAATTCGGCGCCGTAAAAACTTTTGAGACGTGAAAGACATAAGTACTGAAGCGGCCATCGGATTTTGACGATCAGGCACTTCTGGCAGCCGTGGAAGACGACGAAAAAAGCTTGACAAAACACGACACGAATGCTGGCTGACCCTTTCGCAATGAAAACGATTTTCGTAATCAGTACCCTCGATCGAGTATTTTTAGAAAAAATTCGAAAAATTACTTTTTAACACTACTAGTTAAGAAAAAAAAGTCAAAACCATAAAAAACGAGCATCATTTTCGAAATCAGCACCCTCGCCCCTAAATCGAATATTTTTGGAAAATTTTCAAAAAATTACTTTTTAACATTACTACATAAGATAAAACTAACAACCCGAAAAAAATGAACCCGATATTCGAAATCAGCAACCTCGAAAACCCCTAAATCGAGTATTTTTAGAAAAAAAAAATCGAAAAATTACTTTTTAACATTACTACATAAGAAAAAAGTAACAATCAGAAAAAAATAACAAAATTTTTGAGATTAATAACAATAAATCCAGTCAGATGGTTCAGATGGCAGGTCTAAGCCTCATCTTTGATTTTTCCCCGGTTCCGGAAGTGTCACTATTCCGCCATTCCGGAAGTGTCCAAATTCCGGAAATGTCGTGGTGCCGGTATTGTATGCCCTCCAAAATTTCGTCGCCAAGCCTTGGCACAAGTTTAGCAATCGAGGAACCACTTGGTGCACCAGAAAACAACACAGTATTCTCCGCTTAAATTTCTTTTTGCCCTACTGTTTCAAACATCCGCACGGTGCGCTCCGACTTTATTGGTGTTGCAGCGACTGCCAGTCGCTAAATATGATCGCAAAGCGTTGTAGCCGGCCTTCTGATCCATTTTGCAAAAAATTGAAGGCTCTCCGGATGTTTCAGTGTCGCAATAAAGCGTTGTAAAGAACGCTCTTTTAAGATGCTAAATTAAATTGTTTTCCTTCTTGTAAGAAGTCCCACATCTTATTTTTATTTTTCAAGATGAATGCGAAGGGATCGGGGATTCCTGCTGGCTCGTCAACTCTGAAATCCCGTTGAAATTAGCGCTGTTTATAAGACGTCTCAGGTTTATTGGAAAGAATTGAGCCCAATGATTCAGCTGATTAGACGGATGCTTGAAGACCGTAATAAGCAACGAAGGAAGAAACTCGAGAGTCGAGAGATTTGCGCTCCCCGAAAACTGCAGCGAAGAGAGGGGGATCGCCGTTAAGAAGAACAACCCTGAGAGGAGTGTATTTTGGTCTTCTGCCTGCGAAATCAGTGTGAAAAATCGTGATCTAAATGCGCGCGTAACTTTCCTCTGCGCTTCGAAGTCCTGTCCGTGGTAAGGAAAAGAAGACTAAACGCACTTTGTTTTCACCTTCGTTCTGTCGCCATCGTCCGTTTTCTGACTGATTTGGGTCATGCACTAAGTATGGGTAACTGTCTCGGCAAGAAGCCGTCCACGGCGAGATCTCCGACGGCTCTGCTCACTTCGGCCAAGCCCATTCCTTACAACAACAGTGTGGAAAAGAGCAGCATAGTGTCATCTGCATTGCCCGCTTATCCCGCTGATTCCCTCAAGGCCGGAAACAAATCTCTCCCCGAATGTCGGAAAACTTCGGTAACCGGGAATATTTATTTGGCTTTGTACGATTATGAAGCCCGGACCGATGATGATTTAAGTTTCAAAAGAAATGACCTACTCGAAGTGCTTAATGACAGCCTCGGAGATTGGTGGTATGCTCGAAGTTTGGCAACTTCCAAGGTTGGATACATTCCGTCCAATTATGTGGCCAAACATCAATCCATCAGTGCTCAACCGTAGGTGTGTGTCGTCTTTTTGATGTCTTTTTTCAGTTGGTACTTTGGGAAAGTACGAAGGATGGAAGCAGAGAAATTGCTTTTATTGTCTTGCAATGAGCACGGCGCCTTCCTGGTGCGTGATTCGGAATCGAGGCAAAATGAATACTCTCTCTCAGGTTAGCCCCAACATTTTTCTTTTGGGAGACTTATTTTTTTAGTTCGGGATGGCGTTTCAATAAAACATTACCGTATCCGTCCTTTGGATCAGGGCGGGTATTTCATTGCCAGACGAGTCGTGTTCAATACACTACAGGAGCTAATCGAGCATTACACAAAGGATGCCGATGGCCTTTGCGTGAAATTGTCCAAACCTCCATCTCGGATCGAATCTCCCCAAACGTCTACGTTTACGTACGATGACCAATGGGAGATTGACCGAAGGTCTCTTCGACTTATCTGCCAAATCGGGTCAGGCCAATTTGGAGAGGTATGTACTTCAAAATAACCTTCGTATTTCGTACTGATATAATATTCTTTTACGACAATCGGTTACACCAATTGTAAATTTAGGTTTGGGAGGGTCGATGGAATGGAACAACACCGGTCGCTGTTAAAAAGTTGAAACCCGGAACTGCCGATATTGAAGACTTCTTGGCCGAGGCACAAATAATGAAGAGGATGAGGCATCCAAAACTGTTGCAACTTTATGCCGTATGTAGTAAGGAGGAACCTATTCTGATTGTGACTGAGCTCATGCAAGAAAATCTTTTACATTTCCTCCAAGGAAGAGGAAAGAGTTCGCCGATGGTATCTCTGGTCGATGTGGCTGCTCAAATTGCCAGTGGAATGAGATATTTGGAAGAAAAAAATTTCATTCACAGAGATCTGGCTGCTAGGAACATTTTGGTTTCCAACTCATGTTCAGTAAAAATAGCCGACTTCGGATTGACCAGGCTGATCAAGGAAAATGAATATGAAGCACGGATCGGCGCCAGGTTTCCCATCAAGGTACGTTTTGAAACAAAACAAACACCAGGCAAGCAAAGACATTTTTTTGCAGTATAAAGAAGATGGGCGATTTTTTGTCTGAAATTTTTTTTCTTCGCTGGCGCGGAAAGTAGTGTATTCCGCGGAGAATTTTCGCTTTTTTGTCATCAAACCGATCTTAAACGCTTTATTGTGATGCAGAAACTAAATTTTATTTGCAAAATGGATCAGAAGGCCGGCTACAACGCTTTGCGATCATATTTAGCGACTGTACGGTGAAATGCAGTCGCTGCAACACCGATAAAGTAGGAGCGCACCGTGCGGATGTTTGAAACACTAGGGCAAAGAGAAATTTAAAAGACGATTTTTGGCTCGCTGCGTCAGCGGTGGACATAGGAAAAAATCGATTTTGAGTTTTTTGCATAAAAATGACCGTCGACATGTGCTAAGGAAAAGCGAACAACAGTTTTTCTTAATTCTGCCCGGAAGGCATAAATTTGCTTAAATTTGTCTTTTTTGGAATTTTCGACCTGGTGACGTCATAGAAAGAGCAAATCACCCAAAATTTTTCTTGTTTACGTTTTCGACCATTGGGAATTCATTTTTTTGGAAATTAAGTCTCTCAGAGTACTGTAACATAGGCATATTGTAATCCGGTCGATAAAAATCGACCGTAACTCCTTCATATCAAAAATCCCACACAATTTTATTTCAGATTTGGAATCAGCATAAAATTCTTCATATTATAATATACACATAATGTGAGGTCATAACTCCAGGGGGGAGATCGCGTAGTATATTGGATTTTGGCAAAAAGTACGTTTGAAAGGTCGCGGGTTCGATCCCCGCTTGGTGCAAATATTGAAAACACGGCGGAAATCGCGTTTAATGGACACCTAAGGGTTATATGAGATACACTAAGCAATTTTAAACATTAATGCATATCTAATTGCGATTAAAACTGATTTTATATAATTTTTGGAGACTGAATATGCAAAAAATGAAATTGCTTCAAACCGCTTGAAATTGGCAACACTTATTCTAGGGTCAGTTGTAAGAAACTTTTGTGTTAACTTTTTTGGCTGATCACCGTACCATGGATTACTGTAGCATTAAACCTGATTTGGTTTTTCGTTTACCACATGGTGCATAGAAGTCGGATTGTCGTCATTGTACTCAGAATGGTTAAGAAAGGGTTTTCTTGTGTACAAAAAAATTTTTATGGCTGTACCGTTTGGAATGGCCGAGTTATTTGACGCACTTTCACCAATTGATTATGACATCAAGACGCGTTGCAATTAAGGTCGAATTTTCTTTCATATATCGAAAGTGGATCTTTTCGCTGTCTTAAACGACTAATTAAAACGATTTAATATTTTATGCAAGAATTTTGAAGAAAATTGGAAAGAGTTATGACCTCACATTATGTGTATAATATGCAGAATTTTATGCTGATTCTGAATCTGAAATAAAATCCTGTGGGATTTTTGATATGAAAGAGTTACGGTCGATTTTTATCGACCTGATTATAACATGCCTATGTTACAGTAATCTGAGAGACTTAATTTAAAAAAAAATGAATTCCCAATGGTCGAAAACGTAAACAAGCAAAATTTTGGGTGATTTGCTCTTTCTATGACGTCACCAGGTCGAAAATTCCAAAAAAGACAAATTTAAGCAAATTTATGCCTTCCGGGCAGAATTAAGAAAAACTGTTGTTCGCTTTTCCTTAGCACATGTCGACGGTCATTTTTATGCAAAAAACTCGAAATCAATTTTTTCCTATGTCCCGGGTCCATTACGGGCTGACGCAGCGAGCCAAAAATCGTCTTTTAAGCGGAGAATACTGTGTTGTTTTCTGGTGCACGAAGTGGTTCCTCGATTGCTAAACTTGTGCCAAGGCTTGGCGACGAAATTGTGGAGGGCATATGATACCAGCAGAAAGTGCTAGCCAACCCATAATAATTGTGTTGGGAAAATTGTCCGCAGCTGAGTCATGGCCTCCGCCGATACGGCGAGCCCGCCATACCCTCGCCAAACGCTTCATAAACAAGAAAAATAAGTAAATATCCTCTTTTCAACCACCAGAAATCAAAAAAGCGTCTAAGATTTGTGTGATGACCAAAAAAGCGATTAAAAGTCTCCGCCGAATACACTACTTTCCGCGTCGGCGGAGAAAAAAAACTTTTTTCAGGCAAAAAATCGCCATCTTCTTCTTTCCACTGCAAAACAATTTTTTGGATATCTTTGCTGAGCGCCAAGAACGGGACAAAAACTTTCCGTGAAATTCCTTGAGACACCCTGTATTATAAGCTACAGGTTCAAGTCACATCGCGTCATATTTACATAAAAATTGCACGATTTGCTAAAGAATAATCCAAATAGTTTTTTTTTAGTGGACAGCCCCAGAAGCTGCTAATTACAATAAGTTTACCATCAAGTCAGATGTATGGTCGTTCGGAATTCTATTGACGGAATTGGTCACCTTCGGAAGAATTCCATACCCTGGGATGACCAATGCCGAAGTTTTGCAAAAAGTGGAAAACGGCTACCGAATGCCGTGCCCTCCCGGATGTCCTCCAGCTTTATATGAAATCATGTTGCAATGTTGGCACAAAGAACCTGAGAAAAGGCCGACTTTTGAGACATTGCAATGGAAACTGGAAGATCTGTTCTCAAATCAGGGGTCCGAATACAAAGAAGCATCTATCTCATACTAAGCTCTCCCCGTCCACTGCTCAATGCCATCGATGAAAACTAAAGTTATTTGCTTTACCTCAACAATAAACAAACGTAAAACAAAAAAATTGAAATTGATTAGCCAAATATGGAGTCGAGCAACTGACTTTCTTCTTTGGGCTTCAGAGATTTATTGTTCTTTTTCTTCTTTATTGTCTTCTTTACCCTTATTTCCCGACTTTGTTTAGTTGTCCAATTGCCTCCCTTGTCGGCGACCTGAAACAGTCAGTATGTTTTTAAGGCTACTAATTCAACCCAACTTTGCTTTAGCCATCATTTAGTACATTTACGAAAAATTTTCTCTTCATTTTTTTCACAAGGAAAGTACTTTTATGGGGGCTCCTACTTTTTGACGGGACATATCTCAAAAAATCAGAAAAAATGTGCTGATCAAGGATATATAAATCTTAGCTGCCCATTTTAGGTTTTTAGGGGTGAAAACTCAATCGGAAGTTGACTTAAAGTCCTGTATGAACCCCTTTTCGCTTCATTTTTCACAGGTTTACAATTTTTATTTTGGCTTAAAATGATGTTTATTGAGTTTCTAAGACGTAATAAATCAGTCTTGGCCCAAAAATTTATTTTTCCGACCTTCAACTTCAAAAAAAGTTGATTCAGCCCAAAAGGGAAATCGAACCCGTGCGGCGTCCTCCCTCTTGATTCCCGGACTACGGCACTAACCACTCGGCCACACCGCTCTCTTCTGAAGGAAGAGACCGAATGCGCTTTTTATCGTTTCGAATGCCTGTGCCTTTTGTAGGGAAATTAAGCCAGTTTTTGGGCATTTTCACCCATAAAAACCTAAAATGGGCAGCTAAGATTTATATATCCTTGATCAGCACATTTTTTCTGATTTTTTGAGATATGTCCCGTCAAAAAGTAGGAGCCCCCATAAAAGTACTTTCCTTGTCAAAAAATCAGAAAAAAATGTTCTGATCAAGGATATATAAATCTTAGCTGCCCATTTTAGGTTTTTAGGGATGAAAACTCAATCGGAAGTTGACTTAAAGTCCTATATGAACCCCTTTTCGCTTAATTTTTCACAGGTTTACAATTTTTATTTTGACTTAACATGATGTTTATTGAGTTTCTAAGACGTAATAAAACAGTCTTGGCACAAAAATTTATTTTTCCGACCTTCATCTTCAAAAAAAGTTGATTCAGTCCAAAAGGGAAATCGAACCCGTGGGGCGCTCCCCCTCTTGATTCCCAGACTACCGCGCTAGCCACTCAGCCACACCGCTCTCTTCCGAAGGAAGAGACCGACTGCGCTTTTTATCGTTTCGAATGCCTGCGCCTTTTGTAGGGAAATTAAGCCAGTTTTTGAGCATTTTCACCCCTAAAAACCTAAAATGGGCAGCTAGGATTTATATATCCTTGATCAGCACATTTTTTCTGATTTTTTGAGATATGTCCCGTCAAAAAGTAGGAGCCCCCATAAAAGTACTTTCCTTGTCAGCTCAATTCGCCGGGCCGAAGGTGTTCGGCCTGTCGCGTCTCAAACTTGGTTCGGCCCAGCCCTGGAGCCATGTATATCGGTGACAGTCCGGGTCAACGACAGGGTATTTCACATTTTTTTACAGCTATTATAATATACCGAAAAAACTTATGGATGTTCGCGTTTGGAGCAGCTTTGTCGTACAGCAACTAAGAGTCAAGAAAACAAGGCAACTATAGCGAAAATTCAAAAAAAGGCGCCTGCTACGACCTTTTCCTGTGTCTTCGCCTGCCCTACGCCGCGTATCCATCAATTTTGTTGACCCAAACTGCCGCCGGCCCGAAAAGTCGGGAACGTAGAATACTTACGGTTTTCTCCAGATTCCTAATACGTCCGCTCTTTTCGACTTGTTCAACGAAATGCTTTCCCTCATTTCTGGCTTGGGCAAGCTCTATTCGCAGACGTTGGTCTTCGATATTTCTTTCGTAATTAAGTTGCTCAACCAGATTGGACCATTTAAAACTAAAAGAATATTTTTTTGAAAAGTACAAATTACACGCTCACCCATGGAGATACTTTATCGTCCACAGACAGTCGAATGCTGGACTTCTATGTTTCCCGCCGACTTGCTGTTTGTTCAACATGAGAGCAGCTTTTTTTGCAATCTTTTTCTTTTTGAACTCTACCCATCCTTCAGTATATTTCCGCACTTTTGTCGACTTTCTATCTATCTAAAACTGAGATACGAAAATCACAAATAATCTTACTTGAAGGTAAATCCTGCCAACTTGTCCGAAATTAGAAAAATACTCATTTATCCTCCTTTTCGTAAACCGGGGTGGTATTGAAGCCAAGTATATGACCCCCGTAGCCCTTTCTGGGTCTTCTGCCAAAATTGGAGTTTTATCCTCCGCGCTGTCTACCGTGGCCTCCTCCACAACGTTTAATTCCGTCATCTGACGTAAATTATCAGATTTTAAACTGCACAAAAATCAAAATTTCTAGGCGTATGAAAATATTTACACGGCGACAACGCTGGTACGCCAAAACCAAGGTAATATCACGAATTTATCAAAACAGCCATAGCACAAATAAATAAATAGAATTAATTATCCCAGGAAATTGACAACAACAAGGTGAAGAATAATATGGGCGAAGATGAAGTCGCCAAAAGCTCTTTCGACGCCAACTTGGCTAAACTCATGCTGATTCTCCGGATTGACTTGGATTCGAAGACAGGCTATAAGAAAAAGTTTAAACAAGAAATGAAAACATACCAGCCAAAACAAAAGAAGCGACGGTGGAAATAAAACCTCCCAAAAAGGCGTTGAAGGGGAAGGTGCCAAATACAACTCCGTAGACAAACTGAGCAATTCCAGTGATCAAGATATAGAACAAATATGCGTCGACCAGCTTCAGACGACTCGGAGTAGACTTTTGGTATTGGGAGTAAAGAGTTTGAAGAACAACAAAGGCGTTGTTCGAGCCAGTTGAGGCTCCTGGGTTGGCCATCAAAAAACAACCTAACAATCACCTATAGCTAGTATCAAGGACACGTCCACGTCAAAAAATATATTTCGCTTGGCATAGTGCACCTAAGCAATCTATTCGTGACAAAGAATTAATGCTAAAATAAATTGTAGACAACGGTATATTGCTTTAAACGTATCACATTACAACGTTTAAAGAAGTGTAAGGAATAAAAAACACCAACGGAAGATTCTGTAAGCAGATCAAGCACACAAATCTGCACAACTAGGTTTACTGGGTCCTGCAGCGAAAGATTTGGTGATTTGAATTGTATTTGAAATTTTGCGATTTCTCCGAAAAATTTCGCCAGAAAACGTTTGTTTTTCGAAGTTCAGGAATATTACAACAATGACAAACGCTAGCGATTTCTACTATTCTGATAAATACGAAGACGAGGAATTTGAGTACCGGTAAGATTTCATACGTTTGAGTCACGGCAGTTTTAGTCATGTCCATGTTCCGAAAGAAGTCGTCCGTCTGGTGCCAAAAAATCGTCTTCTGAGTGAAAGTGAGTGGCGAAGTCTGGGAATTCAACAAAGTCCGGGGTGGATCCACTATATGATACATTCTCCTGAAAGGCATATCCTGCTTTTCCGCCGTCCGAAGACAGCCTCCAAAGATTCAAACATTCCAGCGGCTAACAAGGTTGGAGTTCATTAGATTAATCCCCCACTGTTTTTTATTTAATTGTATATTCATTCCACATTATAATTTCATTACTGATTATAAAATATTGACGCTTGTGTACAGGAAAGACGGTATGGATTCATTCATATACTGATTATTCTAAAGCTTTGATCAGAGACTGGACGGCAAGACTTGGACAAGGATATTTGATGTCTTTCAGACCACTGTATAACTGACGTTGACACTGCAATTCATTAAGTGATGGTTTCGTTTTTGCTTTTACTTTTAGAGGAGTGCCACTGACCTTGGTATCAAGGATGGCCGCGGCGAGACTTCTCAAATGATTTGAAAGGGAACCCATTGTATGGTGATGTTTTTCATGGAAATCCCTAACGACTTTCTCGTCGCTGGCATAATCACAGATATCACAACGATACAGCTGGCCAGACCCGTGATATTCTGCATGATGTTCCAGTGGCTCGTTTCCTTCTGTACGAAATTCACAAACGTTACAGAACTGAATCTTGGGGTTGGGACCGGCCAGAGTGCTGACAGGCTCTTCCGGCTGATTGGAATTGTTATTAGACCGCTTGATGATGCTGACTAATCGTTGCCGTTGGCTCTGAATTAGAATAGCTGTTAACTATAAAGATTTTCTTACTTGAACATGATCAAGTCTATGTTGCCGGAAACGCTCCAGATGAACAGTTCGGAATGTGCATTGGGAACACCTTATCACATTGGGTGTGTTACAAGCGATGTATTCAATCTCCTTCTTTTTGATTACTCTTCTTTTTTCCCCCGACGATTCATCGTTGGGTAGATGAAGATCCAAATGGGAATATAAACTTTCCGGAGAAAAGCAGCTAAAGCTACAAGCGGAGCATTTGTTGGGCCGTTCCCCCGTGTGCATCGCTCTGTGTATACGGAATAAGGTGTCGTCGGCTGACTTGTACGGGCATTCGCAACAATAAAACTCTTTGCTTTTAGCACCTAACAAAAATAGGGTATCGTCTAAAGTGCTTACCGGGAAGAGGTTTGAGCAATGGAGGAGGCAAGGCAGGCAAATTAAACTTTTTAAGGGCTAAGATGTCAATCGATTGGACCGATTCGGGAAGTTCAGAAAAGGGTCTCCAGTTGTTATTCTTTGATTTCTTTGATGGAGATGGATCAAAAGGATCCCCTTCGGGTTTAAGCAAAGGCATCGTCTCATTATCTTCTTTACCGGCATTAATCTTAAACTCTCGAGTTTGATTAAATTTCTGAAATAAGCGTTGAAATTATCACCAATTATAAATTCCTAAAAGAACAATGCAAATAAGTTGAACGGGGCTTACTATTAACGAGTTGTCTGAAGTGTGTCTCTCTGATCCAATCTTCTTCCGTTTTTTCCGCTTACTACTTAGACCAGTATCACAGCTTAAAAATTATTATTGCTGCCTATATAGACCTACTACTTTGAATGGCTAATTAAACCGGACTTTGACTTCAGAGTCACTCCACATTTTGAGCAAGCGAAAGTCAAATGAACCCCATGTTTTAAGGGAATATTTTCCACTTTAATGCCGTCTAACGAATTGATATCTTGCAATCCGTCAACCGAGAGGCCTCCTTTAACTGCCCTCTCGTCAGCAGTAATCTCGGGAGGTTCAGTGGTCACTGGGTGCATGGCCACCTTCGATTTCTGTGGGATAGGAATCTTCTCTGAAGGCTCGAGTAATTCCTTCTCAATATCTGAAAGAATACGTTTAAGATCACTCAACTTACTTTCTTCATTCTGCTCGGTATCAACGAATGAAACATCAGATGGGGAAGGCTCAACACTACTGCTTTTCATCAAATTCCTGGTGCTGGAGACCGCATGGTTAGCTTCTTTACTAACGTATTTGGCATCCAAAGTAGTTCGACGTCTATCCGGATTAGACGAACCCGAGAAGACCGCCGCGACGTCAAGGTGGAATTTGTTTCTTTTGGACCGTCTGAGAGCCGTGAGTGTATCGTGAGGACTCTCAGACATCCTGGAATCATAACAAGATAAATTAAGCAACACAATGACGACATCTAACGAAAGACTCGACCGGTATTGGAGTAGTGTTATTGGGAGAGATGAACGGTAAGCGCAGAACCCCGGCCTCAGAACGAAAGGGAAAAAGAATTGGGAGGAGGACGGAAGGACAGCTGAGAGAAGAGAGCAGCAATAAGGTCTCTTCTCCGGTAAACCAGGACTACACTGAACTACAGGGAGACTACAACTTAGTAGTTTCAAGTTCCTAGATTGTGATAGCAGTCCCACTCTATATAACGAACACAATTCAGTTAATTAAAAAAAAATAAAAAATAACGGACTAATCAAATGGTTGGTGGCCCCAAAGACGGTACCAAGCAATTGCGGGAATGTTTTAAAATTCGTAATTGGAGAAAAAAACCAATTCGTAAAAGATGTAATCGATAGAGAGAAATCACACCGCTTTACGAAGTGCATTTTCATAAAGACTCAGACTTAGGTGAACACATCAAATCGGCGAGATAATTTTCAATTATAGATTTTAAAGGTTCGATTCTTATTCTTAAAACGCAAGCTCATTACTCAAATCCGAAAGCCGTTTTAACTACCTTAAATCTTAAATCAGCAAAGATTGTATTACATTAGCTGTCAGGCTTTCCATTCGTATCATCGAGTTACCCTAGGTCTTCTAAGTCAGTAAGATAAAAAGAAGAACGACTCGCTCTAACAGTTCGCATCTAAAAGTTCACACGATTGCTTTGAATGGAGGAGTTTAACAACTCATGGTGTTGCCTATGTCACCAATTCATCGTAGCGTTGGTTCCAACAACTGCATATCCCTTTCGATGACACTTTGTAAAAAAAAACTTGTGGTCGTGTCTACACTTCACGTACACTCTTAACTACCATGAAGAGGAACTTGTCATGTCCATCAGTTCACGGGGAGACAGAATGCCTTACCGTGTACGATGGTTCTTTATCGTTATCTGTTTTATTTCTTTAATATTACTAATTTTTGATAAATGGTGTTACACGTTATAACATCTCATTTGCATTACTTATATTTTTAAGGGAAGGGGGTTCATGTAGTAAGATATGTATACTCTGTAGCATGTGTACAACACGATAATGTTTCGATTCCATACAAGATGTTCTTTTCGAGACTCAAATGTAAATTTTGGCATTTTGCTTCAATTTACTCTTATTATGTATTATGTTTGTATCCGCTATGCAGTAAGGCTTGAAAGGCAAATTTTAAATTTAGTCTGATTATTACTATTTCCCGCTTTTGGTTAATTTTTTTATTGCAGATGTCGCAGACTCCATATCTTGGTAGTAAAATTAGTCTGATATCTAAATTGGACATTCGATATGAAGGTATCTTGTACACGGTGGACAGCAACGAATCGACGATTGCTTTGGCTAAAGGTACGTAATTGTGTCACATAATTATTTTAAATTTAGTTCGGTCTTTTGGGACGGAAGACCGGCATACTGACCATCCGGTGAAGGCACGAGATGAAGTGTATGAATTCATTATATTCAAGGCGTCCGACATCAAGGATTTGGTAGTTTGTGAAGCTGCAAAGGAAGAGAGCAATTTAGGCGGCTTGGATTATGACCCCGCTATTGTATCAGTTCAGGCAGCACCCGCTGCTTCGGAAAATTCGAAACCATCTTCTTCCTCTGCGATTAAACGTAAGCCTTTTCCTAGTAAGCTACTGACCTATAATGTTCTTGTCTCCTACACCGCTGTCGTTTAGCTCGCCATAAACTTGAATCAGAAGTTCCATCCGGGCTTCCTGCACAATCTTCGCGTCCAAGAGCTAACGAAACTGGTCGCTACAACCAAAAGAGTGAGTATCTATGTATCGAGTTTATGTTGTTTAGTTGGATCAGGGTCTCACCGTCCAAGTTATAATCCGCGTGGAAACGGTTTTCATCGGTTTAATAAAAATGTCACTCCCAAAGAGAAGCTGAAGTTTGACAGTGATTATGACTTTGAGCGAGCCAACGAACGGTTCAAAGCTCAAATGGATAGTCTTACAGCCGATATGGGTAATAAGATAGTGTTTGATGGTAAGTCAAGATTGTTTTTAAACTTTTCTTGTTTAGCCGACGTTGAAGAACGAAAGGAGAAAGAAAACACCGTGGAGTTAAGCCCATGTTATGACAAGACTACTTCATTCTTTGATAACATTTCTTGTGAGTCTCAAGAAAAGGCCGACGGCAAGAACAAACGGCCAGATTGGAGGAAAGAAAGGCAGACCAATCAGGAAACGTTTGGTCAGTATGCCGTTAGGAACTACAACAATCGACCCGGGGGCTACCGCGGTGGCTATCGTGGCGGCCGCTATCCGAATAACAACCACAATCAGCGCCGCGGTGGTAGTAGAAATCCTGCCAATCCTGTGCAAACCAAGAGATCTGATGTCTAATTGCTGGTTCCATTTTAAGATTCTTAATTATTATTTTTTTATTGTATGGACTCTTTTAAATGTGAAAATTTTCTTTAAATCCGTGAATAAACGCGTTTTCTTTATCGTGTTCTGTGGTTGGCGTAAAGGCGATACCCTTAGTCCTGGGGTCGAATTCGGCAATGAGATCTTGTCCCTCTCTGAGTTCTGATCGAACTTTGACAAGGAAAGACAATAGGAAGTTGAGGCATACAGCAGGATCCCAACCAGTGGGATGTCTAGCCAGATCGTTTACCTTGACAGCCTTTATTTCTTTGATAATCCCGTTGTCATCCCGCAAGCCAGCCACAATCGTATCAATGCCGACCAGAAACGATTGAAGCCACCATTTCATCTCCTTCTGATACCAATAGCGTCCGACTCCAATCTGATTGAACTGTGTCTTCAATTCAATAAATTCTCCTTCTGAAAAAGGCTTATTTCCACAAGAAATCTTTTACTTTCGTTTAAGCAGTCCATCTCCGCCCCAGTAAATATTCTGATCTTTGTGTTATCAATTCGATTACCCATATCAAATCTGAACACTGCGCTATAATTACTCATCGTGGATACAGGAACATTGGTATTTGGAACCTCCTAGAACGACGAGGCGTTAAACTAAACAATAACATACATTTTCATGATCAACTGTCGTGTATTGTTCGAACTTGTAACCCCAATATGTCATCCTCTTTTCCCGGGCGGTCTTTTTGCCATTATTGGATAATTTTTGAGACGTACTTAGCTCGCAGAGGAAAACAACATCATTGAATTTACTACATAAAACCCGCCATCCATCTGAATTGAGCGCGTCAAAAGGCGAGGCACCAATTCTGGTTAAGGTTCCCCTCCAGGAGACTACATCAGCGCCATGTAAGACCTTTTTAAGATGTGCTTTTGGTTCTGATATCGTCATAATGTACCTAAGCAACCCATCCAGATGCTCGTCTTCATCCGGCTTTGGATCAAAAACATCGAGTCCGCGGTTCAGATCCAAGTGCAAATCCGTTTTGTTCACATATTTTTCATATAAATACCGTACTCTAGAGCGTCCGGGGTGCACTTTCTTTTCTCTGAAGTCCGTCCCAAAGTCACCGATGTAATTCGGACGTGATAGATGAGGGAATTTCCCAGGTATGTGATCAGGATTTGCATTCATTCCATTACTTCTGTACCGATAACAAACCCAAACACCCAAGTTGCGGAACAAATAGGTTTGACATCGAACAAACTGAGATCGGGCACATCCTTGTTTTTCAGTCAATTTTATGAAACCAATAAAGCTTTAAATACAGTAAGGAACACATCTACAAAGTCGTACAGCTTTTAGAAAGACGATGGCGATAATAATTATAAAAAAGTCATCTAGATGTATAGAATTAGAACTAGATTCCAAAAATTTGTGTCTTAAACCGCAGGCCGAATACTAAATTACAACGTTTTACAAAGACACTTGCGGCCTTACTTTTTGTTGGGACTTTTAATTTTTCGAGATCGGTTTGCATTGCAAGATCTGGAAATGGCAGTATTCTTCTTCCCTGATGCTTCGTACTCTTCAACGATATGAAGAAGGCAGTCCTTTATGGCCTCATTGTTCACTTCATGACGCATATACTTTACTGAACAATGTGAAAGAAATTGGAGAACTCCGCGACTACTCAAGAGTTCAGAAGAATGCTGTCTCGTGAACGCTCTCTAAAAAATTATAAATAAGAAAATTCAAATATATTACCATTAATTGGCTCCCTGTTTTTTCCGACACCACACGATTCTCTCTTTTGTTGACGAATGCATTCCATTTCATCATCATATCCTTCTCTTCAGCATTCACGTCTCCAAATTCGGTTATCCTTCTGGCATTTAGAGTATTCAAATACTGCGTTGGAGTTTCGACGCCGTACAAATCTCCAGGTAAGCAATGATAAGACGGCATATTAAATGGCAAATTATATTTTGTTACTGTATTGAAATTCTTTCTTTTCCTGGATTTTTTCATGTCAAGTCCCACTTTTGCAAAGAACCTGGATCTTTCAGCAACGACATTTTTCCTGTAAAAAAATTCTTGCAAAATGATTTTAGCTCTTACCTTGAAAGGTTCACAGTTTCCCCAGCTGTTGAATCTGTAATTCGCGAAGGGTTCAGCTTAATTGTGACTTCGGAGGGGTTCAGATGATCGTATCCGAATGATAACTTAGGGTATCTGAAACACCTCCAATAACAAAACATCTCTCAACATACCTAAATTCGAGGTGGAAGAAGAGATCAGTTGCTGATGGAAAGACAGCACCACATATGACACAAGAATTCTTCACATCACATTCTACTGTTAGCGATGCTCTGTCGTTGCAGGCGGACGAATCGGACAAAGAACTATATCCGCTGGAAGCTGAACTTGAAGATGGGGAGACTTCTTTTTGGCCGGAGAAAAAAAAGTATCTAAATGAGTCAATGTAGCAATCCGCCACCTCCTACCTGGACACTGCAACTTTATTCACGGCATTGATAGACTTGACCTGATCTACTCTCCCCCGTGACAACTTGAAAACAATGTGATCTTCGTTACTCAATTCCATTACCAGATAATTAAGGGCTTCGCCCCTCCGATCACGCTAAACAAAAACCCATCAATACTCTCGCATATCCAGTGCTAAATAATATTCCCTGGGGAAGACTCGACCGCGTCAAGTCTGGCCCCGAGAATGGACTATAACACTCAAACCCACAGCATTCCATTTTTGCCCGCATTCCAATATTTCCGTCGGAGATAATTTAGTTGTATCCATACACTTCACACCTTCTTCAAGGCTAAAATTATGGATTTAAAAGCTACCCTAAATATCAAACCTTACTTAATTATAATCGATCTTGGAAGAGTTACCAGTTTAAGATTACAATTACTTCCCGCCGGATTGAGCTCAGCCAGTTTTCTTAGTCCATTAACATGAAACGTCTTTTCCATGTTAAACGCAACTCCCTTAAGAACCAAAAACATATCGCCCCCGCAGGGTTTGGATCTCACAAACAATTCTTGACTGTACATTTGACATTCCCTTTTCTGATTTGTCCATCGAAAGAACGACGGAAGTCTTGTCTGGAATAAGTAAAATTTAGAACAGGTATGGAGACTGAACCCCCAAATTACTAAACCAACAAGTTTAGACTTAGCAGGAGCTTAGGTAAATCTGACAGTCTTATTCGCGGTTTTACTGCATTTGAAAAGTTGGGAGACTGGACTTTTTAGGTAATCGCCTTTTTTGAAAATTACACCTTGTTACAAAGCCCAGACATGTTAACTACGGATGAAATTAGGATTGCTACATCTGGTAGGATGTTATCTGTTAGTCTCGATAGGTTGGCGGATGTTTCACACATTGGCGAAGGCCCGGCGGAGACTTTTTTTTACCGACTGACGCCTTTTGGGGACTTGACTTTTGCAAATCAGATTGGAAGAAAGCTGAGGAATTTTTTGCTAGTCACTTCAAAGTCCATTTATCTTGCCTTAATTTTTCTTTCTATCATGTTGAAAGGCCGGAGGAGGATTCGGCGGAGGCCTCTCCGCGGAGGTATTTTAAAAATTAATATCAAAAATATGGAAATTGGACAAAAGCACTGCTAAATTCAATCTTTTATGAAAGACGACAGATTTTTTAGGTCCGATTTGCTTCCCTTGCTCCGGGGGAGCAATGAGTGCAAGATAAACCAAAAAAGTTTATCTGACGAAAGCACATTTTTTTATCTGATTCGCAAAAGACAACCCCCAAAACGGCCTTCGTCGGTAAAAGTCTCTGCCGAGCCTTCGCCAATATGTGAAACATCCGCCAAGCTATCGAAACTAACAGGTTACATCCTACCAAATGTAGCAACCCCGATGTCATCCGTAATTAAGATGTCTGGGCTTTGTAACGAGATGTAATTTTCAAAAAAGGCGACAAATGTCGCGCCGAATAATCGTCTCTCCGCCTACCCGACAAAAAAAAATGTTAAGAGCATAAAGATATTCGCAAATGCTTTCTGCAATATCCCTTGAAACACTCTGTATACTCGTTCCGACTTTTCGGGTCAACACAAAACTGATCGATACGGGGCGTAGGGTGAGTGGATACCCAAAAATAACTTTTATCTAGTTATTATCATTGTGAAAACATGTAAAATACCTCAAAATAGATGATAAGCTATCCTAGAACCAGACAAATCTTGTTATTTCTAATAACTAAGCCTTCTCCTAGCTCCCCCATGAATACAACGACAAACCGACGCGTTCCATAGTATTGTTGACCCGGACTGCCGCTGACCCGAAAAGTCGTAGCGCCCCTGTTTAATACTTTCAAAAAATTAAACAACTTACCACTTCGTATGTACCGTCTTTGAAAACGCAAACCGTGAAAGGACAGAACTCCATATATAAATGATCAGGAATCAACGGGAGAATCGGTTCGAAGATATCCAGATAAAAGTATTCACCCGTCTCTTGAACCTTGTCTTCATGAACCAGAAACTTTTCTTTATACTGGTGCCGCAGTTGATCTTTGCAGTCCTGTGCCCATGCGTCAATTCCAATATGGTTTGCTTTCCTTTTTTGGCCGAATCTTCTCCTCACAAAAGCCGGATAAGGGATGCCGCCCGCATAAAGCTTACAGTAAAGGTCTCCTTAAAATAAATACAAAAGTAATAAAACCATACTTAGTTGCAGGAGTGAAGAACAGTCCAACACCAGCGACTTCTCCCGTTTCAACAAGAGAGATTCCTGAATCAAAATAATTATAATATTAATTTATAAAGGTCATTTGGAAAAATCCACAAGCATTTCAAGTCTTACAACATATTCTGATGACATCTCTAAAGAAAAAGGGCAAGTAACCTATTTAAACGGTTGACCTTCACTTGAGGCAGATCTGGTATTGACCCCATATGTATAGCCAATATTGCAAATTCGTTTGACCAGCTAGCCAACAAGTTGACATGATGGCCCAAAAAAATTCTCTTGTTTGGTCAACCAAAAACCGGGAGCGGCCAGTCAGTGTCAAAATGGGCTTTCAAAAGGTTTGAATGGGCGCCAAAGAGTAGGAATGAATTTTTTAATGGCTAGCCAAAACATCTGGATTGGTTAGCCAGTGTCAGAATGGCCGAAAATGCACTATGGCCAATTCTTTCCAAACGGGAAAAAATTTGGCTGTCATGTAAACTAGCTAGTCAAAAAATCTTGCAACATTAGCTATGCATATTGGGCCAATAGCCGATTTTCCCCAAATCAAAGGTTGCGATTTAAACATACAGTTTCGCAATTACATTTTTGCTACGAAAAGATAACTGATATTTTTTACCCTTTTTCTATCTTGTTATGGATTGGGATCATAATAATGAACTCACTTCATTTTTGTTTGAAAGGACTGTGGTTCGAAGTACTGTCGTTTTGGATGGCTTAGATTTGATCCTCATTCCTCCCTTCTTCTTACGCCTTGAAACCTCAAAAATTATATAAAAAGATACGGAGCAAGCTGAGAAGTAAAACTCTTGACAAAATAAAATTTTATTAGCTCGCTTTTTGTTGAACTCGTTGCAACGAAACCAACAAATAAACAAGAACGGACAACGGTCGCGGCCGTGCTTCGTTGGTTAGGTTACATTTTATACGACGAACTATTTTACAAAAGTAAAAGCAATTTTTTGCCATATTTGATGAGCCATTCTTACTCATGCAAGGCGCTGTAGTTAAGAACAACGTTTATCAGTTTTCCGCAGAGTTTTGCCTGTGCAACGCGTCTATTAACATCAGAACAGACAAACCCTGCCACGAAAACATAAGTGCCAATGTATTTTGGCATCCTGTGACTGCTATCACAGCTATTACTTTGACGGAATTGCAGAGTTCTTTGTATTTATATTTTTTGCCGCCACTTTCCGCGAACCGCGATAGGCTGGGCGCAGTTTGTGAGGAGAAGTTATATTTTTTCGGCCGCGGTTTCTCCATTGGTTTACAAAAATCGATCGTTTCGTATTTCAAAAATCAAATTCAGAAAGCTTTTCGAAAGAGGATTTATCGTTATTTATTCTTGTTTTTTAACCGTTATTTTATGTTTTCTCCACACGTTGAGCGGTCATGACCGTCAAAAACCTTCAACTATTTTTAGATTGAGACTGCACGTGCGCAGTCTCATCTTCTTAGGAAAACTAAAAACTAACAGTGTGTCTGTCGGGAAAATAACGGCGGATCGTCGCGTTTCGGAATCGCCCACCATCGCTTTGCGACGGCTGCCGAAGATGGAGATTTGGTGCGCGACTGCACCCTTTTTTCGACGAGGCGAAACATTTTGCTACGACGACCCGCCGTTATTCCCGACAGACTGATATATCTGCATGGAAATTCAAACTGGGAAAATTCGCGCGACTTTAATATTTTCCGCAGGGAAAAAATTAGCCCAATTTTACCGTGCCCAATGTCCATGCAGCCAAAATTATTTAGATGTCAGTTTAATTCCTTTTACTTTGTTCAGGAGTCATGTCCTACGAGCTTCGAAGTTTGTCGAATGATGAAGAAATAAATTACGATTTAAGTGAGGTAAGTAGACAAGTCTTGATTTTGACATTTTTAGGAGACGGTAGAGACTGCGTATGGTCCAATTAGAGTCGTCATTTACGGAGACAAGACCAAGAAGCCAATCATTTCTTTTCATGATATTGGATTAGATGGTGAGTTAAGATCGGTTTTAAGTAGACAAATTATGCTGACTTGTTTCTCTTAAGCAGTACTATTGAATAATATCAGTGCTTGATTCAGGGGTTTTCGAAGGTACTGGTTACGAGAATCGTGTTAACTTTTCCTCTTTATAGTACTATACAATACTACCTGATACTATGCAGTACGAGGTGAAAATTTTGGCCTTTAGGCGTTGGTGACGTTGTTCTTGTGCCTAGTACTCTTATCTTCACCTGGTACTATATAGTATCAGATAGTATACTAAATAGTACCAAGTCGTTAAAACGTGTTTTTGATTAGTACTAAGCACCAAAACAACACCATTAACGCCTAAAGGCCAAATTTTCACCACGTACTACATAGTATCAGGATTGGGCCCGGTTTTGTCCCCAAGGCGTTTTTGTCCCAAAGCAGGATAGTACAATTAAAAATTATGCATTCAGATGTTAAGGTTGTTGGTTTGGTGCACTGTACTGCTCAAAAAACATGTTCTTAGCGCGTGGTACTGTATAGTACGAGGTGGTACTGTATAGCACGAGGTAAAAATTAAGCTTGAATGCCGTTTTTTGGTATGCAGTACTGATCAAAAGTTCATTTTGTGCAAAATAAATTCGTGCTATATAGTAACAAATGCTAAAACACATTTTTGAGAAGTACTGGGCTTCAAACCTATAGCATTGACGTGTTATGGCTTAATTTTTACCTCGTGCTATATAGTACCACCTTGTACTATACAGTACCAAGAGTTAAATATATATGTCGCACTGCAGGATGAGCCAAGTCTTTCTCCTTGGATGGTCAACTCTTCCTCTCAAAATTCTTTATTGTCAAGATTAATATAAACTTCTTTATGTTTTAATCTGCATATTTCGACAGGACAATAACCCCATAAGTAAGTTAAATTATCCCTCTTTCTGACTCTGCAACAATTTTTTGCATTACATAAGTTTATCCTTGCGTATTTAGACATTGTAGTAGGTATATAAATTTAGCTGAATGCGGTTCGTTCTTGCGATTCCATGAACGAAATTTGAAAGTCTTCCCCACAAAAGAACCGGCGTCGAGCCTTCTTGGTGCCAGAATTGTTTCAGCATGAAAGGACTTACAGTTTTTTTGTTGATTCGATTTTCGATATTACACTAGGTACTTTTATCAAGTTGCAGGCAGAATCTAATGTTTTTGAAGTTTAAACCCGGAAAACTACAACGCTGAGCCATTACTAAACCGTCCCCAACATAAATATTCTTTCAAACCCGGGTTTGAGATGTCTTAGGGTCTAAGTGATCAAGTACAACGTGGATCTAAAAAAGTCTCAAATACCTCTCATTCTGTTCTAAACATGTTTTAGATCGACCAGGGACCTTTTAAATATGGTTTGCGAAGTATAAATACGCATCTATGGCCGCGGATACATCAAAATTGTTCCATACCTAAAATCTGAAAAAAAATTAAAAAAGACAATAAAAGGGGGGGAAATCACTGTTACGACGTTAAGAATGCTAAAATAAAGTTTTATTGTCCATGTAGACCTTACATGACGTAAAACGTGACCTAATCTCGCCTTAAACTTACAAAAGTACCTAGTGTAATATCGAAAATCGAATCAACAAAAAAACTGTAAGTCCTTTCACGCTGAAACAATTCTGGCACCAAGAAGGCTCGACGCCGGTTCTTTTGTGGGGAAGACTTTCAAATTTCGTTCATGGAATCGCAAGAACGAACAGCATTCAGCTAAATTTGTATACCTACAACAATGGCTAAATGCGCAAGGATAAACTTACGTAATGCAAGAAATCATTGCATATATAGAAAGAGGGTTAATTTAACTTACTTTTCGAGTTATTGTCCTGTCGATGTATGTAGATTGAAACATAAAGAAATTTATATTAATCTTGACAAAAACAAAATTTTGGGAGGAAGAGTTGACCACCCAAGGGGAAAGACTTGGCTCATCCTGCAGTGTGTCGGCTTGGGTTAGTTATATTAGGTTTATTTATATATTATAACCTAAACCCAGAGATATGGGCTCGGACGCGACCGTCCGGCATTCTCACTTATTGAATTCTCCTTTGATCCGATCCTCGATCTTGCCAGATCGAGGTGGGCGGAGTTTAGACTTGGGATTACAATGGTAGATAGATATTGTACATTCATATGAGACTGTTAGAGAATCTCACACTAGCGCTGAGAACATGTTGTTTGAGCAGTACCGTGCACCAAACCAACAGCATTAACATCTGAATGCATAATTTTTAATTGAACTATCCAGCTTGGGGACAAAAACGTCCTGGGGACAAAACCGGTGTGGGCTCAAAATAATAAAAGGTGGGGACAAAAACTTCCTGGGGACAGAACCGGCCTGGGGACAAAAAGGCTCGAAAAAAGTGGGGACAAAAACGTCCACTGCGTTTCAGGTAGTTCTATATGCCCCCAATCGACTATTTGTAGAAAAAATACAAAAAATTACATTTTTACAAAAATAGGTCTTTTTTTCTCCGGTCATCAATTTCTCTCTTTGTAAAAAATCTGCCTTTCTCTTCGCCTCCTCTTTTTTTGTTATCTTTTCTTACAGTCAAGATCCGGCACTTTTTTTACGATTGGTCGCGCGAATATTATGTCTTATATGACTGATCGATGTTCATTAATATCGCGAAACTCTTGTTTTTAATATTTTTTCCTTTCAGCAAATGGAAATTTCCAAAACTTCTTTCAATTTGGAACTGCTACCGAATTAAATGATAGTTTTTGTGTGTTTAATATCAACGCCCCAGGACAAGAAGCGGATGCTAAACCTTTTCCTCTAGAGTAAGTTTGATTGATTGTGAGTCTTTACAAGTGCTTGTGTCGGTTTTATGAAATTATTTTTAGGTATGAGTTTCCTTCGATGGAAGGCTTGGTTGATGTTATCGATTCTGTGGTCAGACACTTTAACATAAAATATTTTATCGGATTTGGAGTTGGAGCTGGCGCTAATGTTCTTCTGAGATATACGGTGTGGAATTGGGTTGAGAGTGTTTTTTTGAAGGGATTCAAATAATAATTTGATCTCTTTCAGCTAAAAAATCAATCGAAGGTTGAAGCTCTGGTCTTGATCAATGCTGTTATTTCTCGGGCTGGATGGATTGAATGGGGCTACGAAAAGGTTAGTTTACGAATATTTTGGATATTGTGGTTGATTTAGTTGAACATTAAGTCGCTCCGTTCAACGGGAATGAATAACTTTGTTGTTGAATACCTTCTGTGGCATTACCTTGGAAAGCGTTTTGATGAAGTCAACCCGGAAGTGATTAGTCAATACAGAACCATGATTTATACTCACCCTAATCCCGGAAACCTCGCTATGTATATGGAAGCTTATTTGAAGTCAGTTTTGTCGGATCCAATTATTTAATTTTTCTTTGGTTACAGTCGTACGGAGATTATTGTCCAACAGCCGGCGAACGGATCTGTTTCGTCTCCCAATCACCCGATCTTGAAAGTGCCCGTACTCCAGCTCGTTGGTTCGAGGTCCGCTTTCATCGAGGAAACAGTTGATTTGCATTCGAAATTAGATCCCGCCCGATCAGAATGGATCAAGATATCAGACTGCAGTGGACTGGTTTTGGATGACAAACCCGAGAAGGTGACAGAATCTTTGTTACTGTTCCTTCAAGGTCTCGGTTACTGTATGTTTGTTTTTGCCAACGTGAATATTAATTATATCAATTCTAGTCACTCAGCTGAATGTTCGTAAGGTGGTTGACAAGTTGTCTGAAAGTTACGAATACGGTCGCTCCAATGTTTGTGGAATTGAAGCCGTCAATGAACACAACCATTCTGCGTTTTGAGATCTTTACCCTTGCTTTACCAATACTAGAAATCTCAGTAATTCAAGTATAACCGAAGTCAATTGTAATTACTCATATAACACAAATACAAAATGTCTTGAGCAGTTGGTCTTTATTAAGAATTACCCAAAATGTGGGCAACTTCTGTGAAAAATGTAAAGTTGTTGGTTGGTTGATTGAAATCTGGTGCTGAACTAGCACTGAACCCAGGATCGAACCCATTTGGATCACAGTAACGGACTGCATTTGCACCTACAAAAGAGGACTCCGTGGAGGCCGTGGTTTCATAAGTTTTGGCTAATTGGGAAGGATTGGGTAGGAGGTGAGGGTGGGGATGGTAATATTCGTGAACCCCGCTGAGGTCTTGTTGTGATGACGGATCCATATATGCTTAAAATAAAACAATTTAAATGGTCAATAAGACAAGAAGAAGTAAACGCAACGAATTGACAAGAAGAAGTAAACGCAACGAATTGACAAGAAGAAGTAAACGTACCATGGGGATAATAACAACTTGGAGCGATCTCACTGTAGGCCGCGTCTAATGAAGGTTTTAAAGCTTGCTGCCACAGCAAGTCATTTTCTTGTACGGGGTTCGGAATCATGGCTGCTAATCCATTGAAATCCTGCTGCGGTCCTCCATCAATCTAAATTTTTTCATATTGTTTTTGAAAAAAATATTCTGTAGTCCTTTTAACCTTTCCCACTTACAGTAATTGGCAGAAGAGGTTGATGGAAAAAGACGGAGTTCTCCGCCAGATGAGTTGGATTGATACTTAACATGGGCAGATGAACTGGCGGAAGTTCTGACTGATGATTTGCTCCATTTATTGTTCCCGGTTTTGAAATCTTGAGTTCTCTCGGCGGTGCGGATCTGGAGCATGGGTTGAGCGATGCTATGCAGCTGATTTGTCTCGGCGATTGTAACAAAGTGTCGTCAAAGGTTAGATATGTGGACTTCATGGTTGCTCTTTTCTCCAATAAGGCGACGCCGTCGACCTCACTGAAATGGCTTACGGTAACTTGGGGAGGAAGAAAGCCGACCTTAATGTTCGATGTGTTCCCCCAATAGATTCTGCCTTGTTTGTTTTGAAGAAAGTCCTCAGACTGCTCTGTACATATACTATTCTCCCAGTCACCTGACCCATTAGTCTGTATATCATCAGTCCGGACGAAGTGTTTTTCACAACTAAAAATTGATTGAGTTTGCAATTTCAAACCAGATGTAACAACATACCGGCTCGATGTGCATCACTCACATACTGTGCATCTTCAGGATGCACGTAGTTGTAGAAACTCTGATTGGCAACACCATTATCTCCAATCTCTAGTAAAGAAGACAACTTTGAATCAAGGCAGATAACTGTCAAATCCAATGAATGTTTTGATTTGAGAATCGGATCTTCGGTAGGCAATTCGGTCTGAATTGGAGGGACAAATGGAGTGCAAACGGCCAGAAAAGCGTTCACTGAATGGGCACTGGACGTGCCTGCTGAATGGAGTTCAGTGAATCGACCTCTCAATTCCACTCTCTGAACAAACATTTTTTCTTTAGGAATAACCTACAATGAAGCCGCAAGTATTGTCCAGCAAACTTCTAAACCGAGCAACCATCACTTTCTCGAGGCTCTCTCCACTTAACGCGATGTCCTTCTTGAGTCCTTCCTTTATGTCATCACGGTCTTCAGAATGAATCATTTCAAATACTGGCTGATGAAGGATGTCGGATTGTAAGAGTCCAAGGAAGAGTTCAATGTTCTCACTTGCATACAGAATTTCGCCTTGGATGCTCATTACAATCACAAACCCACCCAATGCCTAAATTCGGTCTCTACTTTGCGGCAGATCTTTACATACCCTGAGAGCAATCTGGCTGAATGACGGTTCCAGTGGATCGACGAAGATGGATCCAGTTCGGGTCTCAATAATAGATGGGATCGGGCCAAGTTGAATCCGAGGGAATCCATAGGGATGGAACGGACAAGTTTGATGTGGAAAATTGGCCGAACATACTGCAAAACCATTTTTAACAGCATCCACCTAGCTTAAAATTTCAGCATTTTTAAAACGCACCCTGAAAGTGGGCCTTTATCTGTAGATAACTGACAGCCAATCGCAAGACACTCAGTTTGTCCAGACGCTGAAGTGTGTTCTCATCGAAGGGCAACAATGCAGCCACCGTCTCCAACTCCCCATTGAGTCGTTCTCGATGTCTCTTGCTTGGATTGGTAGGCCCATCTTGCTTCCCAGCTTCGCGAACCCTAAACGAGCATATTAAATAACCCCTCAATTAGGACAGGAGGATATTATATAATGTCACACTTTGTTTAATGACGCGGATATTTAATTTCCTTCACAGGTGAGAGATATCTGCATGCGCGAAAACATGGACAAGATGGCTGAGAGGCCATTATCGCGCTGCAATTACCGTAACAGAGGGTGACACGGCTCGAGAGGATTTGAATACAAACATGTCTTGGACTAGTTCGTGACCTTGATCGGGCTTGTCCCTAAGTGAATAATAAAAAAGCGGACTCGATCATCTCCAAAAGCAGCCGACTGGTCCATATTGCGGCAGTTGGCGAATTTATAAGAGGAGGATTTGCAGGCACGAACGCTGTTTCGTGACGTCCAATCATTCGGGGGATCAGCACGAAAGGAGGATAAACCGTGTTCCCTCAGGACATGTCGCCATTAATAGAACGACTCCGATCTCACGGAATTCCCGCACGCAACTTTCAATTTTTATCCGCCGGAGGGTCTGCGTGCGGATGCCATCGCATGATTGAAGGATGGACCACCGGGATAAGCCAACCAATTAGCCCTAAACGGACTCACCTCTTGAAGTTGCGTTGACGCCGCTTGCTTGCATACATTACAGACCATCAGCCGATTACTAATTATAATCTCGGGACCACTGTAGGATTTTCGAAAGTACAACGCCACAGAATCGTGGCTAGACGTACAACAAGAAGTACGCACGCGATATTTCAATTTTCTTCTGGATTCGAAGCCGACTTCTTGAGGAGAGATTGCGTGACGAACAGAATGTCCTCAACAATTCCGAGTACCGGATCTGCCAGTTTTAAAGCGAAGGGAATGGGCAGCCAATAATGCTTGCCTTTTAATCGAGCTGCTTTTAAAATGCATTTGGGCGGGATTACGGTAGGATATAAGACCGCGGCATGAGGGGGTCAACGTTTATTCCTTTCAATAACAGACAACAGTAACGGAACTAACGACCGTAATTTAGGAATATTCAATGTCACGATGTTTACATTTAAGACAAGTGTAGAAAACTGTCTGCCCTTCATCGGCCGATCGTGTTTGTTGGGTAGTGTAAGTGGCCACAAGATGACCACACTTAGTGCAGGTGTGATCTACAGTAGCTAGATGTTCATCCTGATCCTCCCATTGGATTATCTGGCGTTCCAGATTGAATTCAACCCTGTTCACGAGTCGTGTACTCTCTAAAACGAGTTTATGTTACACTTAAGAACGTTACCCTTTATCGTCCTTTCATTTTTGCAAACGATGCATTGTAAAATGCATGGTGCTGACTGAGGAACTGGTAAAATGGAACCGCAATGTGAACAGAAATCCGAATCCGGGCTAACCAACGACATTCTAAATATAAGTTTACGAATTCAGTGAAGATGTGTGAAATCAAACAAATTCAAGCCATGACAAAGAAGATACCAACCGGTATTAAACCGAGTAAAACAAGATAAGAATTATATCATAATTTATTGACACGTGTTCTGAACCGTTTTAATAATAATATCCAAGAAACGTTTTTTTCTTTTCCTGATCTCGTGCAACTTGATCTGTTTCATATTCGCCCTGTTAGCCGACCTTGTTGGTGTTAACCGTATCTGAAAACATAAATTAACGTAACAATATCCGATCAATTTCTTACCATTTGTGACAAATAATGCAAGTACCCAAGCTTTTCGAAATGCGCTAAAAATTTATAATATATTCTTAACGCCAAAATTTACCTGTCAGACTTTCAAAAAGTTTCGTGTCATAAAGAAACTTGAAGTAGACGGCGCCGGCATCGTGCGTTTTATTGACCTCGGATGCAATCTGAGGCAAGAATATGAAATGCCTGGCCAAATCTCGCCTCATTTGTCCGGACAAGCATGCCATAACGAACATCTTCTTCGTATAAAAACAATGGGTCATTTTGGAGATCATCTGAAAAAACGATCAAGGCACTACACCCTACACCTACCGCATCATTCACCGACTCTCGACGATGTCTAGAAGTCATCTTGTTTTGGAAAAGAAGGAAAACTTCTGCGTATTGGAGCATCGCTTTGTCATACTCTCGAACGGCTGAAAAAAAAATTCAATCTAAGGACTCTCAACTTACCGTAATGGACATCACCCAACTGTCGCCGTAGATACGGGTCTTTTGGAGCAGAGAAGATAGCGTTGTCGAGTAGGCGTTTGATGACCCCCAGCAGATACGTACAGTCCACTTGTTCCATGCTGCAACGGTTAACATCAAATACTAAGTAACCTACTTGTATTCTTCAGGAACAGGTCTTCTTTTATTATCTCTGATTGTTTTGTCCACAAACGCCCAAGAATTGCGAAGTCTAATATCCGCATAAGGCAGGCGTTGTCGTTCTAATCTTACAACAATCTTGTTGTAGAAGGCCAAAAGATAGGTTAGTATATGTTTGATCACTTTCTCGTGTCTGAGTTTACAAGTCACATCCCAAAATTCGTTCTTGGACATTGCACTGGCTGGATCTCTCACATTGTCATTAAGAAGAACGCTATGCAAAAACTTCCATGCCAAACCGCTCATACTTTCGTTGGCTATAACTGTAGATATTATTCTGACAAAGTTGGCCTGAGGAGGTGTATTCCGCAAGATATTGGGAACAACCATGATCACATTGGACATATTCATATTGAGAAGGAACGTGCAGTAGATGGAGGCAATCTTTCCGATGCCCCAATCAATTGTCGGAACCACTTCATGGTTCAAGATAGAGTTTGTTACCATGGTATTTAGTCCTGTTGTAAACAACTTCAGCGAGAGACCGTTCCATGGCCTACCAAAAAGGGTATCCCAAATAGACATCTGTTCAGTAAACCTAGTGTATTTCTTTACTTACTCTGATCCTGAAGACTTCGAAACAAAGGTTATACAAGAAATCTTTCAGCCTATGTTGTGCCCGGTCAACGGCGGTTGTAAATATGTTCATCGACGACATCCAGGTGACAATGTCCTGCAGAAACAAATATAAACCATGACCGTCCCTACCACATTACTGACGATATACTCTAATTGCATAAATAAAAATATAGAAACATTGTAATTGAAGGGCGTCCTTTCCAAGAGTTCGCAAAGGATTGGGGACATCGCGATCTAAAAGTTAAAAAACGACAAGACAAAAACTCACATTTTTTGGGCTTTTAAATTCTTTTTCATAAATCGCAGAAAACTGCTCTGATAGACCAAGAAGATCATTGTAATTTATGGAATTGATGAGATCCCAAAGAACCGGTCCACAAGTAACAAACCTGGATAGACTAATTTGGGATGGCATTATTGGTTGCGGGAGAGGAGAGGGAACAACAACTTCCTCCTTCCTCAGCCGATCTACCATATCACCAAATGTAATCTTCCTGTTTATCCCTTTCGTTACATTGAACTCCTTTGAATTCTATTTGATGATTATTCGAATATCCGATTCTTACATTTGCCTGGCTTTTAGCTTTAGCCAGTACCTTTCCTATCGCTTTCAACTCATCCGTGTTGACAACAAACGTCTTATGGAAACATTTGTCTGGAATATTGTTCATCGCATTGATACGGGAAAGATCTCGGATCTAAATTCAATGAAATTTTTAAAATTGCAGAAAACACCAACCTTGTTATAATACACGATCGACGATTTAATATGAACCGCCTTAAAATGGGCAAACAGGAGATCACATTGTATTCTTGTCCTCACGATATCAAAGCTCAGTGTTTTTGAATCCAAATTAAGATCGATTGGTTTTTTGACATTTAACTAAACGAAGATACATCTAGATTGTAAGGCTCCCCTCCCTCTTCTCACACGGCCCTGTAAGGCTTACCTTCTCGACCGCAAAAGCCCCAGGCATCGGGATTCTAGTCTCTGAGATCTTCATGTTGCAAATAGTTTCCATCAATTTAACCACATCAGCCATGGATTTTCGAACATTTCGAGTGAAACTGTTGATTTTGGAAGCCTCGATCAAAGCAGGGTCTGGCTGGTTATTTCTAAAACGATATGATCTATACCTTTAAACTCACGGATTGCTGACAGTTTGTTTCACAGGGGGTTTCGGAACTCGTGACCTTATATCCACAAGCAAAACAAGTCGAAGACACATCCAAACAAAGAAGGCATTATTCGAATCCAATGCCCCCATAACTTTTGACAGTGAAGATATAAGATCCTTTTCAATCTTGACACGAAAAAATGTCTCGAAAAAACGGCAAAACATATTATACACCTTGGAGACGGTCGACCTAAACGAGATACCAAATCAACAACCAAACTTACACTTCCAACAATCCTTCCAGATCCCAGCCAAAAGCGGCAAAACACGCCCAAGCACATCTCCACAGATCTTCCCTCTTCTTCTCCGTCCGCTGAATGTCTTCTAAATCAACACTCATAACAGAAGAGCCAACCTACCAGATTCGAATCTCCTTCTTTTGGCATGTTTTATCTCATTGTATGTTGCAAGGGCTTGGTCAATAAATTGGTCACATAATGTTATAAGTTTTCTTGCATCTAAACCGTGAACTATAAAGAAAAAAAGCTACCTGTGTTTGGATCCTGCAGGTAACGCGACAAACGGGATCTATCTACTAAAAAATCGTACCAATTCTGCTCAGGTGGAATTTTCAAGAAATTTAACATCAACATTGCACCGTTTGAGACAAAGCATAAACTTTTATTAGCCGCCACAAAAAAATTTTCACAATTTTATTTTTTTAGTTTTTATAAAGTAAGACTTGACGCTTGATTTCTGGGTCGAGTCTTGGTTTCCTGCCTTTTAAAAATGAACTGATAGCCGGCTAGCCCTAGATAATATTAAAAGGTCGAGTGGCGAGACGCTAATTTAGTATTGTTAATTCCGTAGCTTTATTTTAGAGATTTTAAGTTTAGAATATTTACTTTACAGCTACTTTGGGGAGGTGGTTTTATGAAGTGGAATATTACTGATAAGAATCGGTTAATCATGCGTGCTGACCTAATTCGTTTTATCATAACAAAAATATGGGTTAGAATAAATAGTCGTCTGCATAAAAAATCGTTTCAGATAATTTACAGTGGCTTGTCATGCCTTTTTTTGACCGTAAATACCTGTCAGAACAACAACTTAAAGGCTTCGACAAATATAAAGTAAGTAATTCCTGAATAGTTATAAAACCCATGACGATTATAATAACTGAGTGTTGTAGTATTCATGTATCGACAGTTCTCCAATCGCTGTATACATTTCGCATCCGTTTTGGAATTGGTTTGTAAATGTAAGTGAAGAAATCACTAAATACATAGTACTACTAAATAAGACTATTGTAGTTCTATCCTGAATGGCTAGCTCCGAATGTTCTTACTTTGGCAGGAGCTCTCCTCGTCATGGGCTGTTACTGGTTGGTGGCCTACTTTGATTATTATTTCGAGGTTAACTCTTCCCATAAGGCTGAGCAGTTTCCTTCGTGGATCTGGGTTGTTTGTGGAGTATCCACTTTTTTAGCCCATACATTAGACGGAACGGACGGGAAACAAGCTCGTCGAACGGGTGCCTCAGGGCCCACTGGAGAACTCTGTAGGTGTCAATCATCATTTCCATTCTTTCAGTTGATCATGGACTGGACTCGTGGTCGACTGTCCCGTTTACACTAACCATCTTCTCTTTATTTGGGCAAGGGGAGTACAGTATTACTCCAGTCCGGTTACTATGTGTTCTCATCTCTGTGCAGCTAGTTTTTATCGTTACTCATTGGGAAAAGTATAACACCGGGGTCATGTTTCTTTCATGGGCTTATGATGCTAGTCAATATGTAAGTGAAGGCGGGCATGTTTTTGAAGAATTCACTTCAGGGACTGTCATTGTTTTATCTATTCGCATATGTGAAGGGGCCTGACTATTTCAAATATTATGTATTCCCTGGATATACCTTTGCTCATTGTTTCGAGATTTCTTTTTATGGTAAGTTTGAACGTATCTTTAACCGCATTTGGCAGTATGTTGTGTATTCTCATTCCTAATGTCCTTCTACAATATGTATCTTGCTTATTTTGTGGACAAAACTGGGAAACAAGTAAGATCGGCTTCCGTAAAATTATGTTTTAGTCGAATGTATTTGAGGCATTTTTGCCAATGATTTCCCCATCTATTTTGTTTGGCTCGTCACTTTTATGGGCCATTTACTCGCCTCAGGGTCTAATCAATCAGAATCCTAGACTTTTCTTCTGGACGATGGGTGTCGTATTCTCTAATATTGCGGTATGTGGATAATCATCCATGAAAAGGATAGTTTTAGGTAAGACTCATTATTGCTCAGATGTCTTGCAATCGAGCAGAAATCATGAATCCTTTATTGGGATTCTACATTTTGATTGTTTTTGGAGCCGTTGGTGGATTTTTCGACTCGTTCGAAATGACAGTTCTTCAAGTTTCTTCTTGGGTTTTGACCTTAGCCCATATTCATTATGGAGTATGTGTGGTAAGCGCCTCTTTGAATGGCAAATACTCGACCGTTTAGGTAAAACAACTCTGTGATCACTTCAACATTTATGCTTTCAACCTATCCTATTTACAAAAACCGACAAAACACGAATAATTTTTGTAAAATATTACGATAAAATTAAAATTGTAATTGAGTTATTATTTTTTACTTTTTATGCTAATTTTGATCTCGTCATTATTGGCAATTCGTCGCATTAGATTAGTTGTTCTGTGGACAAGATTAACTGAAAACTTTGGTTGAAAAAATCCTCTTCAAGCATGAAATCGGTAAGATTTTGGTCTACCTCTTTCCATGGCCTTCTACTACGTCTTGGTAACAACTTTGACCATGAAATTTCGATGGCAAGGTTACTCGGTTTTACATTGTTCGAATAGGAGCAATTATAATATATTTAGGCTGAGGATTTCGTTGGTGGAAGAAGATCTGTCTTCCTTATGGATGGAGCTCAGGCCATGGCCCAGTTTTCTGTCCGCATAGAGTCCCAACCTCATCCCGATGATGCCACGCAGTTCTATTCCAGGAAGGATCTTCTCGACATTCTTTCTTCCATGTCTGCTGTTGAACTTGCTCGGAAGATGGAAAATATATCTGAATTGCGTAACGCTGAAGATGATTAGCAAAATAAACTATTGAACTTGTGCCATCCTTGCAAGATCTAGACGTGGAATCTCGGGCTTTCCCGGTAAAAGAGCCGGACCGAAGCCAGTTTGAAACTGTCCGGGCCGAGCCTTATCGGCCCGCGGACCGATGTCTAGTAAAATCTTTTTGTACAGTTATGTGGTATGCGTGTGGCTGCGCAAGGGTAAACAAGCTTCGGATAATTGCAGGATGCTTATCACAAACAATAGTCAGTGATATCGGGGGATCTACAGAAGGTCATGGATTTGATGTCCTTAAAACTGGTTTTGATTCGATACGGGGATGATACGATGCGCTACGTTTAACGAATTGTGCGAATGATTGGAGGTGCAATTTCTAGGTCATAAACACGCTGTATAATAATTGCTCTGTGGAGGAACGACATTCTCTTCAAGGCCGAGACAGTTTTTATTTTCTCACCTGTTATATAACGCTGTTCTCACGGCTGCTTTGCAGGTATCCCACAGTTTCAACCTCAACCCACGCCCCCACCTACTTTTCTTTTGCATGGTGACATTTAAAGGGGAAACGGAGCGACGAGATCCGACAACGGATCGGTTTAAACGAAAAAACGGCTTCAGAGATGATTTTCTCGGATTTCGGGGGGAACGGCGGCTTAGCAGCTCGAGGTGGAAGCGCTGCCCGCTACCACCTCGAGGGGGTCTTCTCCGACGACAAAAATTTTCATAGTAGATGCACAGCCCCATTCTGGAAGTGGAGAGTGAGTGACATTACGTCGTCTCTCTTCAATTCCTTTACTTTTGTGAATTGAGAAGCTATTCCGCGCAAAGACGCCCCCAATACCGACATTACCCATAGGGACGATCCATCCCTTAGACGGTATTGACCTTGTTCTTGCCACCCTTCCTCTTCCGACACATAATTCGTTATTTAACCTGCTCGTTACATATCGTAAGTGGTTAGATTTCAGAACTCGGCATGATAATTAGTCGATTTGTCGTCCTGGGAGTCTTGTTGTTTGTGGCGGTATCAGCCTTCGAACGACAGTTTTGCCACTTCTCGTCGCCCAATTATAGTCTGGAATGGGCTTACGAATCAACCAGCAAGACTATTGTATTTGTCCTGAAAGTCAACAGTACCTTAAATCGCTATTGGACAGGTGTTGGGTTCAATGGGAAGAAGGTAAGAGCACTGGGAACTGGCCTTTCAGCGATGAATTTACTTTCGTGACGTTATTTTAGTGGTGACTTTCTTAGAAAAAATTTCTCTTTTTCTTGATCCGGTCGCTGTATAAAGCGGTCATTATATTTTTCTTTATGATGACCGCGGAATTTCATGTCAGTGAAACTGGAGAGAGTCGTTAAAAATGTAGGCTTTCAGTGTCGTTATTCACTTTTACATGATTTTAGGGGCCGATAGACTTTGTCGGCGTCTTGGTTCGAGATCAGCAAGTAGTATTAGCAGATGCTTATTTGAATGAGACAGGAGTTTTGTATACGGATGTTGTCGGGAACGTCCAAACTATTGGCTACGATTATGATGGCCACCAGCTTGTTGCCAAGTTTGCCAGGCCGATCCTCTCTGACGACGTAAAGAATGATCAGCAGCTTGATGAATGCACGGTATGATATATTCTCTTATTTGATACAAAAATTATATAGAGCTTTCTCCTACCTCAAAAGCCAGGCCTTATTCCTCCTACTGGGATCAAGCCCAACTTGAATGAATTTAACAAAGTCGAGATCTGCGACATCCAGGAACATTGTTCTATTTCAATAGACACAAAACAGCCAAAGGCTTTCAAAGCAGATGCTAAAGAAGATGTAAGATTCGCTAAATCGGTGGACATAAGTGGCGCAGGAGACCCATGTGGTTTTACTGGACACGACTACACAGCCAACTGGACTTATGACAAAACGGATGACAAAATACATTTTGTATACAGATTCCCTTCAAAGGAAGGGAAATACTGGTCAGCGATTGGCATTGGAGACAACATGTCGGTATGTCTTTAGTGTAAAAATAAATGTTCTTGTTGTAGGATATGGATATTGCGGTCATGTTCCTAGAAAACGGTGATGTAAAGAAGATGGGCGACTATTTCTCCAGTGGTTATGGGGTCCCCGATGAAGATTCAAACCAGGACTGGTCTCTCGATAGCTCAAAGAAAGTCGACTCTGAGGTGGAAATTCATTTCTCTCGAAAGGTTGTCACCGACGACTCGGAAAAGGTAATTTCATAAGAACTAGTTACGTGACTGTAATTATCCTCAATCGACCTTCAACCCCCCTCTTCTCACCCTGACTCAACATTTTTAGGACCGCCCTATGGATGACTGCGTGCTTTTCCAGTTTGGAATTAATAGTGGTCACTATGGGGACGGTTACAAGATACGTAAGCATGATGGATGGCCCGATCTTTACAAAGCTTGCAATCTACGAGACAATTGTGCTGCTATTCAAATAGAGAAGCGCAAAAATAAAAATAAGCAGCATAAAGAAAAGAACGACGAAGAAAGTGAGACAAGCACCCCCGTTGTTGATGAGAGCAACGACCAGCAAGAAACTGTCCTCGAGAACGGTAGATCTCTCTGCGATTTTTAATAACTCATTTCAGACCAAAAACCGAAAAAGGGTAAAAACAAGAACAAAAACAAGGGAAAAGGCAAAGGAAAGGGAAAGAATAAGAAACAGGACAATGAGGAGCAGGTTGACGGTTCAGGACAAGAATTCGAGGGCTCCGGACAAGAGGAGCCAGAACCAGTTCCCGAGCACACTACAGAGGTTGCAACCGAACCAGAAACAACGTCTAACTCAGTATCTCCTTCCAAACAGCCTGAGCCAACCACTTTGTCAGCAGAAGCGACTACTGTTGCGCAAGAGGCAACTACACAAAAAGATTCTCTTTCGGAGTCAACAACTGTCAACGATAACGAGGAAGCGGCGACCGCGTCAACGAAGATAGAAACTACCGCGGAACCCAAATCAGATGATAAAACAACGACAGTGAAAGACAAATGCGACCATAAGAAACCTGACCTCAACGTTTGCGAGGGATATATGAATAATTACCTCGCACAGGTCAAAGAATGGGCAGAACGTCATGATGAGACTATAGAACAACAGTATGGGAAAGCTTGTGCCCTTCTAAATGCAGTACCCCATGTGCCCAGTCTTTGTTGCCACATCTTCCAAAAAGTTTGTGCTAATCAGATCTCTCAGTAATCTGCTGTAACTTAACGTGTGGACTACGAATTTCAGTGTCACCGTCATTGTATTAATTGTAACCTTCCGTGCTTTATATGCATATTTCTTACAGAGGTTTCTTTATCATGGTCGATAATTCGGATGCCACTCGCCATATTTCTTTCCGTTAAATATGTTGTCATTTATTATCTCAAATTAAAGTCGGCCAACAATAGAAAAAATCTGAGCAGAATGATGGGATTTATCTGTCCTATCCCAACATTATGCTTTGCATTTTTCCCACAAAGTGTGAGCAAAGGTTGAACAAAAAGTTGAGTTCTCACAGTTCACAACCAATGTCCAACAATCCCTTTGCTGCAATGAGAAAAGAACAATGGTCTTTCTCGTGACGGTCTGTGAAGCAAATGAAAGCTTAAAAGTAAAAAGTAAGGAAACGACAAATTGAGACGTACCGGAATTCCTTCCACTTGTTTGGTTGCGACCAGGGACAATAACTTGTTGATGTCCACTTCAAAGCCTGATGAGAACGACTTCTCAATCTCGTGCAGTCCCGACAACCTTTTTCTTTCTAATTCGAACTGGTTTACATTAATTTCTATAGCTTCTACAAGATCCAACGGGGTCGGAACAACCTCAACTTTCAAAAGTTTTGCCTCAAATCTAGCCGTCCAAACGGCTCTTCGGCAATGATCATCAAAGTCGATACCCACACAAACTGTTCTCTCCTCTCCCGACGACAATCCAAATATGTTTATATCGCCGCTGCATTTAACTCCTTCTGATGACTCCTGAAAAACCAAAATTAGCATCAAACGCAATATTGAACAAATCAGAACCCACTTTATCAAAAACGAAACAAATGTCCGCTTTCTTTATGTCCTCTGAGTTTAGCCAAATGATCCATTGATTGTTTACCATCGAGCTACTAGTTACTGACAGAACCCGATTGAAGCAAGTTTTAACGCCTATACCGGCCGAGAATGTCGGATCAAGAGCTAATGTATAGTCATCGGATTGTTTTGATGAAACTCTTGAGTATTGAGACGTGTGGATTGAAGTCTCAAAGTTCAGATCCAACAACAGATCCATGTCATTAGAAGGGTTATCCTTGGAAAATTGTTTCCCAAGCTTGCTGTTTGTAATTACTGGAGCCTCCTCTACGCAATATTGCTCCTCTGACTCATCTTCTGAATCTTCTTCTTCCTCTGAATCTTCTTCTTCCTCGTCATCCGCTTCTTCCTCCTCATCCTCCGCATCTACATTGCTTTCCTCATTACTTTCTTCTTTACTTTCACTATCTTCATCATCATCTTCTTCACTTTCACTGTACTCACTTAGTCCTTGTTCTTTGAGAGTAGCATTCGTCATTTCAGCTGGCAAAGGCCTGGCCGTTCGTCGGATTGTTGGATCTGGAGCAACCTCTGGGAACTCGGGGAGGTCAGAGTAATCCACACATTTCTGATTTAACAGATGAGACAAAGTTCCCAGCTGATAATGTTCTCGATCTCCAAACTGACTGTGCATGGATGGCGCTGGCTTGTTCTGAAGGAAACATTCAATCGGGAAAACGCCATTCCGGAAAATGCAATTTCTGATGAATCTGCATCTATCTCTGATATCGTATGACCTATCGTAACGTGCCAATTGAAGCACATATTTGATCAGTAATTCACAGCGTTGTCTGTCGTTGGCCCAAAGACGGACGGCCAGATTTAATGCTTGCAACTTCACTTCGTCAGACTCGTCGCAAAAGTTTTTGGCTATTATTCTCAACACATCTGGAGCCATTGAGGCCATCTACAAAAAAAGTTTTGAAACCTATCTCCACTTACCTTATCTATGTGGGTACAGACCAACCAGACCACGCAAGCTTTGGCAGCAGAATTCTTTATACTAGGAATCAATTTAACCACCCTTTTCAAGAGCGATTCAGAAGCTTCAGTGTGCAATAATCTTTTTAGCACCACCACAGAAGAACAAACAATGTTCTCCTTTTGACTTGAAATCATGTTGACCAGCAAAGAGAGGCAGCTTCCTTCAGCTGAATGAACCTTCAAAGCGCATCTTCCAATTGCTTCTATTGCCAATCCAGCCAATTCGTTCATTTGGAGATACGCCTAGCAATAAACTTAAGCGCAAACTTTACTTACTTGTAGTTCTTTGACGACTATCTGTACGTTTGTTTCGGTCACCAAACATGTCAATATTTGAAGTTTTAATTGCTTTATCAACTTGGAATCCGAACTTTGAATAAAAAAACTTTTGAGATATGGCTCGAACATCCCCTAAAGAGAGGTAATCTTTGGCTAAGTAACATACCTTGATCGTAAAGAAAAGAGATTCTTCTTCGTCCTCCCTCGCTGCACAGATGGTAGCGATATTGACTAAAACAACATATTGTACCTCGTTGGGCCCCCTCAAAAGTCGGATTAAGGCGCGAGGAATCAACGACAATTGAGTTCTCGGAGCAGTATAGAAGTACAATTGGGCAACAGCCATAACAACAGCACAATTCCGACTTTGCAAAAGACTTCTGACGGATGAAATCAACAAAGCATAATCCGGGTCGAGCCTCTTTTCGCCTTCTTCCGGCTTTGTAAACTGAGTTCTAGCATATCTCGTAAGCAAGCCAATCATAACCACTTGTCCCCATTCATCCACATCCACAAGAGCCTGGCATAACGAACGGTAATGTTTATGGAGAAGATCCAAACGATCAGGACAAGTCTGCTCAAATGCATGAACCGCGCTTCCAAGAACAAGAGTCCGCTTATCTCCTAAACGCTTTAACCTTAATATTCACTTCCTTACCCAATAAAAAGTCGATGCTCTCAATCAATGGCTCTTGTAGATCAGGGTCCAACGAATAAAGTTTGGGAATGGCGTGAGCGGCCACCTTTCTCACATAGGCACTCATGTCCCTAACCGAATCCTTTATAGCCAACAACATAACGGGAGCGATCATTTGAACACGAATCGAGGATAATACCCTCAGGGCACTTGCTCTTATTAACTGATTTGGATCCTGACTTTTAAATATAAAGCTTCTACACTGCGACACATACCTTCAATGCACGTTGGAAAGTGCTTATTGACAATAGGGCAAGATCTTGTTGTTCTTCGGCGTAGCGAACAAGATATACATACACCAACTTCTTGAGCTGAAATCGGGAACGGTTAGTAAAAAGATCGAGAACATACCTCCAAATGCTTGACTGCCACATTTTTAACCACGGCAGGAAACAACTCAGAAGCGTCCTTTCCTTTGGCTACCATCTAAAACATTGTTTAAAAATTAAGTTTTTTTACATTTATTATTCTTTTCATTGCTTCCATCTTCACGGTCTCTTTGTTATTGTCCAGCATGACCTTTAAGTCAGCAAATTTCCTAAAAATTATAATATTTGACTTTATGAAGTAACAACCTACGTTTTGTTCTCCAGCATCGTGCCACCCTCAGCCATCTCAATATCTGGCGTTAGACCATCCGGATATGATAACCGCATTTTTAACAAATCTGTCCTAAGAATTTACAATGACTATATATATATTTCTTCTTTTATGAAGCTTCTGCCTTTAAAGCTATATAAAAGTTATTTATGTTATCAAGAATTGCGCGTAGGAAATCGTATTTATCGAATTTCTCCTGCAGACCTCAGAAACAAGGGCCCAGCTCGCAACGGAAAAAAAAATTATTTTACCCAAATGCACTTTGCAAATGGTTGTAAAGAAACTGTGGAATAAGTTTGGTGGAGAGGCTAAAACGGCGATTTATCAGAAGAAGTCCATTGAGAAGTTTGAAAAATTGGCTGCTGGGGAAAAAGTTGCAGCTCCAAAGCATCCAACTGATCAAAAATATTTTGATTTAGCATTGAGAGACGAGAAAATTGCAGAAGTACGTTTGTTCCAGCGAACTTTAATTTAAGTATTATGAATAATCTGCAAGAGTAAAACTTTCAGGAAGTTAAGCGAAAAAATGAAGATCTCATCGATAAAGTCAACAAAATTAAGATCAATTCAACGGAGGTCCAACAGGACAGGTCTTCTCGGTAATTTGTTTAGTTCCATTATTCCTTTTTAGACCTCTACCTTCAAGAGAATCGGAATGGCAATACCGAGACACTCCAGACTACAAATTTGGATTCCATGAGATTCCTTCCGAAAAAATGGAATCAAACACGATTAGTGCAAGAGAGATGTATGAGGTAAGGCTGACACTGATGTAAAAGTGTTGTAAATTTAAGTTACTGAGCATTCAAGCCAAAGTAGAAAAGGATGGACGGCAGGTGGATCTCATGGCTCATGAAGTAAGTATTCGTTCGGCGTAAATTTTGTAATTTTTTAGGGATATCGTCGTCTTTCGCCAGAAAGAAGAGAAAACTTATTCAAATATTTTGGTCTGTTTGTAACAAGCGAACAACAGTCTGTTGTGGATCGAAGTGAGGTGGAATTACTTGTGGATTACATGAATAACAGAACTGGGGAGATAGATAAGAATCGACTGGCTATACAAGTCAAAAGGGAAGCTCTAGCGCGTGTAAGAAAAGAAAGAAATAAAGAGATCGACCATGAAAAGAGGGAAGAAGAGCAACAACGGTTGCTTGAAATGGAGAAACGAAGGGATCGAGAATTTGAACGATTGACGCAGAAACTAAAAGAGGTTGAACAAGACACCTTGAAATAGATCTGTTGATGCCCTTATTTTGTTGTTTTAGGCTGAATAAACCGTCGTTAGCTCAGAACATTCATAACTGTGAATTCAAAGTTTGGTTCATGCAATTCCACGTTTCTGCTACATTCCGAGTGTGTTTTTGTAACGCAATTAATTTCTTTAGCCATAATTGGGGTAAGAATAATGATACAACGGGTGGTATGCGCAATATCCGGAGGAGTGGACAGTGCTGTTAGTGCTGCGATTCTTAAAAAAAAGGGGTTCGAAGTCATTGGTGTGTATATGGTGAGTTAACTTCGCTCTAAATAATACGGTAACAGAACAATTGGGACTTTGTGGAGGAAGGGGAAAATCATTGTCCGAGAACCTTGGATGAGACGGATGCCCAACGGATATGTACAGCATTGGATATAAAATATTATCGTGTCGATTTTGTTAAGGAGTATTGGAATGGAGTGTTTGAGTAAGTAACAGAGATTCCCACTTACTTCGAGTCAGCAGCTCTTGTTCAAACAATAGGTATACCTTACTGACGGTCCGTGGGATCCCCAAATGAGACTAAGTAAGATATTCTGAACGAGCATACAAAAGCCGGGGCCCGGTTTCGAATCAACCCACATTCAACGAGTTGTGCAGGGTGCGGCAATTTTGTAGCCCGATTCGAATTCGCTATAACTTTTTTATTTGTCGGCCAAATTTTACGATTCTTTTTTTCCATCAATCCCCAGAGTTTGCGTTTTTGTCGGTTACCAGGTATGTTATGCAGCGGGTAAAAAAATTTTTTCTTTGATCGGCGGATACTTCGGTAATCCTCCTTGAATTCGGCGGAGTGTTTTTTTTCACAAATGAGGCTGTAAATTGTTGTATGTGTGATGAAAATGGGCGGAAAAGGATTCAGAAGATACAACATGACATTTATTTCAAATTTTTGTCATTTGGCGGAGACATTTTTTAACCGCGGCGGACGATTTTTCTTCGACTTTGGAGAGCCAAATCTGGCTAAAACCTAAACGTATGGTTAAAGATATTATTTACAGCCTCATTTGTGAAAAAAAACACTCCGCCGAATTCAAGGCGGATTACGGAAGTCTTCGTTGCGTTTAATAGATCGGGAAACCTCCGATCTATTATAGCTCCTGTATATAATTTAATTTCCCATTTTTGACAGCATTTGATTCATATTGCCTATAAAGACTTTTCAGTGATGCCAAAGAAAAAATAGTTACTACACGTCTTATATGTCGACCGCTCCGGCAGTGAGCCAAAAATCATCTTTTAATTTTTGTTCATGTTCATTATTTTCTATGCGGAAAAATGGTCCAAGTTTTGTTTTCAATTTTTTGAGCAAAAATCGAGTCTTTAGGATACTTATTAGCTGACTAAATCCAAAAAAATTAAACTATGATACTATTACTCAGTAAGGTGTCCTCTTGTTTGAACCCGAGGCTCTCGGCTTGCTCGGAAAGGGTTAACAGTTCGGGTGGAAATATGTCTGCTGATTTTAAAAAGTTTAGAAGGTTTTTGGACGGATATCGAGCAGGAAAAACGTTGGTGGCAGATGTAGAATGTAATGCCCTCATAAAATTCGAAGCTCTTCACCGCTTTTCTATTGACTCGCTGGGGGTTGATGCCGTTGCTACAGGACATTATGCTCAAAATTCCCTTGGTAATTTTCTGGAAAACACTAAAAAAGGTATTTTGTATACTTAATTTTACTGATAACAGATGCACGGCATTCTGTAATTTTGGGACACAACCCCAGTTGTGAGTTACTGGTATATTAGAATGGGTAGGTCAAGATTTTAATTTCTGACTTGCTGTAGGTGTACTGCAACATTTGAAGATTTTGCATTTCTTCTCGATTAGTAGTCCGGTTGACTCGGGATTATAGAAAAGGTGTTTCTAAGAAACTTATGTATTGACACCTCTTTTCCTAGGACTTCTGGAAGTATGTGAAAAATTTGCATAATTAGTAAAAAAATTTAACTTCCCAAATTTTCTCAAAAATTTTGGATACTTGTACATCCTTTTTAATGCTCTAAATAACGCGCTATAATGTAAGGATTCCAACGGTATCAAAATCATCGCTGGTCCGTGTGCCATACCCGCACACGAGACCTGTAAACATTCTGTCATCATGGTTTTTTTTGATTTACAAGTCATATTTTCCGAATTGCAATTTTTATAAAGATAAATATACAGGGTGTTTCAAGAAATGTTCCACAAAGTGTTGGCGAATATCTTTGTGCTCCTTGCAACTACCTATGAATTGATTTTAAAATTTGAAGTTGGGCGATTTTAAAATATGCTTTATGGGAATTTTCAAAACACTTTTTTATTCAAAAAATGTAAAAAAAGTGGAATCTGGTCATAAAAAATCAGTGAATGGTTGACATTTTGTCCTGATTTGTTTTTTTGCCGTTCAAGACTTGGTTTTGAGGTTGAAAACTAGTTGGCCAGTTGCCGGAATTGGTAGATGAAAAGGAAAAAAATTCCAAATCTGACTGCGAAATATTGGATTGTTAAATCATTGTTCAAGTACTTGTTTTGTTCGTAGGTGGGAAAACAAAGAATATCACTCCGAACGTGATTAATTTAATGAAAAACCTACAAACGACTACATTTAAAAAATTACATCTCGTTACAAAGCCCAGACATCTTAATTACGGATGAAATTTATCTTGCACAGATTGCTCCGCTGGAGCAAGAAAAGCCAATCCAACCTAAAAAATCTGTGTTCTTTGATAAAAGATTGGGTTTAGCAGCTTTTGTCCCATTCCCGTAATTTTCAAAATTAAAAGAACGGGAAATGCGACTTTGAAGTGACTGGAATATCAAAAAATTCCCTGACAAGGGATCGGCAAATAGTTGTACCCTGCTTTCTTAACGAAATATGTATCATTTGAAAGAGCATTAAAAATATACTCCCGGACATAAATTTCTGACCACCCATATCTCAAGTCAATATAACGCAATCGCTTTGAAACTTGGCATGTATACTAGTCATGACAGACAGAATGTGCCACATAAAATTGTTTTTCGTGTCTCTGTCCTTAGGCGAGTTATGCAGGTTTTTTCAAAAATTGGTGGACAAAACTTTCTGATCACCTAAAATAACTAAAGTTTTCTCAGTCTCCTTGAGTAAGCGACATGGTTCAGTTATCTTTGAACACTATTAAGGGACCTACAATGACGATGGGTATGATTTTTACCACCAAATTCGGCGTGTGCCCTCAAGCAACTCGTATTCTTGCAGCGCTCTTTTTCTCGTTAAAATCACGCCCTATGCGGCAAGGACGACTTTTTAGTTTCAGAAAAAGTAATAAGAAACTCATTGGAGGTAGTGATGCAAGATCTTACTACCCTGCAATGTGAAATATACTCCCCGCCATAAGTTTTGACCCCCCTTCTAACTCGGTCCAAAGTGTACCAATTTGGACCAAATTTGGTACGTAGTCTACTGATAACCTAGTAGTAAAAAATATCATATCAGGGCAAACCACATAGCTGTATTTCAAAATCCAGAGACAATTTTTTAAAATCACCCCCAAAAAAAGAGGACAAAAGTTTTGACCCCCCTTTAAAAAAAGTTAAATATCGCCACCGGATGTAGCCCGCACCTTTCGCAATCGACGTGCCTTACCTGAATACAGGTTAATAAACGCTTTTCCGTTGAATGTTTCGTTGCATCTGAGGACGCAACGCGTTAAACCGAGTTTGATGTAGAGCTGCCCACAATGGTTAATATCTCGCTCTAGCGCTTTCCAAATGTTTTAAATTGTGTTTATATCATTTGGTTTTGACTTGTAATCACCTGCATTGACCTTCTTCTTTTGAAAAAAGTCCACGATGGCCTAGCAGGGTCGATTCGGCCGATATCCAGTTGTCATGCCCAGCCTTGGTGAGCCATTTGCTCTTTGGCTGAAGGTCTAGATGTGGTCGTTAGGTCCTCAGTCTAATCCTGAGACCCATATTTACACTCAGTATTGTAAAATTTCTCGATTTGACCCGTTTTGTAATGGGTTTCATTCACCTTAATCTTGAGTTCGCCGTAACTGTAAATGCCCCCAAGGTTGATCAGAACCCCGCAGGCGATTTGGCGTTCGATACGTCTCAGACGTAGACGGCGGGTGCCGTAGCTTCTTAAATTACGCGGGCCATCTAATGCAAGCCATTTTTCTTCGGTAAAAATCTATTTGAAAAACTCGGTTTTTTGGTTAAGGTGCAGATCGGGGAAGTTGCGGCGGCAAACCATTTGAGATCGTGTCAGCGGGAGTTTATTCTTGGACTAAGTGTAGATGTGAGTCTCAGGATGAGATTGAGGACCTAACGACCACATCTAGACCTTCAGCCAAAGAGCAAATGGCTCACCAAGGCTGGGCATGACAACTGGATATCGGCCGAATCGACACCACTTGGCCATCGTGGACTTTTTTCAAAAGAAGAAGGTCAATGCAGGTGATTACAAGTCAAAACCAAATGATATAGACACAATTTAGAACATTTGGAAAGCGCTAGAGCGAGATATTAACCATTGTGGGCAGCTCTACATCAAACTCGGTTTAACGCGTTGCGTCCTCAGATGCAACGAAACATTCAACGGAAAAGCGTTTATTAACCTGTATTCAGGTAAGGCACGTCGATTGCGAAAGGTTCGGGCTACATCCGGTGGCGATATTTAACTTTTTTTAAAGGGGGGTCAAAACTTTTGTCCTCTTTTTTTGGGGGTGATTTTAAAAAATTGTCTCTGGATTTTGAAATACAGCTATGTGGTTTGCCCTGATATGATATTTTTTACTACTAGGTTATCAGTAGACTACGTACCAAATTTGGTCCAAATTGGTACACTTTGGACCGAGTTAGAAGGGGGGTCAAAACTTATGGCGGGGAGTATATGCCATTAACGCCTTAAGCAAACCACCTAGGAGTAGCCGATCTCTGAATAATTGATCATAACCGCAGGCGTTTTTATTAAATCAGTCTAGAAATCCCCTACAATACTCTTTGGTGAATACTGAAGAACGTGGGATAGCAATCTCCCGTTATCTTCGCATTTCGTGCGCGCACTAACGCAAAAGTCCAAAAAAACGCAACTTTTCCGATTTTGTAATTACAAAATGGTCAGAATTTGCCAAAAAATCCTCAAGTTTGCGTTATCGCGTAATTTCACCCCGAAATTTCATGAGTCCGGGTCAGCACTAATACAACTTTATTTTTCATTGTGTAGGGCTAAGCCATGTTTAATTTCAACCAGTTTGGGCTGATTCTGAAAAAGTTACAGGCCGCTAAAGTCCGGCCGGCTGGTCAGTTTTGTAATGATTTTGCACATGCTTGATGAAATCCTTAACATCCCTCGGTATGATGGACGGAGATTGACCATGTGTGATCAATGACATAATCTTGCCCTTAAAGTGCAAGGATGGAAAATTCCGTTTTACCAAATGTTTTGCAGCTCTTCTTGATAGGGCAGTTAAAATTTGGAACATGTAGCTCAATTAACAACCCAGCTAAAGGGTGGTCTGAGAGATATGTCCGGGAGTATAGTGCACATCGCAAAAAAAATTAGCTGCCTAAATTACCTTACTAGGGAAGTGTACAAACGAACCCTCACCAAATGGCAAGTGTTATACACCATTGGAAAGCCCTTGAAAAATGGTGAAAGGTACCATTTTCATTTTTTGCAGAATGCCTCAGGGCAAAAAATTATAAACGGTTGATTTGTCCCTTAAGTAGTTACAATATCTTCTATTAGGCAAAATAAATGTTATTTCAAAACGCTAAATGGTACGTATTACCATTAGGTTGGCCTAAGAATCATTATGAAGCTTGGCGCTTGCGAGTAAAACCATTTTACATATGACATTTACTGGTTTTAAACACCCATAAGGTGAAAAAACACTTTTCACTTTTTTTAATCTTGAAAAACATGTAAGTTTGATGGTTTTTACCGTAATCGATCGTCTCCCAGAAAAATTAAAACCTTTGTAAAAGTTTAACGCAAATATTTACCTAACTGTAAGAACGCAAAAATGATTTTGCCCAAGCTGGGAACCGAACCCGGCTTGCTTTGGCTTATCAGCCTGCTCCGCAACCACTGCACTATTGAAGCAACCCTCTCCGAGGATTTTTTCCTGCCCAAGAGAAAGAAAGATTTTTGTTGCAGAATGACCTAAAAATAATATAATTTACAGTATGTTGTCGCGGAAAGTCATTCTGCAAAAAATGAAAATGGTGTCTTCTACCATTTTTCAAGGGCTCTTCAATGACGTATGTCACTTATCATTTGGTGAGGGTTCGTTTGTACACTTCTCTAGTTAGGGCATAGATACGACCGCTTTTTGAAAGGGGTTATATGCGGCCAAAACGCCGGTTCCTTATATTACAGTAATACTGGCGGTTTGAAATCGTCTTTATTAATTTCCTGGTATCCAAAGACGTCTATCACGGTCGTTTTATGGCTTTACCGATCCTCGGTTATATGTTATTAGACATTACTGCTAGTTACTGTAAATTGTAAATAAAACTAGGTTAAAGGGAAAATTGGAGCAAAAAGCTTTGGAAATACATTTATATGATCGTCGTGGTTATTCACAAACGAAAATTTCAAAATCGAAAATTTCTTATGTCCTAGCCTTACCAATGGTTGGTCCACTGTGTCAGCAATAGTGTCTTTGGCCGATTTTACAATTTTATCTTCGTATTTTTTCGAAAAAATGTATATTTATAGGCCCTTGTAAATTGAATTATCCTCCAGTAATTATAATCGGTCAGGTTACTGGCACAACACCCTTGTAATTATACGATAGTGACATACCCACTCTCATCACCATCAAATTTGTGGTCGTTTCAAAAAAATTCAAAAACTCAGAAAAATTGCATAACCATGGATTTTGTCTGCGGAGGAACAAAAATTATTAAAAAATGTCAACATACCATGGTTTTGTGGCATATAAGAGATGAAACGCAAAACATTCACAGAGACCGGATTCGAAACCAGGACTCGCTGCGCCGGAAGTGGGCTCACCACCAATCGGCCAACTGGACACAACTCTGTTGCCGTTCCGAGAGCTTATAAAGCGAGGCGGAAATTAGGCTAAAATCTGTATTTTGGCCATAACTTTGTTCAAAGTGAATTTAGGCAGCTAATTCTTTTTGCGCTGTGAACTATTTTTAATGCTCTTTCAAATGATATAGGTTTCGTTAAGAAAGCAGGGTACAACTATTTGCCGATCCCTTGTGAGCTTTTTTCATCTTATTCGTAAAAGCCAAACCCAAATACGGCCTCCGTCGGTAAAAAAGTCTCCTCCGAGCCTTCGCCAATGTGTACGACATCCGCCAATCTGCCGAGACTAACAGATTACATCGTACCAGGTGTAACAACCTAATTTCGTCTTTAGTTAAATGTCTGGGCTTTGTAACGAGATGTAATTTTTTATTCTTTTGCATTTTCTAAATCGCCCAACTTCACATTTTAAGGTCAATTTTAACTTTTTGGATAGCTGCAAAGAGCACAAAGAATTTGGACACTTTCTGAATGGCGAAATCCGGAACCGGGAAAAAAACAAAAGATAAGGCTTAGAACTGCCACTTGATCTTAATATGTTATTAATCTCGAAACTTTGTTATTTTTTTGATTGTTACTTTTTTTCTTACGGTAGTACTGTTAAATAGTAATCATTTGAAAAAATAGAAAAAATTTGGGAGACCGGTTATTTCCCAAAAGTACAGAATTCCGCGAGACCGAACCTTTCATTTGGGGCAGATCGGGTATCGGCCCAATATTGCAAAACTGTTTGAATTGCTAGCCAATGTAGGTTAGGGTACTTTGTGTTCACACCGTAGGGTAGGTCCCCTGCGACCCATTTCCCCACCTAGGTCGCGACCAAGGTCAAGGTGGTTGCCTAAAATCACTCGAAAATGGTGTCAATGTTTGACTAGGATGGTCAAGACGCCTTCTTTAGGTCCGTAACCGAGGTCAGGTGGTTGTCCAAAATATTCTCAAAACGGCCAAACAAAATGACTAGGGTGCGAGAGTCACTTTGGTTGAGCTTGGTCGTGACCTAGCTCGTGAGCTATGATGACATCCATGTTTTTCAAGAAAAAAAGCAGGATCATGGGTCATGAATAAGACCAACTTTTTCCTCCAAAAATTCTTTCGAAAGAATTTTGATGTGTAAAATCTTTTGGTAAATTCATATTGCGTGGACGAAACGTCCAAACGGTTCAGGAAATGCGCTGGATTGACGCTGCCGTAATTTTCGCCCACAGTTAGGTCAGGTCACAACCACCCTGACTATACCCCGGGACTAAAGTTTGGAACAGGCTAGATTTACTTTGTGGCTTGAGATCGCAGTTTCATTTCTTTTCTATGAGAATCGGAATGTATTGAAACCCTGAATAGATGCATAGCCGTAAAAATCCGAAAGCTCATATCAGCAAACCACAAAATTTTTAAAAATGGGTGGGACAAAAGTTTGGAACAGGGTAGGAATGCGACCATAAATTTCGAGGTATAGTCAAAAACTCCTAGCCTTTGGTATTTTTAGATGCTACAAGGAGTCAGGATCTCAACGACATGCTGATTTTCATCGATAAACTCAAAATGAAAAAAATTCTTATTGAGCCAAAAATGACGGTCAAATTTGCGAAAAAAAATTATTTTTGGGTTGGGTTCTCTATGTTATTGGGTGTGTAAGCATTCTAAAATATTTAATATAGTCGTATGACCGTAAAAAGACACTCAGATCTTCGCATAGCGACCTTATCCGCACAGTATAATTTATGAAAATCTTGGATTGCGCTTCGAATCTTGGTCTAATGAACTTTAGACTTTTTGTAAGGCGGCTTGATGGCTAATTGGTCTTTTCATAGTTTTTGTGGGATGAAAAGGTTTCTTCACAAAGCAAAACATGACCGCAATTTGCAATATCCCAAGTAAGACGTTTCAAAAATTAAAAAAATTTTTCGATCACCAAAATCAATGTCTATATCGACCTGGATTCCTAGTTTAATACATTGTAGAGTTGGCTAACAAAACTTTATCAGTGTGAAAAGGATAAAGGCATTTAGTTTTGCGCCATACGGCGACCTAAAATTAAAGTAAAAAATATGGGTCATCTTAACATCTCATATATATGGGTTTTTCGAAGTTGTGGCCTTTCGTGTTGCAAATAGCGGTTGGTTTTTGCCTCTTGGAGATACCTTTTTGTCCCACAAAAACTATGAAAAGACCAATTAGCCATCAAGCCGCCTTACAAAAAGTCTAAAATTCATTAGACCAAGATTCGAAGCGAAATCCAAAATTTTCATAAATTATACTGTGCGGATAAGGTCGCTATGCGAAGATCTGAGTGTCTTTTTACGGTCATACGACTATATTAAATATTTTAGAATGCTTACACACCCAATAACATAGAGAACCCAACGCAAAAAATAATTTTTTTCGCAAATTTGATCGTCATTCTTGGCTCAATAAGAATTTTTTTCATTTTTAGTTTATCGATGAAAATCTGTATCTCGATGAAGTCCTGACTCCTCGCAGCATCTAAAAAAACCGAAGCCTAGGCGTTTTTGACTATACCTCGAAATTTATGGTCGCATCCCTACCCTGTTCCAAACTTTTGTCCCACCCATTTTTAAAAATTTTGTTTTTTTGCTCATATGAGCTTTCTGATTTCTACGGTTATGCATCCATTCTGGGGTTTTAATACATTCCGGTTCTAATAGAAAAGAAATAAAACTCCGATCTCAAGCCGCAAAGAAAATCTAGCCTGTTCCAAACTTTAGTCCCGGGGTATATGCTCACAACCTAGGTCGTGAGCTTGGTGACGACCTGACATAGAGAAAGTGTCTTGACCAGCCTAGTTAAGCATTGCGACCATTTTCGGGGAATTTTAGGCAACCATCTTGACCTTCCTCACGACCAGGTCGCGAGCTTTGTCATGGGTGATCTCTCCTCTGGTATGAACACCCCGTTGGTTAGCTAGTAAATAAATTTTGCAATGTTTGGTATAAGTATTGAGGCGATACCCGATCCCTCAACTAAAGGGTAGCTATAACACAGTTCTGTAAATATTATACTATGTATGGAATTATTATTTAGGGGCGATTCCTCATCTGTTAACTGCGGTAGATCCACTGAAAGATCAGACGTATTTCCTTTCACGGATATCCGAAAATCAACTTCGAAGGTCCATGTTTCCGATCGGAGATCAAATTAAATCTAACGTTAAGAAAATGGCGGTAGAAATGGGACTTAATGAAGTGGCCGAGAAAAAAGAAAGCATGGGATTATGTTATGTTGGGAAACGTCGGAAATTCAGTGAATTCCTCGAAAAGGTATCATTTTTATAACCCTTCAAGAGAATTTGTAATTCTAAACTCTTTGTTTAGTATATACCAGACAAGAAAGGCAATCTGGTGGACATTGAAACAGCAGAAGTCATAGGAGAGCACAATGGAATCCATCACTTTACAATTGGAAAAAGGGTTGCCATTAATACAAATTATCCTACCCATTACGGATTTTACGTCTGCAAGATTGATTCCTGTTCGAATATTGTGTACCTGGTAAGAATACAGAAACGTTAAGTGTTTCTGGGCAAACAGTGCACCTCGAAGAAAATTTTTTTGTAAAAAATTGAACAAGCTTTTGAATTTTTTTTCGCCAAAATAACAAGGTTTATAGCGAGTTACAATCGAAAGGGTTTTCGAAATACCCCCATTATGGCATCGTCCTATTGTGGTTTCCGCCTAAGTATTGTAGACGATTGCCAATCCGGGGAGCGACAATTGGCCAATTGCAATTGGGGAAAAAGACAATCGGGGAAACTGAAAAGTATTATTTTTCTTGCCTGTAAGTTTTGTTGATTTCAAAAATCATGTTCACTTTTTGATTGTTATTTTTTTAAGTAGTACTGTAAAGTAGTATTTTTTAGAATTTTTATCACAAATACTCGATATAGCGGTTTTCGATGGTGCTGATTTCGAAAATGATATTCAATCTTTCTTATTTGAAATCAGCACCATCGAAAACCCCCAAATCGATTATTTGTGGAATAAGGTAAAAAAAATTAAATCGAGTATTTGTGACAAAAAATGCAATTAACTGCGTTAAAAATGGTTTAACGTCTTTTTCCCCAATATTCAACTTACCCAAGTGTCTTGTTCCCCAATTGAGGACGTTCCTGCCAAACAAGTTTAAATTGTAGTGTCGGGGATCGTTTAATCCATTGTTATATTCAAAGAAAATTCAATTGGAAAGGCCTCATTGGATTAACGGATCTCCCATCGAAGGTGATCTCGAATTCAGATGTCAGAGACAACATCCGACCTTACAATGCTCACTCGAGGATGACATCTTGACCTCAAAGACACCTTTAAGAGCTGCTGCTCCTGGTCAGGTACGCGATTTACCACTTTATTGAAAATATGCATTTTTTCAGAATTGTGTTTTTTACCGAGAAAATGTTTGTCTGGGATCTGCCGAGATTACTGATATCCTGGAGCCGATCAAATAAATCCCTTCAAAGATTGCCGGACTCTTTTTTTCTTTGGGATCCATTTCGATATCGAAAATTCCTTTTCATCCACAGCACTCGACGGGAGCATACGGTAACTGTTTATATACATCTCGTAGTCCACAAAGTCTTTGGCCAGCTTGTCTCTCCGATAACGTTGTTTGAGGATCTACATACAGGGTACAGAATGGGCCACTCGAAACTCCCTTCCTCCTTTTGGTCAATATCTCCGTCAATACTGAATGAATCCTTCCAAAATTTTGAATTGTTAAAATTGAGACCCGCCATTTTTACTGTGCTAAATTTGAAGGTTTTAGATCACGAATGCACTTTACAGTAATCTTCGACTTTTGGGGGAGAAAATTGTCCCCGAAATCCGCGATTTTTTCATTTTCTTTCGGAATGCGCTTGCTTTCTCTCTCCATTTCTCGCCCAATCGACCATTTCCCCAATCGTCCCAGTTCCGTTTGAGAATAGCCGTTGATGATTAAAATTTTGGTAGGATTCGTTCGGTATTGATGGAGATGTTGACATGAAGGGAGTTTAAGGCGGCCCACTCGGTATCTTTACAGAATCTTACTTGGAATTGATGGTTATATTGTTTTTTGACTGGGAGGATCAAAGGTATTCGGAAAATTTTCAAGTTCTCCGAAGTTTGTAATCGAGGAATCGCGGCTAATGGATAGAATGCTTGACCTCCCAAATCATTATGACTGAACACATCTTGATCCAATATGGATATACACAACGAAGCGCCGTGCAAAAAGAAGAGATCTTCTCGTAGTAGACTGAGAAATTTTTTATAAATTTATAAACTTACAATTGGCAAGACTCGGTCCATACGGGGTTCAGAGTCTTGTATCTGGTAGCGGTAGTGCAAGGGGGATGGTCTTGGAGGTTAAAAAGGCATCGTGGATATAATTCGACTCTTAAATATGGATCTGAAGACTTGGAAAGAGTGTCGAGAACTGGTAGATTTGAGGCCGAGACGATCTCCAGGCTTAACAAGATGTATCTGTTGGTTGTTTGCACATATCCCATCTTCAATGTTGCATAAGGAGTGTTCTCCTTGATCAAGGTGTTAAGAGTAATGTCACCCAGATTGGCACAATACTGGAGAATCAGGTCGACGGTGGGGGTTCTGTTCATGAATAAGGTCGACCGCAGGAAGTCGGTCTTTTCTCGTTTCCAATCGACGCTCAAAAGGTCGGCCACGGCCTCGCAGGATCTCTGAATCGATCATCACCATTGACGTTATCTTACGTATATTATGTCATAATATCCATTGTTTTGGCCATCTATCAAATAGTTCTCAAATGTATGGATAATCTCTTTCCACAATAAATCAACGGCTACGTAATATAACCTGGGCAAGAGCGTTCCCTTAAGGCAATTGCGGAGTCTTTCCACAGTATTTAACAAGGAATCCACTTGATCTCCGTTCCTCATCTGGAACGTTTAATTTCTCGGGATAGACTTACAATTTTCCTTTGAGGTGAGGCAATCTGTTCACACTGTTTCCTCAGAGCATCGTACTTGTAAACACATATATTCTTTATGAGATCGCTGGAGAGGTCTTTGCATCGCCGTTCAGTTACTCTCAACAACTTCTGAACACTTCCAATTATCTGATCCTTTTCTTCCGGATTTAATCTAGTGATTAAATTTTTGAGATTAAGGAATCGTTCAAAATTGGAGATGAGATGATCACAAGCATGTTCAATCCCATTGGCCGCTTCGGCTAGCTATTAATCTTAGATTAGATTGGAATAGGACCTACCTCGAAGTAAGTAAGACGACAGTTGAGGGTCTGTTGGTGAATCTTCGTACTGTAGATAACAACGCTGTCCGCCAAGATCTGCAAAAGATTTTATTCGTTTCGTTAGATGTAGAATTTAGAATTACAATTTACACTTTTTAACATCATTTGGTACGCTACCATGCTTTTTCAAAAGTGCGTAGATATTTTTTGCAAGGCTTTTTCGCACTGAACAATTGCACAGTGTACAAAAATATAAAAAAAGATGGTTGCGCAATTTGTGCAATGTCCTGTCAATTATTTTTTTTCTCCACCAAATACGACGGACGCAAGTTCACGGAGGCGGTCGTACTGACCTTTGACATTTTCGTTCCAAATTTTGGAGCCAGAAATCGGTGAAACTTAGAAAATTTTTACAATGATTTTCAAATGAGTTTCTCGTACTTAATACAAAATTTTTGGATTCCAAGTTAAAAAAAAGTCGCTGAATTCGTTCAAAAAATTTAAAAAAGTAAATTTTGGTAGAATGAAGTCGCCCTTTTGGGGGTCGCCCTTCCGGGGTGGGCCCTTTCGGGGTCACGGCAAATACTGTGGTTTTCGGGTTCCGGAGCCTAAATAAGTCAAAATTAAAGAGACAGGAACTTTTAAAACGAATTTGTTTTATCATTTTTTTTCAAAAATTTTACAACATAGCTATGAGATCGGTTGTGTCCCAAAAGTACAGAATGCCGTGCATAGTGATTGTATATCTACAGTTATTGGATTTATTCTTGGAGTTCATTTTTTCGGTCGTTTTTCGGTTGTTTTTTCGGTCTTTCCCGGTGTGTCCGAAAATGGAGTACGGTGTGGAAGAAAGAGCTTGGTCTGTGGTTTGGTACGGAAATTACGGTTCGGCGATACATGTTCAAAGGGAATACCGCATGAAATACGTACGTAATTCCCAACTTCCAAATCGCAAGACAATCGAAAAAACAACCGAAAAACGACCGAAAAAATGAACTCCGAGAGTAAATCCAATAACTGTAGATATGCACTTACTATGTATAACATATTTGGTATTAAAGAAAATGGGGTTGTCAGAGGATTCAGGGAAAAAAAGAATTTTAAGATTTGGCCAAAAACTAAAGAAGTTATAGCCAATTCAAATCGGGCCACAAAGATGCCCCACCCTGTATAATTAACATTTTCAGGCACTGTGAGGTCCATATTATACTTTTAGCAAAAAATAGCCGCCGTGTCTATCATTTTGAAACACCCAAAACTTGGAAAATCTTTTGTGCAAAGTGCAGTTATAGTGCAACGACGAAAAATGTTTTTTAGCGTCAAGTGAACCCAGACACTTTGCATAGGCGTGTCTATCATTTCGAAGTGTCCCTAAAGACAATTCGCCCGAACTTGAATAGGCGGTGGCGGTAGAATTTTACCACACCATTTTTTTGAGTTGGTGTTTGGCTAGCCACTTTCTGTTGAAACAGACTTGTTTCGACTTTTTGTCATAATCGCCTACATTCAATTCCCAGACTTCATTTTCCGGTATATTTAAATCGTAAAGCATACGGAAATAGCCTGTATGTAACACAACAGCGCCATCCCATCGTCCTGGATATCCAAACAAACCACATCATCACAAAACGCTTTGCAGAATGCTAAACATAAGATGGCACTCTCATGGATATCTACATTATGTTTCTTGTAATCATTTATTTGGAATGGATTTTCGGGAAGCTGATCTTCGAGGTCTCTAGAGTCTTCCACGCACTGAAATTGTTTTATAAAGCAAGATATAAACGGTACCGTTCCCTCCCAACTCTGCCCGGTCTTCTAAAAAGCCAGATTGGTTACCTTTTTGATGAAACCAATGTGAATTCCCCTCCATCCATGGGTCCAGAATACACAAGCGTTGTAGAAATACTTCTCGAATCCACCCAAATTAAGTATTCCTCTGCAAACCTTCATACTTGGTCACCTTTCTTACGTCTCTTGTTTCATAAAATTGGAGAGCTGCCTCAGGGAATCAAATAACTGCATGGTTCCTTCTGTAAATTCCTTTAGTTGTTGCCCGTTTCGTGAATCTAGAGCCCTCAATGCCTTGGAAAGTTGTCTGTCTGTGAGTTGAAATACCTAAATTTAAACAGTTTTTATTAAAAATGTTTTTTTAACCTTTTCCTCAACATTCTCTGAAACTATTTGTAGATAGCATAAATCGAATGATCGGAAGAGCTTGGAATAAATAACATTGCACTTCTTCATGTCCATATGGAGTTTATCCACGATCTCGCTGAGTTCCGCGACATTGGAGACCTCTAGAGAACTGACAACCTTGGATACCGCCACTTCTACTTTGGCCTTGAGCTTCTTGGATAAAACCTCGATCACGTTTGGATGGTTCAAATAATTTAGGACTTTGACGATAGGCCTGTAATTTGTGGTGGTCGTTGGCGGAAAAAAATTGTCAACGTCCAATTCTTGTCTGAACAGAGAAAAAAAGGAGAAAATCTCCACAGGGAGGGAGCAGAAATTTGCGCAATGTAACGCAATTTGAGGCAAGAATTACGCATTTCTTGTCTAGAAGCCTAACAGACAAGAAATGGCGGTTTCTGGCCACGAAACCCGATTTGATTTGTATGTCACCATCCTTGTATTGTAACATTCAGATCGATTTTCCAAAAAATTCTTTTTTCCTAGTCCCGAAGCGAAAACATTAAACGGTATCGTTGACCCGAACTGTCGCGACCCGAGCTTCAGTCAGATTTGGAATGGGGTATTTGGGTATATACCACGTTGGAACCCTAGTTAAATCATCCTGGGAACACAAAAATAAAAAGTGGGGACAAAAACGGGCCCAATTATTCCTATTATGTATGACTATGACCAGGAAAGCTTACTTGAAGAACCTTAAGATACGCGAAATGTCAGAAAAATTGAAATCCAAAGAAAAGAAAGCCGAATCCCCCAAAGTGCTCAAGTAATTGTCGACTCTCTTAACCAGATTCTTGGCAACGTCATCCATCAATTTGGGCCTTCCTTCCTTATAATCCTCCACATGATTCATTTTATAATTGTAATCATTCGTTTCCTTGTCGTCCAATTCTAAATGTAAAAGACGATCCACCAACCTAAACTACCAATAACTGAGAGCGATCTTACAATAACTCGCAAGTACTCCATTCGATCTTATAAAAGTCGCAGACGATCTTAAGCACGGCTACAGTGGTCTCGAAAAGGATCTCGGATTTGAGACTCTTGGATAACATGGAGAGGACACAGCTCAAATCTGCTAATTCCAGTCTCTCCCCGTTCTCGTAGTCTCTCTGAGAGTTCAAATAAGTGTTGAGCTGAATGAATTACCTTGAGTTTACACTTGAGAATGGCGTCGTTGATCCCATTGATCTTAAATCTGGTTTCTTTGTCAACGTCCAAATGTTTTGTCTTTACAACCAGCACTACATTATTTTTCTCGAACCATTTTTTGAACATGGAATGACTCTTGTTTATCTTAAATTTGCACTTCATATCTGATGGCACCCTGATCACCTTGAGCACCGACTTTTGACCATGGCGTAGTGTTCTATAAAATACCAAGAACTGTAATATATTCTTACATTGATATCTGTTTGTTTGATTTCAGAATCATGTTCGATGTGGCACAACTTCCTTCATCACATCTGTTCATGGAAATTTATATTAAAAGTTATTTATACCTGTCCAATTGTAACATAAACTCAATTTGATCTGCTCCTCCACAAGTCTGAATTTCTATGTCAAGAAGATATTCAATCTGAATGGATAAGATAGTATAATCTATATTTTAATTACCGAAGTTTCTTCTTGTTTGACGAGCAATTCAAAAGATTCTTCATCATAATGGAGAACCTGTAAGAGGGCATTAAAAGTAGAGTTATTGCGGGCATCTGTCTAAATAAGATTGGCCCACCTGTCTTATATGTTCCAGCAATCCGAGTCTCTGACTGTAATCAACCACTTCCGGATGATGGACAAGTGCCCGGATACAACCTTCCAACAAACTTTTCCCCATTTAAAGAACCCAACTGATGAGTTATTTGTCTGATAAGCATGCTCTTAATGGATTACGTCATCGTCGAGAGGGTGAACACAAGCCGCCCCCTCCTAGAAATGTCGCAGTAATTAAATCGGAGCTCAGCCGGCCATCCATTCAGGCGTCACTGCTTTCACACTGTTATTACCGTAGTAATTATCGGAGAGGGGCACCCCGACCATCGTCTTGACCATTGTCTCCTTCTCCCTTTCTTCTGCTCTTAAAGAGGCGGACAGTCATGGATTACACGTTTTTTTGTGTTTTATTCCTCTTCCTTCTTCATCACGGAGATATGGCCAAACTCTTGGACACAAGTGTCTCATGTGATCAGGTACCCATTAGAGTGTTTTGGTAATCGATATCAACATTAATATCATCCAATTTCAGAAGGATTTCGTCTTGTCCTTGAGTTTTGATTCTGACTTCCGGGGCATTGTTTATTCAGAAGATGATTTCCCAAACTGTGTCTACGTCAACGGGACCATGTTGCCTCAACGGAATTATCAATTAAAGATCCCTTTGATTGGATGTGAGACCAGAACAAACGAAGATGGCAACTTCGAGAACGCAATCATTGTTCAGGAAAACGCGGCTTTTGTCCAGAGTACTGACAAAAAGTACTTGTTAACTTGTATTCCAAGTGCCGTTCCTATTGGTCCCCAAAGGTTGGTTCGAATATAGTTTTATTAGGTTGGACGGAAAGTTTGTACGATTTTTTACTGCTGCTATTTTTTCTTGCGCTGATGGAAAAAGACAAACACAAATATATGGTGTCGGTAGGGGACAGGCATCCCTATCTAGCAGTACAACCTTCAGCCATCTTAAGCATTTACGAACTGAGAACTTAATTTAGACATTTACCCATCTTTGGTCCAAAATTACAAATCCTTGGCTGGTTTGTTTAATAAGGCCTACCAGGAAATTGTTTTGGCACTGCTAAAAAGCCTTCTTCTGTAGCTCTTAATATGCGTAAAGTCGCCGGGGACTAAATCAAAACATAGCCATAAAATTTGACTTTTGCAGGACCACCCCAAGTTTGAATATAACTGCAACCGCCGCTTTGCCGGTGCATTTCTATGTGTAAAACTATGATATGCAGAAACTAAGGACAATCCCTTACACTCAGCTACCCCGCAATAGCCAACTGTTTTGCCGTACGACATAATAGAACTAAATTACTTTTCTCAAAAAATCGTTGGTGAACTGTTGGATCATCCCGTACAATTCTAAAAAGAGCTCATAACATCTTTCCACTCCTCCCTTTCTTGGGTGCAAAATAGAGCCGCTTTATTGCTCTACTACCTCGTGAAACAATGGGCTACCATTGTTGACTGTCACAAAATTACGCGCATTGCTCTACAGCTATAATTTTTGGCAATTTTGTCTCTTTGCGGATAACCCGAGGCATCTGTGATCCGGTTTACTCATGTTGCACGTAAAGGACTCTCTATGTGCCTTACTGCACCCTATTACAGAGACAGACAATAAGAAATACGCGGAATAATAAGAAAAAGTTTTCATAGGGGGCCTTTGCTGAAGACTTGGTTGAAAGTGTTGCTATTATTTTATCCGACACGCTTTTTTATGATTTCTAATTGTGTTTAACGTAGTCAGAAAGACCACTGGACATTGCCTAAAAAGTTTCAGAGCTTCATCGAAAGCGATCTGGAAACTAGAGTTTGCGTTCTGGACCCTACCCGAAATAGCCGCAAAGCGGAAAACCTCTTATAATTAAGCTCGTTTTGGCGGAGCTAACGATTGGCACGTAGCATATAAATCTTCACACTGTACTCTTGTATATGCTAGGTATTTACGGTGGGCAATCGGTCTTGGCGCGAAAAAAATTAAATTGAAATTTGGGTAAAAAATCGTACGAACTTTCCGTCCAACCTAATATTTTATTTTTTCTTTACTTTCAGAGAGTCTCTGATTACGGTAGATTTTGGAGGGGTGACGATTGATAACAGCCACACAACTCCCGAGGTGATCAGTGCTTCATTGCCTCCGGGCTCGGCCAAACCTCCACTCAAATATACGGTTGAAATCAGGGCTGGGCATTCTCTGACTTCTCCAACTTCATTTAATGCATTGAATATAGGAGATCCGATTGTAAGATTTGATGAGAATACAGTAAACTTTTCAGAGTTATGTTGTGAGAATTCAAAAGCCAGTTTCTGATACCCAAATTGGCCGTTGTTGGGCGACGGATGCCAAGTCTAACCTGGAACTGAGCGATGAGAATGGATGCACTTTACAACCGCGAGCTAGCATCTGGAATGCTTTTGAGAGGCTAAACAGTGATGACGAAGTTATTTTTGTGAACAAGATTAAAGCCTGGGCATTCCCAACCAGGTAAACAAAAAATATTCTGATTGACCATATTTCGACTTTAATTTAATTTTGTTGTCCAGCGATGAAGTAAATATCTTCTGCAATCTGAGGGTGTGCATGAGTCGAGCCTGTGAATTGAGTAATTGTTCGAGTACCACCAGAAGAATGAGGAGGCATTTTTCTCATCCAGTGGGGGCCATCTCGTCAGTGGAGAGGATCCATGCTCAACTCCGTCTTCGGAGACAAGCCTTATCTTCAGTCTCGTCTACAGTAAGTTCCGTTTAAAGCTCTACATTCATGTTGCAGGATCTGTTGACTCAATCTTTTGTCGATCAGGACAAGATTGTATGCTTGACGACCTCCCATTTGGCCTTACTGGCCAGCTGCATTCTGGTGTTGTTGATCTTGGTCGTGGTGTTTATTTTTATCGTGACCCCCAACAGATTCTTGAACAATCTGAAACTTTAATACTGATCTGATCTCCACGGTTGTTGTATCTCTCGTATTGTATCATAAATAATTACTCTTTTTTTGTGCGGCATTCATCAACAAAAGCACAGGGAAACTGGTCGATGAAAGAAAGAAAGAAAGAAAGAGTGCACTAGAATTAGGGAAAATAAACCGGCTTACGGAAATTCCCTCGCAATAGTCGAGAAGGGAGGGAGAGGGGCGGGGAAAGGAGGGGAGGGATGGCTAGACAATCGGCTGGTGGCTAGTCGCTCTTTTAACATTCGATCATCCCCCCGCAGGCCACAACTGGACTTGCGCACCTTTCATTTGAGGTATTTACCTTTTTTTTCTTACGCAATCAGCCGGATGTTGAGTTATTCGGAAGATAAGGTCATGATTACTTTCCCTTTTGTCATCATGTATCAACTTTCCTTACCATAGTTTTGATTTATCCTGCCATGCCTATCTGACTCGGATCGACAGGTTTCCCTTTTACCTTGAACCTGTTTCCCACGTTCTTGAGCTCGTCTGATTCAACTGCCTGAGGCTATTTGTTGTCGGCATGCTCTGTTTCTTCGCTTCAAGTTCACTTTTCCCTTTTAATCAAACCCCCTTCCCTCCGATGCCGGATCAATCGCTCGTCGCTGTTCCGTTTTCAGACGGTCTTTTCAGATGCGGAGCTGAACGGAGCTGGAGCCTTCAGAATGATACTCAGATGGGTGCTGGGATGGGTGCTAATAGGGACAATGGTGATGGCCAAGTAGGTGCTAATAACAGAGAACCTTATTTCTAGGAAATATACAGTATTACGAGTTACTGTGAGTAACGATACCCAGTTGAAATTACTCTCAAAATTGGTCGAAAAATCTAACGAAGTAAGTGTTCAAAGTTGAGTACAAATAAGTATTGTTTTTTTACTTTGCAGTACAATTTCTGGAAAGAAGCAAGAGCAATTGGAGACAGGGCCGATATTATGGTCAGGGATGTATTGATTGATGACTTTATCCATAAAATGGATACTTTTAACATGACTCACTCAGTTATCATCGAGGACGTCGAAAAGTGAGTGATCTCCCTTTTTCTCAATCACTCACTTTGTCATGAAAATTTGATGACAACAAAGAACTTTAGATTAATTAAGAAACAATTTAACGAAACTTCTCCGAGGAGGAGGGAGCGGGAGCGAGTACAATATGATCCATCGTTCCGACGGGTAAATTTCAATCTGGCCAAATACCATTCATTCGGGGACATGATCAATTATCTCAACTCCTTGGCCATCAACTACCCCCACCTTGTAAGAGTACAACCCATTGGGACTACCCATGAGGGACGGCAGATCGCGTTGATCAAGATCGGTGCCTCTAAAAGCAATGTTCAGAAGCCCGGCATCTGGATTGACGGGGGAATCCATGCACGCGAATGGGTCTCCCCTGCCGCCGTCTTGTACTTTATTGATCAGGTATGGACGGGCAAAATCATTTTTTGAAAATCATTTGCAGCTGGTCACTTCTTATGAAGAAAGTGCGCAGATCAGACAGCTTGTTGATAACCTTGATTGGTATATAGTCCCTTTATTAAACCCAGACGGATATGAGTACAGCAGAAGCAGTTTCGATCCCGAGATCAGACTTTGGAGAAAGAACCGATCACCCACGCAGTGCACAACGCAAAGCACTGGCAAGGCAAAATGTATTCTAATCGGAATTCCGAGATTCGATTTCAGGAGTTTTCTCACTCCCCCGTACCCAATGTTGCCAAGGAGTAGACCTGAATAGAAACTTTGACTGGTTCTTCGGCCAAGTCGGCTCTTCGACCGATCCTTGTTCAGAGATATATGCGGTAGGTTATAATAATATTTCACCTATTATTATTGCTTTGCAGGGTCGCTTTGCGTTTAGTGAGCCGGAAACACGAGCAGTCCGAGATTTTGTGGCCGGTCTTAACGGCCAAATCAAGACTTTTATGACTTTCCACAGTTACTCGCAGATCTTAATGTATCCATTTGGTCATGCCCTCAGGACGTATCCCAATGATGTCGACGATCTCAGCACGACCGCATTAAAGGCGGCGCAAGCCCTGCAGTCTCAATACGGGATAAAATATACAGTAGGAACTGGAGCGGACACTTTGTGTAAGTTGTTCAGAACGACCAACGAACGGTTCTTTAGACCCGGCTTCTGGCGGATCCGAAGATTGGGCCAAGGGTCGGATGGGTGTCAAATACTCGTTCTTGTTCGAGTTAAGGCCCGATGACAGTGTCGCCGAGGGTTTTCTGTTGGCCGAAAGAGAGGTAATTGTAATCTTTTTACTCTCCAAATTGATTCACAGATCATCCCTACAGCACGTGAGACTTGGGAAGCTGTGAAAGTGATCGCCTTGGACACGATCGGGTACTCTTCCCCTGGGACAAGAGCTGTCCAGAAGAGAGAATGTCTCGATTTTGACAACTTCTGTCCTTATTGGGCGGAGAACGGCGCTTGTGGGGCCTGGCCCAGCATGAAAGACCGCTGTGCCAAGAGCTGCAATTTATGTTAATCTCGAAGAATCTCCTCCAAATCTCAGCAAACGACTGGTATCTTACTGAAGCGAAGCTTTACATGTAATAAATAATTGTGAAGAATCATTCGAAGTGTTTTTTATTATTATAAGGGGTTTAGAGAGAAGGGATCTTGTCATTTCCGTCCGCACCGCCTTCCAGTCGAATCCGATTTTTGAGTTGTTATTATTTCTCTGATCCAGCCATCATCAGACGGGTGTTCTTTTAATGCTTTTCTGGTTCCTAATTTTGCTTTATCCCACTGTTCTTGCTCAGAAGTCCACCTTCAAAGTTCTCCGAGTTGTTCCCCGTTCCATTCCAGACCTTCATTTCCTTGAAAATCTCGAACTAAATGCTACTGATAACCAGGTGAGTCCGGTGCGTCTTCCTTTTCATTCCTTAGATCAATTTCTGGACATCGCCGACCAGACTGGGAGGTTCTGTGGACATCATGACCCCTGAGGATCAAGTCGATCACATCTCCGACCTCTTTGAAAGCCATGGAATCTCTTCTCAAATCATCATCGATAATGTTGAAAGGTGTTGTCCAATTATTTTTAAAATAAGTATTTATCTGTAGACTAATCATCGAACGAGAGAAGAAGGCTTTGAGACCGGGGTATGAGAAACGCCTGAGGGATGAGGGGGGAGAAGAACCTTTGTATGACTTCCAGCAGTACGGATCTTACTCTCAGATCACTTCTTGGATGAGGAAATTGGCAAGGAAGTATCCAGATATCCTTCAATTCATATCGATTGGGAAGACACACGAAGGCCGGTCGATCGAGGGGTTAGAGGTAAACAATTACAGTGCTTACTTACTTTATGTTGCAGATTGGAACCAAGAGGCCGAACAAAAGGGTCTTCTGGATCGATGGCGGGATCCATGCCCGGGAATGGGCTGCCTCTCATACTGCATTACACTTTATACACCAGGTAACCCATCTCATTTTATGCGCATTCTTCAGTTGGTCAGCAAATACGGAAGAGATGCCAACACCACCAAGTATTTGGAGGATCTGACTTGGGTAATTATCCCTTTGCTAAATCCAGATGGTTATGAATTCACCCGTAGCTCCACGAACCCGAACGTAAGTAATTAATTACTCACTTTGACGCTCCTCTCCCCGAAAATATTAGTTTTTAAAATGATGATTTGGAGAAATTGTGTTATACAATTGAAGATGCAAAAGTAGCTTACACAAATTCTTTAAAAATTCTTGGCTTCAAAAATTGTTAGACCACGTTTAAGAACCTTTGTTCTAGCGAAATAATACTTGTGTTTATGAACTTGACCTAATTCAGGTGCGCTTATGGCGTAAGAATCGGAGTCCATTGCATTGTTCGCATGACCAATGGGGCCGAAAGAGATGTTGTAAAGGCGTCGATTTGAATAGAAACTTCGACTTCCATTTCAAAGGTACCATCTTCTAGATTTTTTATAAATTTTTGATTATTTATGAGGTCAGGTGACACAATTTTTTGTTTTTTATGGGATATGCAATATCCATGGGGAAATGACAAGTTGCTTTAGAAACCGGTTCGAGCGACGACCCCTGCTCCGAGATATATCAAGGAACCGAGGCTTTCAGCGAGCCCGAGGCCAGGTAATTTAGATCAGCGATTCTTCAGCGAACTACTAGTTAAGGGCTGTTCGCGATGCCGTTCTCTCCAATCGCTATCGAGGACGCATTGATGGATTTGTGACCCTGCACACCTATTCCCAGATATGGATCCATCCATATGGTCATCGTAAAGACAGCTATCCGGGTGATGTACAAGATCTGGTGGGTGTTTTAAGGGCTCCGAGTAACTACGTTTGAATCTCGCTTTTCACGGCTTGGAAGACTGAAATGTACCAGGATTTTCTTCGTCGTGAAAACGGTTCTGTAATACATTGAAACGATGAAAAAGATTGCAAAATGTATCCTGGACGCTTTACAATATTTTCTTTCTATAAATTTTTTTCATGACGAGAAAAACATACCGTCACATTTCGCCTTCCAAGCCGTAAAAGGCGGCATTCAAATGACCGAACCCTTTAAGTGGAATTAAAAAAACATTACAGTATAACATCGGCAAGAAAGCAACCTCTGCGTTGAACAAACTCTATGGAACAAAATATGTGGTCGGCAGTGGGGCTGATACGTTATGTAAGACCCCAAATCCCTCTCATTATTCCGTTTTTATAGATCCCGCATCTGGAGGATCCGAAGATTGGGCTAAACAGTACGCAAATGTAAAATACGTATATCTGTTGGAATTACGACCCGATGAGAAAAGTAAATTTGGATATAATATACTAGTAGTCGTTCAGATTGGGATGGGTTTATTCTCGATGAGCAACAGCTCATTCCGACGGCGTTGGAAACCTGGGCTGGAGTCAAGGTTGTGGCCGACGCCATCATTCAAAGGGATCAGGAACGAATCACAAAACTCCCAGAAAGAACTAATCCGAGCAAGGGATACAAATTCGGAGACGGCTCCCCGGGAAGTTGCTACGACATCAGACATGCCTGCAAAAGATGGATCCAGGAGAATGAAGGCCTCTGCAAAACTGTACCCATCTTCATGCGGGAGCAATGTGCATACTCTTGTGGTTATTGTTAATCCCGAAATAAGACCCCAATTAAACCTGAAGAATAATTTAAACTCGGAATACGGACAATTAAACTTGACTCCTCGGGAAAATCCCGCCCCGAATTGAACTCCATAAGAAGACCCCATTCCTTTGAATCCGACCTTGATCCTCAGATTCATTTCAAGGAACATAACCGGGTCATACGCCACCATGCGCATCCTTCACATGGCCCTACTTTTGTTTCTCTTCGTGCTTTTAATTAACGGAGTTCAGGCTTTGCTTAACAATTATATAATAGGTAAGCGAGGCTGTATGTAATTTTGTCAAGAGACCCATCCAAACACTATTCCCTATTCCTGCAGGAACACCCAGAGTTAACTGCGAAGAAGACAACGTATCCTTGGACATCATCACGGCCAAGCCCTTTGAGGGAAATATTTTTGTCAAAGGAAGGGCCAAGGACTCCGAATGTAAACATTCCTATCACTCCAATTCTTCCAAGCCCTTCTCTCTGGCGTTGGGAAAATGTGGAATGCAAAGATTAAGATCGGTAATTATTATTTAGCTCTATATTCCAGTCGAATCACACAACCCAACTATTTTTTTGAACAGGCCAATCCTCGAGGAGTCAGTTTTGGAGTAACAGTAATCGTTTCGTTCCATCCTAACGGCTTCATTACCAAAAATGACCGTGCTTTCCATGTTAAATGCTTTTATATGGAGCCGGATGAAATTGTGACCAACACGATCCATGTCAGGTACCTTTAATGTAGCAAACTATCACCGTTTTTAGCTCTCTTCCCACTTACGAGCTGCAAGACGAGATGGGGATGCCTCAATGTAGATATTCTGTTCATCTAGAAGACGTAGACGGCCCCTTGCTCAGCTATGGAAATGTTGGGGATACTGTAGGTTACTGTACTTAGATGGGAATTCTTCAGGTATATCATGTATGGGAATGTACAGGACCGTTGATGGGAATGTTGGTAAAGAAATGTTATGTGACTGATGGTGATGGGGAAGAGCATCTGGTTATCGATGAGAATGGGTAATGAATAATGTTATACTTATTTGTTTTAGTTGTCCCTCTGATCATTTGTTACTCGAAGACGTCCATTATGACAAGAACAGGATGAGAGCGCACGCCCAAAGTCAAGTATTCAAATATGCAGACTCCAATCAAATATTTTTTACCTGCCAAATTCGACTGTGCCAACTTCAGATGGACATGTGCAATAAGATCACCGTAAATAAAGAATTTTTGCACTCGCTACAAATATTTTAGCCCCCCGTATGCCATGGAAGAGAGGACGAACCCGAAGATATTCTGGACCGAATAGATCTAGATTCATTGAGCACGGATGGTAATAATACAGTAACCCGATTCCGAAGAAATGTGGATGAATTCGTCGACTTGGATGTAACTACTGGAGAAATGGTGGTAATGGACAAAGAGACCCAAGAGGAGATCGAAGACATGTGTGCGACAAATAAGTTCGCCAACTTGGTGATACCAGGATTCATATTTACTGTTATCACTACTTCTTTACTCACTTTGATGACGTCAAAACATCTGACCGCAAGGTCGCGAAAATATTGAATGTAAAATAATAATAAAGCAATTGCTAATAACATAAAACATTCCAATCGACGACCGTATTTTTTGTGTGGGAATGGGGTCTCCCCAACCTCCCACCATTCTTGCGCGCGAATTTTAAAATCGGGATTTTCTGGGAATTCGCGCCGAAAACAAAAAAGGCAGCGCTCAAGCTGGACGCTCCTTTTATGTTATGGTCCACTCGCGACCCTATATGGCGTCGTATAACACCAAGATGCTAAGGAATAACTTTTCGTCTTTTCTCGCACCCAAGTAATTTACATTCTGTCTTTTTTGTGGAGTTTCGCACCTTTTATGTTATGGTTCCGTGTTTTTATTGTTTTACGATTGTTTTGGCAGATATAAAACTGTCTTAGTCCCGGTTAATTGGGAAGCAACTTTATTTAAGCTCAATCTCCTTATTTTAGACAACTCTTGATGTGATGAAAGAATCGGAAGAAGATTTTCTGAACACTTCTTTTGACAAATCCACTTCCTTCAAGTCAGGGGTCATCCGGCGAATCCAAAGCTCAACCTCCTTCTTGAGTTTGTCAAAATACAATGTCGCCATTCAACTTCTAGATGACAGTGAAATAATATCCAATGAATTTGGGGTATGATATATTCACCAGTGATTACCTAATTTCAAATATCATTCAGAAGAACACAACAGGTAAAGACATTTTGAATCTGGTGTGCGACAAGCTAGAAATTGTGGAAAAGGAATATTTCGGATTACGTTACAGCTCTGAATTCAAGCACCGGGTGAGCCGACTCTCGATATCTTATGTTTTTTTTAGTTTTGGTTTGATCTCAACAAAAGTCTGCATCGTGAGTTCCATCGTAAGTTTTTAATTTCAGCATTGTTATATATTATTTTAGATGAAAACCTGGGATTATGTTTTCGATTCCGTTTTTATCCAATAGAACCAGTAGATTTGAATGATGCTGTTGTCAAGTAAGTAGTGTTTATGAATTCACTTTTGGTTTAGAGATCTTTTATGTGTTCAGCTACAAAGAGATCTTCTTCATGGTCGATTACAATGCACACATGATACAGCCGCGCAATTGGGTGCATTAATTTTGCAAGGCATGCTTAATTTAAATCCGCTTGACGTTATTTTAATTTTAGGTAACATTGGGGATTACAACGAAGAGACATGTCAAAAAGGTTATGTTTCTGGCTACAAATTGATTTTAAAACAGTCCGAGAAGCTGGAGGAGCGAATTGAGGAGTTTCACAAATCTTATAAGTAAGTTGTAACTTGAAGAATAATCCGCTGGCAGGGACTGGTCAAAGGATGTTGTTTTTGACCAATTTCTTCGCATTGCTTCTCGTCTTGACACGTATGGTTTCGATCCTTACACTGTAAAGGTAAAGTTTTTGATCTGTATTTTACTGTTTAGACACAGAAGAATGACATTAATGTAGTTATCGGTGGGACACCAAAGTTTTTGGTTGGATTTGTTTTCAATCAAATTGTTTACAGGATTCCATGGTGAGTTCAACAATAGAAGGTTGAACTTTGCTTCCAGGAAATACATTAATGACGTTGACTTCTCGGGAAAGAACGTTATAGTTTCTTTATTCGATTCGTATTTTACGGAGTTCTTGCAACTGGAAGACAGTGTTAATCCTGAGAAGGTTCTAAATGGAATTCCGGGCCCAATTGCTTTAAAGGTAAAGAAATTCCTTACTGCTAAGTTTCAAATGTTTAGTAACCTTTTTAACAATGTTTCTTTAAGGAATCCCTGGTTCCTCTCAGGAGTAAAAAGAGTCTGAAGTTCACTTGTCCCAAATCAACATTTGCAAAGCATTTATGGAAGCATCTCTTATCACAGAAAGTTTTTTACACAGCGTCCTCAGCCAAGGAAATCAAGCCCAAATTCTCCAAATCCAGACTTCCGTTGATAAGGGGATCCCTCTTCAGATGTCCAACAGCAAGAACGATGCAAGAAATGAAGACAGGGGAGGGGGTGGTCCGAATAGAGAAGTCCTACTCTTGCCATACGTAAGCTGTTTATGTCATTTCCCATCCTTTAGATTGCCAAGGCAAAAGCCAAGAGCGCTCGTGAACCCTTCCTGCGATTCGATTGCTATCACTGAGGAGGGTGACCATCCAAGCGTCGAGGAAAAGGGCGAAACCCTCATCGATGAGGTTATCAATGAGGACGAGGAAGAATTGGAAGTGGAGGCAGTAGGCAGAACTCATGTAATGAATGTGTTTTAGATGGAAGAAATTGATGAACCAACGAAAGTGAAACAAACGTCAAATATTCAGAAGGTGGTCAAGGAAACCCCGAATGGTCAAGTTGTGAAAGAAAGGGCAGCAGAGACCAAAACCATTACAACTCACCATTTGAAGGCTAATGGAACCAATAACAATGTTGTCATCAATAAAGTCCAAAGACAGAAGAAGTCTACCTTCGTGACCGTAATTTCTTCCCTTTTGACACTATTACTAATGCTGTTACTCATCTCTGTACTAATTTATGCTGTGTTTGAAGTAAGTCTTAACTTGGTTTCGGATTTATTTTTTCAGGCCCCTGCCTCGGTAACCACCAAAATCCCGTACTATGGTCATCTTCGCTATAACCACTATCTGCCCTTGAAGACCAAGATCATAAAAATGTTTAACTTTTAATGCAGCTTATTTTAATTTAATATTATAGTCTGTAGTAATTTAAAAGACGATTTATGAGTCAGTTCATCAGCCGTCAGTTAGGCAAGAAATCTATTTTGAGTTTTTTTACATTAAAATTACTGTTGGAAGGCGCTCAGAAAAAAAGCGAACAGTATTTGTCGCCTACGGGCTATTGTAAGCAACTTTCTTTTTAACTTGTTTTGGTAGCTAGCTGTACTGTAAGGTAAAGTACGACAGCTGGAGGCGATTACTTCTAAAACAGTAAATTGGAAAAAATATACCTCGGCGAATGTTTTGGGAAAAAATATTGTTCGCTTTTGCTTAGCACCTTCCAACAGTCATTTTAATGTAAAAACCCCAATCGATTTTTTTTTCTGTGTCTACGGTTGGTTCACTGAGTCAGAAATCGTCTTTTAATAAACTTAAGAAAGCTCGTGTATGTACATACATATATCTCTATACCGGGCTGTTATGCGTAGCTCGTCTTAAGCTTAGAACACATGCATTGTGGACGGCAGGTACCGCCTCGTCGTCGGCGAGGCGTTACTTTTGTGTCGGGGGACGATTCACTGGTTGAATAATGGACTGTGATCAGATTCTCGAGACTTTCCAGAATCTCCTCCAACTCTGGGATATAAGGTGTGGCGAGTGGAGAGGAAGGTCCGTCCGCTTGAGGGAATGTTTTCTCTAACGCTTCGCATCTTTTCATTTCGTTGACACAAGCAGAAACACAGCCAATGAACTGCGAAGCATATTTGTTAAATTCGGTACCTAAAACAAAACCAAACTGATAAAAATATATTTATTACCTTCATGTTTCAGTTGAGGCAACACACAACTTTTAGTCGCCTCATACGTTTTCATACAAGTCTTGATGCTGATATCCACTTCTTTCCTGAGATTTGAGCTGTCAGAAGGAGTTCCAATCCCCTGAATGACGCTCCGAAAACCCGCCAAATTCACGTTGCAATCATGCACCAGCTGAAACATCCGGTAACATTACTCCGGCAGCTCTCGCGAGACCTTTTTAACAAATAAAAAGCAGTCGGGAGATCACTAATCAACGAACATGGCCAAGGTGAATTTATTAACTTACATTGGAAAGAGAATGTTGCCGAAGTTTGGCCGTCATTATGGGCCTGAAAGCCCCAAAGACGAAAACCAAAAAATACTAAAATGAGGGAATGCAGGATGCAAGTGGATCTTTGTGTCTAGTCCCTTGCTGTCCTTACTCTCTCGTCCGGTCTCACGTACGGAGAGAGCCTTCTCTCGGCCTATTCCCTGCCCAATCCCCTCTCCCCTCCCCCCTTCCATTTCAAATTCAGACGTGTTCGTTTTAATGAAATAATTTAGTTGGCTCCATAACGGAAAATAAATCCTTTCTGGACGTGCTTATACAACTCCAATGAAATAGTATTACTTCTTGGCATTTTGTAGCTGACTCCGTAGAATTTTATCTTCAATTCTTTTCGCTTTTTTCGAAGGTCTTTTCTTTTGTTGTCCGTAGTGAACTCGCCGGCTCGACGAGTATGTTGTCTGACGCCATTTACATCTTCTACTTCATCGCCGCTTCCTTCATTCGAGGAAAGATAACCGTGATCCATCAAAAATTCGTCGTTTTGATATTCTTCTCCTTTCTGAAACAGACGTAGACATGAGGTTTTAATCGAAATATAATAAAGACAATACTTACAGCACTTTCTTTCTCGGATTTACAGTCTTCTCCCTCAGATGGCTCAGGCTCCCATTCGTTCTCAGAATCACGATCATAATCCACTTGCTAAAAAATCTTAATGCCACGCATCAGCTAACCTACATTTACAGCTTTAAACCACGGCCTCCGTCCTGTAATCAAGGAACTTCTATGTCTCCATGTTCCATAATAAGGGGGTCTCTCACTTTCACAGAATTGGAATAACTTGGCCCTCAATGGATCCTTGACAATGTTTTCGCGTCTGGGAAGATTATTTAGATAATTTACATTCTGAAACAGCCTTCAATTACATTTAACACTCGTAAAGACAAATATACTGCCGGACATACATTTTTCACCACCCATCAAGCGATCAGGTTATCTCCAGTGAAGATAACCTGATCGCTTTGAAATTTGGCACGTAAAGTCATTACAACTTTATGCCCCGCGAGTAGGGTTCGGACGGGGCATATACCCCGGGTATATACCCAAATTCCCGTGAAGTGGGACTTTTCCGGGTATGTACAGGGTGGGCCACTTGAAACTAACAACTTTTTTCTTCGGATTTCTCCGCAAAGACTCCGCCGATTTTCCTAACAAGGAAAGTACTTCTATGGGGTGTGGAATTACCGGTCGAGATATATATCAAAAAATTCGCAAAAATTTTCTGATTCAGAATATATAAAAATTAGCTGCCTAATTTTGGTCTAATGACATGTTTTTGTCCTCAGAAGTTTTCTCGCGATACCATGCAAGTGTCTTTTTGACCGTGTTTTTACCAATAAAAAAATTTTGTTTTGTGCTAAACTAAATTCTGAGGCCTTGACAAGCCTTAACATATCAAATTGGATTACAACTACACTTTAAAAGTAGTTCCAATGTAAAAAATGGGATCTAGTGTGGCAAAAAGAATCGAACCCGTTTCCCGCGGATTTCCAACCCAGCGCTCTAACCACTCGGCCACACCGCTCTCTTCCGAAGGAAGAGACCGAGCGCGCTTTTGTTGCCGCAGATTTTTTTCCTCGAGAAAAACATTTATTGAAAAAACTCGCTGATAGACCAAAATTAGGCAGCTAATTTATATATATTCTGAATCAGAAAATTTTTGCGAATTTTTTGATATATATCTCGGCCGGTAATTCCACACCCCATAGAAGTACTTTCCTTGTAAAATTTATATTTTTCTGGAGCTGAGACCCGCCATTTTTAATCGATGGAATTTCAAAAAAATATTAGGTTGGAACGAAAGTTTTCCCTTTTTTTGTTTTTTTTTTCAAACAAATTTATTTAGACAGTTGTAACGGGAAACCAAACATAGTATCCACCGTCGGTATCCGCTACGTATTGCAACGTTCCGACAAGGATTCAATTGGCGAGCTTAAAAACTAGGGTATTTATAATCAAAAATGTCAGAAAGGCCCGTTTTGAGGTCCCCCAAACAATCGAACCGCACATCTCCCAAACGGTAGCTTAGCGATCTGAGCAAATGGTAATCATAAGGTGCCAAGGCTGGGGTGTAGTGTGGGTAGAGCAGTAAAGTCCATACATTCTCCCTGAATTTTTTGCGCGCGATTTTTGCAATGTGGTAGCAGGCGCTGTTGTGAAGGAGGAACATTTGTTCCATTTTTCTCTAACATTTTCGGCAACGCGGTCCAACAGGCGATAATACAGTTATTTAGTGAGTTTTACCACCAGGGAGCAATTCCTAATAAATACCTCCCATACAAGTCCACCAATCGCACAACATTATCCTTTTTGGGTGAATTTAGGTTTTGGGGTTGGTTCAATGTGATGGTAGGATTCAAGCTACTGAAGCGTGCGGGTATGGTTTACATACATCACTCAGTAACGCAAATTTTTCAAAAATCGGACTTTTTAATCATTTTTAAATTACTAAAGTTTTCTATGTCACTCTTAAGAGTAAGCGAAATGGTTCAGTTATCTTAAAATACTCTTTATGGGCCTGCAAGGACGTGAGCATTATTTTTTAACAATTTCGGCGTGTGACAACTCATATTGTCTACATGGTAAATGATACCCGAGACGACAACAACGACTTTCCTGTTCTAGAAACACTATTAAGTTGTTCATTGGAGTTGGTGATACAAGATCTTGAAACCTTGCAATGTGCATGCCGCTCAATTAAACTCCTACGCCAAAGGGGTCAAGGGGGTGGTCAAAAATATTTGCCCAGGACTATACATTCGATAAGACATACTTCGTCTTCCATTTTCAACAAATTTTCATATACATCTGGACTTAATGGAGGTCGTCGCAGAATTGGCGCTAAAACAAAGCCTTCCTTGATTTCATAAGGTTTAAACTTGTCCGTTCCCCATTCCAATGTCCTCCGTTCTTTAGTAACTTTAACAAAGAAGCCGCAGAACATTTGAGACTGTTTCCTCTTCCTCTCTTCTTCTTTCTGCAAATGTAATCCAGAATTAGAGCTATGGGACTGTTTACCTCTTTCTTCCTACGCTTCTCTTCATCTTCTTTCGCCTTGTTCATCCTCTTAATCAACCTCGCTTCTTCATCCGCTTTCTTCTTGGCTTCTTTCAACCGTTTAGCTTCTTGTTCGGCGTGTTTCTTGGCTTCATCTATCTTTCTCTTTGCTTCTTTATCGGCTTCTTTTTGTCTTCTGATAGTTTCAAGTCGTTGTCGTTTCTCTTCTTTTTGCCGTTCCCTTTCTTCTTCTTTCTTTCTTCGCTCCTCTTCTTTCTGCCGTTCCTTTTCTTGCTTTAGCAATTCACGTTCCCTAAAATCAAATTACTAAAATAACTTAAACTTACAATTTCAATCTTTCCCTTTCAGCCTTTCTCTGAGCAGACAACAGTAGTGCTTCCTCTCGTTTCCTTTGAATAGCAGTTGGAGTTGCCTTAAACCTTAACGTTACGTTTAAATAAACCTTGACATACAAATTTTGGTTTCTTCGATGTTGAAGTTGTAAAATCATCTTGTTCTGAGTCCGTTAAAACAATCGGCGACCTATCGCCTCTCTTGAGGTTCTCTTTATCCATGACTGAAACCGAAACGAAATAAAAAGAAGACAGATTGCATTAAATATAAATAAATTTAATATGGGATATATGTCGGTACTGAACGGTACGAAAGTTCAGGTAAGCAAAAAACTAACACATCCCCACTCATATAAATAGGCTGGCGTTAAAAATTGCTAGCAGACTAAAGTGATGCGAGAAAAACATGAAACATTTGGAGTATGGCAGGTCGGGTATCCTGCATGATACCGCAGATGCACCATTGGTTTTCAGACAGCGTTTCAAGATTTTTTTTGCAGTTTTTTGAAGACAAAAAATGCATTCCGCGCCAAATTTCACCTTGGCATTCCGCTTTATTCGCAAATCAAAAAATTCAAAAAATGAAAGTTCGTCTGTAATATGATTGCTTGTAAGAATATTGTAATCTATAAAATGAGAAGAAATTGGTCATTCAGTTCAAGACTAAAATGCAGGCGTCGGTCGGATTACTCTACGTTCAGGCAATCTGCTGCCTTCTGCAATGTCTACTGGTATATCTGACTGATCAGACCTGCACCACCTTGTCTTCCCCAAGCTGTGTCTTCGGCCCTATCAATGGAGGCGCTTCAGAGTTTCGTGTTGAAGTCCATAATTGCTTTCAGGTATCTTTCGCTCACCTAATTCCTGCGTTTCCTTTGCCAGGATTACTATAGATTTATGTATTTACATTAGATGGATCTTCATGACGGGTGGGATTGTGTTCTGAATGAGTGCGGCCGTCCTCAACGGTTGAATCAGTGGCTTTTGCTTAATTTGATGTTCAATTTGGTCTGGTTCTTGCTGTATATTGGTCTCCCCTCGTTCAATTTGGTATGAAGGTTGATCCCCATCTAATCCTTATTGCAGTACACAAGTCTTATTCAATTGTTCTGCGATGTCATCTGCCGCGGATGGTTAATTCTGGGTGTGTGGGGCCTGTACAACGATTGGTATCTCCCGTGGAATCTGGAATTCCATCCCGTTTTCCCCCACTCGTGCATTTACATGGCCGTAAGAACTCTTTTACTATTAATTATGCAACATTAATGTAATGGCTTTCTGCATTCACGGCTGTTTTTCAGTGGATTCATTTGATGTCTTGTCTGACCGTAGCTCTGTTGTTCTACTCTGAGCAGAGCAACATCTACATCTTGAGCTCGGCCAATTTCGGAGTTTATCAGATTAAGGATGATGATCGAAGTGCTGCGCAGTTTGACCACAAGAAAACCAACATGCATCTCCCGGATGTGGATGTCAGTCACGTATAAGAATCGGGTTGAGACTACGTTTTGGAGACGAGTAAAGTACTGCTTTGTGCAATTGTAACTATTTTTGAGAAAAGGGATATATCAGAACCAGGGCCTCATCCATTCCTAATCGGATTAGCAATGTCGGCGTTGTGGGGGATTCAGATCCGGATTTGGGCAAGGCCAAGTCCCATGATTATCATTCAGACGGGAGTCGAGAGTTTCAATTGTTTTTACGGGAAGTGTTTGGCTGATGGAGAAGAGCGAATAAGACCACGGGACCAGAGTCCGGTGTTTACTCTAGCCGACCGAGATGGACAGTCATGTGTGTGTTGTATTGGAGGGACGATCGGGATTTGTGACCGGAGGGGAGAAAGGGGGGGGGGGGCGCAGTCGAGAAACACTTCCTGAAACCGGGCCTCGGGGCTTTGCGTCAAATTGCCGCGGCCTAGAGAACGGAGCCTTGCTGCGTGGATGACGTTGGTGATGACTCTCGGTGACTGCCCTTTGAGCGTTTAATTTCAATCACGCATTTATTTCTCCGTGTTCAGTGACTTCTCTTCTCTCAATATTTTCACGTTCTCCGGCTGTGACAAGAGCCGGTCGTCTCTCTCTGCTTCCACGTTCATCTCTCCAGTCGGGTGGACGGACTGTTTGGGCCCCGAGGGGTTATTTTTTCACGCTTTTGCCTTTCGGTTTTTTGTCCTTTTTCCGCTCGCCCTCCCGCTCTTGCCCTCTGGCATGCGGGTCCCCTTGGCTTTCGGAGATGGCATGGAAGGGAGAAAGAACGGTGAGATACGGCCAGAGAAGCGAAGACACGGAGAGAGGGTGTCCGACTATTTGTGTGCATGTGTTTGTGAACTTGTCGGATCATTCATTCCCGTCCATTTTTGCCGTTTCTATGCCCTCGACTTTTTATCCCGAGGCGTTTCGTAAGTAGGTCCCTGGCAAACGAGGGCTGGCCTAGTCCAAACGTGAGGGCCGTGAGCCCCCCTCGCCCCGTCCTTCCCCTCGCCCGCTCTCGCAGATTGACGTCATGCGAATGCCCTCAGGCAGGGCATGCCATTGGTCGCGTGTTCCGTGAATATGTCGATTTTCTCTTTTCCATTGGCCCGAACGGGGGGCGGCAGGGGGAAGCCGAAGGGTAAGGACCGCCCCATCGCTCGGCCGTCCTCCCAAGTGCGTACTTTAACAGTGTTCCCGGTTTTATTTTTGGCGACGAATCGCTATTTTTGGGTTTTCTGTTGACGTTCCACATTTCTGGTGATAAATGCGGGGATGGCGACCAAAAAAACCTGATCATGTCAGCTCTCTGGGGTCTTTGTGATCACAGTGAATGACGTTCTTATCATTCCCGGTTTTCCTTTGTCGTTTGTTACTCTCGTCGGTTACGTAATCTCCAGCCTGACGATTATTCGTCAATAATTAACTTCGCTATGCATATGTGCCTCTGATATGTGTCCTCTTAGAGAGAGAATTGTAGTAATCCCAAGAAGAGGCGCCTACCTGACTTTGTCTAATGGCAACTTTTTTACAGCTTCCTCTTTCGGATCTTATACCTTCGTTTTTTCCATGCCGTCATTGATACATGTACCGGCTGTTTTTTTTATTAAAATTTATCTTTTTTTGTAGAGGCGAAATAAAGTCGTTCAGAGGTTCGGTGTGTTTATACAAAATTATCCATCCACACCCCGGAATTTGTATTTGATTTTGTTTTATCCATTGGGACAATCAGAAGTCTGCGAATCGCAGTCAAATGGGTCGCAAAAAGATTCAAATTACCCGAATTCAAGATGAGAGGAATCGTCAGGTGAGTGAACTAATTTTTATCGATATTAGGTTTCACAGAAAACGACAATGTTGAATTTATAAATTGAAACGACAAAATTGTTAAATATCAGTATTCTTGTCTTTGGGTTGGAAGCTGTTTCAATATAAGACTTAACAGAAAGTAATTAAGAAGGGTAACGCAGGTCACATTTATAAGCTACAGTAACCCTTACTTTTCGGTAGACCCCAACTCAGTAGCACCTGGTAAAGACAAATGAATTAGCAACGCCTATGACGTATTATGAGGCTACGAAAACACATCGGGGACCACTGTTTTGAGGAGTTTTGTCGTAATCGACCTTTTCCTTTTAGGTTACCTTCACAAAGAGAAAGTTTGGATTGATGAAAAAGGCTTATGAACTCTCGGTTTTGTGTGATTGCGAGATCGCCTTGATCATCTTCAACTCCAGTAATCGATTATTTCAATATGCATCCACTGATATGGACAAAGTTCTGCTCAAATATACGGAATACAACGATCCTCACGAAAGCCGTACCAACCACGATATCATGGAAATGTTGCAGCGAAAGGAAGGGAAGCCCTGCAACGGAAACGACTCCGACGACGACTCTCCTGGACCCTCCACTCCACATCAGGCTATCCCTTCGTCAGGAGGTGAGTGTTTTATTACATCATTTGATTATCCTTTACAGTTTCTTATCCATCTAATGGGGTGCCAAGTCAAAGTTTGCCAAACCGACAACCACAACTTGACTTCAACGGGGTTACAAACATAGCTCAAATCTTCAACAACCCAAACGTTTTTCTGAATAATCCATACAATCAGATGCGACAGAATCTCCCGAATGCTGTAGCTTCTACATTGGCTGCAGCAGCAACGGGGAACAACAACCGGACGCCCATCGACTCGATGATTAATAAGGAACACCACCAGGTATGCAGTAATCTTTGGCTATTCAACCAATTTCAGGACTTTCCAACGACATCGGCTAACTTCTCGCTACAAAACAGTTATCACAATGTCTCCAGCCTGGACTGTTTACCAAATGGACACCATCAACAACAACGTCCTGCATCTACAGCGGGTATAATGCAGCATAACGGGAACGGGCTGATGCTGCCGCCCGTTCTGCCACCCCAGTCATTAACTCCTCAACCCATGCCCAGTCATATGATGGAGAACAATCAGCAGCATGATGTGGGTGGGAATCCGCTTCAGCCGAGTCATAATTGGATACCCGACAAATACATGAAACTGGAGCCAGTGGGATCGCCTGTCGAGAAGCGAGCGCGTCTAGATGATTGGCGAGCCCAGTCCATCACCTAGGACGGCCGGGACACATCCAGCTCGGGCATTTCCATCCACAATCTCACCGTTAGCTCCCTGAGATAATTAAAATTATAGTCATTTATTAAAAACTCCTAACCTAAAGTCAGCCCCATGACCAGAAAAAATAAACCGAAGTTCCATATGACATACAACGTCGTTCAACTCATAGATGAGAGTTGATTGAAGGGCCCGGCCCCTCATGGGCCGTAGTATATTCCGTTAGTACTCCTCCCGCACCTTCTCTTACCCGTAAATCCTATTATGTTTTGTTCCAACGAGCCGGTATCTTTGTTTCTGCAGGCAAAATCGCAATTTGCTTCTGTGGAGTTGCAACGCTATGACTGCCTGAATTGGCATTGCCATTGCAAGTGATGTAAGTAAATGTCTCGGTGATTCTTTGGCGCATTATTTTATACACATAATGTTGTCTCTAGTCTTCCATTTACTATTAAGTCAAACTTTACAAATTATTTTTTGTTAGAGTTGAATAAAAAATAAAGAAAACGTGATTTAAAAGGAAATCTTAAGGTCAACGGGTCGTCTCTTCCAGACCAATTCCCACATCAGATACGATTAAAGTCAATTTCACAATGCTGAAGTTTTTGGAGGAACGAAACAAGCTCCAAACTGATATCAGCCATCGCTTGGTTCGACAACAAGGAAGTGGGCAACGAATCCTTAATAAGCTCGCCAGAGAAAGGTCTGTGATTCCCAGCTTGATTTCCTCCAAATAACGACGTATCCAAAGAATTGGAATTCTGAAATTTAAATGTTAAATGTAAGATTAGAAAGAAGTTTTCAATACAGTATCAATAACTCAAAATAAAAAATGCATTTTAATAAATATAAAGAACAACACAACAAGAAAACTAGCAAAGAAGGGTTGAATTACTAACCTGGGGCTGGGCAGGTTTGGATGAAGATGAATTTGGTGCTGGATCCTTGGGTGCATTCTCGGTAGCACTGTCATCATCACTAAGATAAATAACAGAAGACCCTCCGCTTGTGTTCTTGTCTATTACATTCTGTTCCCCAGCAACTTTTTGCGTTGAAGCAGAAGGCGGTTGCTGATCTCCCGTCTTCTGGGGCTCTGCAGGAGCAGGTGTTGGAGGTACTTGTTCATCTTCCTCATCTGAGTCGTCTAACGTAATAATGTCTTGATTCTGGGCTGCCCTTCCCGTCTCCACGGTTTTTTGTGTCGTCGGTGTTGGTTCCACACGGCTCCTTTTTGGACTGGACGGTCTCGAATCCTCATCATCGGCTTCCTTTATCATCTTCCAGGATCCATCCCTCAACAGCTCAACCTCACTGCTCTGTCCATTGATTTTGTTGATTATTTCGACAAAATAGCTAAAGAAATAAAAAATAAATAAATGGGTGACTTACTAATCTACCACCAATTCGGAAGGAAGAGTTTGCCTGTTACACACCGGGCACTTCCAATTAGCTCTTTTCTCGTTCATCATAATATAATTTGTCAAATCAAAACATTGGAGATGTGTGCAACTCTTCCCTCTTGCTGGAGTTTTCATCAGAATTCGAGCCAGCTAAAAATATCGACATTCAATATGTATTCTTACCGGACACAACAACGAAATTCGGCAAACATCCATGGCAATATCATCTTCCTCGCCTCCCCCAAGTAACTTCTTGATCATATTTCTAGTCTCGTCATAGTACTTTGGACAACAACCCTCTATCTTCTCAGTCAACGCTTTAGCCGTCAGATGGTAAACGACCCATATGCCAAAAACATACTGATGACGGTCAGGCTGATACTCCATAATCATTGAAAACTCATTCGCTCTGGATGCGATGCAATTCTGGGTGATATCTACAGATCTAGAACTCCGTTTCTGGATTTGACCAACTCCTTGACCCGGCGGTGCTTGAACATTCATCAGAGGCTAAATAAGGAGAATAAATTGCCCTAATTATTACACTTACAGGATACTGAACACTCGACTGGTTAATGTAAGTTCTGATAACATTCGGAAAAGCATCGCTTTGGGGTTTGGAAGCGTCCGCCACGCACATTCTTAATTGAACTTCGTAACGAGGGAGATCGGCGCCAACACGGAACTCGTTGAAAAACTTTCTGGGCAAACAAAACTTAAAACTATGTTGAACCATCCCATTATCGATCTTAGGGTATTGCGGCAAAAGAGTGTGAGGCATTACCACTTCTTTCTGCTCATAAAACGGCAACACCGTAAAATGAACGTTCTTTGGATCTAGAAGATATAAAATTAAAGAGGAATAACCTACCGACTACAGAGGGGCACATGAATAGATTTGGGTTGTAATTCACCTGGTTTCTCATCATCGGGTTTGAACTGCTGAAGCCCTGTCTGCTGTTGGTTGTAAGTGGAGGGACAGCTCTATTCTGCATCGGAATACGAGGCTGCGGCCATCCCGCCTGTGGTAGGCCTGGCCGAGCATACGGTTGCTGCATCATTACTCCCGCTCTTTGAGGTTGTGGAGCTGGAGGAGCCGCAACTTGAACACTTCTCTGGCGATTAATGGCTTGGACATATTCCACAACCGCATTTCGAGTGTTAGTCGATGTTAAGAGATCTCGAACTCGCTTTTGCAAATCAGCTTTTCTTGTGCTTCCTCTAAGAGGGGTGCTGCTGAATCTGGTTAAGACTGCTTGCAAGTCTTGGATACGAAAGTTTTCTATCATCCGCTGTAATATATCTTTATATAAATGGGAGACGTTAACTCACCAAACTACTTTGAAACTCGTAATCCCATGAACCAGACGCCATGGCCTAGAGAAAATGTGTGTGACTTAAACCTCAAGGTAAGAAATACAATGGGTTAAAACCAACATTATTAAAACGTGAAACGAAAGCAAAAAATATTCCTTTTATTTTAAGAAAATTCAGCCTAATGAGTTATCGACGGTACCAAAGCTGGGCATTTCGACGTCGTTTAATCTTCTTCTGGAGCTGGAGAACACCATATAAGAGAGCCTCCGCCGTCGGGGGACATCCAGGAACGTAAATATCGACTGGGATTACCCGATCACATCCTCGCAAAACTGAGTAGGCATAGTGATAATAACCACCTCCATTTGCACACGATCCCATACTGATCACCCACTTGTTTTCTGGCATTTGATCATAAACCCTTCTTAAAGCGGGTGCCATCTTGTTGGTCACAGTGCCGGCCACGAAAATCAGATCGGCCTGTAATAAATTCCCGTGATAATTATCTAAAGAAAAGACAACAAAAAAACCCTCATACCTGTCTGGGTGACGCACGGAACACTACACCATATCTATCCATATCGTATCTGGGGGCAGCAAAATGCATCATTTCCACGGCGCAGCAAGCTAGGCCAAAAGTAAGTGGCCACAAAGACCCCCTTTGAGCAAAGTTGATGACATCATCGATTCTTGCCAATGCATATTCTGCAGCGTTTTCAGTTTCGGTAAACGGGGTGCCTGTCTTCGCGATTCCCTTTGGCACCTCCGATCTTATTGGACGCGCCTGAGAAACAGGGACATTGGTCACGCTTGAGGCCAGACCGCGTTGGCACAATACCGCCAACGGCTTACATCGCAACATCTTTAAAATGGCGTACTTTAATAAACAAACAGATACCCCGGTAAACACGCAATATAGTTAACGTGAACGGATTTAGATAGCTCGAATTTGTAGACAACAGCCCCAGCCAAATTTTTGTAGTTCCAGATTCGAAGTAAAATTAATCACGTGAATAGCAACTTGAAATCAGAAATGCAAAATTGCTCGATATAGCACGGCGGCTGTTCGAACAGAACAAAAGTGGGTCCTTCGTTTTTTTTTTGAAGCGGGGGCGCAACTCGCGGAGGCCGAAAAAATACTGTTTTCTACTGTAACTTCTAAACTAACAGTCGAAATAAAAAGGGCCCAGACGATGACAAACTGCATGTTGTCTTTGACCAATGAAAACCTCAAGATCAAAAATTTGTTCCTTACCAACGGTTGGTCCACCGTCTCGGCAACAGTGTTTTGGCCAATTTTGCAATTTTCTCTTCGTATTTTTTCGAAAAAATGTATACGGTCACTACCACTCGGCCAACTGGACAAAACTCTGATGCAATTTCCAGGAGCTATAAAGTGACGCGGAACTTAGGCTAAAATCTGTATTTTGGCCATAACTTTGCCCAAACATGTACTGTACACTATTTTTAATGCTATTTCAAATTTTTCGTTGAGAAAGCAGGGTGCAACTATAATATTTGCCGATCCCTTGTTAGGTTGTGCTCTTTCTGTTCCTACATTATTACAAACTGGCTTCATCGGGTATGGTACTATACAACATTCGTTTTAGAATGTTTTTGTTGGTGCTACAGGCATAACGCTTCCTCTACATCTTCGAACGGTTTGCTTCTTTTTAATTCATTGCGGGACGGCCGAATGGCTGTTATGACACTTATTTAGGCAAGCAAACTGTTACTTCATTTGATGTTTTCAAAAAAAAAAAATTATTGTGAATTCTGAGATAAGTGCTGGCCTGAAAAAAAAATTGTTCTTTTAGTATCGATTAGGTCACACTTCTGACGATACGGTACGGTTCATTCATTTCTGAGCATGTTCCATCGTATAACTTCCTCTGCAAGCAGGGTATTCTGTTTGTTGTTTCTCACCACGAAAGTGACTTTTGAAACCGCCCTGGAGCTGGGAAAATATTTTTGGCGTTGTATATCTCCTTCGGTCTCATCACGAAAACTGTAAACCCTTATTTTTTATAATGTGAAGGAGACAGAGGAGAACGTGTGGCGAAAACACAAGAAGAGAAGGAGAAATCTTTTTTTTTGTTTTCTTCTGGTTATACGAGATATGTTACATGGTTATGCATTCGATTATCTTGAAGAATATTTTTTTCTCAAGGGTTTTCATATTTTTGCAGCGAAACTGAATGATTATCAAAACAATTTCTTATTCTTGATTTTATCGGTGATTTCACGTGTATGATAACAGCTAACAGTTTTTCAGAACTGCGGACACAAATGACTGGTCCCAGACCTTACATGACTTCTGAGTTTACTCAGTAAGTGGCTAATTTGGTTTCTTTTAATCGGTTTGATTTAGGATTATGTCCCCTATCTCGTCGCACCTGGGATTCCTGTATCCGGACGTAGAGAGCCCTAGCGATTCGGGAGTTCCTTCGGCGCCTTGGATGAAATCTCCAGTCTATGAACAAAGTTTGACTGGACTTCATGATGAACTCGTGGATCTCGCAGATTGGCTGCAACCGACGTATGAGGAGAAACTAATGAGACAGATTGCATTCGATCGGGCCAAGGCCTATCTTTTCAACATTTACCCTAATTCTGTTGTTGATTTATATGGAAGCGTAGCCACTGGTGTGTATCTATCCGACTCGGATGTCGATGTCAGCGTCAGATTCAAAGGAAGGACTGAAGTTGATTACTACCGGGTTGCGGAATATTTCAGGTATATTTTTGCGTTTATTTTTATATGTGTTTAGGCAAAATGGCTCATACCGGGATATTCATGTTCGTGTAAAGTCTTCAATACCGCTTGTTAAGTTAGTGGATGGAATCTCTAACTTTTCCATGGATATCACCTTTAACATGGCTTCGAATTCGGCTGCGGAGTGGGTAAAGCGGCAAATGGCCATCTACCCTGATCTCGATAGGTTGATTTTGATCGTCAAGAAAATGATGGTAGTGTATCACTTGAACGAACCTTTTAGCGGTGGATTGTCTTCCTATGCCTTGGTTATTCTTTTGACTCATTATCTGAATGTATGTTTTGATTTTCCTGTTTTAATTCTGTTTAGTATAACAGCCATTTCTATCAGAGACACAAGCCATTGGGGTTGATTTTGATGAAATTTTTGTGTTTTTACGGTGAGGAGTTTGACTATTTGAACAAAGCCGTGATGTTTGATGGAAACCAGGCTGTGTTCATCGATAAGGTAGTCCTCCAACAACAAAATGAGGCGTTTGTCGGATCGTCGATGCTCACTATCATTGATCCTGTAGATCCAAGTAAGAGGCTTTTCTTTTCTTGATTTTATGTTGTTTTTATGCTTATTAAATTTTTGGTTTTAGTGAATGATGTTGGCAGAGGAGCCCACAGAATGGTTGTTGTTAGAAGTACTTTCTTGATGTTGAAGAGGATTTTATTGCTATCCTTGCATGAGAAGTCAGTTGTTCATCATGGCTCCGTGATGTCTCTTGTTATCCCCATCGCTTCTGCTGAGTTGGCTACCCGCAGGGGCGTTGTTCGAGCCTTTAGGGTACGTTCGAAATTCGTATTTTATTCTTTTAATTTAGCATCTTCAAAACTTAACCGCAAATCCACATTGTGTTGACAGTTCCCAACTTGTTCCCTTTCTGATGAATTATATTCCAAATTGGGTTGTGCAATATCCATGCGCATTTACTCTTCCTCTGGGCTTTCAAATCCCATACTATACCTCCAACAAATTGGGTGAAGCTGTTTACACTACGGCTGGCAGTCCTCCAGTTGTGAATCCACTTCCATCTCAATATTCTCTGGCCGAACCGATGGTTTCTTCTTCAGTTGCTTCCTCGACTCTGCCCTCAATTTCAAGTAGGGATTTGGTTTATTTTATAGTTGTTTAGATGGGGAGATGGTGAACAGTTTTATGCCACCGATCACCTTCAATGCATTCAGACCAAGCATCACCATGCCCAATAGATTGATGCTGAATTACATCCCAATGGCAAACGCCGGAATTCAGCCTGGAATACCCTTTCAAAATGGGAATTTACCCGATGCTCCTCCGCAGAATATGAGTAGAACATCTGATAGCTCTGAAGATTCGGCTGTCGAAGTGGACCAGCCTTTGTACAATTGGGAGAAGGAAAGGGTGCCTAAAAATAGCAGCAATAACTTGACCCCTGAAGATGGTGTGAGTGATGTCTCGGAGGAGATGAGCAACGTCAGTTTGAGTGAAAAAAAGGGGGGCCATGGGGGACCCAAACTGAATATGAGAAAGAATAAGCTTTATGGTTGAACTGGTTCTTCCTGATCTCTGGCTGGTGAAAGCCACATCCCGGATAGTCTATATGTTCTGTCTTAAACTGATGCCTTTTTTATTTTTGGGTACCCGGACATATCGCTGTCTATTAGCATTACCTTTTGTTCGTTCCTCAACGATAACATTAACTTTATTTGTCATAACAGATTTTACTTTGTCATTCTCGTTATAACAGGAGCCCTTTATCTTCTTTTAGACGTTTATAACGGGGCTTCTTGTTTTATGCGCAGACACGGGCCTTAAAACATACGTCGGTTCTTTCTAATAATCGGGTTCCCTTGGTCTCCTGACAGTGAAAAGAAGAGTTTTATGTCATTCAGATATTTTTGTTGTGTTCTCTCAATCTCGCGTCATTTCACGGTCAGCTTTGTGTAAATAGTTACTGGCTAGATATTTGTTTTGGTTGTTACTTAGCCTTCGTTGGCCGGTTAATTCAAGCGCCGCACTCAAAGTGTTTCCCTTTTCTGACCGCGATTTCAAAAATGTGCTTCCATTTATTGTTGACTCATTTACCTAATAAATTTATTGTTTATTTTTCGCAATCGATGTGTAATTTCGACGTTATTTGCGTTCCTATACCTCGGTCTTTACCACTTTTATAAATGATTTTAGTTGGATGGAACCGTCGAGTGCGGATATAAATACCAATGTAAATGCTACCGATGTGGTCGCGGCTAGTACTCACATGACAAATGCATCTCAGACCGAGATCAGAGTCGAATATTTAAAGCACAAATGGACGGTAAAGAACTTTTCGCATTGTTATCAGGAATACTTGGAGAACTTTGTGCATTTGCAAAGGAATAACGACGAAACATTGACATGGTCCATCAAGATTTACCCGAAGGGTAATGGCGAAAACAACAAGGATTTTGTTTTCTTGTGTTTGAACAGGGTAAATGGATGCAGTAAAAATAAAGCCGGCTTCAGGTAGGAGTTGATGGTCTTATATCCAACTTTTAGGTCACGGTTCTTCTTGAAGAACAGCGAAGGAAAGGACATCGAAATGCGGATTCATCCCAATCCGTCCCATTCTGATTATGTTTCTTACATAAAGCGAGACGTACTGTTTCCCCAGATCTCGCCAGCCGACAGTATCACCGTTTTCGTCGAGATCGATGTTGCTGTGGAGACAATCACAACGTATACTGAAGACCAACTGGCTTCGAAAGCGGTGAGTAAATTGCCGATCGACAATCAGGACCTAAAGTTACAGGTTTGTGAATGTGAACGGACGTTGGGGGAAGATTATCTAAAACTTCTGAGCGACGATCTACATACCGACTTCCTGATCCGGGTTGACGGCCAAGATATCTCTGTACATAAAGCAGTTTTGGCTGCGAGGTCCCCAGTCTTTGCTGCCATGCTACAACATCGCGATACGAACGAAGCACAGACTGTAAGGCGTAAATATATAATTTGTATTTTCTTCAGGGGGTTTTATGCATAGAAGACGTCGAATATAATGTCATGAAAGAAATGCTGCACTTTATTTATAGTGGAAGGTGCACATCCGACGTGAATGAAATGGCATCTGATTTGTTAATTGCCGCGGATAAATACAGGTAGTCATTTTCTTGAATAATTTTGATGTTTTTTTCAGACTTGATGAACTAAAGAATCACTGTGAGCGAATCTTAATCCAAGTTCTGTCTCAAGATAACTGTTGTCAACTTCTCATCATATCGGATATGTATCATGCCAACGCTTTGAGGAGAAAGTCGATTCAGTTTGTACTGAAGCACCCCGTAGACATAACTTCTACAGCCGGATGGGAAGCCGTCTTGAAGGATCACCCGCATCTAGTCACGGACATAGTCAGGAGTTTTGATCGGACCACGGACAGCGAGTCGTGCACAGTTCTGTCAGGCTTGTTGCCCGGTCACTGAGTCACATTGTCCTTCCCAGTGTAATTATATTCCAGAATAATATGTAAATAAAAGTGTTTTTGATTTCCTGGGTTTGTGGGTCATCGGCTCGACGAATTGTTTTAAGTTGGACAAGAAATCAAACAGACACGGGACAGCAAAGTAGCCAAACAGATGACCAGTTGTTTGTTTCTCCTTCGTTATGTAGGCCTGTTCGCGCGTCTCTCCACATTCCTCATGTTGTCTCCGAGCCCAGAGACCAGCATCTCCACCTGAAACTCAAATAATCGCTCCCTCGGCGTCGTCCTAAGTATCGTCACGGGCTCTCATTGATGGGCGTTCCTCATTCCGGTCCGACAGGCGACGTCATTATTCTTAATCAAATTAAAACAAGGTCCATTTAAAGTCCTGTCCCAAATTCTCCTCCAATCAATCCCAGAATGAGTTCGTCGATCTGTGTTTTCTTGTTTTTGGGACTCAGTTCAACATTGAGGGCGGAAGAGTCGAGCAGGAAGGAGCGCGAAGCGGGATACGGTACGTTTTCGAAGCATTAATTCTTCTCCGGATGAACGCTACCATTTTTATTTTTTATACCATCATGAATTTGGCAACTTTTCTTAAATCTTCCCATATTTTTTGAAGGGAACACTGATGGTCAGTTAAATGCCTTTAAAGGAGATGCCCAAAAAACTGGATCGAGCGCTTTTGGGCCGGAAACTGGAGGATTTGGATCACTTTCAAACGGATTTTGGAGCGCTTATGGCCAAGAAGGACAGCCAGACATGCAAATGTGGCAAGGACCGATAGGATCCGCTACTCCTAATCAACCAAACGTCCAAGAACCAGGATACGGACAGAGTTACGGATCCATCCCAGGCACGGGAGCAGTCGGAACACCAAACTCACCATATGCTGGATACTTGGAAAAGCAAATCAGCAGCTATCCGGTCATGATCTACACATTGAATGAGTGCATTCCCTGTCAGCGGGCCAAGCATCTTCTCGCCGTTCATTACCCTGATGTCCGAGCGCATTTCCTGGAGCTCTCCGGAAACGAGGCCTGGCAGCAACAACTCCAAGTCGATCTACAGTATCTCACTGGAGCCATTACATTCCCATACATCTTTGTCTGTGGCCAATATATTGGTGGGGCTTCGGACCTCTTCGAAATGCATGAAAACGGCCAGTTGAGAAGAATGGTGAACCAATGCATCAAAACCGCCACGCCCAAACCATAACGAGACGGATGTAAATTTAGTTGTTGAACTACGTGTATCATAAAACTGTCCAGTTTTATTATAAATTACATTTTTATAACTTATGAACAAACAAGAAAAAATCCCGGCCCGTAAGAAATTACTGAAATCAGTCCTCGTTCTCGGAGGCGGATCCTTCGGTGTAATCATCGGACGTCTCAAGGACTTCTTCCCGCTCTTCTTCCTCTTCAGAACTACCATATACAATCACATTTGGTTCCCGCGCGTTTTGTACCTCCATCTGAAAACGGATTTTCGTCTTCTGAAAAAGATCATGTTCTCACCTTAACATCCTGGGAATAATCAAAATCCAAATAAGAATCCGACTTTATGTGTAGGGTAAAGTTGTAAACGCCTTTCTCCGGGGGAGCTGAGATCCGCATTTCAAGCTGAAAAAATTTACAAAACATGAAAAACAATTTTACCGTTTTCTCCGTGTTCAATGTTTTGCATGGAATGATGAGAGAAGCGAGATTCTTTGTCCTCTTCTCAATTAAATACAGATACCACCATTCGTGTTTCTCTTGTGGAAAAAGTGGACAATGGACCTCGTGATGATCAGTGGGTTCAGATTCTAGCAATGCCTCTTTCTTCAAAGGCACCTCATCGTCTCCCCAATCGTCGTCGCTTTCACTTTCATCAGGCAACAAACTCTTATCAGAATCGTAACTTTCATTAGATTCAGAGCCGCTGTCAGAATACTCCGAGCCCTCGTCTGACTCATTAGGTCGGTTATTTTTTTGTTTTTTGTCAACCTCTTCTTTGTTATCTTCTTTCTTTGTTTCTTCGGTCCCTTCCTCATTAGTGAATCTTTTCTTGTTGGCCTAAAATTCAAGGGTGTAAAGTCCGCTTAGGAAATCCCTAATAAGAAACGGTTACTTACCTTTCCAATCCTTTTTACTTTCCCGGGTTTCTTCTTAGGCTTTTGCTTTTCCCATGGTTTTTTCTTTGGCTGTTCTGGCTGAAGCGATGTCTCCAAAGCCATTTTCTCTTTCTTGATAGCGCCTTCTTCAATCTCTCTTAAACGATTATCCAGATCCAATAAAGGTAACCTCGTGAGGTGGATCTTAATGGTAACCACTGATCCAACCGTCACTGTATCACAATCATCTTCGCCTTGTACTAAAACAAAGTTCACCGCGAATCCCCATCACAGCTTACCTTCAATTCTAGTTTCCACTAAAAGTTTTGGCATCATGTGAAGAACAGTTATGATGTCATTGTAATCGCACTCTTCCATGTGATTAAGAAGAGCTCGTCTTTTCAATTCGTTTAGCTGAGCCAAGTCCTGAGGGGTATAAACACGGTTCTAAAATATGTTATACTTAGACATGGATCCCTACTCTTCGAAGATATGCAATGTTTTGTTCGGTGAGATGAGGAAGTTGCATTAATGGACTGTTCTTTTGCCACAACGCTTGAACGAACATAGGATACAGCTTGAGAACATTCTCAATGGTATTGATAGTGGGAGTGTGGCGAGTCCATCCATTAAACGTAAATTGGATAACAAGCCGCATAAATTCATCGAGCAATGGCAATACTCGAGATACCATGTATGTTTGATCTGACAGAGTTTAGAGGGTAAGGACGTTAACTTACCCCTTTCCAACCTAGCCGAATTTAAATCCAATCGGGAGAGATATGCATACAACAAGATACGACACTTCACAGAGTAAGGCTGACTGAACGGTATTTCTTTTTTGTTTTCCCCAAGATTCTTGAATTCTTTCATCAACACAGGCAGCTCAACGTCATCCTCTTCACTCTCGACGATCTCGTTGTTAAATTTTCTCCAAAATTCGCAAGACGCCGTTAAAACCATCAAAACTCCTGAAAGGTTTTCATAATTATGCGCATGGATCAGAGCCCCACAAATCCCAAAAACACAGTTCAAGCTCAGGTTAAAGTTGAAGAATTCATTCGCTTTTCATTGAGAAAAAAGCAGGTGAAACGCAAACTTTTTTCCTCCTGGGTGGTTCATTTGTACGCCCAAAAATAATAAAAAAAAAAAAAAAATTTCAAAAAAAGACTATTAAAAGCAGTTTTTTAGAGGAGAAAAAATGTATCAAATAAATATAACCCTTTGCCAAACAACATACAATCCTTGTAAAACAAAGCAATAAAAAAAGTGAACGAACTTACTGCACAACCCAATATAATAGTGTGAACCTAAGGACTACACCAGAAAAACACAAAACCTACTTGTAACCTCCATATTCGGCGTCTTGGAGATGAAATGTGCAAATGTCTTTGTGGTTTCAAGAAGTACTTTGTCGGCACTGTATTTTATAGAATTATACCACCAATATCCCTAAAGAATAAAAATTACGTCATAAAACTCTTACCACAGCCGAAGGCATTAATATCATGAAAACAAGTCCATAGAACGCGAGTACCCAGTTGCCATAATTTTCGCTTACAATCCATTTGGGCAAGGCAATTCCGAAAGTTGTGGCTAAAGGAGCGATATAAAGGTAAGAACAAGTAGGCGTAGCTAGGGGCCGGAAGGGGGGAGGGGCAAGGGCATCTTCGCCAAAATATTTTACCGAGAAATGTGCCAGGAAGTTCGATTTCTTGGCAGTTAAGATATCCGAAAAATTCTTTTTGCATAATAAACAAGAATATTGGCGGTTTTTTGCCCAAGAAAACTATTTTCTCCGCCAATGCGGAAAGCAGAGTATTCGGCGGAGTTTTACGCACTTTTTTGGTCATCACACCAATCTTAAACGCTTGACTATGAATTTTGATAGTTGAAAGGAGGAAATTTGTTTATTTTTATGTTTATCAAACAATCGGCGAAGGCATGGGGGGACGCTTGCCATATTGGCGGACGCCATAACTCAGCTTTGGATAACGATGCAAAACTAAGAATAGCTCAACGCAATTCTTATAGCATTTCTGCTGGCGTCTTGTGCCCTCCAAAATGTCGTCGCCAAGCCTTGGCAGAAGTTTAGCCATCGGCGAACCACTTGGTGCACCAGAAAACAACAAAGTTCAAATTTTTCTTTGCCATGCTGTTTCAAACTCCCACACGGTGCGGCCAGACTTTATTGGTGTCGCAGCGACAAGCTGCACCCTGCAGTCGCTAAATGCGATCAATAGCACTGCCGCCGACCTTCTGATAGATTATGCTTAAAATTTGACTATTTTCCGGAAGTTTCAGCGTCATATTAAAGTGTTAATAATTGATGCGATGACCAAAAAAGTTCCAAAAAGTCTCCGCCGAAAACACTACTTTCCGCGTTGGCGAAGAAAATAATTTTCTTGGACAAAAACCAAAACTTTCCGGCGCATTTCTCGGAACACCCCGTACATTGTAAAAATATCACACTTACCCCGAGGTCCGTCTGGATTGCCATACTTTTCCCAATTCTCTCTTGATTCTTCATTTGTAAGAGCTTGATAAGCTTTTGCGAGATGGTTAAACTGTTCCTCGTCTCCGCCTCGATCGGGGTGATATTGCTTACTCAATTTATGGTAAGCTTTCTTTATTTCAGACACTCCAGCACCCTAAAAGCGTATTTCCACAAGGAGTTCCAATACAAACGGCCACGTCACAAACTGAATAATTAACCCACCTGATCCAACCCAAGAACTTTGTAAGGGTCATATTCCTCATGAGTCACCTCAATCTGCGAGACTTTATTGCCCAAGTAGAATAAAAATCCCCAAGCCATCAACAGAATGATAGATTTCAGAATTCGCTTCCTTGTTTGCTTTGGCTGAGAATCCAGTAGATTCTTTCGTTTGATACGATCACCCTCACACTGACATCCAGTAGTTTTGCTTTCAACTTTTACTAAACAAAAAATAATTATAATTCATGAGATCTTACCTGCTGAAGGCCATAGGAAATGAGTCAAAGGAAGAAGCAGAACAGTGTAAAATGCAATCAGAACATAATAAAATGTGTTTCCCACCTCATCGTACTCGAATTGAGCCCGGCCCATAGTTTGAAGACAGCTGAAAATATAAACTATGTTAAAAAAAACCCCCCATAAGACATGATAAGCCAAACAATGCTGTAATAAGGAACAAGTGATATCAAAAATCTTATAAAATAAAAATGCAACGAAGAATTATGTGGAGAATCAGATCCTCGTGGTGAGACCAAAGTGTTCCGTTTCTTCCGTGACTTCTTTTCGCGAAATGGTTTTTGTTTCTACAGAGTAAAAATTTATTTGGTAGATTGTTTTTTATTGTCTGATCTATCCCGTGTAATATCTGTACGGAGATTGACAATTCGGAAGCTGAAGAATACGGAACGATCCATAATGGGCAGATTCCGAGAATCAGTTCGAATGTCATAGATACCAAACATCTTTGTAAAAAAGTGTAATTCGGAAAAAAACTATGAATTGTAAGTGTAAATTTTTCAAAAGAGTGTAACTGAAAACAGTACTAATTTCGATGCAACACTGTTGCAAGTGATAAAAGACCTGTGCGTTAGTAATTCGCGCGAGCGAATAAAAAAAACAAGATTATGAAAAAAACTTTTGCGATTACTAACGCACACGCCTTGTACAGGTGGTTCAGTGGGAGATTCCAACGTTATTTCAAGTACTTCTCCGCCAATAATGTACCAATTTCTATAAAATTTTATATGAATCTCTTCCACCCCGTTTTCTGTCCACCAAGTATGATGACTCTTTGGTCACGGAGGCACCCATGCTGACCTTTCACATTTTCATTCCAAATTTTGAAGTCCGATATCGGTGAAACGTAGAATTTTTTTTAATGATTTTCTCGGACTTGAAAATATGCGAGTGAAAAATTAAACTTTTATAAGTAGCTGAAAAACTTGACGGCAGTCAACGGGATACTTGTAATTATTCTTCAAGGTATTACTCTTGCTTTTTGGGGTAACTGGCTTAATTAATCAAAAAATGCGAACAAGCAGACTGCCTAAATGCATGAAGACATTCACATGCATGACAAGTTCCAGGCCTAGATTATCTAACAATAAGAAAAACAGCTTCTCTTCGTTCGTCCGACAAAGCATATTTCATTCGGAGAGGTGGACTAAAATATGCTTTTTAGGCACTTGGTACTTCCGCGACCTTTACATTTTTAAAATTTTTTCATCGCATTTTGCGACTTTGTTTTAACCAGAAATCCAAAAAATTTTCAAGTCCGAGAAACTCAATTGACGATCGTTTCAAAAATTTTCTAACAATAAGTTTTACCGTTTCCGGACTCCAAAATTGAGAATGAAAATGTCAGCGGTCAGTACGGGTGCCTCCGTGAACGTAGATACGTTATACTCGGTGGACAAAAAATGGGGTGGAAGAGCTTCAATTTGGTATAAATTTTCTAGAAATTGGTGCATCTTTGGCGGAGAAATACTTGACAAGGAAAGGATATACTTTTATGGGGGCTTCTGCTTTTAGACGGGACACGCCTCAAAAAATCCGGAAAATCGTGCTGGTCAAGGATATGTAAAAATTAGTGTAAGATTGGAAGCTCCGGTTGAAGTATTATTATATCGAAAAATTAGTTGGAAGTAAAAAATGTAAGTGTCGACATTAAAGTTTAAAAATTTTTACGTTTACACTTACATCAATTTCCCTACATAATTTCCAACAGTGTTCTAAAACTTCTTCAACGTTTTTGAAAAGTTTGCACCTACGATTCATACTTTTTTAGATCCCACTTTTTTCACAAAGATGTAATGGTATCTGTGACATTCGAACGGATTCTGGGAAATTGCCCATTATGGAATCTGCCCATTAAAAAGAACCGTTGTTCTTGACTTTTATTTTTGCTACTTTTTGCCCATAACTTTGCGAGTTTCGTGCGGAAAAAATCCATTTTTTTTTGTGGAAACATTAACTTACGGTAGATATAGGGGTGCAACTTTTCATGCCTAAATTCGACAAAAGAGTCTCAAATAAGTGAAGATTTAGTCCGAAATAGTAATTCCCCATTATTTTTATAGAATGCCAAACGATGTTCTGCTGTGTCGTTTTCGTATTGGACACGAAACTGAACTCTTAGACAAGCCGACATCCAGCGGCCACACCCACAGGTGGAAGGTGTTCGTTAGAAGTCCCGAGAACTGCCCCGAATTGGTCGACCGCTCTTATGTGAGGAAGGTCACCTTTGTTCTCCATGACAGCTTTTCGAATCCGAAGAGAACCGTTCGTAATCCACCGTTTGAGATCACGGAAACTGGTTATGGAGGATTTGATATGGTTATAATACTCCATTTGCAGAATTGCCAAAAGTCTTTCTCCATTAGTTATGAGATTTCTTTGCCTATGGGTAAGTGGCTGTCTATCAACAAACCAAGGTAACGGCCTTACAGAAAAACACTCAACGAAATTTCTGGATCACCGAGTAGAGATTAAAAACCCGGAGAAAGAATTGGTTGATTTGAGTCTAAAGTACGGTGCAAAGCTGTCTAAGAGGAAGGAGAAGTCCGAAAAACCAGAAAAACAGAAGGAAAAGTCTGGTGATGACAAGAAAAGGAAAACGAAACCCGAGAAGGATAAGGTACCGGCTTGTTCTACCCCAACTGGAAGCCAAAAAGTTAATAAGCCTGAGGGAAAAATCAAGATTGAAACGCTTGAAGTCAACAAAGAAAAGGCAGAAAAGAAGAATGACAAATTGGAAATCAAAGTACAAAAGGAAGACACTATTGGAGAACCTAAGTCTAAAAAGCCGAAGAAGAGTAAGAGTGATCCAGAGAAGACCATGCTCTCAGTCGATGATTTATTTAATCCAGCACCGCTTGTTGAGAAATCAAAAGGATCGAGTAAGATTTTAAATTAGCAATCTAAAAACAATTTTAAAGCATATAATGGTGGTCACTGAAGTTTTTTGACTTTTATATTGGCTGTTGGGTCGAATTTCGGTGCAAAAATGGGTTGAGGTTGTTAAGTCGGCAACTTGACGCGCCAGTCACGTTGTGAAATTGCCGTCATTTCAAAATTGTTCTATCATTGTGATTTTCAAATTGAAATTTTTTGGAAAATTTTTGTGGATTTTGCTAAAAAATCGTATGAATTTAATATTTTTAAGAACTAGAAATTGTCCCTTCTTTTCAAGACGGCCGACGAAATCAGTAGTAAAACTATTTGCGACTAATATTAACGGTATTCATCATAGTCTACGTTAAACTCGCATTTGAAAGCTTCGTATATCAGAATTTTCAATTCAGCCAAAATAACGGCAATTTGACGTCATTTTGAAAAATCCTTTCAAATTAAGAACCCTAGTTGACATTGATTTTTAAAAATCTTTTATTTTATCCGCGCAACGAGTTTCCAAAATCTGCACTGGGTTTTCGCAAATTTTCGAGCTTTTTTCGTACTGATTTTTCAAAATAATGTCAACCCATTTTTGCACCGAAATTCGACCCAACAGCTAAAATAAAAGTCGAGAACTTCTGTGACCACCTTTATAAAAGGGGAGCGCGCGGTACTCCATTTCGCGAATTTCGGGCCTCGTCGCAGAAAACCGCGATTTCTTGTCTGCGTTGCCCTCTTCCGAACTCTCTCCAAAAAACTCCGAACTCTCAACCTTTCCTCATTTTCACCAAAAACTCCGGACTCTACCCCTTGTACGAACACTCCCGCTTTTGTGAAAATTGAAAAATAGTGTGTGACATCTGTTATGGTGAAAATTGAAAAAAATAAAAAATCTCGAAAATTGGTCTTATCTTTCGACTGGTCGGTCTGAGGCTCATGGAAATGGGGTTTAAAGGTCTTAGAATTTTAGAGATTATAATGAAACTAAACTTTGCCCCGATATCTCACGTATCTGTCTTCGAAACAAAAGTTTTTTATGATGACTTAGCGTTTAGAGGCCTCGTTCTCAGAGTTGATAGGCCATGATTTTGTCACCGTTGGAATCCCCACATCATAGAGCGTTATTTACAGAAATAAAAAGGATGTATGTACAAGTATGCAAATTTTTCGAGCAAATTCAAGAATTTTGAGCCACTCTGAAAAATACTTTTCAAAAGTATGTCATCATGACCGATTTATGACAGATTTACTGTTATTTTTCCGAATTCCCGGCAAACCAAGGAAAAAGTCATGTTACAGTAACTCTGAATCTGATTTCATGTGCAACGTTCCAAAATCACCGGGCTACAGTAATCCTTCCATACGTTTCAGTAAGATCGGAGAAAACAAAGCCAGTAAAGACGGAGTTGAAGAAGGAATTAATGGCTCCCAATGATAACCAGCAGGTTGGGTCATCGAAGATGCAAATTATCGATGTTCAGTCTAAGGTAGGCACAGTGAAAGTATTATGTAATGTTGAAGGAGAGCATAGAGATGATGGATAAAGTGAGCGAACTCAGCTCTTTACCGAATATTCTGTCACCAGTAAACAGGAATATGGTAGACTCACTTGAGCAGAGTGCCCATCTGAAGGACGTAATTCGAAGATTGTACGTGAAGTTTGATCCCGAAAAGTATCGTCTTCCAATGTTAAAGAAGTTGAATACGACTGCAGATGTAATTCGAAGATACGAACGTCCGATCCCATTATTAACCTTCGAAGATCAGTTGTCTGTCACTGTAGAAGGGACCGACTAACGCAAAGGTTTTGTTATTGTCTGATTACAATAAATTTGCTCAAAACGGTGAACTTCCTGGTCTTTCTTTGCCCGAAACACTGCAATTGTATTTGAGGAGTAGTAGATATTGAAACTTGGGATATAAATGTCCTACCTTGGCCCTCGAATTGTTGAGAGTGGAATGAATGGGCAGTGGCGATTACCTGTCCGCCCTTTGTGGTTTACAAGAACACTTCCGGTTTGCAATAAAATTGCTTTTAAAAATGGCTATGGCCTTCCTTACCACGAAAATATTGGGAGTGCAAACGGCCAAAATAGCCTTCAACCTTTTTATTTTGGAGTGACCAGATGCTTAAAATTACATGTTAACGCCGGACGAAGAAAGTATCAGACGACGGGGAGTTATCGGTTCTGCTTTGACTAGACTCAACTCTTCAGGTAAATACTCCTTTTCCTCTTTTTGTCATCATTAAGCAATTCTAACACCGTAGATAACTTGTTGAAGGTTCGAAGGGAGGCTCCGTTCCTTTAATATTATCCTTCGATGCTGAAAGACCGCAAACCTCTTCCGATGAAGATTATCGAGGAGGAATTCTGGGGTCCGAGCTTGGAAAACGAAAATTGGGATGGAGAAACTCCGAAAACTTCAAGAATTCGTCGACTTCCTCAGATTCCTTGGACTTCAGCTCTGGGATTTTGGGCCGAGCATTGGCTGAAGAAGGACGGAGAGTCCAACAGATCAGCGAAGAAGAAAAGAAGAGACTTCCAACACCTGATTTCAGAAGGGCTTTCCTCGCAAATAAGACAAGACATTCGCTCAACACTCCCAGAACTCCCGAAAACGAAGAAGTTCACAATAATGAAATTTCCTTACTTGAAACCTATTACAAAATGGACAAAAAATATGGATTACTGTATTTTGCGAAGAAAAAAGATTGGCCTATGGTTCAGAAAATTCTAAATTCGCAGGCGATCCATGAACTCAGTTTGGTCGATGATGTAGGTTTTACATTCAGACTTTGAGAAACAGAATTTAGGAGGGATATACGGTCCTTTATTTGGCCATCATAGCTTCAAAGACTGAGATTGTTAAAGAACTCTTGGAACAAGGAGCGGATCTGTATTATGAAACAAAGGAAAGGATGAATGGAACTCATATTTGTGCAAAATACGGGAACGTCGAGACGACTAAACTCTTGGCAGATTCCAAAGCCGACTTTTCGATTCCAGGAGTACGTTTTAAAAGTTTTTTGAAGGATGACCCGGACATTTCCAAAAAACGACCAACTCAGAATCTTTTAATATTTTGCCTAGTTGCTGTACCATGATAGCTGAATGTCGGCACGAATTTTTAGTTTTGGAAATTACCGGGTTACGGTAGGTAGAATTTGCAGAAAGATTGCGTTCGTATTTAAAAACACCAAGGAGTAAAAGGGAAAACCCTCGCCGTTTTACGTTTTCGACCATGGGGAACATTTTTATAATTGACACTTCTGTTCTAGGATGTAGTCTTCAACTACTTTGAAAAATACCAAGGTACCATGTTCAGTCTAACTTTTTGGCATATAACTTGTCTCAACTTTTGAAACCTTTTGAATACACTTTTACATAGGCTTACCAACATATAAAAAATGCAGAAAAATAAAAATGGGGGGAAGGTTTGGAGTTACGGCACTTTTTATGTTGGACATACACCTCGACTTAATTTTGGTTACGTATGTAGATTGTTTTAAATACAAAATGTAATGCCTTGTGTATGTTGTACGACCATCGCGAACTATTTTAACTTCGAGATTCGTAATATTTGGGCTCACGCATACTGTAGCATGTACAACACCGGTGTGCAGATAATTGGTTACTGTAACAGCAAGATCAGCAATTTCTTAAATTTTTACACCCACTTTTTACATCTGTTCCACACCGATTTAAGAAAAATTAAGGAGTTTTTTCCTTTTGCTCCTTGGTGTTTTTATACACGAACCCAATCTTTCTGAAAATTGTACCTACCGTAACCCCCGTACACGGTAACTTCCAAAACTAAAAATTCGTGCTGACATTCAGCTATCATAGTACAACAAATATGCAAAATTTCAAAGGATTCTGAGTTGGTCGTTTTTTGGAAATGTCCAGCCCTTATGAGAAGCCTAAATCTTTAAAAGCTCTCTTTTAAAATGTTGTTTTACGTGGTTTAGAAGAACAATATGTTACCCATTCATTTTGCCTGTACTAGAACTTCGATGAACTCTTATGGAGTAGCCGAAACCATCCTGAAGACTTATCCGACTTGTCGATTAATCAAGGATTCCGAAGGTCGTCTTCCTGTCCACGTGGCCATTCAAGTGGGGAATATTCCGCTAGTACAACTTTGCTTATTTCGGGAGAGTACGGCCCAAATTAAAGCAACAAATGTGAAGGGAGACACGTGTCTGCATATGGCAGCTCATAAAGGTAATAAAATTATTTAAAGATTTCGTCCTACAGCACGCCAATTTGTCTACACACAAAAAATGGAAAAAAAATAATTCGTTAAAATCGGGGTTTTGTCAAAATCAGAGTTTTTAAACGTAGGATCTTCCTAATTTTAGGAACCATTACACTTTGAAGTATGGGCTTTCATAAATGGGATCCTTTGAGGGCAACGGTCCATTATGGGAACATTTCTGAAATCTTTGCGAATATCCTCAAGACCTTTGTATCTCTGTGAAAAATGTGTATTTTATGTGATTTTAAAATTTTTTGTAAAGATATAATTTTTGGAATTTTTTAAGAGTACTCGATTTAGTGGTTTTCGGTAGAGCTGATTACAAAAATCATGTTAAATTTTTTTATAAAGTGTTCTTTGAGTGTAACTTCACTCAGACTCAACAGAATTTGATGAGTCTCGGCGACAGAGAAAGGCAGAAATTCTTACAAAGATTGAAATTGCGAAATGTTATGTCAGATTGTGCAACTTTTAACCTTGTACTATATTTGCAGAGTTCGGATGGACTCTTGCGGAGAGATTTAGAAGTCCCGAGCCATATATCCTTCACCAGCACAATTTTTCGGATTTTTTGAGGTCCTTTAACGACAGGGCGAGTTAAAAAATTACAGCTTAAGGGTTAAACTTGCTCCTTTTTACCTTAATTATGTTAACCATGGCCTTTCAAACTGCTGGCCAGAGTATCAAAAGTATCGCGCATGAAGATTGTTGGAGCAACATTTATATTTGAGAACAAACTACACTAAAAGGCGAATATTCATTGCCCTTGATATGACCAGCTCTCAAAAAAGTAAATAATACGTCGAATAAAAAATTTTTACAAGGCTGCAGGGTCGCTGAGGATATCTGCAATGATTTCAGAAATCTGCCCGTATGTAATGGACGGACACTTTTTTTAGATATCAACATGTTTCGGGCCATTTCTGCTTTGTGTGGAGAAGAAGAAGTTAACGCTCCAAATGAACTGGGCAGAACACCATTGCATGAAGTGGCTCAATTTGGAGACGAGGCCATGTTGAGAATTCTGTGGAAAATGAATGCGGACGTCAAACTGTTCGATCACGTATGTCCTTGCATTAGGTTCGGAATTTTTACGCGTCAGATCAAATCTTACATGATCGTCAATATAGGGACAGAAGACGCTCGGCCGAGGGTTGACTTCCAGAAAAAAAACAAAAAATTCTCGGGTCGCGATAGTTCGGGTCAACGATACCATTTTATAGGTAATCGAGAGATTAGGTCTGAACAGTGCACCTGACGAATTTTGAAATGTTTTCGTTTCGGGACAGGAAAAGAAACATTTTTTTGCACAGAATTGAACGAAATTTGAAATGTTTTCGTGGACGGGAAAAAAAAAAAAAAATGGAATGATTTACTTGTTATTTGCATACAATCATTACGACTATCTTCTTACTCAACCCTCTGTTACAAATAATGAGTAAACCCTTCCATTTCTTACCCCGTCCCGAAACGAAAGCGTTTCAAATTTTTTTCGAATTCTCCAAAATACAGGGTGGTTCAGCCGAAGCTTCCATCCTTATTTCAAGTATTTCTCCGCCGATAATGCACCAATTTTTATAAAATTTATATCAAATTGGAGCTGAGGTTCCCCATTTTTTGTCCACCAAATATGACAGGCCCCAGTTCAAGAATACCCCCGTACTGACCTTTGACATTTTCATTCCAAATTTTGGGGCCCGAAATCGGTGAAACTTAGAAAATTTTTGGAATGATTTTCAATCGAGTTTCTCGGACTTGGAAAATATTCGAGTCTTTGGCTAAATAAGACATTTAGATGTAGGTGAAAAAATTGACGGCAGTCAACGGAATACTCCTAATTAATCTGAAAGCATCGCTCTTGTGTTCTGGGGTAATAGGCTTCGTTAATCGAAATTTTAAAAAATACGAACAAATGGGCGAAACTGTCTATGTGGATGACGAAATCCACCCTGAAGATAAATAACGAGTTGTAAGTCCTGGATTGCCCGAGAAAAGAGCTTTCGTTTTCAATCGCTCGATTTGGTGCCGCGCCGGATTGAAATATGCTTTTTAGGCACTTGCTACTTCTGTAAACCTTACCTTTTTTTAAAAATTTTCATCGAATTTGGCGACTTTGTTTTTGCCGGAAATCCTAAAATTTTCCAAGTCCGAGAAACTCAATTGAAAATCATTCCAAAAATTTGCTATGTTTCACCGATTTCGGGCTCCAAAATTTGGAATAAAAATGTCAAAGGTCAGTACGGGGGTATCCTTGAACTTGGGCCTGTCATATTTGGTGGACAAAAAATGGGGAACATCAGCTTCAATTTGGTATAAATTTTATAAAAATTGGTGCATTATCGGCGGAGAAATACTTGAAATAAGGATGGAAACTTCGGCTGAACCACCCTGTAAATTACAGGGTCTTTCAAGAAATGTGCAGGAAAGTAGGAGGCTATAACTTTCGGCGGAGGCGGCGCAGAGAGTTCGTTTTTTGGAATATGTATTTTTCAGTGACATTATTTTTTGCCTACGAAATAACAAGATTTTTAAGTGCAAACTGAGGTCGCTACAACCTTTTGAAAAAGGGGTCTTTTACCCCGAAAACCAGGGTTTTTCGGTTGAAAATGATCGAGAAATTTCAGAGTTTTTCGGTCGAAAATCACCGAGAAATGTCGGGTTTTTTGGGGGGTTTCGATAGAGCTGACGTTGAAAACAGGGAAGGAAATTGCCAACACGTTGAAAATTAAGCAAAAATTCGGCTAGCCTCAACTTGGGGCAGATTTCGAGTTTATTTTCAGTGTTCCGTTTGTGGATTTGGGGGACCTGGAATTGGCTAGACAAGGCACCTGAATGTCTGTGAAGTCTTTAAAAAACTAGTCAAAGGGGTGTAATGGGCGTCAAAGGGCAGGAATGACAACCAAACTTTTAAACTGCTAGCAAAAACTGGTTGGCTAGCAGTAAAGTGTCGAAATAAAGAGTAGCCGAATATTTGCTTAATTTTCAACGTGTTGGCAATTTCCTTCCCTGTTTTCAACGTCAGCTCTATCGAAACCCCCCAAAAAACCCGACATTTCTCGGTGATTTTCGACCGAAAAACTCTGAAATTTCTCGATCATTTTCAACCGAAAAACCCTGGTTTTCGGGGTAAAAGACCCCTTTTTCAAAAGGTTGTAGCGACCTCAGTTTGCACTTAAAAATCTTGTTATTTCGTAGGCAAAAAATAATGTCACTGAAAAATACATATTCCAAAAAACGAACTCTCTGCGCCGCCTCCGCCGAAAGTTATAGCCTCCTACTTTCCTGCACATTTCTTGAAAGACCCTGTAAAAGAGACTTCGCCAGTTGTGGAAGGAGGGTCTGCCCTAGAATTTGACCCCCACTTTTTTCTGTCTCAACTGATGACATATAGGCTGTTAAACAACTTGGTGAATTTTTTTCGAAAAATTCGTCATCACGACCGAGATATGACATATTTATTGAATTTCGTTTAATGTGATATATTGTGCTAATATATCGCCGAAACATCGCAGAACTGAGTACACATACGTTATAGGCCATGCTGAACAACTTTGCAATTGACCCCAAGTTTGTCAGGTTACTGTAACATACCGTAACGCCCATGCTCAATCAATAAATCTCGATTTTCTCGATTTTTTTCAATAATTTTCTCGGAATTTTTTCGCATTTTTGGAATCAGCATCAAATTCTGCATCGGATAGACTATATGCGCGTCTCCAGATAGGTGTACAAAAATGTCGTGGCGCAACCGGTAGTGGGTCGGACTACCATTCAAAAGGTCCCGGGTTCGAGTCCGGGTGTAAGCAAAAATGCTCAAACGCGCTGGAAATTGTACCAAAACAGTTTTAATCTATTGGAACTGTGTTAAAAATAAATAATAATTAACATTGTTCCCTAAAAAGGCTAAATTTTGGATTTTACGAAATTTTTGAAAATCATGATTTTTGTGGGCCCAAATCTGCCGAAGGAATGAAAATTTTTTGTAAGCGATTTTTTTGTTTAGAAACAACGCATGGCACGTAGAAAGACTATTCCTCAAAGGATTTCGTTCAATTTTGCACAAAACACCACAAAATTTTCGTATTTTGGCATATGACAAAAAATTGAAATAATGACTTTCAGGAGTGCTTACGCGGAATCGTTTCCAGTTTTATAGAGCAGTATTTTGCGCTGCTTTCAAATATCTTTCTAATAGCCGCGAAAAATTTCCACAACAAAATTTTACATTTGATAATTTGTAGATATTCACATATTTCATGATGTTACAGTATTCAATCTTGTAAAATTTGCTAAAAATTCGACTCCCCACAGTGTAAAACATGTGTATCCACGTTTGAATGACGTCACTTCTGCTTACTGGGTTCTGGCGGTGCTCTCCGATTAAAACGAAAAAGTTCAACTTTTTGGTGTTTTGGGCAAAACTGAACGAAATCCTTTGAGGAATAGTCTTTCTACGTGCCATGCGTTGTTTCTAAACAAAAAAATCGCTTACAAAAAATTTTCATTTCTTCGGCAGATTTGAGCCCACAAAAATCATGATTTTCAAAAATCTCGTAAAATCCAAAATTTAGCCTTTTTAGGGAACAATGTTAATTATCATTTATTTTTAACACAGTTCCAATAGATTAAAACTGTTTTGGTACAATTTCCAGCGCGTTTGAGCATTTTTGCTTCCACCCGGACTCGAACCCGGGACCTTTTGAATGGTAGTCCGACCCACTACCGGTTGCGCCACGACATTTTTGTACACCTATCTGGAGATGCGCATATAGTCTATCCGATGCAGAATTTGATGCTGATTCCAAAAATGGAAAAAAATTCCGAGAAAATTATTGAAAAAAATTGAGAAAATCGAGATTTATTGATTGAGCATGGGCGTTACGGTATGTTACAGTAACCCGACAAACTTGTGGTCAATTACAAAGTTGTTCAGCATGGCCTATAACGTATGTGTACTCAGTTCTGCGATGTTTCGGCGATAAATTAGCACAATATATCACATTAAACGAAATTCAATGAATATGTCATATCTCGGTCATGATGACGAATTTTTCGAAAAAAATTCACCAAGTTGTTTAGCAGCCTATATGTCATCAGTTGAGACAGAAAAAAGTGGGGGTCAAATTCTAGGGCAGACCCCCATTTGAGCCTGCTTCAGCAACTCGCGAAGTGTCTTTTAAAACATTGCGCAAATTTCTGCTCCCTCCCTGTGGAGATTTTTTTCTTTTTCCTCTGACAAGAATTACGCATTTCTTGTCTAGAAGCCTAACAGACAAGAAATGGCGGTTTCTGGCCACGACACCCGATTTGATGCGTATGTCACCATCCTTATATGTTACAATAACTCAGGATAAAGAAAAATAACGTTAGCAATAACAAAATTAGAAAATTTGCACACATTACAAGTCTTCGCCAAGTCTCTGCCAAGCCTTCGCCGAGAATCCGCCGAGCATCCAACGGCTTTGCCAGGCTTCGTAGGCACCTCTACAACCTTTTTTTGGGTCCACTGCTCTACGCCTTGTCGATTTTGTGTTGACCTGAATTGTCGTCGACCCGAAAAGTCGGGAAATTTTACGCTTAATGTCGCACTTTAAATTTGTAGTCGCCTAGCGAAAAAGTGCATGTCGCGTGGGTCAAACCGGGGAATCACGGCGACAAACGCGAAAAAAATGGGAAAAACGCATAGTGAAAATACTACGGACTTTAGAGGGTTTTCCTCGAGAGGAACCCCTCGTCGAGAGGAACCCCTCGCGAGGGGTTCCTCTCGATTTTTCCGAATATGGAGGAAATTTGTCGATGTATGGGGTTTTCGAGGGTGCTGATTTCGAAAATCATGGTAGTTTTCCTCTTTATAGTACTATCTGGTACTATACAGTATGAGGTGAAAATATGGGCTTTTGGCGTTAATGGTGTTGTTTTGATGCTTAGTACTCCTCAAAAACACGTTTTAAATAACTGGTACTGTTTAGTACTGTCTGGTACTATGTAGTACAAAGTGAAAATAGGGGTACTAAGCAACAGAACAACACCACTAACGCCTAAAGGCCAAATTTTTACCTTGTACTACATAGTACCAGACAGTACTAAACAGTACCAGTTATTTAAAACGTGTTTTTGAGGAGTACTAAGAATCAAGACAACATCATTAACGCCAAAAGCCATATTATCACCTCATACTGTATAGTACCAGATAGTACTATAAAGGGGAAAGCTAACATGATTTTCGAAATCAGCACCCTCGAAAACCCCTAAATCGAGTATTTTTAGAAAAAATTCCAAAAATTACTTTTTAATACTACTACTTAAGAAAAAAGTAACAATCAGAAAAAATTTACATCATTTTCGAAATCCCCGTCATCGATTACCTCTATATCCAACATTTCCTACTCGGGGGTTCCTCTCAACGAGGGGTTCCTCCCAACAAGGGGTTCCTCTCGACGAGGGGTTCCTTTCGATGGCATTCACTTTAGAGGATATTTGCAAGGATTTCAAAAATCTGCCCATAATGCTTTCGGCCCATAATGGACGTTAAAACAACTTGGCTCTAAACATTTTGTGAAGAAATATGTGCTTGACCTAAGTATACCGCATTTACCTAATATTACAATATTCAGAAATGAAATTAAGGCGGCTGTTTAGGAAGAGAAAACTCCATTACATGTTGCGGCGGAGAATGGTCGAACGGAGATTGTAGAGGCTCTGATAGACAAGTTCCATGCTTCCATCAACGCCCGCACCAAGGACGGGAGCACCATGCTCCATGTGGCTGCTCAAGCAGGACATTCTAGTACAGCTTTGACATTTCTGAAGAGAGGGGTCCCTCTGCATATGCCTAACAAAACAGGAGCTCTTGGCATTCACGCTGCTGCAGCTGCTGGGTTCAATGATGTTGTGAAGATGTTGATTTCCCGGGGCACAAACGCAGATTGCAAGACTAAAGTAAATCATTCAAATGCGGGATGGTCAGTTTTTAGGACAATTACACAGCTCTTCATGTGGCCGTCCAATCAGGCCAAGCAGCAGTTGTGGAGACTCTTCTCGGCTTTGGTGCTGATGTTCATGTTCATGGGGGCCAGATTGGAGAAACCGCTTTACATGTGGCTGCCGCAACACCTGGGAGCAACACCGATTGTGCACAGATGCTTCTGAAAAGTGGAGCTCAGCCAAATGTCAGACAAAATGACAATCAGACCCCGTTACATATTGCCGCCAAGAGCGGGAACACGGCCATGGTGAAGTTGTTGTTGAACGAAGGGGCCGATCCAACGCTCATTTCTAATGTAAGACCGTCTTTATCGAGCCTAGTCTTCTTAGAATGGCGAAACTCCATTGCATGTGTCCGCTAAGAATTGTCATTGTGAGATTGTTAAATTGATTCTGAGCGAGTTGGCTAAACAACGGAGCAAGGAAATGGTCAAGGAGTACATTAATATACGCACGGAGGTCGGTTAGAATTCCCTGGATATTTTTTTGCAGGAGGGGAAAACAGCGCTGCATAATGCTGGTGAGATTTTACCTGGCTCTGCTCACTTTGAGAACGAAGATGCCAAGTTAATCAGCACTTTGATTGACAACGGAGGACTGGTCGAATTACAGACATACAATGTAAGGAAGGCTTTTCTTAATGCGATCATTCCTTAAGGATAACGAAACTCCTATGCATCTGGCAGCACGATGTGGGAACGAAGCCGTTCTCCTGGCTATTGTAAATAAAATTGGAGCTGGGTTGGTCCAAATTGTTCAGAACAAAAAGTCCAAGGTAACATACTTAACAGAAACCTCCAGTTTTAGAACGGCTGGTCCCCCTTGTTGGAAGCCTGTGCCAAAGGGCATGTTGGAGTCTCCAGGATCCTTTTGTTGCATCATGCCCGCATCGATGTCTTCGATGATTATGGCCGCACAGCCCTTCATCTGGCTGCTTCTAATGGACATCTCGAATTGTGTAAACTCTTGTTACAGTACAAAGCATTTGTGAACAGCAAGTCCAAGAACGGGGAAGCCCCTCTTCATCTGGCTGCCCAGAATGGTCATGTCGGAGTTGTCAATCTGCTCGTTCAAGAGCATGGTGCCAGTGTTGAAGCAATCACGTTAAACAACCAGACGGCTCTCCATTTCTCTGCCAAATATGGACAACTGGGTGTCAGTCAGAAATTGTTAACCCTCGGTGCCAATCCAAATGCTCGGGATGACAAAGGACAAACTCCTTTACATCTGGCTGCCGAGAATGACTATCCGGATGTAGTGAAATTGTTTCTGAAGATGAAGCACAACAACAACGCCGTGCTTACAGCCATTGACCAGAACGGATTTACTTGCGCTCATATCGCTGCAATGAAGGGGAGTTTGGCCGTAGTCAGGGAATTGATGATGATCGATAAAGCGATGGTGATTCATGCGAAAACTAAGGTAAATATGGCTTATTATTTCCAACATCTTTAGACAATGGAAGCCACTACTCTTCACATGGCTGCTGGAGGAGGACATGCAAAGATTGTCAAGATCTTGATCGAAAATGGAGCCAATCCTGAAGATGAGAATAGTGTAAGTTTGGCTCATATCTCTTAATCGGATGCTCAGCATGGAATGACTGCATTACATTTGGGTGCCCGGAACGGCCATGTCTCCATTCTGGATGCTTTTGATAAAACTCTCTGGAGGAGGTGCTCTAGGAAAGTAAGTCCCACAATTAAGTTAAAACTGAAGCTTGTCAGACTGGACTGAACGCCTTGCATATCGCTGCCTATTATGGCAACTCCGACTTCATCAATGAAATGTTAAGACATGTTCCTGCCTCGATTAGAAGCGAGCCCCCCATCTACAATCATTTGGTTGTGAAGGAGTTTGCCACCGAATATGGGCTGACTCCATTACATCTGGCTGCCCAATCTGGGCACGATGCTTTGGTCAGAATGCTCCTTAATCAGGGTGTGCAAGTAGATGCCACGTCCACGACCATGGTATGTTGTCTATTAGACTAATCACTTGAGTCTAGAATGTAATTCCCTTGCATTTGGCTGCTCAACAAGGACACATAGCTGTGGTGGGGATGCTTCTTTCGAGATCCACTCAACAACAGCATGCAAAGGATTGGAGAGGACGGACTCCTTTACACTTGGCTGCCATGAATGGCCATTATGAGATGGTCTCTCTTCTGATCGCACAAGGCTCCAATATCAATGTGATGGATCAAAATGGATGGACTGGAATGCATTTTGCTACGAAGGCCGGGCATACGAATGTTGTTAAACTGTTTGTGAATAGCTCGGCCGATGCTCAAGCCGAAACCAAGGAGGGGAAGGTGCCCTTGTGCTTTGCCGCAGCTCATAACCACATAGATTGTCTAAAGTTCTTGCTAAAACAAAAGCATGACACACATCAATTGATGGAAGATCGCAAAGTAATCTTGTCATCTTTTGAAAACGTTCCAAAATACGCAGATGCCATAATGGGCGTATATCGAAAACCCTTTTGAAGCATTGGATGTTATAGGTGGGTATTAGATATATGAAAAGTAATTTTTCAATCCCGCGAGCCTCTCCGAAGCAAAGAGTCGTAAAATCCAATTGGGAATTTTTGAATAACGCCTGCTAGCTAGGACGTAGAGCGAAAATAGCAGCTAATAAAAGGTGATCCTAGACCAGTTTTGACGCTCTTTCAAATGGTACATGTCTCAATAAAAAACCGGGATGCGCGGCTCCGACCCTTTGTGAGACAAAGTGCTCATTTTGATATGTCACTGTTAACTGTAAGTGTAAATTTTTTCAAAGTGTAATTTTGAAAAAAAAAGTCTAAACTCTGGTCAAAGATGTAAGGGTATCAATCGAAAGGGTTTTCGAAAAGCGCCCATTATGGCATCTCCCCATTCTGGTTTCTGCCCATCATGGACGTGCACGCGTCTTTTATCATTCTTCTTTCAGTTTATTTTTGATCTGATGGTGTGTGGAAAAGGCAATGGGAACGAACCACTTCAAGATTTTATTCTCCAAAGTCCTGCACCGATCGACACTGCCGTTAAATTGTCGAGTGTTTACAGGGAGATGTCAGAGAAAGAGAAGGAGCGCGCCAAAGATCTCACCAATGTGGCGCAATTTGCCGAGAATCTGGCAGTGGAGTTGTTGAGTATCACTGCCTCTGAATATAATGCGGCGTTATTATTGAAAGCAAAGGATAACCGAGGTCGTCCGTTATTGGATGTCCTTATTGAAAACGAACAGGTGTGTTTAGAAACCTACATTAATATAATATTTAAAATTTCAGAAAGAAGTGGTTTCTTATGCTTCAGTCCAACGTTACCTGACCGAAATCTGGACTGGCCGAGTGGACTGGTCCTTCGGCAAGACCCTGACCTTTGCCGTTTTCGTCTTCTTTTGTCCCCCAGCATGGTTTTACTTTTCGTTACCTTTGAACAGCAGAATTGGTAAGGTCTGAGTCATCTCTTGCCGTGTGCATTGCTATATAGGGGCTGTAATTGGCCAGACAAAAATGTGTTACGAAAGAAGTAAACTTTTTTGGAAACGGTTGTTGCGCGACGTTGTGTCAGATTTCGCAACTACAGTAACCAAACAAGAAACCATGTTTTTGTTTGACCAAGTGACGATCTGAACTACATACGCCGTATATATATTCAAATAACGGGATGATTTTAGGAAGAGCGCCAATTATTAAATTTGTGTGTCATGTGGTCTCCCATGTGTATTTCACCTTGTTATTGACGATAGTTGTTCTAAATGTAACTCATAAAATGTATGAGGTAACCTCGGTGATACCGAATCCAGTGGAATGGCTACTTCTCCTCTGGCTTTCGGGAAATTTGGTTTCAGAATTGTCGAACATTGGAAGTGGATCTGGCCTCGGGATTGTTAAAGTATGTGTAACGAGAGAGAAGCCCCAATTCAGGTCTTAATCCTAATCTTGGCAGCGATCGCTATCGCTATTCACATACTGGCTTTTCTCTTACCGGTTATTTACATGTCTCATCTGGACAATGACGACAAATTACACTTTGCTCGAACCATGTTATACTTGAAGAACCAGTTGCTCGCCTTTGCTTTGCTGTTTGCTTTTGTGGAATACTTGGACTTCCTGACAGTACATCATTTATTTGGACCTTGGGCTATCATCATCAGGGATCTGATGTATGATCTGACTCGGTTCCTCGTCATCCTGATGTTATTTGTTTGTGGCTTCACCCTTCATGTTACTTCCATCTTTCAGGTCTGTTTTAACATGTTTTTTATGACCCAGAAGACATTTTTTAGCCCGCTTATCAACCAGTAGATGAAGACTCTGCGGAATTGATGAGACTAGCTTCCCCTGGCCAAACTTTGGAGATGCTTTTCTTCTCTCTGTTTGGATTGGTCGAGCCTGATAACATGCCTCCTTTACATCTGGTCCCTCCCTTTGGCAAGATGGTTCTGAAACTTTTATTCGGGATCTACTTGATGGTGACTTTGGTTGTTTTAATTAACTTGTTGATTGCTATGATGAGTGACACTTATCAGAGGATCCAGGCGCAGTCAGATAAAGAATGGAAGTTCGGCCGAGCCATCCTAATCCGGGCCATGAATAAGAGATCGGCCACGCCCTCCCCCATCAACATGCTCACCAAGCTGTATACTGTTCTTAAAGTGGCTTATCGGAATAGATGTAGGTTTTTTGGAAGTCAAATACAATATGTTTTCAACTGGTTTCAGTACGCATCTGCACGCAAAGGGCTCAGCAAGACCTCAGATACGAGGAGAACATCGACGCGTTCTCCATGAATGGACAGAACGGCCGAGCTTCTCCCACGTTTAAATTGGGCGGGAATGATAACGGTGAGTTTACAGAACATTCTCATTAATAATAATTATTAGAAGTCGCAAATGAAGAAGCTGCCAACTCCCACAACATGAACCTGGACACTGTGATCGATTGGAAGAGGATAGTTGGAATGTATTATCAGTTGAGTGGGAAGCAAAACCCCGCCGAGATGGATTCCGAACGAAGTTAAGGGGGATTATGCCCGAGAATGCATAAATTGTCATAAACCAATAAAGTTGAACGCACCTAGAGTTGGCGAGAGCCGGGATCTCTCGGCAGATCTCTCTCCTTCGATGCCCTGAATTAGCGTAGGCGCCACTTTCTCCACTGATTTCCCCTTTCGAATCGACTGACCGCACTGTAGTCGCCCTTCCTTTGGCATTGATTTCGTTCATTCGGTTGCTTTCCCGTTCTTTGGATGGAAAGTCGCCGTCGATCACATTCCGCCTCGAGAACGCTGGACCAGACCGTGAATCTGGTGGGCAGAATCGGGGCCAGTCTTCGGATATCTGGTCGGAGAAAGAACAAGGAAGAGAAGGACCGGGATCGGGTCGTCTCCCCCACCAAGGATCTTCTGACTTTGGCTTCGGCCAAGCTTGATTCTCCCTCTCTGATCCCCAGAAATCTCCGTCTCTCTCATTCGCGCAGTGTCACCAACAGTCCTCGCCCTTCTCGGTTTAGGCCCTTAGGTGATCAACTCAGTTGTCCTCCAACTCCAGAGCCCCAACGGAGGGTTTTCTTGAAAGATGGGGCCACTCAATTGACCTCTCTATCCACTTTGATGACACATCATCGTCATTTCTTTCTGTTTGATGACGTTTTACTGGTTTCTAAGCAGAAGTAAGTTCGACAAACTCATTTGCGAGCCTTCTGTTTTCTATTCGCGTTAATGGTTTGCCAACCTAGAGGCCCCAACAGCTACAAATTCAAGGAGAAGATCCCTCTGAGCAAGCTCTGGACGGCTTCAAACAACTGCAGCCATTCTTTTCTGATTGGGTGGCCCCATTACAACTATGTAGCTCATTTCAGGTACGTATAAACGTAAGGTTTCTGACTCTTCTTCCAGCTCTGAGAGGGAAAAGGATGAATGGTTGGGCGCACTCTCCAACAATATCAAAAATAAATTAATCCGCTCATTTACAACCATCAGTGTGGCCGTGAAAGTTGATGGCAGGAATCAAGTGAGTGAGCCGCCGATCACAATGAATGCTTTAGATAATCCGCCATGAAATTGAGAATGGAGCCACGGCTTCGGAGATTCTCAGCCAGTTGGTCTCCAAATTAAATCTGGGTTCCGACACGAATATGTTCGAATTATTCATAGAAATCAATGGTTCTCCTAGCCTATTGCATGGGATAGAGAACATATATGCCATCCTGAGGGACTATGTGGAGAAGATGAGACTGAATATCTCTCAACTCAAACATCTCGACACGTGTCCTTTAGTCCAATGCCGGCTTTTAATCCAACCAAGTCAATCCCCTCTGCCTGTTAATAGTATTGTAAATCAGATGAAAAAAGTAATCTTAAGTAAAATGGAGTCAAAGAAGCTGTTCGGGAGGAAGTTGGAAGGCTCCATGCCACCTCAACCAGTTCTCACAATGATCGATTATTTGACGATGCATGCCCAGAATACAGAAGGCATCTTCAGAAAATCGCCAAAGCAATCCACGGTTAGGAAATTGAAGGAGCTTTTGGATCATGGCCAAGTCCCCAACTTCCACGAATTCAGTCCACACGTGACCGCTTCTTTGTTGAAGGTACTGCTCTCTCAGGTTTCAAGCGGAATCATTTCTAGGATTATTTGCGATCGATCCCCGGCCAATTACTCCTTTCTGGAAATTATGAAATGTGGATGGAGATTTGCTCTCAATCAGAGCAAAAAGTGCAGATTGAGAAGTGCAAGAATCTACTGCAATTCCTGCCTCCCAGTAATACCATTCTGTTAAAATGTATTCTCCGATTACTCCGGATCATTTCCAATCAGCCCCAGAGCAAGATGAACACAAAATCTCTGGCTGTTTGTATTGCGCCAAGTTTATTAGAGAATCCTGGCAAGTTTTGAAAGGACAATTCTCCTAATTAATATCATTCCAGTGGCGTCAATCGAAGATTCCGTTAAGAAGGTACCGGAATTGGCCGAGTTTTTGATTGTAAATGCTCCATTTCTGTTTGATAACTTTGAAGAAGACCATGCTCTCCTTCCCAATAATCAACTCTACGATTCGACAGACTCTGGTCTCAGTTGCGACTTGACCAATGATCCCATCAAGGAGTCTGTGGACGTTTCTCCGAGTCCAGATTCTGTTCATTTCGATTCCTCATATTCTGATGACTCGAATTTGGACACGGAAAACGACAGAAGATATACGGTAGGAAAATGTTTAGGCTCGAAAAAGTTTCTCATTTTTGATTATGCCACTTTTTTGAAAGCAATAAGAACATTAATTATTTTCTAGAGGCCTACTAATTTTACACGAATGGAATCTTCGAACCTCGATACCACCCCTGAAGTGAGCCCTCAATCTTCACCTTGGTTACCAAGAGCAGGAAATAAGGGAGCGGAGAAGTCGACAAATAAATTACTGTATTCAACAAACACCTTCTGTAAAGAAGTTGCCCATCGGAAGGATTATTCGTCTGACAGCACCGCCACTCTGATCCCGTCCGAAGCCGGGGATTCAAAGGAAATTGGGATCTCAGATATCCAAAGTCCGAGACTTTCTAACAGGATTGAGCGATCACCCTATATCTCATCAAGGTCACCAACATTCCTTCCCAAGTTCTCTCCGTCGCTGCCCAGCTCCCCGTTAATCTCCAGGAATTCTTCGAGTAATGTTTCGCCCTCAATCTCCAGAAACCTTGTCCAATATCCGACCTTTGTTTCTCGAGCTTCATGTGTATCTCCCGTTCTAAATCGAGTTCCTCGTCCTTTTTCGAGCAATCAGAAAATATTGAATCAAGGACCGCAAAACACAACGGCGGCGAAACCTCCAATCCCCAATCGACCTGCCTGGAAACCGCCGCGGAAGACCGCAGAAGAAATTATTCTGGGGAATCTGGAGGTGAATTGGTCAGTTCCAACGATCCGATCTATGTTCCAAAAACAAGATTTAAAGCCGGCTCACATCGACACAGTTTATGCCAGACTGGATTTGATTAAACAGAACAAGTTGTAATAATAAATACAAAATTTTTGCGAGGGATCCGGCTACAAGGACTGACGGGAGAATTGTAATCGTAGCCTACAGATCAACTTGAGTAATTTTACTGGTGAACGGAGAGTGACTGGGCTGACTAACTGGCCTTGACTCATTCATATTCGGGGTCTTGTACATCATCCGCGCGCTTTCCGAACCTCATCCATTTTCCTTGAGGGGCCCTTTTCCCGAATCGCATCCATTTGCCCTGAGGGGATCTCTTCCCGAATCTCATCCACTTCATCGCCGGTGCTCGGGCTTCGCGATACAAGTTATCCTTTAAAGTTATTCTCCGTTTGTTTACAGCTGTCTACTTACCTGATAGATGTCTGATCCCGAAACGACCTGTGCCTGGCCGAGGAAATGACCCACGACGAGCAGAAATGCGAACAACAGGCTCATCGGCGCCACCATTATCCAAACTCGACCTGTAAATATTGTAATGAAATTGTAATATTAAATCCGGGAATGCTGAGGAGCAATTTATACGGTAGCCTAAAGAAAGAGGCTGGCTCCACAGGCGATCCATATTCACGGCTTTATGAACTTAGGATTCTCAAGAAATCGCATGACCAGCTTTAATCAAATTTTCAAAAATGACGAAGCGGAGATACGGTAATTAGGAATAAAAAGGTTGAGAAAGATGGCTAAAAGACCTCACCCAACTACAACTCCCATAATGGGGCCAAGGAAAACTAATTATACGAAACGAGCTCGTTCAACTTCTTGGGGACACTAACTTTTAAGTAGCCATAGACAGCGACACCAAGCAAGATCTCTCGATAAATGCGGACACCGCGAATGGGCACGCTTTTATATTTCCCAAATGACTAATGCGGCCGAATCACCTGAGACCCCACGAATGCCCTTGCCGAATCCAGAAAACAGAATTCCGGGCACAAAAGCCGTAAAAAACAAAAATCTTTTGTTGTGCCTGAGGGGCTGGGCATAACGCGAAAGTAGTGTCAAGATCGTATCCTCCTTCTCTTCTCACCTCAATAGGCAAGTAGACAATCAGGCAGGAAATCAAATTTGGACATGACAAAGGCCTGCCCACTCTCCCCCTTGCATTAAGGCCTCGAAAACGGAATCTTGTTCCCATTTAATGTCATCAAACAAGCAAAAGAATAGTATAAATGAGCATGATTAAATAAAGTTAAAGCATTTTGAAATTAGTTCCATCAGTCTTGGACTCAAGCGCTTCCTTGCTCAATCTCTTCGTCTTCTTCTGGAGGTGCAAATCCCTCTTCGGTTTCATAAAGGATTTCAAAAATCTTATCGATGGTAATCTTAACCTCGGTCTCGTTGTCCTGACATAAAATCTCAATCTTTCGGAGTTTGGTAAAATAAAAGTCGCGTTCCTTTTCTATTCCAGCAATAATATCGTCCGATTCACGGATTTGTTGTAGAGCCTCTTCGTATTTACTTTTGACATCTTCATATTCCTAAAATCCATTATCCGTAGTTTTCACCATGGTTTAACCACTTACTTGACGACTAACCCCATTTTCCTTAGCAATAGTTGATGGTTGTGGTCGATTTGCCGCACTTCCCACTTTGTTTGGAGTCTTCAAGGCCGCTGTCCGCGTGCCAGAATGTACATTTCTAAGGGTTGATGGTTTAGAACCTGAAGCGCTGTTTACCGAAGCAGTAGAACCCCCAGTCTGACGGTTGGTTGTAGTCGATTTCAAAGGCATCCTGGAGCTGCTGTTTCCTTCTATTCCAGAAGGGAGATTCTCAAAGTTCCGAGCTGCCGCAGGGTTGTATTCTCTCCCATCATAATTGGCATCGAAGAACTTTTTAAACCATTGCAAAAACTCAAAGTTATCCTAAACCAAGTTTATCCATCAAGCGCGCACTTACTTGAAACTTTCCTTTGATTAATTTCTCAACTGGAACAACCTTATCAATACCCAATTGTTTCCAGCTAACCTGAACCAGCTTCCAATTGGCTAACCAGTCCAATTCGAGGCGGCTATTCCACTTAACGCGCTTCAAGGGAAGAGAGTCGGGGAAGAGGAAGTCGGTGAACAGACAATACCCTGCTCCAGAATGAAGCTGTTCGATCTTCGTGAAGTTGGACTGGAGACAATCGTTGACCCAGGCCAAGAGTTCGTTGCGGGATAAGTTGTCGGTGGTGGCAGAAGTGGCATAAACGTTAACAACCATCTCGCCTAACACATAGGGTAAAAAACAAAATCTTAAGATAAGCATTGCGATTAAACGCTACATATTTCTCTACATCACTCCGATTTAAATAAATTTATATTACTAATAAAAGTTTGAACATGATGGAAGGCACTCGATTAATTCAAAAACCTAGCTATAAAGATTTAAATAATACAAAACTATACTATTGTTAGCTGCTTCCATCACCGACTATGAACAACAGCATATGCTACCGGAGATGGCAAGACACGTAATTAATTGCGGCGACGCCAAGGACACCAGATCCGTTTGAAGAGACCGCGAGACCGAGTGTTATTATCGCCAGCACTTGGCTGCTCTTCTACTGATTTCTTTTCTGGAAGCAAGCACTGATTAGGATCAGGAGACTCCTCAACTTGTGGGCCACCCCAATTTTGAGGCTGATCTTCTGCTTCTTGATGGCCATACTGAATCATCTCGTCCAACTTCTAAAATTGATGCTCGGTCTATGAAAAGGAGAACGGTTTCATTTATAAAAGCTGACATACCACTTGGAATTCTCTTTTGAACCATTTCCCAGCCCTAGCTGTTACGGTATTCCATCGATTGTCTGGATCTTTCTCGAGCATTCCTTTCAAAAGGCTCAGAAGATCCGGCTTCGAGGTAATGTCTTCTGGCCAAGTAATGTCACATTGAGAAATGTTCTCGAAGAGTTTCATCAAGCCGTCTCCATTGAATGGATAATCCCCACTGATCATGTTGTATAGTGTTACTCCGCACGCCCATATATCCACAGGACGCCCCCTAAAAATTATTTAGGTATATTAATATATATCCGCAAAACAAATCATGTCCGTTGATAAGAGACAGACTTTAGAAAGTGTATGCGTACTCACAGCATTTTTTACCGCAGTTTTGCGCAGTTTCCTTTTCAGAATAAGGAATTTGCATGCATATTTTTTCCTACAAAGATTCTGCAGATATTTTCAAGGTTTTTCGAATCAGTCCATATTCTCCCAAAAAATTACCATCAAACAAGGAAACAAAACCTTACCTGAATCGCAGAACAGTTCCTGAGACAATCTCTGGAGGTTGAAACTTTGGAGTTCCCTGCGAAAGAGAGCACCAATCATCGACAAGGGGATCGGCGGATTCCAAGAGCTCCGCCACACCCATATCACAAATTTTCAGGCATCCATCCGACGAAAGCAACAAGTTTCCAGGCTTTATGTCCTTGTGAATGACGCCCTTCAAATGTAGATAATCCACACCCTCAAGCAACTGAACCAGATATCCGTGAGCCTTTAACAAAATTATTAAAACTTCCGTCATCTTACTTGGAATTCTGGAAGTTTTTTCTCATTTGAAGAGTCGAGAAGTTGCTGCAACGAACATGTGCAGTACTCCATTACCAAGTACAACTTCTCTTTTTCTTCAACTCTGAACGTGTCTAATAGGCGAATCACATTTTCATGTCGAACTTGTTTAAGGATATGAAGTTCATGCTGCACATTTTTCTCTCCAAAAGGAATCTTCCTCAACCGTTTGTCCTAAACTGTAAAAATAAAGTATAACACACCAACCTTAATGATCTTGATAGAACGACGCACCAGTGTCCGGCAATCAATGACTTCTTTCACTTTGCTGTAAGCACCCTCGCCCAACAATTCTCCAAACAAATACCCGTTTATGACCTTAGGAGGTTTATGCACAACCGGTTCTTCCAGATCACCATCATGTAGAGGATTAAACTCTTGGCTTAATAAATCATGGACAGCATTAAGCGGAACTTGTGATGTGGAAGGCAGAATGACTTCGCTATCTTCGACGAAAAGAGCAACCGGCTGATCTTCTGCCATTGCCATGGCCCTAAATCGTTCCCTCAGATCAATCTCTTCTTCTTCCGAGTCTCCATCTGGATTGCCAACTGTGACACTCTGTAAACAAAGATATTTGGTTGGTGTTTAAAAAGTTACCATCGTCTTCGATCTTTCAAAGGGCTCATTTTCGGAAGTCATCCCGCCTAAATACGAGTCAGTCATGCCATAAACGACCATCCAAAATAGATTGATGAAAACAACTATGGTCCGTCTTCTCAATTAAGGCACATAATTTAATGAACTATTTAAAAATCTACGAAATATCACAGTAACAAGATAAAGGCAGTAAATCAATCCAAATCTTCGTCAAGGAACCCGTTGATTGTCTTACAATCTTTCTGAAGCGCTGCATCGATGGTAATTTCGTTTTGGACCCAATCTATCATAGCAGCCTCTTCCATATTAGTAGAAATCAGATTTTGTGTAATAACTTCTTTTGTATCAACTGACTGTGAGGTAAAAAAAGACGTTTCTAAACAAAACACATATAAATTTAGTACTAACTTACCATACAAATCGTCCATCTGAAACACACGCGCTGATTCTTTGTGCATAGCATCTCTGCTGCTCTCCATGGACAAATACCCTTTACCTAAAATGCAATAGACATTACAATTCTCCTCACCACCGTTGTCATCAATCAGAAACTCGACTAAAATGAAATGAGAGCTTTCCGGAGCTATCCATGGGTGCCTGGCTATAACAGTAGCGTGTTTACCATAATGTTCTTGGAAATGCCGCGAACAATAGCTAGAGAAATCACAAATGGGACATCCAAATTTCGCTGAGAGCCCGGGATGCCGATTCCTGACCAAAATTTTTGTTGTCTTATTCACTTACGCGACATGTTGCTGATAACTGGCAGGTTCCATAAAAGATTCCACACAATGAGGGCACTGATACCCCCATTCTGACCGGGGAACATGATTTCTTAATTTATGTCTTCTGAGAGTCATTTGGCTGGCTAAAATATTCACATAGAAAACAACATGTAATTCGGTATTAAATGAACGTACCTGCCGCAAAGTCGCACTCGTCGCAAGAAAAAGGCCGAACGTCGTTATGCACATTCATATGCTCGTCGTATGAACGCTTCGATGATAAAAATTTAGAGCAAATCTTACATCGCCACCTGGACTTTGCTTTTATTATATGATCCGTATTCCTTATCCTCATTGTCGTGTCCTTCGCCGCGGTCATAATGAAACTAAAAAGCGACAGTCTATCGATAGGGGTATGAAAAAAACCGCGCAAAATTATAAAAGGTACGCTAAAGTAAAGTTCATTCTAAGAAGCCGGGACACAGCCTTTTATAAAAATTTAGACTTCAGTGGTAAAAAAAATAATATATTATCTAAATTTGAGACTACAACTAAAATTTCTACATTACCAAGAAAGAAAAGGAAGAATGCCATCACAACAAGCGCAAAAAGCTTGATGAATAAAACGAGGGCGCAGCTCGCGGTCGAAATTACACACGTTTTGGTAAAGGATAATAACAAGGGTCAACTTGACGCGTCAGTCACGTCGTCAAATTGCCGTCATTTTCGTCATGTCAAATTGTTCTGTCATTTTGATTGTCAAGTAGAACTTTTTTGGAAAATTTTTGCTGCTTTTTTCTATATAAAAAGCGTAAGAATTTAGAATTATTGGGAACTAAATTGTCCCATTTTTGTCAAAACGACCGATTAAATAAGCAGTAAAAACATTTACGACTGATATTAACGGTATTCATCGTTTTCGAAGTTAAACTCGCGTTTGAAAGCGAAAAGAGTCGTATATCATAAGTTTCAATTTACATTAGTCAAAATGACGTCAAGTTGATGTCACATTGAAAAAATCCGGGTCCACTAATGTAAGGAACTATTTTTTGTCGTCCGCAAAAAAAACTTCACTGTCCGCAAAAAAACTTCACTGTCCGCAAAAAAACTTTTCACTGTCCGCAAAAAAACTTTTCGCTGTCCGCAAAAAAACTTTTCGCTGTCCGCAAAAAACTTTTCGCTGTCCGCAAAAAAACTTTTCGCTGTGCGCAAAAAAACTTTTCGCTGTCCGCAAAAAAACTTTTCGCTGTCCGCAAAAAAACTTTTCGCTGTCCGCAAAAAAACTTTTCGCTGTCCGCAAAAAAACTTTTCGCTGTCCGCAAAAAAACTTTTCGCTGTCCGCAAAAAAACTTTTCGCTGTCCGCAAAAAAACTTTTCGCTGTCCGCAAAAAAACTTTTCGCTGTCCGCAAAAAAACTTTTCGCTGTCCGCAAAAAAACTTTTCGCTGTCCGCAAAAAAACTTTTCGCTGTCCGCAAAAAAACTTTTCGCTGTCCGCAAAAAAACTTTTCGCTGTCCGCAAAAAAACTTTTCGCTGTCCGCAAAAAAACTTTTCGCTGTCCGCAAAAAAACTTTTCGCTGTCCGCAAAAAAACTTTTCGCTGTCAATTGTGCATTTTTTCACCGTGGAATTATTTTGTTATTAAATGATGTTATATAGGCTGGAGACTTGTTCATTTTATTTTAGGATGATTGCTGATACGGATCCCCGACTCCAGGCCCTCCTGGCCTCACTTTTTACGTGGGGAGTGACTGCACTTGGAGCAGCTCTTGTTTTTGTCTTGCCAGCACAGAATAACACATTTCTAGGTCGGTTATGTTTCTCTTAACCCTTGCTTAGATGTCAGTTTGGGATTCGCAGCTGGAGTGATGACGGCCGCCTCATTTTGGTCACTTCTGGCTCCAGCTATCGAGATCTCCGAGGCTACGAGGGGCTCGTGGGCATTTGTTCCAGTGGCCCTTGGATTCGGATTGGGTGCTCTTTTTGTGCATCTTTCTGATAAACTTATTCCTTCGTAAGGGAGTTTCAATGGTTTCCCTCAAAGTTTTACAGATGTGTTGTAGCCGAGATGTCTGTGATCAGTGTTCTGACCAATGAGTGCGCCGAGAGCGATGGAATCACACTGGAACCGACGAGTTCCCAAGAAATTAACCGGTATAATGAATTGAGACAACGAAAGGTCCCTTCCAGAATCTTGCCAGATCCTCAAACAAAGATGTTGCCTGAGCAGCACCGTGAAGAAAAGGAGAAGACTCAGAAGGAAAGAGTCCTCTCATGGAGGCGGATATTGTTGTTGATTATGGCCGTCACTGTCCACAATATTCCAGAAGGCCTTGCTGTTGGGGTTGGATTCGCATCGGTTGGTAAAACGCCAGCCGCCACATTCGAAAAGGCCTTCAACCTGGCCTTGGGTATTGGATTACAGAATTTCCCCGAGGGGCTAGCCGTGTCTCTGCCCTTGGCTGGATTTGGAGTTGGCAAGTTTAAGGCCTTCTTGTGTGGCCAATTCTCTGGAATGGTGGAACCGATTGCTGCCGTTCTTGGGGCGTTTGCTCTTATTTTAATGGAGCCAGCGTTGCCTTATGCTCTCAGTTTCGCTGCAGGTGCAATGATTTACGTCGTGTTCGATGACATCATTCCAGAAGCACAGAGGAATGGAAATGGCAAATTGGCTTCCTGTGGAGCGATCATCGGGTTCCTGGTCATGATGTGCATGGATGTCGGGCTCGGATGACATTCTCATTGAATTTAATTTATCACGGATTTTATTGTTTACAGGTATATATTAAGTTCTAAACTTTCAGAAGTTATGGTTCCATAATATGCATTCACATAATAAACCATTAGAGGAATACATTGTTCTTTGAACCTGGATTAGCGCCTAGGACCACAGCTGATGTTTTTATTAGGTTATCCAATTAGTAATGTCGTTTTCGAGAGGGGCAGTTTTCAAGGTCGATTTTCCATAGCTGATACGGAATTTTATGGAATATTTTACCTTCTAAACTAAGTTACCAGAAAATAATATTAAAATCTCGTAACATACAGTAGTTGTCCAAAAAACTGTTAACTTTTTTTCCTTTTGCGTAACTCTGTTCAATGTTGATGGATTTGAACGAAACAAATACCATTTTGAAGAGAATTAATACTGTTAACTGACCATCAAATGGAGCCAAGAATTAATTTAATAGACCTTTTGGTGTCATCCAGGTCGATATCCCACAGCATGATGTTTAAGAAAAAATCACTTCTTTTCTTGGGCTTATCAGGAAGTCAAAACCGGTCCACAAAAACGTCCCTTACGAATAGAAAGGAATCGTCATGGATTTCCTTGCTGTCCATCTGTTCCGCTATATTTCTCTGTCTACCCTTTATTTGGGGCAAATTTCATTGGGGTAGATTGGATATTGCCCATTCCAATGTTGCAAAATTCTTGAAAGCTGGCCAAAAAGTTGAAATTACAGGCAAATTTTTAATGGTAGCCAAAACCTGTATCGGCTAGCCAAACAGCTTGAATGACTTCACAGACAATGGATTAAAACGGAAATTTGAAAAACGGGCCTGGGCAGGGGTGGTCAGCGGACCGTTTTTTTCCGATTTTCGGCCCGCGGCCCGGCGGTCTAGTCTTTTTCCAGGCCGAAAAAGGATTAGACGGGCCGCGGGCCGAAAATCGGGAAAAACCTCATCAGGCTTCGTGGAAATTGGACAGAGTGAAACTCGACATAATTTTTTTCACTGCAAAAAATGGTTTCGTGGAAATTGGACAGAGTGAAATTGGACAGAAATAATTGCAGTGAAAAAAATCTGTCGAGTTTCACTCTGTCCAATTTCCGCGCTCTGTCCAAATTCACTCTGTCCAATTTCCACGAAGCCCCTCATCACCCTTGGTAAAAACCAGGGGTGGCCACCGGGCCGGCCCGGCGAAGCCCGGCACGATCGGGCCTAAACGGGCCGGGCCTGGCAAATTTTGAAACGGGCCGGGCCTGCTTTTTACCGGGCCTGAGCCAGGGGTGGTCAGTGGGCCGGGCCGGCCCGTGACGGGCCGGCCGGGCTCAAAAATGGAAAATTACAAACGGGCCGGGCCCGTCACGGGCCGGGCCGCGGGCCTGGGGTTTTTTCCGGCCCGGCCCGTCTAAATTACAATGCCAAACCGTTGGCATTCATTGTTTTCGCGCCGGGAAAATTAATTGATGTTGTTATAGTTGCTGTTTCTCAAGTTCTAAAACGTTTACAAGTCTATAGTTCCATTATAAAACCACAAAACTATCACATTGATCCTTTACTAGCTATATCAACGCCTTTTTTGCCTAACAAGGGATCGGCAAATAGTTGCAACCTTTAATCTTGACGAAACATATATCATTTGAAAGAGCATTAAAAATAGTGCACAACGCAAGAAAAATTAGCTGCCTAATTTATGTTTGGACAAAGTTATGGCCGTTTTATGAAAGTGGTTATATGCGGCCAAAACGCCAGTTTTGTATGTTACAGTAATCCTGGCGGCTTGATATCGTCTCCATTGATTTTCTAGTATCTAAAAACGTCCATCACGGTCGTTTTATGGCTCTACCAATCCTCGGTTATGAGTTATTAGACATTACTGCTAGTTCCAAAAAATTGTAAATAAAACTAGGTTAATGAGAAAATTGGAGCAAAAAGCGTTGGAAATACATTTATATGACCGTCATGGTCGTTCACAAACTAAAATCTCAAAATTAAAAATTTCTTATGTCCTAGCCCTACCAACGGTTGGTCCACTGTGTCAGCTATAGTCTTTTGCCCAATTATAATACAATTTTCTCCTCGTATTCTTTCGAAAAAATGTATATTTACAGGTCCTTGTAAATTTAATCAGGCTACTGGAATGACACCCTTGTAATTATATGATAGTGGCATCCCCACTCTCATCACCATCAAATTTGTGGTCGTTTCAAAAAACCCCAGAATTTCAGAAAAATCCCGTAAAAACAAATTTTGCCTGCGAAAAAAAACAAAAATTGTTTGAAAACATTTACATACCATGGTTTTGTGGCATATGAGATACGAAATGCAAAAAATTTGCTGAGGCCAGGTTCGAAACCAGGTCTTGTTGCGCCGGAAGTGCCGTCACTACCACTCGGCCAACTGGACACAACTTCGTTGCGGTTCCAAGTGCTTATAAAGTGGCGCATGAAATTAGGCTAAAATCCGTATTTTGGCCATAACTTTGTCCAAGCATAAATTAGGCAGCTAATTTTTTCTTCCTTATACACAACTTTCCACGCTCTTTCAAATGATACATGTTTCGTTAAGATTAAAGGTTGCAACTATTTGCCGATCCCTTGTAAGTTTAGATCCCAAGCTTGGGCGCAGTTCGCAGAACCCTCTATAAACGGGCCTGCACGGGCCGGGCCGGGCCTGGAAAAAGACTAGACGGGCCGGGCCGGTAATTTGACGGGCCGGGCCGCGGGCCGAAAATCGGAAAAATAGGGTCCGCTGACCACCCCTGGCCTGAGCCATTTTCAGGCCCGGCCCGGTTTTGTCGAAATGCCAAGCGTTTGGCATTCAATGTTTTCGCGCCGGAAAAATTTTTGGATAGGTTTGTATTTTTAGTATATCAAGTTCTACAATAGTTTATTACTTTATAGTACTTTTTTGCATATATGTTATAATATAAGGTCCAAATTAGAACATACAATACATATAGGATAGTTCTTAGCAGATTTTAGCACTACAGAGGCGGTAAGATCAAAGGAAAATTTCCAGCTCGCGCCCTAACCGGGCTTTTACCGGGCCGGGCCTGATTTCTACCGGGCCGGGCCTGCAAAATTTTGGACCGGGCCGGGCCTGGGATTTTGCCGGGCCGGGCCCCGGGCCTGAAATTTGGAAAAGGAGGCCCGAGAACGTAATGCCAAGAAAGCCATCCGTGTGAGACTTAATTGAAATAAAAATAAAAATGGTGATTTTTATAAATTTTCTAATTTTTGAGCACAAGTATATGTACGTTCGTGTTTAATGTTTATAATTGTGCAGTACAGGGTGGTACAAACATAATCGTTCGTCTGGTAATAAAAACCTGGTGCCGTATTGCCAACAGATATTATTATGATATTTGTTTTTTTCAGCGAAGTTTGAATAATGTCTAATATGCACTTTTTGGTGGGTTATCGTACAGACAAGTACGTCATTCTTGCTTCGGACAAGACAGCATTTGCTTTTGGAGCTCTTTCGGTGTCTCAAGGTTTGTGAAACAATTTTTGTTGTTGAATTGATGTTTTAGATTCGAATAAGGAATTCCAACTGGGTGACAAGCTTTTTATGACAGCGATTGGAGAAGCTGGAGATGTCGATAATTTTGGGGACTGGGCCAAGAGAAACATATACTTGTATAAGCTCAGACATAACTATGAGCTCAGTCCGAAGTCAGCCCACCATTGGTTAAGAAAGAATATTGCTGATAATCTCCGTGGAGAGGACTTCTGGAGAGTGGACATCTTGGTTGGCGGCTTTGACGACATCACCAGTAAAGCCTATCTGGGCTCTGTTGATTATCTTGGGACAAGTTTGTCAAACCAGGTAGGAATTCTTTGAAAAATAAATTTCTTTCGTAGGATTACCTCTTCCGTGGATTCAGCGGTCGTCTTTGCTACGCTATAATGGATGCATACTACGACAAAGGTTTGTTCGTTTTTTTTTACTCTGAAAGTTATGAATTTTTGTAGACGCTCCGGTGGAAAAAGCAGTTGAAATTGTAAAGAAGTGCCTGGAAGAAGCGAAAAAGAGATTTGTGGCCAACCTTCCAAAGTTCTCTGTCTTGGTTATCGATAAGGATGGTGTTCGTCATTTTGATGACATCACGGTTTAAAATGTAATTTACTAAAATGAGTTAATATTAAACTATTGAATCTAATATTTTCGGTTGGTTCTTTCGGAACGTTGGATTGAAAAGATTGAAGAATTTGAACAAGATGTTGTAAAAGTCGTATTCAAAGCTGTCATCAGAAACTGGGGCGCTTTAGTTTGCCGAATCAGGCTCATATTTCGTCAATTTGAGTCGACGCATGGTTGCAAGGAAGGGAGACACTTGACGCGGTCAGGTCTCACACAATTTATTTTATACATACGTTTTGTAATATTTATTCCCTTTTTGTATGCATGTACAGTTGATGAACCAATCGATGGTATTATGAAGTTTCTATTTGTTTTTTATTTCTGTTTGAAAGTGTCCGGAAACTTTTATTTCAACGATGAAGTTTTATTCAACGTCGTAACAGAAGGGCACGGAAGAATTGAAGAAGAAGGCATAAATCCACAAAATTTGATCCCAATCGTCACTGCGGACAATGAAAAATTGAAATGTTTGATGCCAAATGTGAATCACAAAGTAAAAAACTTTTCCTGTCTTGTATAATCCTTTAGCCCGCCGACACGATGGACACTTACCTAGGCCCTAGTCCCAGCGAGTTGGTCAACGGAATCTATACCGACAAAGCATGTCTGTTACGTATAGAAGTGTATTGGTCTTATGAAATTTGTCACGGCAGGTATATTCGGCAGTTCCATGAGGAAAAAGACTCAAAACAAGTGGTCGAATTCTTTCTAGGAAGTTATTGTAAGTTACGTTACATTTGTCAGTGTTTTAATTCAGCCGAAAGTTCGAATGATAAGGAGGCTGTGGACCCTAGCAACCCTCCAAAACAAGAGATAAACGGAAAAACGCAAACGTATTATCCTGTCCTTTATCAACACGGAACGTCGTGTGATCTGACAGGGCAGCCTCGTATCACCACTGTCAATTATGTCTGTGCCGAGGTAAGCTACTCTGTTACTTATAAATTCAATTTAGGAGGGCATGGATATATTTTATTCTTTGACGGAGATCAGTACTTGTGTTTATGAGGCTATTGTTGGTATAAACGAGCTTTGTGTGCATCCTATGTACAAAGTAAAAGTTCCAGCCGAAAATCCTATCAGATGCTTTGCTGCTCCTGAGGTAAAAACTCCAGAGCCACGGTCCCTGCGAACTTTTAATGCCGAACTTGCCCGTAAAGCCATGTTACCGTTGCAAGTTGGACGCGGCCCTTTAATGCAAAGAACACCTGAGTCTAATGTAATCGACGACATCTACAAACTATTCCAAAAAAGTACAGACCCAAAGATCAAAAAGTTATTAGACAAACATTTGAGTACGTTTGAAGAGAGGCCAAAGAAGGTCCCCGAGAATGAGGATACCACCGCGATGAATGATTTCTGGACTGGTAAAGCATGCCTTTATGGTGGTACTGGATGGTGGAAATACGAGTTTTGTTATGGCCATTCGGTATGAGTCCAACGAATTATGTCCTTGACTTATAGGTGGCCCAATTTCACGAAGAAAAGGGGAAAACGACCAAGATCATGCTGGGCTACTTCGACAGGAATACACACAAAGAATGGGCGGACACATCTCCATCAAAAGCACGGAAGCTAAACGAGGGCGAAGTATATCAAGTGTCCATGTTTTATTCTAGGGGTGATGTCTGTAAAGAAGCAAATACTCTTAGGTAAGACTTCAAACACTCATCTAAATTAAAAAAGGAGCTGCGAGGTTCGTCTAACATGCCGACAGGAAGAAAGCCAGGACAGTGAAAAAATCACGATGTATCTTATCGAACCAGAAACATGTACCTATGTTCTGGTAGTGGAATCTCAGCTTTTCTGTGATCCCATACAAAAGGCGGGCAAAGATGGTCTCTTCCCCAATCCTGCAAAATTGGACAGGCCACACTCGGGTCATATTGAGTTGTAAACGCAATTCTAATTATGATTTTTAATAAATTTATTTGATTCCTAGTACCAGTACGTTGGTTTGTTCTGTTCCAGCTTTGGAAGTCCGAATGATTCTGCGACATCGTCTTCAAATGTACTCAATCTAGGCTGATATGTCCTCCTCATAACCGACTTCATCGGAGTGTCCTTTTCAATGCATTCTAAACAAAATAATAATAAAAAGAATAGAAAATACCGATGTAAGTAGCTGGGCTGATATATTCGTAGGTTACGAATGCTTGACTCGGCAACGGAATCTCAAATCCAGTGCGCTTACTCACACGAATATACTCATCGCTCTTTTCAACCCATTTGACAGTACATGGCTCGCTAAAAAGAGAATTTTAATATTACAATTGGATTCTAACCCATCATTCGGATCAACAAGTTGCACCTGGCCTTTCAATGGGAACAGTGGCTTCATCTCGTATCGATACGATGCGTCCAGTTTCTTTAATTGCTGTGCATCGGCTTGATTCAATTCCTATACAAAAACATACATAGTTAAGGTTACTTTTACCAAGTGTAGCCCATCAACATAAACAACGTTGGCTTCCTTAATAACATGGCTAATAACTCCTTGCTTTCCCTTGTCTTTTCCAACCATTACTTGTACAGTATCTCCAGGAAACAAAGTCCATTTCTCAGAAGGCACTACTGTAACAACTTCTCTGCGATCTTTTACAAACTTGGAGAATAATTGACCTTGTTCTCTTCTAGTTGCTCTCTTGGAAGCTTCATTAGCCTCGCGGATTTCCCATGGACGAGCAAGACCAGGTTTGTAATCATCTGGGGAGATCCTAAAAGTTCGCTTTCACACATTTACTTAAAAAAAGGATTGTTATACTGTCAACTTGACGCGTCAGTCAAATTGCCAATTCACTTTCGCCATGTCAAATTAATTCTGTCGTTTTGGTTGTCAAATTGAACTTTTTAGGAACTAAATTTTTCGTTGTTGGCAGAACGACCGATCAAAAGATGAGTAAAGCTAGTTGCGGCTAATACTAACGGTATTCACCATAATCTTGTCAATCTAGCGTTTGAAAGCTTCGTATGTCAGAAATCAATTTGACCAAAATGACGTCAGGTTGAAAGAATCCGTCAAATTAACAACCTTAATTAAAATACATACTTCCAGTAAGTGATCTTTGGTGCTCCCAATCTGTTGTCAAACTCCTTCAACGGTTCCACCCGTTTCATTTTGTTGACATATTCTTTTGGCATATGCCGAGCATAATCTAATCGAGCATACTTTTTCGGAGCTGTATGGAAAACTCGACTGATTTTCATCTAAATACTAACAAACTCAAAAATAAAATTTTCGATGCAAGGCGAAATGAAGAATTATCCGCTGCTGAAAAAATCCATGACCAGCAGGAAAACTTCGGACTCTCGGCTCGGCCCGTCAAGATCCGGAAAAAAGACTGTAAGTGAAATTGGACTGAATTCAGGGAAGGACCCACATGTGTGTGGGAAGGACCCACGCATGGCAGAGAAAAAGAGTGATACAAGAAATTAGTTAAATTTCCCTTCTGCCCAATTTCCCTCAGCCCAATTTCTATACAGCCCAAACAAAGGACAAAAATGGAAATTTGACAAAAAGCGGGCCTGGGGTTTTTTCCGGCCCGTCTATATTACAATGCCAAACCGTTGGCATTCATTGTTTTCGCGCCGGGAAAATTAATTGATGTTGTTGTAGTTGCTGTTTCTCAAGTTCTAAAACGTTTACACGTCTATAGTCCCATTATAAAAACCACAAAACTATCACATTGATCCTTTACTAGCTAGATCAGCGCCTTTTTTGCCTATCTTGTTCGCAGAGCGGGCCGAGCAAGGCCTGAAAAAAGATTAGGTCCTCTATAAACGGGCCTGCACGAGCCGGGCCTGGAAAAAGACTAGACGGGCCGGTAATTAGACGGGCCGGGCCGCGGGCCGAAAATCGGGAAAAAACGGCCCGCTGACCACCCCTGCCCGCTGGTACACCATGGTGTTAGAAAAGAGTTTCGGCAGCTCGCCCCCTAAATTTGAAAATAGTCGACATGTCGCATGTCAAGTCTGTCTCTCTTTCTCAATCGGGGGGACAAAGAGTACTCTTGGAAAAGTGGAAGGAAAGTTGAATCATCATCAACTTTCACCGTTAACAAACTGGGTGCCTCTCAATCAGGAATGTCAGCACTCGACAGTAAGTATATATATAGTCTTGACGTATTTTAGATCATTTATTCAATCTTAAATTTGCTGCGAAGGAGCTGCAGAGAAACTCTAAGCGATGTGATAAACAAGAAAAGGAAGAAAAAGAAAAGGTGACTACGGCTCTGAAGGTACTGGTCTATAAACTACTATATTTCGATTCAGAAAGGAAACCGGGAAGTGGCTCAAGTTCATGCAGAAAATGCTATAAGGAAGAAGAATGAATCGTTGAACTATCTTAGAATGAGTGCCAGGATTGACGCTGTAGCTGCGAGGGTTCAGGTAAACTCATGTCTTGGCATCTTTTACAATTATTTTGCAGACCGCTGCAACACAAAAGCGGGTTACCCAGAGTATGTCTGGTGTCGTAAAGTCGATGGAATCTGCTTTAAAGTCAATGAACTTAGAGAAGGTACAAAATTTGATGGACCGCTTTGAAAAGGACTTCGAGGACTTGGACGTTCAGTCTGCAACAATGGAGGGATCCATGAGTGCAACAACCACGTTGAATGCTCCACAACACCAGGTCGAGGCGCTTATTCAGGAAGCCGCTGACAAGGCTGGGTATGTTTTTTCTTTTTACGAGGTATTAATATTTAGGTTGGAAATTGGACAAGAATTGCCGACGGCTGATACTTCAAGTATTGGAACAAAGACTTCGACCGCGGTTGGAGAGAACGATGAGCTTTCTAAAAGATTGGCCGCTCTGAGACAAATGTGATGTATAAATTTACGCTGTATACATGTTTATTCCATAAAATAAAATTAGCGTCCATCTTAAATTATGTTAAATAGTTTATTAGTTAGATCGCCGGGCCTTCCCCTCCGGGCACCAACATCGTGATATGGTTTCCGTTCAGCAGGATAGTATCGAGTTTTGTGATCCGCCGTCCTTCTGGCGTATTTTCGTATTCAACAACGTCTTCCAATACCATGTTTACATAATCGTCAAATCCTGTCAGCGTTCCTACAATTTCCTTCTCGTCTAAAAATTTTAAGTTGAAGTCATAACAAGAAAGGAACTTACTCTTCATGATAACCCAAATTTTTGAGCCTATACATTTGTCGACCAGTTCAAGTGGTAAAAGAGTTGAGGGATTGGTAGCCGTCGAAGTCATAGTTGCTATAAAGCAAAAAAAAATTAGTAGAGCTTGTATTAAAAATTTGGTGTTTTATAATCATAAACACCAAACAGGAAACATTCACGAAAAAATATTGATAGTTTGTGGTAACGAACCAACATAGTTCAATACAAAATCAAAAGCAACAATCAAATTTATTCACCTCCAGGGGTGGCCCGGACCGCCGTGGCGGCCCATTTAGGTCCGACCGATCGGGCCGGGCCTGAAAAATTTTGGAAACGGGCCGGGCCTGAGGGTTGCATCGAAATTGGACTGCAAAAAATTACAAATTTCGTACGATTGCAGCGAAAAAATTCGCGTTTTCAATGCATAGGTCCAGCGAGCTGCGAAAGCTTGTTTTTCGAGCTACGCCCTACCATTTTTCAGCTAACTTTCAGGCTAAAATCTGTATTTTGGCCATAAATTTGTTCAAAGTGAAATTAGGCAGCTAATTCATTTTGCACTGTGCATTGTTTTAATGCTCTTTCAAATGAGATGGTTCACCTCCGAAATCTTGCTTGGGGCGCAGTTTGCGGAATAATTCGAAATCATTTGTGGCACTTCGTCTACATCAATATTTGAAATTTGCCAAAGATATGTTCTACACGTTTTGTGTCTGGACTCTAGTTTTCAAGTTGAAAAATAAAGTTGAATGTATTGTTTTGTAATTTACACTTCAATACTTTATGTGCGAATAGCTGTATTAATGCGTAATATATTTTTCTTAACACATCGTCGTAGTTTTGAAAGGAAACCCTTAATAGCTTTTTTTGCGTTTACAGTACAATACTTTTGCAGAAGGATGTCTTTGTCCCGTCTGAACAGAGCTCTCCCTCAACAGGTCTTAGCTCTTCGCTTTGCCCACATCTACAAACCAGCTTCCAAACAACTCCAAGTCCCAGCCGGTACTCAAGGTTTCTTCCGGTATGAAAGAGATGTCTCCAGAGATAAAAGATACTCCAACCCTCAGAAGCCTGGTGATACTCCAGCCAGGTATAAATGGTCTTAAAATATCTAATGTTATTTAGGTTCATGCTGAGAAAACTTGGACATGCCTATGAACTCTACCCCCTGTTTATTTTGGTCGGGGCTTGGTTCGTTGTTTTCTGCTACACGGTGTACATCTCTTTTGAAAAGATCGAAATCTGGCTGGACAGAAGTCAGTAAAAACGTTATTTTAACCTAACTAAACTTGAACTTTAGGCCAGGACAAGGCTCCTTGGGATTGGGAAAGAATCCGCACAAACTACTGGAAGAAACCAACCTTGGTGTTTGACAAGGAGGGGGTGACCCACCAGCGTATCGAGCTCATGGAGAAGCTTCAGGACGAGATGGTCAACGCTGCCAAACAAAGAGGAACCCGTTAAATCCTGGCCTAGGCGGAATTGTAAAACTTGACTCAATAAAATAGATCTGAACAGGTTCATTTTCCTTAATGTAGGTGGATAATAGGATAACATCCACCTACAGATTTCATGGAAAAAGTAATAAAATTAAGGGCAGGAGGTCACGTTATTAATGACCTATCGCAAAAGGCGGGCATCTAAATGTTTCAAGTGTTTCTTTCGCGAAGCTGGCTCGCGAAGGGGAGGGCTTCGTGCAAGGGAGAAAGCGAACGTGACTTTTGGGGTGCAACGCGCGTGCGAAGAACGCCCCGCCCCTTCTCTGGCCACACGATGGAGTATCACGTATGAGAACGGCAGGAATAAAACGGATAGCGAAACATTAGTTTTGAGGTTTGTCCGCTGTGGGATGTATCAGTCTGTCGGGGAAATAACGGCGGGTCGTCGTGACTTGGAATCGCCATCATCGTGTGGCGACGGCTAGCCGCGGCTGCACCAACTTTTTCTGCGACGACCCGTCGTTTTCCCGACAGACTGATATAGTACTTATAAGGCATCAAAGACAGATGGATAAAATGTTGGCATCCTTCTCTCGGGTTTACCCCCGCTTGGTCATCCGAGCTTACAGTACCGCTACACCATCGGCACAAGGTCGTGTTGGTGTGCTCTTCGGTCAGAATCCGAATGGATTTCTCAGATACGAACGAGATGTTTCCAGAGATCCCAAATCCAAGAAGCCTCAAAAACAAGGCGATACTCCTGCACGGTAGGTTACGGTAGTTTAACAATGTGACTGGGTTCGAGAGTATTACTGTATGTTTCTAGATTCATGCTTCGTCGTCTCGGTCACGCCTACGAGGTATACCCTCTGATCGGATTGGTCACTCTCTGGTTCTCGGTCTTCTTGTACATGGTCTGGTTCAGTTTCGACAAAGTTGAGATTTGGCTGGACAGAAGTAAGTCGATATTTTTGTAACTTACATTGCAATTCAGGTAAAAAGACGGCTCCATGGGATTGGGAACGAATTCGGAATAATTACTGGAAATTGAACACGGTCATGTAAGCCAATTATTCGGAAATATAAGGATGCTGCGATCTACAATTTTTCGCATTGACTGGCCCGATTTCTTGACTGTAGCTCCCAGACAAGAAATCCGAAATTCTTGATTACTGACGAGGGAAGTACCCCAAGTGCGACGCTCAGATTTTCTTTAAATTTTGCCCACACGTCTGGGATAGACTAAATATCAATTCCTGAAAGTTTTAGCTCGCGCTTTGCAGGCGCCGCCGAGATATCGGACGATTTATGCCGCCGAGAGGGCACGCTAAACGTGGAGAGCGGTCAGAGAGAAAAACGCTTTTTGGCTATAACTTTGGCAGTTTCGTGCGGAAAAATTTGATTTTTTGTAGAAACTTTATCCTTTACGGTAGAAATAGGCATGAAACTTTTCGTGCGGAAATTCGGCAAAAAGTCATAAATTTTCGCCGACTTTCGATCTAAAAATCTCGGTTGTTTCTGCAAAGCGCGAGCTAGGATTCTCGCATATATCTTAGAAAAATTATTCTAAATTTGTGCCGGGTTTCATCAAAATCTGAGCGTCGCACTTGGGGTGCTTCCCCTGTGAGCAGAGAAAAAAGGAAAAAAATCTTCACGTGGAGAGAGTAGGGTTCAGAAAAATCGGGTATTTACACCTCGCGGGTATATACCCGAAATTTCGGGTATATTGGGGAATTTATAAAATATTCCAGTTTCTTTCACGTTCTGTAGCGGCTCCGGGTAATGAGTTGGCAATTTTATAGACCTTGGGCAAGGGGCGTGCGCAGCCGGACCGAGCCCCACAGGTTTAATCCAAAAACGCGGCGCTGAAAATTTTATCTTGGCCCCCCTTCAAGAAATCGGCCTTTTTGTCAGTCAAGGCGAGAAATTGTAGACCGCACCATCCTCATGTATTTTTGTTTAGTTTCGATTTGAAAGGAGTGACCCACAGACGACTCGAGATCATGGAAAAGCTGCAGGACGAGATGATGGAGGCGGCCAAGAAGCGTGGAACCCGTCAATGAACTTCCCAACCCCGATCTCACTTGAATTTTACTAGGAGTTTGCAGACGATAAATCTATTTTCTGTATTTATGTATAAGGCGCGTGCGTTCTACTTTTATCTTGTCTAGCGGGCCCGCAGAAAAGAATTGCCGGATTTATACGACGAGGTCCAAAAAAAGTAGAACGCACACGCCTTATGTCGTGACTTCTTTATTCTTAATTCTTGTAAAACGGTAATACCGTTATAAACAAAAAGTAAAACAAAAAGCTTCCGAACATTGAGAGGATAATACCCAATATGATAAACTTCTGATGCTGATTGTGGCTTGGAAAATCGGCCAACACTTGGGAGTAATACGGGGTTTCCGCCACTATCCACCTTCGTTTGTCCAATGGATGGGCATCCTCCGACAACTTTAATCATAAATTAATTAAAACTGTAAGCTCAAGTGAAAAATATTAAAACTGAACCGTAAAAACTCACCGTATTTATGTAGTTAGAGTAACCGGTCTGCCTCTGGTACGCACTAAGAACAACGGTGGACAAAAGCAATGCCAGATTTGTAATCGTAACGGCCATCGTCCAGAGGTCTATCGCCTTCCAATACGTTGTTTTCGGACTGCGATCGTGGGCATAACAAGACTATAAATAAAGGAATAATGACTGAGGTGAAGCTATCATACCACAACGACTATGCCGATGAAAGACAAAGTAGTAACCATCAGCTGTCTTCTATCTCCAAGTTGATAAAACCATACGGAGAAGGTAGAACAGGTTAAAAAGGCCAGAGATGGTAAGAACACGGTGCATATCCAGAAATTCAACGACCTTTTCAACAATATTTTAACTTCCTTTGGATGCCCTGTGGTGAAGTTAAGAATCTTCCATTCTCCGGCGCCCTGGAGAAATGATCGGCTCATCCTCAGGTCCAGAAGTCGATTCCATGACGCCCGGACATCAGCTACAACAGCTAGTTAACTTTTTTTGCGACGCTCAATTTATCCGACTTATTATTTTTTCCAATTCCCGAAGGGAAAACATTTCAAAAATTTTTCAAATTCATCAAAAAATTCTTTTTTCCCAGTCCCGAAGCGAAAATATTAAACGGTATCGTTGACCCGAAATGTCGTTGACCCGAGGTCTCGTTGATCCGAAGTGTCGCGACCCGAGTTGTCCCTTCGAATGAGAGAATTTTAGCCTAATTTCCGCCCCCTTTCATAAAGCGGTCGTGTTTATGCCCTAAGGTAAATTAGGCAGCTAATTTTCTTTGCGTTGTACATTATTTTTAATGTTCTTTCAAATGATAAAATGTTTCGTTAAGAAAGCAGGTTGCAACTATTTGCCGATCCCTTGTTAGGAAAAAATAATTCCGCCATTCCGGAAATGTTATGACGCACACCTAGTAATGCAATCCACACCGTTCATACAAACCATCCTTTCTTGTAAGATTTCGGTTACCTCAACTTACCGTTAGATAATATAACTGAGCAGTTCTTTCGCTCGAATGGAAAGTTTTCAAGGTTCACATCGGAATTGATGAGAAGTTGTAATCTAATCTACTGGTTAATACTTTTTTTTCTCTGCCTTACCTTTGCTCATATTCCACAATCCCATTTGGGAAAACAAATATGTTGTAATGATTGATGGAAATGACGTTCAACGCATTCAGAAATATCAATTCGGGGCTCCAGATGTAGTTTACTACAACAAAATAATGGTATATCGTTTTTCTGGGTTCAAAAGACGGCAGTTATATCATCTTACGCGAGTGAATCCTGATCGGGATGGCCGAATCTCTTAGATTCTCATACCTCAGCTTGGGTTCCAGCCATTTCTGGTTAACTATAAGCCTTAAGTTGCACTGACTTTGTGTTTTAGATCTGTTTTTTTATCTTACCAAATCCTCTGCTGATGGTTGGATATTCTCTAATATCAGTTGAACCCCGACGCTAATGTTTGCAGACGTGTCTAGAAATATGTAATATTGATGAAAAATCAACCACGAGATTTCAAAAAACGATTAGAACTGGGGTCATATCATTAATCGATGACAAACTGCTCAAATTTTGGAACAAATGGCTTACCGGGGAATCTGTACCGTTTCATGAGATCCTCCAAGATTTGTTTGTCATTCCAAACGCCCCTGCTTTTCTTTGCTAACCCCCTGCAGCGACATTTAAGAGATAATTTGTCTTACAGATCTGTTGCATTCTTGGCTACACCATCATTAAAAAGGAAGAATAACGTCCACAAGGCAAGCCGAAAAGCCATGTTCTGTCCAGGCACGCGACTCGGCACAATTTCTATTCCAGAGGCTATAACCTCTCCTCAAATTGGCCAAATTAGTCCACCCGCCGCAATCGGGTTGGATAAAAAGGCCTCGTTTAAATTAAAAAGGCTTTGAAGAATTGCTGTAATCCCGGTCGAAGAGTATAACTCGCTACATTGACTACCAGCATTATCGAGGTCACTCCCATTTAATTTCGAATCCGGGAAGGCAGACAATACATTCCTCGGAAGCAAGGAAATCGGAGCTAATTGATCGCAACATCAGCCAACTCGCACTTTATTCCAACAACAAACAAATAACAACAAAACAAGTTATGTAAAAAGGATAACCATTGCATGTGAGAAGGGCTTCCCAGTGATCACAATTCGTCTCTCAGTTTTTCCTTGGTTATCTTCCCCGACTTGAACTTCTTGAGGAGGCGTTCATCGTTCTGCAACTCGTCCCACTCTAACTGCTTTCGTGGCTTCACCTTCTTTGCCTTCTTAGTGATAGCTTCTCCATTATCATCCCCAACGTTCTCTGATTTTCTTTTTAGAGAATTCTTTGCAATCTTCTCTTCCAAGGCTTTCCTTTTATTTTGAACTTCTACTTGCCTTTGCGCTTCCAATTTTTCATCTTTAAAAGCAATATTCACGGTCGGAACGCCGGCGTTTTCAAACATTTTAAGGTCTTTTCGGCCCCGGAATTCTTTCATGACTGGCATACGAAGTAAACCAAAAGCGTGAGCAATGCCAGGAATATCTTGATCTAAATTAAAATTAATGTGTAATTGACGGACAAACCTTACCCCCAAGTTTGCAGACAATCTTGCAGTCATGTTTAATATAAAATTGGATAAATGCAACGAATGCTCGAGTCCCATTCAACAAAATCTTCCTGAAAAATCCTCTGAAAGACCATTTGGTTCGTACCTATCACTCTTGGCCAATTCTCTGATCTTCTCCCGTAGATCCAGCGCCTTTTCCTTAGTGAGCCCGTCAATTTTATATTCATTTAAGGTGAGGTTTTCGTATTTACTGACAAAATCGACATATGCCTCCTCCTCCTTGTTCAAAAAGACGATCGCTTTGCCCTGTTTTCCCTGTCTTGCAGTTCTTCCAGATCGGTGAACAAACCAGTTAGTCTGCTTCGGAATGTCGAATTGCACCACCCAATCGATATCGGGAATGTCCAATCCTCGAGCCATTAGATCGGTACAAAGTAAGATTGCTTTCTTGGTTGTAGAAAATTGTTTTATCTACAAATGATATCAATTCTAAGAAAACAACTAGAAACTCACAATTCCCTGTCGTTTCGAATACTTCTTTCTGTGCACAGACATTACAGGCCTTTTTTTGGCGTTCTCGAGGAATAAGGGCAGTATGTCAGAGAAGTATTCAACTTCTGATGCATTACTCATGAACACGAGGATTTTCGAATCGGAAATACCGTTTAAGAAATTCACCAGGGCCAGAACTTTCTGGTCAGCATCATTTACCTAAACAAACTTAACAATCCGAAAAAAAATCTAAAAAGTCATCAAAATGGTTTTACCGTATAATAATTTGTAAGTTCTGCTGGTGCCGCTTCTCCGGAAGTTAAAACTTCGTTCATGTTTTCCGAAGACTCCGCTTTAAGCTCATGTGAAAAGACAGCCCTGATGGGATTTCTGATACCAAACTTAAGCATGTTCTCAACCTCCTTAGCCTGCGTAGCCGAGAAAAGACCAGTAAGTCTCTGTTTGGGCAACACTCCCAAAATGTTAGAAATACTGAAAAAGCAACTTAAACTAAAACAAGGCAAACTAACCTGACCTTAAATTCTTCGTCGGAGAAACGATCGGCTTCATCGATAATTAGCATTTCCAGATACCTAAAGACTTTTTTCAACTTCTCGAACTTGGTGATCACATGATCCAATCGTCCGGGGGTGGCAACGACAATGCTAGGAATAAAAAAACTTTAGAGGGACACTTACCAATTTCCCTTAAAAGGTTTTTCAGAAACAGTTTTGGAACCTCCACCGCCTATAAGCCTGACCACATTGATGTCGAAGGCTTGAGCTAGTGGCTTTAGGACACCCGACACCTGTGTCACCAATTCTTTGCTCGGGGCTAACACTAGTCCCAAAACATGGCAATCATCAGGTTTCACCTAAAAATATGCATGTGTAAAACAACGTGTTTGACTTACATCTTCTTTCTTTGCATCCAAAATTTGCATCATTGGAAGGCCATAAGCTAAAGTTTTTCCACTACCTGTAGGAGCTTGTACAATACAGTCATATTTTTGCAAAAAATGTCTGATGCTCCACTCCTGAAAGCACGAAATAAAAGAAAGGCAAAATATTCCTACCTGTGGAGGGGTAAATTTCGGAAACTTTAATTGCGTTTTGACATACTCGACGGTTTTTGCGTTCAGAATGTCCATCACATCGACCTCCTCTTTGTTTGTAATTTTTATTCCCTTGTCGATCATGGTAGCAGATCAAAAAAGACAAAAATTTTCGAAAAAAATGCAAAACCTTGGGACTTTTTTGGCGAGCTGCGCCCAATGTTCAAAATATTTCAATGTTTTTATACTCACAACGAGGTCGCGAGGTGAATAATGGGCTTACGAGGGAATGGTCTGAACTTCCCCCAGCGTTTGGGAAAATGACTAGTACAGGTGGATGGAGCATGTCAACTTTGGTAAAAAGAGCCATTTTCCAGCTGCGGAATAAGCCCGGCCGACGAGAAAAATCGACCGAAAGTTCCACAAAAATTTCTCTTTCTCTTCCCTCGGAAAAGAAGAGCGGTGTCCAGTGGTTCGGTTAGCCGAGTGGATAAAGCATCCGCTCGGTATTCTTTTGGGGGTTGGTTCGATTCCGGGGTCTCGCGAGGGACCATGATAAGGCTTTGATGAGCAAGATCAAACTCTAACAACCCAAAAAAATATTTTGCCATTTTTATACGTTTTATAGGGGAATTATACCAAACATATAATCGTCAAAAAATGAATTTTTTGGGTGCTTCCGAACCTTCAAAGCGATGGAACGTCGAAGTTATACTTGTTTGGTGATAGACTTGACTTTGAAAAAGGCAAAATAATTTTTTCTGGGTTGCTAGAGTTTGATCTTACTCATCAAAGCCTTATCACGGTCCTTCGCGAGACCCCGGAATCGAACCAACCCCCAAAAGAATATCGAGCGGACGCTTTATCCACTCGGCTAACCGAACCACTGGACACCGCTCTTCTTTTCCGAGGGAAGAGAAAGAGAAATTTTTGTGGAACTTTCGGTCGATTTTTCTCGTCGGCTGGGCTTATTCCGCAGCTGGAAAATGGCTCTTTTTACCAAAGTTGACATGCTCCATCCACCTGTACTAGTCATTTTCCCAAACGCTGGGGGAAGTTCAGACCATTCCCTCGTTAGTTAATTCCATCGCGAAGGCGATACGGTGCTTCATGACGCGCGGTAAAGCGCTGTAGGGTTCGGACGGGGTATATACCCGCGTGGTGAATATACCCGGATTTTCCGAACTTTAAAGCGCTGCACAAAGAGGACCTACGAAAGTGCCCTAACCGAAAAGGCCCCAAAGCGAAGACGCCTCTTTAAAAAAATCAAAATGACGGGTGTTATACGATGAAAAAAATTTTGTAAAATGAAAAAATAGTGTGACATGTACCATCGTATGATTAATTCAATTTATTACAATCAATAAATTAAACTTCGCGAGAAATTGAATCAGCCGGCAACAGTGGTGTGCGGTAGAATTTTACCGCAACATTTTTTGCGTTGAATACTGTGTTTATGACAAATTTACTCTAAAATCGCCCATGTCGAATTTTAAAATCAATTTAATGGTTTCTTGGACAGCTGCAAAGAGCACAAAGATATTCGCAAAAACCTTCTAGAGATCGATCTCGTTTGTAAAACTTTAACGCAAATATTTTCCTAACTGCAACAACGCACGTAGATTTTAAGCCGGGAACCGAACCCGGCTTGCTTTGACTTGTCAGCCTTCTCAGCAACCATTGCACGATTGGAGCAACCTTCACCGATTATTTTTTCCTTCCAAGAGAAATAAAGATTTTTTTGCAAAATGACCTAAAAATAATAAAATTGACAGTATGCCGTCGCGACGCGTCGTATTCTGCAAAGAATGAAAATGGTGTTTTGTACCATTTTTCAAGGTCTCTACAATGATGTATTTCACTTCTCATTTGGCGAGGGTCAGTTTGAACACTTTCCTAGTTAGGGCAGATCGGGTATCGCACAGCGTTTCATTTTTTCCGCCGCCTATCGGTGTCGAAAAAAGGAAAAAATGAAAAGTAGTGCTTACAAGTCGGTGTATATTTGGCTAGCCACAATAGATGTAACTAAACTAAAAAGTGGCTGTTAGATTATAAGAGGTTGCCATTTCGCGTACACAAACTACATCATACCTTATGCTAATGTTGAGAAAATGATGATCAAAAATTATTAAAAATTCAACCTTCAGTTAAAAAAAGTGTACTTTCCAGGCCTTAAACATATTTTTTTTTCTTCCATCGTATGCAGAATTTCAAGAGCTACAACATAGACAAACTCAGTCATTTTCCTGGGCCTTTGAGCTTACAAGGGAAGTACTCCAAGTGCGACGCTCAGATTTTCTTTAAATTTTGCACACACGTCGAGTATGGACTAAATATCAATTCCTGAAAGTTTTAGCTCGCGCTTTGCGGGCGCCGCCGAGATATCGAACGATTTTGCCGCCGAGAGAGCACGCTAAACGTGGAGAGCGGTCAGAGAGAAAACACCTTATTGGCCATAACTTTGGCGGTTTCGAGCGGAAAAATTTGATTTTTTGTAGAAACATTATCCTTTACGTTTGAAATGGGCATGAAACTTTTCGAGCCGAAATTCGGCAAAAAGTCCTAAATTTTGGCCGACCTTTGATCTAAAAATCTCGGTTGTTTCTGCTAAGCGCGAGCTAGAATTCTCGCATATATCTTAGAAAAAATTGTTCTAAATTGGTGCCAAGTTTCATCAAAATCTGAGCGTCGCACTTGGAGTACTTCCCCTGTTAGTTATGATTCAAAACAGTCTAATTTTGGCCGTTTTTTGCACTTTTTTTTACTTATTTGCACTTTAGGAATAAAAAGTGAAGATATTCTATATACAACGGATTGTCATGATCACTGTGGTCATCCGTGCCAAATTTCAACTTTCTCTGACGCTCCTGAGTCGTTGAATACGAACGTCAACATGGAACCCAACTGTACTTTTTCTGTTGATTAAAATCACGTTAAGTGCTCCAAAATTTCTTTTTGAGCGAAAATATGTTGTATATATACACTCTTTGCCATCAAGCCAAAGTATATCTTTTTCATTTCGAAAGTTGAATTCAACAGACAATTCTGATCAATGCCAAAGTGTGAGCTTGCAGCCACTTACTGAAATTACCCGTAAAGCTGAGTTTGGCCTTTGTAATCGCGACCAAAGATTCATTGCGATTAGGAGTTCTGTAATTCAGGCCAGCCAAAGATTTCATTACTGCTTTCTTACAAAATTGAAGATACGAAGTTTCCATGTTGACGTTCGTATTCAACGACTCACTTGTCAGGAGCGTCAGAGAAAGTTGAAATTTGGCATGGATGGCCACGATGATCAGGACAAAAATTTTTTTTGATGTCAACCGCTGGGAACAAAAAGTCCGCTAACCACCCATTGCGAAAAGACCAACTAGGAGTTAGATTTTTTTCAAAATTTCCCATTTCTTGAAACAAAAATTACAGTATGCCTTGTATGTCCTAACTTGCTTTACCATTTGGGATAATGTCACTGTTAGGTGTCATTTTACAAGGAAAGTACTTTTATGGGGGCTCCTACTTTTTGACGGGACATATCTCAAAAAATCAGAAAAAATGTGCTGATCAAGGATATATAAATCTTAGCTGCCCATTTTTGGGGTTTTAGGGGTGAAAACTCAGTCGGAAGTTGACTTAAAGCCCTATATGAACCCCTTTTCGAGTAATTTTTCACGGGTTTACAATTTTTATTTTGGCTTAAAATGATGTTTATTGAGTTTCTAAGACGTAATAAATCAGTCTTGGCCCAAAAATTTATTTTTCCGACCTTCAACTTCAAAAAAAGTTGATTCAGCCCAAAAGGGAAATCGAACCCGTGCGGCGTCCTCCCTCTTGATTCCCAGACTACGGCACTAGCCACTCGGCCACACCGCTCTCTTCCGAAGGAAGAGACCGACTGCGCTTTTTATCGTTTCGAATGCATGCGCCTTTTGTAGGGAAATTGAGCCAGTTTTTGGGCATTTTCACCCCTAAAAGCCCAAAATGGGCAGCTAAGATTTATATATCCTTGATCAGCACATTTTTTCTGATTTTTTGAGGTATGTCCCGTCAAAAAGTAGGAGCCCCCATAAAAGTACTTTCCTTGTTACGTCTGCAATCAAAATGAAAGAACAATTTGGGCGGGCGCACACTTGCAGGCAACCACTTTGCGGGCAACCGCTTTGCGGGCAAACTTTTTGCGGGCAGCACTTCCTGGAAACGACTAGTAGTGACCCCACTCCCGGTGCAACAAGTCCTGGTTTCGAATCCGGGCCACAAAACCTATGATGATATTTTTTAATAACTTTTGTCCCTCCGCAGACAAAATTCATATATATTTATGGGATTTTTCTGAGTTTTTAGCTTTTTTGAAACGACCACAATTTGATGGTGATGATGGTGGGATGCCACCATCGTATAATTACAAGCTGTCATGCCAGCAGCTTGACCGATTATGATTACTGGGCGATAATTCAACTTACAAGAGAAAAGAGTTTTTTTCTCTGACCGATCTCCGTGTTTCGCGTGCTCTCTCGGCCGCAAACATCCTTCAATATCTCGGCTGCGCCTGCAAAGCGCGTGCTAAAACTTTCAGGCATTGATATAAGGCCTATGCCTGACGCGTGTGCAGAATTTAAAGAAAATCTGAGCGTCACACTTGGGATCCTTCCTTTGTTCGCCAAAATGACGATAACTTTACGCAATTTGACGTCAGATTGAAGAAATCTGTCAAATCAACAACCCTACAATTAAACATCTGTTTATTCTATTCTTTCCGGAACGCAAATAAAGGTACATTTGAGGATCTATGAAGACACATCATCCTCCTCGGAACTGTTGTTATTCCGTTCCGCCTCTTCCTGGGCTGCCCGATCTCTCCAGTTGGATTTATTTTCTTGTAGATGTCGTGACCACGGGTTGGGAATCTCGAGTTTTCCGAAGTAATTAATGGGGATTTTCCGTACGGAATTGTTTCCGGTTGGACTTTTGCTGAAATTTCAATTTAAAATAGAAGTAATCAAGCTTGCTCACAGATCAGGAACTGGCGAAAGGGATGCGCCCGAGGCGGAGCCATCGCGTCCATCATTGTTCGAGCCCGGAGGGAAGAGCGAGTCAGAGGATGGCAGGGAAACCAGAGGCTCAACCATCTTGGTTAACATCTCACCGCATACTATCATCGTTGGCTCCACAATGAAATCGATGAAGCCTATAAATAGACTGTGTTTCTCCCATCTTTTTACCGATTTGAGATTCCGCTACATGAACGGTGTGTCTGTCACACAATGGAGAATAAGGTAGTCCCATCGACGCCTCGAGGTCTCCTTGCCGGAAGAACTCCTCTAAGACGCCCTCAGTCCATCGAGAATGCAGCTCCCAAGGTTTGGAGGCATGGGAGATATCACAGGCATGGACAATCAGACAGAGCGCCTTCATCTTGTCTATCCCCTCAGGCAGTGAGAGCATGTTTTTCATGGTTTTGATCTGGACAAAATGGGTGCTCATGTCGGTGGCCAACACTATCTCCACGACCGAGTTTCTGAGTTCTCTGTAATCTTAAGGTATTTGCTTCAGAGGAACCCGATACCTGAATTCTTCCCGAGTCAATCGTTCAAAGATATTTTTATCTTCTTCTTTCAACAATCTGAAGCAAGCGCTGACGTGATGATTTTCCAAAACAGATCTGTCATTGTACAGCAGAGCGAAGTGGGACCTGTGAAAGCGGATTAGACCAGTCGGAGACTATTACCCTGATTGAATGTGAAAGTTATTTGTGTGCCCGGTGTGTTCGTAATCGTGAATTAAAGCCCCAAAAAGGACGGACAGCATTTCGAGATCGCTTAAACTGCTCTGTAAGATGGGTAAATCAGATATTTAACTTGGAAAATACGATTAAAGAGCCCATCGTTCAGCTTGGTTCGATGTAAAGCCCCTTTCTTCGTCGATGCAAACAAAAATAAAGTTGGCTCCGTTTCCGGCTAGACCTACGGCTAATCCAGTTTGCGAGAGCATGAAATGGGAGGTTTGTGTGACGTCAGCCGCATGAACCGTATTGTGATAGGGATTGTTGTGTCTACTGTAGCCGGCTTCCAAAGCAAGAAGATAATTCTCAAGGCATTGATAGTTGATCTGAAGTGGATGCATTTATAGCGAAAACCGTCTGTATGCTATTCTATGATTGCTAATTACACTCCGTTATGGCCTTTTTATGCTGGTTTTCTTGAGATCTTATGCCTCAAAATGTAAAAATTGACAATTCGTTGTCCAACAAAAAACCTGTGGCCGATAGTATGAAATGAAAAATTTGAAATGGTAAAAGCGTGTCCACCAACGTCTTTAACGCTCTTGGTCTCATCAAATTCTGTTGAGTCTGAGGGAAGCTACATACACTCGAAATAAAAAAATTGACAATTCGCCGACAACTACTGTATAATACGCAGCTCACCTTAAAACGTTCAAGGAAGCCGTACCGATTGAATAATTCGAATCCAACGTATTTGAGAGCGTGTCCATCGGTTGCTTCGTTGAGATCGAAACAGCTGAATCCCCAGCCATTGATGTTCTGAAATAATTTTTGGTTCCCTGACATACTCACCTTTAGATATGGCTGATATTCTTTTGGAATGGGTGCCAAAACCGTCTGAGTCCGACGGTAGATCCTTAAAATATTTATATTATGTCACCGGAGCCTACTTGTCGAAGAAAATTCCGGTTCTGATGGCATTGGCGACTGATTTGAACTTTGGTTTCTCCCGTTTAGTTTGCACGGTCTGTCTGGTAAAAGTCGCCGCCAGCCATTCCCGGACTTCGTCAGGGACAGTATCTGGGGTGACCTCTGCCAAGTCGTCGTCTTCATCACATATCCTTCTGAAAAAAATATTTTTTTTTAACTTTCGTATTTTACCGGGTCTCGTCCATATACGCTGTTTCGAGGACAAGAGCTGCATATTCGATATTCCGTTTGAGATCCTCGAGAGGTAACTGGCCACTGTTCAGCTGATGCAAGATGTAGCGCAACCTAAAGATGATTTATATTCGAATACACTCAACCTGCAAGCATGCTTCCTAAGGACTAGCTGATAGAATCCGTAGGTGTCACCCACAATCATCATGGCGACTAGAAAATAAATAAAAAGAGTTTGGCCGCCTTTAGCCCTTGAAATAAAAGATGGGATCGCCGTGTTATCTGCCCGAAAGACGGTTGTCCTGACAACCAGTCGAGAATCATCATGTCTTCTTCCTTTTCGTGCTCTCCTTGACAGGATGTCATCAGTTAACTGTAAGGCTTTACAAAAGTGTTCCCCAAATAAAAAGGGAAGTTCCCGAATTTATTTTAAATTGGGAATTAAGAGAGATGTACTTGTTTTTGGTTCTTAAAGCTTGGGATGTCAAGAGAATGCGCCGATAGACATTATCAAAACACTTTAGCAACGTTTTCGCGATTCACAGTAAAGTCATCAAAATTTTAATTTGTTTTTAAAGGCCCTAAATTTGTCGTACACGAATAGTGCCCCAAAAAACATCAAATCTCTCGGCCCCAGGGACTTTATCCGCATCAACGTTAAGGGTCACGACGAGAGTTAATTACCTCGGAACATGATATGTTTGTTATGCACTCTTTGAGAAATCTGTTGGTTACTCCCACTTACTTCTTGATTGCATCAAGGGCTGCATTTGATGAGGTAGAAGGATCATCAGAGACCTTGTTGACCGACTCTTGTCGTCGATAAAGGGTGAATGGGCGGGAATGATTCTTGTGTTGGTCAACTGAAACCATGACATCAGAACGATTGGCTGGTAGAACGTGCCCCAGAGAGCCGAGGAAAGTTAAAATCTTGGCTGGAGTACTTGTAGAAGGGGTTTCCTTCAACTTGATTCTTCTGACTCTTCCTCCGAGTCACTCTGAGTTGCGTGCCCTGAGGGGACGAAGCTAAGGAAGTCCGGAGACCGCGCGCTTCTCTCCGAAGTCACAAACAGGCGTCTTATGCTTTCAGCGGATACGAGGCCGCCTGCCAAAATAGCCTCGCGCACCCGTCCTATGCTCGCCAATTATTGGAGCCGTTTTCTTTTCGATTATCTTCCTCTTCATAATAATGTTGTTCCTATATAATTCCATGGTGCCTAAGCGTTAATGAGGGTGGATCCAGGGCTTTGTTCTTTCATCAATTTAATCGAAATGACTAAATTGACAAGTCCTACCCTTAAGCAAAAACCATATTTGAAATTGGGCAAAGGATTCGTCACGCATGTTTATTAGATTTTTATCTTCTTACTCATCAGGGATTGTGAGAAGTCGCGACATCAAAAATAGGAAATTGAGTTAGGGTCTTCACCGAGCATAGACAAGACCAAGGGAATCCACTTACCGTCAACGATATATTCTTGATCACAAAACGTAACTTGGATTCGACCACTTGAATTGGACGCCGTTTGATCTGAAAAGGAAAAATATGAATAGTCAGCATGAAGTAAAGGAAGAACGAGGAACCCAACACACTACTGTGAGCAGAAGGGATAACAAGTCATTACCTATCTTGATATTTGGAGAGCGTTTCATTCTGGCCAGGAGCTGCGCTAAGGAGGTTGGAGTGGGGCGGTTCGCCGGGATGGGACGTCGCAAACTGGTGAGGAACGGAATAATTTTGACGGAAGGGAGGGATAAGTGGGGATGAGCAACAAGCCTCACAGGACGCGAGACGGACTGGAGCAATGTTGCTCATGCACGACCAACAATCATCGGCGTTTGTCAGGTCATGAAATGATAATTCGATTGGGGCTCTCACTCGACGCCAACACCACTGGCCGTCACACACTCCGGGTGGAAACTGTGGCCCCGTTCGGGAGTTTGATGAACTTCTACAGAGCCATATCCCTCCACATCCTCAGTCTAATCACTCCTACTGTTGCCAACTTGGAATCACAACTTCCGACTCGACTTCCTTATATTGTTAACGCCGTTAGATGATACCGCCTCTTCTTGGCCCTCCCTCATGCATCTTCGTATCCTGTCATGTTTTATTTAGTACTCGCTCAGAGTAAAGACTTTAATGATTACCGATTCTTTCAACAATTGTTCTGCATAAAAGAGAATATTGATTTATTCAAACAATCCAATAATATTGAAGATTCATAACATAAACTATAAATTACAGAAATTGTAACAGACCGGTACATATCAAATAACAAGCGATGTCTATTTATGCAATAGTTGCCTGTCGTCGAACACGTTGCATTTCTCTTGAGACCCACGTTAGTGCTGTTTTGCATTTGTTTTGTTTCGAACGGCGAAGACGCTGAACGATTGCAACCACGGATTCTGAATCCATGAGAGGGATCGAAAGGACACCGAACGTATTTACGAGATCTCCTACCAATGAAATCGCCGAGACTAACAGACTCTCAGGAGCAGGCGGCTGACTGGAGGCAATTGAGTTGAGAAGTTGAGTAATCCGTGGAAGATATTGCTGGAGGACGGCTTTGTGTTCATCGGTCTCTCGGAATGACTGAATCATTGACATGTAAACCACGAGGCAACTCTCTCGGAGCAGGGTTACGTAGTCAGCCTGATCGATGTCGTCCTAAACTCGAAACTCGTTTTAAAATCCGTTTACAAAATTGATCGATTTTCCTCAACGTACGCCATTTTTTAAACTTCACCCACAAAGATAAAAATAAGTACGTTATAAAAATTGAAAAACTGGCACGGACGGCAGGTTAAGTGCTAAAAAATTTTTACAAACATACCGCAGCAACAGGAACTGAAGACGCTTCGACCGCTTGATCCACAAATCTCATGGTATGCTCAAAGTAAGGGGCGAATTGGGGACCCAGAGCAGTAATCATGTCACCCAAAATTTGGATTATGTGACACTTAATGGTACGATCAACAGTGCCATCCTAGAAAAAAAACATTACTCCAAGCGCAACGCCCAGATTTTAATAAAAATAACAAGTGTTATAAACGGTTCGAAAGGCCTTAAAAAGTAGTATTAGAAACACTTTCAGTTTTTGCAGAATGTCGTAGGCCAAAAAATATGAGCGGTTGATTTGTAACTTTAGTTACAAAATCTGATATGGGGCAAAATAAATGTTATTTCAAAACCCAAAACGGTACGTATTGCTAGCCTAAGAATCATCTTGAAGTTTGGCGCTTGCCAACAAAGCATCTTTACATAACACATTTACCGGTTATACCACAAAGTGAAAACATTCAGTTTTTTTATCTAGAAAAACATGTAAGCTCGGTTTTAACCGTAATGGACCATCTTCTAGCAAAATTAAAAAAAATGTAAAAGTTTAACGCAAATATTTTCTTAACTGTAAAAACGAAAAAAAGATTTTGCCGAAGCCAGGAACCGAACCGGCTTGGCTTATCTTATCAGCCCGCTCAGCAACCACTGCACCATTGAAGCAACCTTCTCCGAGGCGTTTTTTACTTCCCTAGTAAGACATATGCGAAACTATACCACAGAGGGTCAAAAAATCAATTTTTCCGCGCGAAACCGGCTAAGATAAATGGGCAAAAAGTGGTTATCTCTGTGGCCGCTCGCCGCGTGCTCTCCCAGCCGCAAAGATCGTTGTTGAATATCCTGACTGCCGCTGCAAAGCACGAGCCAAAATTTTCGCGAATTGGTACGTGGCCTATGCCTCAATGCGTGCAAAATTCAAATAAAATCGAAATCTCGCACTAGTACTTTCCTTGTGAGTTTTGGAATGTCAACTTACATTTAATAGCGTAATCAAAACTCTGACCAGTTCATCAGAATAGGCAATAATCTTGCCTTCAAAAGCAGTACAAAGATCAGTAACAACTCCCAACGCACTGATGCATAGATCCTTCTCTGCGTGGTTACTCATCGCATGATATAAGAGGGGTTTGAAAGCGTCCATATACTTGGCAAAATCTGTTCGAACAACGGTGATCAAGGCGGATACGGCCATTAGAGCCTCTTCCATGACGGCACCATTATCACGGCCAGAGAATCTGTTCATTATTTGGAATAGCCCTGTCATAATCGTGTCTGCAATCTGCGGAGCATCAGAAGGTCTCATCTTCCGGAGAACGGACTGAAGAGTCGCACATAATTGCGAAATCAGATCTCGAAGTTGTGACCGATCAGACGAAGACACAGCATTCTGTTCCATTTGAAGAAGTTGCTCGATCTTGGAAAGGACAACGATCGTTGTTTGCTGGACAACCGCATAACAGTCCTTCGGGCTATTCTTTATCAATTCCATAAGAGCCTCATAAGCCGCGTTTCGAAGATTAACATTCGCATCCTGTCTAAAGATGAAACAGTTCAGTAAGCACATAAAAATGGGGGGCTTTAAAAGCCTTAACATACCGCTCTGAAGTTTTAATCAACTCTTGAACCATTTGTTGATAGACGGAACTTAACATAAACGTATCAGGCTCTCCACTTGCGTCAGTTCCGTTCTGAACTGCGGTCTGATAGATTGCTTTAACCAATGAAGAAATTGTCTAAAAAATTCAATAAAAATGTTATTCTCTAAAGAATTATACAAAAAATGTTCCAAACACATACCCAGCAAGAGTTGCTAGCAATTCGAGGAACTTGTTGAAGAGTTGAAAACAATGCCGGCAGCAGACGCTGAAGAACTTCTTGATTGCTCACCAAGTCCACACAAATCTCACACACCCTTCCAATAGCCCAAATTGCGGTATCTCTAACTGCCAACTAAATTTATAATTGGAGAACTGAAAGAGAAACTTACATGGCTGTCGCAAACTCTGTCTATCAATGGAATAATGGCTTGCTGAACGAGAGCCGAGAGTGTGGAAGGATCGGGTCCATCCAAAATAGACCCAAAGGCCATAACTGCCGCCTCTCTTCGATGCCAATCAGGATTCGCAAAGTTCTCACTGATAAACGGCAATGTGGGTGCAATAACGTCATCCTGGCAACATTGAGCCAACAGCATGATACAGACACTGGCAGATTTGGCGGGGATCCAATCGTCCTCTTCTGGATCTTCATCTTGATGGCAAAGAATCTCCGTCAAAAGAGGGATCAGGTATTGAAGAGCTCCCTTTGCATAATGTTTTGAGACTTGACTTGGAGGTCTTCCTTCCTCTGCCGCTTCTTCGGCTTCATACGCTAGGCCCGTTTCCTCCTCACAAACATTGGACCAAAACTCAATACCTTGCAATACGATGTCATCCTCGTTCGATTTAATTGCGGCAATTGTGATCTAATAATAAATTGAACACCATTTTAAAACTCACCGGAAATAAAGCTGATACCATATATTTTTCCATGAACTGATAATACAAAGACATGATCTTAACTAAGCATTGGAGGGCCAGAACATTAACATCTTTGTCAGATGATTGCGTGCTATGACAGACCACTTCCATTATGACATTCCTTTCACGCTACAAAAGCATTGGTTTACTTATACCTATAAATTTACCTCGTTCTGGAAATTCATATGAGTGAATTCCAGAGAGTTGAGCATAGCTGTTACAGCAGCCTTCTTCACATGAATCGACGGTTCTTCTTCCCTCATCCCATAAACAATAGCAGTTAGGACATTGTTGGCATAGGTCTCCATGAACGAAGGCGGAAGGGATTGGCAAATATATCCAAGCGCTTCCAATGAAGATTCCTTCAACAATTCGGAACTCTGGGGATTCGTGACGTTAGATTTGAGTAAGTCCATCACGTCCGGCCATAACTAAATCAAGAAACATCAATTAATTCTTAAATAAACGTACACCATGGGGAATTTCGATACATGCAATCGCTGACACACATTGAGCAGCTGACGATGGACGGCTTTCGGTTCCCAAGGTCTTAATAATACATTCCTTAACAAATTGTCGAACTTCTTGTTGCAGACCAATCCACCTAAACTGAGATATCCTCAAATATTAATAAACCCACCTTTGTTGAAGAAGTTGACGTCTTTCTTCTTCATTTGCAACTAAAGTGTTTTTTAGCTGTAAGCCAGCAGCTTGTCGAACAAAAGCAACGTTTTCGGTCGCTGCTAAGATTGATGCCAGTTGACGAAGAAACTCCGGCTAAAATAAATTGCTGTACAACCCAAAAAACGGATAAACGCGCGGTTTCGAAATACCCAGAAATTCTAATGCTTCAGTTTTAAGATGTCTCAAATTCTACCATGCAAAAAATCAACCCGAAGAGGTAAAAACTCACGTAGTTTTGGGCACAGGCCTGATCAATGTACGATATGGCACGTTGTTGATCGTTTGGGTCTGCAAAATAAGACTTACGCAAAAAACTCACTTACCAGCAGAAATAGTCCGCTGAAGAACTTCGAGGAGCTCTGACATGATGGAGGTAATCCCGACGTGCTGAAAACAACAAACAAAAATACAAAAGCCAGTAAATTAGTGGCACTGCACCCAGTATCCACTGTTTTGGATAGAAGTGACCCGCGTTTTTTCAGATGCGGAATGCCAAAAAGCTCCTTTGAATTTTTTGACCGGCAATTTGAAATTTTTTCTTCTGAGAAAACACTTGTCACCTTCGGGTCATGTCTTTTTTTCGACGTTGAATAATTTATTTTACGCCATGGCGGCCGCCAATATCCCGATTTCGGATATATATGATACATATCTGGAACCGATTCTACGTTTTTTATTGTCGTGCCCACATTAGAACCAGAAAGCCACATTTTTAATGTATGTCTGGGATAAGCATAAATGTATGTTCTTTAGGGCGCATTCTGCAATTAAATTGGATTTGTGACGCAAGTCTGTAATACGTGGACTTACATTTTAGTCTGTTGTCTTATATTGCGGTCCCAGTTTGTTTCTTTTTAGTGTTTTGTGTCTGCCTTTGATGTTTTGAGTTGAGTGAATGGCCTTTTTTGGGCTTTATCGATTCTCTTTTGGCCGCGCCGTTTTCTCTTTCGTTTTTTTCTTTTCAACTGCCAAATACTAATAACGTGCTTTTAAACTTCAGGGTTTTCTGAGTGTTGAATCGGAATAACGGCTTAGAATGGTAAGGTTTCATCTCGAATACACATAGTTCCAGGGGATCAAATTGAAAGCCGCCAAGCTCGAAACGGAGCGCCAGTCGATGACCAACCGTGTCTATTGTAATGTGAACGACATAGATGCCAGTCAATGCCGGTATGGTTTTCTTGATCGGATCTGTTGATGTTGATCTTTACTGGCTATAAGTCTGTCGGGAAAATAACGGTCGGTCGTCGCATCAAAATGTTTCGCCTCACCGCTATCGCGCACCAAATCTCCAGCTACGGCCGCCGTCGCAAAGCGATGATGGGCGATTCCGAGGCACGACGATCCGCCGTTATTTTCCCGACAGACTGATAAAATACATGTGCTTTACTCCTTTTGATACTTTTATTTTATTTAGACATGTAACGGTTGTGTCAGGTCCTGGCCGGCGATACCGGTTTTCTCTGGCCAATGACCCTTCCATTAGACCTGGCACCATTGGATTTGGTCTTTATCATCGAAAATGGGCAATGTTATCTTTGGAACAAGAGGTATTCGTAGAACCTCTTGTATTTACAGCAAGCGACAAAGTTGTCCTTGCAGTTACGATCACCATGGATTTCCAGACCAAAAAGTTGTACGTGATTTTCCAGAAGATCTGACTGTTCATATATCAATTCAGTGTCACAACTGACCCCTTTGACACCGATGCCATGGCGCGGGAGTTTAGTATTCAATTTTCAAACATGGTACTTAGCAAAGGGAAGCTGATGGTATTTGAATTTAATTCGGGCGATAAGATTACACGGTTTGCTCTGACCATAACATCCCTAGAAGGAGCGGTGCCCGGAGGACAACCTGAAGAGGTGAGCTTTTTTTTAGTTATCATACGAACCTATTTCAGGTTGAATTTGGACCACTGAATGCGAACGCCAGGATTGTTTTCAACAAGGCGGAAGCAGCATTGTTAAATTTGACCGGATCCTGCAAAGGAAAGGCCACCTACCGGGCTTTAATCAATCCAGGATGGGACTTTGAGAAGATGGGGATTGGAGGACTTGATAAAGAATTCTCAACCATCTTTAGAAGAGCATTTGCATCGCGTCTTTTCCCACCGGAATATATTGAACAACTTGGTTAGCATAAGTTGCATCTTATTAAATCGAAAAGGCCTTTTTTTAACTGCTTAAAACTATTCCTTTAGCTATCAAACATGTCCGTGGAATTCTCCTTTATGGACCTCCGGGTACTGGTAAAACTTTGATTGCGAGGCAGATTGGAAAGATGCTTAATGCCAGAGAACCCAAGATTGTCAATGGCCCCGACATCTTAAATAAATATGTCGGGGAATCTGAAGCTAATTTGAGGAAGTTGTTTGCTGATGCTGAGGAGGAATGGAGAAGAGTGGGGCACAACTCTGGCCTTCATATGATTATATTCGACGAGATCGATGCCATTTGCAAACAAAGAGGGTCTAATGTAAGTATCAATCAACTGCGTCAACTAGTTGCTTAGCCAGGGTCTTCTGGGGTTAATGATACCGTTGTAAATCAACTCCTGACCAAGATGGACGGTGTAGAACAGTTGGGGAATGTTTTGGTTATTGGCATGACCAACCGGAAAGACATGATCGACGAGGCTCTTCTTCGGCCAGGTCGATTGGAGGTGCAGCTGGAAATCAACCTTCCAGATGAACACGGAAGACTTCAGATATTGCACATCCACACAGCTAATCTGCGTAAATTTGATAAGCTCGCCCCAGATGTGGAGCTTCCATTATTAGCAAAACAGACCAAGAACTTCTCTGGAGCTGAGATTGAAGGGTTGGTCAGAGCGGCCCAGTCCTCGGCGATGAACCGCGTGATGAAAGTAGGAGGCCAAGTCGAAATCGATCCTGAAGCCATGGAGAAATTCAAAGTCAACATGTCCGATTTTGAATATGCGTTGCAGAATGACATTAAAGCAGTAAGTTTCTTGTTTCAAAGGTAGGACCTTTTTTAGGCGTTTGGGCACAATGATGAACAACTAGAAAGACTCCTTGGCGAGGATGTTATCTTCTACGATCAGTTGGTTGCAGATATTTTGCGAGAAGGACAACTGTTGTGCGAGCAGGCATCTAGTCCCGAAACTTCTGGATTCGTTCGTGCCCTCTTAATTGGTCCCCAGAATGCCGGGAAGTCTTGTTTGATCGCCAAGATTGCCAAGTCTGCTGACTTCCCGTTCATAAAGGTGGTCACTCCAGAAGAAATGATTGGTTTCTCCGAATCTATGAAGTGTGCCAAGATCACGCGTGTGTTTGAAGATGCTTATCGGTCTCCCTTGTCGATTGTTCTTGTGGATGACATCGATCGTTTGATGGATCACTCTCCGATTGGGCCTAGATATTCGAATATGGTCCTTCAGGCTTTGATGGTCTTGTTTAATAAGGCGCCGCCTAAGGTGAGGGCACTTTCTTAGATTACCCTGCTCTTTCAGAAGTCACGTCTTCTTGTTTTGGTGACCTCCTCAAATCATGGATTCCTTCGTGAGACCGGTCTGATTAATTTCTTTACTCGAGTTATCCACGTACCGAAGATGAACAAGATAGAACAAATTGCCAAGGTCCTTGACGAAAGTGGCTTTTCCGAGACAGAGAATCGGGAAGTTCTGGCTCAATTGGATCGCGGACATTTAAAGTAAAAAAAATTAAAATTAATTTCAGTTATTTATCTTCGTTCCCCTTTGTAGCGTTAAGGAAGAAAAAAAAATTTAAAGGTGAAATTACGGTTGGTGATCATGGAATCGGGATGTGCAGAATAGCCTCTCTTTTTGATGTAAAACATGAGTTCGGTTAGTATTTTTATGCAATGACTAGCCGACAAAGAAACTAGTGTTGATATATTACACCTACGGATGTAAGATCGCACCCAACCACTCTATCTTACAATTTTTCCTTGAGCACTACATATTACTTGTCATCCAGAATATGGTCAACCAACAAAGTTATAGGCAAAACGTCTAATGTCCCGTTTTTTGGCCGCCACTGTATATCTTCATTTCAGGATAAGCATCGGTATCAAAAGCCTCCTGCAACTGATCGAGAACTCCAAACGATGTGCCCCGGGGGAAAGAGCGCAACATCTGGCTCATGCCATTGAAGATATGATCCTGGATCTCTGAGATTGATTTATCCGGTATATGGTTACCATAAAATGCACTGTATTTTAGAAATTGCGCAATACTGTCACTTGCGATCGGTAGAGCTGTGATAAATGCAAAACTTTGCTTCATAATAAAGTCATTCCTTTTGTTCCTTTGACATAACGCCGTTTTATAAAAAGGCCACTATCTTCAGTCGGGGTAGTGCCAGATGAGCATCGCCAAAAACCCTTTGTTAAAAATGCCTGCGGTCCGAAAATGGTGGATGGCATACGCCCCCTTTTTTTGTTTGCAGTGTTTGCGCGAAAGAAGGGCGGTTAAGTGAGATCGGCATCTCCTCATCTGGAATAGAGCGGCCAAGAGCTCTGGCTCCCCTTCTTAATCGGCAACCTGCAGGCCGCCTTGGAATTCGACAGCTGTTTCCCCCCTTACGTTGGTCGAGATCGGCTGCCACTTTGTTTGAGGCCAATCCCCGGGTTTGTCGCGCCGAAGAGCGATACGGATAACATCGCCTGCACTCGCTATGACGGGGGTCTGGAACAAGTTGACCGCCCATATCGGTAGGTCTCTGCAGACGTCGTCTTTGGTCTCAATCTGTATTCAGTCTTGATTACTTCATTCCAGGCTCAATCTTCCATGAGAACAAAAGAGAGCCCACCGCCCTGAGGCCATCGACCTCACTTTCTGCTTTAAATCAGAAGAATCTGAAAGTAGTAAGGCCCTCAAAATCCACTGAAAACCTGTACAGAGTTGGGCCTGAATCCGGAGGTAACAGGAGCAAAACGTGGAAAAAGATATCGTCAGCGAAGTTGTTCCATTTCCGGAGCCGAACACCAAGAAAGGAACTAGAAACAGGTATATTATACAATTTTAACAAAGCTTTACAGTCAGACTGTTCAGGCTGTAGAAAAGCCGACTTCTGTCCGCTTTTCATTACGCATTTTCAGAAGTAAATCGAGCAGTTCGAATTCCAAATGGTTCTTTCCCTCTGGTTTTATCTGCTTCGTGGCATTCGAATCTGGCAGAGTCGTGTGTCCAAGTCCCCAGAGGCCAGACACCGAATGATTACATTCACAAACATGCTTCTATTGATGATGGAGCGGCAAAGCAACGTCCGAAAAGAGCCAGGTCTATCAGTGCTCAGGTCCGGGCCCAAGTAGTCCCACGGTCCACAACTCCCGGGTTCAGGACACCTCAACATTCCTTCCTCAACGTCAAAAACCGGACTGATCTTGATGCCCGATTCTTGGCGCTCAACATTAACGACGAAGATATACAGATGAGTAATAATGACTTTATGTACAAAAGATTGGAAACAATTGGATCCGGGTCGTATGCGACGGTTTATAAGACTCAGAACAGGATGAGTGGACAGTTTTTCGCCCTCAAAGAGATCAAACTGCAACCACAAGAGGGGCTTCCTTTTACGGCAATACGGGAAATCAGTCTTCTGAAGGGCTTAAAGCACACCAATATCATCAGATTGTATCAGATTGTGCATCAACCCCATGCTCTTGTCCTGATCTTTGAGTACATGGTATGTGTTTTATTCGTAATAGGAGTTCTTGTCAGAAAACGGACCTCAGCAAGTACATGGACAACTTCAAGAATGGCCTGGACCCTTTCCGAACAAAATTATTTCTTTTTCAACTCCTGCGTGGCCTCGCGTTCTGTCATGAACGAAAGATCTTACACAGGTACGACTACTGGATGGGAAGTATTTGCTTTTAGAGATCTAAAACCTCAGAATCTGCTTGTATCGGAAACCGGGGAACTCAAGTTGGCGGACTTTGGACTGGCCCGAGCCCAGTCGGTGCCTTCCAAGACCTTCTCCCACGACGTTGTCACTCTCTGGTACCGTCCCCCCGACGTTCTCCTCGGCTCTACGCATTACTCCACTTCTTTGGATATGTGGTATAACACATTTGTACGAAATGATAATTAATTTCAGGGGCGTGGGATGCATCTTCGCGGAGATGATTACTGGATTGGCCGTCTTTCCCGGAGGCAATTGCGTGGCTGATCAACTGGACAGGATCTTCAGCATCAGAGGGTTGCCTCAGGATTCCGATTGGCCCGAGGCGAAGTCTTTGCCCAAGTTCCATCAATATTCCTTTGCCCATTACTCCGAATTGTCCTGGGGATTGGTGGATCCTCAATTGGAAGAGGTCGAGGACAATGGCGCAGACCTTTTGTCATCATTCCTCATGGTATGTTAGATTATTCTGCATTTATTCTCGCAGCTGAACCCGCGTCTTCGTATCTCCGCCTTCCAAGCCATGCATCACGAATACTTCCATTCTCTGCCATCTTCAATTCACTGCTTGGATCCGGAAGAACCGGTGTTTAATGCCTTCAAACATACGATAATTTAACTCTCAATGTGCTCTCACTGCACTGCTAAATGTAACTCGGTCGGGTAAAAATCTTAACTTTATATACTGCGAGGAGTTATTTCGGATTAATTGCCGGGCAAAAGGGGAACCGAAGGCTCAAAATTATTATTCACATTACACATGTTTTTGATCAGAAAAAATGTTTTTTGTACAGATAAGACCGCACTTTTATAACCCGAATCAATGCAGAGAACGCTGTCTGCTGGAGACACAAGAATACCGACTACTCGAACATCGTCTTAGAGAGAGGGACGAGAACAACGGAGTACAACGCAGCATGTCCTTCAGTTGGATCGATTCGTAGTTTTCGATGGATTCTTGGAACTTTTCGATCCACACTTCCTAAAAAGGATGTATAAACCAACTTCAACTGTAAAGGGAACTCAAACGGCAGTTTAATTAAAGGTCCAACTGGCTAGCCAAAACCCTTATTCCTAACTGAAATAAGATCCAAGGCTGTCTGTCTGTCGTGCGTTCTATTTTCACCTTTAATAGGCTTACACGCCTAATTTTCCAAACAATATAAGGATGGTGGCATAAAAATCAAATCGGGTTTCGTGGCCAGAAACCGCCATCTCTTGTCTGTTAGGAATTTTTGAAAATTTATTTATTACGTAATCACTACTGGGAATTGCAAATTTTTGGCTACCCTTCATTTTGGGAACATTTTATTTGGGGCAAATCCGGTATCGGGCCAATATTTATATTCAATGTTGCAAAATTGGTCGACTAGCTAGCCAAGTGGGTTAGTCCGTGTTCACACCGGAGGATAGGTCGCTCATGACTAAGCTCGTGACCTAGAACAAGGAGGATGCCTAAAATTACCATAAAATGGTTGACTATGATGTTCAAGACACTTTTTTTAGGCCAGGCCGTCACCAAGCTCACGACCTAGATAGCTACCTTGTTTTTTCCCACAAAAAAAAACAGGATTTCACCATGGATTCTTCGCGCTGACCGAACTTTAACGCCTTTTAAGGGGCATACCTGAACTAGCCACGACCTAGGTCGCGAGCTAACAAAGTTCAGAAAAAATTAACGCGATTTTCAAAATCAGCACCTTCAAAAACCTCTAAATCGAGTATTTTTTGTTTCTTGAGTTTCTAATACGTAATAAATAAGTTTTGGCACAAAAATTTATTTTCTGCAACTTCAAAAAAAGTTGATTTGGTCCAAAAGGGAAACCGAACCCGTGTGGGGTCCCCCTCTTGATTTCCAGACTACGGCACTAGCCACTCGGCCACACTACACTCTTCCGATATGTCCCGTCGAAAAGTAGGAGCCCCCATAAAAGGAACTGGGACGATTGGGGAAAAGTACGATTGGGGAAACCAAAAAGTATTACTTTTTTTGATGCAAATGTCAAAGTTAGGATAATTGAGGGTGCTTATTTCGAAAATAACATTCATTTTTTGACTCTTACTTTTTTCCTTAAGTAGTGCTGTAAAGTAGTAACTTTTGATTTTTTTCATAAATACTCGATTTAGGGGTTTTCGAGGGCGCTGATTTCGAAAATCATGTTCATTTTTTCTGAACTTTACTAGTTTTCCTTAAGTAGTTGTGTTAAAAAGTAACTTTTTGAAATTTTTCTAAAAATATTGGATATAGGGGTTTTCGAGGGTGCTGATTTCGAAAATCATGTTCATTTTTTCTAGTTGTTATTTTTTTCTTAAGTAGTACTGTTAAGTAGTAATTTTTTGAAAATTTTCCAAAAATACTGAATTTAGGGGTTTTCCAAGATGCTGGTAGTACATAGTATCAGATAGTACTAATTAGTAATAGAGGAAAAGTTAACATGATTTTCGAGGAAAAAGTTAGCATGATTTTCGAGACCAGCACCTTCGAAAACCCCTAAATCTAGTATTTTTGGAAAATTTTCAAAAAATTACTACTTAACAGTACTACTTAAGAAAAAAATAACAACTAGAAAAAAATGAACATGATTTTCGAAATCAGCACCCTCGAAAACCCCTAAATCGAGTATTTATGAAAAAAAAGATCAAAAATTACTACTTTACAGTACTACTTAAGGAAAAAAGTAAGAGTCAAAAAATTAACCCTTTCCGGACGAGTCGGCACGTATATATTAGAATGAAAGAGGGTACCCTACTGAGTAACGGCATAATAGTGGTTCAGCCCATCGAAGCGTTATTTGGGACTTATGACAAAAAATGTCCTGAAAAGTACCCCCACTTGACATATCACTTTTAAAATTCTTGCGACATGCTGTAAATCGGAAACTACCCCTGAATTAAAGTCGAGGAGTCCTAGTATTGTTACATCCAAGAACTGTCCAAATCCGAGCACCATAGAATTTGTTATGGATTTTTGGAAATTGAATTTTTAATTTTGGTCAATTTTGGACCTAAAATCAAGTATATCTTCCGCCGGTATCAACCATTTCGGTCCAAATGTGGTTTTTCCGAATCTATTGTGATGTTAGCTTCTTACTAGAATATTTCCAGAAAAAACCTATGAGGCATATTTCTGTAAAACGCGGAAATGTTGAAAGTGTAAAGGTTTGATCGTATAAAATGTCGCCGCGAGCCGCGAAGGAACGGGCGCAGCTTGAAACAAGAAAATAATAATTTTTTCTTTGATAAATATTATTTTAGTGTCAACAAGATGATTCAACACGAAATACAGACAGGAATAGCACACAAACGTTACCTAAATGTCATTTTTATACTTTTACTCTGTTTTCAGGCAATTTCCATCGGTTTTAATTTGGTTTCACACTAAAATCAAATTTCTCAAATTTTTTTTATTATTTTCTCGTTTCGAGCTGCGCCCGTCCCTTCGCGGCTCGCGACGACATTTTATACGATGAAACCTTTACACTTTCAACATTTTCGCGTTTTACAGAAATATGCCTCATAGGTTTTTTCTGGAAATATTCTAGTAAGAAGCTAACATCACAATAGATTCGGAAAAACCACATTTGGACCGAAATGGTTGATACCGGCGGAAGATATACTTGATTTTAGGTCCAAAATTGACCAAAATTAAAAATTCAATTTCCAAAAATCCATAACAAATTCTATGGTGCTCGGATTTGGACAGTTCTTGGATGTAACAATACTAGGACTCCTCGACTTTAATTCAGGGGTAGTTTCCGATTTACAGCATGCCGCAAGAATTTTAAAAGTGATATGTCAAGTGGGGGTACTTTTCAGGACATTTTTTGTCATAAGTCCCAAATAACGCTTCGATGGGCTGAACCACTATTATGCCGTTACTCAGTAGGGTACCCTCTTTCATTCTAATATATACGTGCCGACTCGTCCGGAAAGGGTTAATGTTATTTTCGAAATGAGCACCCTCAATTATCCTAACTTGGACATTTGCATCAAAAAAAAGTAATACTTTTCGGTTTCCCCAATCGTACTTTTCCCCAATCGTCCAACTCCGCCCATCCCATAAAAGTACTTTCCTTGTTAGAAAAATTTCAAAAAATTACTTTTTGACACTAATATTCACGAAAAAAAGTAACAATCAGAAAAAAATAAACAAAACTTTCGAAGTTAATAACGGTGAATCTGTCGCGGCCAACGTGCCTCCTCGTTTCTGCGAGGTCGGTGAAGCCTTTTATTTTTTCCCGGTTTCGGAAGTGTCACTATTTCGCCATTCCGGAAGTGTCCAAATTCCGAAAATGTCTTGACGCGAAAGAAAGTGTCTTAAACGTCAGGCATTGACTGTGAGACCATTTTCGACTAACTTTACGCAACCTTCGTGACCTCGGTCACGATCTGGATCACGATCTTGGTCATGAGAGATATCCGCCGGTGTGAACACAAGAGTAACCCGCCTGGCTATCGAGTCAACCAATTTTGCAACATTGAACTCGAGATGTGATTTCCACCGTAAAATACCCCCTATTAAAAAACCCGAAATATACAGGGTGTCTTAAGAAATTCCGCGGCAAGTTTTGTCGATTTCTTGGCGCCCAGCAAAGATATCCAAAAAGTTTGTTTAGACCCTATTATTAGCACTTTCGTGAATGGACGCTTGCACTGCACGGCAACCCGAAAACAAATTGAAGACATAGATTGAGTCAAAACAATAAAGCCACCTAGTGTGGGAAATACTATGCAAAAACCTTACCTTTTCTTGTTTGCTTGAGGTCTGCAATGTGTAAACGGAGAGAACCTGATAGTATCTCGTCAGATGGATCACCACGAACGCGTTCTTCAAAGTAACTGAAAGAAGATCATTTAAAATCCTTTGAAAATTACCATTGGCATGTGAATCGTCTGAATCGGCATCACAAAACACGCAGGAATCGAGAGGAACGGGTTGTTTATGTACAATGTAATATTCTTGACGTGTAGAAGAAGTGAGACCGCCCTTCTAAACATTCGAAGATTCGAGTCTCGCATCAGAACCTACCATTTTTGATTTAGCTCCAATCTTTTTTATTTTAGTCACCAGAAACATATCGTTGAACAGAAAAGCGTAGCAATCCGAGACCTTTCCGTTTTCCACAAATTCCAGGGGGCCTTCGTGAACCAACTTCCGTCGTGGATGTGCCAAGAGATTCTCACAAAACTGCCGAGAAAGGGCGCTTTTCAAAAACTAAAAATGTAGAGTAAGCTTGGGAAATACTTACGTCTGGGATGTAAGTCCTTGGTTCTAGATCGCTGATTGATGGCCAAACGACCTGATTCTGGAGTTGTTGAAGTCGCTCAAAGTTATGTAGCCACTGGACACTGTCATCGATCGACCCTAAACAACCATATTATTTGGAAACTCGTCAATCGGGGTCGTAATCGGCTGCATTCTATCGATTACCCAATACCTCCCTGTTTCAGCATTTTTTTTCTGGCGGTCATCTTCGATGCTCCGCGGTTATTATTGGCCGGTGTCATTATCGAGGCGCGGTCATCATGACATTGCTTCAAAAACGACGACAAATTTTTTGATCCTTAGTTTTTCCTTACGTAGTACTGTTAAAAAGTGAATTTTTCGTGAATTACTATTTATAAAAATATAATTTTTTGAGCCCTGCAAGTAAAAATCGTGTCCGTGCACTACGGGCAAAACCATTACGGACAGATTTCTGAAACCCTTGTAAATCTTTGTACAAGTGTGTGTTTTATGTATTCTTTACTTTTTTCTTAAGTAGTACTGTTAAAAAGTAATATTTGGATTTTTTTGGGGAGGTTTTCGATGGCGCTTAGACATGGCTAGTGGGCCGGGCCGGCCCGGCCCGGCCTAGCCCCCCGGGGGGGCGGGCTGGGCGGGGCCGAACGAGTTTTAAAGGCCCCGGGGCCGGGCCGACCTCTTCCGGCCCCCGGGCCGGGCCGACCGGGGGCCCCCGGGCCGGGCCGACCGGGGGCCCCCGCCAGGCCCCCAATCGGCCCCCAATGACAAAAATTCCCAGTCTCAAAGCGAAAATTAGCGTTGCCAACAAAAATAAAATGCAGAGCCAAGAACCGATTGGGTCTTTTGAAGTATATACATGGCAATGGTTGGTAATTTTTTGTTTCAAATTTTTTTTTTCGATTGTTATAACAAAAAAATGGGGGCTACGGTAGTACAACCCCCCAGTCCAGTTCAGCCCCCCCTTGACCCATTATAAACCCGCTCATCTAATCTGAAATCCCTACTCGGGATTGCGTTCTCTCGGCTACGATCATCGTTGCCTGAACCACAAGAACGAATTTGGACGGTAACTGGGGGTTTGAGCTAAAACGCCGGGGGTCATTTCACTCTAATTTCCATTTTTTGTATTATTCTAATTTTTTAATTATGGGAGGTGTGAAATGGATAAAACAGTGGAGGTTTGAACTACCTTTTCGTGGGAGGCTGAACTACCAAAGCCCCAAAAAAATGTATAATATCTCGTAATGAATGCAGTATTTATATTTACAGTTCGGCCCCCGGTAGGCCCCCGGCCCCGCCCGGCCCCCTGGGGGCTGGGCCGGGCCGGGCCGAGAAAATTTGACGGGGGCCGGGGCCGGGCCGACCTCTTCCGGCCCCCGGGCCGGGCCGCGATTTTCGGCCCGGCCCGGCCCCCCAGCCATGTCTAATGGCGCTGATTTCGAGAATCATATCAATTTTTTCTGAATTTTACAATTTTGCTTAAGCAGTAGTGTCATTTTCGCTGGAAAGACGAAAAAAGCGTCATAAGTTTTCTCACAATATCATACAAGTTTGACCAAGTTTTTACCAATTAAAACATTTATCTTAAAGAATTGAGGAAGATAGGCAAAAATTCAGAAGAAATGGATACAATTTTCAAAATCAGCACCACCGAAACCCCCTAAATCCATTACTCATTTTTTTTAATTACTAATTAACACTACTGCTTAAGCAAAATTGTAAAATTAAAAAAAAATGGATACGATATTCGAAATCAGCGCCATCGAAAACGCGAGAAAGCGCATGTCGCTAGTGCAAAAACGGGAATCGCAGCGGCGTAAGCGGAAGAAAAAGAAAAACGCACCGTGCAAACGTGTCGGGACTTTCTGCCGCGGGTAGTAAGAGTGTAATTTTGAGAAATCATTGCAAATTTTATAACTTTTATTTTGCCTCGACACGAAAACATTGGATGCCAGGAAAGCGGAACGGAAATCACTACAACTTTTTTAAACACCTCACGGTTTGCCCAAAACGACAAAAAAACGCCCGAAAAGACTTTTCTTGTTTTTTGCGAAAACCACTTTATACGATCAAAGTTTCAGAGAACTAACTGGGATGTTCACCTTGCAAGGCATTCTAAGCGTTACTGAAGATTGTGATTGATATAATTAGCATAAAGAAACACAATATTATCATCCGGTACTAGAAATGTCTTGTTAATAGACAAATATTATCTTGGCCAATGGAGTAACGAATAGACCAAGTAGCCAACAACACAACTTTTTTTGCGTAATTCTTGGATTAAACCGGAATTTTTATTATATTTTTGCCTATTTTTATATTGTACATGCACCACGCTTTTTGGTTACACTCATCTACTTCGACTTGCACCCTATCAACACATTTTTCGCCATCTCTAGTTCATTTGGAGACTACCCTCGTTCCCTGTCAGTCCTACTGTGCTTAAAAAAATTGAAATATCACAATGCTCAGTGCATCAGAAAAATCGGAAAAATTATTCTCCGTAATAAAATTAATATTATATTATGTAACAATAATATAACTACAATCATCATTCTTCAAATATTAAACCTGTGTGCCGCCCTTCCATAAAGATCATCATAATGGGACATTAAATCATTTTTCTACTACCACTACCAGTTTCCCGATGGTTTTGTCATCTTCACCATGATGACACTCTTTTTTCTGATTACCTTTCCACAGTTACCACATAAGTAATATTACCTCAATGCTGTTACTTCTCACGTCAAAATCTTTAAAAGATTAGGACAGTATCGAACATTTTTGTCAATAATTTTTAAGGCATTATGTTTTTGCTACCATATCTACGGGATTTTGGTCATGACAGAAGCTGTTAAAACCCACGGTACAGTAAAAAATTGCATCTAGCAGTGTAGTTATTTGTTGTACAGCCCAGGAGAACCGTCACGACATCCCCTAGCCATCATGAAATTTATTAAAAAATTTTCACAATGTTGTGTTCTACAGTATTTATAGAGTACTGTAAAATGCCTACTTTTTGCGATTTTTTCTTCCGTACACCCCTCACTCCGAACACCTATGCCAGAAATCAATGGGTAGATGTGGAAAATGCAAGTCAGGTTTGATAAATGCTAGTGACACTCAGACCAGACCGGCTGTAACGGTTTTTTCGACGTAAAGTTGTTTTACACATCAATTTCCAAGTACTTTTTGGACCCTTCATTGGGGTCCAGAAAATGACCCTTCAAAATTCACCAAATTGCATGAAATTTTCAAGATATGCTGTTCTGATAGTCATGTAACTAACAAAAATCAAACATCTTGAAAATCACCTCTAAGAAGCCATATATGACCCGCTAAAAAGCGCCTTAAAATTGCACATTTTCGAAAGCTCACGGCAAGTCAGAGTTTCGACATGGACGATGGGGAAACATTCAATACGACAGAAGAAGTGTGCAAGAATTCATTTTTACTCTTATTTTCTATCTTTCTGTTAGTCTTTGCTGTCTTTTACATTCGAACTTTTACCCTATAATTCCGAAATTTTTCACGACTCGGGCGCGAAGTGCGAAGGGCTCGGGCGCTTTTTTGTCGTTTTTTGTTCTATGTGGGCAAACCGTGACCTGCGTATGCGGTAAGACGTATCAAAACTTTTTACACTTACAATAAATTTGCTAATATAACAGTACTTCTAAAGGTTTTGTATCAAAGTTTGTCTTAAGTATTTTTGAAAATTAAACTTTTTTTCAGAAAAAAGCTTGATTTTCAAAATCAGCGCCATCAAAACCTCCTAAATCGAGTACTTTCGGAAAAAATCCAAAGATTACTTTTTACCCGTGTTGTTTTTAGGGCTTGAATTCCTTACGTAGACTTTCGTTCATTGTATCGAGAACCTTCTCCAGTCGTTGTTTATGTTCATCACTTTTTGTGTATTTCAAGATTTCTTTTATGAGGATGGGTAATCGGGTGATTCTCTGTAACGGCGCGATCAGAAGATCTTCTAATTGTAATCTTCCACATCTCGGATCTGTCAAACAGACCCTCTCAAACTCCACAAATCGTTCTTCCTTCTGTCTGACCGAGCCCAAGTATTCAATTGTAGCCTTGTAATTGATACAGTATGCCTGATAAGCGGAGATGGTGGACGGCCCTTTGGAGAAGCGCTCGAAAAGTTGGACCACAAGTTCAGTGGTCTCGAAATTGTTTTCGGCATTCAGTTCTTTTGAAAGCGTCAAGAATGACTGACAGAAGCGACGACTTATCTTTAAAAACATCCGCAGACAGTAAAGTAAACCTACTCGACATAACTGGTCTAGGTTTCCGAAAAGAAGCTCAGGTTCCACTGAAAGGAGACAGCCCTCGACTTGACACTTCTTCAAGGGTTCCTTGTAGACCTCTCTGATTGTAAAAATTAGTCGTTTATATGAATTACTTACTTCAAAACCAATAATTGCTTCTGCAAAAAGACCAATTCACTATGGAAGAGTTCCCAGACGGCCTGAAGTCTCCTCTTGTCCAAGTCGTCGACTTCTTCGGCTCCTGCAAACAGTTCTTCCCATTGAACTGACAAGAGTTGAGCCAGATCTTCATCTTCGCATTCACGATCGGGGGAGGCGTCTAGAGCCGTCTGGACGTGTTTTACAATCTCCCTGCTCTTGGCTCGATGGGACCATTCGTAAAGTCGACGGAGAATCCAAGGGGATCTCGTCTTCGTGGGTTCGCTGTTTTCTGCATAAAAGGCTTGGGTCGCCATTGTGGCTCGTTGTAAGTCTGGAAAAATTTTTGTTTGAGTCCTTGAGGGGAAGCAGCCCTGGCATTCCTTTAATCCGCTTTCCAATGGGCTCTCTAAACTTTTTACATAAATGGCTGCGGAGGGTCTACTATATTGTTTACCAAACTACCTGCAAGAAGGCCTCCACCTGAAGAGATTGCTCGATTGAAAAGATAAGACTCATTAGGCAGGATCTGAACATGAGGCACGATTATCACATTGTCGTCTCCATGGTTCTTTTGACGTTCGCTGAAAGTTTCGGAAGTTCTTCTGTCTTGCAAATCGGGTGTAATTCATGGAACGTCACAGTGATGAACCCTCAGACTAACTTACGCTTCATTCTGTTGTTCTTCGGGAATTATGGCATCCCGTCTGAGGAGTTGTTCTCTGTTGGGATGGATAGTTTGAATCTCGGCTTCTTCAGACTGAAAATGAAAGGATTTGAGAGATCAAACTTAGTCTACATGTAAGTCTGTTGGGAAAGTAACGGCGGGTCGTTGCGCCTTGGAATCGCCCATCATTGCGTTGCGATGGCAAGCCGCAGATGGAAACTGCATCCTTTTTTCGACGAATTATTTTTCCGCGACGACCCACCACTATTTTCCCGACAGACTGATAGTGTAGCTGCAAAAAATTGCATTATACCTGTTTGATTAGAGAATTGCCGCGCAGATGATGGAACAACGCCAACTGTCCCGAGTCCGCCATTACTTCCCTGAAATGTGGAAAAAGTAAGAAAAGGAAAGAAGAACCGAGGATAATGTTCTGATGCGCTTAGGGAATCAAGGGGTATCAGTGCGAAGGATTTGATGTATTGACTGGCAAATGTTTATAATTAAAGGAACATGGAAGAGATGGGCCTTTTTCCCTCTGGCATTCAACCCCAAGAGACAAACTATTGGTTGTTAATTGGCGGAGGGGGACGCAAAATTAACTAGGAGATGCGCGGCCCAAAAGAAAGCAGGACGGCTTTCACTTCACACCAGCCGGTCCATTAGAGTCCCTTCCGTCTATCTTCATGTATCCTTGACGCGTATTTTGGGACATGTCCCTGGAGGAGAATTCCCCCCTTCACACCAATCTGTTTTTATTTCCATCTACTTAAGGGCTGCCCCTTCTAAACTAATAAAGCCTGGGGACGCCAAACTTGGAGTCCGTTTCTGGGTCACGCCATCAACATATGAGACCTCTGTAATTATGAGCTTATATTACACCTATAACAGTGGCAGGAACGTTCCCTCTTTAAAGCGGAATGTCGAAATGAAAAACGGCATCGATAAATAACCGAATTGCTATTGGTAGGATAGTAAAAACGTGCGTTAAGAAAAACTGAAATCTGATGATAAAGACAGAAAATACCCCGTACAAAGCTCATTATTAATGTACTTGAAACTGTAGTTAATACTTCAGCTAATATTATAATTAGTTCAAAAAACATTAAGGTCTACACAACGCTTACCGCACATCTCCTGAGTGTTGGAACTGGTAATAAATGGATGAAACTTTGAAATCTTCCATCATCTTTTCCCTCACTACATTAGTCCAATTGTTTATATTATTGCTGTTTGACACAAAGACTAGGTCTGGCTGATTAAAGTCGCTTAAATTTCCAAAAACTAATACTTTTGAGAAATAATCAAATTGTGTTGAGTGGGATTTGAGCACGGAATTAGAGCAGGGAATTAGGCTCCCTTTACAAACCATTGCGTAGCACTCCAAGACTCCACTAAATGTAATGTTAAACAGCCAGACTATTAGGTTGTCGAATAAGTAATGTCGTTTTTCAAAACATTTTTTGTACAACAAAATTTACCGTAATAACGACACTCTTTTTGATCAAAATAAAAAACATGCGTTTTAACACGCTCATTACAACACGCCAAAAGATTTTTTAAGTAGCTTAGAAACAACGACATCTGAAGCCAATGAAACTTTTGAAGGCCTATTCAACAGAGTCTTGATTGATAAATTCCCTACCCCGGATGAAACCCGTTAGATTCTTGAATAGTTGGCAATCTGTACGGCACAGCCTGGCGCGTACGCCGGGCGAGTGAGAGTCCCGTATCTCTATTAACTCACCTTCTGGAGCGTCGTCTTCACAACGTGGGGTTGCGCATTGTTCCGAAGAACCTTTTGATTTCTGCGGCATGTCGTTAAATAAATATTCTGCCATAAGGCAGCATTTACATTTTGGCCATCTTTAGAAAGCTGTATTGCACGATGCCCATGCTGCACCATCAAGCAGTGGTCATCAACTTGTTTAAGGGAAAATCTGATTTCATATCGTCTGGTTGTCGTACTCATTATTGGACAACCTAATATTCGGAAAATAGAACTTTTATGATACATGCGCTGCTATGTTAACAATTTATTTTTAATTAACAGAACTTAGAAGAATGCCAATTAAACGGCCGTCCTCTTCAATTTCTTCCTTGGGCCTCGTCCAATTGAGGGCATTGAGCATGGACAAGGCCTTCTGAACGTTCTCAGTTTCGTAAATGTTTTCATCAGCCATACTTAAATAATGTTGTAGAAGTTCTGAAGCAAGAGATCGAAGAGCAGAGTAAGGGCAGACCAGGCATGAGCAAAGCATCCTTCTGGCTTTAGAATTAACGTCAGAATTGTAATTCAACAACATCAAAGAGCCGACCGTTTTCAAAACAACGTGTTTCAATTTGGTGCTGCACTTCCCTTTACCAATCTGTAAGTTTCCAATCTCATAATCAACAGAAATTGTTTTAGTATAAAATATATAGATAGGTACCTTAAGAAACTCTTCACAAACATGAGTAAATGGAAGAGAGATCGAAGGATCCGACTCGTAGATTTCGAAAATCCGACGTTCCACCATTACTCCGAATGCTCTGCAGTATCTGATCTGATCATCCAAAGACTCCGATGACCCAAAAAAATCCGATAAAATTTCGACAAATCCATCCATGAACTGTAATTTACTTAAAATTCTAGAATGAACCTCACCTTCTGATCCATTTTTCTATTATCCCGATTCAAGTAAACAAACAAAAATTCCCATGCTGACTTCGCGACCGAAACGACGAGACTTCCTGAACAGCAATTGTAATGATAAAGTCATCTTACCCAATGCAATCACAGCTCTTCGTAACACATATTGTTTATTGCAGCAATCATAGATTACATCAGCAAACATTTGTGGATCCAGGGTCTCCTTCTGGAAAACGCAGACCATTCGTTCTTTGTCATTAATGGGAATGTCGGTTTGAAGAAGAGATCGAATTGTTTCATGGGCCACCTACAACAACATGTTATGATGCATGGCTTCATTACCCGGGTGTTATTGTCAACTGAGTCGAACAAAAGGCCGTAGACATGTGCCAATACCACATTGATATCTTCTCGTTCTAAGACTCCACCTCTCATTGCATTTTCAAGGACGGTTACTGTATTCTCAAGGGCTGCTTGCCGAACAAATCGGCCAATGTCCCCATTCTTGGAAGCTGTCTGATCTTTGTAACAAGATAATAAACTAAAGCAAAAAATAGTAAAAATGTTGTGATCTTACAATTAGTTACCTGTTCAAAAGAATTTTAAAATCGTCTCTCCGTCCACGAATAATGTAGAGTGAAACAAGCGCTCTTAATGACGCTATTCTCGCAAACACCCAAACGTTTTCTCGAGGTCTAGAAAATCAGTTATTTCATCAAAAAATCTGTTCTAGAAGGCTGCTTAAAAAATTTTAGACGCATTTTCCGTCAGAACCGTCATTCTTAACCCTGTCCGGAGTCTAGCGCCTAGAGGTGCGTAAATTTTCGGAAAGGGCCAACAGAAAATTTTATTCATTCAACCTTAAACCTACCGTATGATTTGCTCGTTCAAAATATTTCGAATCGTCAAGATTTCTTCCGTGTAGTCTATGACCACCGCCGCAGGAAGGTTTTCGACAGCCATGGCATTGGCCACCAGTCGATCTTCATTATCGGTGGACTTCAGCTGCAGAAAATGTTATATACAGGGTGTTTCAAGAATTATGGAAAAAACTATTCGTTAATAACTTTGTGCTCGGTGGTCCAATCCGAAAATTTTTTTTTCTTTTATCGGCGGAGACGTCCGTAATCCGCCTTGAATTCGGCGGAGTGCTTTTCACAAACGAGGCTGTAAAAATGGGTTCATTTTTTTCTCCGCCGAATTGCCTCTTTTTCTTCTACCAGTGGGCCGAAGACGTAATAAGTCGTATTTAGGCGCCATGCGACCAGTAATACCATACGTTTTTGGTTTTAGCCAATTTTGACTCTCCAAAGTCGAAGAAAAATCGTCCGTCGAAGTTAAAAAATGTCTGCGCCGAATGACAAAAATTTGAAATAAATGTCATGTTGTATCTTCTGAATCCTTTCCCGCCCATTTTCTTCACACATACAACAATTTACAGCCTTATTTGTGAAAAAACACTCCGCCGACTTCAAGGAGGATTACCGAAGTATCCGCCGATCAAAGAAAAATTTTTTTTTGATTCTAAAAAATCAAAGGTTTTCCTGTAAAATGCAAAAAAAAATTCGGATTGGACCACCGAGCACAAAGTTATTAATGAATAGTTTTTTCCATAATTCTAGGAACACCTTGTATATCAAATTCGGCTCGACATCTCTACCTGTACGATATTTGAAGAAAGATGGTTTCGAATCGCCTCTTTATCCCCTGTACGATTCCAAAAGTCGAATACAGACTGCAATACATCCACAAGAAGATCTTTTGTTGCAATTTGCAGTCCCTTGACTTCGGCTATTCTTACATTTTCAAGAACACACTCCACCGTCGAAATCCATTTCATCACCTGGAATATGACAAAAAAAATTGATTACGGTAAGGGGCTGTAATTAAAGTTCTTCGTTTTGATTCAATCCAAAATTTTGGTCTACGTTGATGGCATGTCAAAACGGGACACTGACATTTCGGGCTTCCTCATCGGGTGGCGCCTTTTCGGGTGGGAGACTTCCCGGTCCTCGCATTTTCGGGTGGCGCTTTTTCGGGACTTGTTTTTCGGATGGGGACTTTTCGAGTGATAAGTAAAAAAATGCGAAATCAAGTACAGGGTGTTTCAAGAAATCTTGTATAAAATTTTTGCTTACATCTTTGTGCCCTTTCCAGCTATCCAAGAGGTTTAAGTCGTATTTAAAAAAGACGTGCGTTTTTAGAATATAAGAGTGAAGATGCGCCATTCCTAGGAGCGGTCTTTCGCGAGAAAAAATAAGCATAACCTCAAAGTCATAATACAAAAAGAAATCTGACCGTCACTTTGCAAGTTACTAGGCCCGTGTTGAGGAGAGATTTCATGACTCTACAAATCCCTCTGATCAGTAAAGGAACGTGTTCCAGTTTTCGACTCCGCATTGTATCAAGGCTGTCGGACACAAACGTGACAATTTTGATTACACTCTCATCATCTGTATTCAACTCATCGGAGACTACTGAAATAATCGCGGAGCATGCGAAAAGAAGCCCGTGTTTGTGGATTATATCATGTGTCGCAGTTAGTGCCTCGATCAGATATGGGAACAGCTAAAACTATATAATACAGGACCTCTGATTCCTTACAGTTTCTTTGGAGTATTGGATATCAAGAGGAGACAGCCTCTGCAATGCATATCCAGTCATCTCTCTCACTTTACCATCCCAGTTAATTGTCTTATGATGGCAAAGAAAGTCGAGCATGGGCTTCAAATATTCATGAAAGCGGGCGACATTCACACAAATGTCAGAGAAACATCTTTTAATCATGGCTATAGCTGCAAAATCAATTGCGACGAGCACTTGAATACCATGAGAAAATCCTACATGTCTCCCCACATGCTCCTGATACAATTATTTGATAAAGGAAGCCAATATCTTACTTGAAATGAGGCACTAGCAGCTCTCCGGATATTGACATCTCGATCGAACAAAGCGGTGCAAATCAATAGATTGGAGAGGGGTTCTAGCGATGATTGGAATATCTCCTTGGGATAAGCTCTAGCTATAGACCAGCAAATGTAACAAGCGGAGTCCCTGACATTGGTTTCAGTAGTATTCATAAAGCCGCCAAAGTCAAATAACATTGCCTCTCTTACAATGCCGAGTAGAAGGGGGATAGTCTTGGGTAAAATACATCCACGAGTAGTCAGTTCGGCCAACAGAAGACAAGCGCCGTTCCAAAAACAAGTCGACTTATCTTTTCTGAGCCTGGTCATCAACTCATCCACAACTCGTTGAGTGTGATTCTCCGGCAATCTGGCCAAAATCCGGGCCATTCCCTTTGCCGAGGCCCACCGAACGTCGTTTGAATCAGAATCCAAACACTTCTGTAGGCTTTGCAAGATTCCTTCGACCTTAAAACCATGATCTTGTTCTATTGGATCCACACCTTCTCCTAAAGATCTTCCGAAGTCTTCCACTTGTTGTGTATCAAGACAGCATTCAATCCGCTTATTCTGTCTTTGATACCTCCAATTAGCCAATCTGGGTGACAAATAAATCATGCACGCTCTTTGGAACAGTTTAATGCAATGTACGACGACAACTGCATTTTTTTCGGAGTTTGAGTAACACAGATAACAGTAGTTTAAAACCGGATCAGTAAATCCCATTAACTCTTCGCGTTTTCCCTATAAAATGATGACGATAAATAAAAAAGTAACACATACCAGTTTGAAAATATTGTGCAATATCTGGAGATTGTAAATGGCTGTCTTTGAATTCATTTTGACATCAGTAAGACCATCCGTGAAATGGCTTAAAGCTTTCGAATTGGATGCATTCCGAGTGTACAATTGAGCATAAATATTGCAACCCAACTTCTAAAAAAGTGCTATAATTTGTGAAGAAACGTCTTTGACGTAAGGCAAAGAGAATTGGATGCAACTTGACTCGAATGCCTGATCCGACCCCCGAAGCTTAGACCCCTGAAGGAAATTTTAGGAACGCCCAAAAGCTGTAGAATAGTAAAAAATACACAGCAGTAACTGCATGTCAATCTCACGGAAAAATATACTTATACATACTCCGCGCATTTAATTTGGATCAATATGGAGCTCTAAAACTAAGCAAAGCCGGAACTTGACTCAAGACCAGGAATGGGACCGATTTTCTCTATTTCGTTCGATCTGCGAAATGGCCGTCTGTTTGCCGGATCTGAATCCGGTGGACTATATTTTTTCAATTGGAAGCCAGCACCTGTACTACACGCCACAAAGTAATCGCCACGAAAGACAGTCACTGTGAAACGAGTTGAATATGTTATAAACAATGCTCTACGACTGATGATGACCGTTACCTTTGTTTTTATTGTTAGAAAAAATTTAGCTATAAAAAAGCTTCCATTTCCTGGGACAACCTGTAGATCATGCTATTAACCATGATAATTGCAAAGGTGGAACAGTGCTTGCCAAAAAGCGGGATTGTTTTTCCAGTCTGCCCCAAAAATGTGGACGGAGTTGGACGATTGGGGAAAAGGACGATTGGGGAAAAAGACGATTGGGGAAACCGAAAAGTATTATTTTTCTTCAATGCAAATGTCGAAATTAGGATAATCGAGGGTGTTCATTTCGAAAATCATGTTAATTTTTTCTGAACTTTACTAGTTTTCCTTAAGTAGTAGTGTTAAAAAGTAACTTTTTGAAATTTTTTAAAAAATACTGGATATAGGGGTTTTCAAAGGTGGTGATTTCGAAAATCATGTTCATTTTTTTAGTTATTATTTTTTTCTTAAGTAGTACTGTTAAGTAGTAATTTTTTGAAAATTTTCCAAAGATACCGGATTTAGGGGTTTTCGAAGGTGCTGGTCTCGAAAATCATGTTAACTTTTCCTCTAGTACTAATTAGTACTATCTGATACTATGTAGTACCAGCATCTTGGAAAACCCCTAAATTCAGTATTTTTGGAAAATTTTCAAAAAATTACTACTTACTGGTAAAATTCAAAAATGAACATGATTTTCGAAGTCAGCACCCTCGAAAACCCCTAAATCGAGTATTTATGAAAAAAATCAAAAATTACTATTTTACAGTACAGGGTGGGCCACTCGAAACTGACAAGTTGTTTCTTTGAATTTCTCCGCGGAGACTCCGCCGATTTTTCCAAAATTTAGATTTTTCTGGAGCTGAGACCCGCCATTTTCAACCGACTTACTTTCAAGAAAATATATTTTGAATTGACCTTTCCATGCCTTCTCAAAGTTTTGAAAAATTATTTTCAGGCCGAAACCGCTAAAACTTGGAAAATTTTTGGAATGATTTTGAAAAATTGGTCATTTTTCCGAGTTCTTGGGTGAAATTTTCTTTGTTTTACCTCAGATAGTTATCAAATATTGTTCCAAAAACAATTTTATTTAACAATCTGATTATAATGTTTCTATCTGAGTTATTATGCCCACCTCCTCTCGCATCACAACCTTGTAGTGGCTTTGAGAGTCATGAGCAGTTAAAATTACGTATCGTGGATACGTAATTTTAATTACGTATCTGAGCTTCAAGATGCCCCAAGCCTGACTCGATAACGATTGACGTCGAATTTTTCAATCTTTGTTTGAATTTTTTTTTTTTTTTTTTTTTTTTTTGAGCGTTCGTGCCCTAATGGTAATACAAACAACCCTCTGGTGGCTTTCAATTTGCTTTACAAGGAAAGTACTTCTATGGGGTGTGGAGTTACAGGTCGAGTCATATATCAAAAAATTCGCAAAATTTCTCTGATTCTGAATATGTAAAAATTAGCTGCCTAATTTTGGTTTGTAAGGAGTAAAAAAACCCTCGGAACTTTTCTCGAAACACCACGCAAATGCCTTTTTGACAAAGTTTTTACCAAATCAAAAGCTTGCTTTTGAGTTAAAGTAAACTCTGGTATCTTTACAAGCCTTAAAATATCGCATTTAATTTATACTACACCTTAATTAGTAGTTGCAATGTAAAAAAGGCGCATTTTCATGGTGTTGCGAGAAAAGTTCAGAGGATTTTTTCACCCTTACAAACAAAAATTAGGCAGCTAATTTTTACATATTCAGAATCAGAAAAATTTTGCGAATTTTTTGATATATGACTCGACCTGTAACTCCACACCCCATAGAAGTACTTTCCTTGTTAAACAAGTTTAAGGCCCACGATTTCCCTAAAAAAATCAAAAATTTTCCAAGTCCGAGAAAGTCAATTGAAAATCATTCCAAAAATTTTATAAGTTTTAGCGGTTTCGGCCCGAAAATAATTTTTCAAAACTTTGAAAAGGCATGGAAAGGTTAATTCAAAATATGTTTTTTTGAAATTCAGTCGGTTGAAAATGGCGGGTCTCAGCTCCAGAAAAATCTAAATTTTAGAAAAATCGGCAGAGCCTCCGCGGAGAAATTCAAAAAAACAACTTGTCAGTTTCGAGTGGCCCACCCTGTACTACGAAAAAAACTAATAATCAAAAAAATGAATGTCATTTTCGAAATGAGCACCCTCGGTTATCCTAATTTCGACATTTGCATCGAAAAAAAAAATACTTTTCGGTTTCCCCAATCGTCTTTTTCCCCAATCGTCCCAGTTCCAAATGTGGATGGTATTAAAGAATAACAATTATCTGCCCGGACGGCCCGTTAGTTTGGGATTCTATGCTTAGAAGTGTGAGAGATGAGAGTTTCAGCAGTAGCAAATACACGTAAAGGGGTGCAGTTATGTTACATTCCGCGTACAAAGTTTTGACCCTTTTCAAAAACCACCTTAAACATTCGGGGAAAAAGTTTTGATCCCCCTTAAAAAAAGTTAAATATAATATCGCCAGCAGATGCCGCCCACATCTATCGCAATTGGCGTCTCATACGTATCAGGATTACATTGAAGACCTAACGACCATATCTAGACCCTTCGGTCAACGAGCTAATGGGTCGCCAAAGCTGGACATGACAACAGGATATTTGCCGAATCCACAACGCCAGGCCAGCATGGACTTGTTTGAAAAAAGGGAAGGTTAATGCAGGTTATTACACGTCTAGATCACATGATATAAACATAATTTAGAACTCTTGGAGAGGGAATTCTTACCATTTCGTAGGGCTCAAGTTCAAAATGTTTTAACGCATTGAATCCTCAAATGCAACAAAGGATTAAACGAAAAAGCCTTTATTATTTTTAAGGGGGGGGGGTCAAAACTTTTTCCCCGATTTTTTAAGGTGGTTTTTGAAAATTGACGCTGGATTTTTAAACACAACCACGTGTTTTGTCCTACTGTGTTTTTTTTTGTTACTAGGTCGTGAGTAACCTACAAACCAAATTTGGGTACACTTTCGACCGAGTTATAGAGGGGGGTCTAAACTTTTTACATGGGCCCTTTTCTTCGGTGGCTTTATCGACCCTTTTCAATGGCATTCGAAAATAAATAACGCACTGTTAGATCCTTGGACTCGTTTTCAATCAAGGTTTTAATTCGATAGCTGACAGAATCCAGGCCATCAACATCGGCAGTCCCCCTCGCAATGTTGCGCAGATTGAAAGGATTCTTGATTAGAATGTAGAGCCATATCTGAATCCCTGAGTAGATATCGTTGTTGAATTGTATAGTGCTTTCTGAAGTACTGGCTAAAGAAAAAACTGTAATTAAAAAATGTAGAAGAAAAAACGCACATTTCGAATAGTATTCAGCACATTCCAATACATCCTTCAAGAGATTAATTTCAATCGGCAGATATTTGGAGGTCTGTTTGAACCCGACAAACTTCGAAAAGGTGTTAAAGAATATGAGAGAGTACTCGCTCTGAGAATCCAGAGGAGGAGAGGAAAGACGGACCATGTTCATCAACCGGGAAGTCACCTTTGGGACTATCGGAAACAGTAAATATTTGTTGGAATAAATCGATAAAATATGCTCCAAACGCTCGCATTTCTTCTGCAAAACGAAAGTAAACCTATTTGCTCTCTTAGCACATACCGTAACTTCAGTAGAATTCGAAATGTGAGGGATCCCGTCTATGCACTTCCACAGTTCGCTCGTATGATATTCCGTCAATACAACCGGTTCACATCCAATTACATCGTCTACATTGTCTTCCATCTAAGCTGTAATATAATAATTTATAAATAATCAGCTTACAACAAAATATAATAAAAGTTTGCAACTTCTCCTTACACGACCCGGATTACTATTTACATTTATTAAATACTCGACGTACAGGGGGTTTCAAAAAATATTAATAGAAATATTAACCCTTTGCAAATTCTATCCCCACTACTTCGAATTTTAAAAACGACTTAAACATCTTGTACAGCTACAAACAGCACAAATATATTCGGAAACACTTTCAGGAATATTTCTTGAAACACCCTGCCCGCTTTACATTACGAGTTGACATAACTAATAAATTGGGAGATCTGTTTCTGTTTTTCTATGGTCACTTTATCGAATATCTCGGAACGTGTTATCAAGGGATATAGCCTTTTGCAGAATTCATCAGAATATGGAGGCGAAGTCATCTCTAGTACTTCAACACCAAAGTAACGGACCAAAGAAACATCTATATTTCCTTCCTCATACAATCTGGGAACCAACTCCAGCACTGGCAGAACGTATCCACAGGATAAAAGATGGATGAAACGATCGATTACAACTTTCTGCCTCGAGATCACTAGTTCGGCAATCTCATTCTTGCTCGACTGGCATTCGTATAAACGACAGAGAAGGCGGAAGACCCTAAAGCAATGTAGAATTTTACAGGGTGGGGCATCTTTGTGGCCCGATTTAAATTGCCAATGTTTCATCATTTGGCCCAAAAATAAAGAAGTTAAAGCCCGTTCAAATCAGCCACAAAGAAGCCCCGCCGTGTACATAAATAATTTACTCGCCTATTTCTCATATTTGGATGAAGAGTTGCCACTTTATCTATGAGAACCAGATGGACGGTCTGGGGTTCACTCATGACGTCATCCTTCAATACAATCGACTCTACGTACGTAAGCATGGCCAGTGAGAGTATAGGAAGCTCAATTAGTTCGACGATATCCGATAAGATGGTGACTAAATCATCGGCCCAATCCAATTTGTCAATTAATTCTTCGATCTTATTCCGCACATGATCCAATTCTATCTTTGTTTGCTACAAAATAAATTTTTGAATCCCAAATCCTATACGGAACATACAATCCTCATTCCATTTTTGTTTACTTCTCCCACCGACGCTGCATATGCCAATAAATATACGTATTTGGAACGGTATTCTGGGCTTAACTTTGACGTGTTGACATTGAACACGCTATTCAACAGGATCTTTATAAATATCGGATCTCTAATTATTTCTGCCGGGGGTGGATTTGGGTCGTAATACACCTAGACAAGCGATTCCTCGGACTCAAAACCAAAAATACCTGATAAAGTTGGTGCACATCGGTTGGACTCAATGTTTGCTTCGATACCATATCCAATATGGACTGGATAACATCTGACGAAAACTCGCCGCCTGATGCCTGAGAAGAGTACAGCAACAATGCGGTGGATTCCAGGACCTTATCCTTGACAGATATCCTCAGAATCTGACTAATCTGGTTACACAATGAAACAATCGCTTGACTATTCTGGAAAAATATATCATGTAAGGATGGTGACATACGCATTAAATCGGGTGTCGTGGCCAGAAACGAGGATCTTGTCTGTTAGGCTCTAGAAATGCGCAATTCTTGTCTGGGCAGAGAAAAAAGAAAAAAATCTCCGCAGGGAGGGAGCAGAAATCGCGGTTTCTGGCCACAACACCCGATTTGATGCGTATGTCGCCACCATGATATTACAAACACAACGTACATTCTGAGCAATGCTCTTTAAAGCCGCCTGCGTGTAGTAATAAGTATGTTCGTCATAACAGGAGACCTTTAGAAGTTCATCCAGGGTCATTTGAAAGTCTTTAGTGTTCTCCCCCAACTCGAAGGCCTTCACGACTTCAATGATACAAGAAGCAAATACTTTGGAAAAAATCTCGACCTGGTTAGCTGCCGTGCACACATTGTTAATTTCATTTTGGAACCCGGCATCTGATATAATCTTTACTGCGAGATTCAGCATCAGACATTGTGGATAATTCTCGGAGAGTTCGAAAATTAATTTCCTCCAGGGCTTATGCGATATGAGGTCGGGTAACCATTCAATTCCATCGTTCATGTCAAAGATCTTGTCTGCGTCGTCGGGTTGAAATATTTTAGTCACCATATTATAAACATTGGTCTCAAAACAGAGTGCAGTCCTGAAAATAAGGGCTTAATTTTCATTGCAAAACAACACATCAAAACAGCCTTAGCAATAATTATAAGTGAAGTTACCCGGGCTCTTCACTGGATCCATCCAATTCATTTTCCAGCTTCCCAACAAGAGTGCAAAGTCCTCCAGCAAATTGATACCCCTTAACAAGTTGGTCCACGATATTCTGTCTCGTCGCATTCTGTTTTTCCAATGAATCGACCACATCAAACACCCCTGCCTCGAAGATAAAGTCATCCCCTACACTGCACTTATGGTGAACCTTCAACTTACCTTCACATTCTTGTCCTTTTTTATCGGAGACCATCTTAATTTATACCTAAACTCTCTAACACATACAAATTATAATTAAACGTTTGATATCAAAATGGAACATTACATTGGCTTCCAAAATCTAGCGATAAATAATATTATTTATTAATTATGTCATGCCGGTTTGCGTCCAGGCCAAGCCTCTTTTGCATACTTCTTTTTATATGAACTAGACGAAACATTTGATGTTATTGAAGATGGCTTCATGGAATATGCATCTAAGCTCGGAGCTGAACTAATCGATAAGTCACCCAAAACAGAGCTTGATAGATTCAAATCTGCAGAATCCCTAGCTGGCTGCACGATCCTCTTCTTGGTGGGCGCTAAACTTGTCTGGTCCTTCATCGGTCTTTTGTTACTAATTACAGCCGTCTGAATTAAATTCCTAAACCGGCCGACAGTTGGATCCACATCCTCTGGATTAATCACATCCTCTTCGGCCAAGAATACCACCTTATTTCTGGGTCTCTTTTTCTTCCGGCATTCCTCCACAGTGCATGGAATAGCCGGAAGTCGTTTGTTTTGCATCGTATTGTAGCTCGTCAAATTCTAAACCGAAATGAAAAAAGAAAAAAAATCCTCACATCCACCTCAATCTCGCTTTCTGGAAGAGGAGCATCTTGTTCTTCGGTATAAGGGAGTACCTTTTCTCTGATAATATAACTTCTACTAGAAGCTCCAAAACGAAAAGAGTCATTATAGTCTAAGAACACTGGATGCAAAGGGCTGATCTTCACATTTCGAACAAACGTTCCATGACCTAAACACGTCCCAAACATAATTATGCTACTTACTGCTTTCGAGATCCACGATAGAAAATTTGGAGAGGACCTTGTGATATAATAAAACAGCGTGAACACGTGAAGCGGATGCATGTTCAATTGTAAAGTCGCATTGGTTAGGATTCCTTCCAAAATAGTAGCTTCCTTTTTCGTCAATCAACAATTTCTAAAACCATTTTAAATCTACTTCAAACTACCTGGATAACACGTTCGTCCTTTTGCACGTCCAGATGAGACCCTTGCGGCGGTTTCCCTGCCCATGATGGCACCTTATAAGTTTCGTTACCTTTTTCTGTAGTCATGTATGAAAATATATTTCTTGAGTCTCAACATTTTTTCTAAAAATTTTAAATCGGCAGACTGCGCCCAATTTTATAATTTAATGTGCAATAATACTATTGATTTTCCTGAACGGTTTCAAACGGCGTCGCGTGTTGCGATAGTTGCGCACAAGACGCGAATGGTGAATTACATGTAAGTCGTCGAAAGTATGATGTTAACTTTTTTATGGACGAGCAGTATTAGGTAAAAAAACTGAGTGATCACCGCTTTTCTCTGAAGTTAAATAAAGAACTTCTATACTGACATTGCTGATCTATTTTTTCGTCTTGCAATGAAGGGGTGTGAAAATAGGATACGCTCAGCTCTTTTTGGTATCTATTGAAGCGGCGATGGGATTATGTAAAGAGGAGATATACCTAGATATACATACAATGACCTTGTTCATCGCTAAATCCAATCGATTGTTTAGAGATAGAAGATGCTTTTATTCTTTTTGATCGAGACTTTTAGGTTTATCCCCATCTTTAGTGTTTATTAAATTTAGTTGATAATCTTCGCAAGGTTCTCTTTCTTCTTAACACATGTCGTCGCATTTCATTTTGGCCATAAATAATTCGGCGAACATAATTTACTGATAGAGCGTACAAAATAAAAAAAATAGGAATACCGGAAATTTCTCATTTTCGGCGACCTGAAATTGGTAGACTCGCTTCGTTAACAAAGAGGTATTAAACTGAAACCTGACGTCAGTCTTGAAGGTCTCTTTCGATGACTTGAGGCTCAAGAATTTGCGGAATGAGTCAAGATAACTACAACCTCGTTCGCGGCTGATTAAACCTCGATCCGAGCGGACAAACGACGACGTCAGCCTTCTCCTAGTTTTCGCATCATTTTTGATTTAAAAAGTTTGATCTTTCGCTGATTTATCTTTGTTTTGTTTTATATTTATTCATCTTTTCGTGACCTGGAGAAATAACCTCAAGTCCTTCAGAAATGAGTAGGCTCTTCCACCGACTCAGCTTTCGGCGGAAACCGCGACCCAAGCCCTCGGAGGGGACTAAGAGTGCCCCAGTGTCATGTCCAGACTTGACATATTGCGTCCGCTCCAACGAGATCACGGGATATTTGAATGACAATTCAATCCTGCCCCGCCCAATCCTTAAACGATGCTTGGAATTCATCGACAATATGTTCTTGCTGGTCCACGTCAAAAGCGTAAGCCATATGTTCGAGGAACTGGTAGATGAACGAGTTCGACAAGTTGTCAGCATGGACGTCAGGCGAATAGACTCGGAGTACTGTAGCTGCGAAACCTTAAATGACGGTAATGGGACATGGTATCAACATCCCGGAGATTTGAGACTGTTTGTGAGGATCATCGGAGACCATGTCGACATATTGGTAGAAGAACAATGGACTTCGAAAGAGGTCACTGCGCTTTGCGGAGTCATGAAGTTTTTCCGGACATCACTCACCAGGATCTCCTTGGACGCTGCCGTTATCGAGCTCGTAAGTCCGCTTCTTGAAACACAACTTGATTCTGAAGGTGATCGCAAATCTTTCCCTCATCGACTTGGACCGGTGGTATGCATTCCAATGTTTTATCCAAGCCATCGAAGATCCTCGAGTCCATCTAAACTTCCAAAATCTACCTATTATTGGTGACAGGGACGCTCCTACACAACATTACTGGCCTTCTGTAGAACAATTAGTCATCCGGACCACAGAAAGAGACTCCGTACATCTGGCCAGGTATTATAAAGTGACTGTTTGGAAGATATTTTTAGATTACTTGATTACGGAGTCAGATCTCACACAGTCCTCAATAGAACAAAGCTAGAGGAGTTGAGAGTGGAGGTTGAAGGGATTGAGAAGATGAATCGGGGATTAAATAGGAACTTGTATCACTTTCGTTGTTGGGCTGGCTCGGCTGGCTTCGACGATCGCTTTTCTCATCACTTTGCAATTGGGACGGCATAATTATACGGCGACAACAGGTTTAAATAAATTGTAAATAATCGTGATTACACAGCCTGAACGGCAATAAATTAATTAAAATTTCAAATCGATATTTTCTGAATAATTAATATTCAAGATCTGAAACAGGATGGCTTAATATTATTCATATTTTTTATCCCAAATAATGGAATTCAAGAAGTGACGTAAAAAGATCAGAATAGATCTAAGAAGTCCAGACGCGTCTGGACTTCGACGGGTTATCATCACCAGAAATCTAATTGAATTAAGATAAACGATAACTAGACTTTTCAACGCTTTCACCAACAATATGCAAGATTTTATGACATAAAAAATCGGCAGTTTAACGCCTCGGAAGTTTACATTGAGTTGAAACGTGCCATTATTGTTGGAGAGAATACCACCGTTTTGACTGAGCAAGTGTCAAGTTTTCGGCAACCTTCGTTTGGGGCAGATTTGATTTGGGATTTTTAATTTGGGTAAGATCGGGTGTTGGCCCAACATGTATGGCCAATGTTGCAAAATTCTTTGACCAGCCAGCCAATGGGTTGAAATCTCAACAAAATTTTTAATGGCTAACCAAAACCCTGGATCGGCTGGTCATATTTACTTGCTATGAAGTCTCAAAAAATAGCCAGCTAAAAGTTTGGATGGGTATCACGGTGTAGGAATGACGTCCGATTTTTAAAAATGGCTAGCCAAGATAGCTGGTGGCAATTATTTGCCAATCTCTTGTTAGGGTTGAAAACTCAGCCCTACATAAACCCCTTTTTCTGATCCTTTGTAAAAAACGGAGAACGATTGGTCGTATAACAGTGTATCTTTCTTTGGATCCGAGTTGGGCGCAGGTCGGGGCATATTTCTTGTGCTTTTTGTGGGGCGTTTTCGTTTTTCTTATTTTTAACACGAAATGAGGCTAGAAAAGTGTTATTTTTGTTCCAGTACGGTCTATCCAGGCCATGGAGTAACCTTTGTCAGAAACGACAGCACGGTAAGTATTGAATCAATGGAGTTATCACTTTTATAGATTTGAATGGTCTCTCTTGAGCTAGACGAACAACTTAAATTTTACTTTGAAATGGTGTTTGCTATGAATACGGAAATTTAAGCCTTTCGTCACGGTCAGGGGTGGCAAAGGAGCATTTTTTCCATTTCAAGCCTGGCCCGGTCAGTAGAGTTCGGAAAATTCGAGTATATTCACCACCCGGGTATATACCCGAAATCTCGGGTATTTATAAAATTAGCCCAATATAGTACCAATATGAAGTCGTTTGCAACTTATTCATTAACTTAATCACGTTTGGAGTGATATTATTTATTTTACCAACTACAACAAACAAAACTAGTACTTTGACAATGAAAAAGTTTAGCAATTCAATGCTTCGCAGTCAGATTTCGAGTTTTTTTCCGTTCATTTTTCGACTCCGGCAAATGGCCAAGTAATTTTCAACCTCAGAACCAAACCTTGAACGGCAAAAAACAAAATGTCAACATTTATTGATTTCTTATGACAAAACGCGACTTTTTTACATTTTTTGAATACAAAAGTATTTTGAAAATTCCCATAAATTCCCAAAAAAACCTGGCCTCTCGGGTATTTGGGTATATACCTCGCCCCAACCCTACCGGTCAGGGGTGGTCGGCGGGCCGTTTTTCCGATTTCCGGCCCGCGGCCCGGCCCGTCTAGGCTTTTTTCAGGCCCGGCCAGTGCAGGCCCGTTTATAGAGGACTCTGCGAAACGCGCTCAAGCTTTGGAGCTAGAGTTAAGCAAAGAAGGCGTTGATCTTGCTGGTAAAGGCTTAATATAATAGTTTTGTGGTTTTTCAGGCACCTCCATAGACTAGTAAACGTTTTAGCAAAAAATTATTCTTTGGCAAGAAATAATTCAATAGTGACAGTTCGTATACTATGGTTGTTAATTTGACAGAATTTTTCAAAATGATGTCAAATTGCCGTCGTTTTGGCTGAATTGAAAATGGTGGTATACGCAGCTTTCAAACCTGTGTTTAACTTAGGCTGTGATGATTACCGTTAATGTTAATCGTAACTAGTTTTCTGATTATTTGATTGTTTGCTTTCACAAGAAGGAACTATTTGGTTCTCAAAAATTTTTTAATTACTACGATTTGGCAAAAATCTACAAAAATTTGCCAAAACAGTTCAATTTGACGAAAAGTACGGAAATTTGACAACGTGACTAACGCGTCAAGTTGACCACTTAACAATACCGTTCGTACCATCGCTGTGAAAAAAATCTGTCGAGTTTCCCCCCGTCCAAGTTCCAAACCCTGTCGAATTTCTTTTGGTCGAGTTTCACGCTGTCCAATTTCACTCTGTCCAATTTCCATATACGCAAAATAGAAGGGGGTAAAATTATTTGAAATTGGACAGTGGTTTTAGTTACAGTAACTAGAACCACTGTCTGTCCGGGCGTTGAGAACAATGAGCTAAGCCTGCACATCAAATTGCACCCGATTCTCATGTTTCCATAAAGTTTTAAGTCGTGGCCAGAATAAGAACTTTTATTCTGTTTTTTACTTTTTGAAAGGTTGAAGGTTAGGTCAGATACGATTATTTTATTTGTTTATAAATTATATTTTTAGGTATTCAAGTTTTGCCGGTCAAAATGCAACAAGCTGTTCAAAAAGAAGAAGAATCCCAGAAAATTACGATGGACAAAAGCTTCCCGCCGTCTTCGAGGGAAAGAGTTGACTGATGACTCAGTGCTTCAACTTGAGAAACGCCGGAATGAACCAACTAAATACGAAAGAGGGCTGTGGAAGGATGCAAGTAAGTTGCTGGATGAGAGTCACGTTGTTATTTTAGTTAATGTTATGAAGGAAACTCATGATGTCAAGCAGAAACGGTACGCTCATTTAATTACAACATCCGTGAAGCCCGGAAAACAAACAACAAAAGCAAACAGATTAGAACAGGCCAAGAAGAAGAGCTATTTGCTGCGTTCGGCTGCCGCCGATGAAGTTTGTGTACAAGAAGAGGAAATAAAGGAAGAGGAGGGAGAAGCCGAAATGGAACTGGCTTGAGAACTTTAAGGGAACATGTTGTTGTTACTGTTATACTGTTTTGAATGATAAAAATTTTGAACGACGTCCAAAGGAAGGAATAAAAGAAAAAAAACGAAGAAACTGATTCCAAAGAGGCCCTCAGGGCACAAAAAAGTATGCTGCCAGACTCTTCGGCCCGGGGAAAGCGTCCCAACGCCAACTGCCTTTTTCAAGTCACGCCAGTGGAACTTTGAACATATTTGCCGTTACCTAATCAGAGTACTGGGTAACCCGGCCGAGGAGGTTTAATCTGTGTTTTATTTCATTTATTTGCATTTCTTCTGATCCTCGCTTCTGTCCCAAAACTTGAAGAACACGGAAAATATCGTTCCTGTGTATTTACTAAAATTCCCTTTTCAAGTTTCTATTTTTTTCCTGGTAAAAATGTAGGTAAACCTCGGAATGATAAAACATTACAGCACCGAGCTTAATTCTTATTTGTTTTTTAATTTGTTTTGTCGTTCTTGTTTCTTTCCTGAATTGCCAAAATGATGTAATAGAGAACACAGCGTCATATTGGATCCACCGGACACAGAAGACTTGGCCATGATGGCAGACACTCCGCCTGAGACGCCGACAATCGTGCCGGCTACAGCTTTAGGCGGGGTGTCCACCAAAATGGGCTTTCTGGGAGCAACCTCTTACGTAATTGGCAATATCATCGGATCAGGAATCTTCATCACTCCAGCCTCGATTCTCAGGAGTACCGAGTCGCCGGGTCTCTCGCTAATTGTTTGGTTTCTGTGCGCCATCATCGCCATCCTCGGTATGACGATGTAAGGTATTGACACGACTGCAATTTTTTCAGGCTCCCTTTGCTACATCGAATTGGGTACGAGTATCAGGGACCCGGGATGTGACTTTGCTTATATTTGTTATGTTAAATGGTATCCCGTAGCGTTTGCTTTTATGTGGGTTAGCGTACTTATGACATATCCAGCTACAATAGCCATAATATCAGAGACGTTTGGGCAGTACTTGTTGGAAGGATTATCTCAGACTTACGACATCCCCAAAGACATGCAGCCAACGCTTCAGAAAGTGTTCGGCATCTCCTTACTTTGTAAGTCTTATTCATTTAGGTTTAATTTTGTAACCGTATTCAGGGTTGGTAACCTGGATGAACTTCTTTGAACTTAGTAAATTTGCTGCTCGGTTTCAAATCGCAGCTACCACAGCAAAACTTTTGTCATGTTTTCTGATCATCGTCACCGGCTTCTATTATTTTTTCATTAAAGGTGCGTTTGTTAAGCCAATTTCTTACCCTATGCAAACGCTTTAGGGTATAATGAAGGTTTGACTGAACCAATGAAAAATAGTAATTATGAGATTGGAAACGTATTAATGAGCCTTTACGGAGGTCTTTATACCTTCTCTGGATGGGATATATTGAACTTTGGAGCTGGAGAAATCCATCGGCCTCGGAGGTAAGATTAATCTATTATCTTTCGAAATATATTGCTTTAAAGAAACATGCCGCTGGCATTACTTTCTGGTATTGGTACGGTAACTGTCATCTACCTTTCCATTAACGTTGCTTACTTCGCTGTACTCGACGTGGAAACAATGAAATCTTCAAATGCAGTGGCAGCTGTATGTTATAGGTTCTCGATTTTAACCGTTCTTACAGATGTTTAGTCAACGAACCCTCGGAGGGTTTTCTTCGGCGATCCCATTTTTGATCGGGGTATTATTAATTGGGTCGTTAAATTCAAATCTTTTTTCCGGAAGTCGGTAAGTGAGAGTTTTTTGATCCAAATCATTTCAAGGTATATGTTTGCCGCAGCCAAGCAAGGCCATTTGCCTGCGTGCTTTAGTATTGTAAACGAGTCAACCCAAAGTCCTAGAGTTGCCATTGCGGCCCAGGTAAGAAATTGCTAAGAATTTTCTGAAAAAGAATACAGTCGGTGTTAGCAGTTGCCATATCTTTTGTTGGAGACCTTGATGCCTTGATTGGGTACGTTATGTTTGGATTCTGGGCTCAGCGCATCTTCAGCCTCGTGGCGTTGCTGATGATTAGACACAACAATATGCCAGTGCACCCGGAAGCCATACGCATGCCTTATTGGGTGTAAGTTAACTTAATCAAATGCACAGACATCCTATTTTTCAGAATTATATTGTTCCTTTGTATCACAGTAGGACTGGTAGTAATCCCAATATACCATGAATTCAAAGTTACATCTCTCGGATTGGGAATCTGTGCAATGGGTCTAGGCTTCTATTATGTGCTGGTCTATCCAACAAGACTTCCAAGAAGCCTAATGGTCATAAATGGTAAGTGGAGACAAAAGCATCCTCATGTATTAGATTTTTTCACCGTAATATCGACTGGGATCTTCAACGGTCTTCCTGAGCAGAAATCAATGCCACCGGTGAACCTTATCAGCTCTGATTCACAACAAAGATTGTTGCCCAGCCGACGAGAATCGTTCAGTTTATTGTCAAATGACTGTGTTACTGATTTACACTCTGACGAGAAAAATACTCTGATTCGTAACGGGTCAAGCAAAGGATTAAGCCGAATGTGGTGATGGAATTACTTCTGTTTGTTTCTTGATATCTCGCTGTTAAATAAATAAACGTTTGATCTATGTCTTCATGTCCCACCCTTGATTCCTGCCCATGGCAGATTTTCCTCCTTGTTTTCTGGCATATCTCATTCTCCCAAGACAGGTGAGGCTGGCTTTACACAAAGTAGGCGGGGCATTTACTGGATGCTGCTGTCGGATGCTGCTGTGGCGCATGCTGATTGGCGGAAGGAAAAGAGAGTTTGCGGTCATTTGGGGAGGAAAATGCGTTTCAGTTGTTGCTGTTTTCGAGTTTTCTGTCGATCAGTTATCTAGCTCTGTCGTTTTTTTCGAGACTGACTGTAAGCCACAATGGGAGATCGCAAAGCCGTGATCAAGAATGCCGATATGTCCGAGGAAATGCAGCAGGAAGCGATTGAATGCGCGACACAAGCGCTCGAGAAGTACGTTTGCATAATAAGTCGCATTTTTTGACAACAGTTCTTTTTGAGGTTACGCTGTTTGTGATATATTTTTTTCCTGTGACTGTTCTCGACTTTTAGATACAACATCGAGAAGGATATCGCTGCATACATCAAGAAAGAATTCGACAAGAAGTACAACCCCACATGGCATTGTATTGTTGGCAGGAATTACGGCTCGTATGTTACCCATGAGACAAAACATTTTATTTACTTCTATTTGGGCCAAGTAGCCATTCTGCTTTTCAAGAGTGGTTGAATAAATTTTTCTTGTTTTATTTAGAATTCTTTAATGCCAACAAAAAGTAACTGTACATTATAGATTTTACCAGAATAGTTTTACAAAAAAGTGAAGGCTGAGAGGCTGAAGAAAATAAACTAAAACAAGCTCTCGAGTCAGTCAGGCCCTTCAAGAGGATAAGCCGCACACTTGGGTTTTGAAGAAATCCCTGTGGTAAGGACAGCGTAACAGACTTGGCAGACGCGGACGTTCTTCGATAAATTATATTTGAGAATAGGCATTTGAAGTTCTGAACATTTTCCACAAACAAGTCTCCCACAATGACGGCAATGGTGTTTCCTCATGGTTAAGGTAAATTTGGATTCACAATCTGAACATGAATCTCCTTCGCTCCATTTCGGCTCTCGGTCCAGCAAAACTGAAAAAGACATTTGTATACTCCACGTTTGAAGAATGTCTATAACGCAAATTGCTTACCAAGTAAGTTTTCAAGCAAATTGGATGCCGGCGATTGTATATGGAAGACAGACTCGCCTTTCTTATTTCTCGCTGATAGACAGACTCCATATTTTAACATTAACCTGCACAAATCTCCGTTTCCGTTCACAAAAGCCAGCAAAAAAGCTGTAATTCGAGTTGAGTTTCACCTATTCAAGGTCACCTGTATTTCCATGTATATCTCCGCTCTCTAACGGATAGTTTGGAATTATTTCAATTATGGTTTGGAACATTTCAGCCGCACAAAGGCCAGAGATGTTTGCACACAGATGTATAATATTCCGATTTCTAAATTTAAACCGTAAAGCGTAAAATTTGACTTACAATTTATTTACCGCTAAAGGATCGACGGATGACTCTAAAAGTAGGGTTTGAACGGAATTAAAAGATGACTCCAATATCGCCAGATGCAACGCTAAACGATATGGATAATAGTGCGGTTAAAAAGGAGATACCGTTGTTTCCTTCGTTGTTCACAATGTTCGGATCAGCGCCGTTCTCCAGGAGAATGCTTATATGGTCGGGCCGATCAAATATGGCTGCCTCGTGAAGTGCAGTCTTTCCAGAGGTGTCGACAGCGTCCAACGTAGCGCCAGCAAGAATTAGGTTGCGCATGATCAGACCACTACTGTACCTTGCACTCAAATGTAAAGGAGAAAGTCGTAGATTGTTTTCCGTTGGGATGTTCACGTCAATCTATAATTAAACCCCTGAATCGTTCCAACAAACGAGAAAACTGACCTGTAACCCCAGTAAGAATAAAACAGCTTCTAGATCATCGTCTCTTATCGCTACGTGAAGTAGGTTCTCTCCTTCTGCATTTACTTGAAGGGCTGCGTATGGTAATCTCTTGCATATAGCTTCCGCATATTTGTTATTTTTGTGATCCATGGCTATAGACAAAGGCGTTTGCCCTTTTTTGTTTCTTATAAGAAGAGCTGATTGGTCGGGATGAGCCAACAAAACATCTAGCGCATCTTTATCCTCATTCATCACTGCCAAATGCGCGGCAGTGTTACCATTGATATCCTGTAATCATACAGACAAATACTGCTTGACAATTCGTACTGCGCGTTTTTCTGAATTTTCGCGTTTGTCGCCGGGATTTCCCGTGTTTGCACTAGCGACGTGCACTTTTCGTGAGCTCACTCCAATTTTCGCGCGCGATAGAGGCGATAAAATCGTCCGAACTTTTTGGCGAGTAAATTTAAATCACGACAACGGTCCATTAATAGCGGATTTCATTAACGGACTTATTAAGTTTCAATTTTTTCAAACTCAACATCGATCTAAGTTCAAGTTCACTGAAAAGTTCTAATGCTAGACCAACAATGCTAGAAATTGAAATTTTCAAAAACCCGAACTTTAACCTGTGATTCGGAAATTATGAAGCCCTGACGGATATCATATGAAATCCAAAGGTGAAAAAACGACTTACTTGATAATCCACCTTACACTTTAAGTTCGACAGAAGGGCACCGACCAATTCGGGCAATCCGTTTTTTATACTTAGGTGAAGCGGGCATTCCAACACGACCTCGCCATTTGAGCGAGCATTCACATCACATCCACTTTTTATCAGAAACAAGGCTAGCTTAACGTCTCCTTCCTCTATGGCCCTTATAAGTAATGTTCGCTCAACACCCTCAACCACTGTTGGAGCCTCCAGGTCACACCCATGAGACACCAGGACCTGTGCAGTACCATAATCATTATTCTTTAAAGCTGTCCACAACAGAACGTCATTCGTGACGGGGTCAGGTGAATTCATAGATGCTCCGAGCTTGCACAAAGTGTCAACGATCGACGTTAACCCCCTTTTTACAGCTATCATAAGACATGACAAACCCTCCGGAGATCTAAAGTAAAACTCTTATCAAAAAATTGTCTAAACGCATAATAACGTGTGACCCAATAAACGGCACTCACTTAACGTTGATATTTGCGTCATTTGAAATTAAGAAGTGAAAGATATCGTCCCTTTTTTCGTCCAGAGCTCGTAATAACAAGGCGTCCCCAGTGGCGGCACCTTCGTTCACATCAGCACCACCGTCAACAAGGATAAGAGATGTATCGAAGACTCCGGTTTTTAAAGAATTCCACAGTGGACTACATCCCTCCCTATCTTTGACATTAAAATCAACACCTAAAAAATAATTTTCGAACTATGACTTTACCTTTACATAATTCTAAAATAATTTTTAAAATAAAAACAGGAAGGCGCGAGGCGTAATTTAATGAAGTTTGACCACTAAACTCGTCCACAAGGTTAGGATCAGCCCCAGACTTCAGAAGCAGCTTTAGAACATCCAATTCGATCGACTGTGTAGTACTAGGCTTGACGCTGAGTCTATTCAGAAGAAGATGTAGAGGCGTTCGGCCGTCATTATTTCTCTCATTAACGTTTCTTGCATGTTTTACCAAGAAATTTACCAAATTCCATTTTTCGTGCAATATCGCTCGATGAAAGACCGTGTTTCCTGAAATTGAACTATTTCTACGCCAATTTTCATGAAAGCCTACCTTGTTCGTCAGCAAACTCCATCCTCGCCCCATGGGAAATCAGTTTCTCCGCAACTCCAACATCATTTAGTGTAAACAAGGCCAACTCCAGAAGGCTTGCGTCAACTTTTATGGCATCATGACTTAACATAAGATCCAACATTGGCCCGTTTTGTTTTTCTATTGCATAAAATAAGGGAGTTCTTTAGAGGCGAAATTAAAAGCATAAGGATGGCATACCTTCCTTCGTAATCGACAGCATTAACATCAAATAATTTCAAATGGTTCTTCACCCAGCCATTCATATCACTTTTATCGGTGGATAATGAAAGGTCATGAAGAAGAGTTCTCTTGGTCGGCTGGCTGATATAATTTACATTTGCCCCATTCTCGACCAGAAAACTCAATACCGCAAAGTTTCCTAATGCGTTTATTTTTTTACAACGATCCCTACCTCTTGCGACGGCCTTGGCCAACAAACACTTCCCCTCAACATTGGTCGCATTTAGATCAGCGCCAAATTCATGGAGTAAATGAGCGATTTCTAAATCGTCCTGTTCAAACGCTATGTCTAATGGGAATAGTCCACACTCATCTTCCACGTTTAATTCAGAACAACCCTAAACCTACTAATTCATTAAAGCACAACTTACACCATCCTCTAAGAATCTCTTTACGCCATCCCTTCGTTTTATGTTAATCAGCGTTGGTAGGACCTTGGTGGAATGCCTTTAATCAATCAGAGCGTCATAACACTTACGTCTTAACTAAATCGATCATCACGTCCAAGGCAACGTCCGTAAACAGTGATGGGCTCAAATCATGCCAATGCAAAGCTATAAAATCAGACACTGTCGTTTGAAGATATAATGCATTTGTTCGTAACCCTGCCTCATATATAGTAATGCAATTATCCATTTGTATTTCCTCGATTAAACAGATTGAGCATCTAAATCCATTAACACAGGGAATTGCACTTACACATCCACTAGATCTAATAATTTAAATAATTCGCTAGTCTCAAGCAACCGTAGCAAAAATAAAACCCCCCATTTTCTACAGAATTTGAAAGTATACATCCATTCGATGATTGCAAGAAAGACATCGCGGTCCATCTGATCATCTAAAAACAAAACGTGAAAAAACTTTGGATATTACCGATTGAAATCTCATTGACATTTGTTAAATCGCCCCAATAATCGGTATGGCTCAAAATTACAAATTTGTGGCATCGTATAACGTCCCCTTTATGCTTAAATGTAACGTCGGAGAGAATCTCTGATCCATGTAAGTCTTGAATAAAGCTCACCAGTTTGTCTTTAAATTTGGCCTTCTTCTCTTCTGACATTCGATCAAGTGAGATTGATTCAGTCATATCTAAAATTTGTCGGCTGATAAACAAACACCGAAGTGGAGCTGACGACGGAAACAAAACGCTCTTTTTCTAAATGACCAATTCGATTAAACCAAAAAGAAAAGGAGAACGCGCAAAAATTTCGTTGAGACAATGGATAGATACATCAGGATGTTCGGAGCCAAAAAAAGTTCATTTCGAAATGCAGTCCCAACTTTAGAATTATGCAAGGTAAAATGGGGGCTGCATAAAATTCACAGGGGAAGTACAGGGCGCGGAACTTTTCGGCTGAATTTGAATTGAATATAACTTTCTTGTTTTTCGGCCAAATATGAGTGAAGGAATAGGAGTAGCAGTTCTAGCTAAGAAGCTTTTCATGATAAAGTTTTGTTCTCTAGTTTTCAGATAATCACAAAATTGGAAGAAAATGGACAACGTGCGCACACGATGCTTGGATAAAAGGGCTCCCGGGTGCTTCAGGTATGTCGATAATAATACCTAATAATATTATCCACCTGGACCTAGTACAACATGACAAACTTGATGTCTCGAAATCTCGTTGCCAAATTTCTGAACCTCAAACTAGTTTTTTGGGATGGATAAGCACAAAAAACCAGTTCAAGGATGGACAGAAGATGCACTCACCACATAACGGAGAAAAAAAAACAAAAATAACAAAGAATTGTATTCCACTAAAAAGATTTTTGAGCTCCTTTTGGCCGTATGGAAATTGGGCTGACAAGGGAAGTACCCCGAAGTGCGACGTTCATATTTTTATAAAAATTGGCATAGATGAAGATTAGAATTTTCTTATTCGATTGCAAGCATCCTAGCTCGCGCTTTGCAGAATCCGCCGAGAAAGAAGGGCGGATATTCCGGCCCTTCTTCTAGCGAGAAAAAAATATTTTTCGCTTGAAACGGAATGCCAAGATCAAGGGAATCAGGGAAAATCCGCCGGCATTTGAAGATTTTTTTTGATATTCCGGCCCTTCTTTCTCGGCGGATTCTGCAAAGCGCGAGCTAGGATGCTCGCTATCGAATAAGAAAATTTAAGAAAATCCTAATCTCCATCTATGCCAATTTTTATAAAAATATGAACGTCGCACTTCGGGTACTTCCCTTGTCAGCCCAATTTCCATACAGCCAAAAGGAGCTCACAGATCTTTTTAGTGGACTACAATTCTTTGTTGCTTCTGTTTTTTTATCTGTATCACAACGTTTTTTCACGGAATTCTGGTCGCGTCACGCCACGAAAACAAATGTTTGGCGTACTGTTAAATAATGTTTTTTGGCTTCTTCGAGAAATTACAAAAATTGTAATTTAGCCCAGTATTGAACAAAATCTTGACAGAAAAAAGCTATAGACCCTATCAGTGAATTTTTCTTGTTATAGTAGGTCTGGTTTGTCTTTCAAAAACACCATGTTTGATGAGTTTGATAATTAAAATATCTCTAGTTGCGGAATGCCACGGATTTTGTCATTTTGCGAAAAGCCCGGGCAACGATTTCAATCATTATAATAGCAGGAAAGATGGCTCAATAAGTCGAGTTTCGAGCCAGAAAACGTTCTGAAACTTTGCATGATGATTGAGAATGATGTTGTAGTGCTGATCGCCCATTTTTGTAGGATTCGTGACTAAACGTCGCCCGCTAGGCGATTGCAAAGTTCTCAATTTTGGGAAGTTTGAAGTCGAATATCTCAAAGACTGAATAACACATACAAATTTCTGAACCTCTAACAGAGAGATAACTGTCTACTCTTTCCAATTCACCATTTATCAAGTCGCTCAATTTTGGATGATCGGGTGAAAAGATCGTATCTTTAAGACCACCTTTTTGGAGCGAAGTGTCACAAAAATTCGATCGATAATGGCGCAATTAGAGCTCGACTTCCGCTTTTCTAGTTGTTTCTAAACGTTGTGTATAAATCTTGATGGTGCATCATTAGAAAAAACATCCGCGATGGTCGGCTTTGGGATGAAGAAGATCACAAACGACCTTCGCGCCGCGGCGCCCTACTTTAGAATATCGCGCGACGAAAGCAAGGAATGCGATGGACGGATTGCTGGAGGCACTTTAGCGCAAATGACGGTGGATTTATACGATTTCTCTTATTTTTTCGAAATGCGCAACTAGGAACAAGATGGCCAGATTCGATTGTATAGAACGGCCATTGTCGAGGGCATTCCATCGTTATGGCGCTTACCTTACTACTAATCCCATCCCGTTTATAATTTTCCCCGTTCTTCTCACCCTGGGGCTTTCAACATCACTTCTTTCTTTGGAATCGTTGACAGATGCCATTTACTTATTTACTCCTTCTGATGCTCCTTCAAAAATGGAACGGCAAGTAATCCATGATCTTTGGCCACTATATAATGGGTCATACATTCCTGGAAGAGCGGTCACTCAATCTCGGGAAGTTCAGGTTGGTTTTTAACGATAGAATTCGTCTTACACATAATTTTCCGCTGCGACGAAAGATTTTTAATTATAACGGCGGGTCGTCGCAGAAAAATGTTTCAATTCGTCGAAAAAAGTGTACGGTCGCGCATCAAATTTCAGTTGTATCAAAGTGCTGCTTGCCGTCGCAAAGCGATGATCGGCGACTCCAAGGCGCGACGACCCGCCGTTATTTTCCCGACAGACTGATGCCCACAGGTTATAGATTTCGTGACGATTTTTTTTTTGTTTTTAGATAACAGTTTTGGCCCGAGATGGTGGAAATATTTTGGAAAAGCCTTACTCGGAAGCTGTTCAGCGATTGGACATGTATATCACAAATCGAATCAAAGTACACCATGAAGGGCGAGTGTATACTTATAAAGATCTCTGTATTCATGGCCGTACAAAGACTTGCCCTGGCAATAAACATGTGCATCTTCTTTCCGATCTGTTTCAACATGGCGTGAATATTACATATCCAACTGTTCGTCTGGGGTCTGTGTAAGTCTCACTTTGGGTTATTAAGAGTTTTGCAAATGTTTAGGAGCGGCTACATAGGAAGTAGTTTGGGCGGTGTCAAGGTGTCGCATGGAAAAGGGGACACGATGGTATTGGCCAGTGCCCAGTCGTGGTTGATGGTATACCATCTTCAGTTTTATCCGTCCAAGGTTTCGCTTCTGTCTGGACTTTGGGAAAAGGTAGGAATTTTGTTTTGTAAGAGGTATTTTTAGGCCTTCGAGGATTCCATGAAGCAGTATCCGGAAGATCCATACATTACAATTACGTTTTTCCACTCCCAAACCCTGGCCGAGGAGTTGAAAAGGAATGCTGACTCGTTGGTTCCGAGATTTGTAGCAGCGTTTGTGATTTTGATAATTTTTTCTGTCATTTGCAACATGTCTTTTGTGGATGGAACACCATACGTGGATTGGGTGCTTTCCAAACCAATATTGGCAGTGCTTGGCGTACTCAACGCCGGGATGGGAATTGTTTCGGCGATAGGTGCGATGAGTCTTATTGGGATGCCTTACAATGATATCGTTGGTGTCATGCCGTTCTTGGTTGTGGGTAAGTCTTGTCGTTTTTTTATACTGTTGTTTCAGCCGTTGGAACTGATAACATGTTCTTGATGGTAGCAGCCTGCCGGCGGACAAATCGTGCCCTGAGGGTCACCGAGAGAATCGGGGAATGTATGGCTGATGCCGCCATCTCAATGTTCATAACTTCCCTGACAGATGCTTTTTCGTTTGGGATCGGAACTATTACAAGCATACCTGCAGTTCAAATTTTTTGTGTGTATACAGCGGCTGCCGTTGTAATTACATTTATATATCAGGTTGGTTGAGGGTTTCCAAATTTCTTACAATGATTTCTTCAGATAACGTTTTTTGCCGGATGTCTCTCGTTGGCTATTGGTTGGGAATCTAGAGGATTGCATTGCGTAACCTTAAACAAAACAGTCAACGAAATGGAAATCAATAGGGCGTCCAGGACTGAACGTTTCTTCAAACTCGGATCGACGTTTGACCCAAATCCTCATAACAAGGAAAACATTAAGGACACTGCAGCCGCCAGATTCTTCGAAAATGTTTATTCTCCGATCTTGATGGCCCCAATGATTAGATTTGTGGTTGTTCTGTGGTATCTTCTTTATGTAGTTTTTGGTATATATGGATGCATGCAATTGAGGGAAGGACTCGAGCCCGTCAATCTTCTTGTACAAGATTCGTATGCAATCCCACATTATCATGTGTTGGAACGGTACTTTTGGCATTATGGAGCGTCAGTTCAAGTAAGTTAGTCTTATTAGGATTGATTCGTTGCAGGTAGTTGTGAATAATGCGCCTGATCTGAGAGATCCAGGAGAAAGGAAGAATATGAAACGGGTCGCCCATTCCTTTGCCAATACAAAACACACCATCGGCGATGAGTCAATACAACTGTGGCTGAATGAAATGGAACGGTACTACAAAGACGATCTTGGGCTCAAGATAGTCGACAAGGAATTCTACGGTTTAGCCAGACATTATTTCGCAGCAAAACAGTCCGATTACTGGTCGGATGACGTCAAATGGGCCACGGACAGCGATGGCGTCCCGTACATTAAGGCGTTTAGATTTCTGGTTGGTCTCCGAAATATTTCTACCTCGGTTGAGCAAGAAGATGCAACGTTCGTCCTTCGAGAAGTCGCACAGCGATTCCCGAAGTATAATATTACCACTTTCATGCCCTTGTGGCTCTTTACTGATCAATACGCCATTGTGGTACCCAACACTGTCCAAAACATTGTGATCGCTATCATCGTCATGATATTGATCGCCTTAGTTCTGATCCCGGAGCCTATGTGCGCGGTCTGGGTTGCATTGGCCATTGCGTCCATTGATGTAGGTGTGATTGGTTTCATGACGCTGTGGGATGTAAAATTGGTGAGGTTACTTGGTATTTACATATATTCGTTCAGGATGCTATCTCGATGATTACTATAATCATGTCGATCGGCTTCTCAGTCGATTACTCAGCTCATATCACATATGGTTACGTGGTGTCGAAAAAAAAGACTACAGTAGACCGGATTGGAGAAGCGTTGGGTGCCCTGGGGTGGCCGCTGACCCAAGGAGCGATCTCTACTATCCTGGCCGTCATCGTACTAGCCGACGTTCCCGCCTACATGATCGTCACCTTCTTCAAAACAGTATTTCTAGCTATCGGTTTGGGTCTTCTCCACGGTCTTGTCTTTCTACCGGTCACCTTGTCTTTGTTCGTTCGGGAATCTTGCATGATGAGTAGTAGGTAATTCGTGTAAATATAACGTGTAAACTTAACCATTTTATTCCGTGTTTTCAAAAGCAATAAAAAATTAACCTAATTTGTAGAAACGGGTCTGTCGAAGTACAATAACTGATTATGCATGACTACTTCTGAGAGTTCCTGAATTAGCTGCTGTTCATAAATCCCATTGGTCTCGACGTTGTTCCCTTCAACTGCGACGAGTTCTTGAATTCGTTTCTGCACTCTATTCTCCTTATTCTGCAATTCCCGCATCTTGTTTTCCAATTCTGGAAGTCGTTTAAGACGCTTCTCTTCAAAGCTGACTCTCAGTTCCTCAAGACGATCTTCTTTCTCTGCCTCGACCCTCTGCTTCAGCTTGAATTCGGACCATTCTTTACGGGTTTTACGATGTTCTGGAGGCTTTACAACCTGATACGAAATCTTTAGATCTTTTAAGATCTTTTCAAATGCATCGAAATCTTGTTCACGAAGATGCCGGAGCAACTTGCGCCTGTAGCCCAAGACCAGAAATATTCTGGTGGTTAACCGGGCGGGTTTCTTTGGGTCACGCAATTGGAGCTCGTCAACCAATGCGGTCCAATGACGAATAAGGGCAGTACATAACGCAACTGAAATATGTCGATTTTAAAGATTTGATTGTGCCACAAACTTTTTGATTGAAGAGATGAGCTGTCGTACTTGTCTAACTTGACATCATCCACCATGGCCTTCTTCCAGACGGCCGTCAGGTCGCTTCTTTTTCCGAATTCAATGCTGAAAATTTTTTTGATCTCTTCAGGACAGTCTCTGAGAATGTCGACGTTTCTATACTCTAACTTCGGCTGAGTGATATCAACATAAGGGAGAGCGTAGTCACCTTCTGACCTCCCAATCAAACTATCAGATGCCTTCATCATCAGCTCCCGTTCTGCACCAATTTTCTTGACCCAAAGGGTTTTCAAACTGTCAATGTAAGTTTTGTCTGAAAAAAACGCCATTATTAATTCAAAAAAGAAAAAATCAATGTTAGACTAAACAGAATTCGTTCGAAAGTTGGCAAACATAATTTTCACCATGTAAAAAACTTCTTGCGGGTTTACAAGAAGTTTTTTCTCAACTCCAGGTTTCAAAATGTAAGGTCAACTAGGGTTGTAAATTTGACAGATTTTTTCAATCTCAAACTCGTTGAATATCTCGGCTGTCGCTGGAAACCGCGAGCCAATCAATCCAAGAATTTATACGCGGCTGAAATCTGAGTGCTTCAGCGGAAAGACTTCCATTGAAAGAACATACCCAATGGAAGCGAGTTGGCAATTTTATCAAAATACTCGGGATCTTGCAGCTTCGGATCCTCGACTTTCATGTGTTTGTTATAGTATTGTGTACGTCCCTTATCAAGTCGCAAACCCAGATGAAGACAACGGCGAAATGTTTGTGAGCCGGACATCTAAAAGTGTATTACAGGTTGTCCCGAGAAATTCGTTCGCCGGAAAGTTTTTGTCGATTTCTCGGTGCTCAGCCAAGATATCCAAAAAAAAGTTTTTTGCAAGGAAAGAATATGGCAGTTTCTTGCCACAAGAATTTTTTTCTCCGCCAACGGGGAAAAAGTGTTTTCAGCGGAGCCATTTGATCGCTTTTTGGTCCTGCCTGCCCACATCGGCACCCCGACATTTCCGGATCCGGAATAGTGACACTTTCGGAACCGGGAAAAACAAAAGATAAGGTTTAGAACTCCCATCGAATAGAGTTACTGCTATTAATTACTTTTGTGTTTTGATACTGTTCAATCGTAATTTTTAAAATTTTTTCTAAAAGTACTCGATGTAGGGGTTTGCGATGGTGGTGATTTCGAAAATCATGTTCAGTAGAACACGAAAATCGAAACTTGTTCTTTCTCACAAAGTCAGAACGAGAATGTCGGTCTTACTTTTGGTCACTCCGGGGAGTGGACTCGAAAGCTCTTTCCAAGACGAAGCTCTTTCCAGACCCTCTTTTCCAAGAAAAAAAAACAAAATAAATATTCAACTTGGATCGGCGCGCTTATAATAATACAGGGTGGGCCACTAAAACCTTCCGTCCTCTTTTTTTAGATTTCTCCGCGGAGACTCCGCCGATTTTCATGAAATTTAGATTTTTCTGGGGCTGAGATGCGCCATTTTCAACCGGTTGAATTTGAAAAAAAATATCTTGAATTGATTTTTTCTATGCCTTTCCAAAGTTTTTGAAAATTATTTTCGAGCCGAAACCGCTAAAACTTTTAATTTTTGGAATGATTTTGAAAACTCGGTCATTTTTTCGGGTTTTTGGGTGAAATCTTACTTGTTTTGCCTCATATATTTGCAAAATACTGTTGTAAAAACTAATTTATTTAACAATTTGATTATTAATATTTCTATCTGAGTTCGACGTGTCCATCTCCTCTTGCACGAACTTGTAGGGGCTTTGAAAGTTAAGAACAGCTCGAATTGCGGACGTGAGCATGGTTTAACTTCAATCAAGCCTGGCTCCAAGCCTCAATGCGCCAGGCCATGGCTTGTAGCCTTAATGTGGACTTTTTCACTCTTGTTGAAAAAAAAAATTATTTTTTTTTCGACATTCATATCCTAACGGTAATACAGACAACACTTTTTTTGCTTTTAACTTGCTTTAAACAAAGGTTAGAGAAAGCGTACGGAACTTTTTACTCCACAATTTTACCAAAAAAGCCCGAAATTTAAGTCCGAGAAGGGCAATTGAAAATCATTCCAAAAATTTTCAAAGTTTTAGCGGTTTCGGCTCGAAAATAATTTTCAAAAACTTTGGGAAGGCATAGTAAAGTAAATTCAGAATATTTTTTCCGGAAATTCAATCGGTTGAAAATGGCGAATCTCAGCTCCAGAGAAACCTAAATTTCATGAAAATCGGCGGAGTCTCCGCGGAGAAATCTAAAAAAAGAGGACGGAAGGTTTTAGTGGCCCACCCTGTAAAATTCAGATACGGCTAGAGGGCTGAGCTTTTGAAATTCCGGCCCCTGCCAAATTCGGCCCTGCATGTTTTAAAATTGCCGAAGCCCGGTCCCTGCCTGATAAAAATTTTCCGCGTTGGCATAGAAAAAAATGGGGCAAAAAACCGCCCATCTTCTCCCGAGCAAAAAACATTTTTGGACCAAGGAATCGACAGAAATAACTTTTCGATAAATCTCTCGGGACACCCTCTACTCTTCTTCATTGCTACCTTTGGAGATATTAGATATGAAAGATACACATATTTCAAACGTCATGACTATTTAGTGTCCTTTACTCTTTACAATATAAGGTTAATCCAAATGAGGTCAGGCTCGAAAAATAGAAACAAAAAAATCAGCGATTGGAAAATACTTCCAGCTGCCAAGGCAAGCACATCTTGTATATTAAATAAATTAAAACGGGAATGAAAATTTTAAATAAAGTGAAACATCTAAACGATAAGAGAGTTTAACCAACAATTAAAGAAGAGTCCAAGACATCTTAAGCGCTTAAAACGAATAATCTGAGCATAAGTCCAAGAAATACAATCTTAAGTTTCATATAAAAAATTTTAAACGGAAACTTGTGAAATTTCGAACCGACAATTTTTGAGTGATATGGCAGCACAACCATCATCTTTAAACCCGGTTACCGAGTACCAAGAGATTTACATATTTTCATACTGGTCAATTCTTCTCTTTGTATTTCCACCACGGATCTGTCTTAAGGTTTTGTATTTATCGCGACCCGCTTTTTTATTCTCCATATGAAGAACGTCATAGTCGGTCACAGCACGGTCGTCCTTTACCAAATCCAATTCTTTTGTCAAAGACTGAAAAGATTTTAAATAACCTCCATACAGACAGACATACCTCAAGTTTCTGCTTTATGCTGACGTTCTTCTCAGTAGCAGTAACACGGTCCAGCTCCCTGTTGTTAGCCTCAAATGAATCTCCATTGTAAAGTTCTGAAACAGAAAGTCCATTAACCATAACTTAAAACTTTACATACCGACATTCGCGTTAGAATAATCGTCAGAACCATTGTGCTCAGCAATATGTTGAATGTGTCTTTGATCCATCTGACGCTGCAGATTATTTGCTTCTGTAGTCTTGTATTCTACTTTGGTTCTCATTTCGGCGACTTGATTTTCGCTTTCTGCAATGGCCCTAAGAAGCCGAGAATGTTCCTCTTCACTCATAACACGTTCAGATTGAAGTTGATGAGTCAGCTCTTGAAGCTCCTTTTCTTTGTTTTGGAGCTCTTCTTTAGCCTAAAACAATAAGCGACTCCTTTCAAAATGATGTCAAAACTCACCCGACTGAGTTCGAGCAATTGTTGTTCAAGTTCGCGTATTTGTTCTTGGGCTCTTCCAATCTCCCTTTCCTTTCTCTCCATATTCTCCCTTAGTCGAGCCAACTCCTCTTCATACTCCCGTTGTTTGGCTTCAGCAGCTTCTCGTGCATTCACTTCTCGATTCAGGCGTTCTTGTTCCAGCTGCCGAAGCATTCTCTCTTCCTTCGCCTGTTGCTTCATCTGTTGAACTTCAATCGAATCCGGTTTTCGTCGTCTCATATAAAGTTCATGGTTTCCCATACAAAGTGCCAGAATTCTCTTGTTTATGCGCAGCCTCGGAGCATAGAAAATAAAATCCTGAAAATTTTGAAATTAGAATATATTTTCATACTTCAAACTCTTTCCATCAGAATTATTATAAAACCTTACGTTTGATTTTTTATCAATTGGCTTAATTACGAAGCGCTTATCATTGAATGAAATATTGCGAATCTCAGACCATGGAAACCCAACTTTAGGAGAGAGCTTATCGTTCTTCTCATAAATATTAAGCCCCAGGGCGTCCACTCCCAGAAAAAGTTCTGTACCCTTCTTGTTTTTGATTTCAAAGTACTGGAAGAAAATAAAGTTGAATAGTAGACAAATAAACATACATTTATGCCATACATCTCCAAATCCTGTGAAACCTTTAAGTACTCGACCATTGCGGTGTCTCTACTCATCCCGCGATGATCACTCCACCAGACGAAAATCCGTCTCTCCCATTCCTCGATGCTCAATTTAAACTGAGATATAACACGTTGCGGCAAAAGCCTTTCAGATTGCAAGAATCCCGATTTGTGGATTTCTGGAGAATAGTCACCAAACTTGGCTTGTGTAGCGTAGGAAGCCAATAAAACCGAAGGCTCAGGAGGACAGTAGATTTCGTCACTCAAGATCTGATCTTTGACTTGAAGATAAAACAGCCGCTGAAAACATTATGATTACGTCCTTAAGATCATCATCATATCTAATCTTAAAGTAGAACTAAACAAACCAAAGTAATGTCTTGAATAATTTCCTCTGAAGCATCTTCTGGATAGAATTTAGCCCTGAACTTGAATTGTAGGACAGGATCCTTCTTTACATCCTGCTGCATAACCTTTTTGTTGAGCTTGAGCCAAGATATGAACCCCTTGGTGTCAGTGTACTGCAAACCGAAGAACCAGATCTCTCTGAGACCGATGGTCTTCACGACTTGATCAAATAATTGTTTTCCGGTAGTCGAAGGCTGAATTGCGAATTCTAACTCGGCATCCATTGTGAGGACCCGGACATTAATCTGAAATCCATAGTTTTGGTTAAATGGTTACTATGTTAAACTTTCTTCAAACCGAAGGGAAATCCTAAAAGAAGAAATAAAGTGTTTAAATTAAGCACTTACCAATTTCTTCGCCATCATCCTTGATTGGGAAGAAAGGAAACTGCAGAGAGGGCAGCCTGGAAACAAAAAGTTTGAGTCAAATTTGGTTTTTAGTAAATAAAACTGCATTCCGCCTCTTATCACACGAACAAACGCAACTCGTTATGAGAAGTGATTCACTACAAATAAATGCACTTAAACCAAGATAGTCATCGTATAGACTCGTCCATATAAAATTTGAGTAGACCGAGGCGCGTGGAAATCATTCATTGATCAAAAAATCGCATATCGATGGTTAATATAAAAACCGATAGTTTTGATTTACGTGCCAATATCAAAATGGCCACACGGTCCATTTGTTGTTCTTATGGAAAGTGACGCATCCAAAGGAGATCTTCGCTCTTCTCCATTGCCTTGTTTTGATCGGGACGCTCCCTCCTTCTGAAAAATCCCTGCTAGGCGAAAACGATTTCGCGGAGAAAAACGGACGCATTTTTGTATCCTTCCTCCATCTGGGGAGTCTCTCACAAATTGCAGCTATTACCCATGTTGGACGGACGGTTAAACACTTTTCTCGCGAATACAAAACATCCGTTGAGGCTGCGGACCACCATTTTTAATCTGATTTCGACGACATGATAACAGGCCCGTCGCAAGCGAAAGGCTTGCCGCCTGGCGTCGGTTCTAAAATTCCGATTTGCATAAAACATGGGGAACTTCACAAATGCCGGATATTTCGAATTAACTCACACTCACCCTAAACTCCTGCATCCCTAGGATTCCCCAAAAACACGAAAATTCTCTTCCAAAGCCTCTGCGCCAACCAAATTGGAAACCCTGGGCGCAGCTTGCCAACGTTTCGGTGCAATGATGCCGGCCGGGCTTGTTTTCGCGCCGGGAAAATTCATTCATTTGTTGTAGTTGCAGTTTCTGAAGTTGTAACAGTCTATACTCCATTTTAGACATTCTCTGTCCGACTGGGCCCGTTTTTCTCCCTAAGCCGGTTTTGTCCCCAATATTTTATTTTTGAAAATTATTTGACCAGCTAGCCAATGAGTTGAAATCACAGCCAAATTTTTTTAACAACAATATAAGGTCTGTCGGGGGACAAAAAAGAATAAAAAAGCGGGGACAAAAACACCTTGGAGACAAAACCGTCCCGGGGAAAAAAGGGTTGGATCCGAACAGTGCACCTGGGCGAACAGTGCCCCTTGAAAAAAGATTTTTTGAGACGGTGCCGAAGTTTTCGCTCAAAAAAGTTGAAAATTTTCCAAATTCACTTCCGAAAAAAATCATTTTCGAAAAAGAGAATAAAAATCGAGAAATTTCGTGGGTCGGAGAGTAGGAATCAAAATAGCTTTCAAAATTTTGATTTTTGGAGTAAATTTCGAGTTTAATTTTTTAGCAAAGTAAACTCAGGATTTACTCCCCGACACCTTCGGCGAGTAAAAACCGAACCAACTTTCTTAGGGGTCCGAGGCACAATTGACCCAGGATAGTAAAACGGGCCTGCAGGCCTTAAAATACACTCTCTAGACGAGCCAGTGGGCCAAAATCTGAAAAAATGTCGCTGACCACCCTGACTGTACTTTTTTGCTCTTACTTTTAATGGAGGAGTAGGAAGGCCTTCCCTTTCTTCTCTCTTTCAGTTAACAGGTTTTTTATAGTAATCCTTCGAAATTTAATCTAGATTCTGAACTATAGGATATATTTTTACTTTATGATGCACTACGATAAACGATCGTAACCGGGAAATGAAATAACATTAAGCTTATGTTAAACAAACGCGGGCTGATTTCCATTGTCCGTTTGTAGTTGTGAGTATCCTTGGAAAATCTTGAAATTTATGGCCTTTCCTCTTTTCCTGTATTCTTTGTAACCAAATAAAATCACAGTGGCCAGCAATAAAAGCACAAACCAATGAAAAACTCCGCCGTTCCCACGGCAAAAGTTTTCTTCAACGTCGAATACGGACCTGCCTTTGTATTTTTCTGGAGTTGAGCATAAAGTCTCTCCCTAAAACATTAAATCACTTTACTCTGCCGCTTACTTGAGAAAGAAACGAATTGGCTTCGTCAAGCGCAAATTCATGAAAACTTTGTAAGCCACAGTCGCATGCAAGTGGATTTTTAGAGAAGTCCAGTGTGTTTAACGATGGCAAAGACTTCCAGATATGGCTGGGTATGGAAATAAAACGGTTTAGTCGAAGTTCCAGGGACGCTAGGCCTTCCAAACAACCGTCCGCAATTTGGAAGTCACTAATCTGATTGTTCGTCAAGATTAGCCGACTCAATCCTTTGACCTAAAGTGCTTGCTTTTCTTGTTTGAAGATTCTTACATTACAGAAGGTTTCTGGATGGAGATATCGAAGCTGGTTGTTACTTAGGTTTACCTCATAAAGGTCTGTGAAGGAGTGGTTGTTTCTAAACAAGGTCCTCACCAGATCTGCACGTTTTTTTACACTGGCATGTGCCCCGAAAGCATCGGTGAGATCGATGATTCTGAGTGAAGTTAAGAAATTGAGTGGTTGATCGTCAGCGAAGGCGGTCAAATCGTTATGGTCTAGCTTGAGCGTTTCGACCCTGGAGGCCCCGATTAATGTTTGGATCCCAAACGAGGTGAGATGATTATTGGACAGATCCAATAAAGTCAAGCGGTGATGTCTCACGTTATTTCCAAACAAGTTCTCGGCCTCAAGATCGCCAAATTGATTTCCTGTCACGATTACAGTATCCAGATCATGGTATACCTCAGGGCGTATGCTCTTAAACACATCCGTGGTCTTCTCACCTAGACCCACACATTTGTATTCTTCTGGGCTACAAGTACACCCGGGAAAGCAATTTGCCTGCACGATTAAAGAAAGTTGTTCGACTGGGTCTTACCTCAAACTGCGATTTGATTGCGTTACAGGGCAGAATCCATCCGATTATTAGAAGTCCGGTGATAACACCCGACCTCTCGGACATTACGAAAATATTTAAAAAGAAAAGACGGGGTTAGGTAAGAGAGTGCGGTCAGTCTGGAAGAGAGATCAGGAAGCCGTCTCTCGGATCTCTCCTTACTGACGGGCGCTCGTTTAAAGATCTGGCGCCTCAGTCAGATGGGCCAAGGGTCCTGTTCAGACATCAAGCAGACAGTCTCGGAAGGATTGAGCAGAATACGTTGTTTATTGTTTTCTATCTACGTTTGTACAATAAGAAACGAAACCCGTTGCATATGAGTCAGACGTTGTGAATGGAGCCTTTCCTCTCTTCCGAGTGATCCGTGTTGCCTTCCTGGGTTGTGGGCAGTGGGGGATGAGAATCGCCGATCGTTCTCGTATTTCGCACTCGGGTCGACATGAATATATTGCTTTTATGCGAGGACCTGGTCGTTTGGGTAGTGTGTTCGGACTCTTGTTGCGAGTGAATCTGCAATCATATCAAGGTAACATACATGGCATGGAGATAATGGTATATTTTAAACCAAATTGCTGACCCTTTTCTTTTGCCGCTGCTGGACGATGTAGCTGAATGTGGTCATCTTGTTACACCACAACAAAACATGGAAACTTAACAAATGAATTGTAGACCCGCAGAGAACACCCTGACAGATTATGACTAAGATACACATTATAAACCAGTTCCAAACGTCAAAGAACATGTATTCATTAACAAATCCATCAGGCTCTGGAAACATATCACCATTCAGAGAAAAAAATGATTCAGAACTAACAATAAGGTACAAAATACTTACGTGTCTCTGTGTGACCTGTATTGACTATGAAGAGCCCAAGGGCCCACACAAAAACACCGATTGAAATGAGTGAATAAACTACCAGTGATACTACCAATACTAGAAACGCTCTAAAAGAAGAATCTTTATAATGAGACTAAACTTACTTGTAATTCTTTTTGCCAATACAATTATTTAACCATTTGCAATGATGGTCAAAGTTAGGTATGCACTTGTTGCAGTGCTTACAGTGTTTTGTGCCGGGAGTACTAAAAACGGAATGCGTTCTCAGAAAAAAATCAACTGTTAAACTGCATATCTGAGAAATATTTCAGGACGAAGCAACAACTTTTTTTGTAAATAGTTATTGTATATTACTGTAGCTATGTATGTTGGCAAATCTATTCCGTCTTTTCAAAAAAAAAACGGTTGTCACGCCATCGCTAGGTAAAACTCAAAAGACTTACACTGTAATCTGACAAATATTGCAGAAGTTATTTTCAATCACATGACTATGTTTTGACCGGTCAAATTGAATCGGTACTACATTATCTCCTCCGCCAGGATCGGTTAGCGTAGTAAAGATAATGCAACAGACATTCCAAAATAAACAAAACCCGAGTAAAAGTGAAAGAACTGGTGATCCTGGGAGCGGCAACGAGACCAGTGTACAAACAACTGCCAGCAACGAGAGAACGATCCACGATGTTATCTGCATTCCGTTCCACGGAAACGAAAACCCGTTCCGACGACTCCAGTCATGGCGCATTTCTCTATGATTAATTCAGTCCCAGAACACGAAGGAGAGCAGGTTGGCATGGCAACTGTTGTAATGATATTTAATCGCATTATTCTTGAAGTAACATCTAAGGTGTCCTCTCATTCGTATTTGTATTATAGAGACTTTTAGATTTAAACTTCGGCTTACGCATTGTTTTCGTAATAATGGTCGCGCTACGATTTTTCTGGTCAACGACAGACAATTTGGGGGAGGAGTTGACCATCCTGATTTTGAAAATGAATTTTCCCGAATCGTTACTTGTTTCTCTTAAGTAGTAATGTTAAAAAGTATTTTTTTGCTTTCACATGGGAAGAAAGTGCCGCGTCCCGGCATTTCGAGTCAGGGACAGGTCGGGTCGCGACAGATCGGGTAGGGTCAACATTCCGGTAGGGTTCGGAAAATTCGGGTGTATTCACCACGCGGGTATATTCTTGGGGTGATATTCTTCATTTTCCCAAGTACAACGAACAAAACAAGTACTTTAACAATGAAAAATTTTAACAATCCAAGAGTTCGCAGTCAGATTTGGAATTTTTTCCTTGTCATCTTCCGACTCCGGCAACTGGCCAACTAGTTTTCGACCTGAAAACCAAGTTTTGAAAGGCAAAAAACGAGAAAACCTGATGAATTCTTTGCTGGTTACTTCGCTTTACCATTTACCCTGTCTTGATTTTTCTTTTCTCATGTTCAGAGGCTGGCGGAGAAGTCGGCAGAGGGATTTTTAACCCTTTCCGGACGAGTCGGCACGTATATATTAAAATGAAAGAGGGTACCCTACTGAGTAACGGCATAATAGTGGTTCAGCCCATCGAAGCGTTATTTGGGACTTATGACAAAAAATGTCCTAAAAAGTACCCCTACTTGACATATCACTTTTAAAATTTTTGCGACAAGCTGTAAATCGGAAACTACCCCTAAATTAAAGTCGAGGAGTCCTAGTATTGTTACATCCAAGAACTGTCCAAATCGGAGCACCATAGGATTTGTTATCGATTTTTGGAAATTGAATTTTTAATTTTGGTCAATTTTGGACCTAAAATCAAGTATATCTTCCGCCGGTATCAACCATTTCGGTCCAAATGTGGTTTTTCCGAATCTATTGTGATGCTACCTTCTTACTAGAATATTTCCAGAAAAAACCTATGAGGCATATTTCTGTAAAACGCGGAAATGTTGAAAACGTAAAGGTTTGATCGTATAAAATGTCGCCGCGAGCCGCGAAGGGACGGGCGCAGCTCGAAACGAAAAAATAATAATTTTTTCTTCGAGAAATATTATTTTGGTGTCGAAAAGCTGATTTCAACACGAAACACAGGCAGAAATAGCACGCAAACATTACCTAAATGTCATTTTTATATTTTTACTCTGTTTTCAGGCAATTTCAATCGAGTTTAATTTGGATTGAGTACGGAAAGGTCCGCCGTGCGGAAAGGTCCGCTGGACGGAAAGGTCCGCTGTGCGGAATGGTCCGCTGCGGAATGGTCCGCTAAAAAAGGAAAAAGGGGGGGGAGGTTTTCGATGGCGCGGGTTTCAAAAATCGTATCCATTTTTTCTGAATTTTACAATTTTGCTTAGGCAGTAGTGTTAATTAGTAATTTTTTAAAAATTGTTTTGAATAATGGATTTAGGGGTTTTCGAGGGTGCTGATCTCAAAAATCGTATCCATTTTTTCTGAATTTTACAATTTTGCAAGACGTAAGTTATATTCTACTTGGTGTTTTCATTTTTAGGTGTGACTGGTCTCGAATTTATCGATAAAGGAGCTGAAGTTCTGTCTCTCGAGCTGATGGATCGTTAAATAAGTGGAACTGTGCGGTTGGAAAGTCCGTTGGGCAGATTGTTCACGAATATTCAAAGCTGAGAAGTCTAAGTTGACATGAAAAGGATAAAGTCCGGCTGATAACTTCCAATAAAGGCCAGATCACACTAGTATCCGCTGAATTCGAGGAGGTTGTAAGTCAATGCTTTTTATTTTGTTCAGGCATCAAAAATTTGCTTTATATAGTAATTTATCTTATTTTAGGTATCATTTGACCAAGATCAAGGAATTACTGCGGCTGCTGTCTTTAATGGCTCGACATTGACCATCGAGATCAAAGTAAGTTTTTTTAAATGTTTTATCTTGCTTTAGGGAAGTTCTATCGATCGACAAATGGACGTAGAGTTCACTAAATTCAAATCTATTGCGAAGGCCTGCTGCTTTCTTTTGGTAAGTGACGTGGCAATTCCTTTTATTTATTATGACATATAATTTATATTACACTTGCTACAAACCTATCAATTTCAGCTAAGGTTCAGTCATTCTTTGCAAGAGGGAGCCGCAAACTCTAAAGCCAGTCTGCCTTTTTACAGAGGCCTATCTGCAACCCGTTTATGACTTTGCAGTCAACGAACATCTTCTGTATACAGCTGGAAAAGATCATTTTGTTAGAAAATATCGGCTACCAGCCTTGTGAAATATGAATTATTTTGTGCTAATTGTAACGGTGGTTTTAACTTTAGTAAATGCGGGTGTTTTCCATTTACTTATTTGATGTTGTAATTTAGATACAAGCTGCGCTGGGATGTAGCCTGACTACGTCGCTACGTGTGAAACTTTTTTCATCAAAATAATTTTTCTAAACGTTGGGAGGGCATTGAAAGGTCAATTAAGAACACCTTTTTTTCCAAAATGTAGCATTTAAGAAAATCGGCGAAGTGTCATCGGAAAAACCCAAAGAAAGAAAAATCAATCATTGTTATCTCGCACAAGCGCCATCGAAAACCCCTAAATAAATCCATTATTCAAAACAATTTTTAAAAAATTACTAACTAACACTACTGCCTAAGCAAAATTGTAAAATTCAGAAAAAATGGATACGATTTTTGAGATCAGCACCCTCGAAAACCCCTAAATCCATTATTCAAAACAATTTTTAAAAAATTACTAACTAACACTACTGCCTAAGAAAAATTGTAAAATTCAGAAAAAATGGATACGATTTTTGAAACCCGCGCCATCGAAAACCTCCCCCACCCCCTTCTCCTTTTTTTAGCGGACCATTCCGCAGCGGACCATTCCGCACAGCGGACCTTTCCGTCCAGCGGACCTTTCCGCACAGCGGACCTTTCCGTCCTTCGTGTTTAATTTGGTTTCACGCTAAAATCAAACTTCTGGAAAAATTTTAAAATATTTTCTCGTTTCGAGCTGCGCCCGTCCCTCCGCGGCTCGCGGCGACATTTTATACGATCAAACCTTTACGTTTTCAACATTTCCGCGTTTTACAGAAATATGCCTCATAGGTTTTTTCTGGAAATATTCTAGTAAGAAGGTAGCATCACAATAGATTCGGAAAAACCACATTTGGACCGAAATGGTTGATACCGGCGGAAGATATACTTGATTTTAGGTCCAAAATTGACCAAAATTAAAAATTCAATTTCCAAAAATCGATAACAAATCCTATGGTGCTCCGATTTGGACAGTTCTTGGATGTAACAATACTAGGACTCCTCGACTTTAATTTAGGGGTAGTTTCCGATTTACAGCTTGTCGCAAAAATTTTAAAAGTGATATGTCAAGTAGGGGTACTTTTTAGGACATTTTTTGTCATAAGTCCCAAATAACGCTTCGATGGGCTGAACCACTATTATGCCGTTACTCAGTAGGGTACCCTCTTTCATTTTAATATATACGTGCCGACTCGTCCGGAAAGGGTTAAAGTTCTAAGAAGTCTCAAGGGCATGGAGATGGGACAAAAGGAGTGCCAACCCCAATGTTTCCTCAAAGATGATAGACTTTTTGGAAACAGGCCCTTTCGGTGTCACAATTTCGGGGTCGACCTTTCGGGGTGAGAGCGTACAAGGCAAATAGCTGAATTCGAAAATCACAATAATTTTTTTAAGACTTAAATTTTTTACTCTGATTACTGAATATATGGGAGGTGCTTTATAAATTTCAGCGCACTTGTCTGTTCGACCCCTGGAGATTTCGTCCAAAGCTAACTTTGGACGAAATTCGCCCAATCTCGTCCAAAAATTTCGTGGACTTTTTGCCGTATCCAAAGCTTGGACCAAAGCTGCCGTTATTAGTCCAAGCACATTTCTTCCCGTGGATTTTTGCAAAAAAAAAAAAAAAAAAAAAAAAAATGGACGAAGTCCAAAGTTTGGACTAAGTCCAAACTTTGGATTTTTAACAATTTTTGATTGGAAATTCAAAATTGGACTTTTGAAGTGTGTGTATTCTGTGTTTTACAGACAGTATATTTCCGTGCTACTCTTGAACAGTATCTGTGTTTTAAACACTATCGACTTTCAACGACGTTTCCAGTGTCGAAATTGATGTTATCAATTTACTAAGTTTTACGAAGTAACATCAAATCTTAAACAACAATAAAGTAACATTAATCATAAACAACAACAAGGTAACATGGAATCATAAACAAGAATAAAATACCAACGCTATAAATAACTAAAGGAAAAACAAAACATAACTGACAGAATAACATGAAGCTTTCAGGTGGACGTCGAGGGCGTTCTTCGAGGGGTCGAAAGGCTCTCCGCGTAACTATCGCCATCGAAATCCAAAGAAGGTCTGAAGAAGTAATACTGAGTGGGACCGAGTTCTTCGTTTGCAGCATTTGCATCGGCTCGGGTGCGATAAACGATCACGTTGTTCTTTACACGAGGGACGACTCCAGGACAGATAGTACGACCTATAATCACAACAATAATGACGGAAAAACCCACAGTCTCGGTTCCCAACAAAGTAGCAGACGGACATTGATTGTGGAATCAGACGGGGCAACTCTCTCAACATCACACATCTGTTCGACGATCCTTTTAATTCGAATCCAAGACGATTCGTAAAGTGTAAGAAGTCGCTCTCTCGCGTTTGACACTCAACTTCCATGTCCGTGTGAGGGGTCAACCAGGATTTGGTACTGATGCAATTGCTTTCTTCCAGGAACTTCAGTAGCCCTTCCCATTGTGGGTAGTCAGCAAGTTCCAGCTTCTTCTTGCGTATGGTCATTGTGATGCTGCAAAAGGTCGACTCCATCTTCATTATTTCCTTCGTCACGATATCCGAGCAATCCGAGAACTAAAATCACGTCTATTTAGTATCTAAATGTCTAAATAAACCAACTACAAACACATTCACATACCCACAAATGTGCGGACCATTTCGAACACACTGGTTCGCACCTTAGTGTATCCCTCGAATCTGAAGAGTTCGAATCACCGTCCGTTTCCGTTTCATTCGACTTCTCGGGGTGAGGTATTCACCGAATTCTCCGTAATCAGGTGAACTCTCAGTGCGCATAATTTCTCCGGGGGAGCTGGGTGGACGACCATCTCTTCCTTCTTCATTTGGTGACTCCATCAATTCCTGTAACTTTGTAATTATTTCAAGTCGTAATTAATCCCAAAACATTGAAACGCGAGAGAAAGAGACGACCGGTTTCGCAACTTGTTTACGTGCAAAAATACAAAAAACAAAAAAGGCGCCCTTTTGCCGCCTAAAACTCGGATCCCGGCGCGAAGTTGGCATTTATTTTTTGACTTTGTTTGTTTTTTATTTTCAAGCGTTTTCATACATCTTGCGAGATTGTGTTGCTAAAATTGAAGGGTTGGCTTTTTTATTTTGGTTTTGCGGTATTTAGCAGACAGAGCATTTTTTTTCTCGTTTAGCTTTTTTTGGTTGTGATTTGTTGTCTTGGTCTAAGCTTTTTGCAGTTTAGTGTTTTTCAGGTCAACCCGATAGAGATCAGCATGGAAAGCCGAAGTCGCCTCGTAACTTCTTCTTCCCAAGATCCGGTAAGAAAAACATGAATTTTGAAGTTGTTTATGGGTTTAGGAGCACGTACTTCAACTGCAGATGTCGAGAAGAACTCGTCGTCCAACTCCTCCAACCCAACATCCGGTAAAAAACCAACATGTTTGACATTAACTATCACGTTCAGGTGTTAGCACGGCCCGGTCGATCGTCGATGGACAGAGTGGCACCTCTTCCGCGCCAGCGACCACCACTTCCCAGTCGTCCATGGGATCTACCCATTCCGCTCACTCCACCAGCACTAACCCTTTGATACAATTTTGAACTTCAATAATAAAAATTTGTCGTATTACTTTATTTTTCTGAGTTTATTGTACGCTTTAACGTATGAATACCGATATAAACAGCATGAGCAAGCGTATGGTATCGGAGAAACGAGCCGGACTTCAAATCCCAACATCTCAACATTTTGGACTAAAAATTCCAGATTTAGTCCAAACTTAACTTTGGACCGAAACCAGGCAATTCAGTCCAAGTCCATGCGATTAGTCCAAGCGTAGGATAAATTCACTTTATCCAAAAGACAGGGGTCCCAAATGGACTTGGTCCATTTGGGGCCCGAAATTTTGAAAAATTCGCCCAATCGGTGGATTTTTTAATTTCGTCCAGACAAAAAAAAATTTCGTCCACTCTTAGGACGAGATTGGGCGAATTTCGTCCAAAGTTAGCTTTGGACGAAATCTCCAGGGGTCGAACAGACAAGTGCGCTGAAATTTATAAAGCACCTCCCATATATTTAAAATATTTTTTAGAGCTTGGGAAACAGACCGACTCGTGGGGTTATCAAAGGCCCTGAATTCCGGATTGCATTGCGCCGGATCTGGCGTCCAAAGAATTTAACTTTTTAATATAAGGATGGTGACATACAAATCAAATCGGGTTCCGTTGCCAGAAACCGCGATTTCTTGTCTGTTAGGCCTCTAGACAATAAATGCGCAATTCTTGTCTCAAATTGCGTAACATTGCGCAAATTTCTGCTCTCTCCCCGTGAAGATTTTTTTCTTTTTTTCTCTGCTCAGACAAGCAACGAAACCCGATTTGATTTGTATGTCACCATCCATATATGCATACAAAGAAACTTTTATCAAGTGTCATTTAAACATTTTTTTCAATCTCGGTGTTTGTTCTATTACGCTTTTTCAAAAGTGCAGACACATTTTGTCGTGGGCCGCACCGTGCAGAAAACTCCCTTTTGCGGGGTGCATTTCTACCTTTTGCACTGTGCAACCGGATATCGCTGCGACGCAAGCTTTTCTCAACGGAGCCGGCGCGAATTTTTTGAAATTGCACAGTGCAAAATGTTTCCAATCGGATCGCGTCGCGCGGGGAACGCGAAACTTGCACTGTGCGGTGCAAAAAAGGCCGGAAAATGTGTCTGCACTTTTGAAAAAGCGTAATATCATTTTTTTCAAAAATTTTACAAGATGACGTCATAAAATTAATCAGTAGTTTAAAAAAAATAATTATTTATGCTCCAGGACCCGGAAACACCAGAATTTGCCTTGACCCCGTACGCCGTATTCTCACCCGAAAGGGCAGTAACTCAGATTTTTTAGGTCCGATTGACTTCCCTTCCTCCGAGTTGAGCAATCAGTGCAAGATAAACCATTATCTATCAAGAGAAAATTTTTCAATTCGGGTTGCAAAAGCCAAGTCCCCAAAACGGCCTCCGCCGGTGAAAAAGTCTCCGCTGAGCCTTCGCCGATGTGTGAAACATCCGCCAAGCTGCCGAGACTAACAGATTACGTCCTTCCAGATGTGGCAAAACCTAATTGCATCCCCAGTAGAAAAGTCTAGACTTTGTAACGAGGTGTAATTTTCAAAAAAGTTATCAAACGCCTCCGCCGAGACAAGAAAAAATTCTTTTGCATATTCTAGAAACGCACAACTCCGAATTTTAAATGCGACTTAAACTTCTTGGATGGCTGCAAAGAGCACAAAGACATAAAAAAAATTGCACAAAATTTCTTGAAAGAAAATGTATTCTACTATAGCATGGAGAAGACCATAACTTACCCCAAACGTCAGAAATTGTTTTTTAACTGTAATCACAAAGAATCGGATGAATTCTATCAGATCATTAATTTATTTATAAAATAATCACGGTATTAAAATAATTAAAATTAACAAATCGACTGAGTAGTACAATGAGATACAAATGTGAGAAAATGGACGCTCTTATCGTTGTTCGCGTAGATAACGCCGGCCAGCTTCAGACGTCCGAACACTGCAAGAATATCTTTCAAAATAACCCGGGAACCTACCTTTGTTGTAGCAGGTACTGAGCGGTTTGTATCTGGGCTTGTGAACCTGCAATTGTAATTATCCTTTCATCTGTCCCATAAGCACTCCCGATGTCTATGCGAGCCCCACTTTCCTGTCGAATCCTATTTATACGTTCTCCGCCTTTGCCAATAATAGTCCCTCCAAGTTCATTTGGGATTGTTACCTAAATCCAGAGTATACGAATGGTTGAGTAATATGCACACCTGAGTTGTCGACACTTGACTTTGATCGCCCATAAAACCTCCTGGTCCGCCTAGGGCAACAGGAGGCGGCATCCCTCCTCTAGGAAATGGTGGAGGGCCGCCTCCATATTGTACAGGTGGCCCACCCCGGCCAAAGTCACTGAACGGAGCAGCGGCATGTCCGCGCGGCATATAAGGTTTATCAGTTGAATATCCACCATAACCAAATACCATCCTGGGATCGTAATTTGCGGCGTCATAGGGTTTTTGGATTCCTTTTATTGCAATCTATACATAAACGTACCACACCATTAATATCCTACCTCCCGTTGGAAATCGACCAAAGTTTTGATCACATTTGACATCTTATCGGAGGTAGCCGTGATTTGAACGACACGATCCGTACTCATAGGACAACATTCTTGGAAGACTTTTATGTTCGACTCAGTTTGTTCCCTCAGTTCCTTAATCTTAGACCCTCCACGTCCAATTATAGCACCAGCATGTGACTGATGCACTAACATTTTTATTTCTATCTCGTTTGTTTTCTTGGTCTGCAGTTCCTGAAGCTATACAACGATTGAAGTTTTCCAAGAAATTACTTACTTCGGACAACCTTTGAAGCACTTCAGATACACATTCCACAAGACGATCTTGACCAACAATGATGGTAAACACTCTAAACAAAAAAATTTTAAAAAATTATACTTGACGGTCCCCAAAACCATGTAACTGAAATAAGTGTATGGGAACATTGTGTATTTGCGAAGGCTGTTGGAATGGAGGTGGATGGCCAGAAAATAAAGTATAAGGAAATGATTACCGTTCGGGTGTGTTTCTATCGGGAACGGTGAGGGAGGCATCGAACTGCAAACACGAAATAATGGTTAAAACGCCTTTGGATTTCATTTCAATCAGATTTACCAAAACCACGGGCTCTCAACATACTACAGCAATACTATGTTTACATCCTAAGCTTGGAGATATCCAATCTTAAAGACTGGTGATTCTTAAATGTGTCAATACCTAAACCAACAAAACTAAGAAAATCAAACCTTACCTTTTCTCTTATTTGCTTGATGTACTCTCCCCCTCGACCAATTACAGCTCCAGCGCACTTCGTCGGGATCAAGAGTCGAAGTTCAAATTTCCCTTCGGCTAGGGCTTCATTGTATGCATCGATGCGGTATCGTTTACCACCAGAATGGCGAGCGTTGTCTGGATTTTGGCGCTTCATTTGAGGGATCTTCTCTGAATTCAGCGACAGTTCTGCTCTGCCACAATCTGACATCGACTATCTAAAAGAAGTCCCGCAGATAGCCGAAATATATTTACCACGCACCGTTTTTCCCTTATAACATTTTGCCAAAAAGAAACGCATTCGAATCAATATCGTAAATACTTCGTTGTGGGATATAGAGTTCGCGACCTTTCTTTTAATTTCAGGGGTGATCAGCGGACCATTTTTTTCCGATTTCCGGCCCGCGGCCCCCGTTTGGCATTGTAATATAGACGGGCCGGGCCGGACAAAACCCCGGGCCCGCGGCACGGCCCGGTCCACTGACCACCCCTGTTTAATTTCCTTCGTTTTGTTCCTGTTTTTGAAGCCTGGCGGCAGCTCGCGGAGCAGAAAATGGTTATTTTACGACCTTTTAAGTCATAACTTTGTTGGTAAAAGTCGGATTAAAAATCGGCCAGAGATTAAGAAGGAGCATTACATGCCAGTTTTGAAACTGGTAAGCGTATACGGTGAAATTTGGAAAAACAGATGGCCTAGTTACAGAGCTAAGCTCTTGACGAAACGAACAACACGTTTTGAACCATTGTTTAAAGCGAAAGATACGGAGAGAAATCGCAGGAATTGTTGACAACCACTAAAATTTGCATAAAATAAAGTTTATACGAGAACCCTTTTGACGTCGTCTGTGGATTGCCTTTTTCTTGTTTTGTGTTACACTTGGCACAGCTGAACTAACTCAGCATGGTTTGTATAGGACTCTCAAGAATATACAGCAATATGAATTCTAAAAAATCTATTTGAATTATAAAACTATGAATTTACAGTAGACATGCCATAAATGAGTTCTAAAGACTTCTTCTACTTAAAAAAATTGTACACCAGAAAACGTTGCGCAAATGTACTATAACTGTATCTCCTTGTAATGTCCGACTTTCGGGATGGTAAGTATTTCTATTTCAAACGATTTGAGTTTTAAATGAGGCATTCAAGCAAGAAAGTTGCGATAGAGAACAAACACTTTGAAATAAAACCTCAATATTGTACATGTACTTGATGACTGAAATGGTCCATAACCTTGTGATTATGTCGAATTTCTTTAGTATCTTTGCCATATTGAAGAAGAGCGATTGCCGTGATAAACTTTCTGAACGTTAATCGGCATCGTTTGAAGAAGTGGTCGAATATGACGAACGTAATTATGGAAATCGAATATTATTACCCTTACGACTGAACCCATACCTTCTGTTTTTATTTAATTCGATATTATTACGAATAGTTAAACCTTCTTAGACCGGTTTATATACCCTGTTACTTGCAAATAAATTGTTTTTCTTTGTTTCGCACTGTAACTCGGAAAACTTCCATCGTATAACTTTTCCCGCAATTTGCGCGCGTTTCATTCTTTTCTTTTCGAAACCTTTTTTTGCGAGATCGAAGGGTTGCTTTGATTTAAAAAATGTTTTAACTTATGACAGTCTGTCGGAAAAATAACGGGGGGTTGTCGCGTCTTGGAATCGCCCATCATCGCTTTGCAACGGCCGCCGGAGCTGGCAGGTGCGCGACTGCAACCTTTTTTCGACGAGGCGAAGCAATGCGCGACCGTTATTTTTCCGAGAGACTGATACCTGGAAATTTTACAATATCAGTTGTTCCTTCCGAGATGCAAGAGTGAAGAAATAAGACCGATTTTCAGGCTTCGTGGAAATTGGGCAGATTTTTGCACTGCAAAAAATAATTATTTGATGATTCAATAGTGACATTTCGTACGATTGCAGCGAAAAAAATCTGTCCAATTTCACTCTGTCCAATTTCCGCGCTCTGTCCAAATTATTTCTGTTCAATTTCCACGAAGCCGATTTTCAGGTTTTGAAAAAGACGCTAAATTTGCTTTCTCGAGCTTTTTTTCTCATGTTGGCCTCATTTTTCCCATTCTATTTTTTCAAAAAAAGTGGGGAAAGCGTTTTTATCGTGTTGCTTCGGAACGACCGGTGCGGTTTTATTTCTTCACTCTTATGCATCTAGTCTGAATTTGATATTTCAGATGCGTCGCATTTTTTCAAATGTGCGCTTTCTCAGCACAAAACAGCCCACTGTTCGATTTCCAGACGCCAAAAGAAAAACCATAGAAGATGTTTTAGGAGAGTCCAAGCCAAAGGAGGCAATTACAGTGCAACAAAGCGTGGACGAATTCCAAGATTTATCTGGTGTGCCTGAAGAACACAAGAGCGAACGCCGAGCTATTATTTTTCGCCCAGTCAGAAATGCTATGCAAAGTGGATGGAATGGAACTCAAATCTGGAAAATCGAGTTAGATAACCAAGAACGATGGGAAAACCCTCTTATGGGATGGTCCTCTACGTGAGTAGTGCAATCTTAAATAAAACTTATTAGAGCTGACCCATTGAGCAATATCTCCATGAATCTGGACTTCGCTTCTCAAGAAGATGCCATCAGTTTCTGTGAAAAAAATCAATGGCCATATGAAGTGGAAACTCCACAGGAACGCCAGATTAAGCCCAAGAATTACGGTTCCAATTTTCATTGGAACAAACGTACTCGAGTTGGTACGAAATAGACAAACAAGCATGTGAATAAACTTTTAGTTTTGGTTGTGTATTTTTTTCTCGGTATACGACGTTTAATCGTTATACTTGAGTTTTGCGTGATCAAATAACCAAATTGTAGGATGTCTGTTGCAATAAACCCCGACGCTTCAAAAGGTGCCACAGAAGAACAGACCAGCGCGCAAAAAATGTTAATTGAAAACAGTCAACTGATTGAAACTATCGCTGAATATCAGAGAATGGGTAAAATAGAGGATGCTGTGAAGTATCAAGAACTGTTACATCAAAACCTTACTTTCTTGGCTGATCTTGTAGATCCCCAACTAACTGCTCAAATACAGGCAAGTTCAATCCTTTATGGGATAACGCTTCAAAGTTTAGGAAGTCACCGCACCACAACCGCTTCCTCTCTCTCAGCAGCACGAGCCTATTTCAGTCAATGTTGATCAACCTCACCAGACGTTAGGAGCGCCATCTTCGAATCCACAACAATATTACTCCCCTAATTACCCTCAACAAAGGACGCCCAGAATGACCTAAACTGTTTATTTTTTATCCTTCGTCGGCATCGGCGTTGACTTGTAAATACGCGTCGTTGAAATGCACAACAATAACAGTAATATCGTCTCGATAATTTCTTGCCATCCCTGGAGGTAGCTGGAGACTATCTTGAAGTCTTGAATACTGTTGATCAGTTCCGCCAGAACAACCTCCTAGGGCGTTACGTATGATATGCGTGGCACTGTTATCATCTAACGGTTTCTTTACGGTGCCTTTTCGTCGTCGATCGATCTCTTCTACGATCTAAACTTACAAGGTTTTCAAAACCATTTGATGATTTTTTTTCAAATGCCAGTCACTTACTTCCCCCAGGGTTTTTTCTGGAGATGGCTGATAGTTGCTGAGTGTCTGAGTTCCTAGTGCATGATCACTGACTAGTCGAACTATAGTATCAGGGTCTAACCATTCCCATAATCCATCACTGGCTATGACAAGAAACTTGTCATTTGGAGTTAGTTTATGGTAGAAAACTTCTGGTTGTGCTGTCAGATAGGGAGGAGTTTGAAGTCCGCTGGGTGGTGACATTCCTAGAGGTTCCAGTACTACTTTCTGCAGTTCCATTTGCCACTTGTAACGGACATCCCCAAACGCTCGAAGGGGGTAGAGCTCCCCTAACAAACGTCCTCCTGTGGGGTATGTAGGTATATATTGACAAAGTTACCTTTAAGAACTGTGGCTCTTTCAGACACTGGGTGCTGTGATCTTACACGATTCGTTTCGTCGATATTGTCAATAGTATGAGGTTTCGATAATTGTCGCGCAACAAGATGACCATGATTCACAACCCCCAAAACGGCCGCACAATCTCCAGAATTCGCTACATGTAAATGCCCTCTTCTAATATGTGTAATTATCGCACAGGATCCGGATGTTGCGACATTGACACTCATTCTGAAAAAAGTAGCGACACACTGGGATTCAAAAAAAGTTACCACTTACCTGCAAACTTGCCCCCTCGAATCAGGTAACGCGCCGTTGCAAATATCCGAATCTAAACGGGTAAATGCATACTGCAAGGCCTTCCTAACTGTTGTCATGTCTTCTCGCCGTCGAAATCTAAATATAATTCTGGGTAACGTAGAGTATACTTACCTTTCGTGAAACTCTCTAACGTTGAATTCATGAATGTCCCTGATAAAAGAAGGTAGTCGTGGGTCGGCACTTGAGAATAAGTGTTGTATTCTTTCATTAAGCGGTATCTGTGCTAAGGTGTGTTTCTCAAGAACAGAAGCGCAAATGTAATCGAAAAGTCTTGTAGATACATGCCTTGCACAAGAAGCCCCGCCATGTCCATCAAAGACCCCAAATAAATGGGCATTGGACGATAAGCATTTCGAAGCCGCGAAGAAATCTTCAACTGGTCGATTCGCCGCCAACTGGCTGACATCCACCTTGGCCACCGCATGGTCATCAAGCGTGATAGATCGCTCATTTCCTCGAAGAATGGCATCTGTACTTGTTCGGGATCGAGTTGCAGAACAACTGGAGCGATGAAACAATCGGCGTGAGGCAACTGATCGAGAAACGGGCCGAACAATTATGATACGGGACATCCACATTCACATCTGTCCGTACATGTACGGAGAGACGATATCTCAACTAAAAATACATTTTTTTCAGCCGAAACCCGACGAAACGGAATGCCAAGACCGAGAAAAAAACTGGCAATGTCTCGCGGTCGCGAGTCTTACCACAAAATTTAATCTTGTATACCAGGTGCCTTTTTACGCCTTATTGAGGAAGGTCTATTATTGCAAGCTGTTAAAGTTGTTATAATACTGTCTAAAACATTTTTAAGTTGTACACTAATTCTACATAGAAACTGATGCTTGTTGAATGCGACGTCGTAGAGGATTGACGTTATTGGACGAGAACAAAAGGAAAGTTCCGGTCAACAGTCTTGACGATCTTCCTCCACTTAGCGGGTTTTCATTTACCGAGGTCGGAGAGGCCCTTCGTGATCACAGCCTTGTCGAACATCATGTATTATGGGCCACCTATCTCCGAAACCAGTCTGCGTATTCGAAATCCAGCATAAATTTGGATATTCTTTTACCAAATGGGTACATTTATTCTATATTGACACCACTTCATTGGACACTGAAGCATCTTAAAGAGCAATTATTAAAATATGTTAAGTAAGTAATTTATACTTTATCCATTACGGTTTAGAATATGGACCCAGGACTGTAACATTGACGCATCCTGTTTCATTTTTTCGTCTGTCGGCGATAACGGCGAATGTTTGGAGTTGTATGATGAGGAGCGAAGTCTAGACACAGTTCACATGTTCTTGCCATTCTTAGTAATGACAAAGCCCAGTGACATTGACGAAGAAATGAGCATAACCGAAAAAATTGAAATTATACTAGGCGAACCTTTGGTGGATCTGGTTTCAAGGTTAAATCCTGAACTCAAAAACTTTCGATTGGAACTCTTTGAGTCGACTAAAAGAGCAGATGATGAACGGGGAACATCAGGAACATTTCATTACGCGTTCCCAGAAGAAACTATTCTTCCGAATATTGCTGACCGAGTTTTCAGCCCAAACTTGCACTCTGAAGTTCACGAAGAAGACGTTGAGTTTTGGTGGTATCCTACATTACCTTCAGATGCTGACCATAAAGCAATGCAAGCGTTAAGGAAGAAGGTTGAGCGGTCTAAAATTGGAATTGAGATTTGGTATCGTGAAACGGAAGAAAGCGAACAAGGAGTTTCGGTGGGAATTAAGGATATTTTTGACAAGAAACCATGTGATATAATTGGTGCAGCTTTGGAGATTTTGGGCAGGGTAGGTGGGAAAGTACTTTCAAGAATATCCGGAGACATACAATTAACGCATGGGTTTAGCGGGAGAATCCAGCAGACTTTATACTTCAAGTAGTTGGCCGAAAGTCCTTCATAACCCTTCATAAACCCATTCTAAAGTTTGAAGTAAGTCACTAATGACATCTGAGTTATTATTATATATTTAGTATATCCGGTCTTGTTTCGAGAACTACCGAGAGCCAAAACTGTTACTTCGAAGAAAGAAGACGATATTTTCCCAATTTCCTCCCCCTCCGAAAATATTTACTGTAAGTGAAAGCCTCCTTTTATATCGTTGTAGCCGTCATACATCCGTTCTGACAGATTTGCCCGTAAGTATCCTTGCACCACCAAGGTGGCGCCAGTTTGTTTCTGGGAAATGGATCAAGTCCTCTCGATCAACATGCGTGGGATCTCTAACGTGCAGGAATACGACTCAGCAAAGATATATGTAAAGGCAGTGTTGGCTGTGGGAAGACATATCCTTGACGTCAAAAGCACTCCTGCAGTGCCGTCCAATGCTTTCAGGCATTTTGTGTTTGACGTAGGCGATTGCTTTTTATTCACAAATGTGTTTAGTTTAATGTTTATATGAAAGATGTTCCCGAATCTGCTCAGATGTGCTTCTTGTTGTATAGTGCCAACAAGAAAGAGGTGGATGAGGAACCATTGGCATACGTAAATGTCAGGCTATTTGATTGGCGGAATGTCTTTTGTCAAGGAAAGAGCACATTTTACTTGAGGAGACCTCCAAAGGGATCATCAGTCGCATCTGTCCTACTGTTACCATGTGGTGGAAGTACAAGTCATAATTCTGTCCGTATAGAAGTTGAGTTCCCCGAGATCCCGGGAAAGGAGTTGGAATTCCCTGATTGGGAAGAGATTGAAAAATTTAACAAATTTATAAGGCTGCGCCGTGATATTAACGGCGAGAGCGAACGCTTGGAGCTGGATCCAATCCTCGTACGTTGATACCTTGTATTTATTAGGTTGATTCGAAAGTTTTTCGCCATTTTTTCGGGACACTTCAAAACAAAATTTCTAGAGCTTGATAGAATGTATGTTGAAACTGAATGAAAACATAGATGTATAGGGCAGCCCTTCGAAAAATTTTTTTTATTCGTACTTGGGAATGGTAATAGTTTCTTGTGAATTTATTGCTTTTGTTATATCTTCTCTGGCATTTTTTGTAGCGTACCATAAAGTTAGCCGGGGAGCCGAGTTCTCCATCGAAAGCAGATTATTTATTTTTTTTGGATGGAGTTAGGCGTTTTGACTCGGCTGCCATTCAGGATATGTAAATACAGCATGCTGATGATACATTAGAAAATTCAAAAACTGAAGTTCTCCTATAAGGTAGAAAGTAAGCATAAACTGCAATTTCAGGCGGCTTTTTGTAATTTTTTTACTGGTATGACAAGAAGATCTTCAGCTTAGCGCGTCTTGTAACTGTTAGTGTATACACTGCTCCACAAAATTAATGCACTTTTAAAATCGCTGTAACTTTTGTGGTTGTCAATAAAACTATGCCACCGTTTTTCCTTGTAGCAAGGACCCCTAAGAATACCATCAAGCCCAATAACTTACTTTGCTTCAGCACCAGCGGCAAGAAAATTGCAAAACATTGCGCGAATTTATAATTTTGTCGCAAAGAAAATCGAAGGGAGACTGAATATGAACTGACTGAATATGAAGGACCGAATATGAAGGACTGAATATGAACTGACTGAATATGAAGGACCGAATATGAAGGACTGAATATGAACTGACTGAATATGAACTGGGGTGCTGACTGAATATGAAGGACCGAATATGAACTGACTGAATATGAAAACCGGGTTTCTGTTACTGTTACTACCTAGGTTCCGATTAAGGACTCTTTTTAAAATTTTTTCGACTTACGACACCTTTAGACGTTAATGGTGTTGTTTTGGTGCCTAGTACAGGGTGACCCAAAATAACGGAGACAAAAGATTTCCCGTTTTTTCTGCGACTTATTAAGATTCATGAGTGACTCCTTATTTATATTACAGTACCACGTTAGGGTAGTTTTATTTACCGGTTGTTTTGTTGTACGACGCTCTTATGTCTTGAACGACATGAATATATCCGGTTGACTTGGACCCTTCTGCCCGTGGGGTCTTTTTACAAGAAAGCTGCCTTACTCAAAAAAGAAGACTCGGGATAGTTTGAGATTTACAGTTATTAATTATCATAATAACACCTTTAAAATGAGCTATCATACTAAGTTTAACTATCGATGGCCCAAAAGTTACAGCCGAGTATTTTCAGGCAGTTGAAGTGCAAAAATCGGCGTTTTTTGAAAATGTAAGCGCAACAAGGAGTTTAAATGTTAAATAAGGCAAAATGTAATATGAGTTACTAGAACATGATTAAAGGAACACCACAAAAGCAAAAGAGAAAGATTTTGCAACCGATACGGAATGCTATTTGGTAATCTAGAATTCTGCCTTATTTTTGCCTTACGCGGAATACCGGTCGAGTCGGTGACACATAAAGACCGAAAGTGCCCTAGGCTGATTCTCAAGAGTCGTATTCATAAGTGTACAGGAGCATAATGCGCCATTTTTATCTATCATGTCATTCTGTTATCGATAACCCATCTTTCTCAAAGCCGCGTGCCACGGGGAAGTTCTGGGCAATAAACTTGTTAAGGAAAAGCTGTTGCAACCAGCAAGCAATCACAGATTTTTTCAGAATCATTGTATTTATGAATGGAACACGTACTAGCGGTTTTAGCTTGATTCGAAAAAAACTGAATTTTTTATGGAAAAAATTTGGGAAAAATGGCGATCTTCAATGTTGAGATCGGTATCACCGTAGAAATAAAAACCGTAGTCCAAAAGCCTACGTAACTGCTTTCTTAGGGACATAGTAGTCTAACAAAACAAAAGATCTTGCCATTTCTGCGGCTGTAGTAATGCCAGGCTTTACACAACACAAGGGAACCAAACTTGAGGGCCAAAAAGCGGCGCAAGGCATATTTGTTAAGCTGTAACTTTTTACTGCAACATGATGATTCCACCAAACTTTCGTGGATTATAGAGAAGGTGTTATAGAATATTTCCCGCTGTCGCTTATGTTTCTCTAACGCCCGGTTTTCGCGGTGGGACCTTCAAAACTTTGTCTCCGTTATTTTGGGTCACCCTGTACTGCTTAAAAAAAAACTTTTTTAACACTTGGTGCTAAATAGTACTACCTGGTACTATTTAGTACGAGGTGAAAATTTGGCTGGTAATGGTGTTGGTTTGGTGCTTAGTACAGCCCAAAACACATTTATAGCACTTGGTACTATATAGTACCAATTGGTACTACTTAGTACGAGGTGAAAATTTGGGCGTAAGGCGGTAATGGTGTTGGTTTGGTGCTTAGTACAGCCCAAAAACACATTTATAGCACTTGGTACTATATAGTCCTTGAAATAGACCAAATTTGCCAAATTTCATATTCAGTCAGCTCCACAGTTCATATTCAGTCAGTTCATATTCAGTCCTTCATATTTAGTCCTTCATATTCAGTCAGTTCATATTCAGTCAGGCACCCTACACTAATACATATTGGAGCCAAATATGGCACAGTTTTATCGAAAACCACAAAAGTTACTACGATTTTAAAAGTGCATTTATAATTTTGTCGAGCAGTGTATGTCAAGTAGTGTCAAATATTTATTAAACAATTTGGATAACAGGTGGCAGTAATGAAAAAAAAATTTTTTTTTGTAAAAATTCCCTAAAATTTGTAAAATATTGGCATATTTGAAAGATTCAATTTTTCTGTCATAAAGCTAAAAGGTAGTGCGGATGTTTCACTCATACACTTCGATGCCAGAAAATGTTACCTCTTAGTGCTTCTGATAGCTGCGATTGCAGGGCCAACTTTTGCCAGAGAATTTTAGATTTTGAGCAATATAGATTTTTCGACTAGCCTTGTGACAAATTAGGCTCGATGCCATAGGGATTACATACAGGCATACCATATTCTAGAATATTAAGAAGATACAGCCATTCTAGACGCAAGCAGTCCTCTTTCTAACGGCGTATATGTCAGGAACATTGGCTTTGGTCGAAATTTAAAAAAAAGTTTGTAAAGCAATGGCGGGGAACTGTTGAATCAACCTAATAATATTCGGTGAATGAAATTGTCTCTTTTCTATAAATGGTTTTTAGCGGGGCTCATCGATCTTGGAACGGTTGCTAAAATTACGAAATGAATTGGATGGGGCCAGACTTTCGGAAGAAAACCAACAATTTTTATGGCGTGCCAGGTTTGTTGAGATTTTTACGGCTTGTATCAGCTCCGCTCTACTAAGGGCCGAAGGTGTCTTCCTCTTAACGTTGAATTTTTTGGGTTTTTTTTTCGAAACCCAAAAAAAACACGATGAGCTTATCGTGTTGTCTGTCTCTCTGTGACACCCGAATGACATTTTTTTGTCGCTCCCATTATCGACCGGTAAATGCCGAAAAATCGAAATTTCTCCGTCGTCTTTGGACTCACTGATACAGTATCCGGCTCTAAAGAAATTGCGAGGTGATTTTTCGACATAATCAAAAATATCTCGCGAGAGCGGAGTACCATTCCTTCTTTATTTTGAATTGTTTTGGATATCAAGTAACTCCCTAATTGACTATAAAATAGTTAGGCTTAGTTTGCTTAGCCGCTTAGGCCTAGGCGCTTAGGATTTCTGTCCTTAAACGTTGCGCGCAAATGCAACTTCGCTCGCACACCCACGTTGGGAATGTAGGCTGACGAGTCGCGGAGCGACGTAGTCAGGCTACATCCCAACGCATCTTGTCACACACATAACATACCAGTTTTTTAACTAAAGTAGGGCGAAAATTGATGGTTTCGATCAAAAATTAATGCTTTATGGCCTAATAACTTTCTCTTCGCCCAATCTAGGGTGCAAAAAACTCAATAGGCCAAACGACAGTACATACACTCTAAGTTTATTAGAAATACGAAAGCAATAATTAGCGTCTTCAAGTAGGAATTGGAATCGGTGAGACATTTTAGACCATTCAATTTTTTTTCCCGCCATTTTTCGCGTCCACAACCTTCGGGCAAAAGACCTAAGCGGTTGTCCAGCAGTTCCTCGGAACGTTTTTCGCTTTAGGTACGCACCTCGTGCACCTGGAACATTTAATACTTACAATACCATCTCCCCCCTCCCCCTTTCAGCATTTATTGGTAAAATACGTATAATAAAAGCAGGAATTATAGATTGGGCTGGACTGGGCTAGCCTAGGCTGGATTGGGCTAGGCAGGACTGGGTTTGGCTGGACTGTGCTAGCTGAGGCTGATTTGGGCTGTGCTGGATTGGGCTGGACTAGCCTAGGCTGCTCTGGGCTGGGACCTGATATATTCCATTGAGATATTACCATTCACATTAAACTGCATACATTCGTATATAAATATATATATTTGTTGGTTTTGTTGTGTGCGATTACTCTTTATGATGTGTATGTTCTTCCTGTGAAATCTTTTAGGAGGTTTTTTCCACAGAAATGTCGATTTAAAAAAATTTTCCGCTTTAATTGCCCAAATTTTCATTCTAAAGCCAATTCGAAATTTCATTTTGGGGTTTCCTCACAATGTCAAAAAGTGAGATGCTCAAATTATTTTCAAATCTTCTTCTCGATTCCACGGTCGTTTTGTTTCAACCAAACCCTGCGACAATAAAAAAAAGCAATTTGAATATTCATAAATTAAAACACGATTTTTGAGTCACTGCGTCAGCCAGTAGTGGGGCCCGGTCTTAGGAAAAAATCGATTTTGAGATTTTTGGCTTAAAATAGTCGGTAGCACTTGCGTAAGAAAAGCTAAAAATATTTTTGCATAATTTTGCCCGGAAGGCATATTTTTTTACAAAATACGTTTTTACACTTCAAAGCCTCTGGAGGCCGATGTGATCCGACCACAGAGATCAAACCTGGCATACAGGGGTTTTTGACACCCAGGAATATGAAAATCGTAGCATTTTTACCGTCAGATTGCTGTAACATGGTCATACTGTAATCCGGTCGATAAAAATCGACGATAACTTCTTTAGATCAAAAATGCCACAGGATTTTATTGCAGATTCGGAATCAGCATAAAATTCTGCTTCGGATACATGTAACATATGTTCAAAATTCCGTGGCCCAACCTCTGTAGTATAGTGGTTGTGCGCCAGGATTATCAATCTGGCGACCCAGGTTCGATTCCCGGTGGCTGCAAATGGCAGAAAATGGACTGTAAAAGGGCGGAAACTTGGAAAAAAGGGAAAATAAATTACAGAAAATTAATTTTATGCTAATTAGGAGCAGTTTAAAAGTTTTTGCATGAATTCCGCATAAATTACGGGTTTTATGGAAAACGGCTTATAGCTTGCCGGAAAGTGGAGCAATCTGGTTAAAATTTACAGAAGAGGTTACTGAGGCTTCCTACTACGAGATAAGTCCATTTCTGCTTATTTCCTTAAATTTTTGGGATAGCCTGGGGTTTCTTTCAAATTCGGGATTTTAAGAAGGCGAGCTGCGGCCGAGGTTTATCGAACGGAACAATATTTGACCAAAAAGTCATATAAGATTCACAAAAAGTCATATAAGATTCCCTAACAGCACCGGGATCACACAGCTTGCAAAACTTAGGCCGTCTTGCGTATCCCACAAAAAATGGAGCGCGTGGACGCTCTAATGATAAATCTACATGGAGACTCAGTTGGTAAGGAACAGAGGCTAAACTACGGGACTGTAACATGCGTGCTTCCATCTGAAAATTAAATAACTGTTTTATTTTGTTTTGCATTGCATTCCTCGGCGGATATGATGAAAATTGGATAGCAAGCGTTATGTAGATTCACCACAACTCTTTAGTTGCCGTTTGGGGCGATCTTACGGCGCACAACCACTATACTACAGAGGTTGGGCCACGGAATTTTGAACATATTTTACATGTATCCGAAGCAGAATTTTATGCTGATTCCGAATCTGCAATAAAATCCTGTGGCATTTTTGATCTGAAGAAGTTATCGTCGATTTTTATCGACCAGATTACAGTATGACCATGTTACAGCAATCTGACGGTAAAAATGCTACGATTTTCATATTCCTGGGTGTCAAAAACCCCTGTATGCCAGGTTTGATCTCTGTGGTCGGATCACATCGGCCTCCAGAGGCTTTGAAGTGTAAAAACGTATTTTGTAAAAAAATATGCCTTCCGGGCAAAATTGGGCAAAAATGTTTTTAGCTTTTCTTCCACAAGTGCTACCGACTATTTCAAGCTAAAAATCTCGAAATCGATTTTTTCCTAAGACCACCGCTGGTGCCCTGACTCAAAAATCGTGTTTTAAGCGAAGCCAAAAATTTTCAAATTAGCGTTGAAGGCAAGAAGCTTTAAAAAATTAAACTTGTAGAGATTATAATTTTTGAAATCAAAGCTTTGCAAAATACGCATTGTTCAAGTACAATTTTTTATGATACGAAATGCTTTTATTGTTTCGTTTTTGGAAAATGTCGGATGCTATGGCCCGCTAGTCTTCCGAAAAGTTTGTGGCAGAAAACAACTTTATTTTGCCATCAGGTGGAGATAGCAAACAAAGAGTTCAACAAAAATTCTTTTGCATAATATTCTAAAGTCGCCCATCGTCGAATTCTAAAAAACAATGTATACTTCTTGGGAAGCTGCAAAGAGGACATAGATAATCGTAAAAAGTTTTTGCCATATTTCTTGCAACACCCTGTATAATAGGTACCACAGGGGGAAATGAACAACGCCATGATTCTACCAAGTTTTCATGGATTTTAGAGAAGGTGTTATAGAATATTATGCGATGTCGTGTGTTTCTCTGACGCCTGGTTTTCGCGGTAGGGCTTTTTTAAAATTTGTCTCTTCTAGGGAGTTCGGTGACATTTTCAATAAATGAGGAACCACATTCTACGAAAAAGTATACTACAAATAACCCTGCTTTCATTTTTGAGCGAAATCTGTTCGAGTAGAACAACAACGTTTCCGAATATCTGTTGGTTTGACCTTAGCTTAATCATGCTTTTTTTAGATTTAAAATCCAAGAGCTGTTTCCTCAAATGATATTAATTCTGGCCGACTCTCCAATTGTGTATAAAAGTAGGGAACGTTTGTGCGAGTTCTACAGTTTGCTCAATTCTTGGCCCCAATTGTATGTGGACACGGCTATAGAATTGCTAGATGCTCGTTTCTCGGATCGCTACGTCAGGGCTTTCGCTGTCCGTCATCTGGATAAGATCATTGACAACGATCAAATGCAACTCTATTTGTTGCCTTTGGTTCAGGTATTTCTATTTTTGTCATGTGTTGATTCTTTAAGTGTTTACGGTATGAGCCGTATTCGACGTCTCCATTGGCAGATATGCTCGTTAGACGTGCTTTGATGGATTACAAAGTCGGCCACACCTTTTTCTGGTTAATACGATCCGAGTTGTCGCTCTTTCTGTCTGATGATCCCATGAATCTCAAGTGCAGATTTTCGTTGATGTGTGAAGCCTATTGTAGAGGGAATGCACTTTATCTCGATTCTATGGCCAAACAAGTGGTCATGGTGAACAAATTGACTCAGTTAAGCTCCTGGGTAAAGAATATTAACAAAGATGTCGCATCTAAGGTAGTTGTGTAAAGTTGGTCTTACTATTTTTTTTTGTAGAAACTAAGAACAGAGCTCGTTAATTGGATGGATGGTATGCAAAATATGCCTTCTCCACTGAATCCATGCGAATGCTTGGGAGAGTTGGTGTAAGTCGAAGAGGCTTCAGGCTGATATAAATTTCAGATTGGATGCATGCAAAGTTCTGGGAAGTGCAAAGATGCCATTGCGGTTACGGTGGAAGAATCCAGAACCTTTCTCTTCGCTAACAAATCCCGTTCATGAAATAATTTTTAAGAATGGAGATGGTAATTGAATTTATTTGACATCAAAATTGCTTCAGACTTGCGTCAAGACATGCTAACCCTCCAAGTAATGCGGATCATGGATGCCAAGTGGAAGAACTACAATATGGATTATTGTTTAACTTTGTATGAGGTTTTGCCAATGGGAGAGAATGTGAGACGAACGTGAATGTTACTTATTATCTTTCAGATCGGGATGATTCATGTTGTCCAACATTGTGCTACTTTGTTTCAAATTCAATGTGCATCTACCCAGCTAGGTTCTACGTTCTCGATGGACCAGCAGCTCATAAATAAGTATATTTATGATTTATGCACTGAAGAAAAGGTCCTTAACTCAAAACAATACATGGAATGCGTGGATCGGTTCTCGTTTTCTTTGGCTGGATATTGTGTAGCTACTTACGTTCTCGGTATTAGGGACAGACATCAAGATAATTTAATGCTGGCCAACGATGGCAGGGTAGGGAATTTACAGTTACTTTGTCACGGATGGTATCTTTAAGCTTTTCCACATTGATTTTGGTCATATTTTGGGGCATAACAAAAAGAAACTTGGGATTAACAGAGAAAGAACTGAGTTTATCCTTACTGATCACTTCCTGCGTGTTGTTTCCCATGGCAAAGACGACTTTAAAGGATCTTACATGTTCAAGACGTAAGGAAATCGCCTAAACTAGTAAGATTTCTTTTAGATTTCGGGAAAGTTGCGCCCAGGGATACCTTGTATTGCATTATCATCGGAGGTTTTTTCTGGCTCTTTTCAAAATGATGAGATGCATGGGTCTACCGGAGTTGCAACGAGATGATGACATTGAGTACCTCTTCACTTCATTGCAGTATGATCAGGTTGAGCGGCAAAACATTCTCAACAATTTCTTCGAAGTGTTTGATGGGGTTGTGAAACATGATTGGTCTACTACTGTAAATTGGTTTTTCCATTCAGTAAAGCATCACAAATAGACTATATATTTCATTGCGGTAATATCAATGTATTTCATGATCTCAATCCTTGTGTTGGGCGGTTGCTGTTGTTGTTAAATAAAATGTACCATATCACTTTGTCAATGCGAATATAAAGGTTTTAAGGCTTTGGGTACTACGCCGCTGACATCAAAATAAGGGGGTTGAACAGTGTGATACGCATAAGATTGAACTCCAGTGCATGTTAATTTTCTCGAATTTTTTTTGCATGGTGGCCTCTTTGCTGTACTGATGATTGCATTTTTCGGAGTTGTAAATGTTCCAGCGTATAAAATGTCCCTTTTCGAGACAAATAATTTTTCCTTTTTTTCTTGTGTGAATCTATTCTTATCAACAAATTGTGGGTTTGGAGTTTTTATGACTGGTGGATTAGAACAGTAAGTTGTAAGATTTGATTGAAATTACCTATCGGAAAACTTTAGGTCGGAATGGATCGAAATTGTGGAGCCAAAAACGCGGCAGAGGATGTATGCAAATCTGGTAACAGGGACATGTCTATGGGAACCTCCCGCAGGAGTAAATGTGTATGTTTTCTGTCAGCTTTTAGTCTTTGGATTTGAAGGTGCTGATGGATGATGAAATTTTTAGAAAGAAAACAAATGAAAATCAATGGTGGGAACTCTTTGACAATACAACGAACCGATTTTACTATTACAATCCTTGCTCTACTGAAACGGTTTGGCAGAAGCCAAAAGAATGTGATATTATTCCTCTGGCCAAACTTCAGGTACATTGTATATGCGTCTTTTAATGCGTATTTATAGCAACTGAAGGAAAACACGGCATCCGCGAGCCATTCTCCAGAAACGCCTCGCTCACAAGAATTGAAATCCTCCCGAACCGAGTGCTTTTATTCAAATCTGAAAGACCCGGCATCTCAGTTCAAACATTTGAATATAAATTCCGAATGTTGTGATCATTCGGAAACATCTCCGTTCCCACGGAGGAAGCATAGGGAAAATTCTGGGTCTTCAGCGTTGAGTCAAGAATCGGTATCAACGAAACCAAAGTTCGATAACTGTCTCCAGGAGATGGTTGTCTCAAAGGCCGTAACGGAAGGTTCCTCTTCTTTTTATGACAATGATCTATGGGTTGGAAGAACTCGGACTTGTTCTACCAGTTCGTCCATTTCTAGTTCTCTACAGCCGTCCGAATCATTATCCCAAGTAAGGAAAGTAAAGCAGATTGGAGTGTTTTTAGAAAACGCCTTTGAGTTCATCAATCGTTTCTCCACATTCAAGTAAATTAAATTGGACAAAGGATTCACTAAAGGCTCCCTTAACTTCGCTAGCAAGCAAGAAGGACAAGAAACAAGCCCTAGTATTGTTTAAACTTGTGCGAAGCTACATGGGTGACCGAAAAACGAGGACGTGCAATGATAATGTAAGTCAAATAACCGATAATCTTCATTCTGATTTAGTTGGTTTTAAATATTTTGGAAATTGTTTCAAATTTTCCAATCTTGAAGAATGAAGTCTACCTCCAGCTCGTTAAACAATTATCTAATAACCCCAAAATTGATTCTCTTCGCCGTGGCTGGGAACTACTTGCAATAATGTTATCGTTTTGTATTCCAAATGACCCTGATGTTGTTCATGAAGTGACAACTTTTGTGGAAAGGTGTTCCGATCCGCTGCTCGATCCATCTGAATTTTTTTGCTCAAAATATGCAAAACATTGCTTTAAAAGGATTCAATTGCCGATTAATTTCTTTAAAGTCTCTTTGGAGTCTGTACAAACGGCGAGATATAACATATTTTATCCCTCCATGTTCGGCACAACATTAGAAGAGCTTATGGATTATCAAAAAGACAAATATCCGGGTCTGGAGATACCGTGGATAGAAGAAGTATTAATCAATATGGTCTATGAATTAGGTGGTGAAAGCACCGAAGGAATCTTCCGATTAACCGCCGATCCCGACCTTATGCATACTGGTAACCTGTGCTTTACACGAATTTAAATACTTTTGCTTAGGTATCGTTCAATTGAATGTGTGGGTAAAGCCTGCCGTTCGTGATGCTCACATTCCTGCCGCTTTATTAAAACAATGGCTCCGCCAGCTCCCTTCTCCGTTGATTCCCGACGCATTATACGACGCGTGCCTTAACATTTCGAACGATGCCAACGATGTGACTGCGTTGATAAAAATGCTACCTCAGCTTAACTTAAAAGTGTTGATTGCTTTATTAAGAATGTTACAACGTCTTTGTAACGAGGAGACCGTCAAGTCCACCAAGATGGACGTGTCTAACTTGGCGATGGTGATGGCTCCAAACATTCTCCGATGTCAGAGCAAGGATCCAAATGTGGTATTTTCCAACTCGAGGAAAGAAATGGAGTTTGTCAAGACTCTCATTCTTAATTGTATCATAGATGTGTAGCAATAAACCCATAATTAGAACTGTGATCACCCAACGAAAAAGTTGTTTTCAAATTTTTTACTTGTAAACAACGATTTAACATGGTTTTAATCGACCTGATGTTTTATTTGTTTCAAATGGAGAGCAGTCTGAGTCTGTCGGGTATAATGAGAGAGAGGGTTTACCCTTTTGGCGAGTGCTGTGGATGACCATTGAGATAGGATATAGGGCAGTAGGTCTTCTTTACAGTGCCACCGACTCGCTCGATGTCTTTCAGACGGCTACATCATAATCAATACAAGGTGAAAATAAAACCATTACAACATATAAACTTGACCAAAGAAAAGGAAAGAGAGGAAATAGAGATGAGACAAACAAGCGTTATTGTGTCTAGGCGTCGTCTTCCAGAACATATACTTTAGGCGAGTTTCCTTTTCCAGTGACCACGGAGCTGCGGTGTTTGGCACGGATCAGGTGAAGGGAACTCTCAGCCTGGTCGGCACGGCCTTCAGCATCTTCCAATTCGCGTTGGTAACGACGAACACGTTGTAGGTTTTGCATGGTGATAGATTCCTACAAAAGAGCGTTTCAGTATGGAGTCAGATGTTATTATATTTTACCACAAGCCCACCGGCTTAGAGTTTAGTGTTCCACTTACGGCTTCTCCAAGCTGTCGTTTTTGGATGTTGAGTTTCTCCAAAAGTCTGTCGGCGGTGTCTTGTGCCATTACAAAGTTCTTATGCTCCTCATCGACTTGCATTTGGACTTCCTTGATTCTGCGATCCTTCTTGCGCAGCGCGTTCTGGGTTTCCTTATGGCGTCTGGTTTCCTCATCCAAGGCAGTTTCCAAGTCACGGATGCGGGTCTCAAGCTTGGCGATGACGCGCTTTCCTCCGAGAAGGGCAGCGGCTTCGGCTTCTTGGATTTGGACTTGTAATTGCTTGACTTGTTCCTCTAATGACTTTCTCAAGGCATCGATCTTCATGGAGTGTTCTTGTTCTTCATGAAGTTGTTCGACAGCACGAGCAGCATCAGCCAGAGCGCGGTTAGCACGTTCATCAGCAGCATGAAGTTCCTTTGTTGCCTCGTCAAGGTCAGCTTGGGCGGTAGAAAGTTCAGTCTCCAGCTTGTTCTTAATGGCAGTGAGGTTGTTGTTGATTGATTGGAGGTCATTGATGCGGCCATGAGCTTCCTCAAGCTCAACTTCCGCTTGTTTGCGAGCACGGATGGCGTTGTCCAGAGCGGATTTGCATTCCTCAAGCTCGGCGGCCAAGGCCGAAACCTTGCGTTGAGCCAAGGCGTACTAAAATAGAGCGTCTTCAGTCATAGTTACGGTAAGCCAATCATAAAAACTATATAGGGTTACCTGATCGAGGGTCTGTTGGAGTTGTCTCTGGGTGTCTTCCAAAGAGGCTTGGAGAACCTTGAGTTGTTCGCTTTGCTTCTTGATGGTTTTCTGGGCTTCAATGTTGGCACGGTTGAGGTTGTCCACAGCCATTTCAAGCTCGGCAATCTCGGCCTGATACTTCTTCTTCAGACGGGAGATCTCGGCCTTCATGCGGGCTTCGGCATCGGCCAAAGCGGCGGTCAAGCGGTCAATCTCGAATTGCATGTTCTTGCGCAAGTTCTCGATTTCCTCTTCCTTTTCTTGCAGACGGCGTTCCATCTCAACACGAAGTTGTTGAAGATCGGCCAGGGCGCGTTGGGCGCGAGCTTCAGCGTCTCGACGGGCGGCTTCGGATTCCTTAAGGGCAGTTTGGAGTTCACGGATTTCTCCGGCCAAACGAGCATTCTCCAAGTCAAGTTCATGGAGTTTGCGGTTAGCGTCGGCCAAGGCTTCCTTGGCTTCATGCAGATCATCTACAACATTAGGAAATAATGACTTAAAGCATCTTTATTGATTTACCTTGAAGCTTGCGGTTTTCGCGAGCCAAAGCTTCTTTCTGCTCGACGGCCTTCTCATACAAATGCTTCATCTTTTGGAGTTCAGCCAAAGCTGCACGGGCCTCGCGTTGAGCAGCTTCTAGCTCAACGGTCAGTTCGTCAATGCGTTGCTTAAGTTCGTTAACGGTTCTTTCAAGCTGTTCCTTGGCGCGTTCCAAGATAGCAATAGTGTTTTGAGCCTTCTCAAGGTCAACAATGAGGACTTCGACTTCAGATTGGAGCCGGGATTTGGCCTGGAATTGTTAACGTTTAGTGTATTAGGAACTTACCTTCTCAAGTTGAGAGATCTTTTGGACCAGAACTTCAATTTGTTCTTCGTATTCAGCTTGTTTCTGGAGCATCTTCTTGCGAAGATCCTCAACTTCCTCATGATGGAGAGCAACTTCGGCATCAAACTTGCTCTTCCATTGGGAAATTTCGGTGTTGGCCAAAGAAAGTTTGTGTTCAGCCTCAGCACGAGCCGCAGACTCCTCATCAAGAGCGGTACGGACGGAGTCAAGTTCCAATTGGACTTGGTGAAGCTGAGATTGAAGCTGAGAGCGTTCTCTTTCAGCATCTTCAAGACGTCGACGGGCTTCTTCAAGTTGCTGGGCAAGTTGATATTTAACGTGCTGGAGGTTGTCGAGTTGGACCTTTTGGTCATGAACCTCCTTCAACAATTCGTTGTTTTCGTTTTGAAGACGTTGACGTTGTTGGGCCAAGTCGTTTACGTGCTTGTTCAGGTCTTCGACCTTGTTCAATAAGTCGTTGGCCTGCGCCTCGAAGCGTTCAGCAGCCTTTTCGGCGGCGTGCTAAAAAATGCATAATGTTTGACATTATATCAAGTTTTCATTGTTAGTATTCAAATAGGTGTGGTTACTGTTCTTATTAATTCCTCGTTTTTTATCTTAGAATAGAAGGCCTTAAGGTGTGGAGGTGGAAGGATCAGGCACAACACAACACATGTTTGTGAAGCGGCCAGGATTTGGCTGGGTCATCCGCCCACCCACCCAGATCTCTCCCTTTAGATTGCCCTTCTCATTTTTCGCCTTTTCCAAGGAAGAGGACGGCAAAAGTATTTTGGAACAACTGTTTACAAGATCCAAAAGTCCGGGTCCCCGCTGGGCATATAAAAAAGAATATCAGAAACAAGAACAGGTTTGGAATGGTGTTTGCAAGCTATACGCCAGGCATCAGGCTGGTGACATATTAGGACAACCAATCTTCGAAATCATCAAAAAACATGCCGAAATGTTTTCTCACCTTGTCTTTCTGAACCTGGTCAATAGTAGCGGTCAATTCAATAACTTCGTGCTGGAGGCGTTGACGCTCGCGGTCAATCCTTAATAATACGGATGATTTTTTCTTCTAAGTAAATTATCAAAGGATAAAGAAGCGGACAAAATTAATCGCCAAAATTTTTAATACGTACTTGGAATTCTTCTTCTGGAGTTGCTCGATTTGGTCTTGGTAATCAAGAAGAGCATCCTGATGCTTTTTTCGGAGGACATTCATAGCATCCTCGCTTTCCAATTGGGACTCCTCGAGAAGTTTGCGGAGCTTTTGGAGTTCTCCTTCACGCTTGCGGTTTGATTCGATCTACACAGAGGGTTGGAAATGGAAACGATGAACTTACTTGGGAATCGGTGGTTCCCTCAGCATCCTCCAGACGGTCAGTCAGAGCGATGAGTTGAACAGAGAGGTCAGCGCGCTCACGCTCGATGCGGTTTCTCAATTCACGTTCGGATTCCAGGTCTTCTTGTAGAAGGCGGATTTTGTCCTACAAAAGAACTTCTGTTTACCTTCGCACAATAAACGTAGGTGGGTGAAGAGGATATCAAAAAACAGAGTAAGACAAACAGAAGCTCAAAGATATATGTATTTGGCACATAATTACCTCAAGTCGAGTTAGACTCCCCAAGTCAGCGACGGACATCGAACCAAATGGTCCGCCAGGGGCTCCACCAAAGGCACTCATTGATGGAGACTTGTACAGCGCGGCATTAGCCAAGGACGGGCTTTTGTACAACGAATTGGACATGGTCTTAAGGGCAAGTTTCCTCTCTTAAAAAGGATGATTACAGCCGATTAAGGGCAGCTCGAGATGACCACACCAAAAGCACGGACTGTATAACTGGGCACGAATGAAATTTTCACCCCACTGATTTCTCTAGAGCTGAGGATTGAAGGTGCCTGCTGGCTGTCCGAGAAGAGGGTGGGATAGAGAGAAAAAAGAACAAGTGATGAGGTGGGCCCGTCTGATCTTCTTCCTTTTCTTCGCTGCCTCCAAGGGCCGCGCTTGTTTGGCCGCTGTCTGAGCGCTGGATAATCGCCTGGGGCCCCATCTGCAGTCGGGATTTTCCTGATCCTTTCTTTTCTTGCTTTTGCTTCTCTCCGTTCGCTCCACCTGATCACCTCCAGGCCCGATCGGAGGCGGCAACGGAAATATCAGCGGCGGCGAGGAGAGTACTTTCTACATCATCCTCAAAAATCGCTGGCCCCAACCCCCCGCACTTGGCCAGCCCAACTGTCCCAATTTTAATTTTTTTCATGCAATGCCTGTTTCCATCCGAATGTGTTCCAATCAGCATCTGACGGCAGTCCAGCCCATATCAAAGTTCGGGATTGTCAAAAGAAGTGGAGGGGGCGTCTTATAGAGGAGTGTAGAGACAAAGGAGAAGAGTGTGTGCATGCATTGGCTGAATCAGCAGAGATTTCGAGAAAAGTAAAATCCCACTGGAGATTCTTCTTATTCTATTGTTTCCAGATGTTTTTCGTCATGCAGAAATAAGTAAAAAATTTAAATATTACACGGTAATATGTAAAAATGTCTACATGAAAAATGATTGTCTTAGTTGTCTCTCATGTGAAACAAAATAAGGATAACAATTTCCGCGGGTTTTACGAGAAAATTCGCATAAACCGGGGGCGTAGCTGGAGGTTTATGCAAACTTTCAATATTGGTACCAAACACTTGTATGGGTCTGCCTTTCCGTGTCCGCCAGGTTTTATTTACAAGGATATAAGAGTGAAGAAATAAGATCGCACCGGTCGTTTCGAAGCAAAACGTTAAAAACGCTTTCCTCACTTTTTTTGAAAAAATAGAATGGAAAAAATGAGACCGACATGAGAAAAAAAGCTCGAGAAAGCAAATTTAGCGTCTTTTTCAAAATCCCAAAGTCGGTCTTATCAGTCAGTCGGGAAAATAACGGCGGATCGTCGCGCCTCCGAATCGCCCATCATCGCTTTGCGACGGCGGCCGTAGCTGGAGATTTGGTGCGCGATAGCGGCGAGGCGAGACATTTTGCTGCGACGACCCGCCGTTATTTTCCCGACAGACTAATATTTCTTCACTCTTATACGATTCCTGTGTGCAAAATTTGGTTTTAGCTCGCGCTTTGCAAGCGCCGCTGAGATATTGAGCGATCTTTACCGCTGAGAGAGTACGCTAAACGCGGAGAGCGGTCAGAGAGAAAAACACTTTTTGGCCATAACTTTGCGAGTTTCGTGCGGAAAAAATTGATTTTTTGTGGACACATTACCCTCTATGGTAGAAATAGGCATGAAAGCTTTCGTGCCAAAATTCGGAGTAATTTTCGTCAACGTTCGATCTAAAAATCTCGGTTATTTCTGCAAAGCGTGAGCTAGAATTTTCTCATATATTTTAGAAAAAAATATAACCAAGGTGATTTATATCTGGCGGCAAGGTCGGTATGCCGATGAATTTTTACGCCTGCTTAACAAAAATATTTTTTTCTGGAGCTGACACTCGCTATTTTCAACCGACCAAATTTCAAAAAAAAATCTTGAATTGACCTTTCTATGCCTTCCCAGAGTCTTGAAGAATTATTTTCGGCCGAAACCGCTGAGATTTAGAAACTTTTTTTTGCCAAGTAGGCGTAAAAAATCATCGGCATACCGACCTTGCCGCCAGATATAAATCACCTTGGTTATATTCAAATTTGTGCCAAGTTTCATCAAAATCTGAGCGTCGCACTTGTGGTACTTAACCTATAAATACAGGTGTGAAATTCGACTTAATGACTCCGTTAGAGTGACAGTAGACCGGAAAAAAGCAGATGTATTACCGGAAGAAATACTCGAAAGTAAGCCTCAAACGACGCTTTAATCCTTCTAATAATAAACTCGAGGAAAGAATGACATTTTTATAAGTTTAGGGTAGGGCCCGAACAATTTATTTTTAAGACCGGAAATCAGATTCCGAGATGTTATTTTGCTCCGTCGATGTCAGTGCAAGCTTTCTCTGTTGGATTATTCTGACCCTGGACAACATGATGAGAAGAGAGTTGTGCATAAATTATGCAACAAAGGAAGAGTTTGAGTGTTTTCGAGTAATTTTTGAGAATTCCCGGTGATGCAATTCAGAAGACGAACATGGCATGAGAGGGAGATGCGGGCCTATTCCCAAAGGCCCTGCAAACCATCTCGTCTTGAATGTAAATCGATTTTCATTGGCAAACCGCGCCAATCCTCGGAAAGTTTTCCTTTTCTAACCCCGCCGTAGCGCGTTAATCATGTAGATTTGTTGACGTATGCGGAACGAATAAAGGACTGCAAAGAAGCGGCCACAATGACTCCAGCATTATAGGAACGCTAACGAACTTTCACGAAAAATATGGCCGACGAAAGGGAAGCGGCCGAGAGTTGACGCGACTTGAGCGCAAATGTCCTCGTGTTCATAAAAAAATAACTCCGCCTTCATTCCACGCACTCTGTGCATTTCGCCTAGGTCTTCGCACCCTTACTACTACTTCTAATGTGGCTAAAGCGGGCTTTCTGGGGGCGCCCGCCCGATTTGTCCACAGTGGTAGCGCGGCCGAAAGAGAGAGAATGAAGGCACACTAACCAAGGGATTTGTGGTAGTGTGCTTCCTTTGTTTTCTTGCGGGTATTCAGGGCCCGTGGGTCCCTAGATTCCTTGCGGTCACATTTCGGCATCAAATCTCGAAGGAGTCTTTGTTTTTTGGCCATCCCTCGGGCTGATCCTTTACCATTCTTCAAGTGTTTCTTCTGTTTGCTTACCTTCCGTAACTATTATAATACAAGGAAACGGTTTGTCCGGCACCCAGTTTGTTTGGCTTCTCACTTCCCGTCAAACCTTTCCCGTTTATTCTCCGTGCCAACACATTTGTATCTGTTTAGATATTATCCGAAGGGACAGAATATGGGATTTGCGTTCCATTTCGACAATAAATTTTACTAATCCCTTACTTAAGATAGACGACGCCCATGTCTCTGAGCTTAGAAAGTGTCTTCGACTGGAGAAGGAGGTTATAGATTGCGGCCGTATGACTCGATGTGAAGCCTGGTTTTAGATTCAGAAGGAAGAAAAAAGCACGATCGTCCTTATGGTCTGCTCAGCGAATATGCATTCCAAAATACCACAAACACTTCATCAATTCGAGAGCGCGCCTCCGGGGGTTGTGCTGGCCGGGGGTTCGGCGGGTATGAGACGACGGCTCCCCCCTACCCCAACCCCGCACAAAGACCCGCCCGACCCTGGGTTAGGGCCGACAATGACAACGGGTATGCGCGGTCCCATGACTGGTCTGTTGGGACCTGTAATGCGCCGTTCCTCCTCCCCCCGAATGCTGCCAACCCCGCCTCCACCCCCCGGGTCATCTTGCTCAGTTCAAGCAACCTCCTCCAACACCTTGATGAACAACTCCTTCAACAGCAACTCTCAATCTCCACCCTTCGCTCAGCAACTTCAAGTGAAAGAGCGCCGTCCATCGACCGGTCGCAGACTCCCCGACGCTCCCGCGCCTCCCTCATCATCTTCATCATCATCACCGTTTCCGTCCTCCCTAACCCCGAGTACCTCCATGTACTCCGACTCCAATTTCCCTCCGTCGACCACTGCCGACTTCTTAAATGCTGGCTATTTGTTTCGCTCTGCCTCTGCTCGCAACGCTACATCTCAATTAAAGTAAGTCATCATAGATGATTTGAAATTTAATTAAACGAGAACAAGAATAATCTAAACACAACCACAAAGGGGAAGAGGACGGGCTTAGGACCAATAAATGTTTGGGAAGGGCCTCAGGGCTTCCGTTATCCGACACTGGGTATAACTTGTAATCCCATTTCAGCTTATAAAGATATCATAGAATGCTTGAGCTTTAACTTATCTTCTTAAAATCGTTCTTTGCAGGGGGGGGGGATACAGTAAGAAAATCAATTAGAATTAGATGTGCGTCGATGAAATTTCAACGAAACATTTTTAACGATGCTAATTACGATTACTTTCATTCCAGAGCCGCTCAGTTGCCTCCAACCGCTCCCCGAACTTCTATCGCTAGCTCCGACCCCCGTCCTGAATTGAGTACCATGAATCGTCTTGTGCCCGAGCCCTTAACCATGCCCAACAAATCCCTAAACACGGCTTCGTCGGCCCCACAGACTCCGCGAGAGAGTAATTCCGATATCCCCGCAGGATATAGGAAGGTGAGAAAGTGTTCCTTCAATGCCGACGTTGGGCGAGATTCGTTGTCCAGGAATGGTTCCATGGCTCATCTTCTGGAACAACAGCATCTCCTCAGAAGAGAGTTCACTGCCACTCCAGATTCCATACAGTACTCCACCAATTCCTCGCTCAGTCCGTCTATAGAACAGGTGTGTGATGTTCCCTCTTGCGTCATTCGATTACATATTCATTTGAAGCGGCCTTTTTATGTTGTTCCCATTCAAATGCCGTTCTCCTAATTATTGATCTTATATTGATGTCACCCTTTTCAGCTGAATGTCGAGGGTTCTCAGAAAGACAGCTCTGATGGAGAAGATCCAAGCCATCATGGCCTCAACCCATCGCTGTATCTGGGCACGAGAACCCCAAGTTCAAGTGTTTCTTCGGTCACCGACCTCCAGAATGTACAAAATACCCCCACCGCCAATCCCCCTGCCGATCCAGAGCCGAGGCCGAAAGGGCTTGGACTCGTCCATTGCTCACTTCAGCACTTCCCTGTCCGGAAACGACTGAGAGTATCAATCTTAAAAATAGAAGGTAAAGAATACCCTTAGAAAATCGAGGCTATCAATACCACCCCAGAGACTTTTTTCTATGAACTTGTATTTCTTAAGTAGTATTGTAAAATAGTAGTCTATGGTTCTCACTGCGTAATTGTACTATTAAAAAACATGAACGGACTACTTGTTTGGAAGTAGATGCTCCTAAAAACACCAAAAATTATTATCTCACGGCTCTCTAAACGTATGAATTTAGGTTTGGCCGGTGAATTGCGCCCTGATTTGGAAATTCAAGCATTTTGCAAGGTTAATATTATTCCGGGTAAAGCCAATAAGCAACAAGTCAGTGTCGTGAAACGAGGCCGCGATATTGTTTACAATGCAGTAAGTCGAATAGAATTTGAATTGATTCCTTCCTATTCGTATTCGTATTTATACCTTTTCAGGAATTTTTCTTTGATGGCATTTCGGTGGAAGACATCGATGGAAAGTCGTTGGCATTAGAGGTATACCACCAAAGCAGTGTGAAACTACAAAAAGATCTGGAAATAGGACAAATCTTGGTGCCTCTCAAAGAACTGACCCAGCTCTACTCCAAGAAAGAAGTCAGGATCGTCGAAGAACTCAAGTTTAGGCCTAGTAGCAAGGTAAGATCCCCACAAACTTCCCTGACATCACAATTTTTTTGATACCAGCAACTTTGCAAAAAAGCAGTAAAAATTATGTGAATACCGTAATGTAGCGAAAAAAATTTTGCAAAGTTATAACACATTACAGGGTGGGACACTCGGAGTTTCAGGCCAATATTCCACAAATTATAAATTTTGCGTCCTGACGTTTAAGCATGGCTGCAATCCGGGCCAGCCCGGCCCGGGCCGGGCCGGGCCGCAGGCCCGGGCCTAAATCTCGAAGCCCGGCCCGGGCCCGGGCTTGGAAAATTTGGAAAGCCCGGCCCGGTTCGGCCCGGAAAATTTTTATACGGGGTTGGAAAGAAAGAAAGCGGGAAATGAAAGGAAAATTATGGCAAATTTTCGCAAAATGTGAAGAACAATTTAGCAAAAACTATACATAGCGCAATTGCCGCTTGACTATTTATATAAATTACTAAGTCGCCATAAATTTTTTGACCATGTAGTTACAAAAAATCATAAACTTTTGTGTATAGTCACCCAAATTTTAGCAAAAATATTTTTATCACAGATCTTTTGTCGGATCTGAAAGAAAGCTGCGAGGCTATTGCGTACTTTTGAAAAATTTTCCGGTTTCTTTTTTTGCCAGTGTATTAACTACGTAAGAATTTCTGAATATTTTTTCAAATTGACTTGAAAATTATTTTTTTATTTGTTCGAGTGGTAAATAAGGTCACTTTACGTTCGCTATCAGCATCATGTTCGAAAGAATTAAAAAATTCTATCGAAATAGCTTATTTTTTCCTTTTTTCTGCACAGGGGACTCGGATTTACTTATAAGTACCTTTATTTACTTATAAAAACTCGATGTTTTTATAAGTAAATAAAAGTTCTTATAAGTAAATAAAAGTTCTTATAAGTGATTTTGAAATCACTTATAGGTAATTTTTATTTTCGGCGCCCGCACGCCAATTTGATTTTGGAAAAAATATATTTCTGTCAAAAGCTGGAGCTGCGCCCCATACTTCTGAAAATATTGATGCCATATTATACGAAAGCACTTTGAAACCGCTTTTTGCCTCAAAAACCGGTTTAAATGGCTAGTAGGGCAATACTTTTAGTTTCCTCAGATCTCACACCTTTTTAATATTATTTATCAGCGATAAACTGAAAAATTTTGTCCAAAATTGCTTTATTTAATTTTTATTGTAAATTTCCCAATTTTTGTCCTGGGGCTCTGGCGGGGGCTGCCCTTCCTGTCGATTTTGTAACCTGCAGTACGTATTCGTGATAGGGTTTGTTTCCAAGCACATTCTAAAACCACAGAACCATTAAAAATCAAGTTTTTCCAAAAACACCCCCACCGGGCACAAAATTAAATCGAAAGTTTCTCCAGAATTAATGTTCCGATTTTCAAAATTTTGACGGATTCTGAAAGCCCGTGTTTCAAAGCACATAATATCCTAAAATCAAAAGGATCTGCTTATAAAAACTTACCGATCCGGCCGAAACTTCAAAATTTTCATCATTCTGGGATAGTGCAATATCCGAGATGTCTTCGTTATCTTCCTGGCTAAACCCATGCCGTTGTATCCGGGATTGCCATCTTCTGTTAGGTGTTCTATTGTTGACGTTTTGAAGCACATTCTGAAACCATAGAACCATTAAAAAGGAATTTTTTCCAAAAAAATCCCCGCCGGGCAAAAAATTAAATCGAAATTTTCTCGAGAATTAATGTTCCGATTTTCAAAATTTTGACGGATTCTCAAAGCCCGTGTTTCAAAACACATAATATCCTAAAATCAAGAGGATCTGCTTATAAAAACTTACCGATCCGGCCAAAACTTCGAAATTTTCATCATTCTGGGATACCGTAATTTGGCCATTATCTTCCAGGTTTTTGCGTCTTTTGCCCTCCGTCAATCTCTGGATCAGTTGGTCTTGTCTTCTTTTCTTCTCTTCTCTGGAACTCATTGATGCGGAAGTTGCCGCGGAGCATGATTTCGAAAATCTATTCGATTTCATCTAAATTGAAAAATTCAAAAATTTCGGTTTTTGGGAATGATACGCCCGCAGGATAACGTGGTGACCAAAAACGAAGTACCAATCGAAAGCTGAAGCAATGCCCTACAATTTCATAGGACGAGATCATAAACTTTCACCTGGCAAAAAAAGTTACAGTTCATTGAAATTCACATCCTTTAATTCAACAATTTAAAAACGTCGCCAAACCATGACGGAAGAAAATTTTATTTGTGTTGTTTATGCAATTTCTGAATTATCTGCTTTATTTCTGCGTATTTTGACTATTTCTGCATTGATGTAATTATTTTCTGCCGTTATATTCAGGGGTGGTCGGCGGGCCGGCCGGCCTCAAAAATGGAAATTGACAAACGGGCCGGGCCCGTCACGGGCCGGGCCGGGCCGCGGGCCTGGGGTTTTTCCGGCCCGGCCCGGCCCGTCTAAAATACAATGCCAAACCGTTGGCATTCATTGTTTTCGCGCCGGGAAAATTAATTGATGTTGTTATAGTTGCTGTTTCTCAAGTTCTAACACGTTTACAAGTCTATAGTTCCATTATAGAACCACAAAACTATCACATTGATCCTTTACTAGCTAGATCAACGCCTTTTTTGCCTCAGTTTAGATCCCGAGCCTGGGCGCAGTTCGCAGAACCCTCTATAGACGGGCCTGCACGGGCCGGGCCGAAAAAGACTAGACGGGCCGGGCCGGGCCGGTGATTAGACGGGCCGGGCCGCGGGCCGAAAATCGGAAAAATAGGGTCTGCTGACCACCCCTGGTTATATTACGGTATTTCTGTGGAGGGGAACAGTTGACCAAAATGGCCGGGGAGAGACTTGACTCGATCAATTTTTTTTCCATTTTTTATGTTTAGACAAATTGGCGTGCGCCCGGGAAATTCACTTATAGGTAATTATAAATACTTATAGGTAATAGAAAATTATGCACAGTGCAGGATAGATATAAATTTATTCAAACAAAGAAAAAACAACCTGACTGATATATTACCAGTAAGATATGTGGTTAGCGCATCTTCCGTGCTCCGGGTAAGCATCTGTGTCATTTGTCCTGGCGGGGCAAGGATTGCTTCTGCGCGGGTTTTCTATGGGTACTCCAGCGGCTAAATTCACTGAAAATATTCAAAGATAAAGAAAAATTGAATAAAATTTTCGGAGATAGTTTACTATGAGCTGTCCTTGAACCGATTTTTTTCTCCTTTTCCATCCCAAAAATTAGTTTGAGGATCAGGAATTTGACAATGAAAGATTTTGAGACATGAAGTTTGTCATGTTGTACTAGGTCCAGGCGAATATTATCAACATACCTGAAGCATATGGGAGCCATTTTTCCAGGCATCGTGTTCACGTTGTCCATTTACTTCCTCCATGACCAATTTTGCGATTATCTGAAAACTAGCGGTTCACCTGGACCTAGTACAACATAACAAAACTTTGTCTTAAAAAGTTTCTGGCCTTCTGAAATATGGAATCAGTTTAAAAAACCTACCAAAGTTGATGAAGGGGTTCTTCATCTGAATTCTTGGTTGATCATGCTTGTTCCTAGATCTTCCATGTTGACATGCTTTCTATTCAGGAAGTTTCTTATGTTCCGGATTTTTCATCTGTCCACTTTTTACAGTTCTGAAAAAAAAACTCACAAAAAATAAACAATTATTATCATCAACAACTGACTGTAAGCACCTTACCTGGTTCCATCCAAGGTATAAATACCCTTATGCACCTTCTTTGACCAGCACTGCTCCGAAAAACTTAGAATTTTTCCAAGTCCGGGACATACGTGCAAAAAGCCAAAAGCGTCTTTCCCGCTCAAATGTTTTCTTTTCGGAGTCGTTATTGGTAATTATAAGTAAATAAAAGTTTTTATAAGTAAATAAAAGGGCTGACGCGTTTGCGAGCCGCAAGAATTTTGCGCCGCTCGTTTTTTTTGTTCGGAGGGATTTTGCGCCGCTCGAAAAAAGGTCCGCAGAATTTGACGCCGCTCTAAAATCGCGAAAAAAGACGCGAAACGCGCGAATAAAGCGAAAGACGTAACTGATAAATCAAATTTCGGTTTAGGTTGGCTAAAGTTTCTTAACTTTTTTACGATTTCTTCTTTATGCCAAAACTGTTTCGAGATTGACAAACGATAACTGATATATCCATGATTAGTAACTGTCACATAGCCCTTACAATACCAATTCTGAACGATGACTTCAGCAGGCATATCAAAGGAGTCAGGCTTAAAAGATTTTTTGGATGTTAAAATATATTAAAGTTTCTGCCCTGAAGACAGTGCGCCAGATTATGGGACTGATGTCTGTTACACTCGTCAATGCTAAAGCTGTGAAACTGTCGGGGAAGTGGATCATATTCGAAATGTTTGGCAACTGTTTACTAACATCTTTGTGTCGCATGGCTTGACGCGTCGCGACGCGTCGTCCCGGTGTCCCAAATGGTGGTTTTCGTTTTGCCGGCTGCTGGCCGAAGTATGCACTATTTAGTTGGGCTATAGAATCGACGGGTTTCAGACCTCTTTAAGAGCTGTATGAGATGCCACCTCAAAATATGACCTTTTCAACATGCCGTTATAAGACCTTAGAAAAGGCTGTGACCTGGTTGCCTCTCTACTTAACAGTACTCAAGCTCTACTGCAAGTTACATATTGCTGTCCTTGCTAAGCTGTCCCAAAAAGACCGAGTTGGTACAGCGAAAAATTTTAAAAAACTTTTTAGCCAACGTATAAACTTTATCGCGCCTTTGTTTCGCGTCTTTTTCTTGGTATTGTAAGGGCTATGTGACGGTTACTAATCATGGATATATCAGTTATTGTTTGTCAATCTCGAAACAGTTTTGGCATAAAGAAGAAATCGTAAAAAAGTTAAGAAACTTTAGCCAACCTAAAACGAAATTTGATTTATCAGTTACGTCTTTCGCTTTATTCGCGCGTTTCGCGTCTTTTTTTCGCGATTTTAGAGCGGCGTCAAATTCTGCGGACCTTTTTTCGAGCGGCGCAAAATCCCTCCGAACAAAAAAAACGAGCGGCGCAAAATTCTTGCGGCTCGCAAACGCGTCAGCCAATAAAAGTTCTTATAAGTAAATACGGTTTTCTTATAAGTAAAGCAAAATAGGCTCCGCCTTTTTTTACTTATAAGTGAATTTTTTGGCACCTATAAGTAAATAAAAGTTTTTATAAGTAGATAAAAGTTTTTATAAGTAAATCCGAATCCCCTGTGTGGGAAAAACTCAAATTTCAAAAAAACCGGGCCGGGCCGGGCCGGGCCTGAAAATCGAAGCCCGGGACCGGGCCGACAAATTAGTCGGCCCGGCCCGGGCCGTAAAATTTTGCAAAGCCCGGCCCGGAGCCATGCCTAACTGACGTTTCGGGTCAGGGACAGTTCGGGTCAACGATGCATTTTTATAAGTAATCAATCGATAATACTGAACCGACAATGGTCATGGTCACGACTAGGTCATGACCATTGTCGGTGTGGTTGTGGCACCGCGACATTTCTGGAATATGGACACTTCCGGAATAGGGAAAAAAAGATAAAGTTTCGAACTGTCATCTGAATGGATTTACTGCTATTAATTACATTTCCTTTTTTCTGATACTGTTCAATCGTAATTTTTTTAATTTCTCTAAAACTTCGATGTAGGAGTTTTCGATGGCGATCAATATCGACGGTGCTGGTTTCGAAAATCATGTTCATTTTTTATACTTTTTTTCAAGTGCTGTAAAAAATTATTTTTTGAATTTTTTCTATAAAAATCTCACCAAGTCGGGGAAAAAAATTCAAAAAATTAACAAAATTTTCAAGACTAATAACAATAAATCCATTGAAGATGGATGGTAGTTCTATGCCTTATCTTTTGTTTTTTCCCAGTTCCGGAAGTGTCACTATTCCGCCATTCCGAAAGTATCCAAATTCCGGAAATGTCTTGACGCTGTGGTTGTAACCTAACTGAAGTGCCAAAACCGTCTGGATCAACAATTAGGATTATTTTAAGGATGCGGAAAAATCCTGACCTAGATGACGACCTGTGTCATGAACCAGTTTATTCTTTCCAAAAACACGGTTGGAGACGTGCAATACGACCACATTTTTATCTCGATATTACTGCGGTATAACATGTAAAATACCTCAAAATAGGCGATCGACTATCCTAGGGCCTGAAAAATCTTAATATATCTATTAACTGGGCCATCCCTAGCCCCCGCCATGTATACAATGACAAATCGAGGAAACTGAAGGTATCATCGACCCGAGCTGTCGTTGACCCGAAAAGACGTATCGCCGCCACGGTCCCAAAGAGACCCCGAACCGGGGATCTCTTTCGATGTGTGCCCGAAGAGGTTGAATAGGGTAATCGATGGCGTAGATTTCACAAATAATGTTCATTTTGTTTGATAATTTCTTTTTTTAAAGTAGTACCGCTAAAAATAATTTTTAAAATTTTTCTAAAAATACTTGGTTTACTAGGGAAGTGGGGGCTTCGGTAGTTCAGCCCCCCACGAAAGGTAGATCAAACCCCCACTGTTTTGCCCGTTTCACACCCCACATAATGAACAAATTAGAATAATGCAAAAAATGTAAGTGGGGGTTTGATCTACTTCGTTGGGGGTTTCATCTAAAACGTAGGGGGCTTGACCTAAAACGTAGGTGGCTTTTTCTAAAACGGAGGGGGCTTGATCTAAAACGTAGGGGGCTTCATCTAAAACGTAAGGGGCTTGTGCTGGACCTACAACTTGGATTAATTCTTTGAAATAAATTTTGGGGTTCAGAATGGACGAGGGGGGTTGTACTGGGTCATGGGGGACTAAACTGGACTGGGGGGCTGTACTACCTTAGCCCCGGGAAGTGTACAAAACTGACCCTCACAAACGAAATAGCAAGTGTTATACCGTCTTCCAGCAAAATTAAAAAGCTCCGATGATTTTTTCCGCCCAAGCGAAAGAAAGATTTTTTTTGCAAAATGGCCTTAAAATAATGCAATTTACAGTATTCCGTCGCGGAAATGTATCCTGCAAAAAATGAAAATGGTGTCTTGTACCACTTTTGAAGGGCTCTTCAATGATTTATGTCACTTGTCATTTGGTGAGGGTCAGTTTGTACATTTCCGTGGTTAGGGGGCCTCGAGGGTATGATCTCAAAATAGTGTTTTTTCTGATTTTTATCTTTTTTCTTAAGTAGTGCAGTACTATAATAGTCGCGCCATAAAGTCCGTAGAATTTTTTTCGCCGACGTCGGGTTTTCCTCGAGAGGAACCCCTCATTGAGAGGAACCCCTCGCCGAGCTCTCGATTTTTCCGAATATGGAGGAAATTTGTCGATGTATGGGTTTTCGAGGGTGCTGATTTCGAAAATCATGGTAGCTTTCCTCTTTATAGTACTATCTGGTACTATACAGTATGAGGTGAAAATATGGCTTTTGGCGTTAATGGTGTTGTTTTGATGCTTAGTACTCCTCAAAAACACGTTTTAAATAACTGGTACTGTTTAGTACTGTCTGGTACTATGTAGTACAAGGTACAAATAGGAGTACTAAGCAACAGAACAACACCACTAACGCCTAAAGGCCAAATTTTGTACTGTTAAAAAGTTATTTTTTGTTTGACATTTTTCTGAAATACACTCCGTTACGAAAGTATACCTACCCCATGGAAAATTGCAGTATCTCAGATAAGAGATACCGAAAAACTGCTAATACCATTCGAAAGAGCGTGTCGAAAAACCTATTACCGCATGAAATCAGCCGGTGAAAAAAATCTTGATCGATTTGGCAACTATTTTAATATTTTTGACCGTTTCAAAAGTATACCTACCCCTGGCGGTTTTTTGGCCAATCTGGCTCGGATTTTGAACTAACACACCCCCTTTCATTCCATCGTGTACCCTATGGTATTGAGAAGTGTATTACATTCATTTTCCATCGTCGGATCAAAGAGATATGTTTTCCGAGGTGCTGAGTCCAAATTGACGTATCAAATTTTTTGATTCTCGTCCATTCGTCTTGGTATTCTGGAGCATTAAGTGTTACGGTAGCTGCTTATTGTAGATTATATGACGAGAAAAAGCCCGATAACTTCGGGCTTTTTTTTTCTTAAGCCATTTGGTTTACTTATGTTAATCTATGTATGTATGTATGATGTAACAGGAGATGTAGCTTTTCCGCCAAGAAAGCAGCCTAGTCAAGGGGGTTTTTTTTGAAATTAAGATTAACCTCATGTACAAGGTCAAAGATGGCTCGCATAAGCACTTTCGTATTCCGACTTCGGTAACTGGCTGACTCGTTTTCGACCTCAAAACCAAGTTTTGAACGAAAAAAAACAAATTATGACAAAATGTCAACATTCATTGATTTTTCATGACCAAATTCCACTTTTTTACATTTTTTAAATGTAAAAGTACTTTGAAAATTCCCATAAATACCCGAAAATAACCGGCTTCGCGGTATTTGGGTATATACCCCAGTCCGGCGACTTTCCGGAAGGGCTAGAATACTAGTCCGTTTGCAAAGTGGCTGGATGATTTGGGCGACGTGCACTGTGCATAAAAAGTCAGGGTGCGAGCGGCATCCCGAAAAAGCCAATTGCCAAATTTTCTTTGATCTTACCGCTTCTGTGGTGCTAAAATCTGCTATGAACAACAATATATGTTCTTATTGTCGTAGAACTTGAGATATTACAAATACAACCCTATTAAATTATTTTAAAAATTTCCGGCGTTAAAAGATTGAGGAGGTCGGTTAACGTTTTTTATTCGTATTCCTCTTTAAAATTTCATAAATGTAAAACATAGAAATGTTTTGATAATTTGAATTATGTTGTCTTTGTCCGCAATTTTAACTTGTTTGCGTTTCTAGAAAAATAAGCAATCGGGAATTGTTTCAGAAGCTGGGAAAGATATTTATTACAACATGCATCGAAAAAGAGGCCCGCCGACTCACGATAAACGTAATAAAAGTGGAAGATCTCCCGAAATGGGGCATTATTGGAGCACCAGGTAAGAGGGAAACAATAATCTAACTTCACTTCTTCAGACGTTTGTGTGAGGATAACGCTAACTCAGAACAACGGTAATCCTCAAACTAAAAGCACACGAGTCCTGAAGAGCACATGCACTGCCATCTACAAAGAAGCCGTTATGTTTTTAATCGGCACCACCAAAGCAGATCTTGGGAAAACGAAGATCATCATCTCTGTCCACGATATTCTTAGATCTGTGACCGGTGACGATGTTATTGGTTCAGCGTATTTGGGAGAGTTAGCAGTAGATAAATCGGAGCAAGAACAATGGAAAAATACAGTGGAAAAGTTCAATAAAGAGTTCAAAGGATCCCATCAATTGAAGCCGCCAAACCAAGCCCCTGACGTCCATGTTTCCGAGATGCCGTCGGACGATCAAGTTGAGGAGGACGAAGACGAATCTGACTAAATTAACAATAAAATAAAACAATTTAAATAGTCGGGAGACGGTGCAAAAAACGGGGAGGGGAAGGCAAACGTGGAATTGTCTATTAGTCAGCGACGTCGCTTCACTGCGACAAAGCACGGCCTTCGACAGAAAGTGTAGACTTGGGGAGGGGGTGTGGTTGGGGCCGGCAATCATTCCCCCGTCCGCAATTTGCTCCACCGGAAAGAAAATTCCTTTACCTGGTTTTTGTTTGCGCGCTTAACGGAAAAGCGAGTCTTGTATCATCTTTGGGGTGAGGGGGTATTAAATATATTAAACAGTGTTTAGCATTTTTACTTTTGAGATGGGTTCATGTTTGTCGCGCAAGTCCAAAAAAAATCAAGAGGATGACGTGGGAGAGATCAGAGAAGATGACTTAAGGGGAATCTTCCGAGAGTTCGATTTGAATGGAGACGGATATATCCAGAAGAACGAGCTCAAGGCCGTAATGACCAAGATGGGACAGAGTCCCACTGAGGAAGAACTGAATGCGATGTTCAACACGGCTGACAAGGACAACGATGGAAATATCGACTTTAATGAATTCCTCACAATCGCCCGTGCTAATCCGCTTTCGCTTTCCCTTCGAGCTGTTTTCGAAGAACTTGACGTGGATGGAGACGGACACATCACAAGGTACGAACTTTCCAAAACAGCCATAGTAATATAAAATTATTGTAATTACTCGGTTTAGGTCCGAATTGAGAACGGCATTCCAACGAATGGGCCACAATCTTACAGACCAAGAGATCAAGGCCATATACAAACACGTAGACATAAATCACGATGGAAAAATAAACTTCCAAGGTAGGCACTAGCCCTCTTACAGTTAAAAGAGACCACCAGTTTCTGGACCGTCGTGTGTCGTGGCCAGAAACAGCGATTTCTTGTCTGTTAGGCCTCTAGACAAGAAATGCGCAATTCTTGTCTCAAATTGCGTAACATTACGTAAATTTCAGCTCCCTACCTGTGGAGATTTTTTTCTGCAAGAATTGCACATTTCTTGTCTAGAGGCCTAACAGACAAGAAATCGCGGTTTCTGGCCACGACACCCGATTTTATGCGTATGTCACCATCCTTACATTATGAATCAGAGAAATTTTGCGAATTTTTTGATATATGTCTCGACCTGTAACTTTCAGAAATATGACAGAAACTTTTTGCGAATACCTTTGTGCTCTTTGCAGCTATCCAAGAAGTTTAAATTGATTTCAAAATTCGACGATGGGCGATTTTAGAATAAAAAACAATTTTTTCTTGCGTCGGCGGAGACATTTGACGTCTTTTTTGAAAATTACATCGTTACAAAGCCCAGACAGCTTAACTACAGATAAAGTTAGGGTTGTTGCATCTGCTACGATGTAATCTGTTAGTCCCAGTAGATTTGCTTTTTTCACACATTGGCGAAGGCTCGGCGGAGACTTTTTTACCGACGGAGGCCGTTTCGGAGGGCGGAGCTTTTGCGAGTCGGATGAAAAAAATTTCTTTCGTCTGATAAACTTCTTTGGTTTATTTTGCACTGATTACTCTTCCGGAGCATGGGAAGCCAATCAGACTTAAAAAATCTGTCCTCTTTGATAAAACATTGAGTTTAGAACTTCTTTTGTCTCATTCCACTTTTTGATACTTCTCAAAATTTTAAAAATCCCTCCGCCGAATCATCCATCAGTCCTTAAACAAAATAAAAGAAAAATTAGGACAAGATAAATGAGACTTTGAAGTGGTTAGCCAAAAGTTTCTCTACTTTTTTCCAATCCGATTCTCAAAAGCCAAGCCCTCAAGACGGTCTCCTCCGAGCCTTCGCCAATGTGTGAAACATCCGGAAATCTACCGAGGCTAACGGATTACATCGTACTAGTCGAGGCAAAAAGTGCTGATAATTTTACACCATGTGGATTTGAACGTTTTGGGTCGTCGCTGCGAAAATCGCGAAAAAAGGTGTTTTTCACGGTGCGTTTGGCCCAAAAACATCTTTTGCACAGTGCATTTTTGTTTCTCTTTGCTTTATCAGTCTGTCGGGAAAATAACGGCGGATCGTCGCGCCTTGGAATCGCCCATCATCGCTCTGCGACTGAAAGCCGCGGCTGGGGATTTGGTGCGCGATAGCGGCGAGGCGAGACGTTTTGCTGCGACAATCCGCCGTTATTTTCCCGACAGACTGATACGTCGCGCGCGATTCCCATTTTTCGCAGCGATAAATCATTTTTTTCAGAGTGCCACAAAAACCGCACGGTGCAAAATTATCAGGACTTTTTGTCTCGATAAGTAGTTAAGCCGACGCAAAAATTTTTTTTGCATATTCTATAATCGCCCATCGTCGAAACTTCAATTCAAAAAAAACTTCTTGGCGTGCCGCAACACGATGATCCAGATTCTGGAGAAGTCTCTTTTTGAAACCTACCCTCTGCTTCGTTTTTTCTCGCAAAGTGTGTTTCAATTAACATATCTTATAGAATTTTGCCATATGATGACACGAAGGAAGTGAAAAGAAATAACGTACTTTATTCTTATAATGGAACATTAGATTAAGAATGATCTGGATATTCTAACGTACTCGTATCTTTTTTGTTGTATAAATTAAGCTTATGCGCTTGGCTCATATGATTGATAAGATCCCAACTATTTTTACATGGAATCTTGCACGAATAACATTTCAAATATTCTGGCTCGTCTTCTGAAATTTTCGCACACTTGAATCATGAAATTTGCATTTTCCTTAAATTCTGATTGTTCCGGAGGAAAAAGTAGTTGCAAAAAGAAATCCTCGAAAAAATAGGAAAACAAATCCTACCTCCTTTAACGACCACTTTTCGATCACATTGTCGGACTCGGTGCTCCAAAAAGAATTGTGCATTGGCGGTTATCAAATGACATCCACCACAAATAAGAACATCAGGTATTTCTATAACAAGAACAACAGTAAACTTCGCTCTTTACTTACCGTTTTCGACAAAAACAGATCCTTCTTGTTCTTCAGCTGCACGTTGATATCTAAATTTTGGAGGCAATGGAAGTTCGGAGTGAGGGGTCAGATCAAATGCGCTGTCAACCGTCGGTCCTTCATGGGGAGTCTCAAGTGCGGCGTTGGAAGTTGACGGTCTACCTCCGTTGGGTATTATCGGCCGGGGGGAATTGTGGGCCGATTGACGATATGCGCCTGGAGAATTTCCGTCGTTGTATTGGTCGTAATCGTATCCTTTATTGGACGGACGACCATACTCCGCTCTTTGAAACCCAACTGTTCCAGACGCGGCCATCCGCCGTTCTCTTTCTTTTCTTCCACCTCGTTTAGAACGTGGTCTTTTAGGGCTGAAAATAAAAAAAAATCGTGCTGTCATGACAGAAGAAAAATTCAAACTTCGACCTTTGGCAAAGGCACTTTCACTCACAACGAAGCTAAATTTAAGTAAAGTAAAAAGTCGGCAAGGGCACATACCCCGTTTCTTCCTTGCTCAAAAATGTCTCTGTCGGAGTTGCAATCTTCACATCTGAATTAAGCTTGGACATAATAAGGCAATTCCTACCCAACTCAAACCCGTGAAACTTAAACATATGAAGGTTCTCCACCGCATCCACAGCGTCCTCTTCCCTCTCAAATTGGACAAATCCATATCCTTGGGACTTGAAATGAGTTACCCCCCTCAAGGGCCCATACATACTGAATAAATGAATAATACTTTCTCTTGTACAAGTATCAGTATTCAAACATCCGACAAAAGCTCTAGCTCTAAACATTAAGAAATTTATAATGAACGAAATGTAAATACCTCATTATTGAAGGATCTTTGGAAGTAGTATCACCAGTGACGTAATCTGGATCTTGAGGCTGATACCTAAAGATACTTTATATAAAGTTATAAGATCTCCTCGTACTTGACCAGAATTCCAAACTAAAAAACTCACTTTGCATTTGGAGGAATAACCAATTTTCCCATATTCGAAATATTATCTGCTACATCCGCCAGTAACTAAATTACTATGTATTGGAACTGAAATTTCACCGGTCAAGCCAAGGGGCCTTGTCAAGCTGGATATGATTTTTTAAATCAGCGTCACCGAAAACCCTGTTCAACAACAAAAAGCAAAATTGTAAAATTCAGAAAAAAGGGATACGATTTTCGAAATCAGTGCCAACGAGATCCATGCATGGCCATCGAAGTTTTTGGTTCACAGGAAATTCGAAAACACTTACAGGGGAAGTACTTCAAGTGTGACGCTCAGATTTTCTTTAAAATTTGCACACACGTCGGGTATGGACTAAATATCAATTCCTGAAAGTTTTAGCTCGCGCTTTGCGGGCGCCGCCGAGATATCGAACGATTTTTGCCGCCGAGAGAGCACGCTCAACGTGGAGAGCGGTCAGAGAGAAAACCGTTTTTTGGCCATAACTTTGGCAGTTTCGTGCGGAAAAATTTGATTTTTTGTAGAAACATTATCCTTTACAGTTGAAATAGGCATGAAACTTTTCGTGCCGAAATTCGGCAAAAAGTCCTAAAATTTCGCCGACTTTCGATCTAAAAATCTCGGTTGTTTCTGCAAAGCGCGAGCTAGGATTCCCGCATATATCTTAGAAAAAATTATTCTAAATTTGTGCCAAGTTTCATCAAAATCTGAGCGTCACACTTCAAGTACTTCCCTTGTTAGTTTTTTTCTGCTAATTATGGTTCACCCACCACGAAAAACAAGTTTTTGGCGTAATACTTTAGTTTTTTTGCTTGCAAAGCTAAAAATTTTTGCCGGTTGCACCACAAAAACATTTTTTGCCAAAAAATGTGGCATTGTGCATTTTTTAGAATTTTTTTGTTAAAGTACGCACTTCTGGAAGCCTAGCTAGGCTTAGGCCTAGCAATACACTTGGCCACCTGCAGATTAATTCCCGTCGGGACCCAAAAAGGGATTTGAATTTGTTTGTGTACGCGTACGTACGGTAGAAAAAAATATTTTTTTTTGCGGCTGCGGCCAAGGATTTTATTTGTTTTGTTTGTTCATGGAATCAACCGTTTTGGAGCCTTGGCGTGGTTTTGAGTAAGTTTTATGTATAATAAATAAATCGTTTGTGGTTGGTGTAGATTTTGCCGTATTTTAGTTTTTTTCAATGAAAACTGATGTTTTAGGCCCGAATTTTAGGCAAGAAACGTGAGGACAAGGTCGTCTACGGGTTCACGTGCGTTGATGAATACGATGTCTAGCAACGGAAGGAGTTCGATGTAAAGCAAATGCTCTTCGTCGCCCGCGGAAGTCTTGAGCTCCATGAATTCGAGTGGGAAAAGCAGAAGCTTGCAGAAAAAGGTCAAGATTCATTGAGAGAATCATGAAGGATCAGACTTTTGTTGGCTCGTTAAACATGGGATTAGATACATGGGTTCCAAGAAGAATTTGGAGAGAAGTAAGTTCAATTTTTTTGACATTCATTACTCGGTTTTAGGGCTCTCTGCGAACATGTCAAAAATGGCTGCGATGTGGATGTCCGTCGACTTCATGCTTCTTCCTGGAAGGTGCCGTCTCTTACTCCAACAGAATCTGACGCATGATCAAGCGTGGTATGGATCTTGATGAAGCCCCGATGCCGTCAAAGAGTCCACATCTGCCCCAGTGGAGAGTTATGTAATTCGTTGAATAATAACAGCAAAAATAATAAAGAAATAAGCATTCTGAAGGTTAATAAATTTATGTTATAAATCTTGATTATGAAAAAGTTGGAGGGAAGAAGGCGTCTTGCTAATCACAGATAATCGGGAGACAAAGAGACGAAGTTGCTGTTGTAGGCGTTGCGGTATTGGTTGACGTGAATGTCGTCCAAAAACTGAAAAATTCAAGGAAAATAAATGGATAATATCAGAATTTTAACAACAAACGGTTCATTAGGTGAAATTTAAACTGACAGAAGCGAGTATGAGAGAGCTTGTTCATGTTTTTTACAGCTTCTTTAGACGATAATACTAACAAATCATGGGGATAAGATAGCATTTTTCGAGAGGAGAAAGAAAATCTGGCAAATTTTGAAAGAAATCACAAAAAACAGCTTTCTCCAACCGTCCATGAGCCCGCCGTCTAGAAACACGCGAAGATAAACATAAAATAACTTACTGAGATCAATCCATCGCGATATCAAACAACAAAATTTCCGGCTGCAGCCGCAAAAAAATATTTTTTTCTACCGTACACAAACAAATTGAAATCCCTTTTTGGGTCCCGACGGGAATTAATTTGCAGGTGGCCAAGTGTATTGCTAGGCTTCCAGAAGTGCGTACTTTAACAAACATGTTGTGACCACATGCATAAAGTGATGTGTAACAGCATAAATAACGCCATATTTAACAAAAAAAATATAAATATATATATATTCAAGGAGCGTCAACAATACTAATAATCTTATTTATCTGATATTCGGCGATAACATAATTAGTATAACATAATCCGGGAATTGAAAAAAAAATCGCGTACAGACAATTCTGAAACTCAACACATTTTTTCTCTGGATTTTTTTGCATCAACTGGCATATCGGGTATACCCAAGTTTTGGTTGTCTATAAAATTGCCAGCTCATTACCCGAGGCCACTACAGAACGTGAAAGAAATTGGAATACTTTTTCTGCTCATATCCGGGTATACCCACGAGGTGAAAATACCCTGTGTACTGTAATGGCTTATTATAGATGCTCGATTTTTTTATAAATTATAAATATAATTACATTCAAGATATTTATTAACCTTAAGCAATAACAAGTAAAGAGCTACGGTAATACATGTACATTACTATAGATGCTTTATTTTTGGACAGAGGATGTCGAAGATGGTAATATAAGCTAGTAAACGTTTTAGAACTTCGTTGATGTTTTGCAACTACAACAACATCAACAGATTTTCCCGGCACGGAAACAATGAATGCCAAGCGCTTGGCACTGTGATATTTTAATTTTTATCTTTTTCTAAAGCTGAAAATTGCGATAAGAAGAATCAATTTGATTTGATGTTTTGGTCGTTTGAAAATGCCCCATGAGCTTCTTGGCCAGCTTCAGAAAGTAAATTTCATATATATATTTTTGGCGCAACTATTAAGTGGTAATATTTGCTTTGAATCACAGGTTTCATCGCAGGATCATGGCATGGCCGAATTGCCAGAGCAGTTGGAGAGAATCCAGAAGCACTTGTCGGTTTTGCGTCATTCCCCAGAGTTGAGACAGCGTTGTTTTACAATTTTAACTTATGGTGAGGTAAGTCTTTTGTTTTTGGGTTGAATTATTTTGCTTAGAAGAAGGTACTGGACTATTTGAATTCACAAGATAAGTTGGACAGACAAGCCGCTGTCATTCTGATGGGTAAGATTATCTTTTCTTTAAAACAGCGGTGTGCATGGGGGGAGGGGGGACTTCGGCCGTTACCTTAATAATATGTCGATAGTCCCTCCTTCCAGAGTGTGGGCCTGTGCACGCCCTTGCGTATAAACTTTCTTTCAGTTTGTTTTGTGGAAGTAAATGTTGGAGAAGAAACAAATAAGGTCCTCGTCTTTGCCAATGCTTTGCTCAAAACAATTGAATGTCCTGATGAGTCGGTGTCTTTCCTGGCCTCACGCGCCCTCATTTACTTGATTCACGTACGTTGATATTTTAAGATCCGTTTGAGATAAATGTGTTATTCCATCATTCGGGAAAATAATGAGCACTATGTCGCATCACCGTGGAGAAGATGAATTGTTTCTCTGCAAAATCTTCAGCGACGCGATCGGCGCAACGACGTTGCACTTATCATTTCCCCGACAGACTGATATGTCAATTTAGTATTTCTATTATATTTCAGACCTCAAAGGCTTATTCCCTTGAGATGGTGGATATTGCCTTTTCAAGATGCGCTGATTGGTTTGATCAAGGAAAAAGAAGTTGCAACAAAATGGCAGGATCTATATTGTACCGAGATCTTGCCTTGTTTACGAGTACTCACTTCTTCCAATCTGCCAGAATTTTTTTTGATCACATATTTTATGCTATCAAGGATTCAAAGGTAATTAGATTTTTGTTTTCCAATGTTTAGATTAATGTGCGAGTTGTTGGTGCTGATGCTCTTCATGCCGCCCTGACAGTTACATCTCAAAGAGAGACCAAACAGAAAAACGATTGGTACAAGGTGAGTCAAATGGCAACATGTTACGGGTTTTCAGCGATTATTTGAAGAAGCATGCTTAAAGCAAGATACTCTTAGCAAGGACGATTCTTTGCATGCCTCACTCTTGTTGTTGAATGAATTGCTTAGAGTTGCTAATGCCACGGCCGAACAAAGAAGGCTGGAAATCGAGGGGAATCAACAGAGAGACGTAACTGGCACTGTGGTTGGGCAGAACCCTGTAACTTGGCTTTTTCAAGGCATACATCGACCAGCTGTAGAAAGCCACACTGCTAATCTGCTGATTTCGGAAAACTATTTTGGAGAGGTAAGAATTACAACTCGCTTATTTTTTCCAAAGATTATAAGGAAATGTATGGAAGCCAGCAGCACAAAGTCTAAGGAATGCCAATTGTTATTGTTGGAGATATTCCCCAGAATTGTATGCTTCCGTACGTCTTACGACCTCCCTCTGGATCACATAGTCGAGTGGACCTTAGGCATGCTCAGCAAACAGCCGCAGGCATTTCTCTCCTTTGGGTTGTACTCTATGGAAAGGCCCCAAGAATTAAATCCGAAAACTTCCAAATTCATCTCAATGATTGCCGCACAGATGAATCAGAATCCATTGAAGTAGGTTTGGGGTTTCTCGTGTCTTACAATGGTCTTAGAAGAAGAGCTGTTGCTCCGAACTTCTTCAAGGCGTTGTGCTTATTGGTGAGATCGCAAAAGCAAACTGTTTGCGAAGATATACGAAGGAACCTAAGTCTGATTTTAAGTACAGGTCTGTCTAAGAATCTGACAGAACTCTGTCATCATACGATTGCCAATATTCCATCGCTGAAGACTGAGTTGCTGGATGGTCTGATGGATCAATTGTATCAGCTGTTAATGGGTCTTTCTCCACCAAGCAAACTGGCTCCTCCAACTGATCCACCGATTCCTCACGGTCCCGTTTCCATAACTAATGTCGCTCTGACTGAATTAGCTTTGGAAACACTCGGCAACTTCGACTTTCAAAGGCATACTCTGCAAATGTTCATGAGGTACATTGCTCTGGTATGTTTTTAGCAGTAAATGATGACCTGTCTTTTTTCAGGGCTATCTAGTCTGCGATGTTGTGGAGATTAGGCTAGCTGCAGCCAGGTGTTGCATTCAAATTGTGAAGCCCTTTATAAGAGTTTTTGATATGGTCGAAAGCACACAGAAGTTGGAAGTTTATGAGCTGATCAGGAATGTGTTAGATTGTCTCATCAAGGTTACCGTTACTGATCAAGGTAAACTTTGCCTTACCCGTTTGTACTATTTCTAGTTGTTCAAGTCCGCCTCTCTGTTCTGGAGTACTTTGCGACTGTTGAAATGGACTTTCTTTACCATCTATCGCAGAAAGAGTCTTTGCTCAGTTTATTCATGACATTGTACGACGAGGACTTCAGAGTACAAGAAAAGGCGGTCGAACTTTTGGCGAAGCTTTCAAACTTAAACCCCGCCTTGATCTTTCCAAAACTAAGAAAAGTTGTTAAGGAGACGATTTACAATCTCTCAGTGAGCAGAATCAGTAAGAACGAAGTCCACGCCGCTAGAATCGTTTGTCAGCTTGGCCGATGCGTGAGTTTAAAAAAAGTTGTAATTTGTGCGTTTGCAGGCCCCAAATTTTGTGAGCACATTTATGAATTCATTATTGTTGGCTCTTGTCCCTCACTTGCGAGTAGACGGAAAATCATCAGAAGTTACTGTTAATGTCTTAAACGCAATTAGCGAACTGGCTTTGATTGGTGGACTTGATATTGTGAGAGCTACAAATAAATTAATCCCATCTTTTGTATCATACCTTCAAGATTCGACTAGTTTAAACAGAAGAGAGGTACGTTTAAAAAAACCGTTTTTAAAACAGTTTTAGGCGGCCTTGAGAGCTCTCGGGAATCTCTGTCAAAGTAGTGCATATGTGGTAGAACCGTACAAAGATCACCCCCAACTTCTGGATATTCTCCTCAGATTATTGAAAACAGAGTTAAGTTCTTCCATGCGACGTCTTACCATGAAAGTGTTGGGAATCGTGGGGGCCCTGGATCCTTATACGCATAAGGTGTTTTTGGGGACAGTTCATTCTTCTGCTTCCAAATCTTTGGCCTTGTCGTTGCCATTAAATTCAGCTAAAGGTAGATATCTGCCTGGTAAGTCTACACAGTCTATTAGGATTTCGCCTAGATGAGGCAGACATCATACAATGGATAAGCTACGAGAAATGCACCTTGGAAGAATTCTATCCGACTTTGGCCGTATCCAACCTAGTCAAAATGTTTGACGATTACTCGGTATCTTCACTGTACCGGGATGTTGTTCAGGCAATAATGTTGCTTTTCTCGAACCTGGGCTCGCGGTTGGGCGATTATGTTGACAAGGTGATTCCCAAATTGATTCGGGTCACCCAGGAATGTAAACCCGAACTTCGAGAATTCTTTCTGTCTCAATTCGCCCAGTTGACCGCGTTATTGGGCCATCAGATCAAGCCATACATAAACGATATTTTCAGTATTATCAAGGTAAGTTTATCACTAATCAAGCAGATTTTCTCAGGTTGCCTGGCAATGGGATCAGCCATCACTGAAAGGGAAGGCGATTTTTTTGTTGGAGCAAGTTGGGAGGGCCATGGAGTATCATTTTATGCCATATGTCGGGGACCTTTGTCCTTACCTACTGGCAGTTGTAGAAACAGATTCTACGAAGGATAAAAGTCTGACTCTGAGTGCATTGTCTTGCGTCCGATCACTTTCAATTTGCTTGGGGACTTACATTCATGTGGTTTTGCCACCGGTTTTGGAAGTTTTGAACAACAAGGCTGTTCCTGAAAAGATTAGAATCTTTGCTTTGGACACTGTAATAACTCTGGCTAGAGATCATTCACTTGGAGAACGGGCTACTGTAATTTTGCAAGCATGGCTAAAATGCATATCGGTAAAATATCTACAAGAAAAGTTGATGGCTTTGCTAAGTATTGTCCTTGTCCAGGTATGCATTACCTTTTGTAACCATTGCACAACGGATCTTGCAGATGTGGGTCCAATTCACAGTTTATCGGGATTCTGTCGACGCAGCGCTAAACAAGTACAAGATTGAGCAAAGCCTGCGGTCGGATTATGATGATTTGGTGATTCAGATGATAAATGCGCCTAAGAACCCTCCAGTCAGTTATCTCCTTCCTCAAGTCGGTAGACGATTTCCAACCGGGGCCTTCCCGGGTAATAATTATGCTCAAGCAGCCGGAAGTGGGGGAGTTCCTAGAACAATTAATCAATCCAGTAGCCGAATGTCTTTGAAGGATAAAGCTCCTCGGAATATTGAACATCTGAAAAGGTTCTGGAGTGCTCCAGTTGTTGTATCCAGGGACGAATGGCTTCAATGGCTGGCTACTTTAAGAACCCAGGTGCTAAGACACAGTCCGAGCTTTGCTTTAAGGATATGCGCCCCACTCGCAGAACTCTATGAACCGTTGGCCAAGTGAGCACTTCATTTGAAAAGAAACGACAGTTTTAGAGAACTCTTTAACGCTGCGTTCATGTCTGTATGGACAGAACTTACGGAGAGTGATCAGGACGAAGTGACAGCTCAATTTGTCGATGTGATTACAATTTGTCCCTATTCTGAGCCAATCCAAGCTGTGTTAAATCTGGCTGAATTCATGGACCATTCTGAAAAAGTAGGTCCAGAATCTTAAACGTTACACGTTTTAGGGCCCTTTGCCGATAAAATATAATCTTTTGTGCGAGTGTGCCGAAAATACCCGAGCTTACGCAAAAGCTTTGAGATACAAAGAACTGCATATTCTCAGTTCCGAAGTCTCAACTCCCAGCGCTGATGATTGCCAAGGGCTTATTGGGTATGCAAACAAGTTAAATCTGGAAGAGGCTGCGGTTGGTGTGGTGAAATACGCGGAGAAGAAGGAAATGGAAATATCGGTAGGTATTATTTTAAGTGTTTGTTATTCTTCCATAGGCAAAGTGGTACGAAAAGTTGGGTGAGTGGGAGAAGGCATTGGATCTCTACAAGGAAGCTACACATAAAGAGCATGGTAATGAGACCAGGATTGATCAAATGAGGTGTCTCGAAGCTCTTGGTTATTGGACGGAATTAACCGAGTTCAGTGATGCCACTTTGGAAAGCTTGGAAGGCGATACGAGAAAGATTCGCTCTGAACAGCGCCGGAAATTTCACCAGATGTCTGCGCGTGGATGCTGGGCATCTGGTGAGCCGTTCTCAGTAAATATTTAACTTGCTTATAGGAAATTACGAAAAAATGGCTATGTATGTTGACCTAATCAGTGAGAATTATCACGAAGGAGCCTTTCTGAGAGCCGTATTGGCGATTAAAAAGAACAGATTCCCTGAAGCATACCAGTGTATAACAAAGGTAAAGGTGGTAGGAGTATGCAAACACGTTTTAGGTGAGGGACATGCTGGATTCAGAGTTAACAGCGATGGCCTCCGAGAGTTACGAACGGGCCTACGGGGCTGTTTTAATGGCTCAGCAGCTGACTGAGTTGGAAGAAGCAATCGAGTATAAACTTATTCCCGAACGACGGACTAGAATCGCGATTTTATGGAGCCGAAGACTTCAGGGATGTAGGAAAAACGTTGAGCATTGGCAACGAATTATGATGGCCAGATCCCTTGTTTTGTCCCAGAATGAACTGCGTCCGATGTGGGTAAAGTTTGCGTCATTATGTCGACGAGAAGGACGAATGGCGACTTCCAGGAGGGTCTTCTGTTCATTACTGGATCTCTCTGAGAACTCCCCGTTGGATCAAGTTAAGATTCCAGTGGATAAACCATTCCTTTCTTTGGCCTTGTGTAAGCAAGTTTGGGCTGATGGCAACAAGAATACCGCTTACAATAACGTCAAGTCGCTTGCCTCTACTCTCCATCGATTAATTGAAACTAACAGTGGAATGTTATCGAAGGAACATTTGGAGAATATGACACACATTACAGCAAAATGTTATCTCAAATTGGGGGACTGGAACATGGAACTGCAGCCTCTGTTTGCTAATTCCTTGCCTCCATCAAGGACGTCTAGGCATCCACATTCCCAAAGGTATGGCCAGGCTCGTGCGGAGGCCGATGTTTTTATGTTGCGTATTGCTGCGTCTAAAATAACTGTTGCTGAAGATTCCTATGCTTTAACCCTTTTTTCAGGACCGAGATTACTGTCCAGTACTCGCATAGCCAAGCAGAGATTAACAATTTTGAACAGAGCACGAAGATAACTCTTCAACATTACATGAATGCCACTCATTTCTACCCCAGTTGGTACAAGGCCTGGCATAAATTGGGAACGGTTTATTACAACCTTGTTATGACCGAGAGACAGTTAATGTTTGGATCACCTGACGGGAGTATGTACACCCGTAGGGATGGCGTTTGCGACGATTATCCCGAACTGGAACAGTCTACGAAACCTTATCGCGGTTCCTCAAGTCCAATTGACCACAAATCGATCCTTCAGAATCCTCAAATGATTACAAGTTACGCCTTAAAAGCGGTGCAATGCTTCTTGAAAGCGATTCAGTTGGCAGAAGGCAGTAGATTAGAAGATACATTGCGTCTTCTTATGCTCCTTTTTGACCACGGGGATAAGTCTGAGATCTTTGACTATTTGAGAGATGCGGTTAAAGTGGTTCCTGTTGAAATTTGGCTTGAGGTTGTACCCCAACTCATGTCGAGAATGGATTCTAAGAAGAATGTGGGATTGCTTGTGAAGCAAGTGGTTATTGACATCGCCAAGACGCATCCTCAGGTGAGAATACATAAAAAGGTAATACCTGGTTGCGTTTAGGCAATTGTTTACGCTTTGACAGCCGCCAAGAAATCAAAGAATACCCAGCGTTGCAAAGTGGCCGCAGATATCTTGCAACTGATGGCCGAAGATCGTCCCGTCTTTGTCGAGCAGGCTTGTCTTTTGAATGATGAACTGATTCGATGTGCAATACTATGGCATGAAATGTGGCATGGGACATTGGAAGAAGCGTCCAGACTCTACTTCCAAGAAAAGAACTTCCAATTGATGATGGATGCATTGAGACCCCTACATCAGAAGATTGAAGCCGGTCATACCACCATGAAAGAAGAGTCATTTAATCAGGCAAGGTTTTACTGCATATATTTTAAACTCATATTACTTTAGACGTATTACAAGGAACTGAGGGATGCCTATGATCATTGTCTAGCCTTCGAGAGAACCGGCAATCAGAAAGAAATCACTCAAGCATGGGATTTATATTATAAGGTATTCAAAAAAATTTCCAGCCAATTACGACAAATGACTGCTCTCGAACTGAGTTACATATCACCAAAGTTGCTGCAAGTGTACAACTTAGAAATATCAGTCCCAGGGACATACGACCCTTCAAGCGATGTTGTGACGATTGCCTCGGTGCTTCCTCATCTTGAAGTAATCATGTCCAAGCAAAGACCAAGGAAAGTTTCGATGAGAGGTAATAGTCTTTGTTTAGTAATTACAGGGTGTCCGGAAAAAATGGAAACTCATATTTGTGGCCATATTTTTTTAGCAACCTTAATTTAGCAAAATTAACCATGAATATAAGTGAAATGGCGGTTTTTAATTAATATGCTCAGGTAGGTTCCAAATGGCTGCCCTTGGCGGCGATACTGAGGTCCAAACGCTTCTTGAAATTTTGGGCTCTGGGCCGCAGCTTTTTTGGAAATCGGTCCCGTTCTTGGCACAGTGATTCGTTAACGTCTCCAAACTTTTGCGACACGTAGTACGGGCTGTCCTTCAACGAAAAAATACAGTCCATCGGAGGATCCGGAGGCGGCAATTTCGGAAAATCGGTGCTTGTGTACGAGTCAGGAAAACCCATCATGGTTACTCTCCTTGCATTGTGTGATTACCTTTGATACAACCTCTTTTTATACCAAGAAAATTAACAATTTGAACAGGTCAAAAATCGAGGTCATCCTGGTTGACATTTAAAAAAAACATTTTAGTTTATTGATATGGGCAGAAAATGAGAAGACTAGGACAGTAAATCACGGAGAGTTTAATAGTACAAGAATAGTTTGGCTGCAGTTCGAAATATTCGCTTTTTCCATTTTTTCTGGACACATTGTATTTATACGGGGCTTTAGGGAACGATGGAAAAGAATACTCATTCCTCCTGAAGGGACATGAAGATCCCAGACAAGACGAGAGGATAATGCAATTGTTTGGACTGATTAATTCGCTTATAATACGAGATGCTGACACTAGTCGGCGGAATCTGAGTATTCAAGTAAGATTCGATGAAATTGGAGAGGCTTATGTTTAGAGGTACTCCATCATTGCGCTGAGTCAGAGCAGTGGTCTTATTGGATGGGTGCCTAACTGCGATACCTTACACACTCTTATTCGCGACTACAGGGAGAAACATCATATCACAATCTCGGAGGAACACACGAGGATGCAGAAATTGGTGATTGACATTGAAAAGTTAACTCTGATGCAAAAAGTAGAAGTGTTTGATGAGGCTTTGCGTAGCACAAGTGGTGATGACTTGAGGCAAACATTATGGATGAAATCCCCGAAGTGAGATAGAGAAATTATAAGCGTCATTATTTTAGTTCCGAGGTGTGGTTCGATCGTAGAACTAATTATACGAGATCCATGGCTTGCATGTCAATGGTTGGCTACGTTTTGGGATTAGGAGACAGGTATGTTGTTTTTAACCCTTTCCGGACGAGTCGGCACCTCCATGCAGAAATGAAAGAGGGTACCCTACTGAGTAACGGCATAGTAGTGGTTCAGCCCATCGAAGCGTTATTTGGGACTTATGACAAAAAATGTCCTAAAAGTACCCCCAGTTGACATAACCCTTATAAAATTTTGCTAACGACCTGTAAATTAGAAACTACCCCTAAGTTAAAGTCTAACACTCCTACTACTGTTACATCCAAGAACTGTCCAAATCGGACCACTACGGGATTAGTTATCGACTTTTGGAAATTGAATTTTAAATTTCGACCAATTTTTGGCCCAAAATTGAGTATATCTTCCGCCGGAATCAACCATTTCGGTCCAGGTGTGGTTTTTCTGAATCTACATTGACGCTAGCTTCTTCCCAGAATGTTTCCAGAAAAAACCTACAGGGCACGTTTCTGTAAAAAGCGAAAAGGTTGAAAGCGTAAAGGTTTCACCGTATAAAATGTCGCCGCAAGCCGAGAAGGGTCGGGCGCAGCTCGAAAGGCGAAAATAATATACATTTTTTTGAGAAATACTATTTTAGTGTGAAACTAAAGCAAAATCCAATGAAATTGCCTGAAAACGCATTAAAAATATTAAAATGACATTGAGTTAATGTTTGCGTGCTCTGTCTGTCTGTATTTCATCTGAATTCAGCTTGTCGACACTAAAATAATATTTTTCGAAGAAAAATATTATTTTCGCCTTTCGAGCTGCGCCCGACCCTTTTCGGCTTGCGGCGACATTTTATACGGTGAAACCTTTACGTTTTCAACTTTTTTGCTTTTTACAGAAACGTGCTCTATAGGGTTTTTCTAGAAACATTCTAGAAAGAAGCTAGCGTCAATGTAGATTCAGAAAAACCACACCTGGACCGAAATGGTTGATTCCGGCGGAAGATATACTCAATTTTGGGCCAAAAATTGGTCGAAATTTAAAATTCAATTTCCAAAAGTCGATAACTAATCCCGTAGTGGTCCGATTTGGACAGTTCTTGGATGTAACAGTAGTAGGAGTGTTAGACTTTAACTTAGGGGTAGTTTCTAATTTACAGGTCGTTAGCAAAATTTTATAAGGGTTATGTCAACTGGGGGTACTTTTTAGGACATTTTTTGTCATAAGTCCCAAATAACGCTTCGATGGGCTGAACCACTATTATGCCGTTACTCAGTAGGGTACCCTCTTTCATTTCTGCATGGAGGTGCCGACTCGTTCGGAAAGGGTTAAACAATCAACTTTTTTCAGACATCCTTCAAATCTTATGCTTGATCGGCTAAGTGGCAAGATAGTGCATATTGACTTCGGAGACTGTTTTGAAGTAGCCATGAAAAGAGTAAAATATCCAGAGAAGATTCCCTTCCGCCTGACCAGAATGTTAGTTCGAGTAAGTTTGTTAATGAATCCAAAATGGGCATATTTCATAAGTTTTTTTAAAATATACTGCTCTTTGGAGAAATTAAAAAATTTTTTTTGCAAATAGGATTTTGAAAAATTATTTACACTGAAATTTTTACCCTACATTTTCGTCTATAGCGAGATGCTCTGACCACGGGGATGTTGTAAACTTTCTAAATCTGCCTATATGGAACCATTAAGTACGATACTTTAGGCAATGGAGGTAACCGGAATAGAAGGTAACTTCCGTCTTACTTGCGAAAAAGTCCTCAATCTTCTTCGCAATAACAATGACAGTATCCTTGCTGTGCTAGAAGCCTTCGTTTACGATCCTGTAATGAATTGGAGGTTAACAGAGCCTTCGAATCGGCGCGACAACAACTATCTGGAGGTTGAACAAGAAGAACAACAACTCACAGGGAGTCATACCGAAGCGATCAGTCGAGTCAAGGCCAAGTTAACTGGCCGAGATTTCAATGCTTTAGAGGAGATTACAGTCGCCGAACAAGTCAGTCGCCTAATAGAACAGGCAACATTATACGACAACCTATGCCAGTGTTATATTGGATGGTGTCCGTTCTGGTAAATACACCGTTGTTATCGTTATGTAAATTATGTAAAGATGTTATAAATTTTTATTTTATTACAAGCCCTCTGACATCTTTTTTATCAAGGAACCAAAAGCCGTTAGCCTTATCGGCGAACTGAAGAGCTTTTAACAGTTTTTCCTTATCCATGACATCAAGTGGAAGGAAGCTGACAAGATTGTAATCTTCTACTACCATTGAGAGTTTGTCACACATATCTTTGTACTTTCGGAGGGCTGGATGATCCTACAATTTGCAAACATGACAAGCGTTTACTTACGTCTAGCCTTTCCACGAGATATCTGAGATTCGGAACTTCCTCGAAGAAGTCGAGATCAAAGGGCAAACTTTCTGGGAGTAGATCGATCTTGGAAAGAACATTAAGTTGAGGGATCTCGAGGTTGATCATCACAGATAGAGTGCTCAATACAACAGCGACAAATTTTCCGGCATCGGAACAATGCATGCAATCACTCAAATGGACAGCACAAAGCCGCAAATCGTATTTGCCAAGCGTCGACACAATATTACGAATGGAAAAATCGCTGTTGTAAAGTTCCAGTTGACCAGGCATATCAATAATAAGGTACTCTTTCCGGTTTTCAAGCTTCTTCTTCAGCCTAAGCAGAGAACTAATCAAAAAAAGGTGTCTTACCATTCGATATTCTTCATTAGAACTTGCATGCAATACCTTAGCGCTCCATTCGGACCCAACCTTAACTTCTCCATAACTTCCTCAACTGTTATCAATTCTCTAATGTCAATATCACATTGACATGGGACCAAATCATTTGCAGGATCTAGATTTACGTATAATGCAGGTCTTTCAATCGCTTTTAGCATTTGAATCATGGCATTGCAATAGGTCGACTTTCCTGCTCCAGGAGCGCCGATCACCAGTTGTCCAAAAAGAAGCGTCATGTGTATAATTCTTCTCCTCGGGATTGTTAAAATATTTACATAAATATAATTTTACCTAGGGTTCGGAAAAGTCCGGCAATTTCCACCTCGTGGGGTATACACCCGGGATTCGAAAATTAAGAGTGTATGAATACCGCGGTAATGGTATCATTTACAAAATAGTTTGTAACACAATTCATTAAGAGAAACGAAACGCCAAGGAGAATGTCTCGTTTCAAGACCTAAATATTTACTCGTGCCAGAAATAAAAATTTTAGAAAGATTTACAAGCATTTTCTGTCGATATACCGGAGTAATTGGTGGTCGAAAGAGTGTATTTTTACTTTTGTTTAAAGAGAAGATCGGGTACTCATTAAAAATTTTATCATGGATTTCGAGGAAGATGACCCTTGCAGCGACTCCGCCACATCGATGGATTCGGCGGACGAAGATGATGGAATCAGCATAGAAACTTCGAATTATGACAATGAAGAAGAAAAGTGCGACTATTCAGTACGTTGGAATTTAAAAACACTGTTTATTTAATTGGCGAAGTATTCTTAACATATCCTTTATTTTAAGATTATCAATTACGACAATTTGCTCATCGAAATGAACAGCCTGGCCACGGACACCTCTGCCGTTATCGGGATCTCTCCTGACATTTGCAAAGTGCTCCTTCACGACTTCCAATGGAACCGGGAAAATTTAATTGAAAAGTTAGTTGACTTTTTCCTTTGTTTCATCAATGGATGTGACTCATCTATAATATTACGGTTTCACGCTGATAGATTATCTGTACGAATTTTTTAGATTCTATGAAGCGGGTGACAAAGAAAAATTCCTGGAATCTCATAACGTCGTCGACGATGATGGCGCATTGAAGTGCAGAGATAAAGAGGGTTGTTGTGAAATCTGTTATGAACAGGATAAGGTGTACGGCCTCTCTTCTGATCATGTATATTGTGACAATTGTTGGAGAAACTATCTGACCATCAAAGTAAGGGTTTTTGTTAGATTACGTTTGGATTTAGATCAGAGATGAAGGAGCGATGTTGATAACTTGCCCGGGGTTGAAATGCGGGAAAATACTAATTGAAAAAATGATCACTGCCTTTATTTCCGATGAAATAATCCTCAAAAAGTACAAAAAATTGGTTGTTAACAGTTTTGTACAGGTAAGAATTAGTCTATTGTTGATTATTTTTCGGTTAGAGCAATCTAAAGCTCAAATGGTGTCCTGCCTTAGACTGTGGCCGAGCTGTCAAAGTGCCTCATGCAGAATGTCGGCCAATAAAGTGTGAATGCTCTATGGTATTTTGTTTCAACTGTTCTCAAGAATGGCACGATCCAGTCTCCTGTGATATGCTCAAGTTATGGTTGAAAAAATGCAGCGATGACAGCGAGACCTCTAATTGGCTGAACGCCAATACAAAGGACTGTCCCAAGTGTCATGTGACTATCGAGAAGGATGGTGGTTGCAATCATATGACGTGCAAAAACGTGTCTTGCAGGTTCGAATTCTGTTGGACCTGCCTTGGTCCGTGGAAACCGCATGGATCTGGTTGGTATTCCTGTAATAGATTTGATGATAGCGAATCAAAAAAGGCCAGGGATGCCCAAGAAAGGTCGCGGGCAGCTCTGCAGCGATATCTTCATTATTACAACCGATTTGTCAACCATCAGAACAGCTTGAAGTTAGAGAATAAGGTACGGACGCTTTGCTAATTCGTGATTATGTTTACAGCTTTATGCTCAAGTTCAGGAGAAGATGCTGCAAATGCAGCAACGTGGTTTCTCGTGGATCGAAACCCAGTTCTTGAAGAAAGCCGTCGATGTGCTGAGTGAATGCCGTCGGACTTTAATGTACACATACGCATTCGCTTTTTACCTAAAACAAGACAATATGACCAACATTTTCGAGGGAAACCAGCAGGATCTGGAGTTGGCCACGGAACAGTTGAGTGAATTTTTGGAAAGGGATTTGGAGAAGGAGAACCTAGTCTCCCTGAAGCAGAAGGTCCAAGACAAGTACCGTTATGTGCAGCAACGCCGAACTGCGCTTCTTGAACATGTGACTGAAGGCCGCGAAAAAAATGAATGGAGTTTTACAGTGACCTTTTAACTCCATTCCGTACATAAACTTTGCATTAATTGGAAATTGTTGTTATATTAAATGTTGCTATAGTAACCGGCTTTTAATTTCCTCTTAATGGAGAGTGGAGTAACGTGCTTAAAATGGCCTTGCTTCCATTATTCTCACTCCATAATGGCGGCTCTGTGAGTATTACATTTCATTAGAATGGGACGGCGGAAACAACTTCGTCCGAGCAGATATTCTTCTGGTGCTAACATTAGTGTCGAAGATGCGCAAAAAGCGCTAAATGAACTGTTACTTGCGAATGAGCGGATCTTGATTTTTCAGAAGAGTAAGTCATTACACAACTAAACGTTAGTTTGTCAGAGGATTTTTTGATCAAGCACGACCCAAGGAATGACTCAACTTTATTATTTTATTGCAAATTATGTAAAAAAGACCGATTCTCGTCAATTAAATCTCACATGAAAACTGTTCACGGCTTATCCTCGGGTTCTTTATGGTTAAAATACATTCTATTAAACTGAGCAAGCTCTTTTGGTCGTTTCTTGAATAAAATATGGAAGAACAAACATGGCTTGATGTAAAGCGTACGTGTAGAATCTAAGATGCATCTGTTTGATGTCTTCCCGGGAAGCTTTAGGTACTGTGAGATCATTCTCCTGAGCAATTTTACAATCAGTTATAGATAAAAAAAAATTTACAGTTCCATAATGGACAAACTAAACAAAATATTTTACAAAATATCCATGATAATCGCTATAGAAAAATGTTATTGCATTAGGGTGTCCCATAAGTCTTTCAAATTTTTGGGTTGTCGATTTGTGCGAATTCCTGTGAGCTTCTAAACGCATTACGGAGTATGTCGAATTTATGGGTTTGAAGCTCAGATATAGCGCTTCTAAGCGGTATATGACGAGGCTACATAAAATCCTGCCACACTGCCCCGATATTGTACTAGACATTAACGAAAATTCTGCCTGCTGATATTAAAATACACGATGTTTCAAGAAATTCTTCCAAGAAGTTTAAGCCGTGTTTGAAATATAAAGTCGTGCGTTTTTGGAAAATGCAAAACAATTTTTTCTTGTCTCGGCGGAGAGACCATTTTCGGGCGGAGGCATTTCCGCCCGATTTGGGGAGGATAGGTTACCCCGAGGATAGGTTACCCACCGGATAGGTTACCCCAAAAAACACATAACTCGGAGGATAGGTTACCCCACCGGATAGGTTACCCCACGGATAGGTTACCCCACCGGATAGGTTACTCCACGGATATGTTACCCCTTACCAAAAAAAGAAAAAAATGTTTTCTTTGAAATGTTTTCGCTTCGGGAGTGTAAAAAGAAGGATTTTTTGTGAAAATTGAGAAATTTTTTAAATGTTTTCGCTTCGGGACTTGGAAAAAAAGGATTTTTTGTGAAATTTGAATAAAATTTGAAATTTTTTCGAGCTGACTGAGTATGAACTGACTGAATATGAAAACTGGGTTTCTGTTACTTTACTACCTTTAGGGATTCTTTTTGAAATTTTTTCGACTTATAACACTTTTAGACGTTAATGGTGTTGTTTTGGTGCCTAGTACTGCTTAAAAAACACATTTTTAACACTTGGTACTAAATAGTACTAACTGGTACTATTTAGTACGAGGTGCAAATTTGGCCGTAAGGCGGTAATGGTGATGGTTTGGTGCTTAGTAGAACCCAAAAACACGTTTTAACACTTGGTACTATATAGTACCAACTGGTACTGTTTTGTGAGAAGTGAAAATTTGGCCGTAAGGCAGTAATGGTGATGGTTTGGTGCTTAGTAGAGCCCAAATACACGTGGTACTATATAGTACCAGGTGGTACCATTGGTTTTAGACAAAATTTTAGTGCTGGCGGCACCAAAGTTAATATTCATTCACACACAATTTTTTTTTACTTCCGATGCGAAAAGATTAAAATATTTTGTTGAGTTTTCCAAAAAATTCTTTTTTTTCCCAGTCCCGAAGCGAAAACACTTCAAATTTTTTTCAAATTTCACAAAAAATCCTTTTTTTCAACTCCCGAAGCGAAAACATTTCAAAATTTTTTCAAATTTCACAAAAAATCCTTTTTTTCCAACTCCCGAAGCGAAAACATTTCAAAATTTTTTCAAATTTCACAAAAAATCCTTTTTTTCCAAGTCCCGAAGCGAAAACATTTCAAAAAAAATTTTTTTTTTCAGGTAACCTATCCTCGGGGTAACCTATCCTCCGAGGTTACCTATCCGAAACTTGGGGTAACCTATCCGGTGGGGTAACCTATCCGCTGGGGTAACCTATTTGTTAGGGGTAACCTATCCTCCGAGAACGTTTCCGCCCGATGTCTTTTTTGAAAATTACACCTCGGTACAAAGTGAAAAAACACTTCAGTCTTTTTAATCCTGAAGGACACGTAAGTTTGATGGTTTTAATCGACGTCTTCCAGAAAAATTAAAACGTTTGTAAAAGTTTAACGCAAAGATTTTCCTAATTGTAAGAACGCAAAAATTGTTTCGCTCGAGCTGGGAACCCAACCTAGCTTGGTTCGGCTTATCGCCCTTCTCAGCAACCACTGCACTATTAAAGCAACCCTTATGCAGATTTTTTCCCGCTCAAGAGAAAGAAACATTTTTGTTGCAAAATGACATAAACATAATACAATTTACAGTATGTCGTCGCGGAACGGCATTCTACAAAAAATGGTGTCTTGTACCATTCTCCAAGGGCTCTTCAACGACGTATGTCACTTATCCTTTGGTGAGGGTTCGTATGTACACTTCCCTAGTTAGGCCCTCACAATGACACTAACTCCCAACCCCAAAAACTTGCAAGACTCATGAGACACCAATAACAGTGCGAAAGTATTATGGTTAGATTACGCAGTACGGCATTATCGGATTTTTTTTGTGAAAACTTTCAATTAGTTATGTACCTGCATTTCTATAAAGTCTGTGACGGAAACGAATCTGCCCATTACGGGAGGCACGATAAAAAAAACTACCTTGTCCTTTCCGCACACAACATAACCCATGGTCCCAGTCGTATAGGTGGGCACCGATGAGATTGCATACCTCACCACCGGGAACATTGACTTCACATTCCGTAAAACCTTCGAAATAAGCTCAAGGTCAATCCAGGGACACTCTCCTGAAAAAAGTTATTTCAAGATGATAGCTGTACCTTGCGAAATCAGAATCCCGTCAGACTTAAGAGCTTTATGAAGCAGTTTATAAAAATTGAGACCGAATAATCCTTCGGCTGGGCCTTGAGGGTCACTGGAATCGGTTATGATGACATCATACGCATCCTCTTGATTTTTTAAGAATTCAATGGCGTCTTTTACAACAATAGTAACTCTTTCGTTCGATAAAGAGCATGAAACGGAGGGAAGGAACTCTTTGGAGACGGTGATTACATCCTCATCAATTTCACACAGAGTCACCTTTTGGACAGCGCTGTGCTTGACCACTTCCCTGACCACACCTCCGTCTCCTCCACCCACAATCAAGATGTTTTTTGGGTCTTTATGTGCGAATAAGGCCACATGGGCCATGGTTTCGTGATAAGAAAACTCATCGCGTTCTGTGCATTGAATCACCCCATCCAAGACTAAAACCCTTCCATAGGATTTGCTTAAATTAATATGTATGATTAAAGGAGTTCTTTCTAACCTTTGGAATACCAGAACATCCTGGTAGTGAGACCTTTTGTGATAGAGGACTCGATCGATCTCCAGTGAGAACGCCTGGCCCGCCCAATTGTTACCTAAAACACCTTCTCCTTGCTCGTCTTGATTTGGAGAGAGCTCAGAAAACCATCCCTTTCCCAATCTCTCCATCTTAAATCCAGTTCAATATAAAAAACCCCCCAAATATAAGACGAAACACACGGTTAATCAGAAGCTTCAAGTAAAAAATGTTCTTGTTTATTTACGCAAAACTAATAATTTACTTATGAATAGGCATCTGAACTTTTCTGAAGTTTGACGTGGACGAGAAATAGGACGAAGTTCCCCCACTGACACTTGCCTTCGTATCAATCGGAGTCATGCTAATTATCTCTACACCTTGCACGGGAGTAAACGACACCGAGGACATTGTTCCATTTGCATTCGAGGTTTTCAATGACGTCAAACCACCATGTTGGCGTCGCTGAAGTGTTTTTAACTGTTTCTGGGACATTTTGTGCTTGTTTTTGTTGTCAACAACAGTTCTTAATCTTCCTCCGCCGTTTGCAGTTTGAGATTTCATCTGCCCAAGAGAAAATCCGATAGCATCTTGTCTAACGTCTTCCTCAATTTCAGCAAAGTTCATTCTGTTGGCCTTCTTCCTCATCTCCGTAGCTCCCATCAATTCCTTTTGCTTTCTTACTCTTCGTCCTCCTCTTTTTTTTGACGCTTTGTCCAGAGGTTTGGGAAGGGGTTTCTGAAATTTGACAGACGGTGGTTCCAGCAATTTGTCGATCCTCCGTTTTATTTCGGCTGCCAGTTGATCTCCAATGGCTCCATCCGGAGATTGATGCAGGGAATCGACACGAGAAGCTAGGGCGCATTTCGCCGCAATGATTTTAGACGCTTTTTGACGGTGGTCCGGAGGAAGTCGTTGTACAAGAGGGTGGTAATAGATAAATCCAGAATGGGGATTCACAGCAGCCGTAGAAAATCCGGCTAACGTTTTTTTCTTCTTTCCTGGAATAAAGTAATAAACTCGGCAGAAGGTTTAACTTGATGAAGAAAATGTAAACAAATATAAAAAACCGTACCAAGCACTTGAATGTTGCACGCTGGCTGTTTGGCCAAGGGGCCCAATCCTCCGGCCTGAGATACGATCATGGCCGCGGTCCCAGATCCCAAGATTTTACATAGATTAGGAGCGATCAATGTCATTCTCTCCTCCACGAACTGATGAATAAACATTCGATCGCTTTGTATCCTCTCAGCCATCTCACAAGCCTCCATTACAACTTGTAACTCGTCTTCTGTCAACGGAACTCCTTGTGTCGTTGACGCCGTTACACTTAGAATAATACAAGCCGAGGCGGGCAGCACATCCGCCAGGAGATCTTTGTTTTGCGCTCTTAAAGCAATATCATTCCCCAACAACTTAACGGTCGCCATGTAATCCAAGGGCATCTGAACAAGAGTTTCCAGCTCTGGAAAGCGCTTTTCATATTTATCACGAACAAATTTGTGAATCACAGTGATCTCCTGCTCTATTTCGATTGCCAGTTCAGACAATTTAACAACTAAAACATACTGGGCATCCGTTTCCAAGGGTGTAGTAAATGCAGGAATTTCAGGAAGCTTCATTAGTTCATTCATTTGTTCCACAGATTGCCGATATCTAAAATTAAAGCATAAAAAAGTGTTCAAGACTCTCGCTTTTGAAATCAAGATACCGTACTCGATTGACGCTGATAATTTAGCAACATCTGTTATTTTGCTGTATAGGCCAACCTTTTTTTGAGCTTCGAAAACTTCTTCTACGGCTTCCGGAATGTCCGATTCTTCCATGTGATAGTTTTCAACATCATCTCCATCATCAAGATCAGCAAGAAGTTCTTCGGCAAGAGACATTCCTTTTACAATTTCCGCCCGAAGCCAGGTTTCAGTTCCGACAGCGGATTAACGAGAAATGAACGATTCGAAAAATATTTCCTAACAATTCTTTGCGCGAAACGCGCCTTTGAAAGTGCAATTTTATACGACCAATCGTATTCAATTGTCAAAATTTACTACGAAACTTGTTGAAATTGACAGCTGTTGAAATTTATAACGGTAGTAGTTTGAGTTTTTATCGATAAACTGTTGTATTAGCTAATCGTCTAGTGTTTAATATAAGATGGAGGTATGTGTCTTTTCTATTTTTATTTCTTAGTGTTCTTCTATCTGTTCAGAATGTAAGTCCGTATTTGGCGATTTGTCAGAGCTACAGGAACATTTACCGGAATGCCTACTTGAGAGTTATGAGTCAATTAACTGGGAGAATTTCTCTCCAAATGTTTCGATTTATGATGATGGAGAATGCCCGTAAGTAGAGGTTCTATATTTTCATCCTTTTAGAGTCAGTTACATCGAAGTGGAGACTTCAAATTTGCAAACTGAAGACAACAGACTATCAGCTGTCGTGAGTGTCCAGATTCCGTGTGAATGGAATGGTTCTGTGTGTACTGAAATCCCTAAGAGGGTAGCCCTTCCCGCAGTGGATGATGTCCCTCCAGTTATTGTTGGAAGTGGTAGGGTGACTCTGTTGTCTTCAAGTAAATATTTTTAGAAGCCGTAATAGACGGTCCTGGCTTAAGGTCGGATACCAAAATGAAGTGCCCGGTTTGTCATCTGATGCTATATCGTCATAATTACACTGTTCATTTCCGGATACATTCAGGAGAACGTCCGTATCAATGCTTTTTTTGTGACCGCAAATTCAGGTAATTTTATTAATTATATATAACTCCAGTAAAATCTAGGACAACTTCATCCAGGAAAGTGCACCATCGATCTCACACAGGCGAAAGACCTTACAGATGCCCACATTGTAACTATGGGACCGTAACAAAGCGAAATTTGGACAGACATATTTATAATCAACACTCAAAAATACAATATTACCTAAAACAGTAATAAACAAGAGTCATTTTAGGGTCTCTGGTTTCATTGATGGAGGTCCGTAAATAAACTCCGCCCTCTTCAGAAACGCGTGAACCATACTCTTGGCAACTTGTGCGAAGACAATGTTAGCCAAATGACGGTAGAGGTTCGATTTGAATTCAAATTCGAGAGTGAAATGTAGCAAGCATGTCTGTTTGGGGTACTCTGAAGGGGCTTCTCCAAATCTCCAGATTGTGTCAAAGATATTAAACAACCTTCCATCAGTGCAGACCGACTAAAAATAGTTTTTAAAATGGCCGCAGATGTACAAACTTACTCTGATCACGTATGGATATACTGTGGTTACTCTTGATTTGTAATGCTCGTTAAGGGGAGGGAAGCCCACAAAGAGTTCTGCTTCTAAAATACCAGCGGATCTCTTGTGGATTACAGAGTTCTTACACCACGGAACAAACAGAGGGTAGTCTTCCACCTTGTACACAACGTGGAAAATCTGATCTGCCGAAAATCTTTTACCGTTAAGCGCTGCTACGGGGGCTTACCCTATTATGGACTTCTCGTCGTAAGTAATTCCGTGGCCACGCTGGATTTTATTTGAAATAGATCTTCTACATTGGATATGTTTGATTAATGATAATGTCCGGGAATAACTCATAGTTCACTAAGAATATTATCGCTAGGGGTGGCCACCGGGCCTGACAAATTTTAAAACAGGCCGGCTTTTCTTCAAATGCGAAGCATTGATATTCAACCTTTTTATGTATAATATAAGTCCCAACATTAAAACATATTTCAAAGCATACTATTACGCTTTTACAGAAGCTTCTGCAGAAGTGCTTAGATTTTTTTCGGCCTTTTTTCACACGGCACAGTGCATGTTACGCGACGCTGCAGCGCGCTGTCCTTTTCGAAACATTTTGCACTGTGCGATATCTTTTCGCGCGCCTAAAATTTGCGCCGATCCAGTTGAGAAAATTTTGGACTTGCACGTGCAAAAAGGGGTTTTTGTGCACCATGCGGCCCACGACAAAAGGTCTGCGCACTTTTGAAAAAGCGTATTACGGACCTCCTTTCAAAATTTTGCAGTCCCGGTACCGCGGTAAGGATCCTGAAGTAGTAGACTATTGTTGAATTTGAGATATTAACCTGGCGCGAAAACATAGAATGCCAGCGCTTGGCATTTCGACAAACCGGGCCGGGTCTGAAAATATTATAGCTCAGGCCCGCCCATTTCAAGATTTATCAGGCCGGCCCGCCTGGCCACCTCTGGTGTAGACAAGTTGGCGTGAAGACTGCGGTTATTGATATTGAAACTCTTTAGATAACATTGGTAAAAAGAGGAAGCGAAGGTATTCTTTTTTACACTATTTAAAGACGCTGTCGTTTTTTGAAAAGATGGACTTTCAATCGGCGTATTTTCAAATCCATGGAAAGAATCCAGAAAATGATCAAAAGGGTAGGTGCGTGTTTCATTAGCATTCTCTTTTTAGAAAACCGGCAACCGTCGACAGGTGCAAAGGACGGGAGTAACGTCACGTTAAAAATGAATGGTTTAACCAGGCCTATAAACTTTAAGTTGACTTACCAATCACCGAAGAAAAGATGCGACAGAGCCTCTGATTCCAGTTTGCTTGCATATTCCCCGATACGTTCAAGAGGAAAAACTATAACCGATTCCACAAAGAAGAGACTTGATGTGTTAGCAGATCCAATCTCACATGGCAAGTCTCCAATTGATGTTTGGAACAAGTTGGGCACTAGTACAATGATCATATAGAGTACAAAATATGTTTTATTTCAGCGGAATCGATAAAAAATTTAACAAAGGAAATGGAACTTGAGGAAACAGAACCAGAAGATGTGGAGATCGTGACTTCAACATTTACGTTAGAGAAGAAAGCCATGAAGACACGAAGAGTTCATGACAACAAAGACAACTTTGTGAAGATAAACATGAGATGTAAGAAGTACATAAATAAGAAGACCAGTCACAAGAAATTCTTTAAGAAGAAATTGCCACGTAAATGAATGGGTCTAATGATCGTCGATACCGTTCAAGGCATGGAACTTGTTAGCTTTAAGATTAGCGTTCACGTTCTGAAAATGAATAAAGATAACATAAGAATCTGTTAAAACCCACCTCGTTCTTCTTTTTGTTGCGTTTTTTGTTCTTGCTCGTAGTTGCTGTGGTAGGTGGCGCTGTAGAATCTTTGTTATCGTTTTGTTGGTTATGAGTTTCTTCTTTCTGAGAATCCACTTGAACAGGCTGGTCTTGTATTTGAGAAGGGGTTTCTTGTCTTTCTCGTTTTTCTTCGTTATTACCTCCTACATTCTTCTTCTCTTTTCGGCTTGTGGTCAAATGTTTGGTGATTGCACTGAAGTCAGGGGCGTTTCTCTTCTCTACTACGAGTGAGTCACTTGATTTTGTTCGATTGTAATTGGCCACACTTCCTAAAGCAGCGGATTACTAATTGTAATCGGCCATGACAAGTACCTGTCTCACTTAGAGTTTTTTCTGGCTTGTTCCGATTGAAATGCCCATCATTTCGGTTCTTATTATTGTAGCGGCCTTTCGGCTTCTAAAGATTATCAAAGTCAGGAAAATAATTTGGATTTGTCGTAGAAAAACGTCTCTCCCCGTCGCAGTCGCTCACCAAATCTCCAGCCTCGACTGAAGATTTGGTGCATTTCGGGGCGCGACAAATCCACATTATTTTCCCGACAGACTGAGAATCGCCTTTTTCCACCTACTCGTCCATTCTCTCTCTCCTTATTTCTGATCGTGCTGGTGGTACTTTCGGTCTCATCAATCGTCGAACTTTCGTAACGTTTCCTGTTGTCTAAGAAAACGTTACAATAAAAATTGTATCACTTACGTTGTGGAATTCCTCCTACATTAACATCTAAAAGACTCGGAGCATTGGATGTGTTTTGTTTGTGCTCATTACGACTCTTCTAAAACATTTAATTAGTGAAAAAAAAACATGAGACAAGATAATACTCGCCTCGGCATCCATCGAATTGAAAGGCGAGTTTTGAGACTCAGAATCCGGAGAAAAAATCGTTACGGTCTTAGACGATGTACGGGTCAAAAGTTTGAAAGTTTGGGTAAGACAAGGACCACTCTAAAGGAGCGGAGACAATAAAAATAATTGTCACAAACGTACCTGATGTGGATGAGGTTTCTCCTGGGTCTCAATAAATGCTCCATAATCAATGTTAACGGGCTTTGCTTTTCCGAACGGATTTGATTTTGTGGCCCCTGAAGGTTTAGGTTCAACGGGTGGAGGTGGTGGCCCACGCCATTCTCGATTGGCTTGTTCTACATTCCTGTCATCATTCCTTTCATTTGAATAACGAGTATAATCGCTTCTAAACAAAAGATAAAAAAAAAACAAAATAATCTACCTGATGTTAGCATGGGATGCTCTGACATCATTAGAGACGCGATTTCTTTGCTGCTGACTTTCACGGCGGTTATATCGTCCAAGATTTGATTCCTGTCCGTGAATGGGTTCAGGCCTCATTATGTCCACACATTTACAACTTAATGGATCGACGTATTCAATTAACATTTTTCTTCGATATATATCGGTATTGGTGAGAAGAAGAGCCTTGATCAAGTCTTCCTTATCTTTTAACTCCAATAAAGCATCGTTCTTGTAGCCGTCATCGTGAAAATAAATTTCTATCACTTTATCCTCCCCTCCGAAAAAAAAATAAATATCTTCAGTTGTTGTTTGGGGACTTAATTCAGATACGTAGATCAGAAAAGGAGGTTTTAGTCCTTCTGCTGCATTTCTGAGTTCACGTTCATGATCACTCATCTGTGGTTCTTCCTAAACAAATACAAATAAAATAGAAACACTGCTTACCTCTTGGTCTTCTTCCGCAGCCCAGTCAGCCCAATTGTCCATATTGGACGTGAACTGCTTCAACGTCTCCGTAATGTGGGAATTTTTCGATACCTTCTCGGGTTCTGCTTCAAGCTTCTTTTCCTGGACCTCCATTTCCCAATTATTTCGCAAATTATACGTAATACACTAACCGTTGTTGGATCAACCGCTTGAAAAAACGGAAAACCGTGGAAATTTTCCTGGAAAATAAAAGGGAGACAGGTGACCCATTGGTCATGTCTCTCTTTATTGAATTTCTGAGTCCGGCTTGGGCAGGGGTGGTCGGCGGGCCGGCCGGCCTCAAAAATGGAAATTGACAAACGGGCCGGGCCGCGGGCCTGGGGTTTTTTCCGGCCCGGCCCGGCCCGTCTAAAATACAATGCCAAACCGTTGGCATTCATTGTTTTCGCGCCGGGAAAATTAATTGATGTTGTTATAGTTGCTGTTTCTCAAGTTCTAACACGTTTACAAGTCTATAGTTCCATTATAGAACCACAAAACTATCACATTGATCCTTTACTAGCTAGATCAACGCCTTTTTTGCCTCAGTTTAGATCCCGAGCCTGGGCGCAGTTCGCAGAACCCTCTATAGACGGGCCTGCACGGGCCGGGCCGGGCCGGGCCGGGCCTGGAAAAAGACTAGACGGGCCGGGCCGGGCCGGTGATTAGACGGGCCGGGCCGCGGGCCGAAAATCGGAAAAATAGGGTCTGCTGACCACCCCTGGGCTTGGGCCAAGCGGCTTGGGGAAATTACACACCAATTTGTTTCCTCCTTACTATAACACCTCCACGTAAAGCGACGATATGATGAAAAACGAAGTACCAGTTGAGAGCTGAAGAACTATGATACAATACCATAAGAAAACATCCTAAACTTTCACCCCAAAAAAGGTTACAGTTCATCCAAATTAGCACGCTTTAATGTTGCGTTTGAAAAAGGCCGCCAAATTAGGCAGAATTTTTTTGTCTGTGTTTTTTATGATTTGATTTCTCTGCATTGATTCTGAATTTGATCTGAATATTCTGGATTGATGCTGCCATCTTGCCGGAAACGAACAGTTGTCTCAAATGGCCGGGAAGAGACTTGACTCGATCAATTTTTTCCCCGTTTTTTGTTTAGACAACCTGCAACCTGGTGCGCCATGGCGTGTAATAGCTTTGTGGCTTTTAAAAGCAACATCCAAAGGATATGGTGGCTCATTTAGTTCTATATGGAGACGAGCAGTTCAGTTCCAGACAGGTTTCATAGCATAAAATGAACTTTTACCGTTTTCTGTGGTCTTACAGTTTTTGCGAGAGAGTCGAACACCGAGTGCACACGAAGCAAGAATTCATAGTGTCTTCATACTGTCACCAGTGATAGTACTTGGAATAGCAATCACGAATTTTTTCGAAAATTTGGACTTTTTGGCTTACTGTATGGGTGTACTGTAACGCTTTCGCATTTTGATATCTCGAGAACGGCGTATCACGTCGACCCGTCCCTTTTTCATATGATAGAGCTTTAAATTATAGGCAAGTTTACGGTTGGATATGTTTTTCTGCAGCTTACTTTAGATGTTAAAAATTAGCATAATAATCGAAAAATCAATAATTCGTCACCCCTGCTGCAGCCTGCTGACAAGGGACGGCTTCCAAGTGCAACGCTAAGATTTTCTATAAATTTTGCAATACGCGTGTTTACAACTTCTTAAAGGGAGCTTCCCAGATCTCGCGATCACAAAATAATAAGTAAATCTTTTCAGATCTTAAAGAACTCATGGCAACGACGGTTGAGAAACGGCTTCAACGAATTGCGGAACTTCGCCAGCAGGTACGGACGAAGTCGCATATAATATATTTGATACGCAATCCCGTACAATTTTAAATGGTTGATCATATATTTATTTAAGGTGGTCGTAGGCACACTGGCTGAGGATTTCCTGCGAATGCCAACTACATCTGGTACGGCCTTTACAGGGGCTCCTTTAGATCCTGCAGTATGTTATGAACTCCTTGTATGCTATCCGTATAAGTATTTTACAGACTCAGTTTTATTCCTTTATTCCGCCGAACACTCGTGGAAGATTGGTTCTGAAGATAGTGGAGGCCAAACTCACCAAGAATTATGGATTGGTAAGGATGGATCCTTATGTCAGACTTCGAGTTGGAAATGCGGTGTTTGAGACACATACTTGTGTGAATGGCGGAAAGACTCCGGTCTGGAACCGAGTGATCAATGCGTATTTGCCGATTGGGGTCGAATCTGTTTATGTTCAGATATTTGACGAGGTAGTTGAAGAGTATTGCTTTTATTATGTTTGATTTTGGTTTTAGAGGTCTTTCACCCAAGACGAGTGTATTGCTTGGGCCCACATAATTCTGCCTGATGGAGTTTTTGGACAAGAGACTGTAGACGAGTGGTACTCTTTATCCGGACCTCAGGGCGAAGGAAAAGAAGGAGTTCTTAACATTGTAACTTCGTTTACTCCAGTTGTCACCCAAGAAGCACAACCGGAAGAACCTCGCATAGGGGTCAACTCCAATTTGGAGGAAGATGTGACCAACATTAAGGAGATGTTTCCTGAGGTGGATGTGGAAGTTATTAAAACAGTTATGGAATCTAACAATTATAACAGAGAGGCCACTGTGAACGCCTTAATCGAGATAAACAATTCTTAAATTAACCCTTATCCTTACAGTGCTTATACAATTTTTAACGAAATAATTCATTTTATTTTTATTGATATAAAAACGCTGTGATCGACTAGTATTGGCTGAATACGTGTGTCTCACCGCAAACCTTTATCTTCTTTACCGTGCAAGGAAAACGAAGAAGACCGAAATAGAAATACTTTTCTCCACGTGTCGCGCGCGAATTAAAAAAATGGAAAGGAACTATCATTAATGGAAGTGTTTTAGGACTGTGATGGGACACTTGGCCGACTGCTTAGGCTTGGGTGTAGGGCTTTTTATTTCGTTGATTTATGCCAAGTTTATGTTAGATTTACACGAAAATACATTATGGTTTTCTAACATTAAGGAAGTCGAGCGCGAGATTTCGTTTCGGACTGAAGCTGGGTTGTATTTCTCTTATTATAAGCAATTTGTAAACGCAGAGTATCTGCCATCAGCATTTTATTCCTTGATTCATGATAATATAACGGAGTATCCATTCGAGATCAATGTCTTGCAAAGATTTAATGTTGTTCCCGAAGTCTATATGGCCGTTTTACATCGACTTGTTTCTTCTTACATTTCCATATCTCCAATTTTCTTTTACATATACTGTAGTTTTCTATTTAGCGGGCTGGCTGTCTTTGCAGTGTATTTGTTAGCTTATTTAGTCATCGGTAGTTGGGGTGAAGCTAGCATTGTTTCCATCTGGATGCTTGTTAACTATGAAGACAGTTCCCGTGTTAATTTTGCGGTGAATATGAGAGAAGTTTATGCCCTTCCATTCCTGTGGTTACAATTTCTTTACGTATTTAAAGTTGTTACATTCGAAAGGAGTTATAATAAGCAGATTGCCCTTTTTACCTGTCTCTTCAGCATTTGCTGGCAATTCAATCAATTTGTATTAATTCTGCAATCTTTCTGTCTCTTCATCACCTCTCTTTTTTATTGTGACTTGAGAGCTCTGATTGGCCAGACCTTGGTTTATCAGTCCATTGGATATCTTGTTGCCGGAATCCTTCAGTTTTTCCAGCCCATGTTGTTATTGTCACCATTATTTCAACTGAACTTGATTATTTTATGTTGTATGGGTAAAGCCCCAAACCAGTTTCGGATCGTGAGGTCTTCATGTCTTGTGTTATTGGCTTTTTTTATTACAATTGTTTCGAACTCTTTAATTAAGATGCTCGTTGGAGAGAAGTCTGATAGTCATATCTGGTCCTTTGTAATGTCCAAGCTAGGGTTTGGTATAGATCAAGTACCCTTTGAGACCACACTTTATTTATGTCATAGCGCATTTGCTTTCCTCGGTTATGATTTCGTGGAGAGGACCTCCAAAAACGGCTCTTTTCAGCTCTTCCTGATATCTTTGATGGTTTCATGCATTAATATAATCAGGGAATGGTGGGACGGAAGGCTAACAACACCACATCACTTTTTGCTAACCCTGAAATGTCTTGTTTTTGGCTTCTTAGCTTTTACCACGATGAGGATGAAGTACATTTTCCTTCCTCTGATGCTTATCCTTGCTTCCACCGCTTTTCGCATCCCTCAAAAATTGGTCGGCCGGATCATCCCTGTCACCTTAATGTTGGCATTAGCGATTGGGATACTGAGCTCGCATTATACGTTCTACCAGAAGGTTATGAGCCACGAACAGGTATGGCTGTTGTAGTTACGTCGATTTTTGTTATCTTTCCCCTTAGGAATTCTATGATCCGGACACCGTAAAACTGATGGAATGGATAAAACAGCAACCAGAGAAGATGGTCTTCTCAGGAAGCATGCAGTTGCTGGCAGGGGTTAAATGCTGTACTGGACGTCCGATTACCAATCATCCCCACTTTGAAGATAGCCGTATCCGTGAAAGAACCTTGCGCATTTATCAGATATACGGGCGGCGATTGGTGGCAGAAGTATACCAAATTTTGAAGCAGGAAAACACCACTCACATTATTGTGGAGGATAGTATCTGCTTCGCCAGATCGAATGGCTGTGCGTTGAAGGATCTGGTGGACACAGCCAACGGCCATCGGACCGAGTCCGGACGTTATCCGTTTGTCTCCAAAAAAGAGCTCGAGTTCTCCCCCATCCCGCGTTTCTGTGACGTGTTGCGCAAGAAGGGTCACTCTTTATTCGTTCCCGTGTTCAGAAATCGCACGTTTCGTGTTTATCGACTGTCTTAACCCATGTTTACCCATTTTTCACATTTCTTGAACCGGGATTCGATTCGCTAAATTCATTTCCCATTGACGTTTCGCCTTTCTCTATTTACTTTAAGAAATACGTGCAGTTATCTGACTCAACGTTATTTAATAAATATAGTGGGCTTTAAAGCAATAGGATAATTTTAGTATGAAATTTGGTTTGTTTTGGATCACTTTAATCACATATTATGTTGCTTCGGTTCGAAGAGTAGTCGCGAATGAACATCAGCTTGTTGTTCAAGTTCCGGGATACTCTCCAAAAGAAGTGAGTTCATTTTTTTATACACATTTGCATTTTAGGATGATGCTTACATTGGTGTTAGTATTAAAGCGACAGCTGGATATATAGGTAAGCTCCTTGTTCTTTCAATTAACTATTTTTACTAAACGGGGCTTTGGTAGTTCAGCCCCCCACGAAAGGTAGTTCAAACCCCCAATGTTTTGTCCATTTCACACCCCCCATAATTAAAAAATTAGAATAATACAAAAAATGCAAATTAGAGTGAAATGACCCCCGGCGTTTTAGCTCAAACCCCCAGTTACCGTCCAAGTTCGTTCTTGTGGTTCAGGCAGCGATGATTGTAGCCGAGAGAACCCAATCCCGAGTAGGCGGTTCAGATTGGATGAGGGGGTTTATACTGGGTCAAGAGGGGCTGAACTGGACTGGGGGGTTGTACTACCTTAGCCCCTACTAAACTTATCAAGTATAGTGAGGTTTGAACCCTTCGCACATGCCGATCGTATCCATCATATGCTTTTATACGGTTGTGATAAACCGGCGTACGATTCTTCCTTCTGGGAAGGTGGTGCCACTTGTGCCGGAGCAAGTCATATCCTTTATGCATGGGCCCGAAATGCTCCATCATTGTCCTTGCCCGAAGGTGTTGGGTTTGCCATCGGCAATAAGGGCGATCCTGTTCAGTATATTGTACTTCAAGTTCATTATGCCCATCCGTTTTCTGGAAACGTTAGAGACTTTGCCGGTACGTTAGACCCATTATTTTGTGATGTTGTTTTAGGTGTTACAATGCACTTGGTGGACACTCGGCCGGCAAATCTGGCAGCGGTCTATCTTTTCGTCTCTGGAGAAGCTATTCCTCCAAGGAGGGATGTGGCTCTCAATAATATCAGTTGCACTTATGATGGGGATGCTGAACTGACACCCTTTGCGTTTCGCACGCATACTCATCAGATGGGAAGAGTAGTATCCGCATACTTCAAACGGAGTGGACAGTGGACCCAGATTGGAAAACGAAACCCTCAGTGGCCTCAGGTACTGCTGAAATTATGTTTTTCATTCTTCTAAAAATATGCGGCGGTTCAAAGTAAGCCTTCGGTGGCAGGGCGGTAGGAAGTTGGACGTTACGATCCAGCGCTGTGGTCCGGTTCTTACTTTTGTATTTTTTATGCGACATGCCAGAAGAATGTTTCTTAAAAATCAGCTTCATTTGAATTTGTATCCATAGACTCCATTTTTACCGAGGTTTCAAATGTTTTTGACTAGCTCTGTATTACATATGGTTAGGTGTTCATGCTTTAGGATGGAAGTTTTTTGACGAAGTTAAACAGTTTTATACAATTAGCAGAGCGAGCCATTGTAAGTCAAAATATGAAAATGACCCAAGTTTGAAAGTTTCGTTGTACTTATGCTCTGCCTAGTGGAAAACATAAGTAAAATTTTATGCAGATACCATCTCTGATTTGTGTCAGACCCAACACTTTAGCTGAATTTTATGCTGAATCCAAATCCGAAATAAAACCCTGCGGCTATTCCTATACCGAGATTCTTAAATTGTAATCTTTATTTTAATTCAAAATAAGGTTTATTTCAATGTTACGGTAACCCTAACAAACAGAAATCTCTGAAGTCTCTATCCAAACGTGTTGCTCTGGTTGACACAAAAGAAAAACGAATTGATATGCCTCAAATAAAGTCTGTCATCGATAAAGGTCTTTTAGTTGTTCCAAAAAATTGACAAGAAAATCGTCATCAAAAAAGGAGACTTTATGGCAGCAACTTGTCGTTTTGACTCGCACGACAAGGCAGAATTCACACCCATGGGGTAAGTGGCTTTAAAATCTGACTTATTGTTTTTCTAGAAGTATGGGAACCGCTGAAATGTGTAATTTCTACATGATGTTCTACAGAAGTGCGGATAGTCAAGATCCATTCCCTTGGGGCGGTGGATGCGGCGGAAATGAAAACGAAGAGTTGGTGGCTGCGGAGTACCCAAAGGATGGAGTCTCTTTACTTCCCAAACACCCTGAATGGGAACATGTTGCCCATCAGATGGATAAACCCTTTGGGGTTAAACAACGATTGGGGGTTTCCAAAGTAGGAGATCACAAGCTTGGACAGATTTCGGGTTTATCCTATGGCAAAGATGGGTCGCTTTATCTTTTCCATAGAAGCGAGAGGATATGGGATGGAAGGTAAAGAACACCGTACAGGGGGGATCGTTAATTTTCAGTACTTTCGATCAATATAACAAGTTGCAAGACGAGTCTGCAATTAACGACGATGTTCTGCTTCACGTCGACGTGGGAATCGCTTCGCTTAAATTGCGAAGCAGTTACGGGAAGAATCAATTTTATCTCCCACATGGCGTCTTTGTGGATGACAGTGATTACATTTACACCACCGACGTCGGATCTCATCAAGTTATAAAGTGGAAAGTGGAGTCTGGTTAGTGCATTACACACTCCATTACGAAAGTTTACCTACCTTCCTTCACGAATTGTCAGTTTCTAGATCCTGGCATGCGCTACGTAAAAGCGCAAGCTACCTTTTTGAAAGGCGCGTTACAAAGAAAAAGTGGACGTATTTCAAGTCTTCGCCAACTCTCCGCCGCAAAAAAATGCCGAGCGTTCTTAGGCTTAGTTTAGGCTTATGTTTGCCTAACGTTAGATTAGGGCTTAGGCTGTTTACTATTTTTTGTTCGCAGTCAGCGGGCCCTCTTACGCAACAGTCAAAAAATCATAATTTTTTGTTCCAATTTGGCCACATTTTAGCACTTACAGTTAGACCAAACATTTATTCCATTTGGGGGGTTCAGTCAACACTTTAAGTCCAAAATACCATGATGGATTGACAAGAATCACATAGTTTGATATGCAAATTTGAATCCAGCAGAATAAATCAAGGCCTGTGTAGTTCGTTATTCAAACACTTTCAGAAAATTGTTTTTACACATGTAATTTTTTTAAACCGATTGGATGGGTCAGTTTAGAAATTAATAACGTGTAGCTATTGGTTTATAAGTGTGCAAATGGCGACCACTAAAAAAATTCAAAAAAAAAAGTCGGAGTCGGATTTGTTTCAAAAAAGTACAGAACGCTGTGACCGCTCTTTCAAAAGATAGCATCTGCTTTTACGTAGTGTTTGCCAGAATCTAGAAACTGATAACTCGTGGGGTAGGTACGTATTCGTAACGGAGTGTACATTGGGTACATTTAGTTTTTTGTTTTAGGAAATCTGAAACCAGTATTCACTCTGGGCGAGAAATTCCAACCAGGGTCTGATACAAATCATTTCTGCAAGCCTTCTGGAGTGGCCGTCAGCCGCAATGATGGTTTCATTTATGTGAGCGATGGTTATTGCAACAACCGTGTAATGGTTTTTGATAAGAACGGAAAGTTTATTCAACAGTTTGGCTCAGCTTCCACTATGGGAAGAGAAGCATCTAAGCCTCAACTCGGAACTTTCTTCTTGCCTCATGATATTGTACTGGACAACAAACTTCGTCGGATCTTTGTAGCTGACAGAGAAAACGGAAGAGTGCAAATCTTTAATCAAAGTGGTGTTCCTGTTCAAGATGTATCCTATCCCAGTCTGTTTAGGGATGTTTATTCTGCCGATTATGATGAAGGTATGTAGTTATAATTTTAGAGCTATGATGACTAAAGGTACAGACATTTTTAGAAGGATAAAAAATATGGAATTACAAATAAAATTAATTTTTGTTTCAGAACACGGTCTCATAATGATTCCCGGAAGCAGAATTACTGAGAATGCACAAATCGAAGCTTTTGTCTGCCCGGCTCCTTCCTTCAAACTCCAATTTTCATTTCGTCCAACAGATTCTTCCTTTAAAAGGCCACATATTATCAGAATCAGGGACAATGTTGTAGCCATTGGAGAGATTGCAGAAGAAGGAGGACGGCTGAGTATATTCGATATCGTGACGCAGGGACATCATCCACAGGTCTCCTCAAAAGAACTTTATAGATCACCGGATGATGTTAACGATGCCGGATCACCCTTCTTTATCACTCTTCTGGTCATTGCCTCTGTTCTGATCGCTTGTTTTGTTGCCTACATGAGGTATCGAGACGTTTCTGATGGGAATATTGTGGATCGGACGGTAAGATTATGCTTCGAGTAACGAAATTCAATTTACATTACAGGGGTTCAAGCCACTAAAAACAGATGACATTCCGAGTGACAATTCCGATGAGGAAGAAGAATATTCTCGAGCTCGACCGTAGATTTTCGTCTTTTAAAAGTCCTATTATTTGTTTTTTTTTTGTACATTTTGTATAAACCTGACTCTTATTTATTCTTCTAGCCCTATAGTTACATAAATAAAATCTTCTAAAAAGTTACGACGTACTGCGTGTGGATGGCTTATTGCCATGGTATTACTTCGTTTAATAGAACTTCTGTATTAAACTTTAGTTTGTGTTGGTGCGAATGCCTGCAGAGGAGGAGGGGAAACCGGTTTGACGGTCGTGGACTTGCCCAGGCCCGTAAAGGTTATAATTTTTATCGACAAGAGTCATGATATAAACCCGCGAGTCCCCGTGTTTTAATAAGATGGAACATATGGCGGTTTATCCGGACAATCATCTGTCGTTATAACCAAGGCCAGACAAAGCGACGCACCCGTCCGTGTCCAGGGCGAAGGATGGCGGGTCCTTTTCTCGGCGGTCTCCTCGGTCGCTATTCTGTCTGGGGAGGAGCGTCTGTGAAGTCTGCACTCACCACTTTCTCCCCAAAGACTGCGGCTAGGCGTTCGCGCGATTTTCTCTCAACTACTCCCTCTTCCATTACGGGCCACACCGCTGTTATTAGCCCCGGTTTTCACTTTTTACATCTTTATATCGGTGTCATGGCTCCCTGGGTGTTAATTTACAACTACATCCAATCTCCAGTAATTTCTTATTTTATTCGCGTCATTTTCGTCGCGATCGCATCTTTGGTTTATTTAAAATATTTTATTTACAGTTATGAGATAAAAAAAATAGGAATATTTGGGAAAACATGGAGGAAGGGGATGAATACGTTCCCCAAATATCCCAAATCGACTACAATCTGATCGATAATAATGGCACCAACAGACAGGGTAACTACTATAATCAGTTAAACCAGGTGGGAGATATGTATGGCAACATGCAAAGGCCTGCACAACAAATCCAGCAACCAAACCAGCAACACCACATGGCCCCAAACCAGCAGAACTACATGAATATGCACGGCTATCCCCCGCCACAACAGATGCAAGGCCAACCGTCCATCCCACCAATGTCAGCAGCAACACCAGCTACTAAAGGAAAGCGAGGAGGTGGGAGGAAAAAGGCTAACACTACTGTCACCACCACCCCCGACAATAAATACGGCGTTGGAGCCCAGAACATGATGTATCCGTCAAATTACCAAATGCCCGGACAACAACAGGTTCCTCTACATGCAAATACACCACAAGGCATGAGACCGGCCAATCCAGCATACGGTAATTACATGGGGGGATACCCACAGAATTCAAAATGGATGGAGTACGGCCAAATGCAACAAGGTCAGCAATTTCGATGTGCCCCGCCCCAACAACCATACCCCGGCTACAATGGGCCGCCGCAACAGGTAACATAGAAGATTATTTTTTACATTCCTGGATTTAGGGATACTATCCGCAAGGGATGCAACCTAACCAGCAGCAGTCGCAGCAACAACAACAAATGCAGCAAAACAGATCACAATTTTATGGGCAACAAGGATATCAGAACATGGGATACTCGAGTCAGCCCCCACCTCGGTATCCTATGAATTCTCAGCAAGGATATTACCAAGATCCAGCCGGCTACCCCGGATACAATCAGCAGTATTCGCAAATGAATCAGTCGGCCCAGGCTACTAAGACCGGTCCTTCCGGAAATGGAACCCAAGGGCATCCCTCAGTGTCTCAGAACTCTGTGTCTCAGCCTTCGACCTACTCTGCAGCGGCAGCACCCATTGGCAAGTTTACTTATATTTCTTTTATTTTTTTCAAAATCTCTAATATGTATTAATGTATATCAATTTAAATTTAGGACCCCCAACGAATGGGTCGTATCCCCAGCCGCCCGCTCCTTCATCGAGTGGCCTGCGTCAGCCTTATAATGGATTGCCGTCCCAACAACCACCTTCTAATCAGTTCCACCCTCAACCGCAATTCTATAATCAAGGAATGATGAATCAGCTGCAACAAGGCATCACCGATATGGAACGTCAACTTCATTACATGCTGCAACAACCCCCAGGGCCAGAAGTTAGCAGCAGAATTGAACAGCTACAAGTGAGAATTAACCAAATGAAAGCTCAACATCAACAAGCCACGACAATGGGAATTTCTAATGGGAAGCCGGGGCCCCCGTCTTCCCAGCCTCCTTCTGCCATGATACCAGGTCAGCATTCAAGGATGGGCCCGACGCCTCAGCCATCAGTATATCCGGGCTACCCGGGTTCTCTTTCTGAGCAATCCATCCATTCTGTTAACTCGATAAGCTCGGATGCTTCTGGGACTCCGAACTCTCAGAAACCACCTTCAGTAGGGCCAATTCCGATGGTCCCACACAATGTTCTGCCTTCACATTCGGCATCTTCTGTCTCTGTAATGCAAACCGCAGCTAGCCAAGTCCAGGTACGTCAAAACGAAGTTATTTTTATTAATATTTTAGGTTAATATTACACCGGAAGCAACCGGACGGACTTTGATAAGTGTATACCATCAATTCCCTTCGACGACTGCAACCACGACTGACTCGACTGCCCAAAACAGTATGAAAGACTCGGTTCCCCCAGAACCAGTCCCTTCCTCTTTATCTAACGGGTATCCATCCAAAAATGGCTCAAGCGCTTCAATTTTGTGTCCATCTCCTGCCGTATCCAACCCCCAAATATCATCAGCTCCCTATCCCCATTCCTCCACATTTCGGTCTCCGATTTCCTCACAATCAATCTCTTCGGATGTCTCCAGAATCCTCACAGACCAGACTCCAGCTCCATCGCATGGCGTTTCGGAAGAATCACTTTCAGTTAAAGAAGAAACTCCATCTCAGCCTCCCATCGACAACGACATTCCGCAGTATTCGTACCCTGCTCAATCCTCCAATGTTCCCGGAGTAGAGATGAAAGCAGAATCTGAAAAAGTAAAGTCACCCGAACTGGAAGCCCCAGTTCCTAGTGAGGAAGACATTCAGGCATCCGCCAGCTTTGCAAAGAAAGAAGCTAAATCGTCAGCTGAATTTACTGTGAAACCAACCCCTGCAACAGAGGTCATCGAAGGAAACTTCGAAGAACAGATTAAACCCAAAAAACCGGTGGCCAAGACACCGAAGAGGACTCCAGTTCCCATTCGGAAACGGAAGAAGGCGGCCAGCGAACCAAGCTCAGATGAAGACCATGACTTTACAGTGGAAGTCAAGAAGTAAGTATCTAATATGTACTAATTCATAATCCTCGTTTTTAGGAAGAAAGGAAAAGCTCAAGCAATACAACAGCAATCCGAAGAGATTGATCCCTCGCTTTCTGAATTTGTTGAAGTAAGTTTCAATTTTTAATGATTATTTAAATTTTTAGAAGCGGCGATCAGGACGGACAAAAAATGAAAAGCGATACGAAGATAGGATGGACATCGATGACGAACTTAACGAGGTTATGGATCCATGTACAAGTTTTTTGGAAGACACATCGGCGGCTGCAGAGTTTGTTGTAGAAAAGATTCTTGGAATGAGGACATCAATGAGGAAAAAGGTCAAAGAAATGAACGATGATTTTACTGAAGAAAAGAGAAATGAAAGCGAGTTGAGTGGAGATGTAGAAGAGAACAACGAAGCGGCCACCGGAGAAATAAAAAAAGAAAACGAGGAACTAAAGGAGAAAGAAAGTAAAGAAGAAAAGAAAGAAAATTCAACAGAAAACGACGAAGAGACGGAAGAAGAGGTCGAAGAATTCTTTGTAAAGTTCAAAAACAAGTCGTATATGCACTGTGAATGGAAAACCCTGGACGAATTGGAAGCTTTGGACAAACGAGTCATTCCCAAAGTAAATCGGTTCAAGGCAAAATGGGTTGAGGACAACGAATACTTTAACCCTGATTATACAATAGTGGATAGAGTAGTGGACGAACATATCGATGATGACGGTGAGCATTCTGCTCTAGTCAAATGGAAAAGTTTACAATACGAAGAATCTACATGGGAAGACATAAGCATTGTGCCAACGAAGAAGATGGAAGAATACTACCGAGATAACATTGTAGACCCGCTGAAGGTGGTAAGTTAGATCCCCAATTATTAGTCCGTATTTTAGAAAGAGACCCCCAGACCATCTCCAAATGATTGGGAAGAGATTAAAGATACTCGCGAGTACAAAGATGGAAACACTCTTCGGGAATATCAAGTCGTTGGAGTTAATTGGCTGCTCTTCTGCTACTACAATGGGTAAGTAACGGGATCAATAACATTATACATTTTAGACGAAACTGTATTCTGGCAGACGAAATGGGTCTGGGTAAAACAGTCCAAACGATTACCTTTCTTCAAGGCGTGTATGACGTGGGGATACATGGACCTTTTATGGTTGTAGTTCCCTTGTCAACTCTCCCAAATTGGGAAAGGGAATTTGAAACATGGACGGACATGAATTGTGTGGTTTATTACGGAACCTCGGCAAGTCGAGAGATGATTCAGAACTACGAGATGTATTACGAAAAGAATGACACTAAGGTAAATTGAAGTGATTTAATTAAAAACAGTTTTTTTTTCAGAAGAAGAAGGTTCCCAAGTTTGATGTCTTGCTTACCACTTTTGAAATGGTGATATCTGATGTGGATATATTAAAGAAGATTAATTATCGAGTCTGTGTCATTGATGAAGCCCATCGGTTAAAGAACAGGAATAGCAAACTTTTAACCAACGGGCTACTGTCGTTCAACTTCGAACATCGTGTTCTTCTTACTGGAACGCCGCTTCAAAATAATATTCAAGAATTATATTCGCTTCTGAGCTTTCTGGAGCCCGAACGATTTCACAGTTCCGATCTTTTCCTTCAAGAGTTCGGCCAATGTCAAACGGAAGAACAGGTACAAAAATTGCAAGAGATTTTGAAACCGATGATGTTACGGCGATTGAAGGAGGATGTGGAGAAAACCTTACAACCGAAGGAAGAAACAATTATCGAAGTAAGTGATACAATCTCTTTCATTCCTCCTTTAGGTCCAACTTTCAAACATCCAAAAGAAGTATTACCGTGCTATTCTTGAAAGAAACTTCACTCATTTGCTGAAGGGATCCATGCCATCCTTAATGAATACAATGATGGAGCTCCGAAAATGTTGTAATCATCCTTTTTTGATCAAAGGAGCTGAAGAACAGATACTTGCCGAACTAAAGCCGATTCATGCCAGTAAAACAGAGGATGAACTTAACAATCTTGCCCTCATTCAATCTTCCGGAAAACTGGTCCTAATTGATAAGCTATTACCAAAGTTGAGGCAAGATGGTCACAAAGTACTTATCTTCTCTCAGATGGTCAAAGTTTTGGATATTTTGGAGGAATTCTTGGTCCAAATGAATTATTCATTCGAGCGAATCGACGGAAATGTGAGAGGTGACCTTCGACAAGCAGCTATCGACCGCTTCAGTCGACCAGACTCCGATCGATTTGTATTTTTGCTGTGCACTCGAGCCGGGGGACTTGGAATTAACCTCACCGCCGCTGATACTGTTATAATCTTTGACTCTGATTGGAATCCTCAAAACGATCTACAAGCTCAAGCAAGATGTCACCGCATTGGTCAAACGAAAATGGTGAAGGTTTATCGTTTGATTACGACAAACACATACGAAAGGGAAATGTTTGACAAAGCGTCATTGAAGCTTGGTCTGGATAAGGCCGTATTACAATCGATGACACCAAAGGATAACAGCCAACAGCTCACACGACAAGAAGTGGAAGATCTCCTCAAGAAAGGAGCATATGGCGCTGTCATGGATGAAGATAATGAAGGCAGCAAATTCAGCGAAGAAGATATTGACACCATCCTTAGCCGACGAACCCAAACCATAAAGCTGGAGCCTGGAATTAAAGGATCCACATTTGCCAAAGCTTCCTTTACCTCATCCAGTAATCGAGAAGACATTGACGTCAACGATCCCAACTTCTGGTCTAAATGGGCCAAGAAAGCGAACGTTGATGTAGACGCAGGAAATAATGATCTTATCCTTCTGGAGCCGCGGGCACGAAGAAAACGATTTGAAGAAGGATACAAAGGACTCCATGAAGGCGAAAGCGATGGTGATGATGGAAGTGAGGGCCGAAAGAGCGCAGACTTTTCCAAAAACAGAAGTGGGAAGAAGAGAAAACGAGGGGATGATGACGACGACTACGTTAACTATGTCCCGGATGAGCTTACTTTTAATAAGTCAGAGTATTTCAAAGTCGAGAAACTTCTGAACACTTGGGGATGGGGTCGATGGAAGGTCATGAAGGAACAGTCTGATACTGCGCTAGGAGTCAACGACATTGAGCATATTGCAAGAACGTTGTTGCTGCACAACATTCGGGAGCACAAAGGTGACGAAAAGACCAAAGAATTTGTGTATCACCTGATCACACCGAATGGCGAATCCTCGAGAAGTGACAGAAAATCCCGTGGGGATTACAATGAAGGGTGGGCCGGTCTACCGGAATATAACCCTCCTAATTTTGCCATTGATGTTTCTTTCACCCGACATATTCATCGACATGCCAACAAACTCCTACACAGAATGTTCCACTTGTTCTTACTTCAGAATCATCTCATCAGCAAAGAGGATGCGACAAAAATAAATGATGACAAAGATTACAAACAAATTGATGTCAAAGTTCCCACCGTTGGAGATCCCCCATTGCCCAATTGGGATTCCGACTGCGATAAATGTTTCATAATAGGAATTTATAAACACGGTAGGTAATTCGACAAAGAACGTAATATGTAAAAAATCGATAATTTAGGAATGGAAAATTACGAGGCCATTAAAAGAGACGACAAATTATGCTTCATAGAAAAAAATATCGAAGAAATGCCATCCACATTTGAACTGAACACACGGTTCAAAAGAGTTATGTTGCTTGTAAGCCGTCAGTTGGAGATGTCAATGTCAAGCACTTCAAACTCTTCGTCATCAGCAAAATGGTCAAAGCCAGAAGAAGCCGAATTTATGCGCGTGCTTAGAATATACGGTGTCAAAGATGACAACGAAGGACAAAATGTGATCAATTGGAATAGATTCCGAGAGCTTTCAACTAATCTCCAGCACAAGACCGATGCCCAGATGCTTGAACAGTTGTACTGCGTATTGGCAATGTGCACAAAAGAACAAGGCCGAGAATTATCTGCAATTGATATGAGACGCGCATCGATGGTGGACCCCATTCCTGTCAGAAGGGCAGAGAAGTTGATGAATCGACTGCATTTGATGAGGAAAATCCATGCGATTGTTTCTACTGGATTGCAGAAAGTGAGAACATCCCTCAAACTGTGTTCTTCGGAGACAATGTATTCAGGATGGGAAGAAAAACACGACGAACAACTCTTGATAGTTGTGGATCATCATGGACTCGACAAGATCACTCAGAAATTGGCTTCCCAAGCCTGTTTTGATAGGGTTTGTGAGGTCAAATACTTAAGTAGTTAATTTCCATGTTTTAGTTTGCCAAACAATTGGATGAAAACGACCTAATTCGTCGTGTAGTGGAGATATGCACTACATTAGAAACCGGTAAATGGAATGGAAAAGGAAGTGTTGACCTAATTGATGATGAAGAAGGAGCATTTGACGCACAGACTTTGGCGATGCTACAAGCTCTTGCTGGGCAAGCCTCTGCCATCCCATCCTCTTCTCGTTTATCGTCGTCTCAACACAAAAAAAACAAGAAAAAGGCGAGTGTCTCAGCAGCATCAAGCTCACAACAGCTCGGGAACTTTGTAAGCAGAAAAACTTGTAAAGAAAAACTATCCCATGAATTTTCAGAACGATCCTGCATATCTCCTTTCTATGATGAATGCCCTCGGCGTCTCTACAAACTCGTCTCCCCAACAACAAATGCAACAATTTAACAATCTGCTCGGATTGCTAACACTGATGGGTCCGATGATGACTAATGGCGCAAACGATCCGGCATCAAAACAGGTAATGCAGATGTTGGTGGCCATGATGGGAAACAACGACGCCCTGAATCTATCGACGACCACATCAGGGGCGAAAGCAACATCACAGACAGCCAAAGTAGCCGCTCGAAATTCAACCACTTCTACACCAAACGCCAGTACACCTGCACCATCTACTACTGCCGCTACGAATGCGGCATCTACCCCAACTAATGTAACTCCAAGCACTAAAAAGGAATCAATAAAGCCTGAAGACCTTTCAATGCAAGAAATTCTCAAATGTTTAAATTACACGAAAGGTAAGCACGATAAAAACTTTACAAGGAAAGGTCCCGAAATGTGGCGCTCCTTCAAATTTGGTACAGCGATAGTGATAGGCGGTATCAAGAATATTCTTTCTAGAAATTTTTAGTGCGCGCTTTAAAGTTTCAACCGAGTCACAGTACTAGAAAGGTGACTTTTGGGAACAAAAATAGAACGTAAATAAACGGCGATGAAGGAAGAAAAGAGGGGGTAATGGAGATGTCGAGCCTGGAAACCGCCACCTCGACCGGCTTCTGGGAGCCGCGATAATCGACCAACAAGTTTGGTCAAAAAATGTTTGATTAATAATGTTAATATTTACGTATAATACGCATAAAATCTAAAAACATTACTCTACGTAAGTTTTAACACTATTATTCAAACATCACCCACGGAAAATTCATCGCAAAATATGCAAAAATTTTATCTTACCAGTAAATTAACTGAATTATAGCAGCATGCAGCAGCTTTATAAAATTTTTACAAGTTTACTAGTCGCGACATAAAGTCCTGACACATTTTGCACCGTGCATTCTTCTTTCATTTCATCCGCACTGTGCATCTTTTCGCATTTGTCGCCGCGATTTCCCGTTTTTGCACTAGCGACGTGCACTTTCGCGCGCGACAAACCCGAATTTGGGGGCGCGACGTCCAAACCCCGAACTTTCGCACGGTGCAAAATGTGGATTATTTCGGCTCCCAGAGGCCGACAGAGGTAGCGGTTTTCAGATTCGATACCATTGTCCCATTCTTTCCATCGCTGTAATAGCACGTCGGGACATTTACTTGTTAGTTGTAGGTTCACACATCCCTGTCATGAACGTTGAAACACACGAGAAACTCTCGGGATCAAAGGCGCCAACCTTAGAAAATCTCGAAACGTGGCTTGCCGCCAACAGCAAATACCAAGTTGATAGCGAAGCTGCGCTTGGTGCTGCTACGGCAGCAATTTCTGCATCTGCAATCAATGAGAGCAAGAAGCCACCACCAGCACCCGGAAAGGTCGAGAAACCCTCAAGCGCATCATCGGTGGCAACAAAGCCTGCAACCAAGATGGATGAGCCTAAGATTGCCGTAGTCACACGATCAACAGGCCAATTGCTTCCAGAAGACAAGTGGCCTAGTCTATCGGAACTCGCCGCTTATCTAGACAAGAATCCCGGAGTTGACGTTCAGGATTCTTTTGGTGCTGCGGTTAAGGTAAGTTTACAATTCATTTGCCAAACATTTGAATGGGAAAACCTTTAAATCGTCTTCCAGGCAATTTTACCCGCGGCATACCACCAACGCATCAGCAAAGCAACTTCTGCAAAGGTTCCAGCGACCAACAGTAGCAATTCACTCAGTGTCTTGGAGCAAAGCCTTCTTCAAAGCATCGGCATGAATAGTTCTAACCCAATGGAAAGCCTACAGATGCAATTGATGGTTCAACAGCTTATGCTGGGTTCATCCATGCAGAATGCGTACAACCCATACTTACTGATGTCAGGTAACACAGGCGCTTCACTAGGAGCATCTACAGCTACCACTTCTGGGAACAGCATTGACTCGGCGATTATGGCGATGCTTGCGGCGGGGGGCGTGCCGATCACCACAACACCTGCGTCTAAACCAAGCACAACATCTGCAGCGTCAAGCCTCGTTTCGTTATTAGGCGCAGGAAGTCAGAGCTCGGGTGCAAATCAATCACTAAATGATATGTTGACCAACGAATTGTTGACGAACCCTGCATTACTAACCCAACTTATGAGTAGTGGAGGAACCAACAGTACAGCTCTCAACTCTTTGGGACTTGGCCCACTGAACAACATGGACATAAGCACGGCCTTACAGATGACGTTACTGAATTCAGCATTAGGCGAAATGACACAATCCAATAGTCAGTCGCTCGCGTCTCCCTCGACCTCAAAGAAAACTTCCTCTCAGACGAGTTCCCAAGCGGGAAAGGCTAGTAAATTGAACGCCGTTGTAGAAAAGCTGGCCTCCTCTTCCCAAAACAACAATGGCGATCGCTGAGCAATCCATTAACATATACATGTTTCTTTTTTTCTTGAATTGATCTCGCACTCTCCTTTAGGAGCTTTTCTTTTCAGCTCAGTTTAGTCTCTCGGGACAGAGCAAATTATTTATTAAACAATTTTTGTCGGGATACGGTGTTCTTAGGGTACTGTAACAAGCCTTATCCGATTTTTGTTGACTGACCTCTGTTGATATGGTCTCTTTCTCTCACACAAGTCGAACCTAACATACCAATTTGTTTGTATTAGCAGTTTGTTTTGTTTTATTTACAGGGGAAGTACTTCAAGTGTGACGCTCAGATTTTCTTTAAATTTTGCACACACATCGGGTATGGACTAAATATCAATTCCTGAAAGTTTTAGCTCGCGCTTTGCGGGCGCCGCCGAGATATCGAACGATTTTTGCCGCCGAGAGAGCACGCTAAACGTGGAGAGCGGTCAGAGAGAAAACACCTTTTTGGCCATAACTTTGGCAGTTTCGTGCGGAAAAATTTGATTTTTTGTAGAAACATTATCCTTTACGGTAGAAATAGGCATGAAACTTTTCGTGCCGAAATTCGGCAAAAAGTCCTAAATTTTCGCCGACTTTTGATCTAAAAATCTCGGTTGTTTCTGTAAAGCGCGAGCTAGGATTCTCGCATATATCTTAGAAAAAATTATTCTAAATTTATGCCAAGTTTCACCAAAATCTGAGCGTCACACTTCAAGTACTTCCCTTGTTAGTTTGGTAATATAATTTTCTTAATAGTAAATATTTATCCCTGGTGAAGCGCAACGCGGGATTCTAATTATTCTGGCCATCGTTAACTTTTCGATAAATAAATTTTATGAATTATCCATTCGAATTAACACTGACTGCTGACTGTCACATTTCAAATAATTCTTTAAAAGGCGTTACGACTTTCGGATCAGCGACAGTTCGGGTCAACGATACTATGGCTCGCCTCGTCGTCGTTGTATGCACGGGAGAGGCTAGGAGAAGGCTTAGTTAGTAGAAAAAATAAAACTGACCGAGTCCTAGGGTAGCCTATCCTCTATTTTGAGGCATTTTACATGTACTCGCATCAATAATATCAAGATAAAAGTTACGGATCTTCGTTTTTTGCCCCAAATTTTGTCTATTATCCTACTACGTTAGTAATAGATAAAGTTAGAAAAAGTGGACATAATGCAAGCCTTCGCCAAGTCTCCGCCGGCCGTCCAACGGCTTTGCCAGGCCTCGTAGGCACTTCCTACAACATTTTTTCGGGTATCCCCCTGACCTACATCACGTATCGATCGATTTTGTGTTGACCTGGACTGCCGCCGACCCGAAATGTCGGGACGCGTTTTAAAACCGCCTTAAGAAGTACCGAACGTGCACGCGTGCACTCCAAATTGTTTAAAACACGATTTTTGAGTCACAAGGGCATGGTAAAACCGCGCATCCTGGTTTTTTTTTTGAGACATACACCATTTTAAAGAGCGTTAAAAACTGGTCTAGGATACCTTTCATTTGATTGGGCGCGGTTTTGTCACCAAGACGGTTTTGTTCCCAGAAGTTAAAAAGTTGGAATGGGTGTCAAAAAGTTGCAAATGACAGCCAAATTATTAAAATGGCTAGTAAAAACCTGGATCCAACCTTTTACCAAATCTGGAAATTGGGCTTCATGGACAGAGTGATTTTTTTCGCTGCAATCGTACGAAATGTCACTATTTAATTATTTTCTGCAGTAAAAAAATCTGTCCGACCTCACTCTGTCCAATTTTCCACAGTCTGTCCAATTTCCATGAAGCCGTAAATTGGACGGAGCGCGGAAATTGGACGGAGTGAAATTGGACAGATTTTTTTCACTGCAAAAAATAATTATTTGATGATTCATTAGTGACATTTTGTACGATTGCAGCGAAAAAAATCTGTCCAATTTCCGCGCTCTGTCCAAATTATTTTTGTCCAATTTCACTCGGTCCATTTTCCACGAAGCCAGTGAAACTTCTGGAAAACATAGGGCGCAGTTCGAAGAATTGATTTTTTGGGAGAACATTTCTTTCCTCATTTGTTTTGCGGCTCCTATGCTCCTAACCTCAGCTTTTGTTAGCACCTCACCTTGATATACTTTCAAGATTGCTTATAAACTTTTCTCGGTTAGTTTGACGTTGTTATTTCTTATGATTTATATTGCGTGCGTGTTCTTATGATAGAAAATAGTTTTAGGTAATATCGTTGTTCTTAGGAATGGAGGAACTGAACGTGATTAATGATCGGCAGCCCCAGTTGCCCCATTTTTTGGCTAAACTATGGTCTATTCTAGATGATACGCAGTACGAAAATGCCATCTGTTGGGATAAGGTATAGGTTAACAACGTGAATTTATATTTTTAGAGTGGTGAATCATTTCACATTGTGGATTCATATTTGTTCAAAAATGCGGTACTACCGAGATATTTCAAGCACAATAATCTAAACAGCTTCGTGAGGCAACTTAATTTATGTAAGTACTCCAACTAATTGACTTATTGCTATCTAGACGGCTTTCGGAAAATTCCCATTGTTGGGAATGCATGCTTGTTGAATGAAAATGGCGATAATCTCCATTTTTCCCACCCATTCTTCATCAAGGGAAACTTCCACCTTCTTCAGCACATTAAAAGAAATGCCGTTAAAGGAACAGGTGGTTCCAAGGCCAAGCAGGAGCAAGCAGCTGAGAAACGACAAGTTTCGGTACCTGAAGATGACCTTGTCTGCATGTTCTCTGAACTTAAACTCATGCGAGAGAAACAGAACACGATGAAGAATACAATAAGGCAATTAACTAGGTAAGGTACAAGTTTATGTCATTTAAAATTTGATTATAGAGACAACATTCTGCTATGGCAAAAGATGGCCGCGTTAGAAAACTCACAAAATAAACAACAAGAGAATGTCGGAAAGCTTGTCCAATTCCTCATGGCTCTAGTACAATCTCAGAAAAGAGTTCATAACAATTCCCAGAGAATTATGCAGTTAGACGAACTAGATGAGAGAGCCCGTAGGAATCCATCCCCTAAGAGCAACAGGGCGTACAACCAGTCTCCAGTTAATTGCTTGGCTATTCAGAGAGGTCAGGGCATAAGACCTACACTTGACTTTGGTATTTTGGATGGAATCCAGAGAGAACTGACAGAAAACAGCTTTGATATGACTTCAAATTTGTCTATGAACGCAGAAAACGCTTTACTTGAAGGACTTCAGCTTCGTCAAAGGGCCATTGAAGAAGGTGGGCCTTATCTGGAAGACGGGATTCTCCAGAATGTTGACGATGAACATCGAAGTTCACATGTGGGGGGATCTTCTTTACAACGATATCGGGCGAATGGAGAGCCTTCGGTAAAGAGATCGTTCAAGCCATGCCTTCCATCTTACTCTCCTAATATAATGCTCAAACCCAAGAAATATGCTGAAGAACTACTTCAGAGTTACGATGTCCCGTCTACCTCTCAACATGTATATGAAGAAGAGGATCAGCAACAGGTATGGGAAAATTCAAGTTTTATCTAGACCCAATGTTTTCTTTAACTTTAGATGACCGAAAACATGGGTTATGAGACTTATCCAAGCCTCGGCCTCGTCGGGGACAACGAAACCTTTTATTATGTGGACGAACAAGGTAATCAATTCATCCCAGAATTAGACCTGGATCAAATCCCCAATGAATTTCTTCTTGATCATGAGGTTGTTATTCCTCAGATTGAACATTCAGAACAACTTGCGGATGAAGAAGATGTCTGAGTATCGTTCATTATACCCCTATTATCCATGTTATTGGTAAATAAACAAAATATTGTTATGACACTTCCACTTGTAGAGGTCATGGCAATACTTTTCACATAAAAAGGAAAAGACGGGCACGGAACGATGCGTTTTTGGTAATTTATCACAGACCGAGAGAACAGTTGGACGGGCGAAAGGCGACGGGATGCCGAAAGTTGCGTCCGAGCTTTTTTGTGGTCCTGTCAGCGCAGTCATGTCGGGTGAGGAAGATGGACCCCGCGCGCGCGTTTACTGGCGTTTCCCCCAAATCTGGCAAATTCCCGTTTTCTTCCGCCGCCGAGGAATTGTTTGTTATCTTTGGCCGAATCCGGGTGGTTTGGCTGACCCTTTCTGATTCGGACTCTCTTCAAACAAGTACTTTTACATAACATACAAATAACTTTATTGTTCTTTTGTACGGGTATTGCTTTTTAACAGAATTAGTCTCTCAACCTATTAGAGACATGACGATTAAAGGTTGATTTAAACATAGTCATTTGCACCAGTTTTTTATCGCCTTAAGACCCAAATCCGACGATTATGTTATCCATTGTGTAATTGGGCCGTTCACAAAGTCTTTAATGTGGATGATCAAGTTCGGACCATCTTCCCCTTCCCTTCGCTTTGTTTTATTTACTTAAAGTAGTGTGTTTAAGGTCCGACCTGGACTATGGACGTTGGCCCAGATGTGAATGGACGTCCTGAGGATATGCGTGAGGACGAAGTTTCGGTGAGTTGGGGGGAAGGGCTCTTTTATTACACTGGGCATATAAAGAAGCCAGTTGTCCTGCTCTCCTGGTTGTGACCTTTCCTCTTCATCCACCTCATCTTTGAGCCTTTCAGACCTCAGGCGACTATCGCGTCAGTTGGCAGCTTTTCTCAGTGAACCTGCTCCGGGTAGGTGACCATTTTTTATTATTAGTTTTTAAATATTGATGAAATCAATTTTAAATTCCGGTTTTAATTTTTGTTAATTAATTAATGATTTATTATATTTAAAAGGGTTCTGCTTGCAAAGGAAGTTCCCCTGATTTTTAAGTTGTAAAGCTTTAATAACATTTTCGTATTTTCTAAATCCCCTTACAGTCTCGTGATAACGGGTTTGGCATCGGCATCTCTGGTGGCAAGGACAACCCCAATCTTGCGCGGCTAAATGACTACAGTGACCTTGTAGTAGCCGATCCCTCGATTATCGTAACCGACGTCTTGCCTCGAGGGCCTGCGGCTAACATTGTAAAGTGAGTCTATGTTAGAGGACAGTCATTCACTCGTACAGTCTTCTTCTGCTTGTCTCCGTTTGAAAATCCTGCTTTTATTCTGACTTATTCTCTACTGTAGTTCTCTTTGTACAATTTTTTTGCAGGGAAAACGATCGGATTATTGCCGTAAATGGTGTTTCTCTAGAGAATGTGGATTACATTACTGCAGTAAATGTTATGAAGAGTTCAGATAGATTGAATATGATTGTAAAAAGAAGAATTCCGCTTCCCTGCCTCGAGTACGAACAGAGAACACTCAAATTCACGTTGTCCAAATCACGAAAAAAAGACGGTAATTGCCATACAATGTATCTCTGATGTTGAATACTTTATATTTCAGATTTTGGAATTGTTCTTGGATGTAAATTTTACATTAAGGAGATTAATAATCCCAAATTGGCAGAGAAAGAGCCAGGCCTCAAGGAAAACGATAATGTCCTCAGAATCAATGGCCAATTACTGGAAGGGCTCAGTCTGGACGAAGCCACCAGATTACTGCAAAGGTCAAGGGAGAAACTCTCATTGGTTGTGCAGAGGGATGTAAAAAGAGGCACGGCCGGCTCACGGTGGCCGAGTCAGACAACTGTGAGTTTTCCCAATCTGGTTGCGACATTAAATGTGGTATTTTTTCAGGTCTACGAAAGGTTGGGAAGTGTGCCAATAACTCCGAGACAAAGCCCAATCCCTGCCACGTATCATCATGACGCTCACGTCTCACGGAAAGACGACATGGAATTAGGAAAGCGGTAAGAAAAGACGTTGATAATCAATAGAGCTCAGGTATTCGGAGCCGATCGGATCCGAATATTTCAACCAGCACCCCACGCCTTCCCAGAACGCTCTTCTTAATCGAGGGCGGACCTCTTCTCAGACTCCTTCAACCTGTTCGTCACCTCGATTAAATCATTTCCCAATTGTGCCACAGGCATCTTCTGTGATAACTGATAATTCTGAAAAGCCCGGAGAGACCGTGCGCTTTAAGAAAACAGGGTCCACCTCCCTTGGGATCCGGGTAATTGGAGGAAATCAAGTTGGAATCTTCGTTTCCGCGGTTCAGGAGGACTCTCCTGCAGCAAAAAATGGGATACGGTAACTCATAATGCAATGTATATAATCTGAATCATGTTTTAGTGTAGGTTGTCGATTAAATGAAGTAAACGGACAATCGTTCAAAGGGAAAACAAGAGAAGAAGCAGTGGAAATGCTTCTGAATCTTGCTGACGATGTTACTGTGAAGTATGAAAACAGTTTGGATGACTTTTATCTTGTCAAAAACTACCAATTGGGCGACAGTTTTTATATTAGGCAAGCACTCACAATGTTAATCAATGCCTTTTAGAACGTTATTCTCGCATTTAAAGAAAACTATGAAGAACGAAGTTTGTTTCTCCGAAGGAGACATCTTCCATGTAACGGATACATTACACAACGGATCGGTCGGTATGTGGCAAGTTCAGAAGGTTTACTCCTCGCTCGATCAAGACCAAAAGCCCGAGGAAATGCAAGGAGTTATTCCGAATGCCAGGAAGTAAGTCGTGGGATACCCATCGAAAGGAGCCTGTACCCCCATCCCTATCCAGGCCAAAATAAGTTCAATTTTTGTAATGGGTTTCGTAAGGCTTTTCATTTGGATAATTTCCCAAAATTGATTTTTCGCTTTCTCAAACAGAGCCTCTTGATTCAAAATTTTTCTTTAAAGTGTTTGATTTTAGCGCCGACGTCTTGGCCAAACAAGAAACGGCAGACTACTCAACAATTAGCCGAACTTTATTCCGGAAGCGAGTTGGGCCTAAGAAGATCAAGCCCGGAGATGCCCAGACTAAAGCCGAGCTTGGACTCCCTGCTTACGAACGGGTCGTCCTGAAGAAACCCGCCTTCAAACGACCTCTTGTTATATTCGGCCCTCTTGCTGATGTCGCTCGTCAGTTGTTGCTCACAAACTTTAGGCCTTACTTTCAAGCAGTTGATGAAGACGGTCCTATTAGGATCTCGGCCATCAATCGCATTATAGAATCGGACAAACATTGCGTCCTCAACATTGGCCCGTGCTCCGTGGAGAAGCTACAAGCCGCCCAATATGCGCCCATTGTCATCTTGATTGACGTGGACTCGAGAAGTAGAATACGGGAGTTAAGAGCGAAGGCGGGAGTAGCCACAATCTCGGCCAGAAAGCTGTTAGATTACTCCACCAAGATCAAGAAGCATTACTCCCACCTTTTGACGGCCACCTTGGACGCGTTGAAAGAAGATGGCTGGTTCGATGCCCTGAGGATGCTGATCGTCCATCTCCAGGACCGACGCGTGTGGATCCCCGAAGTCGCTCATTTCCCAGCAGACGAGGTCGTCCTCTTTCCAAATCTGTCAGAACAAGATGACATTTCTCGAAGTGATTATGGTGTTCTGGGAACCAAAAGTCCTACAGAATCCCCCAGAATGATGTCTTCTCTTACCTCGACACCTATGTCTGGCCATCACAACTTTGTCTATCTGGGTGATAACGAGTTGAATCAAGACTCAAAAAATAATCTCCTAAATGAAGTAAGATACGACTGATCTTGTTTGAAGAATTTATTAAGGTTGATCCGTGCGCAACGCAAGTTCCAGTCAATGGAAAGAACAAAAACGATCTTTACTATCAACACTCTAATGGGGATAATCGCCGAATTCTGGCTCAGGATCAAGCGGCACGCCTAAAACAACCCGAACAAAAACCTCCCAGCAACGGAGTCCCTTACATAGACGGTAATTATACTTATTTAACGCTTCTGTACTTCGAAAACTAAATTATTTTTTTGAAAGGCCGCTTAGAAGGAAAGTATCTGGGGACTCAGCAACTCTGTGGGGAAAATAACGGCGAGTCGTCGCAGCAAAATGTTTCACCTCGTTGAAAGAATGGTGCAGTCGCGCGCCGCCTGCGGATAGCGTCGCAGAGCGACGATGGGCTATTCCAAGGCGCGACGATTTTCCCGACAGACTAATGCTCCAAGTGAGACGTTCAGATTTTCTCCAAATTTTCTAACCATGCTAGGCGTAGGGCACATCAATTTCTGAAAGTTTTAGCTCGCGCTTTGCAGGCGCATCCGATGGCGCTACAGCGTTTCGGGTCAGGCCGAGCTCGGGTCAACGACGTTTCCGGTAAACGATACCGTTTTATAGGTAATCGGGGGACTAGGTCTGAACGACCTGACGAATTTTGAAATGTTTTCGCTTGGGGACAGGAAAAGAAACATTTTTTGCGGTGAATTGAACCAAATTTGAAATGTTTTCGCTTCGCGACTGGGAAAAAAGGAATGGAGAGATTTACGTACGTGTTATTTGCGTACAATCATTACGGCTATATTCTTACCCCACCCTCTGGCACGCCAATTTGTTTTTGAAGAAAAATTAAATCGAAATTTTCTGAAACAAAAATGGGCCTTTTTTAAAATTCGTACAGATTATGAAAGCCCATACTTCAAAGTGGTTGAACCTGAACTCTACCCCTTTTCTGAACTTTACCCCTTTTTCAACTCTACCCCTTTTTCAACTTTACCCCTTCAGAACTTTACCCCTTTTTCAACTCTACCCCTTGAATGAACTTTACCCCTTTTTGAACACTACCCCTCATTTTGAAAATTGAAAAAATGAGGTGTGACACCTTATACGATGAAAATTTTTTTCAAATTGAAAATAATGAGGTGTGACACCTTATACGATGAAAAATTTTTTCAAATTGAGAAAAAATGTCACACCTTATTATTTTCAATTTGAAAAAATTTTTCATCGTATAAGATGTCACACCTGATTTTTCTCAATTTGAAAAAATTTTTCATCGTATAAGATGTCACACCTTATTATTTTCAATTTGAAAAAATTTTTCATCGTATAAGATGTCACACCTGATTTTTCTCAATTTGAAAAAATTTTTCATCGTATAAGATGTCACACCTTATTATTTTCAATTTGAAAAAAAATTTCATCGTATAAGATGTCACACCTGATTATTTTCAATTTGAAAAAATTTTTCATCGTATAAGATGTCACACCTTATTTTTTCAATTTTCAAAAAGGGGTAGAGTTCAGATTTTTTGGCGAAGATCAAAAAAGGGGTAGAGTTCAGCCTTTTTTGGGGTAGGGTTGAAAAAGGGGTAAAGTTCAGATTGGGGTAAAGTTCAGAAAAGGGGTAGAGTTCTGCCGCAACGCTTCAAAGTGTAATGGTTCCTAAAATTAGGATGATCCTACGTTTAAAAACTCCCATTTTGACGAAACGCCAAAACTTCCATCAGACTAGGATACTATAATGTCCGTAATACCATCGTTATCTGCCTAGCTCAATCCGTGGCAAAATTTACTTTTGAGTTTGGTGATGCCCTTTTCAAGCGCAGCTTGGAAAGATACAACAAACTAAGCCAAACGTTTTAACAAAAATGTGCCAGAGGCCTCTGGTACTGTCAGTGTTTAAAGTTTCATCAAAATCTGAGCGTCGCACTTGGGGTACTTCCCATGTTATGTAGATGAACCATTAAAATGTTCGTGGAAAAAATAAAAATGAGGTAGTAATGGTAATTTAAAAATTCGAAGTTGGGCGGGTTTAGAATACGCGATTTTTTTCTCGTGTTCGGGTAATTTTAGGCAACCACGTTGACCGTGATGATGACCTAGGCCTTTTTGGCGGAGCTTTTTTGCTTACTCGGGAAGTGTACAAACTTACCCTCACCAAATAACAAGTGTTATATACCGTTCGAAAGCCCTTGAAAAGTAGTGTTAGAAACTACTTTCAGTTTTTGCAGAATGCCTCAGGACGAAAAATTATGAGCGGTTGATTTGTACGTTTATTAGTTACAAAATCTGATATGGGGCAAAATAAATGTTACGCAAAATGTTACGTGGTTCACTTGGCTTCAAGTGAGAGCTCCTAACAAGCGCGGGCTCGCGGGGATTTTTGTTTTCCTTAACATCTTTATCATCGCAAAAAATATTAGCGTGCGTGTATTAACACTCTGGTTTCAGATCAAGACAACAACGCAGCCCCGGAGACAACGTCAAGCCCACATAAAGTAATAGACGAGGTATACGCCGTGCTTGATTGGAACGGCGGCACAGTCAGATGTCCCGAGTCTGGAGTCGAACTCATTCTCCCGGCCATGGCTTTGTCCTTTGGGAAGTCACAGAAATTATTTATAAAGGTTATCGAAGAACAATCTCAGTCCGATGAAGACATTTTAAGTCCTATCGTCACCTGTGGCCCTCAAGGCCTTCAATTTAATCGACCGGTCGAACTACGCCTTCCTTACAAGGCCAACCGGGATCCCAAAAACAACAATATTTTGGATGGAATGACGCAATTTGTACTAAAGACGGGTTCCGAGAACACCTGGAAGAATATCGAGTTGCTCGAACCACCAGTCCAAAACACTCAGAACAATTACATCTCCGTGTTCACGGACCATTTCTAGAATTTATTATATTTATCTGTAAATAACGTTATTTACCTCAGACACAAATATATTTTTATAATCCTTCTATCAGAGGATCAGCGAAGACGCAATCTTCTTCGATCTTCAGATTCAATCTCGATCCGGAGTTCTTATATTCAGAAGTGACGATTCTGAACCATCCGCTTTCGCCCCATCCATTCACTCCCCAACTGTTCCTTCCAATCCAGAACGGAACGCCATTCTCAACACCCCATCCAGCCACAGAGATTATGTGATTGATTTGTACATCAGTGTCTTCCTGGTAAATCCCTCCACTGTACCCATCCAACTTCTCGGTGGCCGAGATGCCGCAGGCAATGGGGCCATGATGGTAAATTTCCGCCTTCATTTTTTCGAGACCTGAGACCTCACCGTAGTCTCCAACTTTGTAAAGGGTAAAGTTTTGAATGGCATAACACCTATCTGGCCAGCATGTTCCACAACGATTTTGTGGGTTACATTCTAAAAAAACCACATTAATTCATTAAAAAAAGGCGGTCAAAATAAATTACTTGGAATGTGCAGCAATCATTTCCGGTCTTAAACTTACTTTGGTTGGTGGCCTGATAATTATTACAGGTCTCGTGAGGGATGCCTTTTTCATGAGCATATTTGTAAACGGGCAGGGGGTCGCCTCCAAAACAACTCCCAGCACCAGCACAGTCGATCACTTCCTGTACTGATAAGAGTGGCTGCGGCCACTTGTTCTTGTTTTTGATGTTAAAGCGATCAGCAAGAGCCGAAGTCGATCCAAAGGCCCAACAAGACCCGCAATCTGAAGAAACAAATTACTTTATTTTTAGGACACTTACATTGAGGAATATGTTGGTTGCGGTCAACAGTAACATAATTAACCCCATCTATATTCCTCCAGTCCCATTGCTCTGGAAGAGACTCGAAGTCATAGTCCGGGTTATGATACACCCTACGGGGAGGGTTGCTGGCCAGCAGACTCCGGTCTCGATGTCTGACGTAGCAAGGGCCAGAGCGAGTAACGCCTTCACCATCCCCCTTTGTGGCTACTCGATAGTGCTGACTGTGATGTAGATGTGTCTTGTGATGATCATGACAGTCCAAGCCCGTCAAAGACAGCAGAAACCCCACTAGCCACAAGCCCTTCATCACAGCCAACTGACCAAATCAATCACGGGTGACCTTTTGATAACTCCTTATCATACCAGTTTAAAGGGAATGGGTGGTACGGCGTCTTTTGTGGAGTGTCAGTCAATCACCTCGATATTTATAAATAAAATGGCATCTTTATTCAGCTTCAAACACATTATAACAAAGCAACCAGTAAACATTAAACCCGGGGAACGTTCCGTTCAATGAAATCCTTGACGTCGTCCAATTCCTAGAATCAACGATGAACTGCTCGCAAAATTAAGTTACCTGATTGCTTACAGAATGATCTAGATTACGGTAGACATGAAATTCGACTCCCTCCTGGAACGAATCAATGTAATCAAAGCTTCTTTTCATCAAATTTCCGAACGGAACGATGGAATCAGAATCCCCACAACCGAAGAAAACTGGGGTCTTCTTATTGGCCTGACATTCGCCCGGGAATCTTGAATGTTGTAGCAGATATCCCGACAAAGCGGCGACCCCACCCAACTTTCGATGATAGGTAAGGCCAGAGAAGAGGGACACCGCCGCTCCTTGTGAGAATCCTCCGAGCAAGATCCTATCTGGTGCAATTCCATCAGATATCTCATTGTTTATCAAATCAAATACCACTTTCCTACTCCCTTCCACATGCTCTACGATCTCCCCACCATCCCAAGTTAGACTTTTGGAATCATACCACGCTGGCATGCTCGCTCCCCCACACCTTGCCAACTTTCGAGTTGGAGCATGGGGTAAAATAACTTTCATGTAAGGAAGTCTGAGAACCCCCTCAAAGGTATCTTTCCATCCAAACCCAGTATCCCCACGTCCATGCAGGAAGATCATCGTTGCTGTGTGCTCGGAGAGAGCGGGGATGATTAACGGGGCGAGTCTTGACATATCTTATCGGAAATACGTAAATAAAGGCTACACAATTTCAGAAAAAAGTATTATGAGGTGAATAAATCCAACTCCTCCAGTCTATCCGTGCCTTTCTTGCCACTGTTCCAAAAAATGTACAAACTTTATTTACATTATACACAAAATTTGTTGCCGATGGAAGTCATCATAAGGGTAAAGAAAATAGTCAATCACAAAAATTCAAGAAGACTGGGAATCCTTGGAAGCATCATCATCCGAACCTGAGTAAATCTTCCGACTCAAACCCGACTTGTAAAGCGTCAACGAAGCAATATGGGCATTGTCCAGCACCTTAAATTATTATAGCAACAACACTTTAAGATACCTCTACAATCATTCCATCTGTCCCATAACAAAAGGTAGATCCGAAGGGGTTTTCCCCTTCACTGCTCGGGGCTCTATTCACAACGACGGGAGTCTTATCTTCGAAGATATTTATAAAATCTGTCAACTGAAAAAAGATTTCGAATTATCCCGCATTAACAAAACGAACCTTTGAATCAGTTCTGATGACCACCGATTCATCTTCAAAGTCCTCGGGAGTTGGGCATTCAATCTCAAAAGAAACGCGAGAATAAAAGCCGAAATTGTAATGCCCGGGGATGTTTGTATGCAGAACGAGTTTGATGACTTCTCTTGTTTTGGCGTCAAAGAGCACATCCTGAAACAAGCGCGATGAATCAGAGCAAATTTAGGAATAAGTGCCGGAATAATTAAGGTCTAAATTATCCCTTGCATCCACAATAACCCGGCGCAGAAATTTGTCGCGCGCCATATGTCGATATCGAGGGTTTGATTCTGACTGGCAATTATGTCCGACCTCCAATCTGCATACCTTAAAGGCACTTGTTTCGTTGTGATGCAGACCGGAAAAGAAAGACAATCTGCCAGCGATATTTCAATAACTACAAAATTTTATTGGCGAGGAGATTAAAAAATGTGTCAACGACATCTGCAAAGTTGTGTAAACCCCCGATCCGCAGTAAAGGCGAATCCCCTGGAGGCCGCCAATAAATGACTGTCGCCTATCTTACAGATGTCCTGTCAATCTGCCGGAGCATTTTTCAGTCGCGGAAACATGAATTTTAAAGAATTTGCTGTCACATTCATGAAACCTTGTCCATTTGCTTGGGAAAGCGGAAGTGTTCGATAAAATTAATAACATCCGAAGACGGTGCACTTGTAGTGCTATAAAAAATGCGGTACTACAACACTGGCGGTCGATTACACGCTCTCAAGTGTCACTCGGTCTGCCCGACCACCTGCCATGTATGAAAACTAATAATAACATGAAACAGCAGCTGCAGCGTAGTATTATTATTATTTGTTTTGGCTGAATTTGGTCACCTGAAACGAACCCGACATGCTTCTCTTCATGTTGGACATTAGTTGACTCTGCCGGATCGAGTAAACGCATCCTACTTATGCACGCACATTTGGACAAATCCTTCCCGAGTGCCATAAGCCAACCGCTCTCGAGTTGAGGGTGGTTGGGCGAGGGATAGGGGGATTGGTTTCCCGCAATGACTTTCGGCGTAAATAGACACGCCCATTCGGAGCATGCATATTCCTGGTAAATGGATAACTAGGATCGTTTCGGTATCCCATGTCAGCGCAATATGACCTTCCGGATGTTCCCATTGTTCTATTTGGTGGCGTTGATGACATCATCGTATGCTGATAAGTGTCCTCAACCGTGTGAATGTGACCACGATCTGACTTTTGTGTATTGTTACGGAGGTGGGCTGAATACGACACACTTCTACAGGATCATTCAACTGCTGCCTTCAAATGTCATCGAATTGCATATCCAAGCGCCGGAGGATAAACCCAATCACTTCAAATGGAATGACAATCTCAACCGTCTTACAAAACTCGAAAGGATATCTTTTATCAATTGCAATATCCCGGCAATTAGTCAGCGAGTGAGGATTAAGTCTCTGAAATCCCTGAATCTCCAGCACAACTACATCGACTCTCTCCAGATGGATTCCTTCAACGGATTGCCCAACCTAGAGCACCTTGATTTGTCTTATAATCATATCTCAGTTGTGCCGTCAGGGTCGTTTATCTACCTCAGATCTCTGAAATCCTTATCGCTTTCCCATAATTACATCAAAGAACTCCCATCCAATCTGTTCTATGGCCCTCAACGACTTCAACAGCTCCAATTTGATGGACTAAAAATTTCAGTGGACCAACTCAATCCCCTTCTTGACAACCTGCCGTATTTAGAACGCTTGGAAATTAATCACTGCAATCTTGGAGATTCAGCCATCTCCGGGGTCTGGCTCCATAAAGTACCCAAACTGAGTCGACTAGGAATCGGAGGGAATAATCTGACTGTAATCCCAAGCCATAAATTAAGAGAATTACCTCATCTACAGACAGTAGACCTCTCCAACAATAAGATCAGAAAGATTCCTCCCTGCTCTTTCTGCTCTTGCAATATCACCACAATCTTCCTTGGCCACAATCTGTTAGGCATCGATGAAAATAGTCTCACGATCGAATCGTTTGCCGATGTTAATGTAGAGAAGTTGGAGCTTTCATTCAACTTCTTCGACAACTTCAATTCCAAGTTATTATGGAAAGCTAAACACAGTATAAGAAGTCTGGATCTGTCTGGAAATACATTGACGCGCCCCAGAAAGACATTAATCCAGGATCTTCCTAATCTCTCTTCACTACATTTGGCCAGCAATCACATGGAAGAGCTCCCAAACACATGGCCCATCGAATATTCATCCCTCGCCTTCCTAAACCTCAGCTCAAACCACATAAAAGTAATACCTAGCACCTTCGTGGACTCCCTACCATTTCTCAAAATCCTCGACATATCCCAGAATGAGATAAGGTAAGTACAACTTTAAACCTGCCTAAAAATCAATTTCAGGTACATCGATGATCACATAATCGACTTCCTCACAGAGACCACAGAACGGGTTTACATGTATAGAAACCCTTGGGACTGTAGATGTGCTCATGGAGGAGTTCAAAAATACTTGAAACACCGCAAACAGATCCTGCCTTTCAGCGAACCTGTCACCTGTGAGACGCCGTTTGAACTGAAGGGCATTCCAGTCAGGAAGGTTAGCAAAATAAATGAATGTAATCTAATCTTTGGAGGCTCCTATCAACTATCTCAGGTAACAAAGACACCAATTCAACTAAACATTTGCAGATGAGTGAACTTGGAATCCTTCTGAGCGCCGTCATCGGACTCGCTACACTGATCAGTGGCTTCATGTTTGTAGCTATGGCAATCAGACGTCGGAAATACCGACTGAAGAAGCCCAACTATAACCATTCAGAAGTCCGCTCTCCTTTCCCTATGGACACGATCACATCACCTCTAAAAACCCGGTTCAAAGACGAGGAAATTCCTGATCTCCCACCTCCACTCCAGCCTCTCACTACATTCGGACATGTATAATAAAAACTTATATATTTGTGAATTAGCAATTCCCCAGCCGTCGCAAGCAATTATGGGCGATTCCAAGGCATGACGAGTCCAAATTATATTCCCGACGGCCGAAACTGGTAAAATTATGACCTAAAATTGTTTTTCTCTATGACCGCTCTCAGTGTTTCGCGTGATCTCTCGGGCGTAAAAATCGGGTAATAGAAAACGAAGAAGAGTTGAATATCTCGGCTGCCCTTGCAAAGCGCGAGCTAAAACTTTAAAGAATTGGTATGTGGCTATTCACGGCGTGTGCAAAATTTAAAGAAAACATGCGCGTCGCACTTGGGGTACTTCCCTTAAAAGATACTCACCAAACCCAAAGAGAAGTAGTTGAAGAAGATATCGGTGCTCTCCCCATCGCCTAATTTCTTGGAATCCAATCCTTTCTGGATCAGCATCTTCTCATCTGACTTATAAAATACCCGTGACGGAGCTCCTAATGAAGCCAAAACTTTCTGAAACCAATCGTCTTTTATGAATTGTCTGGACATACCTCCTCCGAATCCCCGAAGATAATTGTTTTCTCAGTCTTTGGGAGGCTGGTACTCTTCCGAATCTCCATTTTGTTATCTAAAGTATTAATTTTTTACAATAACACTCATCTACCATCTCCACTGATGTTCAGTTTTATTCCGTAGATTTCATTTCCATGGAAGATGGATGTAACTTTGTGAGCGAAAACATTTCCGCAATGCACAGAGACTGGGGTCTCAGCAAGCCTAAAAATGACGGTTAACTTTGGATATTAACCTACTTTATTTCACTCGGAGTATTTCCACAATAGATTTCCATTTTTTCGAGTAGTGGTAATGAAGAAAAGTTGAGAGAACTTAGTCCATGAGCATACGCAGGTTGAACTGTCGACGGTTCCTTGGCTGGGAAACTAAAAGAAACCCCTCTCCAATGGAGAAGATAGGTCTTTTGTTTCTCGTCATATACTCCCGGATGGGTTGCACCAAAACAATTCTCCACTTTTGCCACATCTGCAGGACTTTGAGGTGTAGAAAACGTGGTATTTCTAAAAACGACCGTTACAAAATCGTTAAATCTACTTACCCATATCTTAAATTTATGTTTTTGAAGTCGTAAACTTCGATAAGCTAAATTAAGTTAAAAATAAGGTGATTTAATGATACCTTTAGTAGTTGCGAATATGCATCAAACAACAATCGAATTCCATCATCCTTCATTAATACGGTTATATGGCGATTAAAGGGCTCCTATAAAAAATAGTAAAATAAACATAATATTACCTTATTGCAGTAAACCAATTCTACGTTTTTTATGACTTTAGAAGCTTGTCGAATGGCGACTAGTACTTGATTAATTGGAGCGCCCAAGATCAGTTCAACCTGTTCATTTTTTAGAGAAACCTCCGGGTTTACCTCAAATTCTAAAGCTGTCATACCTAAAAAACGTTATATTATCAAATAACGCAAAATTATATCGAATCGACTTTTTCGAAAAGCAAACAAAATTATAAATAATCGGGCTTGTTGAGGACAGTTGAAAATAGAAGCGCAACAGACGATTTCTGATTTTATGAATTTCTTTAATCACAAGTGCACTTTCACTCTTTTTTCTTTGTTTTAAACAGATACTTGGGTCAAAGTCAAAACTTCCATTTATAAAACAAACGACATCTCCAATCTTATTGACTGTCTAAGAATAAACCATGGAAAACTCGCATGTGATGCGTTTCTTTTTTATTTATTTTATTATTTTCGTTTGTCTCAAAATGCAACTATTGATCGAATATTTGTTTTCACTTTTCGTCGTGTCCAAGTGAATGAGCGCAAGAAGAGGATGGCTGCGGTTTCCAATCTTCTTTCTTTCGTTCAAGTTGGGACGACGTTCCCCGATCATTTCTTGTTGTAATAAATCAAATTTCTTACTGGTTTCCACGTTTTCCTTTTTTTTTGCAGGCTGCTTGCTCCAGAATGCCTACTCAGGGTAATAGAAAACGTAATCCTACCATCGACTCTTTGCACAAGTTGAAGAGTCTCCACCGCCGTTCTTCTCTCGACATTTCACACTCTGAATTGGTCAGCCGTGTTTTCAATTGTCGATCTTGTTGTTTTTAGGTACAAGAGGAATGTAAGGCCTTCGAGTTGAGCGATGATACGCTTCGAACTATTATGGATCTTATGGACAAGAGCTTTGATGAAGGATTACATCCAGATACAGGTCTGATTGTCGCTCTTTCTTAGAAAAACTATTTTTAGCTGCTGAAGCGGCCGTAAAGATGTTGCCGTCATTCGTTCGCGCGGTGCCAAATGGAACAGAGTCCGGAGATTTCTTGGCCTTGGATCTGGGTGGAACAAATTTCAGAGTTCTTCTTATTCGTTTGGAAGGAAGTCAGTCCGAGATGACTAGCAAGATTTTTCGTGTTCCAGAGCATATTATGAAAGGCACAGGAGAAGCCGTAAGTATTAGTTTATCAATAAATTTCTATGATGCATGTTATGAGTAACACTGCGATTATGACCCACTGTTTAAAATGGTCGGTTAATTGAAGCGATAAGCGCTAGCTACGGAGTGTTTGGATAAAAATCTTATTAACGGCTTCCCACAATGTCGAATTAGTAAAACGTCATCCAAATGGCTTGTCATTGTCAGCCAAATCTTCAAAATCGCTCAAAAAGTCTAACCCAGGGGTTTTGCTTGCCATTCGGTCCTTTGGGATATGAACCCAACTTCCTGGCTTACCGGACAACCCTCTTCTAGACCTATAGTCGTTTAAACCTTTTGTTAGCCGGCCTTGAATTAACCAATTGTTTCAAACAGTGAGTCATAATCACAGCATAAACTTATAGTTATTCGACCACATTGCTGATTGCTTGGCCAGATTTATGGAGGAACACAACCTGAAGGATGCTGTTAAACTTCCTCTTGGATTCACCTTTTCATTTCCATGTAGACAAGAAGGCCTTACCTGTGCAAAGTTGGTCACCTGGACTAAGGGGTTTAAGGCTTCTGGGGTTATTGGACAGGATGTTGTTCAGATGTTACGAGAAGCTTGTATTCGAAGAGGAGTAAGTTTCTGCCAAAAGAGGTTTTGATTTTATAGGATATCGACATTGATGTTGTAGCCGTCTTAAACGACACAACCGGTACGATGATGGCTTGTGCTTTCAAGGAGAACACCTGCAATGTTGGTATTATTTGCGGTACCGGTTCGAATGCTTGTTATATGGAAAAGATTTCCCGGATTAAGAAGTTGGACGGGCTTCTAAACCCACAGGAAGACGGCCTGCCGGACGAAGTAAGCATTACATTGGTTTTATCTTGAAATGTCTTGTCCAAAAAATTTGTTTTCCTATTATCTTTTAATTTTTAACAACTTACGAAAACAAGCTTCCGGGGTAGGTAGGGCGGACATTTTGAAAATCGTTGTCTCAGAATAGCAAGAAAATTGGCCAACTTGATCATCATGACAGATAAAACGTTGTTAAAAAGATTTTTTTTTTGAATTTTTTATAGGAATAGTGGATTTAGAGGTTTTCGAAGGTGCTGATTTCGAAAATAATGTTCATTTTTTTCTGATTGTTACTTTTTTCTTAAGTAGTACTGTTAAAAAGTTATTTTTTGAAATAATTCTGAAATACTTAGGAGTATTTTTAACACTTACAAGGGAAGTACCCCAAGTGCGACGCTCAGACTTTTTTTACAAGGAAAGTACTTTTATGGGGGCTCCTAGTTTTTCACCCATAAAAACCTAAAATGGGCAGCTGGGATTTTTATATCCTTGATCAGCACATTTTTTCTGATTTTTTGAGATATGTCCCGTCAAAAAGTAGGAGCCCCCATAAAAGTACTTTCCTTGTTAAATTTTGCACACACGTCCGTCATGAACTAACAGGGGAAGTACACCATGTGCGACGCTCAGATTTTGATGAAACTTGGCACAAATTTAGAATAATTTTTTCTAAAATATATGCGAGAATTCTAGCTCGCGCTAATTGATTTTTAGTCCATAACTGACGTGTGTGCAAAATTTAAAGAAAATCTGAGCGTCGCACTTGGAGTACTTCCCCTGTAAGTATCAATTCCTGAAAGTTTTAGCTCGCGCTTTGCAGGAGCCGCTGAGATATTGAACGATTTTTTGCCGCCTAGAGAGTACGATAAAAGCGGAGAGCGGTCAGAGAAAAAACACTTTTTCATCATAACTTTGCTAGTTTCGCACAGAAAAAATTGATTTTTTGTGGAAACATTACCCTCTATGGTAGAAATAGGCACGAAACTTTTCGTGCCGAAATTCGGCAAAAAGTGTCAAATTTTCGCCTACTTTCGGTCTAAAAATCTCGGATGTTTTTGCAAAGCGCGAGCTTGAATTGTCGCATATATTTTAGAAAAAAATTATTCTAAATTTGTGCCAAGTTTCATCAAAATCTGAGCGTCGCACTTGGGGTACTTCCCTTGTTAGTACTATTTAGATATTTATGTTATATTACATATTATGCTGCTCTAAACCTTTTCCCCAACTTTGCGGATTTTCAAAATTTCCATGTCTGTGCCCTCCGGGTTTCACCCCTTAGGAGTGCATTTGCTTTGGGTTTTTTGATTCCAAACTGTTCTAAACAAAATTCTAAACCTTATGAACCTAGGTTTGCCACAACTGTCTTCCACCGTTCACAAGATGCGACTGATTTTCGGCATTGAGATCTTTTGTTGTTCACGACGAAGATGGCGAGATTTTTTTACTCCCCACATATTTGATATTAAACAAAATGGGGATGTCTGAGGATTCAGGGAAAGAAAAAACCTTAACATTTGGCCCAAAATTAAAGAAGTTATAGCCAATTCAAACCGGGCCACAAAATTGATACACCGTGTATTTCATCTCTTACTCAGTTATGAAGAGCTTAAGAAAATTTGTTTTGGCGGATCTTTTTGGACATCGTGTTTCAATCCGACGTTAAATTCTGTGAAATTGGCATAACTTGGCAAGACACGTGACTGGCGCGTTAAATTGGCTTAAAAGTCTTGTAATTACTCTATTTTCCAGATGTGTGTCAATACAGAATGGGGAGGATTTGGAGATGATGGAAAAATGGAATTCATTAGAACCAGGTATGACAAAACACTAGACAGCATGACTATTAACCCTGGAAAACAATTATACGAGAAGATGATCTCCGGCATGTACCTCGGAGAGTTGGTGAGAGTGGTTTTGGAAGTTTTGGCCAAGGAAGGGCATCTCTTTAATGGTGACGATGATGCCATCTCTATCAAAGGATGCTTCCCTACCAAGTTTGTTTCTGAGATAGAAGCAGAAATGCAATCCGACGACGAAGCTCAATTTGTGAAGACTCAAAATATTCTCGAAGAGATCGGGATTGCCAATGTAACCCCAACTGATTGTGCCAATGTGGCCTATGTCTGTTCTGCGGTCTCCACTCGCGCTGCTCATATATGTGCCGCTGGTATCGCGGCTATCTTGAGAAGGATGAAGAAGCCCTATGTAACAGTGGGTGTCGATGGGTCTGTCTACCGTTTCCACCCGACTTTCCCCGAACTTCTGGACAAAAAGATTGAGGAGATTTTAAACGACGACACTCTCGATGTAAGTACTTCTAACGGGAGGTACCCCAGGTGTGACGCTCAGGTTTTGATGAAACTTGGCACAAATTTAGAAAAAAGTTTTCTAAAAAAAAAATAAAAATCTCGCGCTCTGCAGAAACAACCGAGATTTTTAGATCGTAAGTCGGCGAAAATTTTGGACTTTTTGCCGAATTTGGTCACGAAAAGTTTTATGCCTATTTCTACCTTAAAGGATAATGTTTCCACAAAAAGTAAATTGTTTTGCACGAAGCTAACAAAGTTATGGCCAAAAGATGTTTTTCTCTCTGGCCGCTCTAGTCCGCGTTTAGCGTACTCTCTCGGCGGCAAAGGTCGTCCAGTATCTCGGTGGCGCTTGCAAAGCGGGAGCAAAAACCTTCCGGAATTGATATTCAGTCCATGCCCGACGTTTGTACAAAATTTAAAGAAAATCTGAGCGTCGCACTACTTCTCCTGTAAGCCATTTATATTTCTTGTTTTCAGTACCAACTAATGCTCTCTGAGGACGGAAGTGGACGAGGTGCCGCTCTGGTCGCCGCTGTGGCTACGAGAATGTCTCAGGAAGCCGCGAAAAAGAATTTAGTCAAGTAAAACGCATTTTGTAACTGATGCCCAGTGCCATTAACTGTAGATCTTACGTGTAATACTAAAGAATAGGATTCTTTCTCGTTTAATTATACATATAGATAGTTAGTTTGAAACCCCATGTAATGCCATGTGATAAATTTAAACTGTAGAACTTAGTTTAATTATATTAATAATAGCTTATCATACAGTAAATGCGTACACATATAAAAGAGAGGATATGAACAATGTTGGGGGATACCGGTTCTTTCTTTTACTCGCCTCAGTCGCCCGTCGAATGCGAAACTGAAGTGACACCCGAATCAGTCTGTGGAAGCCCATTGCCAACATTTATACCTGGATTTTCTTCGAAGGGGGCGAACAAGTAAAGGGGAACTGTCCGGTAAAGGACATCCCTGGCGTCTTGTCTTCCCATCTCCTCCAAAATGGAACACAGCCGGCCGATAGAAGCGACCTCTGGGCATTGAAGTGCCCATTCAGCCAGAAGTTGATCTGTGCGTGAAAGACTTTGACCAGTTGAGTCTACCTCCGGCAATTGATCGGTTAGGTTCAATTTGACTGCGAGGATCGACCAGTCTCGGCCCATGTTGTCGGGCGGATCCAGAAGAGATGCCAACTCACATCGAGCGTTCAGCTGTAACTGCGAGACGGACACGTCTATTCCCAGTGTGAGAACGGCCGCGACTTCGCGTGATCCGAAGCAAACGACGTTTGTAAAGAGCTCTTCTTCTCCTTCACTGTTGAATATAGTTAATGACTCTCGCTGCTGCATCGCCATAATTTCCTCTGGTGGAAATGAAGCCGGATTTGATCGGTGGGTGACAAGATGCTTCGGAGAGAGAAAATGACGCTCAAGCGAGATTCCTGGAGCAACTTCGCTGGCTGTTTGTTCCACAAGATTTGCGAGGTCTTCCATGAAATATACACAAGCTGAGGCATTGTCCCTTGGGCCTCTGACCTGTATCTCCACCGCGTCCCCATGCAGTCGGACCAATGCTTCCATTGATCCGGAGCATATCTTGCTGCATCCATTCCATTGCTGCAGGTCTGCATCAATCGGATCTTGGAAATCATTCATGCTGCGCCTTAAGGCCACTTGAATGCGAGGAAATGTGCTTTGAAGGGATCGTTCCATTCCTCGCATGGGAACTACTCTTAATCCACCGTATACGTGATTTTGTCGATTGTTTGGCCAAACATCTTTGGGTGGGTCACTCATAATAAATGAAGGAAATTCGTACGTTTTCTCATCTCCATTATCGACTGTGACACACAACTAAAGTTATACTATTACTATCACGAAAAAATTACGGGTATTTAAATGCTTTAAGCCAACCTGTAATGTATCAAGCATATGTAACAACTGAGATGTTTCCTTAATTTCTGGGAAGATGGTGGCAAACTGATTGACAGTATAACATCCATGCGCTTTCGTTTGAGCCAGAAACTGCGCAGAAAGAAGAGTCCCGAGAATATGAGAACCTAACCATTCGGGAACTAAAACCACGTAGTCCAGTTCGGAGCTCTCATCTCTGAGATAAACAACTTCTCCTATTAATTGTAACTGCTGAATCAGCTGACGACAATGGGAATCCGAAGCGAGCGGGTTGATTTCTTCTCGGACTACATTCGTAAAAGTAACCCATGTAATGACGGGAAATGCTGTGTATTTTTGTCGAAGAGTCCCAAGAAAGGTGACGCTCTCATCCAACAGGGAAAGCGGTCGCTGGAGGCGCTGAAAAGGTTTGTTTATAGTATCGCAAAATCATCATAGCTTTCCAAGAAAATAGAACTTACCTCGACGATGGAATTCCGTGCTGACTGCAAGTAGGCCCTCAAGGATTTTAGTCCATTACATTTAGGATTGGCGGCGTCGAGAAGAACGAGTTTCTCGTGAATATCAAAATGGGTTTCGAAGCGGAGCCGGATAGTTTTCATCATTGCATCGGCGTCGGAACTTGTGAATTCCCCGTCAGAAGTCTTTTCAGGATATTGTTGTGGGGTGGCATGGGTCCCCACGATCACCACCTTTGACCTCCTAGAAACAACTCCACAGTGGCCGATGGGCTCAGAAGGAGTGACACGACCCTTCAGGAAATTCATCCAATACAAAACCTCTTTGTATTGTACTTCTGTTGGATCTGCCCCATTGATGACAACAACATGAATACAGTCCGTGTTTCCTACGAAGTGATCGTAGATGATATGATAACTTTCGTATCCTCCGAATTCCCAAACTGAGAACTCTCCGCAGTTTGGAAAATTAACATTGAACACATCTATGCCTCTGGTGTAATTTAGGTGAGTTGGGCGTTTAAAAGCTGTAGTCCCGGCTATAGACCGATCGTTGAAGAAGGCGTCATGGCATGAGACGGAACTCGATGAACAACTATGGATGCCCTCGTCAGACACTCTTTTTTCTTTTCCATTTGATGCTGGGGAAGTGACGCCGAGATTGTCAGAGAACCTCCGAGACACAGCCGTGATGAAGGAATCAATGACACCCTGCTGGAGGGCTTCAACCAATCTTGACTTGCCCACTTCGGAATGACCAAACAGTTTGAGTTTGATTCGCCGCAGACAAGTATCCATTGGACAAAGTTGCTGAATACATCTCTCTCGTACTTGTTCCTAAAAAATATTTCAGTCATTAAATCATCTTAACTTACAGATGCCACTCGATTTAGAAGATTATACACATCTTCATGAGAGTTCGCCAAAGCAAGTTCCGCGGCTGTATGATTTTCATTGTCTTTGATTGTGGTGTCAGCATTAGAAAGACTGAGACATCTGACTACCTCGATGTGCCCTTCACGTGCTGCCAAATGTAAGGGAGTTACATTCTTTTTATTGACAACATCAACGGCCGCGCCAATGTGGCAAAGGGTCTGGACGGCGGCGATTAATCCAAGCTTACTGCTCACATGCAAAGGGGTGTCACCGTTCTACAAATCCACATACCAATATTGGAATTCCGCTTACCTGATCTGGAACATCAAAGCAAGATCCTTTAGTAATCAAATATAATGCAATATCCAGGTGGGATCTCCGTAGAGCCAAATGTAGAGCTGTTTGGCCAGTCTGATCTTGAGCGTCGATGGGGGCACCGCTCTCGAGAAGACTTTGCACACATTCCATGTGACCTCTCGTGGCTGCACAGTGAAGAGCTGTTTCGTCATCCTGAAAAAGATTCGCAATTATTTAAAAAAACATATTATACTTTGATTACATGATTCCCCGCTACCTTTCCAAAACGTCCCACATACCGTGCAGCATCCATCAGGGTAGTACCTCCCATCCGGATGCACTAATCCTGCCTCAAATGCGCTGTTAACTAATTGTATAAAGACCGAAGTCGACGGATATGATACAGCACAAGGCGCAAGCTTTCTAGAAGTGGCCGGAGCACTGGAACTGAAGATAAGCTGGTTTTTTTGACTAGGGAAATCCCCTTCTGTGAATCTGCCATCGAATTTCGAATGGCCCGTAGCCTCAGAGCATTCTTGTTCGTAATTCGGTCGAGCCGTATTAATCGACCGTTCTGGAGGCTGCCAGGCCTCGGTTCTGAACGGATTGTTGTTTGAGAGGCCCATCAAAACTTCACTAGGCCTATACTTGCTCTCCAGTTGCCATAAAGATGGAACATGAGGACTGGAAAAGGTGTCGCTGTACAGATCGAGCGTCGATGCCTCAAATGGGAGAATGGGGCCCTTGGTCTTTTGACTGAAGCCATTATATTGGGGATGGAAAGGATTCGTACGAAAGTCGTTGTTCTCTTCGTCGGCCATTTCTTTGCTCACAGACCGTGTCACAGTATGAATTAACGTTCCAAGGTCCGTCCGAGCCACCTTATCGGGATCGGCAAATATATTTCGGACAATGTTTCCGGGATGTTCTGCTCGCGAAGACGAAGATGTATTCTCCTCGGATGAGGGAGTGAAGACTGCAGCCGGGAAGGATGACTCATCTACTTCATCCTCAACTTGTACGTATTCGACATTCTCCTCGGATCTAGATGTAACCGGATCCAGGATCGCTTCTTAAATACCGAATACCTTTTGATGGACAAAAGTGACCTATTACGAAACACGATTCACGTACAAACACGCCCTTCAAAGAAGACTCTGACCTCGTACACCACGCCAATTATCTTATTATACTCCCCCGAGAGAATAAATATTCGATAACTGTCTATTTGAATTCGCCTTCGGTCAACGAAAAAAGTAAATTCAAAGAGCCAAAATTTCTGGGAGGATCGCTCAAAAATAATTCGACTATGAACATATAAAGCAAGCCGCCCGACCGTGTCGTTGTGAGTGTGCATTGAGGCAGGTGTGCTATTTTTCGGTTACCTCGCACCCTTTACTATCGAACACGCTCTCTTTCTTCACCATGGAGACCAACAAAGAGAGGACGCTGTTCGAAGTCGGTTTCCGTCATTTTCCTGAAGCCGCCTAATTTTTTGTCCAATCGGAGGACTTACCCCCACCCCGCCTTGTTGAATCCATGCATTCTAAACGCAAGTCTCGGGAGAGCACTAACTCAACCGCCGCTTTAATGTCCCGATGCTGTCAAAACATTCCTTACCTGATTTAAGAGATCTACGCGGGCATTGAAACGGCATAAAATGCTCAGCAATAGACTATAGCCGTACCAACTCGCAATGTGAAGCGGGGTTTCACCATGCTAAAAATAACTTAATTGTATTTTTGATGACTTCAGACTTTTGAAAAACATGAAACGGACCTCATCCGGGATGTCAACATCAGCTCCATTCTCAAGAAGAGCGAGGCATGTCTCGACTTGGGAGTAACGGGTAGCTGCGTGTAGGGCTGTTTCTCCGTTCTAAAGACATTCACAAAGTATAGCATACCAGTCAGAAGTATATAAGTCTACAATGTGAATGCTTACCAAATTTGATTTGTTCACATCAACAAACTTGTTCCTGTGGCACGTTAGATATCTGACTAAATGTGCGTGACCATTTCGAGCAGCTGCAAACAATGGAGTTTCCCCTCTGGAATCAACAACATCAATGGGACAACCTCGGCGTTGGAGATAAATCAAAAGTTTCTCGGATCCCGATGCCGCGCACGCATGAACCGAGGTCTCTCCCAGCTGCAAAAACGTCAAATGACACTTGTCTTTTGCTATAATGTTCTCTCAGAAAACGTTGACTTACAGCATTAGCAACATTTAATTTGAATCTGTAAAGACTTCCCAGTTGTTCCAACGCTCCTATATTTGTTTCTCCACATGCAACTAGGATAGCACTGGTCAAGATGTCATCCTAATATAAGGTAAGTGGTGCTGTCTTCTCTTACCGGGTCATATTTGGAGTCTGCGATAGCGGTCAGACCCATGGATATCCTCCTTCTTTCATTCACCGTTATCCGGACACAAAGTCGGACGATTTCGATGGCTTTCTGAAGTTGGAGAAGATTGCGCAACAGATTACGCGTTTTCAAGTCTGATTCATAAAACTTTTGCAAGCGATATGAGGATGGTGACATACGCATAAAACCGGATGTCGTGGATAGAAACCGCGATTTCTTGTCTGTTAGACCTCTATACAAGAAATGCGTAATACTTGTCTTAAATTGCGTAACATTTCGTAAATTTCTGCTCTCTCCTGGTGGAGATTTTTTTCTTTTTTCTCTGCTCAGACAAGAGCAGAGTATGTCACAATCCTTACATTATTTTTCATTGCGGCTGCATTAGTTATGTTTTGGAAGCACAGAAAGGTAGTGCAAAATTTTACTTACTCTCCATTTTTGTCTAATTTTGAATGAATGGATGTGAGATACGCTGATGATGGACGACCTTCTAATGTCGTCGATCCCATTTTCAGGCTAAAAAAATATAATCAAAAGTGGTTTAAAGACCGAACAGAATAAGTTCGAAGACTCACACCCTTAATCCAAGGATGCCTGAGGCAATCGTTGACGGTCGCCCTTTTTCTGATATCCCTCACAAATAACCGGGCAATGAAATCTTTGGCATGGGGAGAAACTTTCCCAAAATATTGCGTAGAGAAATGGTATTTCACGGCTGTGATGTTGCAAAAGGTTTCGTCTCGACTTGCACCGAGGAACGGAGATCCGCCACTCAGACTATAAAGCACAACCTTTCATTTAAATTTAATTTGGGGCAGATCGGGTATCGGCCCAATAGGTATAGCCAACGTTGCAAAATTTTTCAACCGAATGAGTTGAAATCACGACTAAATTTTTAAATGACTAGCCAAAAACAATGATCGGCTAGCCAAAGCGTCGGAATGGCTTTGAAGTCTCGAAAAAAGCTAGCCAAAAAATGGAATAGGTGTATAAAAATAGACATAATAAAAAAAATTAATGACTAGCACAAAGACTGGATCCGATAGCCAAAGTGTTAGAATGCCGTCACAGACGATAGAAACGGCAGAAACACTTTTGACAGCCATTTTGACATTTGGCTAGCCGAGATCCATTTTTTGGCAAGAGATTAAAAAAATTAGTTGTGATTTCAACTCATTGCCTGGCTGGTCAAATAATTGTGCAACTATACATATTGGGCCGGTGCCCTATAAAGAGATAAATTAAAATTTAAAGGACTCACAGTATATATGTCACCACTCCCAATGCCCACATATCGGTTGCTGGAGCTAACGGTTCGTAATTTACAACTTCAGGAGCTGAAAAAATGTCATCAACGCTACGTAGATAAAGATTGAGGAATGAAAAGAATCATTACCTACGAATTCGGGGGTCCCGATCATATCCTTGACTTGCTCTCCTGGCCTGATGATTCTTGACAACCCGAAGTCAATCAATTTAATCTGAGGCTCGTTTCGCCTCCGCAACATAATATTCTCTGGCTATGGAGGTTTGTTGCATCTTATACTGTTCTTACCTTAATATCCATATGCACAACATGTTTGGAATGTAAATGATGAATGCCAAATAGGATTTGTTTTATAAATGCCGCCGCCTCCACTTCATCCAGATATTCGTTGGCGCATACATGATCGAACAGTTCGCCACCGGACACTCTGACAACGTAGCGTTACCTCCAAGAGGACTTACAATTCCAAGATGAGAACAACATCAGTCAGGGTCTCGTAAACCTCATGCAATTCGATCACATTGGGATGGCCGGCGATTGTCTGGAGAACTTGAACTTCCCTTTCAATGTGTTCCCGAGGTACCCCTCGTCGAGAAGTGGTATATCTCCGCTTCTTAATGAATTTGGCCGCATAGGCGGCACCCGTGGATCGTTTGACGACTCTTCGAACTTGAGCAAATTGGCCACTCCCCAACTCTTCGCAGAATTCATAGTTCTGCTCTAGGGGGGTCTCAATAAATTTGAGACCCCCGGGGACTTCGGAAGTGCTCTCGAAGGTCAGACCTGTGCCTGACAACACTTCAGTGGCCATACGATACCCGTGACACTCATTAACTGGACTATTGTTGATCCTAAACCTCGTTAAAACTTTACTGAATTTGAAAAAAACCGCAAAATTCAGCTCGGATGTTAATAAAATAAAAGATGCCGAATTAATTTTGCATTCACAAAAAGATAGAGAAGAACATTAAAGCATTGTAGGATCCATCCGAAGATGACATATCAGTAATTAAATCAATATGAGAGTTCTGATCATTTTTTATTTCGCGCGGAGTCAGCGAAAAATTGAAGAAAACGAGAAATAGAAAAAGGGGAGGGGGAGGTGTCGTCATCGCGACAGCGCTGGAATTATTTTAAAATTGCGATCAAATTCGAGATCCAGAAAATGTTTTAAATCAGAAAAGCAGCGGAGGAACGGAAATCCATGTTGTGGCCATCCGAAAAAAAAGATTGAAAATCGGAAAGCCCCCCTTCCAGTTGCCCTTCTGAAGTTCTCTTTGATTTTTTATAGCAATGGTAGCCGAAGTAGAACGCATCGATTGATTTTTGGAGCGACCCGTCGCAGGGAAAGGTTGGAGCTATTGTTTGCACACCACCGGAGAACTCACTGAGCGTGACGACAGGACTAGAGAAACGGGGAGGGAAAATAAAGACCCCAGGGGTTCACGGACCTTCCATACCATTTTCGAATTCGGACCAATAAAGCCTTCGATTCCCTGATTTAACCAAAAAATTATACCCTCCTGCCCGGAGAGTGTAATTAAAAAAACATCCTTTGAATCCGAAATGCGTCGAATTTCGTCGGGAATATTTACCTTGACTCCAGATTTGTTTCGTCCCTTTCCCGCATCTCTCCTCTTATATGCACCTGCATAAAACATGGAGAGAGTTCATGTTTTTTCGGGTGAAACAGAGGTCGTTGGCAATGGAAACAAGAAACAAAAGCGCCAATATTAGGGAATCTCGATTCGGAATGTGATAGACTGTGCTAATAAATACTTCTGATAACAAAAAATATACCATTTTGAGAACCATTTTGAACATTTCCAAAGCCTCTCAACAGAGCCTTAGGGTCTAGATTTCATGCATTTGAAGGGAGATTTGAAATGAATTACGGAGCTGTCAAATGCACGAACGCATTACATTGCTCAGGACGGGAACCCACTCTAATGTGGAGAAACGGTTACAAAATAAATTTGAAGATCAGGACGTAAACTAAACTTAATTATAATGGGAATGGTGAGCAAGCATGGACGACCCGTTTTCGCAACGGTCCATGATGGAAATGTTTCTGGAACCCGTTCGAATGCCATAGATACCCTTTGAAAAAAAGTGTGATTAATTAAAAAAAAGTATAAATTGCAATGCAAATTTTTCAAAAATGTTTGACCATAAAAAAGGTGTTAATTTCAAGGCTGTTAAAAATTATGTTATAATATCAAATTTGTTTTAAATGTAAAAACGTACGTGTAAGTGTAAAATTTTTTAAAGGTGTAATATCGAAAAAATAGTTTTTAAAACCGAACTTCTGACAACCTTTTACACGTTTTGAAAATTACACTTTTAAAAAATTTTGTACTTACACTTACGTTTTTACATTTAAAATAAATTTGACATTATAACATAATTTTTAACAGCCTTAAAATTTTCTTAAAACTTACGACAAATTTGCCAATTTAGCATCATTTTTAAGTGTTACATTAAAATTAAAAAAATTTTCAAAGTTACGCCTTTTTTTAAATTTACCTAAATCTGCCCACTGTCGACGGACACCCTGATTTTTTTTTAAATTCCGGGTTTGTCCTTCCTTTCTTGCCTTAGAAACCAGCAGGAAAGTTATTTAGATTCAAAGCCCATGAAATTTTCAAAATTGGACTGCGAAGAGATCTTTTAAACGGACTGCAGATAGATCTAAGACTTTCAAACAAAAGAAAAACTAAGTATTCCGTAAGTCATCCTCACAACACGAATCGTGTCTTTCTCACCAGAGAGAGGGAACAAATTGGTCGCGCAGTTAAAGATGAAGGCTGAATTAGGATGGCTGGCCTTTCTCCCCGTCTGTGTGGCCCTAGATCTCTCTGATTGGCCAGTCTTATCTTTCAGCGATGACATTTCTAATTTCTCAGAGTAAGCTTTCTCGATTATGTTTTTTTTATATGAACGTCATAAATGTTGTGAGCATTAAGAAGCATAGGCATCATGAATACGCTTTGCAGCTATAAAGTTGTTCGAATAAATCCGGGAACTGAAGAATGCATTTCTTTTCTGAGGACTCTTTATTGGAAACTTCCCCATTCCTCTTTGGATTTCTGGCAACCCCCAACTTCCCTCAACCAATTTGTAGACGTATCTGTTTCGCCAATGGTCTCCCAGCGATTCTTCAACGAATTATATTACCGTAAAATATCTTACAACATCCTGATACCAAATCTGCAGCAGTAGGTTTACTCTGTTTTACTGTTATCAATCTGTCGGGAAAATAGTGAGCGTCGCATCAAAAATCATATCGCCGCCGAGAAAACGAATTGCGTCGCGGCAAAATCAAGTTGCTTTTCACTTCAGCGACGCGATGACAGACTGATATATAGTTGAAACTGTTGCGTGATCAAAAAAAACTTGTTTAGAGCGATCGAGGATGAACGATCCATTAACAATGTCCAGATGGACGCTCATCAAATCCAATTCGATAGGTATAATACCTTTGATCAGATCGAGAATTATTTATTCGATATCCACCAGAAGTATCCAAATCTCGTTAAGCTCAGAGAAATCGGAAAAAGTTACGAAAACAGAACGTTGTGGGTGGTCCAGGTAAAGTATTTATTGTTAGCCTAATAAACACAAACTGCAGATTGGGAAACCAAGCAGCGAACGGAAAGCAAAGTTATGGATCGATGCCGGAATCCATGCCCGAGAATGGATATCCCCAGCAGTCGCTTTATCTTTCATCAATAAGCTTCTAAATGGCTACGGAAAAGAAGAAGAAATAACTCAAATGCTGGATCACATGGATTGGTACATACTCCCAGTCATGAATCCCGATGGCTATGTTCATACCTTTGCCAAAGTTGGTCTTAAAACAAATAAAACATACTTTAGAATCGAATGTGGCGCAAAAACCGAAGGCCCTCTTCTTGTTACAAGACAACAATGTCGACGATGTGTTGCGTGGGCGTCGACTTAAACCGTAACTTTAATTGGTTCTGGGCGAGTAAGTGCCAAACAGAATGTAAACCATTCATGTTCAGCCACTGGTTCAAGCAGTGATCCCTGTCATGACACGTACCACGGAACTGCCCCTTTTAGCGAATCTGAATCAAAATCAGTCAAGGAATTCCTGGAGAATACAAAGGTGGACGGATTCCTCTCCTTCCATTCGTATTCCCAACTCTGGCTGATCCCTTACGGGCATAAGAAGCGGACCTATCCCGAGGATTACTCCAGTGTGTTGAAGCCTTTGGCACTTCAGGCGACAAACGCTTTGAGCAAATTGTACGGGACAAAATATATCGCTGGTACGGGAGCTGATCTCATGTGTAGGTTGTGCCCTTTTAGTAATGTACTGATTCTTTAGATGAAGCTTCTGGAGCCTCACATGACTTTGCCAAGGGAAATCTTCAGATAAAGTATGCCTATCTGGTAGAACTGAGACCCCAGAACACCATGTTTGCCAATGGATTCCTTCTACCCGAAAGAGAAATCTTACCAACTTGCGACGAAACTTGGCAGGCTGTTAAAGTAGTCGCGTACTCTCTATTAAACGACACGAGACTAGGTCAGTGTTAGTTTACGCTGGAATAACGAAAATTCCAGAACCAGAACACGGCTTCGGGCCGACCGGGCCTGCAAAATTTTGAAACAGGCCGGGCCGCCCGCGGGCAGGGCCTGGTTTTTGCGGAGTCAGGACTTTTCGGCGCTACGGCGTTTCGGGTCAGGGACAACTCGGGTCGCGACAGGTCGGGTCAACGACAGATCGGTTCAACAATATCGTTTAATATTTTCGCTTCGGGACTTGGGAAAAAAGAATTTTTTTGAGAATTTGAACAAGTTTTGAAATGTTTTCGCTGCGGGAAAAGAAGAGAAAAATTTTTTGTGAAGAATCGACCTGAATGTTACAATTTTATTTTACAGAGGAAGGTAAAAATGTTATTTTTGGAATTTTTTAGGTAGTTGATTTACGGGTAATTGAGATTTATTTTTTCATCATTTTTAGAAAATAGTGTTTATAAGCGACGAGCAAAGGGTGGAGTAAGAATATGGTCGTAATGATTGTTTGCAAATAACAAGTACATCGCGATTTTTCGCTCCATTTCTTGTTTTTAGACATGGGTTATTTCACTGCTGACTGTTAGGATAGGACGTATCGTTTACATAAACGTGAAAATTTTGCTCAAACTCTCCAAAAAATTCTTTTTTTCCTAGTCCCGAATAGGGGGGTTCGGACGGGGTATATACCCGGGGTATATTCCCGGGTATATACCCAAATACCCGAGAGGCCGGCGGGAATTTTCGGGTATTTATGGGTATATTCAAAGTACTATTGCATTCAAAAAATGTAAAAAAAAAAGTCGAGTTTTGTCATAAAAAATCAATAAATGTTGACATTTTATCATAATTTGTTTTTTGCCTCTCAAAACTTGGTTCTAGGTTGAAATTTACTTGGCCGAAGTAGGAAAATAAACGGAAAAAAAATTCAATCTGACTGCCAAATATTGGATTGCTAAACTTTTTGATTGTTAAAGTACTAGTTTTGTTTGTTGTCGTTGGGAAAATAGAGAATATCACTCCAAACGTGATTAGGTTAATGAATAACTTGCCACTTGTTCATTAACGACTTCATATTGGTACTATATTGGACTAATTTAGGCTAATTTTATAAATACCCCGAATATACCCGAGATTTCGGGTATATACCCGGCTATATACCCGCGTGGTGAATATACCCGAATTTTCCGAACCCTAGTCCCGAAGCAAAAACATTTCAAAATTCCGTTCAATTTTCATAAATTTTTTTTCCTGTCCCGACGCGAAAAAATTAAACGTTATCGTTGACCCGAAACGTCGTTGACCCGAACTGTCGCGACCCGAGCTGTCCCTGTCCCGAAAGGTCGGGACGCGATAACAAAATTTGGGTTTTTGCTTTTTTCCAAATACGGAAACCTTTCAAGTATCTTTTTGGCACATCATTTCTAGTACACTGATGCATATTAGTGCAAAATATGACACATTTCTATTCACAACCCCAAAGGTTACGATCATTTTTAAAATGCGGTTATAATTTTGACCCGCACTGTAGGTCCGGGTGGATATTATCAACAAACCTGAAGTATACCGGGGCCATTTTTCCCAGGCACGTTGTCCATCTGCTTCCTCCATGACCAATTTTGTGAAAACATTGCAAAACTTTTTGCGCGGAGTATATCAGTCTGTCGGAAAAATAACGGCGGATCGTCGCAGCAAAATGTCTCGCCTCGCCGCTATCGCGCACCAAATCCCAAGCCGCGGCTTGCAGTCGCAAAGCGATGATGGGCGATTCCGAGGCGCGACGATCCGCCGTTATTTTCCCGACAGACTGATACATACTTCTCCCAATCGTTTTAACCCTTAAACATTGATTGTAGATTCACGAGTGCCTACTAAAACAACAACAGATCTACCCTTCGCAGCTTCGACCATAGTTACGTTCATGACAAAGGGTCCAACTGTTTCGACCAAAGAAGTTGTAACCGAAGAAACAATCGTTCCCAATCGTATAATGCAATGTGTAGACCACAGCAGATATTGTAAATGGTGGAGAGTTCACCATTTGTGCAACAAAGAACGGGTTAAGAATCAATGTCCATTAAGTTGTTTGCCAGAATGTAAAATTTAAGTAAAAAATAACGAATTGGGTAGCTATGGACAAGTAAAATATTTATTTTTCTTCGTAATCATGAAGGTTTTGATGTGTGGATTTGCATTTGGACATCAAATAAGGCATCTCGAATCATTTTTTGGAACTTGTAATATTCCAGTTTACTGTAAGCTCCAATCTCACGCAATGGATGTATTAGAGAATTACCTATTCAGATAATGACAAGGAGATTCGACTTACAGAAAGCAATGTATTCGTCCGCTTCTTCGTCTTCCTTTTGTCTTTTTGATGATGTAGGTGTCATCACAACCGTTTGGTGATCATTGGAAATTCGTGAGACATCTTGGTCGACCCTAACACGTTTCTTCGGTCGGCCTACCGTAATGACTTCGACAACGTTGCTGCCGTTACCACTATTTGTATTTTTATTACTGCTTGTTTGTGGGGTAGAAGTATTTACAGGGCCCTTTGCTTCAATGCCATGTTCTCTCCGGGCCAATTTTATCTCCTCTTCTATATTAAAACATTCCAGATCTTCGTTATCAATAAACGCCAAACATCGGAAGAATTTCCATTTGGGAATCAACAAAGTTCCATCATCATCTGTGATAACTTTCTTCTTCAACTTGATATACGTATCCTAAAGTCAGAAGCTTCATTGTCATAGAAGGCGGCGATTACCTTTAAGTTTTTCCATTGTCGTTCAACATCAACAGCTTTTAATCCGTTTTCTTGATTGCCAATCTTACTAGCTATCTCATTATAAGCTCGTCTCCTATGTAGCATTGTTACTGGTTCGCCGCTTGTAGCGGCCCATAATAACGGCTGTCTGTAGACTTCTTCGATGATGCAGAGCCTAATATCGTCGTTGTAATGGGCTGTCCTGCTCTTTTTAGGTGGTCCAAAGGAATTTAACAAGACAGAATTCGAGTCGGAATCATTAGGAACATCTTCCCCATATATAACATGGTCGGATAGGTCCTTCTTGGCCATTGTCATAGTATCCCGTCAAAGAACTAATCAATCGCCGCGATGTCGCGTGTGTTCTCTTTCGTGGCGAAAGAAACCCCGCTTGCATCGGAATGCCAAGAGAGAAAAAGAGGCGAAAGGGGCTTGGTTTTGCAAGAACAGATTGCAACGCTACAGCGCTGCTTGATATATCTGTGAAGAAGTTCGGTGCTGATAGCTATTTGACATGAACTACAACCCTAACTTTGAACAGATTGGAAATGCCCTCATCCAGCTTTACTACAGCAAATTCGACGTCCCAGATGGTGCTACCAGAGCAGCGGGCCTCCAAGAACTGTATGATCCAGAAGCCTCTATTATGACATTCGAAGGTTCGCAAGTGCGGGGTAGGCAAGCTATTCTCGAGAAGTTTGGTGTAAGTTACATTTTATATTTTCTTATCTTCGTTTAGACATTACCTTTTCAACAAATCCAAAGAGCCATAACTAAAGTAGATTGTCAACCACTTGCTGATGGATCTGTTGCAATTGCTGTTTTTGGACAACTTAAAGTAAGTTCAGCAGTTTTTAGGATTCTGAACGAGTTGATTCGTTTCTATCAAGCTTATTTACAGACCGATGAGGATCCTGTGAACTCCTTTACCCAATTCTTTGTTCTCAAACCTAACGGTGGATCGTTTTTTATTGCAAATGAGATCTTCAGACTTGTACTGCACGACATGTAATACGGCTCGTTTTTAATTTGAATTATCGTTCGCTTTTTCTGTACTGTTTAGAGAAATGGATATAAAATAAGTTCATTAAAATATTGAGGTTTTCTTTTTACAACTTTACTTGTTGCCATACCTAAATACATTTTCGGAAATTTAATTGCGATTTAGATGAAGGCTGCAAAAAGGGCCACTAGAGGGCAGGAGCTGATCTATAAAGAAAATCAGGAGACGTTGTTGTATTATACTGTGGCGTCCTTAACTTCAGCATTCTTGTTTTTCTTTGCTTATTACCTCCTTTTTGAGTCTTCGTGGAAGGTTTGGGTAAGAAAGGCTGTTTGGATATTATATTATTTTTTGTAGGCTGGTTTTGCTTCTTCCATTTTTGGTCAGTTGGCGGCAGTATTGTTCATGAAAAGCGGGGTCAAATGTGTGAAGGGACCTCGTGGCCAGATAATAGACGCTGGGGTTGATCTGAATGATCCGAATGCATTAGGCGAGTAAGTCGAATACTAGAATAACAAAAGTTTTCATAGGTACTGCAAAGATGTTATCATTCTATGCGTGATCTCACAACTGTTAGGTTTGCTCACGTCGTATTTCCTTCTTATCTTGGCCGCGTTCCCCATTTACGGAGCTTACAAATTGTGGGTATTAGTAATTGCCCCATGGATTTTCGCTGAACCGCCCGAGGAGGATCCCATGGATGAAAAAAGAAACCGACGTCGTCAAAACAAACAAGTCATTTACCGTCGTTAAGTTATTTTAAGATTTTTTATTAAAGTCCAACGTTAAACGATTTATGCCGGGCAACAAAAGGCTTTAGGTATCTCGATATGAAACCAAAATATTGAGTAACAGAAATGCCATTTATAATATGTGATGGAACAGAACCTGTAGGTTGTTAAGAGCTCAATCGTTCGGATTCCTGTCGTAGGTGAGCAGGTAAAATAAAACATAGATAAGACACACATTGAAGGCCACCAACAAGATAAGACCCTTGTTGTTGTAAATCCAGTTCTGAAATTGGCGTTTTAATATTTGATATCATCTTGTGTTCCAAACTAACAAAATTTTAACTCAAATAGAAGAAAATGAAAAAAGAAATACCCGGAGAGCTGGATGATAGAGGTATCTGAGGGGATTGGCGCGAAGAAGTTCTTCCTCTTCTTGTAGTCGCTGGGCTTCTTGACGGCGTTGAGACGCTAGGCGAGCGGCGTCTTCCCGTCTAAGACAGACACCTTGTTGTGCCAATTCGTCTAGATTAGGCAGTGATCCCCTTTCGTCTACATCCGAGGCTGGTTCATTTTTGTAAAAAGAATTTGCCGGCTTTGATGGAATTGCGCGGTCGCGGGCTGAGGCCAACGTCGAACGCCGATTCAAATGCTACAGAAAAATTCGGTTAACAGATAGCAGATGGGGGTTACAGCAGAAAGGTTCAATAAAATGCAAACCAAATCTTACCACACCGTCTGCCAGAACCTCAGATTGTCGAGTCAGAGACGGCCGATTCCGTCTTAGGTGGGGTCCTCCTGCCGAATTCGAACGGTTCATTGCATACTGGTCATAATGATCATCTGATAGAGACATCGTAGACGTTTGGTCTGCATTCGACCGACCTTTTCGAAAACGAGTGACGGGTTCAGCAAAGATATGGGCTTCGTCTGGTTGTTGAGATGTTTGGGGGTTATAATTTATATGGTTTCCAAGTGTTTCTACATCAGGTACATGTGTGTTCCCTATATTTACGTTGTTGGGTACTTGAGAGCGATCATTTGCTTGCAAGCCTTGTGGCTGATACTGCTGTTGAAGAAAGGGTTGGGTTTGCTGCTGATTTTGGAGTTGAATTTGTGGGGTCTGATATTGATTCTGCAGCGCTTGATGATTTTGAGGTGTTGATGCCTCTTCGTAACCATGTTGGTCTCTTTGCGAGGCCTGGTTTTCATATGTGGGCATAGATGGATGCAGTAGCTGTTGCGGCTGAGAGTTTGAAGTGGTTGCCTGATGGTTATAAGAGTCTTGTTGTGGATAAAACTGAGGGTTATTGAAAGATGAATGGGGGAGTAGCTGAGAATCTGGCTGGAGATAATTTTGCGAATGATGAGGTTGTTCAAAAGACACAGGATGCCCGCTGCCCGTCGACTCGAAAGATACATGGTTCTGGTAAACTGAATCACCGAGTCGATGGCGTGCTTGTCTAATGTGTTCGATCCCTGTAGCGTACGGTCGTAAGTCTTGCGCATTCTTACCTGGTTGCCTGAAATTAGGGTCAAATTGGGCTGCATGTATCCTGGCAGTGTTTGCATCATCCCGGGCTCTCGCTGCGGAATCAATTGCGGCTTCGGATCTCTCCTGGGCAGTTGCCGTTCTCGACATGGCAATGTCTACCCTTTGTGCCGCTGTAATTTAAACCCGTTTGATTTAAAATTGGCATGAGGTTGAAGGAAATATTACGACTTATTTGCGAACTTACCCATGTCTGCAGCACGCTTCGCTGCTTCTATACTGGCTTCTATTCGTTCTCGAAGCTTCGATGATCGGACAAATAGTAATCCCTTTCGTCGAGTACTACACACCAAAATGTTATTCTTGTAACGCCCTTCTTCCTTTCTGAACACGTTAAATTACTTATGCATGCTTTCTACTTACGTCCCGTCTTTGAAGAAGGTGATTCCATACCCGTGTTTCCGATTGCTCGCCCATTCTCCTGCAAAACGAACTCCATCAGTCCTATCGCAAATTCCGAAGCCGCTTCTTTTGTCGTTCTTCCATTCTCCTCTGTAACTTTCGACAACATCATCTGCAACTCGTTCTTCCTAAGTTTTCGATTATCTTGATAGCCTGGAACGTACCGGAGCCAAATAATAATCATTTAAATGTTTCTCGCCGTCTTCGTCAGAGGTACAACTCATTGTACTTCCGCTGGATTTCAGACTACCCGTCATTGAAGTGACCCGCTGATGAATGTCCCCTGTTGAATGCTGCTTTTTGATTCGAAGGTTACTCAAGATAGTACGTTTCACAGCCAACGACCGTTCAGACAAAGATCGGCGACGTTTAGTCGGGGCATCGCTTCTTAGTCGGAGTACAAAACCACCACGAAATTCATCTTCATTGTCGAGTCCTGACCCCGATTTCTCCTTCTTCTTTTTATCACTTGTCTCTTCGGGACCAATGTCAGACCTCAGGCTAGTGAACGAAGCGTTTGTATGAGAACGAGCCCTATACTTTGCTGCTACTGCATACGGCGCACTTGTCCTTATCCCGTAGCCATGCCTCATGCCTCGGAGCCATTGGCCTTTATAGGTTCCTGCAAACATATGGTAAGTTTTCTCACGTTTAACGATCCTGCTCTATTTTCAGGATCAGAGCTTTAATAATATCTCACCAATCATTTTCTCTGGGATGAGTCTTCCGAAAAGAGCAATTGGTTTAAACTAAAGATAAATAGTTACCTCCGTCAGCATATGTTTCGGTCCCGTAGCCATCATGAAGTCCACCGAACCAAGTACCCAGGTAATTAGCTTTGGAATGACGAGACTGTCGAAGCCCATATCGGCCTTTTAATCCCTGAGCCCACTCGCCTTGGTATACCCATCTGCCCCTTGACTCAATACCGAGTCCATGGCGCTTTCCGTTCTGCCACTGTCCTTCGTATGTGGTACCAGTCGGCCATGTATAAACACCAGAGACCTAAAATGTTGCGTAAAGATGACACAACAATTCAAACCCAATGTGACTCCGACCACTGGAGATAAGGGTTACGCTCGAAGAAAGTTTTAAAGCTCCTTACCTCGAATCCATAATGCCATGCTCCAGCGTATTCTCCTTTTCCTTCAGGACCGGTACAGATACCATGACCATGGGCCTTGGCCTCTTCCCAGCCCCCGCAATATGTCCCTCCATCATCAAAATCAAATCGACCACCGTTCATTTCGCTTTCGATTGATCTGAGGACACGTATAGGTAGTCCTCTAAATGCGGCTTAACTTAATTTCCTGCCCGACGGAAGCATCCGACTCCATTCGCAAGAAATGAAAACTCTAACGGGACCAATCTGGAACCACGACGCCTGAATTTCTCAAATTAAACCGCCGAAGATATAGCATTAAATACATATTTAGCAACCAAGTCTGACGCGATCAAGATTATAAAAACAAAAGCTGTTTTATGGTCCAAGAATTAAGGCAGTCCCAGATCGTGTTATTATCCTAACAAAAGATTTGAAGCCTGCGCCCAAACCCTGTTATCTTCGGAGACCGTTTAGAAAGCTAACCGTCACAAAATTTTCGAGAAATTTAGATTGCAAACATCCTCTAAGATCAGTCTCACTCTCCCTCCCTGTTCCTAAACACTTGAATTGTTCACACCCAAGTTTTATTGCACTTACTGTAGAATATTACATATAAAACAAAGTTAGAGCAATTAGAAAGTTTACAATCAAGGAAAGGGGGGCCCGCGTGAAACGATGACCAAAGTCATCAACGACTCGACAAGTGGAAAGAACAGATACTTTCATTTGTATGGATCCCAAACCAGGGGCCAAATAGTTTAAGGATGGGGGAGAAGAGGCTAAGCTTGAAAGCGTGCTCAGCTGCAAGGGAGACTGGATGAAAAAGAAGGGGGAGGTTGAGAACAAGCAAGAGTGAAGTCGAGAATGCTTCTTGCACCACTAGAACACAGGGAGAGGAAGAACAAGACGGCTTGCGGGGCATAAAAGAAGCTAGACCGCGTAGAAAGCCTGAGGACCGATTTTTTTCTTTATCTGCATAGTCCCAGCAAAAAGTTTACGCAAAGTCAGGAAAGAAGATGGCGGCGTGTCTGAGGAATGTCCCGGTGAACTAGCAGGCAGAGAACAGCCGGAGGGAAAGGAGGGCCAAGGCCGCCGCCCGAGCAGGATGTACTCTCTCGCTCGTCCCTGACCCACACTTGCGAATTTCGTTTCCTATCCCTCTGGCCTCACTTTCCTCTTGTCTCTGAAGAATCCGTCACTCCGCGTCCTCGATTGCATTTTTTACTTTTTCTCTCGCCTTTTGTCAACAAAATTATCCTTTATTCTCGCGCTTTTAATGCATAACCGCAACACCAATAAATTTATGCAACAAGCATACTTAAACATAACAACAACCATATATCCTTAATCAGACACAGGAGTGATTGTGATTCCCCTTCTGATAGTTCCCCATCCGATCAAACGCCAGTGCTTCTCGATTCTTCGACTGAGAGCGATCTTCTCATTCACTTCAGTACAGATTGGTTCGGTTAGAGCAATCTTCGCAGCGTCTCCTACAAATTGAAATAATTACATATCAAAAAAACAGCAAGAACACTTCTTTATATAATCTTACCTTTCACTGCAATAACTCTGCCGCCAGTAGAAAGCGATCCTATGTTGACCATCAGAACTTCCCCCTTGTCCAATTTCTGAACCTTGGCAGCTTTCTTACCGCCTTCAGTACGTACTCCCAACAATCTTCGAAGTAAGAAATACGAGATTTCGATCTCAATGAACACATCAGGGAGGGTTCCAACAGCTCCAAGGATGTGACCGACCAAACGGTCTCCACGGCAAAGGGTGGGATCAATCTTTGTTCCCACCCCAATTAAACCTCCAGGAACGGCATACTGCAACTCATTTTGCTCGGCAAACAAAGATACGATCTTCGAGAAGATTGGGCGGCATTGCACCCTTCCATCAGCTAGCTTGCTCACAATTCCAGGACGAACTTCAATCTCCTGCCCCACCCGAAGGATACCTATAGAAAAAACGCATCATACTTTAACTTCAACAATAACGTATGAATAAAAAAAGAATACCCTTCAGAATTGAACCGCCGGCAACTCCTCCCTTCAATTCTTCCACCTCCGATCCCGGTTTGTTAACATCAAAAGATCTAATCACAATCAAACGAGCATCAGAAGTGAAATCTCTAGGGGGAATTGGAACCTTCTTGCATAAGTATTCGCATACAACCTGTAAAGTGTCAAGAATTAAAAATGTACAGTAACTCCAACATACATCAATATTATATTTAAGCTGAGCAGAAATCGGAATGATCGGCGCTGAATCCGCGACGGTCCCTTGAACAAAATTCTTAATTTGTTCCTGCTGATCCTTGGCTTGGGATTCTTTAATCAGGTCTATTTTGTTCTGGAGGATCAGGAGATTCTTCAACTGCATAATTTCTACAGCGGCTAAATGCTCAGAAGTTTGGGGTTGTGGACATGGTTCATTTCCTGCAACCAGAAGAAGAGCAGCATCCATCACTGCAGCACCGTTCAGCATGGTCGCCATCAAGATATCGTGACCAGGACAGTCGACAAAAGAGACGTGGCGAACGCATACAAATTCTCCACCACAGCCGTCTCTGCGACATGGAATTCTGTCTGGTTCGCTAGACCCTCCAGACCTAAAAATGGTAAATTGCTTAACATATTATGTTATGCGACCCGTACCGATAACAGCCTGGCCGAGGACATTCGGCGTTCGAACATCGGTAGATCTTCGCATTCGCATAGCCCAGCTTGATTGTAATGTTTCGCACCAACTCATTCTTGAACTTGACCGTGTGAACACCAGAAATTGCCTTGACTAATGTAGATTTCCCATGGGCTACGTGGCCAATAGTGCCAATGTTGATTGTGGCCTGACGACTGATAACCTAAAGAAAAAAATAAGATAAGAAATGGGTTAATACCTCTTCAGTCAAAGGATTCAATTGGGTTGGATCAAGTTTCGACAGGTCTTGCGTCGCCAACCAACTTTGTTTCTGTTCAGATGCCACCGAGTCCGCCATTATTGCTATCGGAAGCAGTTTTATTCGCAGTATTTCTGTAAAAGAAAGAAAAATGGAAGTTGCATCAATTGCCACAAAATTAAACGTTTTCGTAATGGAACCGAAAATAAAAACGCGAAGCCCGACAAAAGCAAACGTACGGCCGCGGCCGGCACACGTACACTTCCGCAAACACGGCTTGCCCACATAGACAGAGGTGGTCAGCGGGCCCGGACCATCTAGGCTTTTTTCCAGGCCCAGCCCGGCCCGTGCAGGCCCGGCAAAAAGTTCCTTATTTTGGCCACAACAAAGGTACTCCGCGAACTGCGCCCAAGCTTGGGCACTAAAGTTAGGAAAAAACGCTTCGACATAGCTGGCACTGAATTACTATAATAGCTCTATAGTTTTAAGGGTACCTACGAAGGCTGTGACGACTCATTTAGTTCCATACGGAGGCAATAGGTTTAGTTCCGGACATGTTTCATCGTATAAAGTGTAAAATCACAGGCTGCAGCCGTTTTTGAAGGGTAAGGTGGTACATAAAAAAAGAAGGTACCTCACTAACTAAATCCACTGTCCGGGCATTGACAACGATGAATTGAGCGTGCACGCTAAATTTGGGCGAATTCCGACCAGTTTCCGCAAAGCTATAAGTTGTGGCCAAAATAAGGAACTTTTACCCAGGCCCGTTTATAGAGGTACTCCGCGAACTGCGCCCAAGCTTGGGAGCTAGAGTTAGGCAAAAACGCGTTGATCTAGCTGGTAAAGGATTAATATTATAGTTTTGTGGTTTTTAAAATGGAACTATAGACTTGTAAACATTTTAGAAATTGAGAAACTGCAACTACAACAACATCAATTAATTTTCCCGACGCAAAAACAATGAATGCCAACGGTTTGGCATTGTAATACAGAAATGCCGGCCCGGTCCGCTGACCGATTGAGTACGGAAAGGTCCGCTGTGCGGAAAGGTCTAGTACTGCTTAAAAAACACATTTTTAACACTTGGTACTAAATAGTACCAACTGGTACTGTTTAGTGAGAAGTGAAAATTTGGCCGTAAGGCAGTAATGGTGATGGTTTGGTGCTTAGTAAAGCCCAAAAACACGTGGTACTATAAAAAGTACCAGGTGGTACCATTGGTTTTAGACAAAATTTTAGTGCTGGCGGCACCACAGTTAATATTCAGTCAGACAGCCTTTTTTCTATTCCCGATGCGAAAAGATTTCAAAATTTTGTTGAATTTTCCAAAAAATTCTTTTTTTTCCCAATCCCGAAGAGAAAACATTTAAATTATTTTTCAAATTTCACAAAAAATCCGTTTTTTGAAGTCCCGAAGCGAAAACATTTCAAATTTTATTCAAATTTCACAAAAAATCCTTTTTTTCAAGTCTCGAAGCGAAAACATTTCAAAAAAATTTTTTTTCGAGACTAGTCACACCTAAAAATCAAAACGCCAAGTACAATATAACTTACGTCTTTTTTTAAAAATTACTAGTTAACACTACTGCCTAAGCAAAATTGTAAGATTCAGAAAAAATGGATACGATATTCGAAATCAGCGCCTTCGAAAACCTCCCCCCTCCCCTCCCCGCACGTCAAGAAAAAATAAAAGAAAAACGGGCGCCCAATGAAAAAGCCTAGAATTTTTTTTTGGCATTCTGCCCTGTGCAAATCCGTTTTTGTCCAAATGATTTGCAATATTTTGACATAAAGATTAATAGTAAATCACAAGATATTGATACCAATAGAAAGCTCGAGAGCTGCTTAAGCTAATAGAGCCAAAATATACCCATAATCGTAGTATTTTGACAGTTTTCCATGGCGAAGAATACAACGTCTAAATAAAAGTTTGTATCGACGATACCGAGTCAGAGAGCGCTGGAAGGAGGTATAGGCTCCACGTCAAAAAAATCCTTAAACTGTTCTTCGAGTATCTACACCGGTCCCGTCCCGCTTGATGGGACAGTTTTTTTGATATTCGGCCTTGAAATTTGCACTATTTTTAGCCTAGCTCGAACCATGTTCAGAAAATGCGTCACGATGACACCCATTTAGAATGTACCAGCGGTATAAAAAACAGTTGTATACGACTAGCAGCACTCCCTAGAGTTCCCATAAAAAAAATTAGGTTAAAAAATTGTTGTTATGTGCAATTTGGATGACAGGTTTTATGAATTTTTTTTCGCTGTGAGAACCTTTGCAATGCCCGCAATTTCTTGACGTGCCCCGCCCTCCTCTTTTCTTTTTTTTAGCGGACCTTTCCGCACAGCGGACCTTTCCGCGCAGCGGACCTTTCCGCGCAGCGGACCTTTCCGCACAGCGGACCTTTCCGTCCTTCGTGCCGCTGACCACCTCTGCACACAGACAAAAATCGGAAAAAAATTAAGCCATAAAACGACCGTGATGACGTTTTGGGATACTAGGGAATCAATGGAGACGATTTCAAGCCGCCCGGATTACTGTAATATAAAGAAGCCGGCGTTTTGGCCTTGGCCGGATATAACCCCTATCATAAAACGGATATAACTTTGTCCAAATATATGAGAGGCCAGACAGACACACAAGAAATCCCGGTTTCTGGCCACGACACCCAATTTGATGCGTATGCCACCATCTACAGGGTGGGCCACTCGAAACTGACAAGTTGTTTCTTTGAATTTCTCCGCGGAGGCTCTGCCGATTTTTCTAAAATTTAGATTTTTCTGGAGCTAAGACCCGCCATTTTCAACCGACTGAATTTCAAAAAAACATATTTTGAACTAACCTTTCCATGCCTTTTCAAAGTTTCGAAAAATTATTTTCGGGCCGAAACCGCTAAAACTTATAAAATTTTTGGAATGATTTTCAATTGACTTTCTCGGACTTGGAAAATTTTTGGCTTTTTTTTTGGGGAAATTGTGGAGTAAAAAGTTGCTAGTGCTCGCCTTAAACTTGTTTAAAGCAAATTGAAAGCCACAAGAGGGTTGTTTGTATTACCATTAGGGCACGAACGCTCAAAAAAAAAAAAAAAAAAAAAAATCAAAAAAAGATTGAAAAATTCGACGTCAATCGTTATCAAGTCAGGCTTGGGGCATCTTGAAGCTCAGATACGTAATTAAAATTACGTATCCACGATACGTAATTTTAACTGCTCATGACTCTCAAAGGCACTGCAAGTTTGTGATGCGAGAGGAGGTGGGCATAATAACTCAGATACAAACATTAATAATCAGATTGTTAAATAAAATTGTTTTTGAAACAATATTTGATAACTATCTGAGGTAAAACAAAGGAAATTTCACCCAAGAACTCGGAAAAATGACCAATTTTTCAAAATCATTCCAAAAATTTTCCAAGTTTTAGCGGTTTTGGCCTGAAAATACAGGGTGGTCCAGCTAAGTTCGCGGATGTAAAATGCTTATAACTTTTTATAGGATGGTTCAATTTTTATGAGCAATAGCTAATTTTATTCCTTAGTAGTTGCCATTTTGTTTAAAAAAAAGATCATTAAAAATGATCAATCCTACGTCGCGTTATGACCCTTCAAAGTAAAACATGCTTTTTGACGTAAATTTTTAAAAAAATTTTATTTTCAAAAATTTTTGAATTGCGGTGTCACCGCTCGCTGGTACCGGGAAATGATGATGGTGAACAGAGCGATCCCAGCCAATTTTGCCAGTCTTGTTTTTCAACAAGACGGCGCGCCACCTCATTTTGCTATAGCGGTCCGTCAACTCCTTGACCAGGTTTTTCCAGGTCGTTGGATGGGCCGGGGATCTGCGCGGCAACCAGCTCCAATTGCTTGGCCCCCGCGTTCACCTGATCTAACTCCGCTAGATTTCTCCATTTGGGGGTTCTTAAAACAGCGGATTTTCATCAGGGATTGGCGCCCAAAGACGTGGAATTGAAGCGCGTAACCGAAGAAGAGGTGGAACGAGTTCGCCAGGATGAACAAATGAGGCGCCAAATTATGGAAGAATACCAAAGACTGGCAAAATTGGACCAATTTTGCATAGCTGGGATCGCTCTGGGTCCAATTTCCTATTCGAATTCTGAATCGAATAATTCGACCGAAAGTGCAAAATTTCGATTTTTGGGAAAATTGTCATTTGGGAGCAATTTTTGGTCCGGGGTTCGGTTGCTTGATTGCTTTCCGGAATCTCTGGAAATTTGAAATTTCCATGTTTTTTCAATTGCAAACATTTTGAAAAAATGGGAAAAATGTGCCATGAATGGCTATAACTGCGATAAGTCCCTAAAATACGAGGAGAGGGGTATTCTATCCTTAAAACTTGCTGCTAAGCCGTTTCAAGCATGGACTTTTTTTTGCGGCTCACAGTGCATTCTTCCACTTTTTTCACTGTGAAATGCTTGTCACGCTCGCAAAATTCGTGGCGACGAAGTTGAAGAACCTTGCACCGCGGCGATTTTTGACTTTCACAGTGCAAAAGATCAAAAACTGCACAGTGCGGAAAGCTTGCGACAAAAAGTCAACGCACTTTTGAAACGGCGTAGTATTATATAGTATTTCCGCAAAAGTTAAAAAAGTATAGAACTGACAAAAGAATTGCTATTTGGACTATGGACGTGTGAAGAATTTAACAGAGTTTTGCAACTTGAAGGATTGCCCGGAGATTTCCAAAAAACAACCATCTCAGAATCTTTTGATACTTTTTATATCTGTTGTACTAGGATGGCTGAACATCAGCACAAATTTTTTGTTATGAGAAGCTTCAATCGGTAAAAAACTTTTTTTAAAAAGTTACTGAGCGTCGCACTTGGAACCGAAAAAATCCTCCTTTTCGTCAAATATCGTTATTGAAAATGTCAGAAAACCTCCAGGAGATAACGTTCGTAGCCTCAGGTGTATTTAATTTCATGTAGTTTGACTTGTATTTATAATTTTTTCTCAACCGCGATAATCGCCCGACCGACCTCCTTCCAAAATATTTTTTGTCGACAATGACGATTTTCCCAAAAATTGAAATTTTGCACTTTCGGTCGAATTATTCGATTCAGAATTCGAATAGGAAATTGGA